CAGCTAATTAACAGTTAATACGCAACAAAGTTCGTTGGCAAAAACAAGTGCAAGTTTTATTTCCAGATTTCGGATTTGCTTCAATTGCCATTGTAATGACTAATTGCACTGATTTCAGTGCAGAAGTTGACACAACTGGCAGACTTTTTTTCATAGAATAGAGGTTTGATTTTAGGCAAAAACTACGAATTTTTAAAAATATATAATGGCTGCGCTATTGTAAATTAATCACTGGTATACACTGTATATGTATGTATAACAGCTGCTATAAAGTTTGTGTTCAACATAGTTAGTTAATGTTTTCCAACGAAAGCGTCGCTTTATCTCAAAACTAGTTTAAACTGTTAAACTGCCTTTTTGAGTTTTTCAAAATCGCGTCATCGATTTTAAAGGAAACTTGCGTACAAATTCCAGCTCTCTAGCTTTAGCGATTGTGCTCTGTGCCTCGATTACGAATGATTCAGACGCTGACTAGTTATACTAAGATAAAGCTAAGTACTATACATAGATATATGTATGTTGTATATGTATGATAGCTGAGTTCTAAAAAGAAGTTTGTATAATCTTATTTCCTTATTCCTAGAAAACAATTGTTTCAAACCAATATAAAAATTCAACATTTCAAATGAAATAGCCAATTAGAAAATGTTATTAAAATAATTATAAACAAATATTTTCACAAACATATGTACACAAGTATGTACTAAGCATGTATATTCTTTTGTTATGAAACTTTTTACTTGGTCACTATAATCTGATTTCGTTGGGTATCGCAAATAAAACAAACTTCTAATTCCCAAATGCATACATATGTTTGTATATTTTTATGTACACTTGTACATATTTACATAAGTATGTATGTACATATTCAAAGACTTGCCGGTACAATGGAAAAGAGGTGGAAATAAACAAATCGCAAATAAAAACAGTAGGGCGAGCAAATGCAAAGGCACTCTAGCTGCACGCTAGTATATCGAAGTTTTTCTTTAGGTTTGGCCCCAGAAACAAATGCAACACAAACAACAATAACAGCAACAACAATGCTTGCAAACATAAAAACACTTGTCTGTGCACTATGAACAAGCTGCCTGAAGTTGGTTATAGGGAAAAGGCAGTGGGGCCTAAATATGTATGTACATACATACATGTGCGACCAATAATTGCAATAGCAACAACAATAGCACAATGCCACGTAATGGCGAGGCAACAAATTATGTGCCACAAATGGCAGCATTTGCACCGCTAATGCGGCATGCATCTACAACAACAATCAGCTGACCCCGTTAGCTGCTGAACTGTACAAAGGCAACAAAAACTATGAATTTACATAAATACATATGTACATTTATACACAAATGTGCAGATAATTCACATGTTTTGAAATGCAATGAAGCGTTCAAATGGCCAAAAGAGCTTCACCAACCAGCTTCGAAATCAAAACAAAATGAACCCAAGGCGCACCTAAAATGGGGCTTTTAATACCCTGTACCAAAAGAAAATACTAGGTTGGAGTGATCCTTGTATGGTTTGGTGAGTGCTTATATAGAAAATTGTGCCTTTAAATTGGAGTTAGGTGCGAGAACCGATGTTGAGATGCGTTTGAACACCCACTTTTTTGCCAAGTAGGCCTTGAGAAACCTCCAGTTTGTCAGTTGTACGATTACTGGCTTATTGAATATTCCTCGAACTTATGATACTTTGTTGTGGCTATGCACTACATATTTGTCTAGGTTAATCGCGCTTCAGCATAATCTAGGTTAAGCCAGCCCAGCCAGAAAGTACTTGTATAGTGAAAACTCCTTTTCAAAAGAATTCGATCGCTGTATAAACTACTATATAAAGGTATCCCCCGGACACTCCCCTTGGGCGGACAAAATTTGGTCGACCGTGAGTATCCGGTCAAGAGAGTTTTCACTGTAAAGTAATAAACTTGCCGTTGCAATATATGTGTGGGACTTATAATAATAAATCTTGGCTCCAGAAACCCACAAGCGCTAGTTACGTCTCCTGATCTGCCGATCAACTAGTCGCAGAATAAACCTAGCAATGCACTATTTTATGCTGAATCGGCTTTGCCTGCTTCTGACTTATATGCGATTAAACTCCGGAAACTAGTCATATACTAAGCTCTGCCCTGCCTTAGTTATGCTAGTATCAGCATATATGCATGTACATATTTATGACTAGTAGTAGAGCTGTTTTGCGTCGCAGCCATTGCTTTCAATTGATGTCTCAACATATGATAAGCTTTGCATTTGCATGCAAACGTACCTTTAAAAGAGTGCACAGAAAAACATTTAACTAAAATGCTTTTAATGGTTGATCGACATACTATTTTTGTTGTTTATCAGTTTAATTTCCTTAACCCTGGCAACAAATAACAAAACCCACTATTAAGTACATATGTATATCGTGTATCGCTCTTGTAATACTTATTTTCTGATACCACATTAAGGCATATTCTACCCAAAACATATTCAGGCATACCTAAAAATGTAAACAAAATGCAAACAAAAATGTTCAAGTGCGGGTTTTAAGATATGTATGATTTTTTTTTGGGTTTATAAAATGCGTTTTTTATATTAATAACCATTTAAAGCGCATTCTTAATTTGGGGACCGTTTATTTCCCGACAAAACCGTCTTTTAAACATTTTCTAAGTAAACCAAAACTACTAAAATTCCCTGAAGCTATAAAAATTGATTAAATCTTCTGATTTATGCTAATTCTGTCGGCAACTCCTCGGCGCCGACGTGCGCCAACTGTTATCTCCAGTTAATTAGAAAGACAACAGCGAAAGCGAAGAAAAGAGGTGCCAATTGTCACATTCACGCAATGCTGTAATTCACGTTAATTAAAAGCGGCATCAGTAACCGCAGCTGCGCAACAATGGCACCAATTAATCGTTTCTTTGGCGTGTAATGCGCCACTGCTTTGTGGCGACGACGACGGTGGCGCACAGTGGGGCAATGGCTCTCAATCGGAGTACACTTGTAATTTATCTTCTTCCGAACCGGATCATTTTATCCTGGCATTAAATTTATGGCATTTTCATCTAGTGTGTTGAATACAAATCCGACATTTTATATGAAGCTGAACAATCGTCATATTAGAGTATTAATGGTTTTTAATTTTCGTACACGGAATTCCCTTTATGCTTTTGATGATAGGTTCCAGAAAGAAGGCAACCAAATACACCTAATTCTGTTTTTATACGGTCTTATTTTACACTGTTTTGATTTGAAAATGTTATATATGGTTGCTCGACTTTATTCCAATTATCACAATTCAAAATAACATATGAGCAATGTCTTTTTTTACACGACCCTTTCTGGAAAATATGAACCAATCTACCGTGTAGAAACATAATTAGTTGTAGTTCCAAATGGAGAGCGGTTAACGAAGGACAGCTAGTTCTACCCACATTCTCAAACCTAAGAAATCTGGGAAATGTTTGGTGAAATGACAGATAATTGCTATAATTGACAATTACTTTAAGATGTACGATTTCAACTATTGATATTTAATTTATTTTGAATTCATGATCATGACTTCTAAAAGTAAGTACAAATCACTTTTTGAGTACAAAAATCTGCGTCGTGTGGCACTGTGTGTCGACACCGACTGCCCATCTTTGCTGGAAGATGTCGACGAGCAGCTCATTACTTTCTTCGCACGCACAGTTTGGCGTTTAAGTGAAACGTAACATGTCGAATACAATTGAATGCAACGGAGCCTAATAAATAAATAAATAGATACTATAACTCGTATGTAACTAATAGCAAACAATAAAAATAACAATAGAAACAACCACTGCCGGCTGAAAGTGAAATTGTTATTTCTGTTGTTCCCCCCCTCTGGCTATTACGTGTGCTGGCCAGCTTCTAATGACAATTATTGTCGCTATGAAATCGAAAGTTATTGAAACTTTTTTTCCTTAATAGCTAACCAGAGATTGGTACGAGTACGTCTTCAAATTCGTAATTGCTTGAGCTGGCCAATTTCCTGATGGCCACTTGCATTTTTGTTTGTGCTCTCAGCTCTTATTTTTAGCCACGCGCCTGCCTCACGGACCAACTAGTTTTTCCTGTTTGGCGCTTCTGCGGCCATCCTTCAGTGCGCTTGCAAGGTCGTGCCCACTTGGCTGGTTTCCGCAGTTGTAAGGCGAACGCACAGTGGGCCTGATAATACAAAATGTATCAATATTTGGGGCATCTTTCTTATTGATTTTTCAGTGCTTTCCGTCTCGATTGAAAGCAATTTATTAAAAACACATACGCAGATAGTGATTTAAATAGTTCCGCAATATACTTATTTGAACTAAGCAACAGAAGTCTTTTCAGATTACAGGCCAATAGCAATAGAAAACAACATTTTATATCATTTTGGCCCTCACCTCCACAGAAGAGCCACAGTGCAAATGAAAAAAAATAATAAAAAATATAATAAAAACAATGGCTATAATTTGGGCCTAATTCGAGCTTAAAAGCCACAGTGCAACACACAAAAGTTGCGCTTCTGCCGCATTGAACAATGCTGGCTAATATCTTCGCTTAAAGCATCTCTTTCATAATGTATTTGGCAAATAAGTAGAGATAGGTACATTAGTTTTATTGCCGGCAATTTCCTGCCCACACCACAACAACACACGTAACAGCCAAGTCGGAAGCTGCACTTTTCCATGCAACGGAAATTTGAACTCTTGACTTTCACGATCGTCTGATGACGACGCATCACAGATTACGTATTTAATGTCTGCTCAGCGGTAGTCGGCGACTGCTGTCTTCGCTGAAAAGTCAGTGAACTTAACGAAAAGCTTCGATTTGGCTTTGACACGCGACCTCGTACAGCTCTTTAGGGCCACGGCTCTGGGCTTCAGTTACGCCTATCGATTGCTAATACTTATGTAGGACGACGGCTTTATAGCCGCTAATTGAATAGCAATTGTTTTCTTTATGCCTACTTCCTACTAATTGCCTCTCTCCGTTTCTTAATTGCAGCTATGACACTGCCCGCGATGGCTTTTTGGATCTGAGCGAACTTAAGTTCATGATGGAGAAGCTGGGCGCCCCGCAGACCCATCTGGGTCTGAAGAAAATGATTGCCGACGTCGACGAGGATCAGGATGGCAAGATCTCGTTCCGCGAGTTCTTACTCATCTATCGCAAGGCGCAGGCCGGCGAGCTGGACAGCGATTCTGGCCTCAATCAGTTGGCCCGTCTGACCGAAATCAACGTGGAGGAGGTCGGCGTTAGCGGCGCCAAGAACTTCTTCGAGGCAAAGATCGAGCAGCAGCTGCGCACGAATAAATTCCACGACGAGATCAGGCAGGAGCAGGAGGAGCGTCGTCGCGAGGAGGAGGAGCGCGCCCAACGACGCCAGCAGTTCCAGCAGCGTGCCGCCATCTTCCAGTAAGAGGCGCTCCACACACCCCGTCGGTGAATGCACTGGGCAAGGGATTATTGTAGTTTAGCGCGTAATTCATTGTCGTAGGTTAAACAAAAGAATAACATTTCTATCATGCTGGAGCTTGATACGAAAGCATTATCGATCATCACATAGCTACACCGATATTATCGCTCATATTATAATAAATACATACATACATACATACATAAATACTTACATACATACATATATTACTTATACATACATAAATGCAAGCATACCAAAAGCATTAATTCAATTAAATAAGTATTAAGTGAAGCATGTTATGTAGACTAAGGACGAGCAATTTTGTTTATATTTTTTGTGTTAATTTTTTGTTCAGTCGAAACACTTGGTTGTTCAGCCGCAATTATGTATGTTTAGTGCCATGTCTATCAGTTTCATGTTACATTGCAATTAATCAATAACTAATAAAAAGTTATAAGTTTGTAAACAAATCTAAAAAGAATTATAAACGTTTGTAGTTCCTAAATTAGCAATTGGCCTCCACGCTTCGTTACTCTCTGTACATAAAAAAAAGAAACTTTTAATGCCCCTAAGTTTAAATTACAGCGTTTCAAGATTAAATTTAGTTTTAGACAAAAAGAAATCCGCCGTTTAAGCACTAAATACAATACAGATATTATGGAAAGCAAACGCAAATATGTGTAACAACAGCAAGTAGGATAATTAATAATAGTATCCTTTTAATATATCTTGACACATGCAAATAAATAAATGTATATAATACAAACAGTCAATGGACTCGCATTTATTTGCTAAACCCATGGCAGCTGCGGTTCCTCAGTATATAGATGGGATGCAAAACCAGATGTGCCGTATCGGAAAACAATAGCTCGCTGATTATGTTTCTGTAATTAATTAATTAATTAATTTTCTTCTATAAATCTTCCTTGCAACATTTCTCAAATGTTGGTGTGTAATCGGGGTTTCCGAGTTAACAAGTCATTGATTGATCGTGTCCACCTGATTTTAATTCCAATTAGGTGCTATTGAATAGTTAACAGTTTTCCTTAAAATCTAAGTCCATAATGTTTAAAAAGGGGAGAATTTCCTTTTTACTTCTTAGTGAAGAAGCTAACAGAGTAGGAAGAGATCCATGAATCCTAGAATGTTTTTGGTCAGATATGTGCTTGTTGTGTTCCGAGTAGTGGTTAGTATAGAATTGTATGTATGGAGATGCTGGGGGCATGTTTCATTCTTCGATGGCGGAGAAGGTGGCGGTGCCTGGGGCTCCCCCACCACGTCGTTGGGAGTGCCGGCAACGCAGCATGTCGCACTTGAGGGCGTAACGGTGCTTGCATACAGGACATTCGTGCGGCTTGAGTTGCAAGTGAAAGCCTTTGATGTGCTGCGACAGTCCATTGCGTCGTTTGAAGACCTTCGCGCAGATGCCACATTTGTAGCGACGCTCCGTCGTGTGGGTGACCAAATGCTGCTTGAGTCCAGTAACTGAACTGAATGTTTTCTGGCATACGTGGCAGCTGTTTTTGTTGCTTCCGCCAACGGTGCGGACGGGAAGGTTTCGCCGCGAGCGCTTCGGCAGATGCTTGGACATAATCTGACTTCCCAGGTTGAGTTGTCGAGTGCGGCACTTGAGTTCGTGACGCCGATAGATTCGCCAATGAGTGAACGTTATCGCATGGCAGTGGCGACACTTGAAACTATTGAGACGCGTGCTACGCAGCGGCAACGACTGGCAGATGTAGCGCATATGTTGGCGCAGGCCGAGACGGGAGTAAAAGAGTCTAAAGCAGCCGCAGCACTTGGCAGCAAAATGCTGCGGTTTTGCCACAAAGTGACGCTTCAGTCTGCGATGGCGTAAAAGTGTTCGTATGCTAGTGAATCGTTTCGAGCATTGGCGACAGCTTCGGCGTGCTGCTCTGGCTTTGGAAACATCCTTTAGTTTTCGACACTGCCGCTGCAGACGGCGAAAGCGGGCGGACAATTTGGCATAATTCGCTGAAACATCATTGAGGCTCGGATCTACCGTGCTGATTATGGAATGAGAGGTATCCGGCGGAGGTTGTGGCGGCAAATGTGTGGCCAACTTGGGCATAAGATCATCATGATGAAGGAAACTTCGCTGCATGTCCAAAATATCAATTTTCTTCTTCGGCGCTTGCAGCCCCGTCCCAGGCTGAAACATAGCGTTGGGCCGCCAGGCATCGCTGGCCTGCCAATAGTCATTGTGTGCGCTCAGTAGAGGCACGCTGGGCAAACTCTGTGTGCTGCTAGTTGTCTCCAGCTTCAGTGGCATCGCTTTAGTGGTGCTAACATTAAGGAGTGGCACACTGACCATCGGCGGCGGCTGACTGTTGGCGACATGTGTATGCGCATAGTGCTGATTCAAGCTGTCGGCGGTGAAGAACTTTGCCGTGCAGAGCGTGCAATTGTGGAAACGAAAGTCTGCTGAAAATGGCACAACGCTGTCATTGAGGACTACTATGTTGGGCTTGCTGGTGGGTGTAGTGTTGGCTGCTAGCGATGTGGAGGTCGCAGTTGGAGGAGGCAACAATTCACACAGCAAGGGATTGGGAATCTCACTAACATTCGTAACAATCGGTCTGCTGGAACGTGGCTCTGGCGGGGGCTTCACCGTAGCAGCAGCAGAGGCAGCGGTCTGTTGTTCCGCCTGTTCAGAACATTCCAGCTTCTCCGTCTTGTACTGATGCGGAGGCAGCTGCCAGTCCTCTTTGGCATAGTTGTGCTCCTCGGTAAGCATCTCAGCCTGCAGCATTTCAGTCGCACTTTGCAGATTAGTCGCATTCACAGCACCAGGATGCGCGGCTTGGGTCTGCGATTGCTGAACCACATCCGAATCATCAGGGATGTTAATAAATGGATCATCTAGATTGATAATCTCCATGATATCACAGTTGTTGATGATGTCCTGGGCATTAAGCATGGGGAAGTCACAGAATTGCAGCTTCTGCTCGGTGGCTTCGTCGCTCGTCACCTGCTCGTGCTCACAGCAGCCCTCGTCCATGCCCATGTCCAGTTCGTCAGGAAACAAGTTGTCCAGACTTTCGCAAGCCTCCTGCTTCACGCGCACCGCCGGCTCCTGCTTAATCTTCGGCTGTCGTCGATACTTGCGTTGCAGATCGCTCTGCGCCTGCATTACCACATCGATGAATTGCGAAAAGCGCTGCAATTGCTTATGGCACTCTCCACATATGTCCTTCGGTAGCGTGTCGTCCTGCAGTATTTGCAGCGTTGGAAAGCATTTTTGCACCATGCCGAACAACTCAAAGCTGTTATCGAAGGACACACAATACGGTGCGGACAGGCCGCAGAAACGACATGTCGTCTTTGTGCCGTTCGTCGAGGCTATCCCCTCCGCTGTGCTGGACAAGGTCTGTTTGCCTGCCTCTGATGCAGGTGAGTCGGGCTCCACGCGCACAGTTGGGACTGCATTTTTCTTCAATGTTTTCCGATTGTTCGTGCAATTAAAGTCCGTCTCAAGGAAGTGGCGACTGCATACTGCGCTCCACTTGGACGGCATCCACTGAGCACTGCGCATCGTAAATTGCTGCCATTTTTGCAACAAATTCTTTCGCTTAAACGGAAATCTGCGCCGTAAACAAAATATAGCAAATAAATATTACATTTAATCAAATATGTATATTACTACGCACCTGTGAAAGGAAATGCTACCGCCATGTACGTATTTATCGCTGCAATTTGCCACCGCGCAGTGGGCGGGCATTATGTAGAAAATATTTAACAAATTAGAGATGAAAAACTAGCTTTGTTTTGCTCCGCTGGTTCCATTCATGATGATGAGAAGGTATGGCATTGAAGGTATGGAACTTATTTACTCTGCATAGTTACGTCATAATATTCTTCACATACGGATTCTTTATGGTATATTTTTAGTATAATACTGCAACACACCAATACAAAAATGATGGTATTTTGTATTCAACTGTGTGGCAAATTTCACTTGGATGCACTAAAAAGCCACAGTGCAAGCATATGGCTACGTTACAGTTACATTGTAACGTCAGAGAATGAGAACTTAGAAAAAAGTAACTGCGCTATGCAACTAACTTTGTACCAATTCAATTCACTTAATAGTGCTGACAACTGTCGTCGTTCAACACTGGCTGTTATCAGTAACAGCTGTTATCTTACCCCTCGCGGCGACCGTTTATCAATTATCAAGGAGAGTGAGGCTGCTGTTTGTTCTGTCCCGCACCCTAGTGAGTTTTTATTTTCGTTCAACGCTAGAAATTCTATCACCACTCAGTCTATTGTGGGCGCGTGTGGCGTGAGGCAGCAACTAGCAAGGTCAAGCAAGGTCTTTGACGCGCGAAAAAGTAACTAAAGAAATTCTAGTTAATTAATTAATAAAAACCAGGCTATAGAAAAAAAAGTAAGATGGCACAGCTGCTCAGACAAGTAGGCCCACAAGGAAGACATCTTCTCAACAACAGCGCTCCGATCACGAGCACCACGCAACGCCGTTTGCAGCACCAGACAAACAAACGGTGAGCAACGACGATAAGAATTATGGCTTCGGGCCAGCAATAATGATAATTGAAACGTTAATTGATTGAGCAACATCATTGTACTTAAACAGAGATTACGATTTGGTTGTTGTCGGCGGCGGTATTGTGGGTACTGCATCCGCTCGTGAAATTCTGCTCCGCCATCCCACACTGAAGGTGGCCGTGCTCGAGAAGGAGCCAAAGCTGGCGGTTCACCAGAGCGGTCACAACTCCGGAGTCATACACGCAGGCATTTATTACAAGCCGGGCACATTGAAGGCTCGCCTCTGTGTGGAGGGACTGCATTTGGCTTACAAGTATTGCGACGAAAGAAATATTCCGTACAAGAAATGCGGCAAACTAATTGTAGCTACCGACGAGAAGGAGGTTAAACTGCTGGAAGATCTGCACCAGCGCGGCATTAAAAACAATGTGCCCGACCTTCGCATGATCGAGGGTGATCAGATTCAGGAAATCGAGCCATTCTGCCGCGGCGTTAAGGCCCTACACAGTCCCCACACAGGCATCGTTGACTGGGCTTTGGTTACGGAGTACTATGGTCAGGATTTTAAGCGGGCTGGCGGCGATATTTTCCTTGACTTCAAGGTAGACAAGTTCAGTGAGACAAAGGACGGAAATGCCACAGAATATCCTGTTACCATACATGGCTCCAAACTGGGCCAAACAGTACGCACCCGTAATGTGTTAACCTGTGGCGGTCTGCAGTCGGATCTGCTGGCTGAGAAAACCGGCTGTCCACGCGATCCGCGTATTGTGCCTTTCCGCGGCGAGTACCTTTTGCTGGCGCCGGAAAAGCAGCACATGGTGCGCGGCAACATCTATCCAGTGCCCGATCCGCGCTTCCCCTTCCTAGGTGTGCATTTCACGCCACGCATGGACGGCAGCATTTGGCTAGGTCCCAATGCCGTGCTAGCGCTGAAGCGTGAGGGCTACAAGTGAGTAGCAATGACCCAGAACTTCGTTCAATAATAATAATCATTTTAATTCATTAGATGGGGCGACATTAATGCATTGGAACTTTTTGATGCCTTACGCTATCCGGGTTTCATCAAAATGGCCAGCAAATACCTGGGCTTTGGCTTCAGCGAAATGTCCAAGTCTGCCTTCATAGCACTTCAAGTGAAAGCTCTGCAAAAGTACATCCCCGAAGTAACCGAGTACGATATAAGTCGTGGACCGGCAGGCGTACGCGCTCAGGCGCTCGATATGGACGGCAATCTGGTCGACGATTTTGTATTCGATCGCGGCGAGGGCAACGGTCCTTTGGCCAAGCAGGTGCTGCATTGCCGCAATGCACCCTCGCCAGGAGCCACAAGTAGTCTGGCTATTGCTAAAATGATAGCCGACAAAATCGAGGCTGAGTTCAGCATAGGACGTCGCTAACTCTTTGGAAGGCTAGCTGGGAAAGTTTTCAGTCACAATTTTACCTCAGAGCACTATTTTTCTTGATTATACTAATTCTGCATTTGTCTTTTTGTAAACATCCTAGTGCTTTTGTACTGTTTTGAAGTCTTTTATTCCACTTATCAGTTCAGGAGCAGAATATGTCCCTTTTTGCTGTGCGGTTTCTCATTGATGCCCAGTATTTTGATCTCTTTCTGCAGCTGTTGTTCCGGGTTGAAGAGTTGCTTGCATTTGTCCTCCAACGTTTTCAGTCCCCGGCTGGCATGCTCCCGCATTTTGGCATCACAATTCTCTGACGCCTCGATGTCTCGTAGCAGCCGGTAGACCGGCAAGAGCATTTCTTCAAAGTCTATAACGTTGTCCATGCCCTCAAGCAGATCAGCCAGTACGAGCACAGCGGCACGTTTAGCCGGCAAATACTTTCCCGTAGATAGTTCATCGCTAACGAGCTGCACCAGCTCCTGAAAGAAGCTGTGCACCTGATAGGCTAGCAGACGACAGAGTTGGGCCAAATTAGCGTAAGCGGACATGCGAAACTCATCCAGGGGTGAGCGTATGCCGAACATAAAACAGTTTAGCAGCACATCCTTGTATTTGTAGCAAAGCGGACCTGCAAAAAAGTGGAGTGTAGTGAGTAAGTTGAACTTAAAGAAGGCACTAAATAGCCAACCTAGCTCTTTGGCGACCTTCAGAATAGCCTCGCCCACCACCAAGCGATAGTCGAGCTCATCAACTTCCGATAGATACTCCCCGCTAAGCTTGTCAAGCACCTCAGCCTCCATCACGTGCACCAAAGCGGCAAAAAGACGCACGCAATTCAGAAAAGTGTACGACTCCTTGTTTTTTAGCGTTGTCAGGGCCAGCGCAATGATCAAATGTCCCTGCGACAAGGTATTCGCATCCTTGCTGCGCAACAGATCCAACAGCATTTGAATGCCATACACCTGGACATGCGATTCCTGCGATTCGATTAGTGCCCGTGCCTGTTCGAATGGCAAAGCACTTTGTTTGGCACCGACATCCCCCTCAGCGAAAGCGATCAAAGCCTGCACCCGCTGCTTGACCAGCCCACTCGATGTTTGAGAGCTTACAAGTTTTAAGGTTCTGCGCAGCTCACGCATTGACTCTGTCAAGTCTGTGCCACGATTTACCAACTCCTGCAGCAACGACAGCATAAGCATTATAGTATCATCCGTTTGCTCATCGATTTGGCAGCTGGCTTGGAGGAGCAACTCATTTATTAGCTGAATAAACTCCTTGCTATTCGCGGCCATCAGCGCTTTGAGAGGTTGAAATGAGATTAGAGTATTGAGCGCGATGAGCACTTCCAACTTCAGTTGGTACTTGGAATGCAAAAAAGTCACCAGTTCCGTTTCCGAAGATAACAGTTCGACACCTGACGATGACTGCTTCGAAATTTGCTGCACCAGCAAACGCAACAGGACAACGAAGACTTTGTAGGTCAGTGCATGATTGCTTCCCGACATAAGCAATGCGGGTAATATGTTATACATGTTGTAATCTGATTTATAATCAGCGTGCGCCACTTTGACGCTGAACTCCTTAAAGGAATTGCCTACAATTCGCAAGCGACTGTGCAGCCACTTAAAGTTACGCAAAGTCGTTGTGGGAGGTCCTCTGAGCAGTTCCTCGATTAGACTGGGCAGCTCTTCAGACGGCGCGCGATTATCCAAACAGCGTATAACAAGTGCAGCCAATTGTTGCTGCATAGCTGAGTCGGGCATATTATCGTAGAGTTGCAGAAGCAGAGGTAAATAGTCAACAAGCAGGGCACTGGGTAGACAGGCAACGCTGGAGCTGCAAAACAACTGCTCCCAGAGGGAAATTTGTGAACAAAGCTCAGAATTCTGCATTATAATCAAGCCGCTTAACAAATCTTCGGGTGCTGTCAAGTGCTGCCAATTGGAAGCGAGTAGCTGCTCGATTATCTGCTTATTGTTCTCATTCAGTTCATAAAGGCGCCTCAGGCTAAGCACGCCAGCACTCGGATTGGGCGTATTCCCATTTAACAGGCAGAAGCGACAGAACTCCAGTGCCTGATCAATCATTTGGCGTTGCATGTGGGTTGAGTAGCCACGACGTGCCACTATGTTGGCAATAATTTCAGCGGAACGAGTCACATCCGCATGAGGAGCTGCCTGAAGGGTGGCCACCAAACTGGCAAAGCCCTGCGGTGAACCCAATTTGTCAAGCAATTGGTGGTGCAGCTCTTTGGCAATGGTATCCGACAGCTGAGGTGTGCCTTTTAGGAGCAATACATTTCGAAAGAAGTCTACTTTTGACTCGTGCTCAGCAGTATATTCAAGAGTGGAATCCAATTGAGGGCGATAATCCGCATCACCACTAACTTTGAGGCTAATAATGGCCGCTATGAGGTCCCGAACCACAAACTCCATGCCATTGGCAATGTATAGCTGTCGAATGGGCAACAGCTTCCTAAAGAATTGCACACTTAAGAACAGCAATGGTAGGTTTGTTGTTGCAACACCTTGCGCTTCTTTGAATACAGGCGATTTGTAAAAATCCTCATGCAACTGGCATCTTAAAGCATAATAGGCCAGTTCTTGAACTGTTCGAATGATTATTCTCAGGTGTGCCACAGATATGAGATCTTCCTTGGCATCGCTATCGAAGTTAATATTTCCAATGATCAAATGTAGAATATGTAGAATGCGAACCACATAACTGGCCATAGCATCATCCGTTTTTAGTTTTATCGTCTCTACTTGAACTGGCGTTAATTGAAAAGCCGTGCCCAGTTCCTGCAATAGAACCCCAACATCCGCTTTCACGTATTTTTCCAAGACGCGTAAATTGTCAGGCAGTATAGCCGCCGTCTCTTTTGATTTGTTACTACTCTCTCTTTTTGCTACAATAAAATACCAATACATATATTTACAATATTTTGAATAGGCAAATCATTTATACTCACGCTCTACATGCTTATATTTTAATTGCTCTAGCACAGCCAAATATTTTGCCGCATTTACAATGTTCATTTTCTGTAAAGCAGCTGTTAGAAATAACTATTCGATCGCAAACTGTGTGAGAGCTCGATTTCACGATATTCTCTATTAATCGTTTCCACTACCATACATTCCCATCATACTATATGTGACTTGTAGCACTGAAATAAATACTCGTGAAAATTTTTCAGATAATGAAATATTGCTCATCTCTAATGCAAAGTTGTTCTGCGCTGCGCTCGATGAACCAATAAAAATTGGTTTAATCCAATTAAATTTGCTGCTAAAGTTGTAAATATTATTAAATTTCGGTAACAATATTATGTGCAACGTCAATAAAATGCATTAACGCCGCGAATCGGCAGAATATCGATCTGTTTTTACCCGTACCATCCAGAGGAAAATCGAACAACTTTCTTTTTTGCTATTGCTACTCTCTGTTTGTGTGTGAATGTGTGTGTGTGTGTGTGTGTGTGTGCGAGCCATGCTAATGCAAAAAAGCGCAACGTAAAATAAGAGTTGCACATACGACCAATACCAAGATAAAGTTAACGCGTTCAGGAAACCCGTACCTACAGAAAACACAACACGTACAAATTTTCACAATACAATTTAACGCAACTGTGGTACACCAATCCACAACTAACAAGCAAAAAAAACATCATCGCGCTCGCTGCTGTCGCGCAACAATATGAAGAAAATCTTTTCGAAATTTGAAAAAAATGAGAAACTGGATAACTCGCACAATCACTCCAGCTCCTCGTCCAAGGAGACCAACAGTTTCGTCGGCAAAGTTTTTACAGTTGGCCGCGTCACAGTCACCGTGGAGGATGTCTTGGCCGAAGGTGAGTCGCCCAGGCAGGCTCTTATCAACGTCACTTGATTTGCTCGCTGTTGCCGATTCGATTAAATAACTCAACGCCAAGAAGGCGCAGCTGTGCGATAAGATAAACCCGTCAAGTGCCTCCAAATGTGGGGCGTATGAATTGTGCAAACTTTTACAGAAGCAGAACTGAACAAGCAAAATAAATAGCTTAAACCACATGTGCGCTGGCCATTTAACAAAGGCACATAATTTAAGTGACATAAAATGAATCTAAATATATTTCCATACAAGTCCAGTTTGTTTTTTCTGATCACATACACTCACAAATCAATTGAATCAATTATGTTCATTTAAACAATGAAGCAGCTGAGTCAACCAATTCAACAGTAGGCTAGGCCACAGTTTTTATTTTTGTGTTTGGCCAATTGAAAGTATATAGTATATGTATGTTTAATCTGCTGTTTGGTTTCATTATAAAATATTAGTCCTCCACCTAGCATTAAAAATAAATATGTATATACATACATATGTATATGTATAATTCCCTAACCTTGAGTTTCCACAATATAAACGAATTTATATACATATGTACATTGCGCACATCATGCGCAAATCCATATATCAAAGTTCACAATACCTCTGCATAAAAGTAAAGTTAAATGCATAGGTTCATTTGTGTGTTTGTATACATAGTTATATCGATGTATAGTATGTATGTATGTACTATATATGTATGTGTTTACAAATGTCACTGTCGTTTGAAAGTGCTCGTCTTGTGTGCTCGGCAAATGCGCCGCAATCAATTGAAGTGTTTATAGACCACCACGCATTGTCTTTCTACCTACTTAGGTACGAGTATGCACAAATGCTCACAGTAGAACCGTTTTATATGGAGTTTTCAAAATGTATTTTTATTATTCATACAAACTTTGTTCAAGTTATTATGAAAGCTGGAAATCATTGCTTTCAATTAGTTTGTTGGCTATCATTTTATTTCATTAATAAATGGATAGTTAAAATTAGCTTGATAATGTCTTATGTGTCTATTTGCGATCGCGAAGATATCTGAGGTGTTTCTACTATATTTATTCGTGCATTTAGCGTGTTTTTCTTCTGCACCTTTTTTCACCTGTTTGCCAACTAAAAATCGGCGTCACGTTTCCGCATTGCAATGAGGGACGTCACAAGACGGCGATCGGCAATCGCCTTCCAATTCTAACGAACAATTAATGCACTAGACTTTTTCCCATAATTTTTCTGTACCCTGCACATTCTCCCACTACTTCAAATGGGTTTTCCCCCATTATCGAGTAATCTCTAGCTACCAAAGGATACTTTCTCTAGATCGGTAGTACATGCACGCATATTAAATTTTGTCCATTTGCGTAAATTAGCTACTGAGTAATGATTATTCCACTCCTATAAGTACAAACCCCTCCCACTATTCATTCATGTTTTTTGACATCACCGAGTAAAACATAGATGGAAAATTTCATAAATATACGATTTTTGGTTTTCGATTATATGAAGAGTAATGGTTCCACCAACCTCTTTAAAATTTATAGAATAAAATCATCATGGGTGCTCAAAGTTAGTTTGTTTAGTTGTTCCGTATGAGAAACTAAATTTTGGTTTAATAATAAAATAGCAATTGATTTAAAACCGCCGCATATATTGAACATCAATTATTTAATTAGTAGTCTTGATTTCTCAGCACGCCATTTTACATTCAGATCTCATAAAGAAGTTAGACATTTTTGAGAATACTTGTAACTTTATGGCTGGCCAGCATTTCTCCATTTCTTAGAATGCGGGATTTAAATATCTGAGGCCTTGCCACTGGAGCTGCGGACTTTGGACAGGACTACAAAGCCAGAGCTTTGATTCTCCGCATAATTTCGTAAATATTCATCAATTTAAAAGTGTGATAAAAACCAAGTACGCCCTCCAATTTACACCCATATCATTGCACAGTGGTATAGGACTCTAAAATCTCGCCTAAGAAATTCCATTTTGCATTATTCATTTTCTCCTTATATTTTTAGGAAAATCGCTTATTAATTATTGCTTACATTGTTTTTACTGAACATTAAAAGACTTAATTCATTTGTTATCATTTGTCTGATCTGGCTCCGAATTTTGTGCAATATGCATTTTTAATTTTTATGCAAAAATATAACTGCACATTTAAAAATTCGCAAAACAAAGAACTTAAACGAAATACGTAAGAATAAATGAATTGTTATTTAATGTTATTTATCGGCAAAACATGGGTATTGCATACCACTGTGCATTGTCATGTTGATTTACGTGACCTTCAATTGTTTTGCGTCGTACGGGTTTTTGTTGTTGTTTTTCTTTTTGTATCGCTTTCATTCAAAATGAGAGGTGTGCGATACATTTACTGGGGCTTGGGTTCTGGTCTCATATTCCATTTGTAACAAAATTAAATAAATTAAATTTGACAAACAGTGCTCTCTCTGCACATAGGCGTGCATTGTATGTATGTACATACATATGTATGTATATACATATGTATATATTCGTAGATATGGTGGTTTGCAACTCATTGGGAGCAGTACTTGTTATGAAATAAAAGTCGATATCTGCTAGACTGAAAACTTTGGTGAAAGTAACAGAAACGACTAAAGCAACTTTGATTTTTAGACATTTCAAAAATTAATTCTTAAAATAATACACTCTTTTATTATTATGAAATTTTTGTTTATGCATGTTAGCTAATTATTTTCCCCTCTTCAGGGAAAAGTTCACTTACTATTTTAAAAATGGAACTTTTGTTTTATATAGTAAAATAACCTCAAATTAGGAAGAAACTTGCAAGTTTGACAAGTTTCCAATAGTAGTAGGAGTGGTATTTTTTAAAATCTTTAAGCTGTAGATCTGTTTTTATGGGCTTTGGAAACGCGGCATGTTTCTACGGACTTCTTAAACAACTGCTATTTTTTTATATGCGGTGCTATGAGCATTATCCTTTGAATGAATGCTATACCAACGTGGTTTATAATAGAATGGCTTGTATTGGCATCTTTCTCATAAGTGTTCCGTACGCGAGTGATCGATGTACTCGTATGCTGCTATACAAGTATAACTCTCATTTCTCCTTCATTACTCTACAGGTGGCTTTGCTATGGTGTTCCTGGCGCGGGCCAATAGTGGGGGTGGCGCAAAATACGCATTGAAACGCATGTACGTCAATAATGAACACGATCTGAATGTGGCCAAACGGGAGATACAGATTGCCGTAAGTTGTTCTCTTCTGGGACAGACCCCAAGAACCTCTTCATCACTTTGTTATTTGTCTTTTTTTAAAGAGCAATCTGAGCGGTCATAAAAATATAATTGGATATGTGGACTCAAGCATAACGCCAACGGGTAATGGCGTCTGCGAGGTGCTTCTTCTAATGCCATACTGCAAGCATCACATGCTGGCCATGATGAATGCTAGACTTCACGTTGGCTTCAACGAGCAGGAAGTGCTGACTATCTTCTGTGATATTGCTGAGGCGGTCTCTCGCTTGCATTATTGTCAAACGCCGATCATCCATCGAGACCTTAAGGTTGAGAACATTTTACAGAACGATGCTGGTAACTTTGTGCTCTGCGATTTTGGTTCGGCGACAGCCAAAACACTCAATCCGCAGCACCATGGTATTACTGTGGTGGAGGAGGAGATACAAAAGTACACAACACTCTCATATCGGGCACCCGAAATGGTCGACCTTTATAGCGGCAAGATTATCACGACCAAGGCGGACATCTGGGCGCTGGGTTGTATGCTCTACAAGCTGTGCTTCTTCTCTCTTCCCTTTGGCGAGAGCACACTGGCCATTCAAAACGGACAATTTGCCGTGCCAGACAACTCCAAATACTCGAAAGGCATGCATCAATTGATCAAATATATGCTGGATACCGACCCGGAACGTCGGCCAAACATCTGGCAAGTATGCGAGGTGGCGTTCAGACTGGCGGGCAAGGATAATCCTGTACAGAACCTGCACGTGAGTTAATTTAAAACTTAAGTAAAACGTTTGGCTTAATTCCTTCTTGTACTTCCTTACAGAAATCTCCCATTCCGAATTTCGATCAACTGTTGGTGCCACCCTTCGAGTCTGAGGCAAAGCGTATCAACGCCGCTGCCGCCAAGGCCTCAAAGCCCCAGGTCGTTTCTATTGTTGAGGCAGGCACGAGTGTGGCGCCGCGGTCACGACCCAAAGGCTCAACATCTGTGCATGGACAGAATGCGTTGGGCTTAGGACTGCCTCCTAGTCCTTCGCCGCGCCAGAATATTACGTCGCCGCAGCCGCAACAGCAGCAACCAGTTGTCGAGCAGTTTCAGGCAAATTTTCCGGCCATGCCGCCACCACCAGAGCAGCCAGTTGTCTGCGCATCTGTTGCCGCAGCACCTGTAGAGGCCGAGGCTAATGCGGGGACAAGCAGCGCGACAAGCAACCCAGGCGCTCCACCCGAAGCGCTCAACAGTTTATTTGAATCAAGCGTGTATCCGGATCCCTTCAACGAAGCGGCATCCGCTGCAGCGCCAGCACCTTTAGAGAGTATTGAGAAGCCAACAACTACGACTACTGGTCCCCCATTAGCCACTGAACTGAGCGCACCCAAAAATTGTACACCCATAAAGCATATGTTGACGCCGCCGAAGTCCAGTGCCGCTGGCGGTCATCGGCGTAATGTGAGCGACACCTCAGCCTTTAATAAGTAAGTGGGAGCATAGCTATTTAGTCGAGCATTGTGTCGATATCTATGTATGTATGTGTCTGCTTTTCTTTCGCTCTTTCTTCCTCTTTCTGTGTCATCTCGAAAAGAACTAAAACTAACAATGACTCGGCCTCGGCCGACGACGATCCACAGAGTCAATAATAATCTTTAGCCTTAACCTCACGCTCCTCACGTTCCGCACTTCTTTCCAAGTGTCGATGTTTTTATCGTTCTTACGCAATTGATCTCATTGTTTATGCTTTTCTACTCTCTCTTCTACACCCCATGACCCCATACTCTGCCATTGCACCACACAATGCGTATTATGCATAAAAATATGCCATCTATAGAACCTTTGCCAATGAGACCAGTCAGTTCTTGGCGCCCTTCAACAATAACATCGCCGTTGGGGAGGGTCTCGCAAACGCCGCCCTAGCTACAGCCTCCAATCCTGGCATCTATCCAGCGGCCACATCGCTCTCTACCAGCGAGTTTTCACGCCAAGGCGATGGGAAACGCGTCCACGCCTGGAACCCATTCGAAGAGCAACCATTCGGTCAAATGACAGAGGATCACATATTCGAGGCCGAGTTCGATAAGATTCGCCAGCGTGGAAGCCAAGGCAGTGAGTATCCTTACCTAATGCTTCCCAATAATTTAAATGTTTTAACAGAGTATTTCTTTAGAAACCCTAACGATCACATACCTATTATACTTTTTCAAAAACATGTTCTTTACCGCGACTTTGAAATACTCTGTACCTATGTGCAGAATAATTATGTATATAAATGTTCAATAAATTAACAATAAACAAAATTGACCTAAAAGAAATTCCCACTAAAATAGTATACCACTTTAATCTTTAGTATTGGGTATAAAAAGAACGTTCAAAGATACCCTACTAGTCTTGAAAAGATTTATACTTATTATTTGCTTTTTACGTTAGCTATTTTTGCTTTGACAGCAATTGCTTAGCGATCTTTGAATCAATTTTAAAAACAGGATGGTTTAATATCAGGGCTTCAAAATAAAGATAATAACTATGTATGAACTATATTACTTAACATTCGCAGGTATTACGGCCAAGTCCGCCTCCACAACGTCCACGCAAACGCCTACAGAGCAAAATGCAGCAAACTCAGCTCCAACTCCAGCAGCTGCCACCTCTGCTGTTGGGGCCGCTGCAGCGGCGCCTGTGGTACCAACAGCCACCACGACCCCACAGCCAGTTGTCACGTCTTCGCAACCACTTCCCGAGGATCCATTTGGCTCGGCGCCATTCAGTTTGCCGCCCGGCTTGCGTGAAAAGGCCAGTTCTCTGCGCAAAACTGGAGGTAAAGCATAAAATATTCTTAATAACTCTAATATAAGAGTTAAAAGCAGCAACAAAATAGAAGTAGTTTCTAGATTGCTTTCCGATCGCTGTTAAGCTACCCCGTCAACCTAGCAACTGAAATCTGTATGAGCAGTAGACGTATGTAGTCTAAGCATTGAGAGAAAAGAGCTATTTTCCCAAAAAGCAAAAAGAACAACAATCGATATGTGAATGTTCCAGCTACCTTGCCCTCCAGAGAGTCGTTGAATAATCATTGCTGTTGTAATTCCTTGATGGATGATCCAATTTTTAGCCTAATTGCGTTCTGTAGTCAGTAGTAGATCGAAATATCTAGCTATCAGGCCGGTTTCCATTTCTGAATTCAATTAAATGATGCCAAATCGAAATTGGTGGATTTTTTGGAACACGAAACAATGTGTGAAAAAATCGGTCTCAAAACCGATTATTAGGAAGCAAAGAAATTTTAGAACCAAAATTCTAATTGATATTGGGAATTGAGAAATGTTTTCCAATTTCGATTTTGAATATTCAAGAGAATTCTGAAATCGGAACAGGCATCTATATCTACTGCATTGTTTAACTTTTTTCACGCGGTAACTCTACGTATTATTTTGTATATACATACACATATATACACACAAATACATTTACGGATATGTATATGATGTTATGTTCAACCGATAAAACTGTATATACATATTACACATGTTATGTAAGCACAAACACTAACACTTGGGACTTGGAGGATTCATAAAGGGCGATAGAAAGATTTAGATTTCAAGAAACATCAATAATATCAAACAAAGCTTATAAAAAGTTTGTAATTCAATTCTATGATTATTAAATAGTTAATTTCTTTATAGTTACTCAAGTTGAAATTCAAGATTAAATTAAATAAAAAAGTTCTACCGTGCAAAAAATCAAATTTAAAAAAATCACCCTTTGTCAATCCTATTAAATAATTGGAGTTAAGTTGGGTACACAGCTCAAAAATTAGGCGTTGAAACATAGATCTTGACAAAGAAAATAATATTAAAATAATATTTAACATCAAAACTATCGATAGTGAACGCATGCGGTGCTTTCGACCGGATACTATCGATTCTTATAGCGACAGTTTAAAATTGTACAAATTTATTGTAACTAAACAATGACGGTCTTTTGTTTAATAATAACTTGAAAATATTATACGAGACAATGATTTTAGTTAATAAACTCATTATGATTTCCTTTTTTAAGGCATTTATTTTTCTAAACTCTTCAATTTGCTTTAAATCGAACAAATTCCCAAACAGCACTTATATATTTTGGTTGCATTCTCATTGAGCTGCGTGCCCAGCTTAGTTAATAAAAAAGTAAAGCTGTCAACAACTGCATAAGTCTAAGCTAACCCACTAAACTAAGCTTCACCTCTATTTTAGAGCCTTTGCTCAAGTTGTTCAATGTGTAAGCGGAAATAAATTCACTTTTAACACAAACAATGCCTGGTGCTGGTGTATTACACTAATTAGTAACATACTCTATTATAAACTATAGCCCTAAATATATAAATGTATGTATATGTATGTAAACAAGTATTGGCATTGGTGGTTGGTCGACTAGAGTACCATTAATATATTTAAACTAAAAATTGTAGTTATTTTTGTGTGCTAATTTATAATTGCAATAGCTATCAATATGTAAAAATGTAAAATGGCAAAGATGTTGGAGAGTGAAATAATTGTGCCTAGCATTATAGGGCGACACATTACTTGGCAATATATGACAGCATATCATTTATAAATCAACTAAAACGCTAGCATTAAATGTTGAAAGTTGTGCAATACAATAAGTATATGTGTATATATGTATGATGATGCTAAAAAGATTTGAACAGAGAAGGTAAATAGATTGTACAAACGCGCTAAGATCAGAGACTATTTAAATAACAACAGCAAATTATATCTAATATTTTGTATTACTAATTTCTTTTACATATTCGCGCAGCAATTTTTCAAAGTTTTCGTCAAAACGCCGATGAAGCAATGCGCACTGCGCGCCAATCAGCACAAGCAATTCGATTGAACAAATAGAAGCTCATATACATATATGGCTTAGAAATATGTACATACTCCTATAAAATTCTGTAAACATTCATTTAATATCTTGACAATATGTGAACAAACAAACACACACCCAAAAGTGCATAACAAGCAACCCATTATTCCAGAATTAGGACTCGAATATACAAGTACGAGTAAGTGAAGAGTTAGTCCAAAACCGAATCGCAATCGAGGTCCGCAAACACCTTGAGCGTTAATCCAAAGAGCTACACCTAGTATAAAATCTAGCCACCCAAAGTCAGGAAACAAACACATACATGAATATTACACATACCAGAAAGATATATATCATGTGGAATCAAATGTTCCAGAATGTTAGCTTAAGCGCATGAAATATCCAAATATATAGATATACAAATAATAATGAAACGCAATAAATTATACAATTATATTTTAAAACCATTCAACAAAAGTGCCCACAAATTTAATTGATAAGTATTTTTTGAACAGCGAGTTACAAACCAAACCAACTTTCCTAAATGCAATGCGTACAAACCTTTTAAAAATAACCCTTGCAACAAAGTCTAAGGTTTATAATGCATATAAGGAGTGTTCAGATTACTACAACTTGAAAATAAAACATGCAAGAAGATCTCAACAATTCAAAACAAAATACTTGCCCTGCCACTGAAGAAGAGCCTCAAAGATTTTGTACCACAAAGTGTTCCACTAAACAAAACTGTTATAGCTACTAATTAATCGAATACATATGTACATACATACATAGATATACATACATACATGCATATACATACTGACAGCATTATTACATTTGGTTATTTCACGTTTAACTCAAGCATATCATAATATCATTAATTCCCAGCAACTAACGATGGTTAACAACTTGTACATAACTTAAATGGAGGATGATATAGGGAGTACTAGAAAGGCCTAAGTGTGGCAGACGCCGTGTCATAGTTAATAATATGATTAGCTGACGAGAAGAATCGACTGTCCACCAATAGCTTTTGAACATTAACAGCTAGGGGAACCACACTTGACGTGAAGACTTGTCTTATCCAAACGCAGAGCATGCTTATTACAAACAATGTAAAGCCCTGTTATTTTTGGACCGATTGGAGCAAACATCGCACTTTTTATAGAATAGCTTTTTATACCCTGTACCCAAAGGGTGAACTAGGCAACTAGTTAAGAGTATACGTTTTAAGATAGTGGATTTCATTTAACAAACAACTACATACAAGTATGTGCAAAAGTTATAAATGTTCTTAATCACATCTAATCGAACCATTATCTCTTGTCTCTTATATCATACCTGCTTTACCCACACAATCATATGTATATGCATTTGTATCTGTGTCTGTTTAGCGATTCTAACAAAGCATCTTTAGTTAAACGCTGCAGCTAATCCCTCTGTCCTCATTACCTTACTGCATAAAATTACTTAATCTCGTTCGCAGCTAAATTTATCGGCATCGGATCGAGTTGCTCCTCCATTAGCGTCGGTGGCAGTCAATGCTCCGCCACGAGCGCTGGTGGCGCTGTCTCATCCACCTCGTCGAAGTGGTTGCTCTCGCCCACACTGGAAGTGTCCAGCGAAGAGAAGACCTCACTAATTAGCAAACTTAAGACAGACTCTGAGGGTGGTGGTGGCATTGGGGTTACAGAAGGCGCAACTGGATTTGTGAAACTGCCTTTGGAGGATCGCAATAAATACGAAAAGTTGCGCAGCAACGACCAACCAACCTCAGATGACTCCGACTCGGAGTTCTTTCAGGAGGACGACGGCAATAACACCAAAAAGGCGGCCATCTTTAAGCAGATCGTGACCAGCAACATTCCCGAAACCATCCACAAGATCCATCAGGTGGCCTATCACAAGGTGGACAAGTCCCATCTGCCCATTGTGAAGAAGCTGCGTCAGACAGCGACCACAAAGCGACCAACAACGGCTGCCCAGCAGGTGGCACAGCAACTAAACGCGCAGCTGGAGCAGCACGAGCAACAACAACAGCAAGCAGCAGCTGTGGCCGCTGCTGTGGCGGCTCAGGCACAGGCCCTTGCTGAGTCCGACGGTGATGCGGACTCTATAGGCTCGGCGAGTGATTTGCGCGCCGAGGACGATGACTTTTTTGACGAGAATCCGCGCGCTGTGCAATCCAAGCTGCGACGTCCTTTGCCTACGGAGATGGATGGCATCAGCGAGAGCGTTAAGACCTGTAATTCCTCAGCGTATCACGCGGAATGCGAAAGCGTTACAACCCACGAGGACGATGTGCGCAGCCGTGTGGTGGTAAAGGTACGCATGCGCAAGAAGGATCGCACCGCTGCTTTGGCAACAGCAGCAGCAGCGGCAGGTGGCGATGTAAGTGGTGGTGGCGGCGTTACTATGAAGGATGAAAGCGATCTGAGTCCCAACTCCATTGATCTGCTACACAAATTTGGCGACAAACCGCTGCTTCTGGACGACGAGCTGGACTATACTTCCGCGGAATCATCCGATAACAACAAAGAACGCAGCAGCAATGAGTCCGCGCACTCCCCAACACCACCTAATCCGAAGGTTCTGCCTGGTGAACCCGAGGAGTTGGATGTATTCGCCATGGCCCCCTTCAAATTACCCGCCAGCATGCCACCCAAGCGTAAGGCTAAGTCCAAGCCACCAGTTGCCAGCAGCACGCCAAATTCTAGCGCCGAAATCTGGACTTCGACGCCGGTAAAAAGTAGCGAAAAAGTCCTTTCCAGCTTTCCAGCGCATTTAACGCCGACTCCACCGCCATTAGCAGCCGCACCACAGCTGGATGAGTTCAATGAGCCGGTCTTCAATCCCTTCATACAAACGCCACAGGCCAGCGAATCCAATTTTGGTGTGGTTACGGTGGTTAGTAGCGCCCAAGTGTCTCCCAGGATCACCTCTTACGAGAAGTCCAGTCAGCGCGATTTGTTTGGCTCCGAGCCATTTCCGCAGGTAATAAGTAAATGTGTTGTCGTAACGCCTGAAACATCCAGCAAGCAACCACCTTATCCCAGCAACAACAACAACAATATCAAGCTACCAGCTTCCAACTTCAACTCCACGCAACTTGTCACCATAAATCATTCGATTATAATCAATAAAACGCCCGATCCAAAGCCAAGTCAACCTCCTCAGAGCGCCTCCTCAACCGTTTATGTCAATACGCCCGCATCCAAGGTGCCCCTTTATGCTCCAACCGCCCCATCGTCCGTGCTGCCTAGCAGCTCAGTGGTGCAGCAGCTGAAGGTCTTGCCACAGTCCATGCAACCTATGCTCCCCATTGCCGATAATGAATTCGTACAAATCTCTCAAGATCGCTGCTCGGACTTCACGCCCGACGACGAGGAGGAGCCCGTGGTGTTGCGTGGTGCCGACCTGGTTGCAGAACCACTCGACGCTGGCGATAGTGCACCGCCGAAGATCAGCGACAGCTCCAAGCCGAAGAAGGAAAAGTCCCATCTGGCTGTAAGGGCGCTGCCCGCCAAGCTGACGCAAAAGGTAAAGAGTCACTCTACCTATAAGAAAGTAACCGCTGCTGGCTTGGGCTCCACATCCTCCCTAAGCTCGGGCAGCAAACAGAAACATCAGCGCCTGCAATATAAGTCGCAGGATGATGACGAGGACTTCGAGAATAAAACCAGTTCGACAGCCACGCCTGGAAGTTCCAGCTGCTGTCGCAATTTTCAGTCCAACACCATTCAGAACTCGGCAAAGACGGGTTTCAGCAACATGAGCTTTGAGGACTTTCCCTCGGATCAGGAAATGGATCGCCTCTCCAAAACCATACCCTTCGAGGTGGTGCGCAACGAGAAAATGTTGCTCGAGGCTGAGAAGAAGTTTGGCTCCCTGAAACGACGCAATAATCTCTTCTCCTAGAACCTAAACAATCAGTCACACCATATAGCGATATACTATAAGTATACATATGTTTGTTTTGGCAACAGCAAATACTGAAAGAACAAATACTTAGAAGACTGGCATTGTCTGCGAACCATTCCGCTTCTTGTGTTTCAGATCAAGGAAAACGCTACACTAAATACTTCCATACGCGTATTATATGGTATATATGTATATGCAGCCTAGTTTATTGTAGAAACATAAATTATTCACCCATTGAAAGAAATTTGGAGAAAGAAACCTCTCATTTTAATTGAACTTACTTGTATTCAATTTGAAAGTGCGGGAGCTAATCTGCAATTTCCAGATTAAATATGGGTTGCTATTTTATAAAGAACTACATATTATTATTTTTATTAGTTGTAAAAAAATAATAATTTGCGGTTTTTTATAAAAATCAGATAAATAATAGGGGTATTTATTATAAAAGAATGCAATTGCAATCTTAGGGTTTTTCATTGTCATACTTTGTGGAATCTCATATTTAATTTAACTATACAAGTATATATATATTGCGGCAGCATTGCGCGTATATTTCGATTTCTTTTTCACTTCAAAAACTAAAACTTTGCCAACATATTTCTGTTTTCTCTGATTTGGTCTCAAAGACTTTAATCATAAGTAGGGAATATTATATAAATATTACTATCCTTAAATTTGGCATAAACGTGGCGCAGTCTAAACAATATTACAGGACGTCCGAGTATGTATAAATATACATATATTTATTTACATAGGTGGGGTAAATTATTGATAGAATTATTCTGAATCAGCGGTCAAACAATTGACGAATAATTTGCACACAACTTTGCTGAATTTTACAACTAAGTTTTTAATAGTAGATGTTTCTGTAGCAAAAAACTTTTAGTATAAATAAAATATTTCTCTTGGAATTAAAGAAAGGAACATCATATTTGAGACGTATTTGTTAAATTTGTGAAACTTGTGTGCAAAATATTTTCTTGTCTGTATTTTTACAAATATTCGTATTCCTAAAAAGATGTAAATTCTATATCTATATAAAGACGATATACCCTAAACTATGTCGGTAATTTGTTTGAGGCCTAACTGGACACGAGAAAGAAGTTTTTCAATTATTTAAAGAACCAACTTTCCTTTCAAAGCCAAACCGTTGGTTGCTTAATTAAAAAGATTTAGCATTTAGCTAACTGAACCTTTTTCTATAACCATATTAACCATATTGTACATAGAATTTGGAGAATTTTGCGTTGCTGCGTTATCCAAAGAATGTTAGTCAGGCGACCTAATAACCAACTTTGCTTTGCAATTAATTACATTACTGCAAACAAAATATAATTATAGAATTTAAGCTTACCAAAGTTACACCTATCTGTTTATCGTTTTTTCCATTTATCTTTTTCTAGAAATATTATTTATTATATATACAAATATACATATGTGATTGTAAAACCCTATTTAATAGTGCATATATATAAACAGAAACTACACCTGTACGGGCCTTTAAATTGGTCAACCTATGTTATGATCAATAAATACAAATATTTAAAAAAAAAAAACATTTATTATTGAATTTTTAATAATTAAGCAGTCAACTTTAAACAATGAACTCCATTTGGCATCCACAAAAATGGCTAGAAATATGTGTATATAAAAATACGTTTTAAAAAAATTAATTCAGATGGTCAGCAACGCTCGACTTGATGGCCACTTCTGAGAACTTCGTTACAATGTTTTTAGTTACGTTTCTAAACCATATCTATTGCCAAATAATGTAATATTTAGATTTAGCTGCACTGAACGAACTTCCAACTGAACTTTGCCATCCAATTTAAGGTACGTTTATGCGAATTTTTTCACATTCTTTACGTTAATTGATCATTTCTCGAGGACTTCAAATCTTAGCAAATTCTATACACACTCTTAAGGATTATTGATAAACTCTGTGAATTTGATAGGCTTTTTAATTGATAAACTCTCGAGGTGGCGGAGAAAATGGCAAATTGCCCGGCATGAATTGCTCAGCTTTGAAAGCCTCAATTTCCGCGGCGCTTAAGTTTTCCAACAAACTGTAGCAGGAGGCACTATCTCTAGGCTGTTGCTGAATGGCTGCCGACTCTTGCATCGGTTGCTGCGCTTGGATCTGATGTTGGGGCTGTTGTTGGGTCGCCTGACTAAAAAACGCGGAAGGCGGCGGTACTGCTGAAGTTTGTTGAAAGATGTTGCCGCTATTGGGCACAATAATAGCCGCTGGTGGTTGGCCAAACATGCCACCAACCGATTGTTGTTGTTGTGGCTGCTGCTGTTGAAAGCCACCAACAAAACTTGATTGTGGCTGCGGTTGTCCAAAGGTACTGACTATTTTGGGCTGCGCTGCTTGAGCGAATATGTTGCTGCTCTGAAATGGTGTCGCTGTTGGCTGTTGTTGGCCAAAGACACTTTGTGGCGGCTGTTGCTGTTGGGGCTGGGGCTGTGACTGCTGCTGTGCAAATAACGATGGTTGGGTCTGGGGCTGTTGTGCAAAAATCGACGTTTGTTGTTGTTGGGCGAATACATTACCACCACCACCGCCGCCGCCAAATATGCTAGCGGCAGGGTTGGCAGCCGTTGAGGCAGCGCCAAAAATATTTGAGCCCTGCTGCTGCCCCAATGTAGGTTGCTGTGAACTGAACGCACTGCCGGCTCCGCCACCTCCAAAAATGCTGCCCGTATTGGCAGTAGGTTTGTTAAAAATTGAATTTGTTGCCGCTGCATTTCCAGTGCCAAAGCCAAAGGGATTGTTGTTGTTGTTGTTTACGGGCGGCTTTACAGTGTCTATAATAGGAGTGTCATACACCTTTATGACCACTTCCAGTATTTGTGGAGTGACATGCAAAAGAGCTTTCATTTTGTTTGTCGCCTCCATTACTTCCTTGTTAAATTGCTGATGAAATTGCTCGAAATTCTGACCCTTGGACTGATAGCAAAGCCAGCGCACCTGCAAATTTGTTATATAAAAACTGTATAAAAATATGCATATTTAATAACTACCTCCTCGACTGACTGGTCCTCTATGAAGTTTGGTAAGCTTGGCTTGTCCTTGAACGGTCCGTAGCAAGAAAAAGGCCACATTTTACCATTGATGGAGGACTCAACATCAGTTTTTAGAATTTGCCTGCAATAAAGAGAAAGTTTGGTTAATTGACGCGAATAAAGATTAAGAATGATTGGTGGATTTAGGGATCAGGGCAGTGGTGTTTTTTAAATCTTAAAATTAAGTAATTAATGTGGTTTGGCAGCACAATACTTACTTAAGATCAAAGTGCTCATTGTTACACTTGGTGCCAAAGCGGCAAGAGCCCTGTTGAAAATAACGACAAAGCACCATTTTTGGAATAAATATAAATGTCCAGAATCGAAAACCAATGACTATGTGTTCTGTTCTCTAAATGTATTTTGTTTACGTTCTACATTCTACTTTTAAAGCATTGTTTCGCCAGAGTGGCCATGTACTTTTTACAAAGTAGATACCAGCGAGTTTTTTTTTTGGTATTTACAAGCATTTATAGCGCCGCTCCGTAACAATTCCGATTACATGATGGGATTCGAGTTTTCATCGATGTGTTGGGAGAATAATAATAGCTTATTTTCAAATCTGTATAGACCCACCATTCCCCAGTCTCAAATCTAAAACTAATTTGTTCCTTGCAAAATAATTTAATTGCTTCATTTACTCTTAGTTTATATTATTGTATGCGATGATGTGTACGCGCTGTTTTGCAAAGTGCGCTGACGATAACTGCTTTAGCGATGAACGGCTAAAAATGGGAATTATATCGATGAGTTGAGTGGATAATAACAGCTTATCCGGCAAATTCAAATTGGCCACCCTTTGCTTTTGTGCCTATATGTGTATGAAAAGCTTTAATTGCATTGCGCAGACCTACATTTGAAAAACATCTGTTCTGTTCCTAATAATTTAAATTCTTCAAACACTTAGTGGGTGCAAAAGTTTTAGCTACTTCTTTTTTCTTGTAAATATATTTGGTTTAATTAATGTTGTAAACATAATTTGTATACACAAAAGCTGTGGCAGATTTTGGCCTAACCACCTGTAGCGATGGTGGCAAAGCCAACGACAATTGCAAACAGCTGATGTGCATACAGATGTAATACAATTTATGCAGAGAACAACACTATCTGAAAAAAGTTCAAAGGTATTCCAGTTCTCAGCTGTTAATTTACATTTATCGGACGTAAAAATATAAACAAAAGTTAACAAAGAAATTCGATATATGACATATATACATAAATAAGAAAAGAGCAGTTGCCCGATGACCATTGGTGATTAATGGTGTTATTGTCACGTAGGCACGTCTGAAAAACAGCACAAAGGCATTTACAATGAGCTTCGAAGATCAGAGACAGGCCAAACGACTACGAGGGGTGCTACTAAAATGTGGCGGCTTTTCCAGCCAGTTGGCAAACAATGTCAGTGAAAAGGTGGACGGCGATCCTTTGTGGGGCTCTCGATTCGATTGGACCCATCCGTCGGCGGTGGTTCAAACCCATCTAGACTTTCTGCTCTGTATGTATGGGAAATTGGAGTAACAGTTAAGGATATTCCTATTCTTTTAATTTACTAGGTGGAGCCGATATTATATTGAGTAACACGTACCAGTCCAGCGTAGATGGCTTTATCAAGTACCTGGGGCTGACTCGTGAGCAGAGCATCGATTTGATGGCCAAAAGTGTGCATCTGGCGCAGCAGGCCAGGGAGCTGTACATGGAGCAGCTGGCGCCGGGTTGTGGACACCTTGAGCCAGGTCTGCCATTAGTATTGGCATCTATTGGACCCTATGGTGCGCACCTACACGACGGATCCGAATATAGTGGCGGATATGCAGACAAAGTGACCAAAGAGCAGCTGCAAAAATGGCACAGCACACGCATTGATACGTGCCTTAAACAGGCAGGAGCTGATGGACTTGCTGTGGAGACTATACCTTGTCAGATAGAAGCTGAGGCCGTCACAGATCTCATACTGCGTGAACACAAGGGCGTCAAATTCTGGGTGTCGTTTCAGTGCAAGGTGAGTGCTTAAGGTTGCGACATCTCTTCTTCATTAAACTTTTCCAATATAGGATGAAGTGAGCCTTGCCCATGGTGAATCTTTTGCACAGGCAGCTCTCTCTATTTGGCGTATTGTCCAATCGCATAACGCCCAGTCTTGCTTACTGGGAATCGGCGTCAACTGTGTAAATCCTTCCTTTGTAAGCCCACTATTCATATCCCTTAATGCCGCAGCCGGCGAAGAGCGCATTCCTCTGATCGTTTACAGCAATAGGGGCGAGACCTATGACAGCGACAAGGGCGAATGGATTGCCGGTGAGGACCTAAAACCTCTGGTCGACTATGTGCCCGAGTGGTGCAGTCTAGGTGCCTGCATTATAGGAGGCTGCTGCCGCGTCTACCCGGCCGATATTCTACAAATGCGCCAATGCATTGATAACATTGGCAATAACAACTAAATGACGCGACGCCGATGCTAACGTTGACAGTGACACTGACGTCGGCGTTGTTCATTGATAGATGATATACATATGTATGTATATGTATATTCTATATTTAGTTAAATAAATAGTTCTATACCTTGACCCATATACATATACATAAGTTCTCTCAATAAACATAAATATGCCCTTTGTTATAATTCTATTTGTAAACAGAACAGAACATTAAGATAAGAAATAACTTAATATTAATAATGGGAACCGGCCTTGATTCTATATTAATCCATATTATATTGTTATAAGCTGTTAATTTTGATTTAAAATCCAACTAAATGTTTTGTTATATTTGTTTTGGCATTCAAAACGAAAAAGATACAATTGATATTATTTTAAAAATGTTAATGAACTGCTATAATAATTATAATAATTCGAACCAAAGTCAATAAAAGTCACTCTGTTACATTGCTGTAGACTATTTGCTTGTATACGCTGTAACACGAGCTCTCTGTTACTTTGTTTGTAGACTCTGTAATACGAACACTCTGTTACTCAAGAGTTTAATTTTAGTTGAATTGTTTTTGGGTATTCCCCGTTATATTCTGTACTTATGTGATGCAATTTTTCAGTTCTTGGTAGGCAAAGAAGAAGGAGTGCTACATCACCAAGTATATTTATTCTTTATCAGCATAACCAAACAAGTCGTTCTACATATTCATTCTCTTGTGGCGCCCAAAATATGTACATACATATGTATAATGATTACAAATAATTAAAATTGTTAAATAATATTATAATCTTCAGCTTGAATTGAAAAAACGGAAGCCATTGTCCGACACACTTGCCAAATTTCAAGGCAAATGTTTAAATAAACTTGGAAAAATGGCGCAGTCGGTAAACAGGTTTGGCTGAGATGTCCCCCGAAAGGTTATCGCGGCAACGTTGTTAGCTCGGCTTATACACCAGCCGGCGGACCAGCTGTATGATTGAACGTGAACTATTTCATCATTCCGCTTGCCCTCTCGACAATCCACCATCCCCAGCACCATCTGCGAGTCGTCGTGTTTTGTTACAGGCCGACGACTTGCGTCGTTGCCGTTGTTATTGTTTGACAGCTGTGGAAGCCGAAGTCGCTCGCTTGTCCCCTCCTTATCGGAAAATAGTTCACTGGGCTCGTTCATCAAAACGTCTCGTCTCGTCCCGTCCATCCATTCGTCTAGCTGGCTGGCCACCAGTGGATTTGTTTTTGTCGGAGATGATAAGCAAAGCTGCTATAAAAGCCTACAAATGGCATAAAAACATTTAAACGCTCGACGGGAGTAGAGCAGCAATCAAAGTGTCGCGAACGCCTTAAACACACAAAGCACAGTAATATAAAGCGATCCTTTATATACTAAGGGGATTCTCATTTTAATTAGTTAACAAAATACCAATAATAAATAAGTTCTCAAGGTGAGTTTGCACCCAAACAGGGGAACATCAGAACCCAACTAAGAAAAACCGTTTGCTTAGCATTTATTTTCAAGTCTACCGATTTGACTCTCTCTGCTTGTGGTTTCAATATAAAAAATTATATTTAAAACATATAATTGATAATAAATAACACAGAACTAAACTATAATGCTTTTTGTATAAGCGATTGCCCCTACATGAAATATTGGAGCTTAATCGGACTGTAATAGAGTAGCAGATATTGATGGGCTTTAATTTTAATTGTTCAAGATCATCCAATTTAAATTTTACATTTTTCAGGCTAATTTTTTCTAAAGACTTATACGGAATGTCTTTTTATTGTGTCGATCTCTTCAATTTACTTAGTTTTTTCAAACGTTGAAGTTTATTTGGATGCTAGCCATGCATTTTTTAGCAAAATATAGTTTTGAGCTTAAATTTTTTATTACTGATGTCTAAAAAATTAAAATTTTACTTTGTATTGCTATTATTTTTGCTTATATTTTTGGCCAGAACATTTAATTTTGTATAATCTCCACTTGTTATTGCAATAACTTTAATGTTGTTACATAATTGTCGGAGTCGATAGGGTCAAGAAATACAAACTCGTTCTTTCTGCATTTAAACAACAATGTATGGAATTAATCAAAGCAAATATTTGTGCAAATAAATTGATTTATTTGTTGCTCTATCAACCAACCAGATGTCAAGGCTCACATTCATAGCAAAAGCAAAAAAAAAAAAACAAACAAAAAAATAAACAAAACAAAAGCGTTAGCCGCTGATAATGGCTTGTATGTGTTTAATCTGTAATATACATATTATTATTACAGCGCTCTCAATTGGCGATCGTGTTATCTGTGAACGTATGTCCCCTCCCCTCTCCTCTCCTCTCCAAATACGTGCGTTATAAATAAAGATGGCAGCAATGGACATTTTGGTGAAAGATGGCGGATTTGGCACACAAATGTCCGTCCATGTGGGTGACGCAGTGGATGGCGATCCGCTGTGGAGTGCGCGTTTCAATTCCACAAATCCGGCAGCTGTGGTGGCCACACATCTGGACTTTCTGCAGAGTAAGTGCGGCGTAGCAACAATGACAAAATGGAATATAAATAATTTATTTGAACAGACGGTGCGGACATCATATTGACAAACACTTATCAGACAAGTGTCGAAGGTTATATGGAGTATTTGGAGCTGGACGAAGAGGAGAGCATTGAGCTGATAAAGAAGACTGTGCGTTTGGCTCATGTTGCCATGGACAAATACAAGGCTGAATACTATCAGTCGCATCAGAAGATACCCGAGAATAAGTTTATAATTGCCTCCATTGGACCCTTTGGAGCACACCTGCACGACGGCTCTGAGTACACAGGCGACTATGCCGATTACGTGCCGGCGAAAACGATAACAGATTGGCACCGAGTAAGGATCGAGGCGTGCCTGGAGGAAGGAGTTGATGGCTTGGCTATTGAAACAATACCCTGTCAAATGGAGGCCGAAGCTTTGGTCGAAATGCTCTGCGACGACTACCCGGATGTCAAGTTTTGGGTAACCTTCCAGTGCAAGGTAGGTTCTATTGGTCCAGCAACCTTATTTGTGTGTGTGTGTGTGAGTTAGTTACCATAACATCCCTTTTCGCAGGACGAGAAAACATTGGCACATGGCGAGTACTTTTCGGATGCTGCTAACAGCATTTGGGAATTATTGCGGGAGCGTAATGCTCTTGACAGGTGCCTAGCCCTCGGCGTTAACTGTGTACATCCACAACATGTGACGCCATTGTTCAAGAGCCTTAATGGTGAACGCAGTGCCAAGGAAAAAATCCCCCTGGTCGTCTATCCCAACAGCGGGGAAGTGTATAACGTTGTTGACGGGTGGCATGGTCGTGAACACTGTGTCCCACTGGAAAACTTTGTACCCGAGTGGGCACAATTGGGTGCAAAAATTATTGGTGGCTGCTGTCGCACCTATGCCCGGGACATAAGGCATATCAGCGAAGCGATACATGCAATCAACAAGCTGAGAAAAGGTGCCTGACTAAACATTTTAAATTGAGCTTCTGATCTCAGACGCAAAAGGGCCATATTATTAAGTTACTCAATTCAAGTATATGTATGTAGGTTCACTAGTTTTTTAAAATAAAAAGAAGATAAAATGAAAACTGAATAACGTCAACTTAATTCTTGTTCATTGTTGCAATATCTGTGGTGTTCTGGGAAAATGTTGGAAACATTGGTTCGTCGGAAGTTAAATTTTTACGGACAGATGGAAACTGTCATTCTCATAAAGAATTTAATAATATTCACATCCTTGGGTCATATGTGAACAATAAGCAGCGATGCAAAAACAAAAATATGATTGTCCAAGAAGTACTATTTTTCAAAAAATAAACGAATACTTAGAATGCAATTTACGTTTAGAGGTAGCGACGATGTAAGCTATATAGCCTAACTTAAACTAAATTATTTTGTCCTAAGCCGGTGTGGATTTTGAAAATTAGAGAAATGAAAAGTTGCATTGAATTTTACGTTTCACTTTGAACAGAAATTTTGTACAGCACTATCCAAGCGCTCCGAAACAATTCATTCTGTTTTAGCAGCCCTTTAAATTAACATTTGGCAATAACATTTGAATGGCAATTAAGAAGAAGAAGCTTTTGACAAAGGCGGGCTGACAAATTCGGTGTGTTTAGCAAACATATAATACGGTCACGCTGTTAATCCGCAAAGAGCAAAAATTGCAAATTTAATAAGTTTAAAACAAAAGTTCATTGTAAATAGTCCTTGAAACGCGTTAGCAATATAACCGTGAAAAATGTTGATCAAAGTAAAGGTAATATTTCACATTCTTTTTTAATTTCGATGGACGCGATGCGTCAGCGTTTGCAGCACACGTCTGGAGCGAACACCAGCAAAGCGTCGTATTGCTATATTGCCATTTCATCATTACAGACCCTGACCGGCAAGGAAATAGAAATCGACATTGAACCCACAGATAAAGTGGACCGCATAAAGGAGCGCGTCGAAGAGAAGGAGGGAATACCACCTCAGCAGCAACGTTTGATCTTCTCCGGCAAGCAAATGTAAGTCAATTGCAAATTAATCAAAAGTGATTCTAACGCCAATTGTCATTATTTAAATTCTGCAGGAACGACGACAAAACTGCCGCTGACTACAAAGTTCAAGGCGGCTCGGTGTTGCATTTGGTTTTGGCCTTGCGCGGAGGAATGCTTTAAGCTAGGAGGAGTCGACGCTCCAAAATTACTATGTAGTTAATTGGTAATCAATTAAGATATGGATGCCCAGCAGGGCTCAACACACATTTTTTACCGAATTTGCCAGCCCCTCAAATTAAATTATCAGCGGCATTTGTACAAAAATACACAAGTTTATTGAGTTAGTAAAATCAATCAAGCAAAGTGACGATCATCTTGCATCTTTTCCGCCCACATATCGTCCAATTAACAAATGATTTTTTGGTGTACACTGCTCCGGTTTTAGCCGCGTCAATATCACTTCATAGCCTGCTTCCTCCGCCTGCAGCTTGCGATCCGTATCTACTATGCACATGCAATTCAAGCCTTGGAGAGTAGTTTCTGGCTTACAGTTCGTTGTGCCTAACTCGTGTGCCTGATCTGCTGTGTGCGCTATATACAAATAGTCCTTAGTATTCAGTACCTCGCGAAAGCATTCACTCAACGGATACGCTATATGTGGCATGGGCTGTAGGGAACCGTAGCAGCAAGGACAACAAACAAATCGCGCATTCACACGCTGGCATTGCTGCAGAACAATGTCTGTTGCTGTGCCACAAGCGTGCAGCGAAGCGCCAATGTCGAAGCACCCCACAAAGTAGTCTATATTGCACTGATAGAATATGCAATTGTTCAGCTTAAGTTCTGCTGCGCGTTTCTGTGCGTGCGCCAACGAATAGGCCTTATTCTCGGTGACAATAATAGTGCAGTGCGGCAATCTAAGGGCCAGCAAAATGGCCAAGTGTCCGGTACCGCTGCAAAAATCGACTATTCGATCGCCAGAACGCGCCAGAGAGACTACAGCGTTTGCCATGTTCTCCAACTGCTGACGCTTACGTTCTAGTCGCTCCTTGGGCAGAGCCGAACTTTCGGCATGTGCGGGCTCTATTTGCTGCCAGTCAATCAGTCTGTCGCCGAATGAGTGCTCGGATTCGGCTGTGAAGTTCAAGTGCAGCTGCGCTAACTTTGATAAGGCTGCGTCAACTTCAGACTGGATGGTATAAATACGATTGCGCGGTCGATATCGCTTAGGATCGGCCTTATAGAGACTGGTCGCCTCACAGTCTGGAATGCTGAGAAGCTTCTCTGTTAGATGTGCACAATATGGCACATAGAGTTCGTTTAGAATTCTCGCACATGACCCGTCAAATGCGTCTACCTGCAATAAATCCGACACTATTAGCTTTTTTCTTTCATTATTATATGACAAATTACCTCGCAAAGCCAAGTGCTCATCAATGGAAAGTGCGATAGCATTTGGGGACATTGCTGAAAGACTAGACGAAACATTGGATAGAGTATTAAGTCTGCAATGGTGAAGCTAACTCCCTCTGCGAAACGATGCTCAATCAGTAGCTCTTCCTTCGGCGTGCTGCAATTAATAACAATTCGTCCCTTGCGGGTGCACTTTGAATCATTCTCACTCTGATTTGCCTGTTCCCTGGCCTGTTTGTATATGTTATGCATGCGCACTGGTTCATTCATGTGCTGCTCGAAACGTACTACAGGATTAGGCACCTCTTCCAACATCCCACCATCATGCAGCTGACTAACCGCGTTGACAACGTCAACCTCACAGAAACGTGTCCAAACGGAAGCCTCAGCGGGTGCCAGTAAACAACTAGACTTAAATCCCAACAGCTTGCACAACTCAGCATTAGGCTGACGATTAATAAGTTCCCTACAAACAGCACACAATCCGGCAATATAGGTGTTTTCTTCCCTACCGTAGATGGGAAGACGTAGATCGCGAATCGCTGGCAAAGTTGCAGCATCTTTCAATATAATATGATGATCGGTAAGTTCGCGGCGCAGCTGGGTGCTGCGTAAAGGTATTTTTCCAGTCTTTATTTTTGTTGCCACAAAATTCAATTTTATGTTCTTCGGTTCATGGAGGTAGCGATATGTGTAGAGCACGATAAACGAAGGCACTGTAGCGTATATTAAGGTTTCTTCATTCTGTGTGCTTATTTCGATCTCCAAGTACAGTTGATCCATTGTTTAATAGAAGACGAACTAAAAATGAAAAAAAATAATCATGGCAAAGCAACAGCAGGGAAATTTGTGGTTATGTTAAAAATAAATAAATACAGCTGGGCGCTGTATTTGAAGAAGAACACTTTTGCCATTCACAGCGACAGCTAGTTTTTTCGAATAGACTATTTAATAGACTATTCCGACCTTTTATTTTTTTTACATTTAACTTTATTAACAAAGAATTGCCAAGTCCATAAAAAAGCATGTGCATTAAATTAAATCGCTGCCTGTAAAAAGAACAGAAAGATTCAACAAATACAAGTTGTCCTTCAAATTTTCCCTTTGAGTGTTTGTTTACGTATTCTCATATGTGAATGTATTTATAAATATGTGTATTGTATGTAGATGTTATTTACTTACTTTTTATATAATTACCGGTGCGCAAGACTACGTTTATCAGCGGCATTGTTAGTACTCGCGCCCTGAGAAAATTGAGTAAGGCACATTAAAACGTCTAACTCGGGCTATGAGCAATAAACTACATACATATGTAGTTCATATGATGTCAAGGCCAACACGTTTCTATGAGCTATGAACAGTTCTAAAAAAAATTTTTAAGCAAAACCTGGATAGATATCCGGCTAGATATCATTTTTATTTTAGAAATACACTCAAATGTATATTCTTCCGATAGTTTATGCTGTTATTAAGTTTCCATATATGAGCAGATAATATTCAACCCTATTAGCGCCACCAAATTCCATCAAATTATGCAAAATATTCCTAAATGTACGATCTTTCGAAAAACGCATAGGTTCTGCAAATGGCCTTCACTTGGTTCGAAGTAAAATTCAAAAGCTTCAGCGCAGAACTCTTCTAACGAATGCAGATAAACTTTCTTAGCGCTGTTCACTTGATTTTGATATTAAAGCGAATGTTATCTTTTATAATCTTCAAGATTTGTGTGTATGTATGTTTGTTTGTATATACAATTATGAGCACTAAATCGCGTTAAGTGAAATTAATGGGTCGAATCACGACTTAGTGTTTGATTGACACTTATTGTGACGGTTTTGTAACTGCAACCAAACTGATAAGGCCCTCTTATATTGTGAAAATTAAAGACGACAACTACGGCGGGCAGACCAGCACCTACGCAATCAAAATGTAAACAGATCGCAATAAAAAATTGAGTAAATAAAATAAATTAACCGGGCAAATGAGACAAACAGGCACGCAAACACAAACACATCAACACACATACGCCTTAATACACACGTATATCCATATATATACCTACTAAGGCAGATATCAAGAAGCGAATGCGACGCCAACGAACTCGTTTCAATTGAAGCTACACGGTGCGGTCTACAGTATCTCAAATTTTATTTCACTTTTGAACGCGCTACCGAGAAGCACGAGTAATTTTACAATACAGGCGCAATTCTTTGCAATTTCAAATACATACATACATACTCGTATATACAAATAATGGAGCAATGGAACAACGTCGAGCTGACAAATATGTCCAAAAAATCGTATACCTTGAATCACGAATACGATGGCGCGCAAAGGCTGAATAAAGAGAACGCACCCCCTACACAAACCGCCTCATCGACGGAACCAAGCCCTCAGTGCGACCTCCTGCAGCCAGGCTCAGATATAAAGCCTAAAATAAAGCCTGAAGATGTGGAGACATTGGTGAGACGCCTCTATGGCATTACAATAAGCGAAATCAAGGAGCTAATTTCTTACGATGATCGCAACTATTTTATCAAGGAGGACAGGTGAGCTGAAAATCGAAAGGAATTTATCTATGTTGGAATTCGTTCATATGTACATATTTGTATGTTTGTTTCTATTCGATACATGCTATTTTTAGCAAATTAATTAAAGTTGTTAGTTGAAGTAATTGAGCGCAACGCTTTTCATAGCTATATGTATTTATACACAGTCACTCGCATGTGTATATAGTACCCGTACCGCGCCATACGCTTAGCCTGCACTCACAATTTAAACAGATTCTTTTGTTATCTCGAAGACACATTTCTGTAGTTAGAGACATCCATTTTGTTTCTACTGCTTTGAATACTGATGTTCCGTTTGACATACATATGTGAACACAATTTTCTAGATATTGCATAGTAACTACCTAAACTTATCCCCTAAATTGTCCTTGAGAATTACAATCTATAAGCCAAGTGGGGTTATTACTTCGCGGCCTTTACCTTGAAGGTTGGCCTGTGCGTTGATTTTCTAATTATTATATTTATTATGGATAATAATTGTATTCAGCAAAAAAGAATTTTCAAATGTAAATTTACAACCGAGTGATGAATGTTTGTTCTGTTTAATAAATTAATCTTAAGGCTACTTTAGGACAGGCCGATTTGAAAAACAAACAAGCCAAATAAAAGCCAGCACTAAAAAAAATATTACAAACAAAATAAATGCCTCAAAAAAAGCTCTCAAATAAATATTAAGAAATTAATTTATAAATTACTTTAGTACAGGCCTCTTTTGAAATCCAAACATGCTGAGCTTTGGCTGATTGATTTGGTTCAAGTTGCTGGTCGTCTTTATGAATGTCGATGTCTTGGATGGCTTCGGCTTCGAAAGCCCCAGACGACGACTCCTTTGTGGCTGATATTGCTGCAACTTTAAGCTTGAGGAAGAGTGGGTGCTGCTGTTCGTTTCTTGACTGCTGAGCAATGTCGTCGACTCCGTGCTGTCGTCCGAAGATAAGAGCACAACATTATCCACATCCGGTGCACTATTATTTGATTCTATGGTATTCTCAAGCCGCTTTATTTTACTTGGGGAATGACATTCCTTTTCCAGCTCGACTGGCAATTCTGTCAAAGCCGTCTCGATAGCCTCTGATGACTGTTTTGTGGGCTGTGTGGCGAAAAAACGACTACGCACCTCTACCTGCTTCTTTGCATAGATGCTGCGCTTTATCGAACGCGCCAGTGGCCCCACATCTGCGGCTGTCGGATCCAATTTTTTAGGACTGAGTATCTTTAAAAGCGAACCGTTTTCACAAACGGGTGACGCTTTTTGTTCCTTGGCGAACGGATTATGGCGACTCTTTGTTTGGGCCGGCGATTCTCGCGACGATGGGGCCTCATCGTCCCCACTGCTGCTAGAGCTTTTCCGCTTGCGTTTCGTTCCCGAGTTATACAGACAAAATACTTCAGCTTCAGTTTGTTTGGCCCGCTCCAAACGCTGATTCATATCCAGCTCAGTGTTTATGATTTGACTGGTAAAATCGACTTTCTTGAAATAGAGAGCACAGTCCACCTGATCCGACTTATTTTCAATTGCGGGCGGAGCTGAATGATTGGTTTTCCAAATGCTTTTATGCTTTGCGCATTTTACAGCTTTGGCTGGCAGTGAGCTGAAATCAGAGGCACGTTCCGGGTGCCAATCATCCAAGCGTTTTAACGTAAAGGGATTTAAGTTGCCCAGAGCTAGGTGCAGTGCCTGTTCGCTATCTGCCAGCAATGAACCCGCATTGCTGCAGTAACGTTCGTCTGTTTCGTGTTCTGTAAGGGCATTCAAACGCTCCATACGTCGTGTCAGGGGATTGTAGATGTACATATGTTTAAAGGTGGCCTCAGCTTTCAAAAAATTCTCAATGTACTCGTCATCTACCTAAAAACAATATCATAACAATAGTATACTATTTATATGTATAGCTTATATCACCCACCTTTAAGTTGCGCATATTCAAATACTGCGGAATCTTCTTTAATGCTAAGCGCATGTCGTCCTGTTCGGTCTTGAGCATAAATTTACAGGCCTTGGCCAGACCGATGCCAGGCAGCGAATCCAAATAATCACAACCAGATAGAATGCACATACGTCGGAATTTATCAAAATGATATTTCTCTTCACGACAGCCCATGGCCAGATGGAGTTTTTTAGCCTCCACGAGCAGACCGCAGCCATTCAAATCAAGCTTAAATATAATCTTTTGCGCGCCAAAAAGCGTCAAGTCCGAATCCTCCGTAACAACGTATTCTGCCAATCCAGCCTGGCTGAGCCAAGCCATCTGTGCATCGGCCTCATAAGGCGCTACAATACAATCGATATTTCTCAAACGACACTCCTTTATTAGCCGCAGTGCCATTTCATGTGTCACATCCACACAACGGCGCATTTGTGATCGCGCTTCCTCCACACGACCCAAGCGCAGCAGCTCCGCCGCCCGCTTCTTACTTTGCTGTCTATTTTCTCGACGCCTCTTTTCCGTTAGTGCTTTGGCGGGTAAATGCTGGCCGTCAAACACCAGAATTGGTTTGATGTCGTGCGAAAGCAGCATATTCACATACTTTAGGCAGTATTGTACATAGAGATCTGTATCCTCACCTCGAGCCAACTTATCGGCACAACTAAATACCCCTTTATGTAGCCAACAGTATGTGTCGATTGCTACTGTGCTGCCGCGGATTTGCTTTAAGTTCAGCTCAACAGATGCCTTCTCAAGAAATGGAATAAGGCCGGTGATACCCATTGAAAGATAGGAACAATTATTTCGGGATGCAGAACAACTACTTTTTGTTTAAATCAATTACACATCACAGAAAACAATTACTAAAAACAAAGACGATGTCGAATATACAGCTGTTGCCGCCAAAATTATGTACAAATGTCATGCGCTTGCTTCTGCTTCTTACTCCTATGCCAATCACATAAGTGTCTCTTTTCCAACACCTATTTAACTGCTAATATTTTCTTTGGTATTTTCTTTCAGTAATGTAAAAAATCCGTTGATTGTAGCACATTGTCCGCAGGGCTATGTTTTGAAAGTTGTTAACAGTTTAGATTCGAAGAAGGAGGACATTGTGGACGCTCAAAATCAACTGCTATTATACTTAGGTAACTATTGACAAACGAGTTCTTATTTATATTTGCCCAACTGTTGCAACTAATTGCACTCATTTTTCTGTATGCCCCTATCAGCTAAGAATAAGGTACAATGTCCAAAGCCAATTGTAAATGCATGTGGCAAATATTACTCTGTGGAGCGATTCAGTGGCGGAGGTGGCAATGTCGTGCGGCTGCTGGAATTCGTCCCGGGCAAGATGTTCCACGAAATCGAGGTGACCAAGAATCTACTTTACCAGAGTGGACAATACTTGGCAAAACTGAATGGTGTAATGAAAAATTTCACTCATCCAGCGTATGAATCACACAAAACCATTTGGATGCTACAATCGGCGCCACAACTAAGGGATTTCCTATATGCCCTTAAAGATCTGTCACGACAGGCAATAATTGAAGAGATAATTGATGCCTTTGAATTAAAGGTGTTGAGTGCACTGCCGGGACTGGAGAAACAAATTATTCACGGTGATTTTAATGAGCAAAATATTGTAGTGGCGAAAGGACCATCGAACGAATATTGCGTAACAGGCATTATAGATTTTGGAGATACGAGCAAGTCTCCAGTGCTGTTCGACATCGGAATAGCTATGGCTTATATGATGCTACAGGCCAGAGACCTAGCTAGTGGCGGCATTTTCTTGTCCGGCTACACGATGGTGCGGCCCATCAGTTCCATAGAACGTGACTATTTAAAGTATTGTGTGGCGGCACGTCTAGCTCAGAGTCTGGTCATGGGCGCCTATACACACACGCTGCATCCAAGCAACGACTACGTTCTGGTTACCCAAGAGCAGGGTTGGCGTTTAATTGAACAGCTTTGGCGCGAAAAATTCGATACGATCGACGAACTTTGGGAGACTACTGGCCATCAGTATCTGACGCAAAGCCACAAATAGGTCGGTCCCAATCCCATGATGACACTTCACCAGAGTATACATTCGTCAATTTATCTTTAAATAATATAACATATCAATAACAGCAGCTACTGTCTTTTGACAAAAACTAATTGAATCCAAAGTATTGAAAATATGCTTTATCGTTATTTTTATACTATTTTGTATATTAATGTGTTCTATGTATATATACATACATACATATAATATCTTAACATTAAAACTTGTTAAACAGTTAAATTTACAAGTACATTGGATGTGGTTTTTATTTAGAATTTTGTGTCTTTTTTCCTGTTATAAAAGTTCGGACATAATTGCTAAGAATATTGGGATCTCTCTATTTGTTAAACTTTATGTTAAATTTATAGTTTACAGCTGCATCTTCTTTCATTATTCGTAATCGTAGGGTAGGTATAAGTTTCCACAACTTTTTTTTAGTTATAATTAGGCATATTAAAATTGAACTATTTTATGACTAATTACATGGAATTGCGTTATAAAATTTTAATCCAACTCTCGCTCAACGCCCATCTGGGGAATAAACAAACCAAATCACATGTTGGTTAACTAACCGATGCTTAGCTGGATAGCTTCCTAAACAGAAAAATATACTACGTGCTTCATACAAATAATGGCTTTACTCCTAGAACTATACAATGAACGGAGTCTCGAGGACTGCCAAATGTTACATATAAAGTGACTGCGAGTTGTTGTAGAATTAAACAATTAAAAATGCAAATAAATAAATACCATACGTACTCATTAGATAGTATAGTATATGCTTTAGTTTGAAAAATCGAGTTTATTTATTTCGTAGTTAATCTTAATATTTTCTTCTTTTTTTTGGTACAAAATAAAACAGACAATAGAAACTAAAGAAAAGCTACATATTCAACTTCGTTGGCATACCAAAGCATACGCTCTCTGCACACACTCAAGACTACAATTTTTACATTATTACACTGGCTCCCTAAGGAAACGAAAAAAGAAGAGAACATAAGGTCCCAAGCGCACGGACAATATACCTGAGTACCAACTCGGCCCTAGGACCCACACAAACGTACATAAATGATATTGCAAAAAAAAAAATTAGTTACATAAATTGTTTATAATAAGTATGGGTTGCTTTAATAAATTATACAACAAAATTAAAGTTTTCAGCATTCCGCTAAAAATAAGTCTAAAAATTTCATTTTGTTTGCCAAAACAGCCCAATTTTTATGGTCGCTACGAGCTGTATCTGCATCCATAAGTTATATTTTGGTTATCACGGTTTGTCGCGATTATTGTGTTAATGCTGAGATAATCCGATGTGGACATTGGTTTCATTCTAAGGTAAATTTGAAAAAAAAAAAAATATTTTCGGAAATACAGCTAACTAAAATATTTCCTTAGTTTATTGTTAACTTTCTACATAAGGACTAAAGACTGTTATATCTTAAAAAAGGTGGTTAATTAAAAAAAAAGACAAAAAATAAAAACAAAATCAGCATTCAATAAGCAACGTCGTCATTTATATGAACCTTTGGCACGCCACTCAATGCTCCTTTTTACACTGCCTATGGGCTTCGTTAACGCTGGCGCCGCTGCTGCTTGCGTCGCTTTAGGAACACAAACGAGGAATTCATCTCTTGATGCCTCGCTTCAGCGGCGGTCGTTCGTAACTTTTTGCTGGACAGTGTGGCCACCGGCATGGCACGCGCCTTGGCAGTCGCAATGGCGGTCTTGGCATTCGTCTCGTCCAGCCAGGGCAGTGTAAAGTCGGTACGCGTCTGAAGATTCACCAAATTCTCGCCAAATGCCTGGACAAACACATCATTAACAAACTCAACTGACTCTATATCGCTGGGTAGCGGATAGAATGTGGACATGGGCAGCGGGTCGAGCTTCACTATCACTTCATCCTGATTGTGTCGCTTGCGCAGATTCTCGCATGTTATTTGGTCCCGCACGCTGCGGGCATCGCGTTTCTTGCGAATGTTCTCATCCCGCACATGCGGCTCGTGTCGTTTAATAAAATCATCGTCGAGTAGCGGCTCGATATCTTTATTGTCTGTCGTTGGCTGTAGCTCAACCTGCTCCCATTTGGGTATTTCCAAGTGCGGATTGTCAGAAAACAGCTGTTCGGCCTCCTCCAAAAAGAACTCGAAATCGCAGTGCACTTCTTGATCCTCATAGGCGCGCGTCGTATACAGATATGGTGTACTGAGGAATCTAGAGGTGGGCTTTATTTTTGTGTAGGCATGTGGCGTACAGTTGTTTACCGTCCGGCGACTATTACTGGTGGTGCTGCTAACGCTACTGATGGATTGTGGTGTCAACGGTGTTGCTTTTGTACCAGTTACCTCCGTTTTCGATTGCGGTGAGGCGGAGGATATTGGCGTTGGTTGTGGTGTAGATGAGGGCGTAGTCGTTGGCGTTGGTGCGGGAGTAATTGGAGCCGCTGGTGTTGAAGCTGCCGCAGGAGTTGTTGGTTCTGGTGGAAATATCAAGTTTGAGTTTTTAATCTCCTTCTGAAATTTCTTAAGATGCAACGTCGGCACTTGGGTCAATTGCTTATAAATGTGCTTGTGCAATTTCTGTTTTGTTTGCTCCTCAATACTCAGTATCCGTGGCTCTTGTGCTGTCGCCTTACTGGTCTTTGTGTAATTCGCTGGCACTGGCGCTGTACAATTCGATTTTACCGCATCCGACTGTTGTTGTTGGTAACTCAGCTTGCTAGAAAGGGGGCCAACTCGAGGCTTCTTTGAAAGTTCCATTTGCTTCTTTTGTGTTAGTTTTGTTACCAGATAATTCCCAACCGCTGGCTCCGATTGCACCTTCTGCGTTATATGCTTATTTTTAGGAAATGCTGCAACATTTCTTTTTGACTCTGCAATAAACGCTGCTGCTGCTGCTGAAGCTGCTGATATATTCACTATCGTCGTATGTAGATCGTCGATAATGGATTCATTTTGTACCTCTTCTGTTTGTAACAGTCCCTCATCAGCATACTCTAAATGGTCTTCGGTAACGATTTTATCTTTAGTGTATCTCAGGTGGCCATGGTGCCCATGAACGCGCTTCGTAGCTGCGTGATCCTCATTAGCAGTCACAGCGACAGGTTCCAACTTCTTCACATCGGAATTTTTCTGTTGCACCTTTTGCTGGTGGTTTGGTGTCGAATGAGCTGAAGGCGTGACCTGATTTTTGGAAATAAGTCCGATATCGTTGCTAACTCCACGTTTAACTGGGGCCACCGGCATTGTGTCCGTTAAAACCAACTAGAAAAATATATTTTACAGCATTTAAAATCAATGAAAGCTCTACGCATTTTAACTCTTACCTTTGACAGCGACTTAGAACGCGAAGACTCGTCATTCCATATATTTAGGGGCCTCTCCATGTCAATCCTTTTCACCTCTACACTTTTGATAACTGGCACCAATGGCCGCTCCTCCTCCTCCTCCTCCTCAGCGGGCCTCTCTATGTCAATCCTTTTCACTTCTACACTTTTGATAACTGGCACCAATGGCCGTTCCTCCTCCTCCTCAGCAGGCAGCTCTTGGTCTGATGATTCGACAGGGATTTCAACGGGTTGTATTTCAATGTGATCATTATTATCAGCAGTCTCTTCCTCCAACTCCACCTCCTCGCCCACATCGTCGACTGGTCCACATCTGGAGACTTCCTCCTCAGCACCAATGATTGTCTCGGTAACCACCTCCACCTCCCCATCTACAAGCTGCGGCCCATCATCCAGTTCGGCGTGTTCATCATGCACACTGTGATTTGAGGTGGAAATGAGACTGGACTCTTGATTCACACGTCTCAAAATTATAGTGCTGACTTTTTTCCCGCCATTAAACTCGCCCCTTACTTTACTATCGCTTGTATTTAGGGAGGCATTCGTCGCCGGTGCAACTGAAGGCAGCTGTGCCACTGATGTGACCAAAACCTTCGGTTTGCTTAGCTGAAAGTGTGGATCAGTCAGCGGCTGCAAGTAATGTGGTTCATTGTGCAACTCTTTTTGCTGCTGTTCCTGCGGTGGCAAAATTTGCAGCTTCTGCTCGTATTGAACGATCTGTTTTGTATCTGGCTCCTCTAGCTCCTGCTGATGCTGCAGGTGAAGAGGTGGGGGATGTGGTTGTACTTGGTTAGGCATATGTACCATCGACATTCCAATAATCGTTTGGGTTTCCACATGGCACAAGACCCTCGCCTGCGACGTCGGCGGTGAATGGTCATCATTATCTGCATTGACCGGCCGTTTTATATTCCGCCGCAATTGTCGTCGCAGATCCTCGATAGCTTCTTCGAGTTTTGCATTCTCTTCTTCGAGCTTCGCATTCTCTTCTTCAAGTTTTGCATTCTCTTCTTTCAGATTTGAATTATCGCCTATTAGTTTTTGATTCTGTGAAAGCAATGCTGCGTTGTTACTGCTCTCCTCTTCCAGCTCCTTGTCCTTGGCTGCTATATTGTCGGTTTGCTCCTGCATTAAGTTCATATGTAACACAATCATGCGCTTGAGATTGTTATTTTCGACAATTAGCGTAACCAAGTCGGAGCTGGCATTACCGGCTGTGGCGGTATTGCCTGGAGCCGGAGGCGCGATTGCACCAGCAGCTCCAATACTGGCAAGACCATGAGCATTAGGACGTGGCGGCTTATAGTAATAGTTTTTACTGCCGGATGTGTCGTGCTTGCTGTGGCTGTGATGCTGGCGTATATAATTCTTGTTTGCATGTTTAGGATAGTAGTAATCACCAGGGCCGGCGCATGCTCGTGCAGAATAATATGGATGATTGAGACCCCATTTAAATCGCTTATCCATTGCTTATTCAATTATTATCTGCGAACGCTTAAAATATCATAATTCGGTATTTGTTTTGTTTGTTTCGCGCACACACGCTTCCACCACGACAACTTCTACAGCCGCAGCTGATACTACAGTAAAATGCGTAAATCGTCTTTTCACCACACTTAATTTTTTTCTTCTATCGCTTTTCCCAGAAAAATGTGTTTGTGCACAAATTTGACATGTTTATGGATTGCACAGCATGGCATTTAGTGACAGTAATTAGCCAAATATAATGCAATATTTATTGAAATAGTTACGCGTGCGTTATTTGATTTTTCCAACAATAAATTTGGAAATATAAAACTCGCCCGAAAAAAGCCTTCAGAAGTATGGCGTTCACATGCAATATTGCCAGGCCGGTCAAAAGCAGGGTTGCTAGGACTATAATCACGCTGCCAACTGCTAAAAAATCCGCACAAGCAAGCACTTTTTCTATTTAACAACTGACATTAAGGAGAAATTTAAAACATGTTTACTTAAATTAATTATCAATAAATTAAATAAACTAGCTGTCTTTCTTATTATGTAACAAGGCGCTAAAAATTTCACATCATTACGCTGAAGCAGGCAGTTGGCAGGTCGTGACTGGCGTCCACGTTGCCAGTGAGTGTTGGCAGTATGAAGCAGAAAAATGGCGGCAAAATGTAGTGCTTGATTTTGCGCGTACTTGGTACGTAGTTACATACCGGTATATACTTTACTAGATGGCTTCTATCTTCGGTGATGATGGGGTTGATGACCTTTTTAACGATAACATTGGCCCAAGTCAAGTCGAAGATGACTTGCCCGGCGATAACGAAAATTGGGACGCAGATGTCGGCGCTGGTGAAAACGAAAAGCCCGATGAAGATCCGCAAATAGCAGAGGGTGACGAAAAGGGCCTGAAAGTAGAGGCAAAGAAGCGCACAGTACGAAATCCACGTCCCCGTCTGACTGTGGACAAGTTGTTGGGTCCGCGTGGCCTGCACACTATTGAAGAGTACTTCAAAGATATCAACTTTAAGGGCAAAGGCTACGAGAAAAGCGATCTGGATGAAGTCTTGCGCCGCCTGCAACACTGGGGTCATCGAATGTATCCAAATTATACGTTCGATGACGTTTTGAACAATATCGAGCGCCTGGGTAAAAAGAAGCAACTGCAGGTTCATATGACACGTTATCGTTTGGGCCAAATCAGTGCTAGTACAATAACGGAGGAGCTCGTTGATGATCCAAACGATGAGGATAATAACGTTGGTGCTGTTGAGGAGCCATTTGATGAATTCGATGCATTGCTCGGCGAACAGATCGCCATGTCGAAACTCGCGCCCCACACTCCCTCGAATCATCACCGCAGCTTTGGCGGCAACACCACGTCTACTAGCACTATGCTAGCGACCCCCTCATTTTCTCGCAATGCTGTTGTCTCCACTCCATACTCTACTATAGGCAGTCCCGCCGTGGCAAGAAATGCCTGTGGTGCTGACGACTTCAGCCACTATGCGCGTCCATTAGCGCCATCTCAGCCGCAAACACCAGCTTCGAAGCAACTATCTGCAGATCAAATGGCCCGCATTGCAGAAAACCGACGACTAGCTCAGGAAAGACTGCTCGCCAAGCAAGCTGCTGCTGACGCTAGCTAGTGATAAGGCCAGTATTTGTAGAAATATTGAAAAGTTTATTAATAATAAGGCTTAAGTTTATGCAAATAAATTAGATTCATGCATGAATATGAATACTGCACTCTTTTATATACAATCATTAGTTTTAAGTACTTATTCGGCCCTACAAAAAGACTTTCGAATTAATTCACTTAAAAACTAGAGGATTCTTTTCGAATGCAAAGTCATTAAGATAAAGGCACGTTTACTTCTGCCGTATCCCTTTCTCTGCCCTGTTAAGTTGTAAAGCGCACAGCCACGCGAGGCAAGTATTCGAACAGACCTTTGGTGCTTTTGATGACGGCAGCGATAATGTTGATCAGCAAAATATCTGGTTGCGCATTAGAAAGTTCGTCCTGATCTTTGGGTTGGTCGCGGTCCTTCACCGCCTCCTGGATAACGTGCAGAAGGCGCTGGTAGAGAAACGATTGCCGAAAAATGGGCTTCGACAAGCTAAGATGATCATCTTTAAGCAAATAGAAATCTCCAAAGTCAATCCGTGACGACTCCTCGGTAACAATGCGCAGTGGAAACTTGAACGTGGTCAGCATGGTGGGCGATCCCTCGGCAATGCTGCACACCTTCACGTGCCGCAAACATGTGTGCAGGCAACCCATGAATCGTCTGTGCATCTCCAGCAGCTTTGGTGAGTTCTCCTCCATTTCTTTGACCTCAATGGAGGGTGAAAGGATCATTTGCATATGCTGTTTCCACTTTGCAATCGGAGAGCCGCGATGTGGAGTGCCCAGAAACACAATTCCGGTCGTGTTCTTTGCAATTTGTTGCACTTTGGGGTCTGGATCATCCAGAGATTTCAGCAAGATCAATTTTGTGAGTAGCCCGCCCATGGAATGTCCAATCCAAACAACTGAGCGGTTATTTCCGACATCTGCGGCTGCGATTCGCTCCAGCAATGTGCCCGCCCGCACATCGATATGGCCCTGGCCCTTTTCACAGGGGCAGTATTTGGTAAAATTTGCCGACCACTCGGTAACGGCTGAAGTGTAGTCAATGCCAATTATTCTAAAATCGGAAGAGAGTTGCCTGAATTTATTTTTCTTCAGAGATTCCTTCAAAGTGTTCTCACCTTGAGTCTGGATAATCATCAGGCAACCATTCCATGGGCCAACAATTTGTGTATTCCTGACTGCCGTCCTGATTGCACCATTCGTTGCCAGGCACGCTAAACATACCACAGCATTCGTCGTTGGCATTTAATGGCACATCCGGGTGGACAACCTCCCAGTCCGAGTCCAGTTCCGCTTCATTGCGCAAGGTCTCCACAAACTCTTTAGTGGCCGCATCACTAATGTTAAGCTGCGGTTTTTCAACCTTTTTACTGGTCATTAATATGGGGTCTGCAAAAAAAACATATATTACTGAATATTTTTACGTCAAAAGAGCCCAAAGTAAATCTGTGCATCAAAACAGTTTAACGTTAAACCTTGACGTGAGAGCTGTTGTCTTGAAAACGCACCATTTATTGTCTCCGCCTTGTTATTGTTAGCGTTAATCTTTGTCCGCTCGTCAACTGAATCGCCTGATTGCTTAGCCTGTTGCTTGCCATTGGAACGCTTCTGTTCACCCACCAGAAATACATCGTCTGCTTCACTGGTGTAGAATGCGTTTTTGCCATAGAGACCCAGTTCTGTGCTACGTTTGCGATCTCTTTGGCGCCACGTTATGAACACACCGCCCAGCAAACCATGTACAAATACAATATCAGCTTTGGGCTTCCTACGTGTACGAATTCGGGGATGCAGTGGAAATACGTTTGGCGGGTAGATACTCTGATTCGGATCGTCGTGATCCAGATTTGCCATCGCCTTAGCTGAGACCACTTGCAAACGCAAATCAGGACATTGCTGCCATTCAGCCAAAGCACCCACCCAGCCCGAAACAAAAAAGTGTTCGACAGCATCCGGTACCACAGACATATTGGCTAAAACTTTGCACAGTGTGGACAAGGTTTCATTATCGTCAGCGAATATTTTACGAAGCTCCATCAAATGTATGAGCCCACCATCGCGTATAATATGGGCCGACACTTTTGGGTCTTTGGTAATATGATGGAGAAACGATATAATTTCCTTCAACAAGTCTGTATCTTGTGTTGAGAGCGAAATGGTTTGCTCGTGTGTAAAGAACTCGTGTATGTCTTCCTGTAATATTATTATTCATATTAGAAACAGTCGAGCGCTTAACTACAGTTAACTTACAATGGAATCTTGTTCCGGAAAGTATTTACTAAAGAAGTGATCTACGCACGGCATGGGACGAAGGCGCGCCAGCATAACATGTAGATCGGATAGTAACATCTTAGGGTTCTTGATACAGCCCCGCATATGGATGGGCATAAACCAACGCACATCGGCCCCACATCGCGCTAAAGAGACGGCAGTTCTTGCATCGCAAATCTGAGCCAGGTGGCGAAAGTCCCAGTCCTTTAAATGATCCATGCAGACGAGTTGCTGTACTGCTTTTAGCCTCTCAGGTTGACTGCCATTCTGTGCAATATTCAAAAGGCGCCATGCCACTGAGTGCTTAGCTGCCTTCCACCATTTCCCAATGGGATTGATTATGACATTTATCCATTTCTGAAATATGCATAATTTGAAGGCTATTTTTAATGAGCTTCCCTATCCAATTCCATATTCCTGCGGGCACTAACCTTTTCGTCCTCTTGCTTTTGTTTGAGCTTTCGCATAGACTCGCGGTAGATGTGATATTTAATGTAGATATATTCGGTGCGACGTTTGTCCGCTTCGGGTGACTTCTTCTCAACATAATGGGCAAAGAATTTTTTGATCTGCGGTAGTTCGTAAAGGATAATGCCGGCACTGAAATTAAATTAATTCAGAAAAAAATGATTGTAGTACATAATAATAAATAAGTTTATCCCACACGTGTTGTTTTTGTTTACGACTTGTCACAAAATGGGACTGCAATAACAACAACAGCAGTAGGCCAATAATATAATATACCATTTGTTGATTAGAAAAATACAGATGAGATAAATAACAACACATAAACAACTATGTATGTATTTTAAGAAAAGTGGGGTGTGTCCATTTATTTTAGAAGAACATTGTGATTTGATAATGTTTTCCTCAACATAATGAATGTGCTCCGAATATGTAACCCTCTACCCAAAGCGCACAAGACAAGCCAATATAGAAATATCTGTCTGTTTGTCTGTCAGCATAAACGCAAAGATCTCAAAAGGTTTAATAGCAAGAATAACCAAACTTGCTATCTAGATTCTTTCTGATTTTAAACGTTGTTTTAGTTGTATGGAGAATCTGTAAACAGCTACATTAAATCCATTACAATTCATAATCAGTTGGTATTTCAATACAAAAGTCATTTAATCAGAAGACATTTCTCTTTTCTCTTGACCAAACAAACACGGTTGTTTTTCTTTTCTGCATGCCAGCAACGGCCAACTATTTCATTAATTACACATATGTATGTACATATGTTGATATAATATAATATACGTATGTATGTATGAGATAAACAACTTATACACACATAGAAAACTATTCATGTGCAATAAGAAAAGTGGGCGCGTCACCTTTAAAAAAATCATACACGCGCCAAATTTGCAAATGTGTGCCAACAACACTTAAATAAACAAAAACAATAACAAGAATAGTTGGCGGGGGGTGGGATCTTTCGAACTCGTACGATCGCAAACTGCGCACATTGTGTGTGTGTGTGTGTGTGTGTGTGTGTGAAGGCCTCGGTTTTGTATACGTTCAAGAAAGTGTGAACAAGAAAAACAACTTTGAATAAGACCCTGTAGTACCGGGCTTTAGCTACTCCAATAGTCGACAGTGGTGTTTATTTTTCATTATCTTTTTATTATTATTTTCGAAGCATTTAATTGCGCACTATAGGTTGGAATTCGAACACTACAGTACGTGATTTTTACTTTGAGTTTTGCTTAAGCGCCAACTGACTCATTTGGTACTATAGGGAACGTCAACAACTCCGCCTATGCCTATCTCGGTTTAACGAAATCGTACGTTTTGTTTTGATCGCATTTCAAAGTTGGCAAAGAATTTTATTGTTGTTTGCGTATGTTGTAAACAAATGACAAGGAATGCGGAATTGTTATTGTTGTGCACATTGTGGCACGTTTTAAATATTAATATTTTAAATATTAGACCAAACATAACATTCGCTTTAAAAGGGTAAAAAGTAGTAATAACAACATGTCGCTTTCTCATTTTAGCAAAATCGTATGTTTTGTTTTGATCGTATTTCATTGATGAATCGAATGTTAGTTTTTGTTTTGCAAACAAGAAAATGACGATTACGGAAATTGTTGTTGCTTGTGGGATTTATGAACATATACTTATGAGTATTTAATGACGATTCAGAATAGCTTATGTATGTATGAATGCAAACATGCTTACATTCATAACTTCACTTAAATGGTTACAATTATAAACAGCTGTTTCTATTTCCACGCAAAAATATTACTACACGCATATGTAAATGATTAATAGAAAAAACACAATGCTTACGTGGTCAAAATGCCAACTCCACCCAGAAGCCTTGGATAGCGTCGAATTTTCGATTTGATATCCTCCAATGACATTGCCCGTTCGACTTAAATGTGGCTGAATAGGTTCCTTCTTGTCTTTTTTGTTGTTAGCGTTGTCTGTGTCTTATTTTAAAAAAACGATCGATTTGCTTGGCGCTGTGCAAGCGCACACACTATTGAGATTTGTCAATTGGTTGCCAAAAGCTTACTTAGTTTTTTTTTTGTTCTATACGTATGTATGATGTTGATATCACAATTTAAATTTAGATTATTATATCGAAAATAACGAAAACTATTTCTTTTACTTTGTAAACTTCACTGGTATTGCCAAAATTCTTGGTGTTCGTTTTCCTTTTAGTCACTGGTTAATTGTTTAATTGTTGTTATCACTGTTAAATTGTTGAATGATTGCATTTGTTTTGATTTCAGCTCTATTTAGTCACTCTGTCCAGAGTTGTCATATTGGCATTTACTCCCATTCACAGTGAATCGGCAACAAACAGATGATTACGTGGATGGGTGGTAGGGTTGGAGTAGAATTGTGCTCAGTGTTTGAAAGGTTTCGTTTAGAAAAACATTAAGTTGTCATTCCAATTTGCAAAAATTTTGATAACAGCTATTAATAAAATGTATTTTGTTTTTCAAAAGAGTTTATGTTAATTGGTATTGTAGTTCAGCAGCTGTAATGGTTTGGAGCATCATTTAGTATTTTCCGTTGCCCTTAAGCAAACAAAAACAGTTGTAGAAACAGGTAAACAGAAGCTCCAAAAATTCTATGGAAAAGGTGTGGGTGCACAAGGCAATGGTGGCAGGAGGCAGGTGGTAATTTATTACCACATGTACAAATAAATTAAGTGGGACGAGAATACTACAAAACAACTGACTTTCGTCTTGGCGACGACGGATGTTACATTTGCAAGAAACCAAGCATAATTTTTAGGCGATTTTCACGTTACCTGCAAGTTTAAAAATGAAAATACATTTTCGGGAACAGTATGGAACGAAAGGCGAGGAAATTTTATATGTCACGCCAGCAGGTAAGCAAAATCGATCACAAAACCTAAGAACTGACTGATTCCCGGCTTATTAATTTCACCACAGACCAGGGCAATATTGTCCGCGTGCCGCTGCGTGGGGACAAACCCGTCATACATGAGAAGTTTTTCTTAATTCGGGTTCTGCAGAATATTTTCCTGCCCAAGGGGTATCCGGACAGCGTTAGCGAGGACTATTTAGCATATCAGGTGTGGGACACTGTTCAGGCCTTTTGCAGCACAATTTGTGGAACACTTTGCACTCACGCTATTCTTAAAGGCATTGGTGTCGGCAACGAAAATGTAAATGCTTATTCGGCTACAGTTACATGGATTTTAAAGGAGGGAACCGGGCACGTGGGCCGCATTTTCTTTGCGTGGTGGAAAGGTTGCCAATTGGATATCGATTCAAAAAAATGGCGCCTCCGCGCTGATTTTCTCAACGATTTGGCAATGAGCATCGAAATCTATGTGCTTCCCAAATACCCAAATCAATTGAGCACACAAATACTGTGTATTTCTACCCTGTTAAAAGCAATAGTGGGTGTTGCGGGCGGAGCCACACGATCTGCATTGACGCAGCACCAGGCAGTGCGCGGTAATTTCGCGGACGTCGTTTCCAAAGACAACTCACAGGAGACATGTGTTAACTTGGTGGCGTCATTTATTGGCTTGTACCTGCTGTCTGTAATTAAGAGTGAAGTTATGCTTTATAGCATATTTTACATTCTGGTGATACTCCATCTATTGGCAAATCTAAAGGCCGTCCGAGCCGTTTGCTTACGAACTTTCAATGAGTCTCGGTATTTAATAGCCCTGGAAGAGTACTTCCGATCATCACGAATGCTAACACCACAGCAGGTGAGTAGACTCCTTTATCTGTTACAAAAAGGAAACTAATAAAAACTTTTCATTAGGTCAACATGATGGAGCGCGTTTCCATTGGGCAAACAGTGTCTGTGTCGTTGAACATTCGGCTCGGGCTAAGCGTTAAAACCCTCATAGATGAGTACAAGAGTAGCAGTGTTATTGACGAAATTGTTTCTTCATTTGATCCCCATGAGCGCTTTATGATTGCAGAGAGTAAAAAATGTTTGGGTGTTTATTTGCATTTCGATACCCGCCCGGAAGATGTCCTGAAAGCCTATTTCTTTGCTGTATCCTATCTACAGGACAGAAATCAGATAAAAGAAAAGTATTGGGATATACAGACAAAGTGGCAGGAGTTTTTAAATCTAGCACAAAAAGAAGGTAAGCCAAATCTTACACAAAATGCTGTACGAAAAATGAAAATATTTTTCCTCCTGGTAGGTTGGCTTATCAATCAACATTTATTGTTAGTTGACGAGTATCGATTAGATTGGAAGGCTTAAGAGCTGCTTATGGTGGAACTTGGACCAAAAGCTAAAACGCTTCAGTAAATTTTTAGTTTCTTTCAATTGACTTCTCTTGAAAAATTCTTATAAGTTTGCTCTGACAGTTTACATTTCACATATCTATTACAAACCAAACACAAATAATGAATGGTGTTAAAAAGTGCAAAAATATAGGTTAGGTATAAAAGCAATCTTTTAAAACATTGGTTTTACAATACTCAAACCCAGAAACATGAACATCTTCCGACTAATTATCTATAAAAAAAACTTCAAGCAAATGATGACTTGAAGTAAACTTAAGTTTCTTTTACATCATTAAGTTGCCTATTTAAGACAGAAAGCTTGTCCATTAGCTTAGTATTAAGATTTAAAATGTTTCTGATTTATGCAGAACTTAAATAAACTCAATTTTGAATAATTTCTGGGTGATCTAAACATTCATTTTGTATTGGAAAATATGGGGATTTATAGGATTGACCTGAATTTTTAAGCTGAAACCCACTATATTTGTATTATCGCGATAGCTAAAATTCGATTGTTTTGCAAATCGATGACACTATACAGCTATAAGCCAGCAGCCAATCGATAACTTAAAACACGTGCACGTCGTGTATACACGCTTCGAAAGTATTGTTGTTCGAATTTTGTAGTAACTTATAAATAACGAAGAAACAACAAATAATGGATAATACAGAGTCTGCGGAAATGTCTGTTGATGAAGGTAAGGCCGATGAGTTGGCGGAGCACGTTGAAATAACCAGTAATACAGATGAACCTACAATAGCAAGTCCCCAATCAGGTAAAAATTAAGATCCATACATACATACATAGAAATAAATAGTTCAAAAATTTGATTTGTTATTTAGAACCTAAGCCTACAGTTGCGCTTGCAGAAGACACGGGCGTATCGATGGAGTTTCAAGAAAATTTAAAAGATGTTTCCAACATTGTTGCAAATGAAAAACCGGAAGTTGAACCTGTTGCGTGTGTTCCACGAGAACTGATTGACGACCATTCATCTAATCTTATAGAATCTTCAGATACAGCTGCTGAAACAAATGCTAAAACAGCCTCCACCGACCTTAATGCAGAAACAGTTCCCTTAACACCTTTGGTTACAGTAGGTTTGTCGGAACAAGAAACGCTCACAGAACCAAATGCCGATTTGATTAATGCAAATGTGTCGCTCACTCGAAATACACAATCAAATACGTCGAATGCTTTGGGTTTGTTGGCGACTTATGACTCTGGCTCAGATTCGGATGTGGAGGAAATTTGCAATAGTGACAATGATGAACATTCTGTTTTGGAGGTGCCCGTGGCAAATCTCAGGGACCATCGTATTCCTGTGGTGGCCGTCAGTTCTGGTAGTGAGAGCAGTGACAGCTCAGACTCGGATTCCGATGGCGAGTATCTGACCGTGCTGCGTAAAGAAATTGAAAAATCTACGAAAACAGATGACTGTGACGATGATGATGACGACGATGATGGGACGGGGGGCGAGCGACCACGACGTCGTCAGCCACCAAAAGTGCGTGGAGAGCTGCTACTAGATGATTTGCCACCAATACAACAATTAGAGATCACAGTTCCTGAGGATGAATGCATTGAGTTGGGGAAGGTGCACTCGATTGTTGATCAGCTGGTGTTAGTAAGCGTATTGCCGAATTCCATGCTTTTTGATCTCGACACGGTTCTTTTCCTTGAAAAGGGACGCAAGGTTCTTGGTGAGGTGTTTGACGTGCTTGGCCAAGTGACCGATCCCATATATTGCGTTCGGTTCAATAGCAACAAACAGATTTTGGAACGTGACATTAATCTAGGAGACATTGTTTATTGTGCTCCCAAATCTGAGCACACACAGTTTGTAATACTTTCAAAGCTAATGCAGATACGCGGATCGGATGCATCGTGGGAGCATGATGTCGAACCGCCCACACGCTACATAGACTACTCCGACGATGAGGCCGAGCGGGAGGCGCGTTTTGACCGGCGTAGGAAACACCGTGAACGTATCAACTCAGCTGATTCTAATGAATCTGTGACATCAACTAGCGCCAGCACGAGCACAGCAGAGCCGACGGCCGCACCAATGCGTCGACGCAGGCGCGGAAACCAGCGCGAGCCGCAAAGTTGTGGCAGCTCTGTGGGAGCACAAGACTCCCGATCTCGTTCGCAATCGCGTGATTCACAATATAACTACCACCCGAGCTACAATCCAGGAAGCTGGCATTCCAAATACTATCACAACAATCACCCGAATTACCCACATCCACCCAGCGCTAACTTTAATATGCTTCCTCCAGGCATGCACTTTCCAATGCCCACCCACGGCTACGGTATAATGCCATTCCCATATGCCATGCCCCCGGCCTTTATGCCAATGCCAACGCCCAGGCATATGTTCCAACAATATGGCCATCCACCGTCAACAGAACAACAACCGCCTGAGTAGGGAAACTTGAAAATGATTTGTATGCTTTAATTACTTTAATAAAAACTGTTGTACATACATAAATGTTAAAATGCATAAATGTGTTGTATAAAAAGGTACTTTATATATATGTACGTGGGCTCTTCTGTGATTGCAAATGTGTGTTTGTGCAGAATGTAAATATGTATATTGATTCTTGTCTGGTATATCATGCTAGCCTATATACAGCACAATGGTACCCAATTGAATATGTTTTTATAGAATACACAAGCACGGTCAACAACAAAATAAGCCGCACTTTTGAAATGCTGTTTCGAAAGAAGCTTGTAGTTGCTATATACACAAATATATATATATATATATATATATATATATATATATATAATTTCGATTGAACTTATTCGAGCAACAAAAAGGGCCCAATTTCGTTTAGGCTGCAGGCACAGAATGAGGCGTAAAATTGTTGGCTTAACGACTGTTTCGTATATAAAAAAAAAACAACAATGCACTAACAATTTAAAATTCGCTGTATGAAATGTTTTTCTCAGATGAGATATTTTCGCTGCTTCACCGTTTTATTAACCATTAACTATTTGCTCGCGCGGCTTCAGTAGTTCAAGGATAACTGTAATATTATCCTGCGAATCACGCTCCTTTGCAGCTTCAATGAGCAGTTTGGGAATGTCTTCGAGTTTTATTGTTTCATTGGCCAAGCTTTCATAGACTGCTTCAATTATATAAGCTTCTGGAACATGATCCCACAAGCCGTCGGTTCCCATTACCAAAAAGTCGTGTGCTTCATTTAACTCCAAGTCCACGAAGTCCGGCTCCGCTATCACTGCCTCGACGCTGTAGTCGCCTATTGAGCGGGCAACGTTTAATATGCCATTAACGCGCCACTGACCCTGCGCGTGAATCACTGTGCCGCCTGCTGCCTCGATTCGGCGCCTTTCATCGTTAGCCTCTGGTTTGTGCGGCTTCACAAGCTGTAGGTGCATACGTTTGCCAACGAGCAGGGCTTTTGAATCACCCACCCAGGCGACATATAGATGGTTGGTGGCAATGAGTGCACAGACGGCTGTAGTTCCGCTTGTAATGCGTTTTTGTGTAAATCTTTGGTTGGCTTGCAGAAACACCGTCTCGAACGCATTGCGATAAAACTCAGCGTTGATTTGTGCTCGCGTATCCATCTGAAGCTGCTGCGCCAGAAGGTATGGCAATTGATTGGTGACATAGCAGGCTGATAGGGCACCGGAATGGCCATCGAAAACACCAAAGAATCGATAATCTTTGTTCGACAATTTAAACATTTCCCCAAAACGTTCAAGGCACACATAACGATCCTCCATTTTGCGCGGTTTATTTTTTAAAAAGGCGACGGCGTGAGTACACGTTGAAGGTAGCAGAGTGCATTTGCAATCATTGAGTTGTTTACAAAGTTCATTGTCCGCAAAATTTTGAAGTTGATCCGCAGATGCATTGTCAGTGAGTTTAATTAATAGTTTATTTAAATGGTTGACAACGAACTTCTGAAGTTTTAACAGATCGTACTGTGGTTTTAATGTATCATCGTCCACATTAATCTCACATTCCTTGGTACTGTAGAGCTCTTCTTGCTCCAACTGCTGCGTGCAATAATGCATTAGCTTTAATTTAAAATCTGGGGGGCAACCTTTTGAAGTTAAATTTGACCAAATACATGAAACTATCTCAGCGTGACGCTCCTCGGAATTTACGCGGTAAGTCTCATTGCTGCTCCTCGTAACACAGGAACGCATCGATTCGTTACCAGCAACTGAGTCTTTATTGGCAGCAATGAACTCCTAAATAATATACAACGTATAAATTATAAATATAAATATTCTGTATATATGTATGTTTATCACCTTGAATTTGGATAACCGTAGGCATTTCGTTTCTTCCGCCATATTTATTTAAATAGCGCCACGGTGCGGTGCGGTTGTTTAATTATTTAATAAATCTTGTGGCAATAATGAATCATACTCCATTGTTTAAGGCTTTACGCAATATGTAATTGTTTACTATAGTTTTAATGCACCTGGTTGTGCTTCTTCTTACATAGTGCGCAAAGACTTCAGCCCTGGGGTTTCTTTTGGAGCCATACGCGTGATAAAAAAAACCGTCAATTTCATATGCAGTCACAAAGCAAAATATGTTCCAAAATATCACGAAATTCGAGGATTACATATTAAGTTTTTTATTACCCCAGTTCGTACAGTTCATCTATTGGTGAAGTATAAAACGATGATTTTCTCGTACATATTTTGTATTCGTGAATTTTTGTGACATTGTGAAATGTGACCGTTTCACTTTATTACTTCAGCCCTGCTTGCCACACTCAGCTGTTGCTTATTGTTTTTTCTATTTTGGAAGGAGGATGTGTTGATTTTGAATTGTAAAATTTCAAAATTTGTAACATAATGTCGACACCATTGGAGCAACAGGCTGAGGAAAGAGAGGCACTGCAGGCCATTTACGAAGGCGATTCCAACTTTAAGGAAATAGACAGTGCAACCTTTCAATATAAAGTAAAGTAAACGCTCTGTGGCTTTAATGATTTAGTGTATTATAGGGATGTATTTACAGTATGGCGAAGAAGATAACTACAAGTCCTTTCTCGTGGAGCTAAAGTGGGGTGAAAAATATCCAGATGAACCGCCCACGATTAACATGAACACATTCTACAATCGCAATCTGTAAGTCTTGTAACTTTGCATAACTTTGTAATAATTAAGAGCATTAAATACACAATCATGCTATGTTCCAATGATAGGATACCTGCAGTCAAAGACGAGATTCAGGCCGCTCTTAGCAATGAAGCTGGCCAGTGGCTGGGATGTGGCATGACCTACACTCTTTTTGAGTGCCTTAAGGATAATATTGAGGAATTGACTGCCGCCCAACTGGAGCCAATTCCTTGTGTTTCAGCTGCGGAAGATGGAGTGGCTGCATTAAAAATATCCGACACTAGCGGCCTTGATGCAAAGAAAAAGGATCCCAAAAAAGAGCAGCTAACGAAAGCACAAAAGCGGCGCCAATGGGAGCGCACCGATCACAAAGGAGATCGTCCACGAGGTTGGGATTGGGTAGATATTGTTAAGCATTTGTCCCAAACTGGCAGTAAGGATGATGCAGTCGCGTCCGCAGAAAGTGCAGCAGCGGCATTCTCAGCAATGTTACATCCACTGAATTCTTAGGGATAAAGTAGCACAATCACTGCTTGTTTAGTTAACTAATTAAGGTTTGTACAAATCCAGTAGTGGGTAAAACAGAAGCAGTAAAAATAAAATACTGTTTTCTACACATACATACATATATTTGTATTTTTTGAATTAAAACATTCTAAGCCCGACTCAGGGGTTCAAACTCATGCTATAAAAGATATGGTATAAAATTGGAAAACGTGCTTGTGAGTAAGCACCAAGAATCGACTTTGCCTCGTGTTAATGAGGATCAGAGGCACTTCATTAAATAAGTATGTGAAATCCAATAATATTAAAAAAAATTATTTGTAATTCACGCACTTTTGCATATTGGAGATTACGTAGTTTTGCTTGAAGCCAACGCATCTAATAAATCCAATATGCTTCGTGATATGAAGATATCCGGACTGCGAACTAGAACTGGTTATTTCTAAGCTTTCAGCTGAATTTCTATTACGCATCACAGGCATTTACGCATGTCTACTTTTTGGATAGACAAGGCCAGTTACTTGTTGGGGTCAAACAGAGGAATACAAAAAAAAAGCACCAAGGGGAAATAGTATATATGTATGTACATATATATTTGAAATTGGTTACAAACATAAAATGTATTTTACTATTCCAAACTACGCCACAATCAAAATTATAATAACAATATAAATTAAAATATAAGCAGTAATAATAAAATTAATAATAAAAAGAAAAAATCACCAAGACGAAATGATAAATTTCTAATTTACAACTTTACTTGTGAGCTTATTCAAATTATTTTCTATCAGTGTATTAGCATAAAAATGATCAGCAACCAAATAGTCAGTTTTAAAATGTATGTGCTTGCATATGTTCTATGATTCGTCGGTCAATATCACGGAGAATCTGTGCCAGCTGAAGTCAAAGTGTCAGCTCGATGACGCAATATAATACTGTTACAATTTAAACAACAGCAATTTCAATTTCGTGTATAGTTATTTGAAAACCGTGCGAGAACTACGTCGTCGTTACGGGCAATTATTTATTGAATGCTTGTATTGGCACATAACGGACAGCGCCCATCGCCAATGGCATAACTGCCGAGTTTATCGCTGGAACTGGTTGTTATTGACTTTTAACTTTCGCCACGACCGCGTTTGACCTTATCGATAAAAAAAAACAACAACAATCATGGGCCAGAAATCGTCGTGTGTGCAAGGCTGCAAGGATTTTGATTGGTTAGCTTGTCATCAAGCTAAAGAGCCGCAAATAATGTTGCGTATGCGCAATGATGGCGTTCTGAGTGCTATGCGCGATGAAGCGGGTACGTTGCATTGCGCTATTTGTTTAAAAAATAAATAAACTTGTCTTTTGTCAGTTATGTGCAGCACGTATGTACGTGTATTTTGCTTTACAAATTGCACAAGTCTGTTCGCTTGTTGTTTTAAGGTATTTCCATATTTGGGTTTTTGGCTTAGAGGTGTGTGCTAGTCATGTGTGAGTGGGCGGTATACATACATACATATGTAGTTTTTGCGTGTCTCTGCTACCCACAAACACTGGTCAATATATGCATAGCCTTGCTTGTAATGAAATTCCACTAGATCATTTTTGGCGAGCATTTTTCTAAATAATTACTCAGTTGATGCACTTAATAAATAATCAATAAATAATAGAAAATAGTTAGAGGAATATTAAACATCAGTGGAACGCAATGAAAATGCAATTATTTGATATATATAATTAATAAACAAAATATAGCTATAGTTTCTGGATTCTCAAAAATATAGTATATTTATTCGGCTTATCACTAGTACCTGAAGGTTAATTCCGGACTCGTACTATGTATATAAAATAAAATTTGTTAACACGTCCCTTATATTGACAGAACGTTAAAATAAATTGGAAAAGATGTATTAAAATACTGTAATAAACGCCAGAACTCGAATACTGTTAAAAATTTGTTTAATAGCTTCCCCTTCGGAACGATGCGGTCATGAGTCAACTTTGGTGCGGCGCCTACATATTGCTGTTGCCCAACCAACGATGACGTAGTGGCTTTACTTTTCAGACATAATTAGTAGTAACAGACGCAACAGATATGAATACCTACACACAGCACATCCACTGAGAGCAGCATTCGGAACAGCTGCTGAGTGCCAATATTCAAATACACTTTGGACATTTGAGTATATCAAGCCTAAGGCATGAATATACACCATTACTTATTATTTATATTATATTATGCAGCTATATTTACTTATGCTAGAAGGTTTCTTTGAATTGTTTTATATTAGGAAAATTATATCGATACCAGATCATATATAGTCATTAATTCACATTTGACCCTAACATGGGACATGCCTGCTCCACAAATACTTCCACAAAAAAGACTTTAATTATTATCTCTTGCTTATTTAATTTCCCCTTTTTCGCATAAGATGCTTGTTTTGATTGGCTAAGTCGCTCCAGGAAAGACGACAGCATGTTTAATAAATTTACATATTGTAATTATGCACATATTCTTAGTATGTACATATATACAACTATAAGGGTATATAGTATTCGATACAAGAGAGATGCGGCGTTTCATTCTCTTTTGGCATTGACATTGTTAGCCGCAATTATTTGATCAGTCTAGTTTGAGTCGATGCTGGGAACGTACATATGTACATATTGTGAAGAACCCGATTGTCAATTTCCGCACTTTTTTTGAGATATTATATGTGTTTTAAAGAAAACGCGCATCATCCTTATCTATTGAAAATAGGAATATAAAAAAAACTAAAACTGTGTTAATTTACATATTTCTGTGCTAAACAAACGATAAAGCTAATAAGCCAAACCTTTATTGGATATGAGCCATTGGTATCGCAGTTATGCGCCCGCTTGGTTTCAACGCTGGTGGAATCCTCGCAGGCCTCTCAGTCCCTACACCACTACACGTCCTATCGCTGAAAGTAAATAGAGAAACTATTCATATTTAAATATAAATACTCATTTATTTAAAACTTTTGTGCTAGTGTGCATATTGATTATTTTTTGTTTATGACTTCACCCGCTTGCTCGTTTGTTTTTTTTTTTTTTTAATAAGCTGTTGAGCTTGGCGCGTTTCTGGCATTTTTGTTTGTTGTTCGACTCGTTTCAGGGCTACTTATATGTATATTTGAGTAAAAAATTCCGAACGCTAAGTCGCACATGCTTGTTTTTGCTAGAAAAACGTTTTTCTCTATATCTATTACAATTCTTGTAGTATTCAATTTAGGAATATATATATATATATATATATATATCTTAAGTTCAAAAAAAAGCGAAGATTACTTCATAGAATTAAATTAAAATTCGATTTCATGATTAATTTTAAGCTGTTTGAATAGGAGATAAATGTTTTGTGAAGGCGTTAAAAATAATTCAACATCAAACATGGCCGTGATTTGAGCCAGACCCTACTCTGAAACAAACTCACATAATTTTTCCGTCTTAATACACGTTCTATGTAGGTTATACTTGTACAAAATCAAAGCAGTAGCCATTAAAATAAAAAAAGAAAAGAAAAATTACGTGGAACTATGTTATATAGGACTTTTCTCTAAAAGTAAGGGGAATATATAATAGAGGACGATTTTGTAGCATCCGTAGATTCCTGAAATTGAAATATCTTTTAGGAAATCATTTTTAAGCAAAATATGAGAAAATATTTTTATGATTTCTGTCCAACAAAGTTAAAACAAGTAAAATTGTTCAAAAATTGTGCATTAAAATTTTAATGACAAAAAGAACATCAAATGCTAGCGAAGGGCTTTAATGGATCAATCAAAATCAAAGCATACGCAATGAGTGAACAATAAAATTATGAATCAAACATCATATGTATACTTATATATGTACATATGTACAACCATAAAATTGAACTTTAGTTCAAATGGTTGGCCATAAATAGATTTGTTCAGAATAGAGCTGTGCGCGTGACAAAAAAAGTACCGTCACGATCACGTATTTATGTATGTATGTATGTACACGAATCAATTTTTTTCACAAGCCTGAAATAATTTGAAAATAATTTAATGCTTTAAATCTAGGCCGAATCGGACTTCTTTACAGTTAGTAATGAATAAACAAATTTTAACAAAATCAGCAACATTTATGTGTTTGTATATTGAAAAAATACTCATGAATCAGCTTGACTATACATATCAGATAAAAATGCGTAGGAACAAAAGGCTTAAAACGATTGTATGTTTTAAATTTAATTGAAATCTGACTTCTTGACACATTAAATCAGCAAGTTGTTTCTCGTGCGAAAAACTAAGGAAAATTTCTTGAATTATTTTCCTATATATGTATACGTATACGAGTATATATGTATATATGTATGTGTGCGTGCCTGCATACAAAAAATTGTACACAGAAGTTTATTCGTATTTAAGACATGTGGCTGATTTTTGTGGATTGCTCATTTGCCGAATGTCCACTATGACAATTAATTGGATTGGCATTGAACTGTTTGGGGGTGTGCAATACCTAAATTTAGTTTATGTGGCCATTTGGAAAATCTTTTGTATTCGACGTTGGGCCAAAAGTCTGAGAAAACAACATTAAACCTCATTAATTCAAAGGTGGAAATAAAAAGATATTTCTTGGATAACAACAGAAAATTGGATACTCAGATACAAAAAGCTTCTTTAATGCAAGCAATTTTCATTAAAGTGATGGAAATACTAAAAATGTAATTGATTTCATATATCTTAAAGAAAGTTGAATACAGTTGACTAATATAATAAGGCAAATGTAATATTGTTTAAAACAAATTTGCATTTGCTTATAATATTGTAAACTATTAGTTTAGTTAGTTTTCTACTAAAAAATAATGAAAATTTGATATTTCTAAATATGATAGTATAACAATTCAAATATTGCAGATGCCCAATCCTCAGCCATTTTGAGCGTGGAACGAGTCGACCTTTGCCTGGACGACAATCATAGCGAACATCATACCAGCCACTTCTATGCCGCTGCAGCCAAAGAAGCTTTGATCGTGCGACGCGGCGAACCATTCCGGCTACGCATTCATTTTAATCGCGACTACAGCCCCAGTAAGGATGCCATTAGCTTTATTTTTACAGTGGCGGATGACCCCAAGCCCAGTCCAGGTCATGGTACGCTGGTTGGCATTGTGCCGCACGATGGAATTGACAACCTTGGAGGCCCGTTAGAGTGGGGTGCGGGCATTGAGGTTCACGATGGAGGCTCGGTGTCTATTCTGATCAAGCCTTCAATTACGTGCCCAGTAACTAGTTGGAAGCTGGACATAGACACGAAGCTGCTCGGCGATGGTTCCAAGTCGCATAGCGTAGCACTGCCCATTTATGTGCTCTTCAATCCCTGGTGCCCGGACGATCAAGTTTATCTTGAAGATCGGGATCAGCGCAAGGAATATGTCATGCATGATACGACGCTTATTTGGCGAGGCTCGTATAATCGACTGCGCCCGTCAGTTTGGAAGATTGGCCAGTTCGAGCGCCATGTGCTCGACTGTAGTCTTCAGTTGCTCGGTACGGTTGGACGAATACCTCCAGCCTATAGAGGGGACCCAGTGAGGGTTGCACGAGCGCTGTCGGCCCTCGTGAACTCTGTAGACGATGATGGCGTTCTATTGGGTAACTGGACGGAAGATTTCTCGGGTGGTACCGCGCCTACAAAGTGGACCGGGTCAGTGGAAATACTGCAGCAGTTCTATAAAACGCAGAGACCAGTGAAGTATGCACAGTGCTGGAACTTTAGCGGCGTTTTGACAACCATAGCACGGTCCCTAGGCATACCATCGCGTATCATTACCTGCTATTCCTCAGCCCATGATACCCAGGCATCGCTTACAGTGGATATTTTCATAGATCAGAACAATAAGAAACTGGATGCTGAGACGACAGACTCCATATGGAACTACCATGTGTGGAACGAGGTGTGGATGCAGCGACCAGACTTGGGCGTTGGTCAGTTCGGGCCCTACGATGGTTGGCAAGCGGTGGACGCAACACCGCATGAGTCCTCGGACAATATGTATCGCGTGGGACCAGCCTCAGTGGTGGCAGTGAAGAATGGCGAGATTGTACGGCCTTTCGACTGTGGTTTCGTCTACTCCGAAGTGAATGCGGACAAGGTCTATTGGCGCTACAACGGTCCCTCGCAACCCATTAAATTGCTGCGGAAGGATACACTAGCAATCGGACATCTGATAAGCACAAAAGCCGTCCTGAAGTGGGAACGAGAGGACATCACACAGAGCTACAAATATGAGGAACGCACCGAGGAGGAGCGAAACACCATGGTGAAAGCCCTGAAGCAGGCACGCCACGCTTTTAGCCGTTACTACCTCAATGATAACTTCAACGAGGTGGAGTTCGATATGGAACTAAAGGACGATATTAAGGTGGGCGAGAACTTTACAGTCGTCCTCAAAGTCACCAACAAAAGCAAGGAACGCGCACATCAGATAACCGGCCATGTTAATTGTGATGCCGTCCTCTACACAGGCGTCAGCGCCGAAGAGGTCAAGTCAATTGGCTTTGAGTTGGAGCTGAAGCCAGAAAGCTCCGATTATGTGCGGATGGAAGTCACATTCGATGAATACTACCATAAGTTATCATCGCAGGCTGCTTTCCAGATTTCCAGTTCGGCTTTGGTCGCAAATACTGACTACGAATACTATGCCCAGGATGATTTCCGGGTGCGCAAGCCGGACATTAAATTCCAGTTTCAGGGCAGCATAGTCTCCCAACAGGAGGTTGATGTTATCGTGCGTCTGACCAATCCGCTACCCATACCACTGCACAAGGGACTCTTCTCGATTGAGGGGCCAGGTATAGAGAAGCCGCTTAAATTTAAGGTATGTACAAGTGAGCTTGTTGATCAGGTAAAGCGTTAACAAAGATAAATCGATTAGGTTAAGTGCATTAGAATAGCAATATATCGACAGTTGAAGATCTTTGCGCACTTTTTCATTACAACTGCAATCTTTATATCTCCACTATCCTATATTGTTGCTTCATCCACTAGATAGTTTTCAACTTATTAAATTATATTAGCAATGAAGTCAGCCACTTTTCCTGCTAAAAACTAAGTTAACTTCTCTTTCTATCATATTTTCAGATTGCTGAGATACCAGTTGGTGGCACTGCAGCTTCCACATTTAAATATGTACCGCCCTATGCGGGTCGCGGCACTCTGCTGGCGAAATTCAACTCAAAGGAGCTAGACGATGTGGACGGCTACATGCACTACGAGATTGAACCCAGACCGGGTGATATTCTCCATAGCAGCGGCACCAGTCGGATGAGTAACATCATTAGACGCCGCACGGATGTGATTCCCTGAAATGCTAACGAATTTTGTGAAAATGCCTAAATTATTTAATAATTAGAACTTATGTTATAATGATGTGGGCGGCAGAACCTTACCACCTGATGATAATAATTCTTCTATAAAGTATATTCTAAGAAAAGTGTGTATTAATAAATTAAATATTGCCAGAAAATGCACTTAAATATAACACAAGAGTTTTGTCTATATGCCCGTGATAGTTGTTAATTAAAATAAGGTACTGGATATCTCATAGTTGTGTGAGTTATAGAGTTCTAACCTATTTTAATACAAGCTTTACAATTTCTCGAGTCATTATTCTAATCATAAATAGAAAACAGATAATTGCCGCCTAATACTTGCTTATAGAAGCCGGTGTGACTATGCGGAATATCGTTAAGATTGCAATCCACCGGACTACCACTTATCGGTGTCATCGTTATGGCTTAACAGACATGGCATCATGACGCACTTTTCGATGCGCACTCGATCCTTACACTTGTAGCTAAGATCAGAATTGAGCAGCGTTCGGGTACGCTGACGTACTGCATTATCTCCGCAGCTGGCGGTACAAGGGGTCCAAGCAGACCACTCAGAGTACCGGCACTCGTCTTTGATGGAGATCGGCGTCTTGCTTGGCATATGTCTGCGGTCGCTAGCATAGGGTCCACTTATGGAATACATGTCGTCACAGCGCTGATAGCAACGATCCTGACGTACCAGATGCTTGGGACACTGCTTGCCTCCGTATTTGGGAGTGCGTAGCACACGACGGGTTTTTAATTGCAAGCCCTCGCGGCCACAGGTGGCATTGCAGCTGTGAGCCACCCAATCGGAGACCAAACAATCGACGCGAATTTCCGAATTTGTTCGCAGACTCTCACTTTGAAGCTCGTGCTTGTGACGCGGCACTCGACAGGTTTCCTCGCATAGTTCCTTGGACTTGAATTTGTTTTGGTTTACGTCACAGCGATCTGACCAATAAATAGCGCACTGATCGCTCGCATAGTCATAGTACCAGTAGTTGGCCACATCACTGTCCCGACAATAACTCTCACGCAACGGTTCGTAGCAGAAATGCGGCACAATGGAGTCGCAGCTGGGATTCGTGCAGTTCACCACCTCGAGTAGCTTAATGTGCCGGCACGGGTCTCCAGCATCTGGGCTCAAGCTGGGATTCTGTATGCCATAGACTTCGTTCTTATTCCAGACTTTGCGCATGCGTTGACGTTGACCGGTTCCGCCACAAGGTCCCAGACACGGAGAGAAATCAGACCAAGGCGAAACGCCACACTCAGGCGGAATATAGTCCTCCCTACGTTGACTATAGCTCTCAAAATTGCGGAATATTGAGCGCTTCTCGCCAGAGTTATCGGCACCATCACCAGCCTCCGCTTCCATGTCTTCGCCCGCCTCATTATTAAAATGTCCATTGCCATTGATATCGCCACCGCAGTCGATACCTTCGCAGGGTCGAGCCTCCTGCAACCGCGCTTTGCTCACCTTCTGGCACTTCTTTTTGGCGCGCCGGTTGAGATAATGTCGCGTCCGTATCATCTCACCCGTTCCACAGGTTACTGTGCATGAAGACCAGTCGCTCCATTCAGACAGTCCACACTCGGGATCCTCTGGTCCAGAACCGGGATAGCCCGCCTCCTGCTGCACACCACCCTCCACCGCCTCCTCATTGAACGTTACACACTTCCGACCCATGCAGTGTTTCTCCTCCCGCAGCGCATTGCTGCATCTGTGCCGATGTGCCAGCGCTGGGTTTCGGAATTCACGTGTTCTATATTGCTTTCCTGGACCACATTTGGCGCTGCATTCGTCCCAACGTGACCAGGCCTGCGTGGCACATTCTACTGGCATTTGTTCGGCTAAAGCAGTGGATCTTATATGACAATCTGCTTTCAAAAATATGCAGAAGTTACTTACAATCAGAGGCTTCGCAGTTTTTCTCGTATAAGCGACGTCGATTTATGTGCAATGTAGCCAGAGGCTTCATTTGGGCACCACTTGGATCGTAGAATGGTGAGCGTGGATCATTGGGAAAGTTAGATTTAATCCGTCGCACGACATCGGGTGGCACTTGAGGCTGATCTGCTGACTAAGAGAGGCGTAAGCTAAACTTCAAAATAGGTAAAGAAATCAAAAGGCTTAGCTTACCATATAGGAGGGACCACTATCCGTACCCGCATCCCAGGGATATAAATTATGCACCTTGTTCTCCACCCAAGAGCAGTTGGGCAAACAGAGCTCTAGACCGGAGACACCGACTATCCAGTCTGGTGAGGGATCTAACATCGATACCAGCGATATAAGGTGATGTTTGGAGTCGACCCGGAATACAGCAAATGTCTTGCCCGTCACATTAGGATATGCTATGCCACGAGCCTTAATTATGGTTCGAATCTGGTCGCTCTGATCTTTAAGCTCACTTTCCAGTGTGCGCGTTGATCCGTGCTCGGCAACCTCGCGTAGTCCCTCGCTGGCCAGATCCCCATATTGCCAGAAGCGATAACCAATGGTATGGGAAGCCCCAATAATATCACTGAACCGTGTGCGCCAGCTATTGGCCGGAAAGTCCTTGGGATGCGTGTGACGCGACCACTTACCCTCAAAAGTCAGCTTAATGGAGAATCAAACGATGAAACCTGTGCGCCATTCATTCCCATTAAAAACCCACCTCATACTTAGCCTCGTCGCAGGCACAGCACGGATCTATAATGCTAGGCTGTGTATCTACATCATCGATTTCCTCTTCACATATTCTCTTTGTAAGAAATCCATCGTCCATGAACCACACATCGCGATGCTGCACCACAGTGGCACGCAGCAACACACAGCCTAGCCCTGCCTTAGCCGGCGCCACCCAAACTACATCCACACGCGTCTTCACATTCGTGTTTGTGTTCTCCACCAAATTTGCGCACCGAGGACTGAAACGCGTTTCAGCCAGATCGCTTATTTCGAATGTTCCCATTGGGTTTTCATCGACTGAGTCAGTGTTCTCCCGTTCCAGGGCCAGCATAAAGCTCACAAATGATAGGCCGGAATAGGCGCTAAGTGTGACTGAATTCTGAGTGAGTATTTGAAATCCTTTTTTAACATTTAATTAAACTTACCGTTGTACTTCTGGCCCGGCACATAGGTCTGCGCGTTGCCCGCAATAGAGAGCACATAGTTATCATCAACTGGTGACTTGGCAGCGGTAACCCCCGAAGGAATACGACTACAGGCCTGACTTGGCATCGGAGCAGATGCAAATAAAATCGTCAAGCATAGCATCAACCAATGCATTTTGCCTTTCGTCTTCATCTAAATGAATCAGTTCTTAATTATACTTTGTGGGTATGCCCCGGTTCATTATCTTACACGTACACTCGCACTAGCCTAGTATACATTTGGGTTCTGGGTATAACAATAATAATGTTGGAAGCTCTAACGCACCATATGAAAATTTAATTTAATACGTCTATAAGAGCTACATATGTATGTATATACTATATTTATATTTTGATCGTTGGTTTCGATTACCAATGGCGAAATTCTAATTTAATTGCTCTTGAAAAACAAAAGGCGGAAGTTCATTTAGTTTTCATTCATACTAATTGATAATATTTGTATAAGCATACATATGTACATACAAGTATATTTATGTATATGTATTTTTCTGTATAAAATATTATTTCATTTGTTTGCAGAATTCACAAAGGTCAACACGATGACTGTAGACATTTATTTTAATTATTAAATAATGTAAGCAAATGACATGCCTATCTCTACATCAAAAATTCGTTTATGTCTGTATGTAAATAGAAAGGTTAATGCCCGATCAATGCAATTCTGTCGTGTAACGAATGGTGTTTTTCTTTACTATATTGAAACCTTATTAATGGATGTATCCCAAGCTTCTGCACTAATACAGAGATTAATATTTGTTATATACACCGATTATATACACTTGTATATATACGTGTACATATACAAAAGCAGCTATAATTCACAAACATATGTATATATGTACATATTGCCACTGATTAAAATCAATTGAAACCGATTTGACTGTCATTCGAAATGCAAAAGCAAACCCAACAGGCCCAGCAACAGGGAAGTGACAGAATGAAATCAAATTTAATCACCGAAACACTTGAGGGGCTTCAGACAAAGTCTAGTATTCCGTTGATACATACGCCGTTATTGAAAGTCTTGGATTACAATCGATTGAGTCAGCAATAATGTGTTTTTAATTTCGCACAGAAATCAAGCGCAAAAGATTTCACTGTTCATGTTCCCGAATTGTTGACTCTCAAAATTCCAGAACCGTCTGACCAAGCGTATAAATCGCAACTGAAATGCAATTGACTGACCAGCAACGACATTTCAATTAGTGGGAACTTTTTCTATTTTAATGGGCAACAGTCTGCACATGCGCTTTATTATCTTTATTAGATTAGCGACACTGACGTACTATACTTGTATACGCGTCTGGCACCTCTCTTTTGTTTATGTTTTCTAAAAGTTTGTGTTAATGATCTGCCTTCAGGTGTAGGGTTGGTGAGGAAACCAAGATAAGAAAGTATAAGATCTTCACCTGTCCATGCCAAAAGCATATATTTATTTCCAACGAATGTTTTATGAAGACTTTCTATATTAAATGAGAAAAGTTTGTGACCGGTCATCCGTTCGTTTGTTTTAATAACTTATCCGAGATGACTTTATAAGGCAGCCCTTTAAACTCAGGTACAACAATTTTTTAAAATAAAAATAAAGAATAATTTAAAAAAGTATTTAGAACATTTTACGAAACTAAGTCAAATTCAGTAACTTAAGAGCAGGGAAGTGAGTATCTAAGCATTTACCGTTACGTATTTGAAAAATTACTAAACGCATTATGTTATTAGCTGAACGTGAAAGAGTTTAGATAAATTAATAGCAGTATCTTATTATTCGTTATTTTTACATTTATTTAAAATGTCGGCTTATTACTAATTCCAACTGCAATATTTTGATCTAAAAATATTTTTTGTTTTACTATTTATGTCGAATTGCTTTAAATATGTCAATGAACGGTCTAGAATTGAATTGTACTGGATTTAATTTGAATATATTCGTTTTGTAACTTTTGGCAGTCTGGCAGTTTGTTATTAAAACTTCTCGAAGTACCGATACCGATAACTATTTCTCTTACATCTCTATTAGTGCGTCATTTCTAGAAAAGCTAGCGCGAAACCAAGCGATCTGATATTTCTGCGAAAGTGCCTTAAGGCAGTTAAGGAAAAATGTCGGGAACTACGCAAAAATACAGAAACTTTGTGGCCGAGCCTATGGGCGACAAATCTGTCACAGAACTGGCGGGCATAGGCGAAACGCTCGGTGGACGTTTGACGGAAGCGGGATTCGACAAGGTATACATACACACACACATGTGTACATAAATACATACATATGTATGTAAATAGATGACACATGTGCGCTTGAAGAAGGCTAAATACTAATATTTAACTCTATATTGCAGGCGTACACCGTACTGGGTCAATATTTGGTGCTTAAAAAGGACGAAGAGCTGTTTAAAGATTGGATGAAAGATGTTTGCCACGCCAGTTCAAAGCAAGCCTCCGACTGCTACAATTGTTTAAATGATTGGTGCGAAGAGTTCTTGTAAATGGCGCGCAGTTTATTGGCTCAAAATTCCACAGCCGGGGACAAAACCATGTCCGCTGTCTCTATATAAGCAACCAAGCACTTTTATTGTAACTAAGTAAATATGTTCTGTTCGAAGTACTAAACTTAAGATATACCATTTTATAACACGAATCTAAATCAAAGGGATTAAACGCAGATGACAGTTCACTGGAATTACTTTCATTTTAAGGTTCAGCCCCTCTATTCCTTCGTGTGCTGTATTTTCGAAGGCATTTTATGCTTGACAAAATTGCTTGGAGCTACCACCTCGTTTAAAAAAGGGATGCTCATGTTCGGTATTTGGTATCGGTAATCGGTATCGTCCAAAATCAGTAGTTAACTGAAGAGAATTACGCGTGAAATACATATAAAAATATCCTTCCAATGATAAGTAATAAAAAAATCCAAGGCGTAAAAAAGTGCAAAGTAAGCAAAACAGTATTTGCTAAAGTTCCAGGCTTTGGCTAACAACTACGAAACTCTATGCTTAACAAAGTGAAAATCGTACGGCTTTGGCTGTCTTCATACATATGCATGTGTGCGTTTGGCTGTGTGTGTTTTCTTTGTATATAGATTCAGAGCGAGGCAGCTACAATAGAACCCGACAGTCATAGAAAGGTGTGTAAGCGAGCAAAACCTATAACACGCATCTCTGTTGTTACAGAGTTCCAGGCCAAGCATTCTACTTTGCAAACGGCTAAATCGACTTTTTTTCTTGTGCGCTACGTACGTTTGCCTTAATTTTATTGAAAAAATTTGTAAATACAAAAATTATAACGCAGTTGCTGCGTGCTCTGTCTTTGGACACAGACGAACGGAGGTACGGAAAGGCGGTTGCAAATGGCGGAGTGCATTCATCGAGGTGCGCTATTAAATGACGTATGCTTCAAGTGCCTTTTTCTAAAAAAATACGTAGTGAAATTTAGTTTTGTTAACGCAAAGTTCTTAAACAAAATTTGTAGTGAAACAAGGTAGCAAACAAATAACAGCGTTTACTTGGAAAAAATTGTAAATCAAAAACGAAATTAAAACAACAACCGGGTGCTTGAGCAAGTGAAAGCAAATAAACAGGAATTTATCGTAATCATAGTTAATTTCGCAGATAGTAGACACAATGCCATGTATGGGAAAAATCTTTGACGAAATTCAAAAGCAATAAACCGACCGGCTGTGAAATAGGAAACAGTATCCACAAGTAGAAAAAATATTACCGATATATTGCAATTCGTCTGGAACTGCTAAAGTTGTCGTCATTGAAATCCGTGCGATTGGGTGAGTGCGTGTGTGTATGTGAGCTTATACATATAGTGCGGGTCGGCTCGCGTGTGACGTTATGTGTCGTAAACGAATGTATTGCTAGTAGTGGAGGAGGCGGCGGCGGCAACGGGAGAGGGACAAGCAGAGAGATTCGAAGAGAGCAATGTGAAAAGAGAGCCAAAACCGTAGTTAGTCTGTCCTTTCGTATTTTATTTAATTTTTTTCGGTGGCTGGCTGCGCTTTCCGTGTCGTCCGTGCCGTGAGCGTTCCTCTTGTCTGCTCTCCTAGTCGTTCTGTGTGTAGCTCTGAAAATTCAATGACCTCATTTGTATTAAACACGGAATTTCACCTTTTCAACCAACAGGACCAGCAACAAAACAGCCAGTACAGCACTCAACGGCTAGCTGAAGGTAAAAACAATCGAGAGAAATTTGTTAAACAAGCGAAAATCTACAAAAACCAACAGGAGTTTTAACTAAAAACGCAAAGCACAACAGTTATAGATCGAGACTAATAGCCACATCACAAGTGCAGTCTCAGTAGCAACAAGGAACCAACAGCACATATTCAACAGCCACAGGACACTAATGGGAACCAATTCAGGAGCCACCGCTGGCATCAACAATAAGCCAGTTGGTGGTGTCGGAGTGCTGGGCGTTGGTGGTGCTAATTCAGCGATCGGTGGCGTGCTGGCAAACAGTTTAGGCGGCGGTGGAGGCGGCCTAAGCATCAGTGGTCTTGGCGGCGGGGGGCAGAATGCTAATGTCGGCATAGTCACAGGTATGGGCGGAGGCAACAATGGCAGCGACGATGGTGGCAACGGTATGCCCGGCGGACCCAACAACCAACAGGCCACGCCCCAATACACAATACCGGGCATACTACATTTCATACAGCACGAATGGTCACGTTTCGAGCTGGAGCGATCACAATGGGATGTGGACAGGGCCGAGCTGCAGGTGAGTCATATATTCCCCCTGAAAATGTTGCCTCAGTTGACTTTCCATTTCAATGACTCTATCTTCGTGAAGGGGTGCTAATGGGTAAACCACCTTTTTCTTTCCGTTGCTTTTCAAGACCCATTTTATCATTTCATTAATTCACTCACAGTTGCAGCGGGGGTTGCAGGTCTTGGCTGTTTGCAAGCGAAGCGAGGCGAGCGAACAGCAATTGAAATCGAATTTATGCTCTGTTTGGTAGACGCTACGCTGCCATTACAAACCAACAGCTGGCTTTAACATACGGCCAATAGCGAGGCACATAAAGTAATTCGTGCCATCAATTTCGCGCCGCTAACTCCAATTGAGATCCCGAAATGCCAATTTTAATCTTATAATTAGATTTCCATGCATCTAGTCGCTTTCATAATAGCCCCTTTCATCCAAAAATCTTGGACCCTTTTCCTTTTGGAAGTAAATATACATAAATATGTACAGGTGATTCTGATTAGACATTGCATTTATTGTGTGTTGGCTTAAAGATAAGATTCGAAGTCTTCTGGTAGTTCAAAAGAGCACAGGAAAAGTTCCTGCTAACTATTTTTTCCCCGGTTAGTTGTTCTACGATATTCCAAAATTAGTAATAAAATGCAAATTTTGACCCTAAATTATTCTCTATACCGACTAGCAGATCAAAGCAATTACTTTACTGTAAACAATCATAAGAAAAAAATATATTAGATGACAACTAATACAAAAGAGAAAAAAGAGACTGCCAATTATTATTTTGTTATAAAATGCCACAACGGAACCAAGAGTTTCGATCATTTTTGGGTGTAGATGATTCTGAAAACAATTCAAAGATAGTGAACCTCCACCGATGATATTCATATTCAATTCAGCATCGAAACAAGTTGGAGGCGGCCACATTGATCGCATTGAACCTGTTTGCCTTGATTGTGGAAAGTCAAAAATAAATATATAAATAATATAAAAAAGAGGCACACAGTGGGCAGCTCACCGGCTAGACAACAACCCACCAGCGATGAGGGGACGCTATGTTGGTGTGCATTTCAGATTAGCAGTCGCATTATACATATATGTATAATTATGTATATAACACAAACTAACACATTTGGAAGAATGATAAATAAACTTCGCAATTTGCCAATCAATTTAACTACATTATTGATGATTTTTTCTTAGTTTTATGAAAAACTGAACCACCAAACATATTACTTTGCATAAATTAATTGTATATGCTTTTTAAATGTAAACAAATTTTTCATTCGAGAGTTCAGCCTCTAACTTAACGCCAGTACTATCCTATCTATCGAAAATTAACTAAAATTCTTCTTTTTTTTTAAAACTAACTCAAACTGAACAAATCACATGTAAAAAACGGTGAAAAATAAATGCAGTCGGTTAAGACTTAATATACTATATTGACTTGAAAAAATAAATAAATGTTTACTCTGCAGTTTTAAAATTATCTAGTATAGGGTTAATAAATTAATTCCAGGTTATTAAGAGTGAATTCTACAACAACTAACTCCTGAGAACCACCACATATTCCATTATTGGTTGGCATCTTAGTTAAATACATACATTAATATTGTAACATTGCAAAATACAAAGATATTGCGTTGGGTCTGCTATTTCTAAGGTATAGTAGTTTTCAGGAAGCTTCTTTAAATATTCAGGTCAACGATGATCAAATCTCTTAAAAAAAATTTGTCCTTAACTAAATGGATAACAATTAATCCTTCAAAGAGAAATCTTAAATTTTAACTTGTATATACTCTAGGTAACATTTATTCGTCCATTAATTAATCTGAACTGATATCGTTTATACCACTATGGAGAAGAGCACAATGTTCACGTATAAATGAATAAAATTTTCTTTACATATTTTCAGGCCCGTATAGCGATGCTGTTAGGGGAACGGAAATGCCTCGAAAGCCTCAAATCTGATTTGACGCGACGCATTAAAATGTTGGAGTATGCGCTGCGCCAGGAGCGCGCCAAATTCTATCGCCTAAAATACGGTACCGATCCGCCGCAGTTGAGTGAGTTTAAGCCATCAAATGATGATGCCGGCCTGACTGGCGATATCGCTACCGACTCCGAAGTGCCCTACAGCTCGGTGTCGAACACCACGTGGCGACAGGGCCGGCAAATGCTGCGACTATATCTGGCTGAGATCGGTTACACAGATAACATAATCGATGTGCGGTCGAACCGGGTGCGCTCGATACTGGGGCTAAATAATAATGCAGAGCATGACGGAAGCGGCGGGGGTGGCGAGAATCTGAGCCCAAACATTAATGGCAATGAGAGTAATAAGCGGGCATCAGAATCTGAAGGTAGGCTATATGCTTCAATGCACCCTGTTAAAGATTTGAATAATTTGCTCACATTAGGTCGTCATACTCCCGCTAAAAAAGTTCAACAATCTAATGATGCCATCATACTAGACACCGAGGCGGCTGTTATGGCGAACTTCGAGTTCCTTGGCCCAACAGAGATGTCTGACGACGATGAGATATCCGATGATCTCGAAATGGTGGCGACTGATAACGATGACATGGATGTTAAAATGGCCAAACGCCCCAAATCAGGCAAGGATATGCTGAGTGAAGGTATGATAGGCAGTCCAATTAAAATGCTGCTCCCAAAGCCCTCCCCAGGTGCCATTCTTTGCATATTGCACGAGCTCGCCATGCACCTTAATTCATTCTTTATTTTTATAAAGTTTAGGCATAAACGCAAACTCGTCCAGATTTTAAAATTTGGATCAGGAATCCCTCTCTAATTTCCCATACAAATATTTTCCCCACAATTGGAACTTGTTCTGTCCTTAAAATTTGTGAATTGATAGTTTTGAAAACACTCTCTTGTTTTGCAAATATATGTAACCATGTTAGTTCGAAACGAATCGAATGACTCCAAACCCACTCCTATTATAATATGTGTGTATATAAATATATATATATATGTGTATATACTATATATATAGATATATCCTTTAGATAAAGACGTAACCCAAATATGCATTGTCTTATGCTTTGCGTATCGTTTTCTGTGTTTCTTTTTCTTCTATGTGATATTGAAGATCTCGAAGCTGAGGTGGAGCTCTTGAACGATATAAATCTTATAACCGAAGGTGCTTAAGCTTAATAACTATATTTATTTAGCAACTGATTGGTTCGCTTAGACTCCTTTATTTCTCTTCTGATGTTAAATTCGATCGATTCTGTACGCTAACGAAGTTTGTTTATTTTCATTTTCATCTTTATCTCTCCAATATCCAATGCATTTATTCATCACAATTCCATCGCGTCACTGTCAAGGACCTTTTATACACACTAATAAAATGAATGGAATTACAAACAATTGTCATCCATTGCTTAATGCGGTCGTCGATGCGGCAGAAGTGGACGGCTCTTTAGGCTTGGGTGAATTGGCACAACTCACGGTTAACAATGAGTCGGATGGAGCTTATGATGCCAACGCCAAAGATGGCACAAGCGGAGGAGCTGGCGGGGCCGGCTATCGGAAAACTTGGAACGCCAAGTACACGCTTCGGTCGCATTTCGATGGCGTGCGCTCCCTTATATTTCATCCCGAGGAGCCCGTACTGATCACCGCCTCCGAGGATCACACGCTAAAGCTGTGGAATCTGCAAAAGACGGTGCAAGCCAAAAAGTCGGCTAGTCTGGATGTGGAGCCACTCTACACGTTTCGCGCACACACCGGCCCAGTTCTTTGTTTGGGCATGTCCTCGACGGGTGATACTTGCTACTCTGGCGGACTGGATGGCAACATCGAGTGCTGGCAGCTGCCATCACCGAACATAGACCCATACGACTGCTACGATCCGAATGTGCATTCGGGAACGCTCGAGGGTCACACTGATGCTGTCTGGGGGCTGACTACAATGCATAACAACATTATCTCGTGCTCGGCCGATGGCACTGTCAAGTTGTGGTCACCATACACAAAAGAACCGCTACTGCGCACCTACACGGCTGCAGAGACGGAAGGCGGACCGTCATCTGTGGATTTTGTTCGGAACGAGGTCGATCACATTGTGGTGGCCTATAATAGTGCGCATTGCATTATCTATGACACAGAGACGGGTAAGCAGATTATCAAGCTGGAAGCGGCACAGGAGATGTCTGGAAATACGGGGAAATTCATCAACAAGGTCGTCTCGCATCCGACACTGCCAATCACGATAACGGCACACGAGGATCGGCACATCCGCTTCTGGGACAACACATCCGGAACTTTAGTGCACTCAATGGTGGCGCATTTGGAGCCAGTCACCTCGCTGGCCGTCGATGCGCACGGCTTGTACTTGCTATCGGGCTCCCACGACTGCTCCATACGGCTCTGGAATCTTGACAATAAAACATGCGTGCAGGAAATCACCGCACATCGCAAAAAGTTCGATGAGAGTATATTCGATGTGGCCTTCCATGCCACAAAGCCCTACATAGCCAGTGCCGGTGCCGACGGATTGGCCAAAGTGTTTGTCTAAAGATCTACTGTTAAATCAGCTAAAAACAAACATGATTTCAAGTTGGCGTTTAATAATTATATTTATATACATATATATATTATGATAAATTTAAATATAATTAACATAACCATATTATTGAAGTAATAAAACATCATCCATGAGCAACAACATATTTGGGTAAATATAAGTATACCATAACACACCCAAAAACAAAAATATTATTGTGGAGGAATGAGAATTATAATCCAGAAAAATGTACACAGCATTTTCCCCATTAAAGTGCATATATACATACACGAAATTAGAAATTAGTAGTCGACACCAGTCCTGAAGTCCTTGGCGCTGTAGACTAGCAGTTCTCAGATTAGGAAACAATGCCGACAACTTCGATTCAAACAGTTGAGCAATAAAAAAAAGTAGAAATTCTGGGGATTTAGAGAGCAGGGCCTAAATAGATGGTGCTCCACATTTCGTAATAAGCGCCTCAGGCCGCTCACTGTGCAAGCTTATTTATATTTCAACATATAAACAAAGATATATGCATATATATATATATATCTTACAAATATTAACGATCAAATCTTTAGATTAAGTGGAATACACATAAAAACTTTAACGGAAGTTTAAACAAAACAGCAAATTGTAAAATAATATCATGAACTTATAATGAAGATATACCATATATCATATACATATATGATGTATGATTATGTATTACTTAAATATAGCCAGCGAAATGAACATAATTAGTTTAAACAAAGGAAAAACAACTTCGTTAAGATGTAAGCGCATAATACCAGAACGTAAAGCTTCTATTATTTTTCTAATGCCACATTCGTAAAGGATTATTTATTTTATTTATGCCTAGTATAAAACAAAAGGTAATATACCAGCTAAAACTGGTTATGTGTTTCCGTAAACTTGAAGTGGAATATAAATAAATACATACCTACATACATAGAGTTGCTTATTGTAGCAGTTCGTAAATTGTAATATAAGCATTAACGTTGATGAACTCTTCACTACACAAATTTAATGCAGTATATTTATATACATATACAAATATATATACAAATCGAAAAAACAAATTGATATTCGAGAGGAGTCGAGAAAAAGCGAAACTTAGAAATGCTCTACTATTCTTAATTATATATTTTAATTTGTACTTTAGTTCTGACGAAGGGCTCCCATATTGCTGCGAAGCTACATTTATATTTTTGAAAACCAAAATTTATATATTTATCAATACCCAGATCGAAGTTAATTGCGTGTATGCGCCCATCGAATCCCCTGCAATCGAAACAGAATACAAACACACACACCGCTGCGCATCCGATACACATAAAAATTATACTGATTTTAATTTTAACTGTACATTTTTATTTAACAATACAGCGTATTTTTATTTTAAATAAAGTTTTTAAAATGAAGCAATATCAGCGTTTGGCTTTTAATTTCCATGCGGCGACGGCCAACTTCCAACAATAAATTCCGCACTCAAACGCATGGATCGAACAATTCAAGTCGTTGTAAGCCAGCGGGCTCTCGTTTGCAACGTAATCAAATCGCAATACAAGTTGTCCACAATCATATGGGCATCATTTTCAAAATATATTCCGCTGCTGGCAGCATTTTCATAACATGTGTCATTTTTTTTTCTTTGTATTGCCAAGCAAAATTGGAACTTGATGCGCACATTAATGTTTTCATTTTAAAACGTTTAAAAGTCCACTGCCACATTTTTAGCATATGGGAATTAAATCCATTCTTATTTTGACAATATAAAAATGTTTGAGCGCAAGCAGATTGAAATTGAAATAAACGTAACCTAAGAGTTCTGCAGTTATTTAAATCACAACAAAAGTATGTTAACACGCATAAAAATGAAACTAGAACAAATTAAGTTAAACTACATTAAAAAAGTCCCGTTCATTGTAGATTCTAAGCATATAGAAAATTCCTATGTCCCAGCACTTATACGTCTATATATAAGGTAGAACCCAAAATAATAGCGTATTAAAAAATTTTATAATAAGCCGAACGCATACATGATATTCTCTATAATACAAAAATGAACTTCACACATTTCATATTAAGACATAAAGAAATTAAATAAATACAATTTTAAAACCAATTTTAGCTTTCATATCATCATTTGATTTTCAGTGCTTCGCGCCAATCAAAAAGCGAAAGGCAGTTTTTAGCACTTTCGTACATCGTTTTACAACACAGCTGGTATTTGGAACGTCCCACCTCTAGTTACCAACTTGTTAATCGGTTGTCCCTGCGGTTGCTTGGCCAAGCCTGAAGGCCACAATGGAGTCCGCACCTTTCGCAGAAATGGATAAAACACAAGTAAACAGTTAATTTAAGTCTGCAACAGGTTTACTAATGGCCACCATTTTCAGATACCGCCATTAAATCAAAACAGAATTCTCACATTTGTAAACAGTTTTTTAATCAACACTTGTACGTTTCTTAATGAATTCACACTGTCCTGCGAGGCAAAGTTTATTGAGCTTGAGCGCAAATTACAGCGAACCGAGGCAGCGTTAATTATACTAGAAGCCAAACTCGCCTCTATTCCCACCGATCCTGAGGGCGATGTTGCAGTGCCCTCACAACCGGCACAAATACCCGTATCGGCACCCCAAGATCCTAAAGCTAATGCCAACATAGTTGCTTGTGAGACTGAGAGTTTGCCAGTTGAATCTAAACCCACAGGTGTGCGTGTCTGTGAAGATATCCGCTACAAGAAATATTTCAAAATGGTACAAGTCGGCGTTCCAGCGGCCGCAGTCAAACTTAAAATGCAATCCGAAGGTCTCGAACCGAGTTTGCTAGAGTAAGCAGTGTATGCTAGCGATAAAGGTGCCCATTTATTTTTTTTATCTTTTCAATACAGCAATCCCGAGTCTATTGTGGAGGATGGTGTGATCGAAGATGCTGGCATATGATTAAGTAAATCCGAAGTGAACCATTCACGGATTGTGATATATGTACATACATATGTAGGTATTATAAGCACTTGTTTGTATTAATACGATACCAATGAAACGCTTGCAACAGTTTAGATCTACTGTTTCTTTATTTTCCTCTTGTGCACACCCTTTAAAGTGCTTGCAAATAGTTCTACTCAAGCCAAAACTACAAACACATCGATATACAAAAGTAGTGGGATCCGGCTTAGAACTGAATCATCTGTCCCTTGCGCTTCTTGTCACCACCCAGCTCGAAGTGCTTGCAACGCTTCAGTGGAGTCTGCTTACGGTATTTGCACTCAGTACACTCCATACGCAGCACGATCTTTTTCGTGGTCTTGGCCTGAAACGAACGCATTGGAGCAACCATTAGTATAATGAAATCTTTGTGGTGACAACAATTAATAATATTTGTTTGAAACTGCTGAGAATGCATTATACGACTTCTGTATCGATAATGCTGCCAGTATAGGCTCTCCCGTACAGCAACAGTTTTAATTTGGCAAAGTTGTTTCCCACCGAAAAGCCGAGTGCCAACGGCGCGGCAATTTGGTTCTACTAAGCATTGCCGAAAAAATAGTAAAAACTGCGTAATTTTGCTCACCTTCTTCCTGAAGATAGGTTTGGTCTGACCGCCAAAACCCTGCTGTTTTCTGTCGTAACGTCTTCTGCCCTGAGCACCTTTTCGCTCCTTGGACTTCTTGTACTGCGTTACTTTGTGCAGCTTGTGCACCTTGCACTTCTTGCAGAAGGTGCGGCGTTGTTTTGGTACATTCACCTGGAATAAGAAGACTCCGTTTTAAAAATGCCTCATACATGTCAAATAAAAGCACATATACAGCTGCATGTACAAAGCTCTCGCCGACAAATATCAAATTTTAGACGGCACAAATAACGTTCTTTAATCGAGGAGGGTCCTGAATACTAATTCTGAACCATAAGTAGTAGTTTTAATTTCCGTTTGTTGTAACTTTTATTACATTTCCTGGTTTTTTGAGACCGATGTTTTAAGATTTTTACGAAGACTAATTTCAACACCTACCATATTGAAAGGGAAGAAAACGCAAAAGGCAACAGCTAGGGATGTCAGAGACATCGATATATCGAAGTTTGGCGAGTTTCAAAACATTATACATCGATGTTTTTCGATTTACTTTGGCGATGTATCGACGTTCCATCCTGACTATAAACAAAAGACTCCAACAATGGAATCTGGGGACATAATACGGAGATACGGCTTTAAAATTAAACCACTAGATGATTAGAGCCAACGAAACATTGGCGTCCCCAAGAAATATTTAAAGTCTAGATTTAGTATTTTTATCATTATGATGTATGTTCACCCTACATATACCGCACGCACAATAAGCTTATTAGCTGCGTGCATGAAAATGAATATATCGTAGAAAAAAGTGATGATGTCACAATTTACGAAACAAAATAGAACAAATGTTTATGAAAATGTATTAACAAGAACATTGCGAAAATTGATAGGTCCCACATTTTTATAGAGTTTTTGTTTTGATAGTTTTCGTCGAGTTATAACTTATAAAGAAAAATGTTATATTTATTCTTGGTCATGAGAAGTAAATAACAGCTAATTCGTCATACAAATTGTTTCTTACGTGAGCATGACGGCAATTTTTGTCACACTCACATCTCTAATGCACATATACAAATACTCTCGTTTGTCGTTTCACTAAGTTTGTTAAAATGCGCTAAATGTATATTGTGCGGAAAATCAACAACAAATGTGTACAATAAGTATGTGTTGTTGATGAAAGGCCCAACACACTTTGGCAGGAGAAGAACAAATCGGGAACTAATGGCGAAAACGTTGTGATTCCTGTTTTATGTCATGAGGGCTAATTTGCATTAAAAATTTGAGCTACTAAACGGCTATTAAAATGCGAAGAATGTACACATTGTTGCCAGCCTTGACATTCTGTATAATAGCCCTACAATTTCCGCAATCAACATACCAGCAGCAAAAAGCCGCACCATGTGATCGCACTCGAAAGGTATTCCAATAATGTTTATTTTTAAAAACCTAATTTTAATAACAACAATAACATCAAAAGGTATTCACCGAACCATTTGGAGATATCAGCGATGGCCCGATCGGGTACAACTACACTCAAGATTCACATTGCGAATGGCTCATTAAGGCCAAAAATGACAGCCAATTCATAACCCTAACATTCCATAATATGGACACAGAATGCTCTTACGATTACATTTACGTGTACGATGGCGACTCATTTAATTCAACGCTCCTGGGCAGTTTTAGTGGACGAACACTACCACAAAGATTGGTGGCACGCAGTGGCAGTGTAAGTGCTCATGCAGATATGTGTTTATATATGTATGTTATTTAATACAAGTTATCTATTAACAGATGCTGATACTGATGTACAGTGACACCAACTATGTGCTTGATGGCTTCCGTGCTTCCTATTACATATCAAACTGCCTGAACAATTGTCACAATCACGGCAAATGTGTTGGACACCAGTGTGTTTGCCACGGCGAATGGGTTGGTCCCGACTGTGAGGATGAGGCGTGTCCACATAAGTGCGGCGAATCGCAAGGACGTGGAAAGTGCCAGAAAAGTATTTGTCATTGTGCCAGTGGCTACAGCGGGCGACTGTGTGACTTAAACGACAATCCAACTGGCAGTAGTTGGCGTTGGTTGGCCACCGACGCAGAAGGCATGACGCCTCGTGCGGCCCATAGCGCTGTTTATATGGAAGATGAGGATGCACTCTATGTGTTTGGTGGCTACGATTTAAATAATGTGATTAGCACACTGCAAGTTTATCGTTTTAACACCAGCCAATGGGAGGATGAGTGGGGCATTCCATTGCAGAGTCGTCGGCATTTCTATCATCCGCATAAAATTGATCACACACTCCTTAAGGCGGTATTGCAGCATAAGAACGAGGATGAGGCCAAACTATGGGGTCTGAATAGTGATGTTTCGTTTTTTCGCAACATACTTTATACACTCGCCGAGTCAAATCTACATCAACGACGAACGCGCTCTTCTCTGCCACTTACCACAGTGAACGCCAACTCTACAGATGAAGAATTGACTGAGTATTTGGAGGATATACTCGAGGAAGTGACAAACAAGCCACACGGTCGCTATGGGCATGCGGCGGATCGCGTGCCTGGCGGCTTCGCCATATATGGAGGCAAGCACGCGAATGGCAGCTTCTACAACGATCTGTGGCATTACAACAATACGGAGAGCGGCGGCAAGTGGAAGCAAATGGCAATAAATTCGGTAGTAAGACCGCCGGCATTGGCACGCCACACCCTAACAACAGCGAACGGCTATTTGTATCTATTTGGCGGCAGTCTGCAAACTGGCGAGTTCTCCTCGAGGTGGGTGTTATCCCATAATTAGTTGACATTTATAAACTTAAACCTTTAACTATCTTTATAGCATTTACTGCATTCAGTTGCCATTAAGCGAACAATCCCAATGGGAAATAGTGCATCCGCGCGGCGGAAAAATGCTAGATGTGCGTTTGGCGGCACACACTACCGTCTATTACAAAGCGACCAATTCGCTGATCGTTTTTGGAGGCATCATGACCAGCTTGGCACGTTTTTCTAAGCTTTCGGACCGCATTTTCGCCTTTCAGCTAGACCAGCTTCACTGGACGGAGATACTATATCCGCGTACGGCGCTGCGCGACACGAACATACCGCGCGAACGCGCATTCCACTCTGCCACAATTTCTGGCAACTACATGATCGTCTTCGGTGGCTACACACATCGCCACAACAAGGATGAGATCTGCTACGACAACCAAATGTATTGGTACCACCTAAGCTGTCACATCTGGATAAATCAAGTGGTGTCTGGTGACGACAGTCTTTACCCAAAGCGGCAAGGCGTTTTTGCACATGGAGCCGCTTTGCGGCACAACCACACCCTGCTCATTGTGGGCGGCTATCATGGCAATGTGAACGCCGATTTGTTCGCCTACGAGTTGCCGCAGGTTTTGCGAGTGGAGAACAATTTGTACAATATGTCGTGTCGTGAAATGCGTAATCCGCTGTCCTGCCTCTCTCATCCAGAATGCGGTTGGTGTTCGGCGGACAACAGCTGCTATGGCCGGACCATAGGGGCTAACTGCACCACAAATCTGCAGACAACCCGCTGCCCGGGAATATGCCCCTCATTGGGAGACTGTCATTCATGCCTCGTGCACGGTACACAGTGGGGCGGCAGTGCTGACGACAGCCAATTGTCGGTGGCCAGCAAGTTGTGCGCCTGGTGTGTGCAGAATGCGCGTTGCCATCACAGAGACGACAACTATGGTATTTGCGGCGACTCGCCTGGCTGGTGGGGCGATAAAGGCACCGAAATACGGGAGCCAACGCTTTGCACCATTAAAGATCGAAGGCCAGGACTCACATACATCAAATACCATTTTCCAATCAATTTATCCATGCCGGATTACGTTGGAATTGTAAATGCTACCATGGTGGACTTTGCTTCGCCACCGCCAACCACTCATCTAGAACAGAAGCTGGAGGGTGAGATGCTTGCGAGACTGCTAGGCTTTGTTCGCCCCCAGAAACAATGGAACAACTCAGCTATTCAGGTGTGTACGAGTTACTCATCCGCCGTACTGCGCGCCGGACTGGATACAAATTTGGAAATGCTACGAAATTTAACGACACAGGCCTCCAATCAATCCTTCTGCAGTAATGTACAGATGCCAAGCACTGAGCAGCCATTCCTGATTGACTTCCAGGTCGGTACAATAATGTTTATTATAAAGCTAGTTACTATTTAGTTAAGAAAACTCAACCAACCTATAGGCTTTCTTTTGATAAACTTTCTTGAATAAGATAACTACTAATCGTACAATATCTTGGAACTACAGAAATACAATTTAAGCGATATAGTAATCTTGTTCAAGTTAAAATACCCATTATAGTTAAATATTTTATTCAAACTGAGCTCCGCAAGTTAACACTTAGGTTTTCAGTTTCCCTTATTCTAATCAAATATTTAAACTATACAAGTGCAACCTTTGAATTCCCTACAATAGGCGAGGCGACGCATTGGTGTCTACAACATTTTCAATACTTATCAAAAAACCAAAATGGAGCTTCAGCATCTGTACAACAGCAACCTGAACGCCTTCACTTTCGAGTATCTGGAACCGTACTACTCAGGTAACTGCAGCCAATACACAAATTGTCTGCATTGTCTGACGGATGCTTCCTGCTCCTGGTGTGAGCTCACAAGTAGTTGTCACCTTAAGTCGGAGAATGAGAGTGCCGTGTGTATGTCATCGGAGCCGTCTCCCCACTGGGCCTATTTAATTGTACAGCCTAGCCAGTGTGCCAATTGTTCCAACTATGTGTCTTGTGAAAAATGCGCGGCCAGTGGCCTGTGTGAATGGTGGACGGAAGATGCACGCTGTGCGCGCATTGGCCGGTCTAATAATAGCGTTCGTGATGTCGCCAATTGTCCCATTCCCTGTCGGCACCGAATAGGCTGTGAGGATTGCCTCAGTGAGCGCGGACGCTGCGTTTGGTGCGAGGCCAGCGCCCAGTGCTTCAGCTTTGCCGTGTACACCAGCGAGTATCAGTTTGGCATGTGTCGAGAGTGGATGGATCAAGCTGTAGCTGTGGCTAGCGCATCTACAAGTATCTCCCCCTCACTGGGAATGGGAGGATTGGGCAGTCAGCTTAGTCTAGGCACCAACAGTTACAGCGTCCCGGTGCAGCCGCCACCTCAGCAATGCAAGTCCTGCGATCGTCATACGAACTGCTCCTCCTGCCTTCGCACCTTAAGCTGTGGTTGGTGCTTCGATCGCGACAATCCCATCGAGGGTCTGTGCATGCAGGGCGACTTCAGTCGTCCGTTCGGCAACTGCTCGCTGGCTCTGAACAGCTCGACGCTGCATGATGCCGAATGGGCATACGCCCAGTGTCCGGATGTAGATGAGTGCGGTCTTGGATTACACGATTGCCACAAGGAAGCAAAGTGCACGAATACGCAGGGCTCCTATAACTGTCATTGTCGACGCGGCTATGTGGGCGACGGACGCTTCTCCTGCATGCGCACCTGCTACGAGTTTTGCCAACACGGTTACTGCTCAGGCCCGCCCGACTATGCCTGCAAATGTGATTTGGGCTGGACAGGCAGCGATTGCTCCGTAAACTGCGGCTGCAATAACCACTCGACGTGCACGGAACGTGTGGGAAAGTGTGATCAGTGTCAAGCCTGGACAGAGGGGGAGCGTTGCGAGCGATGCCGGCAAGGGAGTTACGGTAATGCAACGGCACCTGATGGCTGCCATCCATGTGAGTGCAATGGGCATGGCAATCAGGATCTGGGAATTTGCAATGTCGGCAACGGCGAGTGCTATTGCAAGGATAATACCGAAGGTCTTAAATGCGACAGCTGCGCCGCTGGTTATTATGGAGATCCACGGGATGGGGGTCAGTGTTATTTTCAGTGTGAATCACGTGGCATATTGTCGAACATTGGCAGAAGCGGCATTGGCTCGTATCAGTCGTATAGAAGTCCCTGGGGTGCCAGCTTGGAAGTGCGTGAGTGCCTCTGGATCCTCCAGCCAAAGACATTGCAGGCGGAAAAGTCGCTCCTGCAGCTGGAATTTCAATGGAGCAGCCTTAGCATGGATTGTGATGAGAATGCAGTTTATATCTACGACAGTCTGCCCGATCTGACGGGCGCCACACAACAAAATCAGCTTATTTCCGTAGTATGTGCACCTTACAGTGCTTCGCGCATTATTGAGGCGCGCTCCAATCATGTCACAGTCTATTACAAGCAAGGCAAGCACTTCGGCTTCAATGCCCTTTACTCGGTAAAGAATTGCGTCGCCCGCACATGCCTCCATCCTCATATATGCGACGAGCAACAGCGATGTGTCTGTCCCACTGGGTATGTAGGCGCTAAATGCGAGATCGAGATCTGTCCCAAGAATTGCAATGCGAAGCGCATGCAGGGCTACTGCGATACGGACTATGGGCGTTGTATCTGCAATGGGAACGAAAGCTATGCCGGTCCGGACTGCGGCACTCGGATACGACACAATCACTTGGTTGTCACCGAACTTTTTAACACTCAGCTGCTGAGCGAGTCCTTCGAACATTTGCGCAAGACGATACCACGATTCGGTCATTCGGTGAACGCGGATAGACGGGGCTCGCTTTGGATGTTTGGTGGATACTCGCCGTCGCACGGACCCCTAAACGATTTTCGACAATTCGATACCAAGAATGGCAGCTGGATGCAGGTGACCGTTGAATCGACGCCAGATGACAAAATGCCCCTCGGTCGGTACTTTCATGCTGCCGAGATATTTGTGAAAAAGCAGATAATATTCATTTATGGCGGCATTACGGTCGTGCAGGGCCACCAAGGTCGTTTGCTAAAAGACTTTTGGCAGTTTTCCATACAAAACCAACGCTGGAGTCCCATCGCCTTAGAACATCTCGCGGCTGAGGAGCTACCCCCTGCATTGGCTGGCCACACCCTCACCCAAATACGTTACCACGATCGAGAGTCGCTGGTACTTGTGGGTGGTATGACGCAAAACAAATCTCTGCCCTTGCAGCTGTGGGAGTTTAACTTGGACACATTTCGCTGGGAGCAGTTGAAGGCAATGGGCGTGCGCATGCCGGTGCTTTATGGTCATAGCACCGTCTACCATGCCGAGTCCCATATACTGTATGTCTTTGGGGGCTATTCCACAGAACCACAGAGCACTCTCTATGGTCTGAATCTGCAGAAGCTCAGCTGGACCGAACTGCCTGTCTTCCAGGATCTGAATCGTCCGGACAGCTTGCTGCCACGCGCGCGTTACTTTCATTCGGCAGTCACCACGGAGCACTATATGGTCATCTATGGTGGCCGAACCAGTCCCTACAATGCCTCCGATGTGCTCATCGCCTACGTCTATTCCTGCAATCAATGGATACGCCTCACTGACGATGTCGAGATTATTGGTCAACTACCACAGTCCACCTATGCGGAGGATATAACCATTGAAGTGGATAACAAGTCCATTTACATCTATGTGATTGGTGGCTGGGATGGCAGCGCCACTCTCAGTCATGTAACTCGCATCCAGCTGCCTGAGGACATTTGCCAGCTGTGGAGCAGCGGCAAGTACCGCTGCCGCCACTACATGGGTTGCAGTTACTGCACAATTCAAAGTGCCACACAGATCTCCTCGCTTTGTTTCACGCAAGGACACACACCCTGCGCCAATCACAACGGCACCCTGGTGGTGAACAATGGAGCTGCTTGCGATGACGCCTGGATGGCTAGAAGGAACTGCTCGAGCTTTAGCAGCTGCACGGCCTGCTTGGCATCGTGGCCAACGCATCAGGAGATGACGCCGGTCTGCCAATGGTGCGATGAGTGCGGTATTAAAGGACGTTGCGTACCAGCGGGTGTGGACTGCGAGCGACGCAGCACTTGGTGTAGCAAGGAGGCGAGCATTGGAGTCCTTGGACTGTGCCCACGACCACAGTGCCACACGTTGAGCTGCGAAGTTTGTATGTTGAACGAGATGTGCGGCTGGGCCCGCAACGAGTTGGGCATTGTTGAGTGCATTTCGAAGGAGCTGGTAGAAAAGAACGAATACCGAATTGTGAATCAGTGCCCGCCCCCCTGTTACAGCTATAGCAACTGCTCCACCTGTCTGCATGAAGAGCACGAAAATCCCAAGGATTGCAAATGGTCTACGATGCTAAATGCCTGCATTTCTCCCCGATCCCAACCACTGCTTTGCGCTGGCGGTGTATGCGGTCTCGTGCTGGATACAAGCGAGCACGATCGTTGCCCCGAACCCTGTCATGTGTATAGCCAATGCTCGACGTGCCTAGAACATGCCCATTGCGGGTGGTGCTCACGTGATGGGCACAACGGTGATGGCATATGCACTGAGGGATCGCTGGAGCACAAGCAAGAGTATCCTTCAAGCTCCACCTGCGATCTCATCTACGCTTCATTGCGCAATGACTCACACCTCACACCTGCAGACGTCGTCACCTGGAACTATGTGAAATGTCCGGCGGAGAACGAATGCGAGAACGGTCATCACAATTGCAATCCCGTATCCGAACGTTGCATAGACGCCGCCGTCGGCTACAGATGTATCTGTGGCGAAGGCTATCGCGATGAGAACGGCACCTGTCTGCCGGTTTGCAGTCAAGGATGCGTGCGAGGCAACTGCGTTCGCCCCGACGACTGCCAGTGTGACTTCGGCTACGTGGGCGCCAATTGCAGCATTCAGTGTCTGTGCAATGGACACTCCAATTGCGAGGGTCCCGATCGTCTTGACATCTGTCTCGAGTGCCATAACAACACTATGGGCGAGCAGTGTGAAAAGTGTCAGCCCCTCTTCGTCGGCAATCCACGTGAGGGCCACTGCCAGCCCTGCCTTGAATACTGCAACGGGCACACAGACATATGTGTGGCCTACGACTCCGATCCGGCTGTCTTTAATATGACGCGTTCCGAACTCGAGCGCATCCTGCCCGAAGGACCTCAGGCGAATGCCACTTGTCTGCGCTGTGCAAATAAAACTGACGGAGATCGCTGTGATACTTGCCTCACCGGCTATTTTCGAGGCAGTGAGGATCATCGCCGTCACTGCCGACCCTGCCAGTGCCAAGGTCATGGCAACGTCTGCGACCCCGTCACCGGTGAGAAATGTAATTGCGGGAATAACACGGAGAGCGACGCCACTTGCACCGCCGGTGGTGGCAAGAACTCCGCCCAACTCTGCTGGAGCGTCCAGTGTTCCAAATGCCGCGACTCCTATGCCGGTAATCCCACAGATGGACACCAATGTTATAAGCAAATCACCGTCGAGTCCCGCATGTGCTTCGATGCCAAGCCAATCGGTAAGCTGATCAATCATAATATATCCTTTTGTTGCCATTTATTTTGTGTGGTTGTGGGAAACGAAATTCACGGAAGCATTAAAGTTAATCGGAAAAGTGTGTTTGTAGGATTTTGGAAAGCACCTTTTTAAATTCATTAATCGTTTCCAAACCATAATGATCCAGCTTGAGTCTAAGCCCAGACTTCAAATATATGTTTGGGTTTATGAACTAGCATGCCCGGCTTCGTTTAGGTTAAGAAAATCGTATTAGAGGGGGGTGGAGGGGATCCGTTTTTTTTTTATTATTTAAAATCAGTTAATGTTGCAAAAGTGGTTCCGATTAGGTACTTAGTTTGAGAATCGCAGAGGAGGACGGCCGTTTTAATTTAATTTCACACAATTTTAAATACATAAATAAATCACCTATTTTCGGCTAAAGTAGCTTCGCTTAGGTACTTAGTTTGAGAAGCGCAGAGGAGGGCGGCCGTTTTGATTTAATTTTACACAATTTTATATACATAAATAAAATAAATAAATCACCTATTTTCGGCTAAAGTAGCTTCGCTTAGGTACTTAGTTTGAGAAGCGCAGAGGAGGGCGGCCATTTTGATTTAATTTTACACAATTCTATATACATAAATAAAATAAATAAATCACCTATTTTCGGCTAAAGTAGCTTCGCTTAGGTACTTAGTTTGGGAAGCGCAGAGGAGGGCGGCCGTTTTGATTTAATTTTACACAATTTTATATACATAAATAAAATAAATAAATCACCTATTGTTGGCTGAAGTGGCTTCGCTTAGGTACCTAGTTTGAGAAGCGCAGAGGAGGGCGGCCGTTTTGATTTAATTTCACACAATTTTAAATACATAAATAAATCACCTATTGTTGGCTAAAGTGGCTTCGCTTAGGTACCTAGTTTGAGAAGCGCAGAGGAGGGCGGCCGTTTTGATTTAATTTTACACAATTCTATATACATAAATAAAATAAATAAATCACCTATTTTCGGCTAAAGTAGCTTCGCTTAGGTACTTAGTTTGAGAAGCGCAGAGGAGGGCGGCCGTTTTGATTTAATTTTACACAATTTTATATACATACATAAAATAAATAAATCACCTATTGTTGGCTATAAAATTGCGTAAAATTAAATTAAAACAGACGCCCTGCTCTGCGATTTTCATGCGACGCACTCAACCAAAGCCATTTAAACATCATTAACTGATTTTTAATGGAAAATATGGCCCTCCTCTGCGCTTCTCAAACGAAGAACTTAACCTAGCCACTTAAACCTCCAATATCTATAGTAAATCGTATTAAATATATGCAAGGCCTCAAAACTCTAGGACTGTTTGGATACAATTATATGGCAAGCAATTAAATAACATGCAATTCTAATACATTTTTATTTATTTGGATTTCTGCAGAGGAATGCAAGTCGAAGCCGGCAGCGCTGAAGCCCGGACAGACAGTTTTCTTTGTGATACAGCCCCGGTTTATGAATGTCGATATTCGGATTATAATCGATGTGACTCAGGGGGAGTTGGATGTGTTCATGTCTCCGCAGGACGACTCGTTTATTGTGAAAACAAATGAGACGAACGGATATCACGAGATCTTTCTGGACAATCGCTACAGTTGGGGACCCAAAATCAAGCGCCTGCATCCTCTCAATGTGGCGATGCCACGCCACGACAATGCAACACTGCAGAAGCTGTTCTCGCCGGAACGTCGCATCAGTGGCATTGGCACTGGAAGTGGTGGGAGCATCAGCAGTAATATAAATATTCCGCATCTGCATGACTGCAAGAGTCATGGCGGGCATAGCTTTTTTGTGAAGGACAAGCACGCCAAGGATCTGAGCACTCACGTCACCCTTAATCAGTGCAATACGCTGCTTAGATTGTTTGGCCTAAAGAATCGCTTGGTGCTGACACTGCCTCAGAATGCGCACAATTTGAGCGCCACCCGTTTCTTTATAGCGCTGCGTGCCAGTTCGGGACCGGAACCAAGCTATGGTTCCGTTGTTTTCCGGCAGGATCAGCTGCACATCGATCTCTTTGTATTCTTCTCCGTCTTTTTCTCCTGCTTCTTTCTCTTCCTGGCCGTCTGTGTGATTGTCTGGAAAGTCAAACAAGCAGCTGATCTACGCCGCGCACGTCGCCAGCATGTGGTGGAGATGCTGCACTTGGCGAAGCGTCCCTTTGCGCAAATCTTCCTGGCCTCCGCTAGCCTGGATATGGACAGTCCGCAGCCGACCTCGTCCTCGACTCGTGCCATCCGAGCGCGCGCTCGACACGCCCTCCTTCTGCAACAACAACAACAACAGCAGCAGCTTCATTCGCAGCTGCAATTAGCTCGAGATTCGTCCCATCATCATCTCCAGCCAGGGCGGCACCATGTGGCCACAGATATAATGCTGATAGCCATTGAGCCGACTTTCGATAATTTGGCAGCCGTCGGCACCGTATTTATTAGTCTCCCGGGCCGCTCCAAAGCGCCACTCAGCATTGCGCTCGGCTCAACGCTCATCTCCTATCCGCGGCAATATCCGCTTAATGCCCGACACTTTATACGAGCCGCTCAGCGTCACGGACACGCCTCCAGTGTGGGCCACCATCAGGCCTAAGGTATTAAGGTAAATATAAATACATACGTACGTACATATATGGATATGGAATCTTGAATCTCGCGCAATATATTTTAGACACGTAAGCACATCACACACACAAAACTAGTAAAATATTTAAAACCAGTGTTTTATTACACGTCTAGGGAATTTTTGTACATACCAACATATATGTATACATAACTAGTTAAGCAAAAAATGACATATAAACTAACATTTAGCATATAAATACTAACAAATTAAGAAGCTAGACCCATAAGAATTTAAAACTAGAATTCTGTATCGAATTTGAACTGAAACAACCAACTAAGGAACAAAAGAAGAGAAACAAAAACTTCCAAATCACCAGTATGGCAGCGACTCCAATGGGAACACACTCGTATGTATGTCGCTTGTCTAGCTCAGTATAAACAGCAACAATTGGAATTTATTTAAGCAGTCAATTTTGTACTAAAAACTCTTACGCGAACATATTTCAAAAGAATATCGCCAAGGAACGCCATAACTGAAAGAATAGAATAAATTTGGGCTGTGCAGCAGGATAGCTTGCAGTCACTATGTACTCCCTAGAGTTTTGCAACACACTATACATATATTACAAAATATTCCGAAAAGTTTTGAGAAGCAAAAATGAATGCACAAAAGGTGGGAGTGCATCGTGGGTACAATCTCGCGTTGCACAGCTCTAGTATGAATATATTCAAATAGAATTATTGAGGGAAGTGGTTAATTAAAATGATATTTACTATATTTGTCCATAACCTTTTGATATACATATCTATATGTATGTATGTATTTGATGATTTATTGCAGCTTAGCGTGCAATCAGTTCGATCCATTTAGAAACGAAACAGGGTTGGGTATATTATTTTTGCAATTGTTTTTCAATTTTATTATTTTTAGTTACGTTTGCGTGCGATTTGTAAATAATTCTGTATTGTTTTGTGTAATGTTTGTGTACTTTATGTGTATATATATATGTATTTGTTAATTTATAGTAGAATATTCCTTAAGTAGGGTGGCTCCTTGTTGCTCAAATAATTAAGGGGAAGGCAACCGCGTTCTCGCACACTACAATCGAGCTCAATGAATCACTATGAATCAAAAAATAACACTCGTTGCAGTTAAACACCCACTCATCAATTATAATCTACTAACGAACAAAATCTCAGACACAGTGGTATTACAAAAAAACTATGAGGTTGTATTATTTTACAACATTAACTTAATTTTCTAAAAATATGTTTTTATTTTTTCATGTTTTTTGTTAGTTTAAAAAATTAGCAAAAATCTGTAAGAACTGATTTTAAATTTTGTGACGATTGCAATATATATTTTACTTAGTTTAGATGTTTTTATATGCTTGTTTTGCTTTTGAAATATAAACAAATAATACACGTAAATAATTACATATTGATCTTTTATTTCAATATGAAAACGAATAATTTTATTGATTAATTATTAAATATTGATAAATATGTATACATATATATTTATATATAGGGCGTATATTTCTATATATTGGCAGCAGCAGCTGCTATTTAATTTTAAATCAGGTTAAACTATATTCTTTGCCGCCTCCTGTAACATTTGACGACTACGAGTTGACATCCAATTCAAATCGAAAAGAAAATACAAAAACAGGTGCGATGCTGATGAGGCAAACATTTAGCTAGAGGTGCTCGCGGTCGATGGTAATGCTGCCAGCATTTCGTCGATGAAGCTGTCTGGCTGCTCGATAAGATGCAGCAGTCCTGAAAAATAAAAAGTCGTTAATAGGCTTGACTTTAAGAAAACCTTTTCGTTGCTTACCAGCCACGTCGCAGAACTCGCCAAACGAGGTGCATGGCATAAACTCATCGGTCAGCGTTTGCAGGATATTATCCGTGGACTTAAGCATGACTTCGTCGTTCTTCCGAATGAAGTCAAATAGGGATATGGACCAATCCTCCTCCTTGGGCGTGCTGACTGTTTTGAATAGCGTATTGTAGATAAGGTCCACTACCGCCCACATCATCAGGAAAGGCTTATACACGTTGTACTCTTTGGTCTGTCGGTCCCCGGGCGTCAGCAGCGCCTTGCACAATACCGATGGTGATACATGGCGGGCCTGGGCAACAGCAAGCAGGCGCTTCAAATGGGATACCTTATGCTTATTCCACAGTTCACGGCTGTGCAACGACAAAGAGATAGTGATCATGTAGAGCGGTCCATCGACCTCATAGCCGCACTCGAGCCACTTATCCGAAGGCGGTGCCGTCAAATAGGTGAGCAGGGTCTTGCTATCCCGGGCGGCTGAGCGCGAGGAGAGCAGCAGATAAACGGCATAGAAGAGCAAATAGGGTACAAAGTGCATATTTGACTGTGGTCCACCACCGCCGGCATCGTCGTGGAAGCTACGCTCCCAAGCGAACCGCATAAGTAGCAGCTTCAGATCGTGGACGCTGCTCGTATACGAGATGTCGCAGCGCTGCGTACTCTCCTGCATATAACTGCTGTGCCGAGTCATGCAGCCAGAGAAAGCGGCCTCTGTCACATTCGGGCCCCAAAGCGGTAGCAGGCCGTTGCATCGGGTGTTCGCATTTTGTAGACTGGCGCGTTCCCATTCGTCGCGACCACGTGTCAGCCGTATAGCCGAGGTGTGGCAGTCGACGTGCACGACATTGAAATGAGTAACCGTGGTGTATCCGACAGTTTTGCGCGACTTTAGTTCGAATTCTTCGACGTTGCAGCGCTTGGTAAATGTATAAATGCCAAGCACCTTTTCCGGCTGGCAGGCGTATCCCTCGCGGCAGATAAAGCAAGTAAGTCCTGTCTCGTCGCGCAACTTCTCGATCTTCTGCAGAATGGAGCCCTTGGCTGTAACCTGGCCCTTCTCGTTAGTGCGCATACCCAAAGCATCCAGCTGTTTTTCACGCGTGGCCATAGCCAGACGCTTCTTTTCGGCCCGCGTAAAATCGCGCACCTCCTGGACGCGCGTAGCGGTTGCCGAGTCTGTGCTTAGAGCCTCGAGCAGATTCTCGGCCAAGCTGCCGACATGCTCATCGCTAGACACCTGCTCCAAACGATGTATGATCGGTATGATGTCCTTGCTGATGGCCAGCTGTGTGGCCTCATGATGATTAGCAAGTCCAGTAAGGAAACGCAGAATATACTTGAGACTTGGCCGTGAAATGAATTCTTTCAATTCATCAGAGTCCGTTCGTAACAGCGTGGGCTTCACGCACGGAGCGTGCTCGGTAATGTATGCCAGAGCACGCTCCACAATGCCAAGACTGACGATATAGTCCTTGAGGGTGCCGCCGATGCAGTTATGCTCGATTTGATTGGTCAACACGCAGAAGAGCTCGATGCGGAACTCCTCCTCGCTGGTGCGCTCCTGATCGAAGTGATTAAAGTCGAGCGTATTCTGAAAACAGTGGAAGGATTGGGTTGCTTTATAATGTGCATCAAAAGCATTCACAATCAGCTTACCTTGAAGTGCTCACAGAGCAAAGCCATCTTCACCTCGTTACCATAGACGAGCGCAGCGAGGACCCGTATTAGGTGACGCAGCACGGAGGGATTGTTGCGTACGTTCGGACAGTCCGTGCAAGAAATTAGCGCAGTCACGTATTCCGGTCCGCCAAATGTGAGCGAGAATTGAAGGAACGAGTCCAGCGTATCACTTGATGCCTTCGACAGAATGGTCTCCATTATCTCAAGCAGTTGCTCGGTGACAGCGGACTGTATCGAATCGTTTTCGGACTGCAGACACATCTGCAGTACCTTGAGAAGGGTATTGATGGCACCCACCTCCGGTTGACAGAGCACCTTCTGGCAGCGCCTGACTTTAACACAGATGAGGAAGAGTTTTAATAGCACCTGAATCAGTTCACGATTACGCGATATACGCTGCAGGCTTCCGATGCGCTCCAGCATTACACGAAGCCCGTTGCAGTCGGCCAGCACATTGGCCATCCGGTAAAGCTGTTCGGTGTCCACCTCCTCCTGGCTCTTGTTGTTTAGCGTCTCAACAAACTCTTCGGTGGCATCGCCCAAAAGTCCGCGCATGCGATAAACAATTCGCATGGCGTCGCGATCACCGCCCTCGGCCAGCCACACCTTTTTGTACACATCTTTAACGGGTAGATCGAGGCTAATGATCTTATTATTGACCAACAGCTCCATGCCGTTATCGTCCTCGAGCAGGGCAATTAACTCACAGTCTGTGCAGATCTTATTTTTAACGTCCCGCATCAAAGGACCCAGACCCACCTCGCCGGATGGATACGGATTGCCAAGCATGCGACCCTGCAGGAAGTCCTCCTGTTGCGGATCCTTTTCTAGCGTCATATAAAACTCACTCTCGTCGTTCTCCTCCGGATGTATGATTGAATAGAGGCGTTCAAATATAAACACCGGCGTCTTGATATCATTCATGCGCGTCTTCTCGACGGTGTCGATCAGAATCTCCATGAAGGCACGCGTCTCCTCCTCTGTGCCACTAGTCATTTCCTCGAGCATATCCAACAGCTTATCTTGCGCATCATCAATGAGTCGAGTGCGCTGCACAACTAAACTTCGCAATGCCAGATAGCTTTCCAGCACCGGACCGAGCATTCGCGTCTTATACGTACGCCTAACATTCGGCGATTCTAGGAACAGGCACAACAGCTCCACATACTGCCGCAGCGCATATCCCAGCGATAGATCCGAGGACAGGGAGTTCTCCTCCATGCGATGTATCTTTCCGATTTCCACCGCCAGAAGTTGAGAAATGGTGCCGAGAACGCCACGAAGCACCAAATACTGTAGCCAGGGTGTCTCTGTGGCCACGGTGCGATAGAGCGTCAAATATTCAGCACTAGCCTCGCCCGCCTCGCCAACACACTTCAGGAAGCTGGTCAGCATATTGAGGGCCTGTTGCTTGCGTTCGTTTGTACGGGTGAGGGCGGTAAGCAAAGAGCATGCTAACTGCCTGCCAAAGCGGGAGTTCGGGTTGAAAAGCAACGGCTGAATCCATTTAGCTGTGAAGACCAGCGGCTTAATGACACGCATCTTATCCAGTATCAGTTCCTGCCAACGTCTTCCATACTTCTCCTGTAGGTAAGCGGCACGCGATAGCTGTCTCCTCGTCTTCGGGTCTAATTTGTCCGTTTGAGTGGCTGGTGTGCTAGCACCTTGTTGCGGCTGCTGCTTACCATCGCCACTGCCGTGTAACTTCTGGCGTTCAGAGTCGACCGCAGACGACGCAAAGTTTGGTGGCATACGACTGCTCCAGGCACTGTACTCGTGATTGCGATCTGAACTTAACCAGGCGCGATAATCAATTGTGTTGCCGTCAAGTATTTTCACGGAGCACATCTCTGTTGGCGCCAGGCTCTGATTACTTTTGCTGATGGGCAGTGTTGGGCATATTAGATTCTGCATGATGCGCAGGCAAGGATGAAGCACGGAGGTGACAGGACCACGAGGCAGACTAAAGCAAAAGATAATGTCATAAAAATTTTACTTTAAATGTAACGCAGCAGCACTACTACTTACCGGCAATTGCTGATGAACAACTCAAAAATGATCTTCAGCTTAAATTCCCAGCATACGTCGTCCTGGCCGAGCAGCACTTCTAGTAAAGTCATCTCCTGATGCACTGCAGCCTCTAGACTGATGAGCGGTATAGCGCCCATTAAAGCGTTCTTTACTCGGGTTGTGACCAGATTTAACAGATTTATGCATGCCTCGGAGTTGTCTTTGGTCAGCACTACCAGTAGATTGCGCACCTCTTCCTGAATTTGAGGCGTACCGCGTCGCAGATTGTGCTCGGCAAGCTCATTCACCAGGCCCTGGCTATAGAGGCCGATCCGGCAGTCATAATTGTAGGCCATGGCACGCAGCAGCGTCAGACACTGCTCGGTGGAGGCGAGTGCGCAGCCGTAACAGCGATTCGCCGTGTGAATCTCGCGGGAATCGGGCGTCTGTGTGCAGTTCGGTTGATCCTGTTGCTGGCGATCGTAGGCCACCAGCTCGCTGTTAAATAAAAATAAAATCAGAACTCGACGGTCGAACGAATATGCCATTAGATTTAATTAACCTGCGACATGCCTTGACCTTCTGCACAATCTTGCTGAGCTCCTCGAAGGACGTCCGCGATTCTACGCAATACTTTTGCGCCAGCAATTGGATGATTTTGTTAACCTGTGAAGTGCTATGCACAGTTCCCATATTGTCATCAACTAAACGATCCGAGCTGCGATGTTCCGCCACCTTTTGTATTAATAGCTCCAGCATTTGTTTGTTGGTCAAGAGTTGGCGATAAATGCGATCGGCGCGTTCCAGCGATGTATGAATGATCTGAACGGTCTTGGCGCGATCCTCGGCGGATTCAATTGGATCGACGGCACAGCAAACGCGAGCATACATGCTGAAATCAAATTTGGCGTACTTGCAAAAGCCGCAGGAGTGACACAAAAAGGGATCCTTCTCGTCGTAGTTAATCGCACGGCATTTGTGGCATTGGAATACGTTTTCGCCACAATTGCCACAAACGCCAGGGTAGGCGGGCACTGCGGCGCTGCAGCGAGGGCACTGTAGATTTTCACTGGATCCGGTTACCGTCTCGTAGAAATCGGCAAATTCGATCATTAGGTTGCAAGCTGTGATTGGAAGTGGGAAATCGATCTTCAGCTCCGTCTGACCCGACTGGAGGGACACGGAACGCGCCTTATGCCACAGGGCTGGTCGATTTTTCAGCTCTACCACTGCTTGCACGGTACGATTGTTGTAATAGACATTGATGGTACGAACCATTTTAGTCCGCTTCAGATCGGCGATGCGCACAACCAGCTTAGAGATGGTGTGGCACTGCACCAGCTTGTAGATCATGGTGGTGGTCGTATATTTGCTGTCCGACTTGACGGACGGCACCTTAATGTTCGTCATCGGCACCTCCGGATTGTTGCACACCAGACACGGTTCCGACTCCAGATAATAGCCATTTACCTGCAGTATTTGCTCCAACGTTGTATAGATCGGGGCATTGGGATGCTTGCAGAGCAGATCGTTTTGCTGCCGCAGCACGTCAACGGCCCGCGAAACGAACTCCGGCAGCCGATCCGTAATGCTGCGCGTGCTCAGCGTCAAGTAACCCAATAGATCAACGAATTGCGCTGTGCGACGACCATAGACCGGCACCAGTGGCCACATATTCCAGAACAAGTTCAACAGCTTCTCGCGCTGTCGCTCGTTCGAGTTCTCAAACACGCCGTGTATAAAGGAGTGTGCCTGCCAGCGCAGCATGCTGATGTTGTTGTCCAGCAGGAATATGCGCACAAATTTGATAATTAGCGCATCGGAAGCGTAGCGGAATATCTGATGCACGAATGTGGTACACTGGGCTGGATCGAATTTGGAATAATAGGCATCGGTGTCTTCGCTCTTTTCGCGCTCACTGCGCAGCTTACTGGATGGTTGAGATGACGACGGGGGCGGTGGTGCCGGTGCTTGTTGCTTCACACCCGACATGTTGCAGACAGCGGCTTGCAATAGATGTATAATAATGGGCGAGACGCCATCATCCAGCTGGTAGCATGCAATCTCCATTAGCATGGCCAAAGCATCCTCGTGAACCACACAAAACTTTTGCCAGTTCCCGGTACGCATTTGACTGATTTCCTGGCAGGTGCGCAGATGCTCCGTCAGTTCTACTAAAGCGTCATAGCCAAGTATGGGCGGATTCATATTGTAGGGCGCACCATTCTAAAAAAAAAAAATATATGGGTAATATATGTCGATGAATAATATTAAGTCTTTCAGCTTACCTTGTTACTCACTATATTGCAAATCCTCTTCACAACGCGGAAATGTGCGTCCAGCGAGTGTCCGTCCCTATACATGCGGAACTTTTCCTTATTGCCGCAAATGTACATCAACAGCTTCCGTACCTGACGACGAAGCAGCGCATTTAGATTCAACATCATATACTCGCAGAGTGTGAAGGTCATGGCCTCGCAAAAGCCGCTGTCGTAGTTGTCCGGATGTGAGTTGCACAGCCGAAGGATCTGATAAGGTAGGCGTACGATGATTTCCGTAAGTAAGGCATCGTACGATTCGAATATGTCCGGATAGTTCTTCAGATAGTTGTGCGGTATCAGTATCGATATGTCCGGCTTCGGACCGTATTTAATCGGCTTCAGCAGCTGTGTTTGACCTGCTCCGGCTGCTGCGTTCTGTGTCGGCGCAGGCGGAGATGTCTGAGCAGTGCTAGCAGTATTTGAATAGGGATCACCCAGCACGTCCTTCCAGTGCACGAGCAGTGTATTTAGGGCCTCCAGGGCATAAACAAAAGCACCACTCTTACTCAGCACATTCGCTGTGGTGCTAGCCACAAAGGAACTGTTGTCTTTGAATTGGTGTGGCGGAGACGTCGTGCCCGTCTGCTTCGACTTTGTCTTACCCATCATGACACCGAAGAGCGATAACAGCGCCAAGCGCACTTCATTACTGGCGCATTTGTTCTTCATCTGTAAAAAGGAAAACAATTAAAGACCATTGATGAAATAAGAATGGAATGATGTGGTCGAGCGGGCCCATATACCCTACAAATAGTAAAAATAAAAAAAAAAACCGGTAAGCTCACCTTTGCTGCGGCGCCACGTTTTCCAATCTCCACATACTCCACGAGAGCGATCAACAGCTCGTTCAGAACCTTTTGATCACGTTCGTTGTTGCCGTTAAGATCGGTGGTTAGCATTAGTATGACTTGTATTAGAGGTATGGCCTGAATACCGTTGCACTGATCGAAAGTGTTCAAATGCTCGATAATGCTCTCCAGCACGGCGATTCTGAATTAAACAAGAATATATAGTGTGATGTTTTCAATTCTGTAATTGTGCAGTTACCTTAGATCATGTAGTTTACTCATTTTTTCGTCCTCGTTGTCTTCGTTCTCATCGCGCTCCGTGCTGCTCATGGCGCTCAGCGCAACAACGCCGCCACCACTGCTACTGGGCTGCTCGTCCTCGCTGACGCGTTCAGCTAATTTGTTGCTACCACCACAGCCACTGCCACCACCTGCGGAGCTCTGTTGAGGTGGTGAGGCATTTGGATGGTCGCCAAAATTGCTGCTGCGTGCTGAGGTGCCACCAATACTTTCCACGCCACTGCCACCACTCTCGGAGCCACCGCTGCCCGCTGGTTCGGCCGGTGAGGTACGCAGTGTTGAACCATCGGTTGCCACATTTGAACCCTCATCATCAGAGCCTCCGGCCGAAACACTCACTGCCAGACCGCCCATTGCATCCGCATTCTGAGCATTCGCCGCTGCATTTCGTATACCCTGTAAATTAGCCAATCCTTGCTGCAGGGAGTGCAGAGCATTGGCGTCACCTTCATGCTGCTGTAGACTGAGCGCAATGGCTATGTCCATAATGGCCTCATCGTCCGCATCTTCGGGCAGGCCTAACAGCCGTGGAAAGCTCCCGCCCATGAAAGCCTCCAGATTGAGTAACTGCTGCTGTCCCGCTTCTGCTTCTGGATCTAAAGCGGCTCCATCTGCGAACTCTGGCATGCGTACAGCGGCTGCAGCTGCGGCCGCTGCCACAGCAGCCGGTGCCGAAGTATTGCGGGAGCCTGCACCAGCTTCCGCTCCTGTGCCAGATCCTCCACTAGCTCCAGCCATAGCTACATCCACAGCAGCTGCAGCAGCCTCCTCGATGATCTCATGTGCCGCCGTGGCAGCTGCTCCCGACAATGCACTTAAATTTGTGGCGCTTATCGTGGTCGATGGTGTTGGTGTGGAGCAGGCGGGCGGTGTAACAAGCGCCACTTTGCGACGCTTGACACGCGGACTCAAAAGCAATATGAGCGCTTCCTTGGCGCTATGACTAATAACGGTGGCATCATGGCGCAGCAATTCAATGAAGTGATTCGTCATTCGACCGACTTGGCTGCTATCCGCCAAAGCAAATCCGTACATGATCTCAACCAGGCAATGGACCATAGTCTCTGTTTGGCACAAGCCTCGTCGTACAATGTTTGTGGGTTCGTCGACGGCTGGCGTCACTTTGTATAGCTCGGTGACGATGCTCATCAGCGCCGGGACAATGTCATAACGACACTCCAGACATATCTTTGTCAGCGATTGGGGGCGGGTGTTGGCTATACCGCGTACAAGTAAGATAAGGCGATATAGAGCCTCCGGATCGATATCGTGTAGTGTGTCCAGCTGGGAGTGCATCGACTGCAGCTCGCTGTGCACAAAACTGAGCACCACACCGTCCTTGTAGCTATGGTAGGCAGAACGATTGCCGTAAAGTGTCGCCAGCACGTAGCGGGCCTGTGTCTGCACGGGATTCGGTGTTGGCAGTAGAAGCAATGCACTGGCGGTTTTAATAGCCTTCTGGCGAACAGGTGCCGACACGCTGCTCGTATTATTAAGCAAATGTAAGGCGCAATCCAGCACCTCCAGCAGATGGGTTACCATACGATCTAGTTGTGTAATGGAGTTGAAACCCTCGCCAAAATTGGCCACGGAAGCATTTGGCTGACCGGGGTTTTGACCATTCGAGGGAACGGTAGCAGTCCCTGCATTGCCGGCCGGTGCCGTCTCCTCATTGTCATCCGGCCAACCCACGAGATCCTTTGATTTGCCGTATACCTCTATACAGTCAAGCAGCGTGACATTTTCCGGATCCTGCGACTTGGAGAACATCACCTTAAGCAGCTTATCCGAGACTAGCATCTCCTCACGTGTTAAGGGGATGTCAAACCAACGAGCCTTTCGTACAACCGTTGGAATGGTGCGACCTAAAATGGTGACCGATTGCGGGGCGCGCTGTGTATCCTGAGTACCCAGGAGGACGCGTATGCCGACCATAACAATATTTGGATCATTATTAATTACCTCCAAGGTGAAACCATTCGGTCGCGTGGAAGCCACAAACATTCCAGTCGAAAATAGGCGCGTCTTTAGCTTCTGTTTATTGTAGATCTGCAACATATCATTGCCCCCGAACTCTACGTCCGCCAGCATGTTGCAGTGTTCGAAGAAATCGATGGGAAATACAGGCACACCTGCAGCCGTCATCGTCTTTTGCTGCTGACTGGACTTGCGTTTGTTTGACTTCTTCGTTTGACTATTGGACGCGGAAATGCTTTTGGCCATGAGTGTGGAGCTGTAGAGCTGATTGCCGAAGGGTTGTACCTGTGGCGAGAGCCAAAAACTGGTCTGATCTGGCTGTGCCGAGAAGATTCGTAGACTGCCATCTTCGCAGAGCAATAGGAGCGTCGTCTTGTCCGTTCCGGCGACAGCATGGCGAATACCCACAACATCCATGATACGGGATTTGGCCGATTGCGCTTTAATTTCCTGCATATAAATGCGTTCCGGCGTAAACATGAAGATGATGGGATTATTAGAAGTCTGCATGGAGGCGTAAATAAGACCGGGATGTCCAGATATTTCCGTCCATTGCACCAGCGGCTGCATGGGACCCTTCGAGGAGGACTTGCTCGTAGGATTAGTTTCCAAGTAGTAGATACCCTTAACGCCTTTATTTACATCCACCAGGGGCGACACGAAGCTGCGCCCCACCGAATAGCTGTAGAATAGCAATTGGAGGGCGTGCGAGTAGTAAATGGAGACTCCGCCGCCTCCCACCTGTCCATTAACGTCCTTGGTGTACTGGTGGCTGAGCTCCAGAGTATTCGTCACATAGAAGTCGCCGTGCACAGCCAAGCTCTGCTCGTCCAAAATCTGATAATAAATGTATCCGGATGATGCGAAGGCCAGCATATAATAAGCGCCTTCTTGATATATAAAGGTGCAGTCACGTATCGTTCCCACCGCAACGAGATAGTAATACTTAGGACTGTAGGCATCTTCAGACAAATCATAGATCTTCACATAGTCCGAGGTGACTAACGCCAACATGGTCTGGGAGCCGGGTAGCCATACAGCTTTCTTAATATAATTGCCATTCTCTAGATGCGGCGTCACTACAATGTGTTCGTTGGTGCTGCCACTGTTCGAGAACGTCAGCACATGACACTCCTTAAGTCCACACACAGCCAAGCAATCCTCGTTGCAGGGATTAGCAGTGAGCGAGAGCACAGTACAGGATATAGGTGCAGATGACAGTTGGGTAAGCGTCAGCTTGCGCTTGGAGGCGTCTGCCTGTCTAAGAAGCGCCGACAGCTGCAATATGGTTACTTTGCCTTTCTCATGGGACACAGCCAAGTGCTGGCGCCTTCCATGGGGTGAGCTCAGGCAGCAGAAGGCGACGCGTCGCAATACGCCCGACGAGATGAGATGTTTAATAGTCTGTCCCTGATCGCCCGAATAGTTCATGCGCACATTTTCGAAGGCGCCCTCCTGTGAGCCAAGCGTGGCGAACATGAGCTGATCCGTCACCTGAAAACTCTGCTGTAGCTGATGGAGCCGTTCCAGCGCTGCCGTAGCACGCTTGTGGCAGCCTACAATGGAGTAGAGGGTGCAGCTCTCCTTTATTGCCGGCAACAGCACATCAAAGTACTCCAGAATGCAACGCACCACAACTAGCCACTGATCCGTATGCTGAAGAGCATCGCGATGCGATTCTAGTAGCTTTCCAAGCAACACAATGCGCTCATTGGTGAGCGAATCCTTACGAGCGTGGTGGCTGTTTGCTGCCGGCATTGCGCCGGCTGAGCTGCGTTTCTTGCTGCTTAATAGACCCATGTTGGAAACGTAGCTGCCACTGCTGCCGCCGCTAACGCCATAGTCCGCCATAGCCCTACTTTCACAGCCTCCATGAGATGCAATGCGTCGACTCAGTGCCTGACAGGAGCCATCCTCCTTGGCGCCGCAATCGCAAAAGAAATTACCATATTTTGCATAACTGACGTCGTGGCCCTTATGGCATACTCGTGCACACACGGAGCAGACACCCACGGTGTTAATCATATTGCAGGTGTGACAATGGTACCAATGCTGGTTCATGAACTCCTTTTGCGTCTGCGAGAAAGTGCACAGCTTATTGTTGAGCGTATCCTCATCAGAGTCCTCCAAGAGGGAATCGTCCTCCTCGCCCGCCAACTCATCGTAGAGCTCGTCAATGTCCGTCTGCAGCTCATCATCCCACGGAGGCATGTGCTGCCGACTGCCCTTGAAACCAATGCTCTGCAGCAGCTCGCTTAAATATTTTAGAAGCGCACTTATATTTTCGGCATTTTTCAAATTCTGCTTGTCCGCCACATGTAGCTTGGCAATCTCCAGCCAGAGCAGCGTTGTATTAAACAAGGCGACATGGCCACGTGCCGGCGCCGCATCGGCCAGTGTAATCATTATTTGCAGCACATCAGCAAAGTCGCAGCCATCTTGTGGCGGCGTTATCAATGTTTGCCCGAGCTGCAGGAGGGCCTGGAAGAGCAGGGGCGCTATCACACCAGTGGCTGCCTTGCCATCCCGCACCAATGACTTCACGAAGCTCAACAACAAGGCACCATTGCGTTCGGAGCTCTGTTCACAGGCCTGCGAAGAGTCTTCAGACTGATTTGGCGCACTGCCAGTCGCGGCTTGCCACAAGCTTAGTATATTTGAGTTATTTGGTGGTACACCAGCACAGTCGTAATCAATATCCATGGCATCCAACTGATCTGAAATGCTCGGCATGGCAGATACGGTTGCCATATTCGTGGGAGTTTGTGCATTGCTTGAGGATGTACTCGATGGCTGTATAATGCTGGTTAGCACCTTGCACGTATCAACACCTTCCGAACTCGTTGCGTTGGTGGCTAGAGAGACGGCCAAACTGCCATTGGGCCCATAGATGATATGCGTGAGCCACAACTTTAGTCGATTGACATCAATGCTGCCCAATTCGGCAAAACATTGAACCAGTTCCTCGTGCGGAAACTCCGATTCTGGTTGCATCCCCTGTTGAAACAAACGCTCCACAAACTGCAACATTTTCCGCGCATAGCTCATGGGCAAAGTAGTGCCCGTAAACGAGAGTAGCAGCTCTGTAAAGCTGCCGTTCCGTTGCTCCTTGAAGAAATTACGCATTGCCACAACGGCAGTGGGCTTCTCGATCATTTTAGTGAGGGTGCGTAGCACTGCGAAGAGCATGGACTCGTTGAAGACGGCCCGATGTTCGGGCTGGTTCTGTGGCACGCGCAGCTCTTCGGCAAAGTCAATAAGCATGCGGTAACAGTAGCTAATCATGTGCTCGTAGAGCAGCATTTTCTGTGCCTCCAACGTCATCCCACTGAGAATCTCACGCAAGCATTGCTCGCTGTGGCATTGAAGATAATCGGTACGTATATCCAGCATCGTTGCGATCAACAGAGGCTTCAGCTGCGCTTTCACAGTTCCGTGGTTCTCCCCATCGGCACTATAGGGGAGCAGCAACTCAATGAGATGCAGTATAGACTTTAGACAATTCTTCATGGTGTGCAACGTTGAGTAGCTCGATGCCTTTGTTAGCTCCGAGATGTGCGAATCAATCAAGGTAAGTGTGTAAGGCTCAACAGGATGCTGTTTACCGTCGAAGGCGACTTCGCTCACAACCAGACACTTTGGCCATTCATTAGCTATGAGCTGCTTGTCTTCGTTTGGCAGCAGCTTCAGAAAAGCAGTATGCAGTTCCAGCATTATGGCCGGCTTATCACTTACAATCGGTACAATCAAATTGAGAGCCTGTTCCGGCGTTGAGCTTGACAATTGCTTCAGCATTTTATCGCGCACAATGCCAATGATTAGGCTGTAGGAGTCCATTAGCTTTAGTAACAGCTCACTGACCATTTGCGTGCGTTCTTTTAACTCTGCCGGTGAGAGGGAGCTGTTGTCAAGTTTTGACTTCTTCTGATCAATCGATTCGTTTGAAGAGTAAACTTCCTTTTCAGTCGAAGAAATCGAACTGCTTGCTACAGATGCCTGAGCACCACCACCATCCACAGAACTATCGTCTCTAGCCTCCTTACGCTGCAGCTTGTAACCCTCCTTGTCAGCCCATGCCACAGCCTGCATGTGTGCTACGAGCGCATCGAATAGAATGAGATCGGAGAGACGTGGCTTCTCTGTGAAGAAGAAAATTAAAGAGAGCTGTTAACCTCATCAATTTATATAATTTTATACAAATACATCAGGTCTGGCTTTAATTAAGCTGAACATGCCTATTCGCCAGATATATAAGGAACTTCTTAGTAACACACCGATGCACATCCAGTGTGGCTAGAAAGCCACTGCAAACCCACATCTCGATTCTAATTAACAATATAATAAATATAACTTCTCTTCTATATCTTCTCAAGCACCCAAAAATATACAACGCTATTCAAATAATTATAAAAAGTTACCACATTTTATCGATGTGAACTAATTGCTGAAACCTACATCTGAGATTTACACTCAACAATATACAAACACTTATATTATTTATGTACATACGTCAGGTTTAGGCTTAAGATTCTATAGATGCTAAGATAATTGTAGGTAATGATTTTGAAAATAAATAAATACCCTTGATAGTTCATTTTAAAGAATTGCCATCATTCCATTTCATTTATCTTTTGCTTACCTTTGTTGAACTGTTTATTGAAAGCCTCCACACCGAGTATTGTTTGCTTAAGACTGTAGCGCATGTCTGCAGCAAGATCGCCTACTTTGCTCCATAGGGACTCCGCATACTGCGTATACATTCCCTGCTTAATGAGACTATTGACGATGAGATAGTATGAGCTGGGCAGCGGACAACGAATACTCCAGATCAATGAATGTAGATTGGGAGCATTCTCGCTAGTTAGAGACTCCATGTGTGATGTTGAGGGCGGTAAGCCTAAGAGTAGTTTCCAAGCGATGCTGAAGCAATATTGCATTGCGCAAAGATTGTGAATATTATCCTTAGTATAAGCAGACATATCCGCGATGGCAAGTATGTCAGTCAAAGCATCCACCAGCAGTGGATACTTCAGTTTGTCAGGCGTACAGAGTATGAAATTCCAAGCCAATCCATCCAACTTAAATTCTTGAGCCCAGTGTGGCTTGCAAGGGTCTGAGGTAACCAGCGAATAAAAGGTGGGTCGTATATCTAAAATTTAACAAGAAATTGATTAACTACAACAACATTAAAGCGGTAAGTCATCAGTTACTTGAGCTATATTCGCCTGCCGACTTGCGGAATTTCTCCTCAATATCATTGCGACAGTATGAGGAGAATTTGGTGCGACTGTTCAGCAAATCTGTGACCTTCTGTGTCTCCGGCATGCTGCTTACACTGAAAAGATTCCAACGCACTTGATCCAAGAGCTCTGGCGGTGCATTGTAAAGATGTTTCATTAAATACTCAAGGAAGAGCAGTAGCCGCGAGAGCAACATCATCTGGCTGTTACGCACGGGTCGTTCCGCGGAAATGCCGCGACAGACGTCGGCACATCGAATGACACCACCAGCAGTTAGTAGGAGAATTGACTTCTTTTGCATCAAATTAAGCGAATGAAAGAGGAAAAGCAACAGCTGGGCGTGCTCGATGTTGAGATCCTCATAGTCAGTGTCGCTGGCGGAAGCTGAGCAGACACCTTCGACTAGCGTATTGATAAGTCGATGCCAGACCGACAGACAGGCTGCCTCCTTTTCCTGCGTCGGCTTCAACAGCAAAATTTGCACCAGCACTGATAAGGTGCTTGGATATACTTGCAGCGGCCAAGTGCTTGTCTCCGTGGACCATGGAGTAATGGCTAGATGCTGCAGCAGATTGGATTGTAGCTGCTCCGAAAGCAGCGACGTAGAGATCAGATTGTGTATGTAGCGTCCTGCAGCTCCAGAAAAGCGTATCATCGAGCTATGCCACTTAGAGTTTGAAGAGATGCTCTCGCTATCATTTCGCATAACATCGCGGTCAAAGTCTTTAATAATATTGGCCATAAGTAGCATTTGTTGGTCGCTCACTCCTGCCTTCACATAGCGCTGTAAATATCCGTGGGTATTAGCGAGAAATTGATCCAGGAAGCAAAAGATGTCCGCTGCCAAATCCAAGTACTCATGTGGCTCGTCCAGCTTTGGCACTAGCGCCGATTTTTGCTGTTCAGCATTACGTTCTAAGGCTTGTGCATTTGCATTATCGTCGTGCATCTCAGGTGACAGAGTCTCCTTAAACCAATGTCCCAAATAGCTCTCACTGTCATCCTCCTCGGAATTGTCCGAGCAGGAAAGCGAATCATTGAAGTAGGTCGTCGAATCGGAGTAGCTGATGGGCTCGCATTCAGTGCGATCTTTGATTGTAGCGCGCTTTAGTGTACACGCCTTGCGATAGGCCACAGTGGCCAAAAAAGTAAATAACTGGTGAAGCGTCGCTGTGTTTAATACGCGCACAACTCGTTGTAGTGATGTGTAATTCTGTAGAATGTTGAACTGAGCTGGCTCCGGGAACTGTTCCACCACAGTGTCATTATCATTGCCATCGGAATAACAGGCAGATTCGATTTTCAGGTCATCAATCAATTCCGAGAGAAGCTTTATGCTTTGATTGGCTATGGCGGCATTAAGTTCGCCGAAGCCTTGCTGAACTTTAAATAGATTTACTCGCGCAATGGGAGTGCTAGGCGTGGCCGAATTAGCTCCCGACTCACTCGTACCTCTTCCCGCCTTTTGTGCCTTGCCCGCATCATCGCTGGCCTGTATTTTCGAGCTGCCGCTGGCGCTGCTTCCAGAGGCACCCATAGCGCCTTGTATACCGCTAATCAGCAGCCAGGAACCGTAACACAAATGATTTTGATACACATAAGTACGCGCAGAACTTTTGAACATTTCACCAATGGTAGCGTAGATTTCAAGTGCCTTATTTACAATGGCACAAGCCTGTTCCTCGAAGTCTTCATGATCTTTTGGGGTCTGGACGCTAATACCTCCACCTTGACTTGTCGAGGCCACCGGTTGTTTCTGCGAACCACTAGCATTCGACATGTTGAGAACGCTAGCAGCAATCGAGGTGAGAACCGCATTATACAGCGCAGCGATACCGCACATTGATAATTTTTCTATGCGGCTTGGGGTCAGCGGCTGCAGCCCAATAAGCGAATGCGCCTGCATTAAAATCGAGAGATCGGTCGACATGTGCGCAATGGCAGACTTAATAGTGGTGGCTTCCACTTGAGTCAATGGTAAATATAAAGTTTTTCCGCTTGTTATGGCCTCCAAGTATTTGGTGCGATAGCGATTCAGTATAGGAAGGCCCACACAAACATCAAGCAGCGTGTCCACTCCATTTTGATACTGAAAATAGGCTATATTTGCAACCAGTAGCTGGTCCTACAAAGAAAGTATTAAAATAGAAAACATATCTAACTTGCATAAGCCCAAGTTTACCGTGCAATCTGTAACATCCTCACTCAATGGCACCCAAGTCATTTTTCCAGGCTCAAGTGGGGCCAAAAGTTGATGTAGAATAATCGAGGATAGGTCGGAGCGTGAGCGTTTTATCTCAGACTTCGGTGACTCTTTGTCACTGCTGCTGTGGCTGCTGCTGCTAATGATGCTCTTGTTGCTCGATTCCGGGTGTTTAGCGCTCTTTAGCACATTCGCTACGGCATTATAGTCGAATGATGACAATGCATTTGTGTTGACGGCTGCGCCAGCAGCAGTGTTGGTGGGGCAGCTACTCTTTCCCTCACAGAGCATTTTAAGTGCCGCCAACAGCCATTTGAGCTCATATATAGATACCTTTGGCAATCTAAAGAGTATGAATCGTATAAGCACGGCTGCGGCATCGTGCAGTTGTGATATTTGCGTTTGGCATACTACAAAGAAATGTGAGAAAAAAATATTAACTTTATGTATACATATATATACATACATACATATGTAAAATGAGATATACAGAAATACATACATATGCACATATGTATACCCGTAGAAAAATATATAGATACATACATATATGTATAAATTTTTTTCAATTGCGCCTTAACAAGCATTAACATTATTAAAAAAAATCATTAGTTTCCTCAAACTTACTTGATTTGATTTGCATCAACTTATCGGCAGCCAAAGCTGCAAACGCAGTATAAAACTGCGCGTAATTGCTGTCTTCGTCGAAAAAATCATGTTCACTACAAAGATACAAATATTTATGTATGTATATTTACTGGGCAAAAAATAAATACCAGCTAGAAAAATTGCAGTAAATATTAACATACATATACATAAAGATATGTATGTATTTGTATGCACAAATGTACATTTGTGTCAGTCCGCCATATTTAATTTTGCAAGTCACTTTTGGCAGCGGAGCACCCAATTTTTAATTGCGTCATTGGGGGGGAAAAACTAAAAAGCAGGCCTTGATCAATATTCACTTACCATCGGGCAATCGCTTTGAGTATATTTGCTACTTCGTTTTTGCTTAAAGCGCCCGTACGATTAGATAAAAGTGGTTTAACCACAGAGTTCCAATCCGTACCTCCACTGTGCGCCGACATTTTCTTAGATATGGTTTGACGTCCCGTTTTCTTCTTTTTTTCTGCAAACTGTCAGCGGTGCGCACGTTTTGTGCATGAGCTTTATCATGCACTTTTGTTGTGGCACCTTCTTTGTTTACGTATGTGTGTCGTAAAAGAAAGCAATACAAAGTAGTTACAATTTTAATACTGCACTGTTGTAGAATGGTCGGCTTTGATTCGAACAATACCAGGTGATTGGAGAAAATATAAAACAAGCAATATATATGTATGTACATGAGAAAGCTTAAAAAATATAATTCAACGCATACTTCGTTCTATTTTCCACAGATGATTAGTTTAATATGACTGAGTGACAAGGGTCCGTAACGCCCTCTATCGGTCACAGCACGTGGTTGTTATCGTTATCGTCAATTTGGTTGGCAGATAGAACTATTTGCAGCGATTTATAACAAAAATTTGTTAAAACATGAAATATTAAGCGAATAAAGCAATTGAACGGAAATCTTAGAGAAAATTGTTGTGATCATTTAAATTTGCTGGCGTTTACCTAATGCGAAATCGCAAAAAAGTCTCAATAATGTCTTAGGCCTTTGTATCTAAAGCAATTCATGCCCCATTTTATATGCAGTTCTGCGGTTTTCTTAAATTTTTATTCAATTCCCCGAAAAAACCATGCAATTCCATTTTAAAAATGCTGATGCGGGTGAAGACGTCGCTACCAAAACAGTAGCTCTCAATCCGCATGCCTCCTTACAGCCACAACAACCAAGCCCATATGTCGAACCCAAAGACGCCCACGAAGTTAAATTACAGTAAGTATAAATCTTAAAATGATTTCATTGAAATCCTTTTCATGGTCTCGATTTCAGGAATATAGTCGCCACTTTTTCTGTTGCTTGCGAGCTGGATCTGAGGAGCATTAATGCTCGCACCCGCAACTCAGAGTACACGCCAAAACGATTTCATGGCGTTATAATGCGAATGCATTCCCCACGTTGTACAGCACTTATATTTCGGACCGGTAAAATCATTTGTACAGGGGCTCGCAACGAAATAGAGGCTAACATTGGATCTCGGAAGTTTGCACGCATACTGCAAAAACTTGGCTTCCCCGTCAAATTTGTCGACTATAAGCTTCAGAATATAGTGGCCACTGTGGATCTACGATTCCCGATACGTCTCGAAAACTTAAACCAGGTGCATGGGCAATTCAGTTCTTACGAACCAGAAATGTTTCCCGGTCTCATATACCGTATGGTGAAGCCTCGTATAGTACTGCTAATTTTTGTCAACGGCAAGGTTGTGTTTACGGGCGCCAAGTCCAGAAAAGATATAATGGATTGCCTGGAGGCCATCTCGCCGATACTGTTGAGTTTTCGAAAGACATGAACAACATATTACGGTTACTGTGACTTTAGCCTTCTGATAAATGCTTTTGAAATAAGTATAATTTATATAATAAATATTTTTTATGTTCATAGTAATTCTTTATTGAAATTGTAATTATTTCGTTATCTCTCAATGTAGCTCTCCCGTCATTCTTGTATTTCCTAAACGGGCAAACCATGCACTTATTTCGTTGGTTGACCAATTCGTGGTTGTAATTCGAATTATTTCTTACGATAAAGGGGAGACGAAGTTACGTTTATTCAAGTTTTCGTATTTTGTCAACTACAATAATATCATTATAAAAAACTAATGTATAAAACTTTTTGAGAAACTTACACAATAGGCCTCAATTTCCCCAACTGGATGCTACCTGTTTCAAGTGCCTGAACAACCTAGAATCTAGATTGCTAGAATTTATTTGGAGCACTTCAAAAAGTTAACAATCAGATGGAGGAACTTATTCATATAGAAAAGTAAATGGACGGGTTCATTAACGCTATTACATAATTATTCGTTTGTTATTAGTCATTGAGATTACTTATTTATATAAAACTTCCAAATGATATGAATGATTTTCAATATTTTTCGTAGTATTGGTTATATTCGCTAATGATTTCTAAAATCTAATCAAAGGCAATTTGTGATTTCAAAAAGACACATAATGTTTCGATTAGCGATCAGTTGTGCTGCAACAACTGGCGCCACAGACAAAGAGCTCTTGGAGCGCTCTGATTTTAAAGCAATGGAAAAGGAAATGAAAAAGAGCATTCAAGCTACGACTACCGACTTAAAATTTACAAATTACATATGTATAGTATATGTACGTAATATTACGTGAAACACTAAGGTATTACGCTCAACGATATGTGGGTGGGGCAAAATAAATTAATTCAGCGGGTCGTTTGTTTCTTTGTTGCTTTTCCACGGAGCTGCTTTGATTTGTACATTTGAATATTAATTATATGTATGTATGTATTTATATGTTAAGTTATATGCGGTCACTGCTATTGGCGATTTAATTAATAATCAATCAATTATTAATTCGTAAAATAAAAATATGTTGACCAGAATTTTTGGACGGAATGCAATTTCATAAAACACAAAACAAAAACAACACTAAAAACAGCGTATTAATTCGAGTTAAATTAACATGTGGCAACAGTCCTCATTGAATGTCTGAGTCCTAGGTAAGCACATGTAACATGTTCAAGGCAATATGCGTGCGACTGCGCAGTAAATAAACGAAAACACTGAAGAACAGCAATGAGACGGACATGGATGTTCGCCAACCCATGTTATAAATCGAGCAGTATGGACACTGCGAACTGCCGCAAACTTCGCAAATGTTGAGCAAATAGGTGGGTAATGCATCAAATATAGACTCATTGAATCGCTCTGCATGAAAAGAACAATAATAAATTATTAAATACTAGTTGAAAATTAAAAGGGATACCCACCAGGAGCATAGTAGTCGTAGACACGAACCGGCAGATAGCGCGACATATTCGCAACAGGATACCAACGCTCTATGGTAAAGTTTACGCATATGTCCTCTTGATCAAGCTGTGTGTGTTTGGGAAAGAAAAATGAGGTCAGCGACTCATTGCAAAGCAACACTTAATCGATGTCAACTTACAAAATCAAAGTAGAACACAATTTTGCGGTCCAGGTATCTAGCACGACGCAGATTCCGTACGCGATTGCTCAGCACATAGCTGTCGAGCTTCTGCTGCTGAATCCAATATCCTGTGGGTATAGCCACATCTAGCACTGCCATGCCTGAGCGCTCCGCCTCTTGTGTATTAACCCAGCTAAAATACACCAATATTAGATATGTTAAGCCCCAAATCTTTTGCCACCAATAAAATTGCAATTTAAATCAAATATTTATGAATATTTTCGGTAAAATTTTCTGTAAACACCGGAAAAAAAAGACACAGCATTCATATTATCACCGCTTTTAAATGATAATGGTAGTTTGCAATATTTTTATTTAATATTGGGTTCTTCCTTGAAATATTACTTACTGTTGACAGGCGACGTAGGAGATATGCGACTGATTTCTGCCATGGAATATAGCCTTGGTGTGCAGACCGAATGCAGGTACGGGTGGCTTTGTTTGGAACTTTTCAATATCTACATTGTACTGAACATGCATTTGAAGGATTGCATAGCCGGCGCCCTTCGCTTGCACCTTGATAGTTCCCCAAGCATCGGGTATCTGTTAAAAATAATAGAATGAAACTTTTATATATATTCCAGACTTCAACTTATAGAATCAAACCTCAATGCTCTGTAAGCGCGCCAGATTTGTGTCATCGATGTGCAAATACTGTGTCTTGCCGCCTTGCGAGGATGCTTCAATCTCCACGCTCAGGGAGGACACCTCGCGAATGCGGGACCGGACCGTGTACTCTACAAGAGCCCGCAGAGCAGCGCTCGTATCTTGGGTGGATGCCCAGCCTCCATCGTATAAGCGCTGGGCATTCAGCCAACGCACAATGGGATCCACAAAATACTCACGACGTGCCACATAAACGAGCAACGCATAAGCCGTAGTTTCTATATTTAGGGAATCGTATTCATAAGGCAGGCGAGGCAATGAGAACCACTTTTGATTTTCCAGTTTACGCGGCGGTTGCGGCAGCTCATTGTTACCCCAATACATGAAATCACCGATTGTACGGGCGTGCCTTCGCAGAATTCCAAAAACATGCTCCGCAATGGGGGAGTTGCAGAGCTGGAGGGCATAGGCTGTGATGGCGACATCGAAAGGATCCGGTGTGTCCTGCAAAAACTGCATGTTGCGCTCGATCCAGGCTATGGCACGTTGTTGGGCCAAAGCCACCCGGGAGCCCAGGGTGCCAGAAAGATCTTTGACAGTGGCCAATGTGATGAGGACGTGTGAAGTTAAAGTGATGTTACGATTCCGCAAGCTAGTGTAATTGGCATAGTTGGTGCGGTTAATTTTGCGATCGGGCAGCCAGGTGACCTCGTAGAATGCACCCTCTGGAGTTTGATGCTGCAGAAGCCAACGCATATTCTTCTCAATTATGGTAGAGTCGATCCAAATAAAGTTCTCCCACTCGTAGAAGGATGCCTCCTGGAATATGCGCAGACAGTACGAAGTCAGCCACACAGACGAGGCGGAATTGTTCCAATCGGAGCGGAATAGCGAGAAGGAGCCGTCTTCCCGCATGAAGGACAGCTGACGCTGATAGCCAATGTTCATGTGATAGAAAGCGTTCTTTTCCAGCGTCTTGTTGCGCTGGTTAATTAGGCGCATATACATGATTGTGTAGAGATTTGCGGCGAAGGAGAAGGCATTCTGCTCCGCTGATTCCATGGGTAGGTAGAGAAGCGAGCTGGCATTCACTGGCATGGTGGGGAATATTGGACCAACCACGTCTCCCACCACAGAGATGCGCGCACGATTGGAGCCATAGACGAAGTACCGATCCACCTGATACGGAATCTCGGGTGTTTGGGTGACATTGACGTGCATGTATTCCAGGACATAGGCACGATTGGACAAGTCGAGCAGCACAGACTGATGACGATACTGTGGCAGACCATCGGACTCTACATGCAAGCGACGGGTAATTGTGTCTGTGCCAAGAAGTGTGGCCACATGGAGCGTCACATCAACATCGCCAAGACGCTGCGGCACCACGGGCACATAAACGACCGTTGTGCCCTGAGCATCTAGATAGATGAAAAACTGATGCTCGCCAAAGGAGGTGCGCGGATTGTACGACCGAACAATACCATCCTCCTCTACATGCACAAACTTGTAGTCACTGCTGCCATGCAGCACTACAGTAGCTTCGATGGGTGTGGTCATGTAATTGAAGACGGTGACGCGTATGCCGACTTGCTCGCCCTGCCGGCAAGTGCTGGGCATCTCCACATTGATGAAGAAGGGTTGGACACCCACATATTCCAGTGCACGGTTCAGCATGCCGAAGCCCTTTGAGGGGCTGACACTGAATGCACTTACCATCCAATAGGCGGGACGATCGGGTACCTCTACATTGAAGATGTAACGCCCATGGGGCCCAATGTTCACATCCTTCCACAGCCAAACATTCTCGTAGTGGCGCAGCACGCGATTGAAGCGATATTTGCGGTAATTCAGGAGCTCAGTGTCGTTGCGAACTTTGCAACCGATTTCGTCAGTTCCATCGTCACAGTCCCATAAACCGTCGCAGTGTTTTTCCAGACGGTAGCAGCGTCCCGAGAGACATTCTCCAAAGCCAAGCGTGCGGTTACAATTCTCATAACGACGCGGCACATAACCATCGGTAAAAACAATGAGTCCGCTGTACTCAAAGGTGCGGTTCGCATCGATGCCAAAGGATGAGGCCGGAAAATATACCAATTGGTCTGGATTTCCCTCATGTGAGTACCAAATGTGCTTATAAGTGCCATTCGTTTGCTCATCAAAATTCGACATCTTAGTAATAATTTTAGCGTACGTTAGTTCGTTGCCCGCCTGCATTGTGTAGAAGGCGCTGTCGATGCCGGAGAGGCCTACATACGAGCCGGGCTCGCCGTAGATGGCCACTTCGACCTTCTCGCCAGTACGAGCCTTCCGATTGTTGATGTAAACTGTGAAGTTGTTGCGCGAAATGCCGTTGACGGGGAAGGTTAGAGAGTCCGCCACCACTTGTCCCTGAGGCGTAATCTTCCATACTACGAGTGTGGCGACTGGTGCCATTTCGGCGCTTAGCACTACAGCTATAGTTTTGATACCCTCTGTGATAGTTTCCCGATCATTCACCAAAATGACGCCTTTCGACATGATGAGATAGTTGAACTCCTCCAAGAAGAAGTTAGTTCGTATATGGAATATGATGTACTCTCCCACCACTGGTTTCTCAGTGCTGGTGGTGATCTTAATGTGCTGATTGCGTGGAGAATAGTGCGAGACAAGTAGTAGCTCCGTTTGGACTGGTTCGCCGCGCGAATCTCGCGTGGACTCGTACGCCCCGCGGAACAGCGTGGACTCGTTCACCACCCGGAACACCGCTTGAAGGCGCATCGTTGTGATGCCATTTAGGAATTCACGTGCTTGCGGGCGTTCATCTAACTGCAAATCATTACGTAGATCTATTTTTACCTCCCAGACGCCTTCGGTCTGCTGCGACATTTGCAGACGCTGGAGAGGCCAGTCCCGCCTGCCACCGCTCTTGCTCTCTACGAAGCCGCTCACCTCCATCAGCCCCTGGCGCAGCAGTTGAGGATCAATAGGAGAGCCATCGTGATATTCCACCACTAGGTAGGTTGTGAAAGGCATGGCCGGCTTGAAGACCTGTGGGGACTCGCCCAAAAAGGCTACGCGCAGACTCGAATTATACACACGTGCCAGCGAGTAGCCCGAGATTATCTCGTCGTAGAACTTTTCACCCACAGTGGCTGTTATCAGCACCTCCATGTTGGCTAAATTAGGAACGAGCACCTCCAGCTCCCTTAGCGACCATTTGAAGTCGAATGTTCCGTTAAAGTAACGCAGGAAGGGCAACGTTTTACGATACGAGCCCGTCCAGGAATCGTAGGTCTCTTGCAGCTCAGGCTTGCGCACCCAAAAAGGCCACTCTTCGTCGAACTGGTAATGTCTCTCGACGACATACTGATTACGATAAAGCAGATCCTGCGGCAGATCTGCCCCATCCGGAAGCTGTGGCTGAATGTACTGTGGATTTTGATTGTTTTGATTGTATCGCCAGCGCTCGTTGTGTCGATTCGCCTGTTCTAACGGAGAGCGTCCCAACCGGTACTTCTCGTTCAGTACCTGATTACTGAAGTATCCAATTGGTCGAATTGTTGCCTTGAGCGTCAGATTGCCACGGACGGGCAGACCGCTTGTGAAGTTCGCCATCACGCGACCATATATGTAGCGATCGGTGGTAAAGAAATAAGCCGGCATAGTAACATTGACCTCGAAACGTGTTTGGTAGTATTCCTCGACTGTGAAATGGCTCTCCTCCTGCTGGCCTTGCGCTATGACCCGTATAGTCCATTCCCCGAAAATGGGCTGATCTGCCAGCTTGTACTCGAGTGAGACGGAGCCCAGATTTGATTGGCTACAAAGAGTAATACAATTAAAATTCACTTACTATGAAGGGTGGTTTGTCGTGTTACCGTGAAAGCCAACGCTTTAGGATGTGTCCGTTGGGATCTAGCATGTAGACGTCTACGGCATTGTCGAAGCCCTTCAGCTCTGTCGTAATAGGTATCGTCCGAAAGCGCACTGTCTCGCCTTGCATATAGAGTGGTTTGTCAGTCTGCACAAATATAGTCATGGACCGTTGAGAGAAATCGAGTCGAGTTTGATTCAGGAAGGCTACACCTCCAAAAACATTCTGATAGAAGCCCTCGACCCGCAATTTGTAGTCCCCGACCACACTGGTCGGTGGTATGCGCATCAGCAGAGTTTCTGGCACGCCTTCCTTAACATCCTTTGAGTCGCCACTTATCTGAACTCCATCGCAGGAAATGCTAGCGTGCACTGTTATCGGATATTGCGCCTGCAATATGGATACGGACACTTGATAAATGAGTCCCGGCCGCACCATGCGAGAGGCCACTATAAAATAGGTTGGTTCTCTGGAGTGCAGGGTCTCCAAGAAGGTCGCCTTCACATTGTACGACGACTTCCCGCGCGTGAGACTAGGCTCCGTATCCAAATAATTGCCGCCTAGTCGCTTGTTCTCATTGTCCTGACCAGACAAACCATTGTAGACGCCCCCAACCCCATTATCTGTTCGATACCGCGTTCGATCATTATTATTTCCAAGTCCATTCGACGAAACATCACCGAACTGCTCGTTATTGTAACGCGGATCATTATTGTAATTGTAGTCGCCGTTTGGATTCGGATTCAGCCCATACTGCGGTGTGGGATACTGGTCGAACTGATTAAGCTGTCGTTTATTAAGTTTATGGGTATCGGGTTGTCCCACCGTTAGCTGCAGTGCCCCAAAAGCAAAGCCGAGCAGCAACAGCACTTGGCACAAACGCTGCATTCTCTTGCGGACCTGTGAGTGAGTGAATAAAGAAAAAGCTTTCTGATGAATGAATAGAGCGGGCCTAATGTATTATTCTAAATATAAATAGGTGCACAGTAGAAAGCGCTTAAAAGTTAAAATATAAGTGGCAAAATATATAATGAAAGGGTCCCCTATTTCAATATTTCAGAATATAGTGGAACAAGGAATTTTTTGGGGTATAATTATGAACAGAATAATTATTGTAATTTATCATATGGTTAGTATGAAGAGAGGACTCACTGTATCCCACATCCATACATACGTATGTACATATTATGAAAATAGAAGTTTTGTGCGCCCCCAAAATTTGATTCTGTGTTAGCTGTTCACTAAGATCTTCGGTTTTTTGTTTCCGCGTGCTGCGTAACAGCAGTTCTCCCAAACATTGGAAGGCGTTGTGGTATTTTTAGCTGGGCGTAAAACGTACTGGCCGGAGCAATTAACGCAATGCTGGGCCTTTTTAGGGAACTACACAACCTAAGCACTCGCATTTGTTTTAGGAGGCGAGATTAAGTGTTCAGTGTGAGCGGATATAATTAAAATGTGTCGAAAACAAGACAAATGTCATTGAAGTAGATACGCAAATAGGCGTTGATATATAACACACATGCTGTTGTGTTTAGAGAGCACGGTATTTCGTAATCTTTCACAACCCACAAAAAAACTTAAAGGGTACACACTATGAATATTATCGAGCTGAATGAACAAACTCCGCACACAATAGCTTTTTTTCGCGATAGGTCATACATGATCGTTCCATCGCAGCCTACACCTCGACGGTTGCTGAAATAGAAAAGGGGAGTTACCCTCTTTGTACATTCCCATACTTTCTCTGTAGTGCTGTTGCGATAGCCAATTATAACTATTTGTGTGCCATCCTTTAACTACTGATCCCCATAACTTCTGTATTACGAAATGTTTTAGTATAAAACAGTTCCTTTTTCGACTTTTGGTCATTTAAGGCGTTGGTCGCGTTCCACAATTGTTATTTTAAGTGACTTTTTATCCTGTCACGTGTCATGGAAAACATGCATATAAAGTATGTATGTATGTATTTTCATTTACGGTCAGATGTAATAAGGACTAGATTAATATAAAACATATTTCAATCAGTTACCGGAACTGCAGAAATAAACTAGAATACCGAATGCTCTCCATAATACTTTACTTTTTAAACATAACCAAAACGATGGGGTAGCCAAATTAATTTCTGCAAAGAAATTTGTCATCCTAATACAAATTTGAATTCCTTCTTACAAATCGTGATCGTATTTGTCAAAGATTAGACACACTTTTTGAAGAGTGTTTGGAAAATACCAATAAGATGCAATTGCAAAACTTGTGGGAAATTTTTTAATATATTAATAATAAATATATAATATATATAATTTTATTTTTATTTGTATGCCGTTGGGACAAATATTAATAAAAAAATTAGTAATTAAAAAAAAGGATGAGGAATGGTAAATACTTTGATAAAGAACATATATATGTATGTACATACACACAAACATGTATAAGAAATGTTTGACCTCAGTCTGAAGCGGTCCCTAAGCAATGAAAAGGTAGATTTAAAGTGCAGTTGCGGGCGGTATACTGGAAAATGAACAACGAAACATGGAAACGACTGTTGGTACCTGTGCCTCTATGATATTGCGTGTGTGTGTGTGTAGTTGTTTGGCTTGCGCACTGAAGCAGCAGAAGCCACCGGCCAATGAAGGCACGCGAATGTTACGGTCAAGTCAAACGACACACACAACTAAATGAAAACTCGAGCTCATAATAATTCAGTTCTTCGGTAGGGAAGGCAACTTCTATGTAATCTACCCTTTGCAGCCGACTGCAGCACATGTATACAAATTACACACACACACACACGTCCATACATACATATGTACATTTGTATATGTCTGTAAAGTGGCATTAATTAGTGTATGGTACGTGTGTCATAAAAAAAAGGGGGCAAAAGTGCAAGCACAGGACAAATTATGCACCGCCAAGACAGACGCTATGAAATTTGAGTTGTAAAATGACGCGACGCTAGAGAAACCTGTACGATCCATTCCAACTGGACAGCAGGTTACTAACTTCTGCTGCTTGCCAAGCCTGGCAAAGGAATATTTTAGCATTTTAACAAAGAACAACTATCGTGGGTAAAGCAATTATTATTGTTATCAATAGGTTTAAATCCAATTGTAAAACACAGGTACAAATATATAATGTTGTGTTTCTTTCAATTCTCAAATTTTTGGTCAACGCCCATACGCCAGCAACAACAACAACGGTACAGTATAATAATAACGCAAGCAGTACAGGTATTTAACTAAACAAAAATTGGGCGGGTCGCATCCGAAGACGAGCGCGAGACTTAGGCGGCAAAACAAACAGAATCACTCACCTTATTTAAACAATCACTATCGCAACATTCACGTTAAGCACATTATTTTAAGTAACCCAACCAAAATGAAAAGAATTCAAACAAAATTTAAAAACGAAACAACAAAAACCACCACAATCCACACCCGCAAACGCACTGATGACTTATGTTTGCGATGGTTGGAGATGAGATATTTGTAACGGGTTATTTGTTTACGATAGTTCCGATAAAATACCAAAAACAAACAAGACCAATACCACAATTTAAATGGAAAAAATGCATATCAAAATATTCAACAAAATTACTATTAAAGTTATAAAAAAAGTTATTTGATTGCATCAGGTTCTGATGAATTGCTGCAGACCTGCTACGGTTCTTCCCTTTTGAGTTGATATTAACTTTTCCTACAATATTGTTCATATTATTGCAAAGTTTCAGCACCACACGTCTCTTGAGTACATACATGGCATACAAATATTATTTATTATATTTAAAATCATACTGTATTTGGCTACAGTTGCGCTGTGTTGGACCAAGAAATTACAGGTCTCCCATCTCTACATATACTAAGGACTATCGATGGATCAAATCGGATGATATATCAATGTTTGTACAGGGTTGCACTGTAGCTAGCGAGTGACGGCGCCACTGCATTGTGTGCTTGTGTATGTATTGTATGCGTGTGATGTAAGGTCATTCGCGTGAAAATATCTGCGAGGAAAAATCGAAATTTTGTGTTTTGTGTACTAGGTAAATTGAAGAAGTGTGCAGAATACTGCAGTTTAGGCGATTGCGGCTGCATTAGCTATGATTTGAGTGACATCAATCACGTGCAAATGGACAAAAGAAAAATGATTCATGGTTGCCTAACGTAAAAAGCGTGTCAAAAAGCAAGAATACACGCAAAACACAATCACAAAGACGGGACGGTGGAGCTTGAGCTGTAGAATCTAGAGTTGTCAACACAGTGCGAGGAATTTCGTCATTGAGTGTCGCGTATCCATGTGCACGGGATTGTGTGCGTGTTTGTGCTATCTAGTAGTAAAACAAAAAATAATGAAAATGAAACAGGAAAAATGAAATAAATCGTACGTGCTAAAATACTACAATGTTGTACATAGAAAATGAAGGCCTATTACATAAATGGTTCACTGTGTAAAGCTTATATTGAATAGAATAAGGCGAGGGCACCGCTCTCTCTCTGTCGTCATCGCTGCTAAAAAAAAGAGGAGCCAGGCAAGAGCAGCAGAAGCCGCGTTACTATTTTTGTCCACACTGATCTCGTGAAAAGCAATTACAGCGCGTCTATTTTACTTTGGGCCGTATCGTTTTGTTTTACGATATAAACATATTTACATAAATGCGTACATAAATATTTCATTTGCTGTTCGGTTACCCAACCGTCGTCCTTTTTAATTAAATCCACAAGAGAACTAACGACATTTATACTATGGTGTTGGTTTTTTTTAAAGGGGTTTCATCTTGTATCGGTTTTAATCATGCGGGTGCTGAAACAATCACGTCATCCTGTCTTTGCGACTCACATACTTACGCACACATACACTCATGTATACAAATACAGGCACACACACACACACTATAAAGCCATTTATATGAACTTTATTGGCAAGGGCAACCAGGGTCCCAAGCCAGTGCGTGTTTATGTGGGACGCCTTTGGAATGCGTGAATTTGATTGTTATTATTGTGTCCGTCAACATCGTCGCCATATTTTCGGATGCTTTTTATTAGTGCGATTAAATAAGTGCAATTAAAGTGCTGCATTTAAATTGTCGCCTTTGCACCAGCATATGTACACATGTATGTACATAAGTGGGTACATTACAGCCGCATTAGATTCCGCACTAGCCGCAGCATCAGCAACAAATTTCATGTTATCGTTGCGTGCTATCACATACATAGTATGTACATGTGTATATATGACAGCAAATAAACTGAGTCATAGCCGCTGATGACGTTATGCTGCGCTAAAGAAAAAGCTAGAGCGACTTGTGGCTTATTTAAGTGATTACTCAAGTTTCGCTAATAAAATAAAACCGAAAAATGTTTGTGTTCGACTAACCTCCATCGCGATATCGATTATTATTATTGGTATAGGTAATCGATAATGTGCGAGCGATCAATTGTATATGTTTCTAAATGGAATCGACCAGCTGATTTCGCTGGTTATTTTCGAGGTGCGAATTCGCAGAGAAACACATTTGGGAATACGCACGCATTTGTATATTGGCAGCTATTCAGCCCGTATCGGGTTCAACCGCCCATAACCGGTTTAGGTAAACGTCTGTCGGCTCACGTCGACTTGCTAAGAACGAATGTAAATACATATACATACTATATGTATGTATGTAGGTTACATATGGATGTTACTATGTATGTACATTGCATATAAAATACTGCATTAGGCTTTATCATGTGATATGGACATATTTTGTCGTGCACACACCCAAGTATTATTTTTGACGCGTTACGGAAACATTTATCCATGCGTGCAGGTTCTGACGGACAAACAAACGCTGCCATTACCACATTCGCTGTTCCCGTTGATGTAGGGAACCAGATAGGTAACCATAGGCTTAGCATAGCAGAAAACACAATGAGATATATGTATGTACGTACATATGTATGTATGTACATACGAACGCGCTATACACACGCGACTTTTATCAGTCAGCCTTAACGAGGATGATATGATGAAGGCGATAACGGCGACAGCGACGTCGACGTCTGCAGCGCTTAGCCAGCAAACGACCATAACTGAGACTGATACGTTTAAAAACTCTTTGCCGTTGTTCAGTCTGTTCTCTGAATTCGTGTCGTTCCAATATTCTTCTACATTCTACCCGTGTTCGTTTTCTACTCGTTGTGTTCGCTCGTCTGCCTGCCTGCCGTATGTATTTGGCCCGTAGTTGGGGCTACAAATACATTTGCACATTGCCAGACAGACAGCTACATCTGCTTGGCCCGTTCCCCTTTTATTAGTTGCTAAATTGTTGCAGAGCTCGCGAAATAAAACATTTTTTCTGTTTTTACAAACAGATTTTTAACCGTAATGGATTGTAGACTGAGAAAATGTCGCACAGTGGTTTATAATTCACAAAAAATATAATTCAAAAATAGGAATATGCGGATTGGGAACATCAATTTCGATTCCGCCCAATTCAAACGAACTTCAAAAGGCAATAAGCTCAAATAGGTCATTACTTCCGACATTGCTTTCAATATGGACATTTCCTGGGTATCGAACGTGACTGTCTTACGCCTTCTAAGTGAAAACTAGTATACCTTTTCTGCACAGGGTACAAAAAAGTCAGTTTAAAACCCATTTATTTTAAACTCTAACTTGTACGTTTTTGGTAGCACTATTTTTTAGTGGGAATGTTGACTTCAGACGTAATCCTGGTTTCAAAAGAAAAGCTATTCAATATTTTAAGTCGATACTCATCGTGGTAATTTTAGATTGAAAGGGAAAATTATATTTAATATTAAAATAAAATTTAAATAATAAATAAACAAAAATACACACGCAACTGTTACCAAAATTTAATTGTTAAAAAACAATAATTTATAAAAAAATTCAGTTCCTATTTCGGAATAAAATACTCCACTGTGCGTCGTCGTGCAATATTTCTGTTCTGATTTGCGTGCCAACGTCTTGGACTGTGCCAAATTGTTTGTGATCTTTTATTAAAAAAAAAGAAGGAATATTTTAAAATTCTGCCTGACAAAATACAAAATTAGCAACGTGAATGTGGCTTCTGTTCTTGTAGCAAATTGCAACGCCAGCAAAAGCACCACGCATTGTCGTTCCCTATCCGTTCCCAAGCGTGTAGTCCGCACTCAAAATGTAGCACGTGTGTAACACATTTAGCCACGCCGAGGTGGTCAATGAGGCAAATGAAAAGCGGGAAGAAACTGTGAATTTTATTTTGCTGAAACGTTAAATTTGATTAGATTTTCAAACGACTATCCTTGAATATGACGCGGTATCCACAGGCGGCGAATGCGTTGCGCTATTTCCTTCTTTGATTTAAATTTATTTTTAAATTCGATGTGAAACGCGATAAAGGCGAATTCATATGCGGTCGAATTCTTATTTTTATTAATTAAAATATTTTCTTTTGCCTTTTGCAAAAAAGCTGTAAGAACAAAAACTGAAGAAATTTCATATATAAAAGCAAAACACAATCACAAAATAAATACATCAGCTAATATATTATAAGATTAACTAAAACTAAACATAACAAAAAAGTTACAAAAATGATGCAAGTAATTTAAGTATAAAGTACAAAAAACAAAAAAATAAATACAAATTAATTAATCGAAACCACACAAAAATATTACCACATTCGACCTGTCTAAAAAAATTCAACTGCAACAAATAATAACAATAAATACAAGTGCAGTGTACAACAACAACATCAACAAGACCAACAGCCGTAGCACCAACAATCACAAAGGAGCAATATTAAATACACGGATCAATACCAAAGATGGAGGCAAAATTCTTGGCTAGCGCTCTCTCATTCCTCTCGATATTTTTAGCCATTAATGCTCAATCGTTTGGTGAGTAGACGACAACATATTATGCTGCAAACATACACAATAACTATACAAAACCCCCACCCCCTACACAGACCCAATCCCTTATGGTTAAAATGTATGCGTAAAACAAAATGAAAATGAAAAACAAGGGGGTTGCTTAGCCCACTCCCTTGGTTATGACCGTGGTATATATATATATGTATACCAATTAACGTAATATTATTCAAATTGTTGGATTTATCGACTTAAGTTTGCTTGGAACGTAAACTAACACCTTTTTTTCGGTGTGGGTGATATAGTCAGTTTTGAGGATATAAACGCAAGAATAGCAAAGTATCTTTCAGTAATTTGGCGAAAAACACAGTCCAAATACTTTTACTGTTTCAATTCTCGCAATGAATGTATTTCCTTCTAAACATAAGCAATGCTGGCCATTAGTGAGGCGTACTTGTAATTTTGAATTGCTTTTTATAGTTTATTGCTGGTTGGTTGGTTAGTCGACTTTGCTTCTGCTAAACAATAGTATATTGTTCTGTTCGTTTTTCTTTCACCCTTCAACAACTTCCATTCCACACTGTGTCAGCTTCTTTTATTTATACTTTTCCACAACATTTCTAACAAAATTAGGCTTAGTTTCTTTTGTTGTATTTAATAGAAGTTTATTTAGTTTTTTTTTTTAAAATACTTTGTTTGGTTTGGACTGATGTGCCTGGTCAGTTGCAGTATTTACATTACGTATACGCGGCGTTTGCCGCGCCGCTTTGGTCGAACATACTTTTGGATTACGTATGCTTCTGTTGCTGTCATGGGTAATACATAAATAAATACATATAAACAAATACACATATACATACGTATGAATTTGTATATACATATGTATGCGTGTATTTATTATTCTATGCATACTAGCTGTCTAGTGCCCATGAATTCTATTCAATTTTTTCATACACTTTCGCGTTTTCTTGTTCAAGGTGTATATATACTTCTTATGTATATAGATTGGTTTTCCTATTTTTATGATTTTTATATAGCATTTTCTTACATTTTGTTTAATGTATTTTGTTTATAAAATACAATAACACTTACGTATGTACATACGTAGGTAAAATAAAATGAAACCATATATACGTATATGCGAAAAATAATGTCGCACGTGACTATATTCTGTCCTTGTAACCAAATAGTCCCTAGTAAGCTGCTTCAAAACGTGTCTATGATTTAATTATTAATCACATACATTACAATATCATTTCAATTAATTGCAAAAGAAACTCATGAAAATAATCGTTGCAAAAATTATTCTATCGCTATGGTCTGACTAGCAAAAAGCTTGTACACGAATTTCACAATTTCATATTTGATGAATAGTGCGCTATGTAGTTGGATGAATACCAATTAGAATTGTTTAATAAAAATTCCTGTGAAAATTATTTGCTAGTAGTGCGAAACCACCATTACTAAATGTGGCATATATTAGTTTTTCGTAATACTTAGCTTTAATTTGATTTCTCAGTTAAAAAGAAAGTGATGTTTCGCGATCATATTTGTTTCTTTGTCTTTATAAAGTGAATTTTAATACAACATGCTTGCGAAGAAAAGAATACTAAATAAATTCAACTATGTACTCTTAAATATTCTCTATCGATTGTGTTATTTGTAATTTCACAACGAGCAGTTACAGTTCAAAAGCGTCATCACACTGCAACGTCATGTTACCGCTTCCTCGCACTTTGACTGTACTCTCTCATTGTTCTTTATTTTGCCACAGGGGTTGGCTATGTTTCCGTTTGTACCAGTTAATCGCCCAAACGTTTACAACCCCGTAGAACTAACTTTAATCATACCTATACACCTGCAATCAGTTGAATAGGTTCAATGTTCTATTACTTCAATACGACATAGCAATATAGACAGTTTTTAAATTTATTTAAAAAAAAAATTGATATTGTTCCGCAATTGAATCGAAAATGTGGCGATACCAGCCATTTAGTCCATGCCATGCCAGACTTTAAGTTAAACGGCAGTTCATTCTATTTATGTGATCAGCAGTGCATGTTGCATTTTAAGAATGTATGTGTGTGCAAATACACCTTTGTTTGTTTCCGTATGTGTGTGTAAAGTGTTTTGCACCTTTTAACTTGGCTCTACTGCGTTGTATACGAATTTGTTGTTGAAAAGATTGAAAGAAGGAGGAGAGGTCGTTCCGACTGTCACTGTCGCTCACAGTTTTTCGCTCTTATCTCTCTCCTTTGTATCAACGCCTCTGACGTACATACATACATACATTCATATTCAGATGCGATGAGTATATAGTACATACAGATGCATGTATGTACTTGTGAAATGGTGTGTTTGTATTTGAGGTTTATTATTAATGTACATACATACATATGTATGCCTTTGTTATACTTTGATATGCTAGACACTTTTAAAAATAAATATAAACTCATTCTGAGCAAGAACAATAAATATAAACATAAAGATGTGCATACACACATATACATACATACATACTCGTGCCATCTCCCACGCATGTGTCTGTGTCAACAGAGAGGCGATGAAACGTATTCTGTTAAACATTTAAATGTATTATTCATAAAAACAAATGCAGCTGGGCTAATTGTCACTGTTCGGGTTTGTGCGTTTATTTCAAATATTAATTACGTTTACATTAGATTTTGATTTGTATCAGCGTGCATAATGATGGGCTTTCTAGTCGAGTTAGTTAGTCTAGTTAGTTGAGTTTCTTTGCCAACGTTTGTCGCCATCTGCAATTGTCTTTAAATGAAGCATCAAAAACCTTGTTTTCATTTCTTCCATTAAAAGTGGCTTACTTTATTGCGATAACCTTATCATATTTCCTCACATTTTTCATGGTAACACAAACCGCTTAATTATTCAAGATTTCTAAATACGCTTGTTTGTTTGCATTATTTATTTAAATTGTATGTTACTATAAAATTAGTTGAAATTTTTTACAGCTTTAGCGGAAGACATTGTAAAACACACCCATACACAGATAATTTGTTTAATTTTAAGACATTTTTATAATAATTTACATAGCATAGATATACGTACGCGTACATGTGTAGGACGTGTATTAACGCGCATTGCAGTTTGGTTTAATTTTTATTTACTTCAACATCTAACTGGGCTGCGTATTTAAATATTTATTTATATAAAAATATGTGAGATTATGACAAACGTGATAATAGTAGTGAGAAGTTTTTAAGTGGCTCTTTCAACTGCCATTATCAGCATTGTGATAAATACATTCGTTAAGCACCTCCATTTGCTGTACGTGCTCTGAAGGAGCAAATATTTGAAACTTGGCAAATATCCCATAACTCTACAAACAGATTTAAATAGGGTTTTTTTTTAACCTATGCCTGCTGATGTGAATTTTGACGCTTTATTGATATTTTTCATGCAATTTATTTCTCCGAGTACGACATTTTCTAAATACATATGTATGTATGACAATATCGAAACGAGCACACGCTATGATTGCCTTTCAATTAATAGCCCTATATGTGTATGTATGAACGTACATTTGTATGTTTGTTTATCACTTGGCAATTCTATCAATTAGGCAGTCTTTGGAGCTGTTCCCCTGCAATTGCCATCCAAGTTCTCTATTTGTTTGCTTTGCCACGTGCTGTTCGTCGTTCAGAAGATGCTCAATTGCTTATGGGCGTATTTAGTGTTACTGAGAAAGATATTGCGTTGCCAGGCTGAACAAGAATAAATACATTTATGTACAGTCTATATGTAACAATTGATCTAGTAAAATATATATTGAGTAACTTTCTTTCAATTAATTTATATTGATAAAGTATTCAAAATATATAATTTATAAATAATGAACACATTTTAAAAAGAAGTAAGGTAAAAATCTACCGAGTAAAGTTATTTTTTTCAGTAGATAGATATAAAAAGATTTTAAATAGTCCGTAAGTTTGTTTTATACTATGTTACATACTCATGTGCCTGGTAAATAATTACCAATTCAGCTTTAAACATCGTCGCCATAGGCGATAAGATTCTTATCAAAAACACAGCATGGCGAGCAGATTAGGTAAGAGGTATTGTCCTCGAGCCTCATTCCCTCTTTACTACATTAATTTATTATAGCATACTTGGGTATTTTCTGTTCTGATGTCTTTTGTTTTCGTTTCCAACTACTGATTTTGATTGTGTTTGATATTCTTATCGAGAATTAGTGGGCAGTTCAAAGACATATAGAGTTAGGATAAGAATTCTGCGCACAATGACGCCCGAAACTACTTTGACTTACGTCACTACATGCAGCTTTAACTGGAAATTGCAAATGCCCGTGACGTCATTCTTTGAGGCGTCTACTGATTTCAATCAACTGACAAGTGCCTAAGAAATAATTTTTTTTTAACAGTGGGAAAATGTGCCGGTCACAGAGATACCTTTGAAAAATGTATAAATTGCCGATTATTTTAACGAAGATATATCTATTAAATACCTATTTATATTTCGCCTAGGAGACTTCGCTCAAATACCAGTAGGAATATACATATACAGCTAGGTGCGAAGCCCCCTAGTTCTATAGTTCTTTTATTTTATTTGTTTTTATATTATTTAAGCACTTAATATTAAAATGAATAATTTAAAACATTGCTCTTTTTACCCAACTTGGTGCTGAAATCAAATAATAAACTGAAACCTTGTCCAGAAGAAACAAAATCTTAAACGAAACCGCATTTATGTATTATTAACAATATAAGACAATGGAAGGAAATGGAAAAATAAGGAAACATTTTCGTTCCTGCTCATATCAATGCTTTCAATTATAACGTGAGAAGCCAATTACCATAAACCACTCACAGAAATGCCACCTTTTGTTTATTTTCGTTTTTTACATTACACGTTCCAATTAGGTATACTTAACCAAGAATTTTCTTTTTATTAAGTTTATTGAATCGAATCTATGTGCTTTCCTTTTACGTACTTATTAAATCCTGTGTATAATGTGTGTCTATATAATGTGAATAAAATGCTAAACATGCTGCCCTTCGGCTTGGTTAATTAGCCAACGATATTACCGAGCCTACAGACTATGAGATCGCACCGGCGATTTATTATGGCGACTCAAACGTCAATATAGGCGAGCCCTTCTCTATCACCTGCATCATACCAATCACCGAGAAGATACACTGGCTGAAGAATGGCGAGTCCCTCACTCGCCACAATTTGCGCCATGGTCGCGACGAACATGCGTATACGCTCTCCGAGAGCGCCATTGAAGGTGAGTATGCCAGGAGAGAAATTGGGACGGTTTCTTACTAGCGGTATTCCGCATTCCAAGGTGAGAAGCACAAGATCGAGGCACATCTTGCTGTACGGCACGCACTGAAGGTGCACGAGGGACGCTACCAATGTAATCTGCGACACAACGGCTACCATGTGCTGCATGTGCGCGGCACAACCCAAATCAACGAGCCCACAGAATCGGGGTATCAAACTATTGATGACCTGACGCCTAACTCAGTTGGCGAAATATTCACGCGCACGTGGCAGGAACAGAAGCAGCAGCAGATACCGATATCCACACACCACCTGCACAAGCCCTACAAGCATCTGTATAGCAATGCGACAAACACACGAGCGGAGAGCGAGGAGGGATACTTCGATTTGGGATATTTGCCGGCACCGGCACCAACGAACAGGTACCAGGATTTAACAACTATGCCTTGGCATGGCTCGACAGTGGGTAGTCCTAGTGGCGGTGGTGGCATTCATCGCGTATACTCGGCTACGCCGCCAGACTTTCCACCACCTCGCATCAATATGTTGGAACACACAGTGGCGCCACCGGAGCCACCCACCATACAGCTTTACAACCAAACGATGCCGCCGCATCATCAACAACAACAAACAACAACACATGCCACAAATCCGAGTAGAATTGGACAACAGTCCAGAATTGGAACGCCCAACACCACCTCTGCCACCACCCATCATCGGGTGCATCATCAGCAGCAGTTGCAGCACACGCTGAATGGCTTCCAAAAGCCACAGCCGCCCTACGCACATTCCAGTGAAAAATATCAAACCTATGCGCCTCAGTTTATACAGCCTGGCCTTACAACTGCCACAGCTACCATGTCGAGATCGTCACCTCAGCCTACCACGTCGCCGACAACCGTATTTGTGGGGCTAATGCAACAGCCCAAGACGTTCTTGCCTATTAAGAAGGGTGAGCCACACTTAACTTCAACTTCTACTCTATACCATTTGTGTTGTTTTTGGCTTTTATCGCTAAATCGAAGCAAAAACAAAATATTCATCGTCTAAACCAAATCAACCAAACCAAGAATCGAACCGAACCAAACCAAATAAGCAATCGAACATCACTTGTGAGCCAGCAAGAGAGAAAGAAATCCGTTGATGTCACCAACAAGAATCCTTCACCACATCTCAATCAGCCATCAAATATTTACTCGCTACCCTTTTTACTTGAAAGAATATCGTGTAGAAATTGTTACCCTTTATCCTAGCTCTCGCTCTTTTTTGTATTTGTTCTCGCTTTGATTCAACGCTCAGAAAAATCGGCAACAACTATGCAAACATCATTATGTACACATCGATAGTTTTCTCGTCACTACTTCGCCAATATTGATTCGTTGTTCTTGTAGGCTCTGTCTTGCCCTCTCGCACTATTCATACTGTATAGTTAAGTTATAAGTTTTTATTTCATGTTATCATTAAACCTTCTCAGGCTCTATCTCGCCCTCTCGTTCTCGATATTTCACTAGCACTATTCATCCATACCTGTATCTGCATAGTTGAGTTTAATGTTTTTATTCAACTATTTCTCGAGCTTCCCCATTCCCACAAGTTGTGCAGTTTATGAATTATTTAATTGATTTAATAATTTATCGTTTTAACTTCGCCGTTTTTAGATCTTTCGCCGTACTTTAGTTTCTCTCTTTAGCTCTTTATTTTTATATTCTTGATTTAAACCATTCCGTGAAGCAGCGGAACCTTCAATTTGATTGTCAGCCCTTATTTGTTGGTCAGCCTGCCAGCCAATTGGCTTTGCTGGCATTTATTGCATTGCTTATTGTACTATGTACGAAGTTTTAAACTAAATTGTACCATAGACTGGGTCGTATTACTGATATACAAAGCTATTTGTGTTGTTGTTGATAACGAAAATATGTGATATATAGTGTCACGTTATAAAATGGGCCCAAAAGGCCGACAATAATAATAATTACACCCCCTGCTTTCTGAATATACTGGACAAACATATGTAGCTTTTCCTATTGGTCTCTCAAATTAAGTTTTTGCCTTTGTTGTTATTTTTAGCCAACTATCAAGAAGAAAACCCACGGCTTGCTCAGCTTGCTCTATTTTATTACAGCTAATTTTTACATTACAACAATAAAGAGAGTGTATCTAAACGAGCAAGAACATAATGCATAATACCTGCTCTATCCGACATATATATCGTGTCAGTCAAATTTATTTGATTTCAGTCCAAGTTCAAATATTAAATAAAGAACAAATGATTCGAAATTGTATTTTAATTATAATTGGTCAAGTATTACAAAAGTCCTCTGTTCTTGTTAGCACTAAAGAATAATAATTTATTTAAAAATCATTATTTTCAATATTATAGAATTTAGTGTTTTAAGTTTGCTTATTTTAAATTGTGATTATTTTTGATAATAATTAATTTCCAATTTATAATTTCATAAGTCCAATATTTGTCTTGTATTTTGAATAATTAGTTTTTAAATATAAAATATATTTGTCTACATATATATACTTAATCGAACATACGTATTGCGTTTCATTTAGTTGCTGCCCAAAAATCAAAAAGTATTACTATCAATTGTGAAATTAGTACATAACCTCATCTCTGAACGCCTCCTTCATATGTTAAGCGCTCGTAACCAATTGAATACCTTTAAATTGTGTTTTATTTAGGCCACAATTTATTTAAGCATATTTTTCTATTCTTACTCTTGTACTACTTATTATGTAGAATAATATCTCATACCCTGACAACTTATTAACATACATATGTACTAATTTATCAAACTATTTTCTTTTGTTTCTCTGCAACAAATTATTTCAGGGCCAGATTCTTTGGTTCCAAACTATGATAATGAAGAGCATCAAATGAAATTTTACGATATACGAACGCCGCTCGTCCTGAGCTGCAATGTGAAAGATGCGCCTGCAACAGAGCCCCTCAGATGGTAAGTCAATTTACTTTTTTAGCAGACACAAACATGTACATAGTGCCGGTGGGAGGTAGTCAGTGTCACACACAGGCATAATTCAACGGACAACGGGAAAATATGCCAATGCCCTCAGTGACTCAGATAGGGTTCGTTTAAGGGAGGCATCATTCGGCTGCATAGCATAGTTGTTACACGAGGAAATAGTATAAGAAAAACTAAACGAAATTAAAAGCGAATTAGAATCTTAGAATGTTGGCCAATGGAAGTGAAATACCAATACCGCCTTACATACGAGTATGTGCATTGAATTTACCTCAAGTGGCTGCAAATGCATTGGTGGAGCTCGCTGTGTGGGTACAAAAAGTGTTGAGAAATGCTCTCCATGTTCACGAGCCAAAAAAAATAATGAAAAAGAAAACAGCTGAACGACTGACAACAGTGCTGCATAGTTTTTAAAAATTTATTTTTATCTATGAGAGAGTGATTGTTGCTTTTTAAATCCAGAATACTTGTAATATTACCAAATACTAATCAGATATTTAAAAATGGGAATTATGTTATACTCTGAATCGAATCGAATTAAATCATTTGGATCTGAAAATAGAAATTTTAACCAAACCAAAAATATTTCCATTTTAACTTAAACTCCCAAATACCCTTTTTTTCTACAGGGAAAAGAATGGAACAGATGTTTTCAAAGTTGAGTCTCTAAAGGGTCGCTTTAGAGTTTTGGATGCTGAAAGAAAATTTATAATTGATAGAGCAGAAGCTGACGACGACGGCCTTTACAGATGCGTGTTCAATGGCGTGAGTAAGGATATCCATGTAGTCGGTAAGTTAAACTTAACTCATAAACAGAAGCGTGTTAAACGTTGTTTTAAAGTTAAATTGGCTATTTTTATTTAGTATTTTGATAACTCCGTTGAACAACAGTATCAATTGGGTAGAGTTTATTAAAGAACATGAAAAATTTTATTATGATTACGATATCTAAATCAGTATAGAATGAAAAAGCTACTCTGTACTTTGAATTTTGCATTTCATTAAAAATCACTGATTATTTGAATCTACTTGTAATTAATTTTAATCACAGCCCGCATTGTTGTACGAGTACCTTCCAATTCTGGAGTTGTTGAGGGCGAGAAGTTGTCGGTTATTTGCACCGTTCTCGGAACAGATCCCAAATTGTCTTGGAGCTTTGGTAAATGCGCAAATGCGACTAATCAATATACGGAGAATGTTAATGTGTTTTTTTTTATTCTAGGCAATTTAACACTGACGAGCAGCACAGATCGTTACATTCTGAAAAGCGATAGTAACAATATAGAAAATGCTGTGCTAATGATTGAGAACGTCACTCTGAATGATAGAGGCGAATATAAATGCATTGGACGCAATGCGGCTAATGATTATATTGCGAATAGCACCCTTGCCAGCGACGCCACAACCGTGCGTGTTAAGGGTAAGTTCCAACACATCTTATCTTGAAAAAAATGAGAAAATCGTGTTGCACTGGCAGGCGTCAAACAAACGTTACGCAAATAACCTGTTTTGTGTTTAAAATGTTGAATTGATGTGACGTTTGTGGGTATTCATAAATAAGTTGTAGATGTAAAGAGTGCCTTCAAGCCAAATTATCTTTCTTTGTTACAGGGAAACTTGCCGCCTTGTGGCCTTTCTTGGGTATTTGTGCAGAGGTACTCATACTCTGCCTGATCATCCTTATCTATGAGAAGAGACGTAACAAGAGTGAGCTGGAGGAGAGTGATACTGATCCACAAGAACAGTAAGTTGCCAAAATGCGACCAGAACCAGAAACAAGAACCACAACAAGAACCACAAAAATACCGACAACAACAAATGCAGTTTACAACCACAACAACAAATGCAGATTGCTATCACAATCACATATACATCCACAGCAACAATAGCAAACAAAAAGAAAAATGAAAACAACTGTAAACAACTGCAGCAGAAATTAAATGTAGTTAATACATACATACAAAATATTTAAGATGTTGAAAAGCATTCTAAACATAATTTAGACCTCACCTGAACGGACCCAAACTGACGGAATCCGAATGGGTTCCTCCCAAACGACGTACTTACGGAGACAACAATATGCAGGACGTGAGGTTGTTCTTGTTCTTGACCAATAGCTAGAAACTTTTGAAGAGGAAACCCACAAAAAACAGTAATTAAGTTTAAACAACCTAGCCAAATTATGTTAGTAACAATTTAAAATTGGAAAAAGTGTTCTCTATTATGTATTCGGACATTTCTTCCAAATGTGCGAAAAGCGTTAACGTAACTTTGAAATTGTTTCAATTTATAATTGTATTTAATTTTGTGTGTTTTTCCGTGTCCGACATCTGCTGTCCCGTTGAATTGTTGCGCTCCGAGCGTTATCACAAAACATTTTCGTAACTTTCGATGTGTGCTACAATCTATAGATACATATATACTATATATTTAAATATTTTGTATATTTTTGCGTTAACCGTGACTTGTTGACATTTTGAAAACTCACAGAGACAACAAATACACACACACTTACATATACACACAATGTACTTTTAAAGTTTAATTAATACATACATACATCTATCTATATATACATATATAAATATTATCTACTCTATAGTTAACGTAAATAAATATGCCTTATTATTTCTTGATATTTGAAATTGTTTCTTCTATAAGAATAAAAACTTAATTCAATATGTTTGTACTTGTTGTGCTCGTTTTGTTGCTTTGCTTTACACACAATTCAAAGGCGTTGATCTGTATTTTAAACACAAACTTGATTAAATTTGTTGAGTTGAACTGTGAAGAGGACACGATGAAGCCAACATTTTGCTCTTTTCATAAACACACACACACATGATTATCGTTACAAATATGTATATGATTTAAGCTTGATTGAAGTTTGGCAATAAATTTTGTTTATAACAATTGAGACAAAGAACAGAAGAGTAATTAGTCTACAACTCAAAGGATTTTCTCTTTCGCATTTTGTATATCTGTAGGCATCTGTTACCGCCACAATATCTAAGATTAATCACTGTTTTGCTTAACTTGTTTTAGACGATATGTAGTCCCCCTGCCACCCCCCTATTTTTTGTTTCTTTAATCTTAGAGAATTGTAAAATTGATTCTTTTTTGTTGCGTTTTTACTATCGATTCAAAAGGAAATAAACAAAATATTTTTAAACAGAAAACAATATTATTTTTTTATTTATACAATAATTTAATGTTGAATGTATTATATTTTTTAGTTTAAATATGAAATAATTAATACATTTGTTAAGAAAAATATATATTTTCAGTTTTCATAAGTTCACAGTCTAAATATTTTTAATTGCAATGTTCAGTTCAATTTACGAAACATTCACGACTTTTTATTTATTATACTTTAATTTAAAGTCGTAGCAGTACGGATTGGAAAACATGTTTTTTGTTTTCCACGTTTTCACAGTGATTTCGAAATAAAATAAACAACACATTTTTAAACAACAATGTACTAGTTATACCCCGTAAAGGGTAAAAAGGGTTTTTCGGTTCATGCAAACTATGTAACAGGCAGCAGACATGCCCCTCCGTCTGTCCGTCCGGATAATTGCCTGGATTTCGAAAATGGCTGAACGCACATAGACTAAACATGGTATGTAGACACTCCTATTTCCTAGGCAACACGAGTTTATTTAATTTTGTCCGGTTTTGTTCTGATATGGACGCAGGAGTTTGTTTTGGGTCGGTCTTGCTCGACTGTAGCATTCTCTCTTCTTTTAAATTTATAAAAAATTTACTTTAAAATTTGTTCAAACCACAAAGAGGGACTAGCTTTAAACCGTTTGTCAAGTTTGGAAAGTATTTAAAAATTTTTGTTTTTAATAAGAATTGGACAATACATTTTTAAACAAATTTATAAAATAATAATTAAATATTTACAAAGACACAAATTTTGAATAACACAATACTTTTTTTTTTACTTTTCACGAGTTGTTTCGGTCCTAAAATTGTTTGTTTTCTGTAATGTTTCCGCAGTATGTATTTATTTTTATTTGCAGTTACAGTTCATATTATAATTAATAGATTTAGATGTACATTTTTAGTGTTTTAAAGCGTAACAAATAAAGCACTTCTAACTCGCACTTTAAAAGATTTTCCCAGTCTGGAAAATTTATTTTATGAAATGTTTGCGCAGTACTATTTTGAGTTGCAATTCCGTTTTTACTTTTCTTCAACATTTAAAATTTGAGTAGCACAATACGTTTTTAACAGCTCTTCACGAAATTTTCTTTTGTGTTCTCAGTATAGTTTCACTTGCAATTATTTTGTGTTTAGCAGCATTTAAATTCAATGAAGTTAGCTAATAGATTATTATTATTGTTATTATTATAAAGCTAATGAATTTCATTTCTTTTCTTGTATTTCATAAACCGTACCGAAAAATATTACACAAAAATGCTTCCTCCTCAATTTATGAAATTAACCAATTTGTCTGCCGGTATTGAAAATAGTTGATTAATTCGCTCGATCGAGACGATATCGAAAAACAGAATACTTGTAAGCAGCTCGAGAATATATAAGAAGGGTTTGGCCCATATTGGTGGTCGATCGTTTACAGCCAGTTTAAATAATAAATATGTATATGTAACCGCAAAATTGATAAAAGTAACAAACAGCTAAATTAACTTAACTAAACTAAGCTTTACTAACGAGCTATCTACTTGTATGTTACTTAAAAGATATGTCAAACGAATGTACGGGCCAGAACAGAACAAGTGCTATATTTAGGATAAGAACCCACCACCTCCTACTCGTATTATCGAAAGAAAGTAGCAAAATATAATAGAGCAAGTTACGTTTTTTCTCGTTTCTGTTTTGTTTTTGTTCTTGATTTTAATTTAAAATTATTTTTGTTCTGTATTACTGTAAGTAACAAACGTTTTTCGATTGTGTATTGCATTCCGTGTGGATATTTCAGTAATGTTTGATTGGTTGATTAATGATTGCTGCTCTTTCCTAAAATTTTACTGAACTTATTATCCTAGCTACATAGTTTTTGCCATATCGTATCGTATCGTATCACACCACATGCGTACATGCGAATTGTTCTGTTAGTCTAGTTACGAATGCAAACAATAATTTATAACTGATACGATTTTGCAATTTGTTTTTATTGCAGGAAAAAGAAAAGGAGAAATTATGATTAAGATTCCTGATGAGACAAATTTAAATATGAGAGTATATACATATGTATGTATAAGGAAAGAAAATTAATAGAGAATTTGTGTAAATGGCGCTTAGATTCTCATTTAGCGCCGATCGCACTTACCCCCTCCCTCCCAACATACACACACATAAAATATAAACATTAAACAAAATAATTAAAAATAAACAAATTAAAAAAGAATAGGAAACCGTTTAGAGAAACTAACACAACAAACAATTGTATGAACTTTGTTTAGTAAAATTGTAACTTATTAACAAATTATATATATATACTAACTGAACTTAACATTAAACTGAAAGTGATAGCAGGTAAACGAACTCTAAAGCAGAACACTAGTAATTAAACTATTTACAAAATTAACAAATATTAAAGAAGAATTAAATCCCAAAGTCCCAACCAACCACTCGACGTGAGATGTTCCCATTTATGGTACATAAATAAATATATTGGTTCGTTCAGTTATCTTTCGGAATATATGAGATGCTGCGATTCCTTCTCAGAAGATCTTTTGTCAACGCGCTTTTTATTGAGTTTTTAAAGGATGCGCTAAATGGAGGAGGAGGAGATCCGTTGAAGTCCTAAACAAAAAGAAAACAGAAGAGAAGCTGTTGAATGTTACAATTTGTTTATACATAACAACTATTAGTTAATGAAATGAATTGAAAAACAAAATTTTAGAATAACTGAGTAGCGCGTTATCGATATACATACATATTTTTTAAGTATAAATGCTGTGCAATTCAAATTAAATAATATTGTATATTGCATAATTTTTAACTAACAAAACACGTACTGCCAAAACTTTTAAAGTTCAGTACTGTTCGCTTATACCTTAGCCTCATTTTTGTATACAAAAGCAAAAAGAAAAAAAACAAAAATATGAATCAAACATCGTTACTAACTACTTCTTTGTTGTTGATACTTTAGTTAGTTATACATATATATACATATATAAATACATATATGTATGTTTAAAGCCTGAGCGGTCTTCAAATTCTCCACTTGTGTCTGTATTGAATAGAATAGTTTTACATTTATTATCATCATTGGGAGCCATCATTTCATGTTAATGTTAACCTTATTCTAATTTTGTTTAAATTTAATTATTTTATTATTTTGCTGTCGCCAAAGCTTTAGATATTTAACTATTGCACTGTGTTCTCTGTACGTACATACACACATATGTACATACATATATACAAACAAAAATACATACATAATATCTTAACTTTGAAAGAAACTAATAACAAAAATTATGCAATTTTTTTTTAGAGAATTGAAAACAACATCCGTAAGTTCTTAAAGCCTACGACGTCGTGTATGTTTTCGACATTCATAGATACATATGTATGTATGTATAGACGTAGCCTAATATTCATATTCTAAATCCGTTGGACCCTTCTGATATGGAATGAAGGTGGAGAAGCTTTATGTTTTTATCGTGTATGTTCTGTGCACAGTTGTGGCAACTGCGGATAAATTCTTATCAGCCGCTTAAAGCCCGGTTTCACAATGAACTTTACATAAATTACTCATTGGAATCGTTGACCAACACTGCACACTACTTTTACCATACATACATACATACAAATTAGGTGGTAGTGCCGCAAATCAACAACGTCGTTATCAAAATGTAAACAAATGCTTAACAACTGTTTGTATTTGTCTCGCAGCGGCCCCATTTTAATTGACATTTTGAAACCGTGGCCGAAAATTGCATCTAATATTAAGCATGCGTACGAACCTTAGAAAATGAACGTGAAAAGAAGAGAAAGGATAATTTCCTGAACTGAATAAAAACCCCACGTTGCTTATGCACCAACTCTAAAAATATACATACATACATACATAACAACGGACAGGTACAATCCATACCTATTTACAATTACATACACGCATACACACATAAATAGATAATAGTTGTAAATGTCAACGTAATGTTACCCACAAATAAGAACTGCAACAACTATTAACATACTATAACTGTAATTGAAGAAGATAGAAAAAAACTTCAGCAATTCTATTTACAATATACATACAAACATAACTATACAAACATACATACATATACACTTATATACAACAAATACATACGCAGTATTGTATGTCTTTTGTACAGTAAACAACAAACGTACATATTTAAAACGAACAAAGCCTGACAACATCGTGTATCCTATGAAGTCCTCAGTATGCATATTTAAAAAAAAAATGTTTTGATTTTTTCTTTTTATCTTTTCTATTTAAAATTTCTATTTACTGTTGTTTTATACCAAAACCGGCATACACTTTAACTCTCCCTTGTTAACTACTTATTATATTAACTAAATACATACATACATATATACACCACACACACATGCTAACGTAAGGGTAACTTATATAGTACTTATACAATATACATACATACATAAACAAATTACAATATATTGTAATTTTAATTTAACATAAGACGTTGAAATTCGTAACAAACTAAAAGCAAAATCTACATACATAAATACACATATTTACCTTAAATACCTATGCATGCATATATACATGTGTACATAGATATGTACGTGTGTATGTATGTAGTAGCACTAGAACTAAGATTTAAAATATAGTCACATGCCTTGGCACACAAAACTGTGTCCTAGATTCGTCCTAATGGTTCTTAGTTTCGCTTCAGATGGAGAAGGTTCGTAATACCTTTGCGCATTCTATTATTAAATAAAAATATAAATTTTACAGAGAGCACTATTTTGATTTCCCTTAGTAATTTTCATCTAGTTTGTCTCAAGTAGGTTAACATAAAACATTGCCGTAGGGTTTCAGTAGAAGTACTAGAAGCAGTGTAGTGTGTTGTCAGAGATTTCACTATATTTTTACTCACTCATAACAGTCTTAACGGTGTAGCTTATAAACCCAACCTTTATATTTATTTGTTACTACTACATACATATATTTCGTTTTACTAATAAATTGCTAAGGGGTGTGGCTTGTTACAATAGCATAGTTTGAAATGAAGGAAATGAACTTTAAATCCGCATACAATTACTGGTAAGAATTCTTCGTAGCCGTACAGATATGTAACTCAGACAAATTTGAAATATCATAATTAGTTGTGGTGGACAGTCAAATATGATTAAATATTTGAGAGGGAGAGATTCTCTCAATTATTTTTTTGATTGTACCACTTTCGACTTTTAGAGATAGAAAGAAGATAATTCAGATTTATTCAAAACCCAAAACTGCGATTAGAATCACAACTCAACAGGGCACAGCACTTTTTACCTACAAATAGGAAAACACTATACGAATACATGAATACATGAATTTCGCAAACTTAATGCAAAAACCGAGCGCTAACCGAGGAACTATCAACTTTTTAAATTAATATTGAATTGAACCCAAAAAGTGTTCATAAAATTTAAACAAGATAAATAACTAAAATTACATATTTATACTTATTGAAAATAAATACAAAAAAGAATATAACAACATTTTGTATGGCAAAGGCTTAAAAACCAAAATGTAGTTATGTAATAAGTTAATATAAAGAGTTTGAATGTGTAAATTGAAAAACAAAACAAAAAAACCCATTGAATGAGATTCCTAAAAACATGTCCAAGGCTTCAAGGAACTTGTGCTCTTTATGGTATTTATAAACTTCTCCAATTGTATGTACATACATATACATATATATAAAATGCTTGCGTTTCTTTCGGTTCTACTAAAAATGTACATCTCTCAAAGGAGAAACTAAACCTAAACCCAATAAACACATCCCCTAATGTTGAGCGAAGCACACACAAAATTCACACATTTTACACAATTGTTTAACAAATTATACAGACACTTACTAATACATATATAGATATATATTGCAATTAATAACAATATTTTCAAACAATGTAAAACTAAGCGAAATAACATTTAAATAATAAAGATACAACCCTTCTAGCTCCACATTGCAATCCACAGAGCGTTAGGGCAGTAACAAAAACATTTGTATAATATTTAAGCCTAAATGAGAAGTCATTAAAAACAAAATATAATACCATCAGAAATCGAACGTAGGTAATTATTAGAAAGCCGGCAACCGCGGACGGCGACGTTTAAATAACGACTATGTATAAGAATACACTTACCTTGTAAAATTAAACACAAATACACATTGAACAAATACCAAAAAAAAAACCCAATTTTAATTGCAAGCGCTTGAATTGTAAATTTTTATTGTACATTGAGCGGCCATGGTATGTATCAATTACAAAATGATGTATGATTCATAGATAACTAATAAAACAAGTTTAAAAAATGGCAGACAGCTGTATAATATAGAAAGCGCAACAGTAAAACATAACGTCGGATCGATCAGTGAATAGAGGAAGCATTTGGAAGGAGAACAGTTGCTAAGCAAGAAGATGGAAGATGAGTTAATAAAATATAAATATTTACTAAAATACTCATTAATGAAAATCCAATTCGTTGCATAATATGTAAAGCGAAGATAGTATTTAAATTAATTAAATTTAACAAATAAAAAAGAAAACTCGATTGCCTAATTCTAATATTAAACTATTATACATGCATCTAAACAAAACAAAAAAATGAGAAACCAAAAACCTAACGTAATAATATAACTAAAAAAAAAAACAAGAACAACAAAAAATGTTATTATACTTATACTGATTAAAAACCAAAAAAAAAACGACAAATTAAAATAAAATTTTATTTAGATTAATCGTACGTTTCTTTTACTAACGGATCTGGCGGGAACCCAAAACTACGAATTTTTTATAAACCAGTGTTCCCAATCTGCTGTTATCTCCTTGGATCGCATAAACAAACTAGAGGTGCCAATCAGCTTTTAAATATTGTCCACTGCTCCTTCGACTGCATTAACAACCCGCACTGGCCCCAATTAGTTTTTACTCGTTATTCATTTTCCTTTTCTTTTGTGTTCCGTGCTTAAAAGAAGAACGAGTTCTTTTTATTTGTAGAGGACACGAAGCTGCTCTTCGCACCAAATGGCGTCGCAAAGAGTCGCAGCCATCGCGATTCTTCCGTTTTGAGCGATCGGTGGATTTGGCTAAGGTGAGTCCCCCTGCCACATTCTCCGCATTGGGCACATTTGTGGGCAGAATGCAGTATTTTCCACGCACCTGCTGCACAAAGCCAAACCTAATCGCCTCTGTCAGTGTACCTTTGACTGTGCGCCAAATGGACTGTTGCCTGGACTAGTAATTATAATACTATAATGAGAAATTACCGATAACGAAAGCAGGTTCACTTACATTAGTTCTGATTGCCAATTGACGTACCACTTCCACCATGCTTGCCGGCCTGTTCAAATCTTGCAGAGCCTGTATGATCAGCTGACCATTCAAGTTGACAGCTCCACTGGCTTTAGTTGATTTTGAACGGACCACACGTCTGGATGTGGTCCGTCTCTTGACACTGGGCTGCCGTTTGTGTTGGGAGGTGTCCGACGATTTACTCGGCATACTGGACGCCTCAAATGTGATTCGGTGTATGTACCCAGTCGAAAAATATTCAAAAGTACTAAAAATCCTATAACTGTTTCTGACAACTATTTCAGAGCTTTTATTAATTTTGAGAAATGAATACAAGTATTAGTGGTATTAAATACAAATAACAAATATTTTTAACTAAGAGCCCTTTTCTGCGCTTCTTAATCCAAGCACTTAAGCAAAGCTATCTAAAGAATAGCTGGATAGTTTAAAAAACTAATTTGACGATGTAATGAAAAATACAGCATTCTTCCGGCTTATCATACGAATGGAAACGAGTTGCTCTCTGGGCATTGGGTTTTGCTTAAAACCGCTTCGGTAGACAGGTCAAGGACCATTTGAACACTGCGGCAGACATCGGACTATGATAAGATAAATCTTTTCAACTTACACTCACATACAATGTACATATTTTATGTGTGCTTAAGCACTGCAGATACCGCATGCCAATCAAAGTGTGGATCAACACGATAAGAATGAAGATGCCAAAACTGGGAGAACAGTTGATAACAACAACGTTGCAATTTAAACCGATTTTAAATGACATTACTGAAGTTTTCAACCTGACTGACCAATTCTTGAGTGTCAGAAAAAGCCAGATCAATAATTGAAAAATCTTGAATCTAGCTAAGGAAACCCATGACGAAACTATATATAATATATAGTACTTATGGATTGTTAACAAATATCCAGAACTAGCGGTAAATTGGCAGCTTTGGTCTCAACTAAATTAAGAGGGGGAGAGTAAAGTTGTAATATTGTTTGATTTATTTAAAAATTCATCACTGTTAAATACATTTTGTTATTTGATTTCAATACGTAAGATTAAATTACTCTAAGTGAAGTTCTTTCTTCTAAGTTGTTAGGTGAGTGCGTGACAAATACACACAAAGTTGCTCTTGAGGTTATTCGTATCAATTTGAAAAGCATTTGCCTATTCTGCTCTTATCTTGTTTGGTTGTTGGAATCAACTACAAATGGGACTCCACACTAGGACTCTATGGTAGCGTTATAGGTCAGTATAAATATATTCCTATTCGGGTATTGTTTACATCTATGTATGTAATATATTTTGAAATAACATTTATAACTTATGCACAAAATAAATATTAAAATGTGACTCATCTTTAAAAACTGAATGCCTTGCACCGCAACCGATGTACATATAATATATAATTATATTTATATTATTTAACTACTCCTGCCCATTTGATGGCACCACCACATTGTCATTTAGGCAAGTTGTGGGTGCCTGCAACAGGTCCGTGTATTGAAGCAGAGCCTCTCGAAGCGATCGTGACACCTCAGGCGATGTAGTTGTGGTGCAGTCGACCAGATAGGGATAGAGGCCAATTAACTGATCCCAGGCAGGCTTATTAACTGCTTTAAAAGTAATAGGTGGGTTAGAAAGAGTAATCTCTAATAATCCTTTTACAATGTCTTACCCTTAGAGGATGGTGCCTTCTTCATGGAGACCACTAAAGTGGCAATTGCCTTCAAAACAAAGGATATTTCGGATAAACGGAATCTGGAATAAAGATGAGAGATGATTGTTCAAAAAATATTGCATTTCAATTTAACACACAAACCTGGGAAGCGGGCACTTGCCGCTTTGTCGTTCATCATCGTTGAAACGTTTAAGCACTTCCTGGAAGCGATGCAACAAAGCTGTCACCGCCAAGCGACCCGCAAAAGCTTTGCCAACCGTACCCGCTTCTCCACAGCTTGGCAAGAGATTTGCATTCAAGACCGGTGCGTTAGCGATACGATTATTGTTATGGGCACCATTCTCTCCAAGCAATGAGAACTGCAGTAAGGTCTCGAAGCAAGTTTTGGCAAAGATCTCGCGCAACTTCCAGTCCGATTCGTAGCAGATGTTCGTATCCGAGGCCGAGTGTATGGAACCCTTGTTGAGTAGCACCACAATTTGCATAACAAACTGATGTGGCATCTCCGGATAGGGCAGTACCTCGTCGCGCAACAGTTCGATGACTTGACAATCAATCGTCTCGTCTAATACAATTTCCTCCAGTCCCCTATCCTCAATGGTGCATACGCTAGCTGGAAACAGAAACTTATCCAGCGTATCGGCCAAATCGTCCCACATTCCCGTAAAATGTTGCGGTTTCGCTCGTGCCACCTTTAGGCCCGTGTGCAACACATTTATGAGGCTTGAAATCGCCAGTTTCCAGGTACTAGACGCCAAACACTTATATTTCATGGCCAATGGTGTGCGTAGAGCTTTGATGATCTCGTGCAAGATCTGCTCCTGTACGACTGGATCCTCGGCCGCCGTACTTTGATACAGCTTAGCGCAAATGCTGATCGCCTTCTCCCCAAAAGGAATGTAATTCATGCTGACAACCTCAACGGAAGCGTTGTTTGAATAATGATTTGTTGTCTTGACATACTTGTTGTCCACGTTCTGCTGAAAAGTTGGCGGAGCACACGCAAATTTGCTGAAGATCAGTAGCTGGCGAAAGATGGCAGGAATTAGTTGGCGTATGTTCGAATTGGGCTTTGTGGCCTCCTGTAAGTAAAAAGGAATAGGCATTAAAATTTAAGAAAAAATATGGAATGGGAATAGGACCTTTTGGATTAGCTCCATGCATTCGAGAATACCGTCGTGGAGTGGCGTCAATAGCGTATCTGAGACTGTGGACATAATGTAAGGAACTGCATCCGTTTGGAGGGGAATGCAAACGGCATTGGTAAGAACGGTGGAAAATTTATCAAAGTCGCTGGCCGAAAATCTGAAAGTATGAGATAGTTTGGTAAGTAAAAGAAAATCTATGGTTTACTGAATAATATAGACACGCACTTGGTTTGTATGTGCTGAAATATAGCGGGAAATATTTGTATGAGGGCTGTTAGAAACGCCTGGCTGGGAATGTAATAGTCTTCCTGGCTGTTGTTGCTTTTTGTTGTCATTTTGGTGCTCTCCATGCCAATGCTGAGCCAAATATTCCATGCAATCTGATCATAAAAGAGTGTTAAGGGATACACAACAGATTGATATATTCATTCGACTCACAGTCCAAATCTCATCGTCCTGATCCTTAGCAACATCCGCCACTTTTGTCGTTGCTACACTGCGTTCTGTATTGTGATACATTATCTCTTGAAGGGACTTCAGTGCCGCCAATGACACCTCCCCGTTCTTGCTGAGAGCTGCATTTTGTATAAACTCCAATATTAAAGACCAGGCCCGCTCAAAGTCGCCTAACATTTGCAGCAACTCGCGCTTTGTGTTAAACACACGACACACACCCGAAAGTGTCAGCACCTGTGTCTCCGCCCATTGTTTTTGGGCCGTATTGCGAGAGTGATGTATCAAAATATTGCCACTGGAGTCGACTTTCTCGTTACTAGCCGAACTCGACAACGATCTTACATTATCGAGCAGTGGAAAGAGTACCTGCCATACGAGCGCCTGCCAGGTGGGCGGATTCAGCAAACTGCCATGCGCTGAAATGGTGGAGAAGAGCGTCTGACCCGCCGACTTTCGTACAGCAGGTCGCAGATCCACGCACAGTTCGCCCAACTTCGCGTACAGGCACATCCAGAGTTTATCGAATTGTGGCATCTTAACAGTACCGGGAAAGTCCGGCAGAATGGCTACGTCATTCACCTGCGCCGACATCAGTTTTTCTTGGTTTTGATTGAAAAAGTCAGAGATATTCCACTGCAGACGAAGGACAGATATTTAAAATCTTTCTAAGCTACAGATTTCCCCAACATGGCTTACCATGAGGCCAATGGCCGTCAAAGAGATATTTAACTCCTGTGTCTGAGATCCGAATTTAGCCGCAGTACTTATGCAAAGGGGCAGACAACGCCAGGGCATTACAGTTAGAAAGTCTGTTATGACCAACTGCAGACACTGAAAAGCCGTGCGTATCAATGGTTCGCTGAAAGAAGTTTACAATTTTCTGTTGGCAGTTAATTTTTCAGTTAAACGTTTTCACCACCTACCCATGATGCTCATTAACTGCTCCAATTATTTCGATTATAGCTGGCCAACCAAACGACAAAATCTCACCGGCAGTATTGAGAATTTGGAGAACGCAATCAAGCTGCCGCTGACGCACATCTGCATGCATTACCGTGGAAAGCTCTGATAAAGGACTAAGCAGCATAGTTTGCAGCTCCTATAATAAAGCAGCTTAAGTTATCATCCTAATAAGTAAAGCATAATACTCACAATATTCTCTTTGAGCGGCACTTTGTGCTTGAACTGCAGCGATGATTTTACCAAATATGTGATGGCCTCCACGCCCCATTCACGCATGCGTATGTGCCGATGCTGACAGACCTCCAACAGGTGGTTTGTTAGAGGCCGCCATACCTCGATGCGCGACATATTAACTAAGCCCGTCTCTAGCAATTTTGCTACAGCAAACAATGATGGTTCCTATAATAAAGCAAAACAGAAGCAAGGAAAAATTAATATTTAGAATATAGAGATTGTAAAATGATAATCAACAAAGTCGGATAATTGCTATATCAGCTATACGACGGCGTTTAACAAAGTTTTACTTACCCGATTAGCATAGGCTAGCTCCATGGCTTCGTGTGAAAGCTTGCACAGAGCATCAATCAAATGATGAAGTGCTACATCATCTAAATACTGACTTGACTCGAAGAGTTGGCTAAGCATTTGAGAGAGTACTGGCAAGTCGGCCATAACTGCTGTTTGAATGCCCACATTTGCCTCCACCGCCGGCTTGGGAATGGCCTGGAGGCTACCGCCCGTGGACGGCTTTAGACCCAGTATCCAGACCAGATGCTGCAACGTTTGCAGCACAATGTACCACGAAGTGCCCAGGATGCTGCCGTTGTTGTGAGCCAGGAACAGAATGGCGCGCATACATTGTAGATTTTTGTTTGTAAGCATCACCGGCGCCTGCATAACGCTGTGAGGAAGAGAGGCGCTAGGCAAAGGCGTGCCCACGGCAACAATCTGAGGCCGAAAGTCGCCCGTTTCAGCGTTGCAGTTATTCATAAATTGATTACTCAGATCCTGACTGCTGCTGCGCGTGTGACCTGCACGAAAATAATTTTAGAAAATTGAAATAATAATAAAAATAAATGCTGCTGAATCGCATACATCTTAAGTCCCCATCCATGTGAGCGTTGTTAGAGAATATCGACATTGCATAATGTGGTGGAAATGAGGCTCGGCATATAGCTAAGATGAACGCATCCCGCGGCTGCAGTTGCTCCAAAATGCCACAAAGCGCAGCGTAGTTCTGCATGGCTTTTAGCAAATTTTCGGTGGTCGCTTCATCAATTGAAGTCTCAACGAGCGGTATAAAAGCTGTCAGCAATCCAGTCCAGCTGGAGTTGATTAGCTGCAAGCATAGAGGCTTGTATTCGTCCTCGCCAATGATGGCCGTATTGGCTGTAGGGTGCTGTGGAAAACACAATTTCCATTCCGTTTAGAACAGTTTAAAAACTAAATAGGCGAAACTTACCGGATCGGTTGTGCGTTGTATAACGCCACCAATAGAACGTGTTATGTCCAGCAGTATAGCATAGGCAACCGAAATGCCGTAACTATCTGGTATATTGGGCGCATCTAGCTTGTCCAGCATTTCCAAACTGTAAGCCGAGAAAGGCAACGTGAATTAAAAGCAGCACTCACACCTGAATGTCGTTTTTTTTGCAGTCCTCTTTGGATTGATTTCCTTACTAAAACACGAATTTAAGTTACTTACTAGACAGCTTTTGAAACGCCTAAAGCAAAGGTGGCCACCAGCGGCAGATAGGCTCCACGGAACATAAAACCACACTGACTGCCACTCGTGAGCGCAGCAAACGTATTTGGCGTAATGCCGCCAGCCTGCTGGCCATTTAACACAGCCGACGCATTAATTAGGGAGTAGCGTACAAAGCTTCCTAGGGCGGCGATCATATCATGAACTATGTTTGTGGCATGGTTTTTCAAATCGTATGATTTGCAAAAGAACGCCATTAGAGTAGAACGTGTAACCAATTTGTGTATAACCTCTAGGGCAAGAGCGCGTTGCCAATGGGGCTTGTCCGGATCAAGAAATTTTATGATGAGTGAAAGAAAGATTTCACACTCCGTAACCTGCGCAATAAGTGAATTAGTTAACTCAGACATCGGAAAAAAACTTGTCAGCTCACCAGAATGGTGTGATACTTTTGTATTAGAATGGCCACTAGACGCAGCAGACGCATGCTGATGGGGAAGTGCGGTTTATCGGCTGGCACAGCTGCATTACCATTGTTCTGGGCTGGCAGTTGCCGGTGTTTCACATTGGGTGAAAAGAGCTTTATAACTAGCGCGCAGACCCGTTCTTTCAGCAGCAAACGGAAATCATTGTTCTACAGAGAAATGTTTAGTGTTATAATTGCTACCATTTAAAAAATGTTGTTTCAAAACCCACCTCGTGGAAGACAGCGCTGAAGCTGCTCAGCACTGCCTCGAGTAGCTCTAAGCCGAATGTGCGCGTCATTTCAGTCATGCCCACCAACCAATAAGGTTGCTCCGCATTCACCAGCTGGACAAGATCTTGAAATAGCATAAACGCATCCGATGCAAAGGTCTGCACATCCTGCCCTGGACTTCCAGCCACTGCAGAGCTGGCATCCCCTTCGATGGCATTAGTGCTTGTAGTGGGCCCATCCTTGAGTCCATTTTTCTTCAGATCTTGCTGTTGTAGCTGTGCTTGTTGGTTCTGCAAGCTAGCCACCGAGTCTTTCTCCAAATAAACGCGCTCAAAGACAAGCGACACTAATTGGCGAATTGTGGCGCCGGCTGTGTTGACAATTGTCGGGTTTTTTGTATAATGCAAGCGAAAACAAAGCACCAGTGCCTTAGCGAGTGTGTCACCATGTACCACAGTATTGGTTGTCAGTAGCAAGGTCACAGTTTGAAGAACTCGCACCTCTTCAATGTTATTTTCCATGAGCGTCCATAGAGCGTTGGTTATGTAAAGGGCTCCCTTCTGATCGACCACCTGCTGTGTGATTAGGCGTTGCATCATGCCCATGCAGAACTGCAAAATACATAAATAAGCTAATTAATATGAAAAATACACTTATTTTGATGGATTACCTTAATGATTTTCAAATCCTTCGTCTCGCACCCCTGTACCAAAGGATATAGAATCTGATTTACGGTGTAGTATACGGAATTTTGTTGGCTGCTGCCAGCGGTACAGAGTTTGGAGATCGCCTCCTCACATGCCTGCGTAGTAACGTCATGACAAATTAATTAAATTAAAGTGTAATAAATTCGATAGTATTTATTCTTGCCATATGCACTATCAATTTCATAATTGCGTCTTTAGCGATGGTGTGTCACACAGGTACACTCAGCCCCCTCCCCCTCTGCGTGACTGAACAGACAATCAACCAACGAACACCTCACAACCACCCACCCTCCCATTTGAGTGGCTGCGTGGCTAATTGCCGCAATTATACTATATTTGAAGTGCAGTAGGATGAGCTTTACTTACCTCCTTTATCTGAGGGTACTTCTTCTTGGTTTCTAGTGAGAGTGTTTTGAAATCGGCCTGCAGCGCCTCTACGAATTTGTGCACATCTGTGCCTCCGCCCCCTCCCACAAATGACATATTTAAGCGGTTTTCAAATGCACCTAAATACTGCAGCAGTTGTACGTGACTTTAAACAAACGACACTCGTTGCATTTCACGCATACGATAATCGATTAACGAACTATATCTATTATACATGTGTGTGTCTTAAAATACTTTAAACTTAATAAACATCCAACTTTAAACAAAATTTAATAGTCGTGTTCGCGGAAAAATTATGTCGTGTCGGTTTGTTAGCTTAATATCGATATATCGCTATATCGATATTTATTTTTTGTATCATCGACTACAATTATAATTTCAACTCGTTCATTTTTCATATTTCCGATTATACTTTTTAGCTGTCAATCTGATATATATTAATTAGAAATGCACGAGCAAACTAATATTAAAGACACGGGTTCATAGTTTGTTAGTTAAATCTTTTATAGAAAAAAAAAACAAAACTGTTGGGATGACCTAATGGACAAACAGACGATAATTCAAGCATTCCTTAAAGTCCCATCCGTTGACGCTATCTTACACACGCTACAATCGAACGCTGTCATCTGCTCGCTCGCTGTTCACCGACTACCATCTCACTGTCAGTCTCTCGTCGGTCTTGTCTCGCGTTGGGAATCATTGAATTTCGTCTGAGAGTAAACAAATATTCTGTTGAGATTATTTTTAATGAGATTTGTTAATATTCGTGTATTCGTATTCAATACAATGTTTATGTGAAATTCTCAATTTGAATAGCTTGTGGATCATACTGACTTGTAATAGAAACGTTCAACAATATCGTCCACAAAACAACTAACGAACATAAAAATTGGTTAACAATTTTACAAGTATTCAGTGGCCACCTTAGTCATTTGATTAAGATACTTAAACATGGCCAAATCAGACGGAGGAAACTCGCTGTGCTAGTGCAAATAACAGTGACGTCGCTGTTATTGCACCTGAAATTAATTTATTCGGACACACAAACCTGCGTGCATACATACATAAGAACGAAATGAGATTCAACAACCCACATAAAAAACTCGAGCAAACGCAAAATTCAACATAAAAATAATTGATTAACTTTAATAAACACTCACATTGGTTAAAGTCAAAAGCGCCAGTAGCTAAAGTAAATATGCTTGACCCTGGTCCACCACCGTCGTTATTATTGCTGTCGATGTCGCCTTCAACTAAATAGAAATACTCAGCAACGTTGCGTACAGAGGCTGAGCGAAGGCCCAAAAACCTTGCTGTGACCATACAGGTGAGTCAAATCACGCTTAAGCCGAAACTGACGCTTGCAATGGGTTTGTTGGTGGTAGCGATGACGACTACGTTTCTGCTATTGTTCAATTTTTTTTTGTTAACATACATTTTTATTTGCGTAATAGATACGTAAATCAATGTTCAAAGAGAGTTTCAAAACGGCCATGATTTTGCCATTTCAATATAAAACTTCCATTAAAATAGGGAAATAAAGAGATTGCGATTTTAAATAGCTTTCTAGCTTATCGTGGCTAGTTCCTCATCTTTTCTGTTTCGTCTTTGGCGAATAATTTGATGGATTGCGATGAACGAAGCGGCAATCTTAAGACTTAGTCTTGGTCTGGAACCCGTTTCCGCAGTTCATTGTACTTATTGGTAGAGCAAAAAATGTTTGTGAACGCTTTTAGCTTTTAGCAGCTATAATTAAATGACTCGAACCATCCAATAGCTTCTACTTCAAATAATTTCCTAATCAATATTTGGATTCTACAAGGAATAGTTAAAGCCTAAGTGCGTATTATTAGCTTAAATTATCCCAAAATATATAAACACATAATATTTAGTAATAAGAGTCTTAACAAACAAGACGATATTGCTTTCGGTAACAAAATTTCACCAAAAATCAATAATTTGTTATTCAAAAAGTAAAACTAATATTTTAAAATTTTAATTTTTAATTACCAAAAGTTTTTCTCATACGCTAATATCAAAAAATATATTTAAATAATCAGATCGGGACCACATTGCGTGTCGAAACCTAAACTTTAAAGAGGCTGAAAATATTGGTGGGATAAAAAAAGCGATCTGGAAGATAATTGTATCTCTATTGTTAGTTTCTATTCAATCTGACGTAATGAAAACGTGTACGCGTATTTTTGACATTCCAGATAAGCGGGATAGATCGGAATAGAAAATTTAAATGTGATATGTATGTATATATTTAAATGACGCACCTGCGTCGTCCGCGGCATATTTACCAAACCCAGTCGTTATCACAGAGCAGATGATTATCAATCTGCAACTGCCGCGTCATGCTGCAGCTTTATTTTTTGGGACTGGGGACTTACTTTTTCTTGGAAAGCTGCTGTGGAAATTTTTGTGAATGATAATAAAAATGTGCGTCAATTTATAAATGGAACCATAACTAACTAAAACTACCGACAGTTTTTTTATTTATTGTGTCGGGTCTACATTTTCCAGCTTTCGAATGGCTCACAAACTATACATTCATACATCCGTACTTCATACATATAGTTCAATCATAGGGCGATATGTTTTTCGAGTGTAGGAACTGTGTGCGTATGACTGACAAATCAATAGTTATTATCGTATTTTAAATAAGGTCTTGTTTCCGAAATCGATCCGCCAATGCGGAAATACACTTAATATCGTAAAACTTGAGTATCCCGGTTTCAAAAGCTGTGTTCTGAAGAATTTAACATCTATTTAATGTCCACTACTTATATTGAAGATATTTAAAATGTAAAAATATTAATTTTCTAGTTTGTTTCGCAAAGAAAATATATTTATATTAATACAAATATAAATTAGTTCAATTACGTACTTTTTGACTCTAGAACATACTAAGTTGTGCAATCACCACTCTTGAAAAATGTTAGCGACACTTGTCTCATTACTTATATTAAGATCACTTTACTAGGAAAATCATCATTTTGAAGTGGAGCAGTTAATTCCGTCGTAAAATTAGTTTCAAACAATACGTGTATATAAATCAGTTATTTAGTTAAGTGTGACTTGCTGTCAGTCAATCAAAAATTATTATCAATAAAACTAGGTAGTACAAAACAATTGTTTTGGCACTTAAGCTCTTATCAAAGCGCCATACCGTATCGCTAATGCTTTCACCGACAAATATAATTAGTTTGCGAGTCTCGCCGTCTACTCGATCGCTTCCTGAGAATTTTCAAGCCCGATAATTTCTCAGGTAAAAAATTACGGCTTCCCGCATTTTTTCTTGTTTTACGAGCGTTGTCAACACATATGGCTGGTTGGGTAAGAGAAGCAGAGCTTTACTGCGCTAATTATTTCTAAAGTTCAAGCTTTTTCGCTTACGTTAGTTATTATAGAGTAGCTCCAGCAGTTGAATTTCTTTCCAAAATATAATGGGGGTGACTTTTGCACAACAATTCAATGCTATCGATGGCGATTAAATGAACTAACCGTCAGTCTTTTTCGATTCTTAGCGTACAACATATTTTCCCAATTCACTCATCTCCTAGGGGCAAATTTTCCACAACAACTCAACGTAATCAATGCCAAACAAGCGAACTTACATTCCATCTCTTAGGTGGGCTAACAAAAAAGTATTCTAACATTTTGACTGAAGGGGCTTCCAATGCCGCTGGGCAACTTTTAACTCGAGGGCTTACGCGTGATCACGAGTGCGTCGTCTCTCCGTTATTCTGCCAAGTTGTTGAAATGGGGTCAACGATTTTGCTATAAAAAATGGTTGACCTACAAACTGTTTTAGAAGTCCACTACATGAATGGTTCATATTGACAATTACTTAATGACACGTTATCTATGAAATGATAGTTTATTTCCTTATCGTATTTGCTACATAAAAAGCTCAGTAGATTTCAGAGTGTAGACTGTGAAGTGTATAAAATGTTGGTGCGAAAGGTGAACTGAGTCTAGCTCTTACGTCTGATCACATCTGTGCAAATAGCCAATTAACACTTGATATTGCTTACCGCACATTTGCTTACCACTTAGAATAAAGGTCTCATATTATTGTGAACAATGCTTGCAAGCATCAGAAAGAAACGCCGGTAAATCTATAAATTTATTCTATAAATAACTAAAATCATGCATTTATGTCTTTTAAAACAAGTATACAGCTCAAATCTAAAATTGCCCATTTTGTAGATATGAAGAATTTTTTGCTTGCTTATTTCAAGATTGATAAGCTAATACTAAACATAAATTTTGAATTTTTTTTATATATTATGTCTTACTCGATGTATTTACTTGTATTTAGGAACGATTTGAAGCTCAACAACTTATTTTTACATAAATGATCCCTTAAGTGGAAGTGTTGAGTGTAACTCTATTGAGGTACATACATACATATATAACAATTAGCAAACAAATTTGTATAAAATCAATTAAAGCCAAGAACAACAAGAAAGAAATGCTAGAGTCGAGCGTGCCGACTCTTTAATGGCCTATACCCACTCCACACAAGAACAAAACATTTTCAAACCAATATATTAAGTTCATTTTTGAAACACACAAAGAACTGCCATCTGAGTATGGTAAGCTCCAGCAAGTACGACTTCGCCTGGGTCAAGGACCTTTTTGACCCTGCCACAATCAAAAAGATACTACATATCAATTCTGCAACTCCAATTCTCCTACCTCAGTTAAGCACATTTTATCAGAATGCCAGCATTTTAATAGCAATTTGGAGTGTTTAGCTTTAAGCCTTTGAGCTTTATGTGTTCGTAGCTAAATTGACTTGTTTTTTCAAACAGATCAAGATAATATATACTCAGTTTATACTCAGATTTGGCCTTCTATATACTACTTATCTGATTTTAGCACAAATAAAATTAACTTTTTTGAGCAGGCGCTGACAAATAAATTCGTTGTTCGTTAAAATTAAGGTTTTCCAGTTTATATTTTAATTATAAACTGATGCGTCCTCTTTCTTTACATGGACATTGCTATTTAAGACAAGATAGGTACATTTCTTTGTAAAATGCACCCTAATCTAATAATACCAAATCTAATAATACCAAATTGATTGATTAATATCTGATATTGCTTGCTGGAATTTTAAAAAATAATATAGGTTTAATATCTGGGAAGAGTAATACATAGTCGATAATGAGTGGAATAACAGTTGTTTTTTATTACCGTTAATTATTACTACTTTTCTCGTTGCAGTTACTCAAAGTTTAGTGTGCTAACTAACGTTGCCCAACGCGTTTCGAAATGGTTGCGGCCGGCAATATTCACAATACGCGCATCCTGCGCTTTCTACTTGTTCTGATAGTCGTAATACTCACTATATTCATTTATGCCTCGTATTCAACTAATTCGACTTTAACGCCGACACACATTCGAGCGGTCCCGCTACCGATGGCCCAACAGCAGCCTTTCGTAGCATCTGCGCCAACGCATGTCAATCGATCTAGCGAGTTCGGCTTGGTAACGGGTGGCGAAAAGGGTCCTGATAAATTGCCAGCGAGCAAATCCAACAAACGAGAAGCAGTGGGGGAGGTACACAAAAAATCTGCACAGCATCGCCTACCAACAATTGATGAGGATGCTCTGCTCGATGGCGGAGGCGCTGGTGCCAACGCTGGCGATCAAATTGTGAATGCTGAGAGCGCTGCTGCTGCCGGTGCTGCTGCTCCCGTTGATGAGATGCTCGAGGAGCAGCAATATATACAAGGATTGGATGGCATTATGGGTGAGTGCGACTATCAATTATGCTAATTGACTTGCGGTTTGCAATTCTAACCCGCATGCTGACGCATTTTACAGGTAACATCAACAACAGCGAGACCGTATCTAGTAAACAGGCGGCATCACAGCAACAACCACACCAACAGTTGCAACAGCAGCAGCAGCAACAACTGCAACAACAGCCACTAGATGCAGAAATTCTGATACCAACATCCAATTTACAAAAGTTTATCGAGAATGCTGATAAGATTCTGAAGAACATGACGAGTACCAACAGCAGCAGTCCAGTGGTGGCTGTCTTGCCGCCCAGCGAGCAGCGAATAGGTAAATGGGGTTGTCCTAACGAAATGTGTCTGTATGTCTGTAATTGCAATCATTACGATCGAACTGAAATGCATTATGATGATGAAAACTTTCAATTTGAAAAATTATTTCCATTTGTATACCCTTTAACTGAAGGCTGAAGAGGTATACTAGAAAGTTTAAACGCCAAGTCTATATAACAATCAGAAGCTTGGGGCAGAACTTTTAAGATTGGGGAGAGAAGTTGGATATGTTCTGCCTAGTTGAGCTGTTCTAGGCAACTCTAACTAGGCTTTCTTTTAGCTCTTCTGTGTTCCTCTTTTCCATAATGCTGTCTGGCCAGCCCATTGTCCGTCTGCATCCGTTTATGTGTGCGAAGATATCGCATTTCATTTATAACACACACGAGCGGCTCATGCGGAAGCATTGCAAATAATAGTAACTAAAACAAGTGTTTATTTATTGTTCAAGTTACGCGTCGCAGTTGTGCTCACAGTTTCCCTCCCGCTGTCTGCCAACCTTAGATATATGTTAGATAAGTGGCTACAAAAATAAACAAAATTGCAAGCAAATAGTATGGTACTATATATGGAGTTGAATAATGTTGTTATTCCTCACACCCTTCATTCTTAAACATTTTTTTTCTTGACCCATACAGATAAGGTTGTCCAAGTAAACGATCAGCCGAGTCCGCCGGAGGAGGTACAAATTAACTTGTTGGACAGCGCAGAGCCTCAGCCGTCTTCCGATGCTGTGATGCGTGTAAAGGATGCCAATAAAGCAGCAAGTGCACTTGTTGTTGCGGCACCTAAGTCACCATCCGTTGCTGCCATTCGAGTCGCGACGTCAAATACTAAAACGCCGAAAAATGTGGATCCCTCAAAGGGGATTCCCACGAGTAATATCTATGAGAATGGCCACATGGATGATGAAATAGATATTGAGCGCATCTGCCCACACAATGGGGCATTTCTAAAGTTGCTTATTCTGATAACATCCGCTCAAACGCACACAGACGCGCGCATGTCCATACGACAGACTTGGGGTCATTATGGCATGCGGCGGGATGTGAGCACAGCTTTTATCCTTGGGCGTACCACCAATGAGACGCTGGACAACCTGCTAATTCAGGAGAATTACATGTATGGTGATCTAATTCGTGGCAATTTTATCGATTCGTACAACAATCTAACGCTGAAGACCATCTCGTCTCTGGAATGGATCGACTTGCATTGCTCGCGAGCCAAATATATTCTGAAAACGGACGACGACATGTTTATTAATGTGCCTAAGCTCCTGACCTTCTTGGATAAGCACAAGGAGAAACGAGTAATTTATGGGCGCTTGGCCAAGAAATGGAAGCCGATACGAAATAAGAAATCCAAGTATTATGTATCCCCCGATCAATTTGCGGCAACAGTATTTCCCGCCTTTACCACCGGTCCCGCTTATGTCATGACTGGAGATATTGTACACGAGCTGTATATACGCTCGCTGGAGACAGTATATTTGAAATTGGAGGATGTTTTCACCACAGGCATTGTGGCTCAGCAACTGGGCATCAAGCGCGTGCAAGTGAATGAGTTCCTCAATCGCCGTATTTCTTTTAATCCGTGCAACATACGGAACGCCATCAGCGTACACATGATCAAATCGAACGAACAATTCGACCTGTGGAAGAAGCTGCTGGACCAGACAACCAAGTGTAAATAGTATTTTAGATTTAGATTGCGAAATTAAATTAATTGATAATGATTTAGAAAACAAATTGAGATAAAAATATTAGTTTTTAAGTACTAGAAAGATCCCTATTACACTGAATTAAAACAATTCTCAATTATGGTTTTTAGTCTATGTTTAGCATTATAAATGCCATTATTTAAAGCTTAGGTATTAAGCTATAATTGTAGTTATATGTATGTTATTTTTAAATTATACAATCAACACATTTTTTAAACTTTGCGGGCAGTGTGTATATATTTTACTAAAATCAATGCAGTCTCAATTAAAATACACATACGTATGTATGTAATGGTCTGGAAAAAGACCAATATTTTATTTAACAAAATGTTTTGTGTTCTTTATTTAAAATGTAAGAAACGAAGGATTTTTTTTTAATAAAGCTCGTGTATATGCAAATGTACATTTGTTTTAGATTAACGGAATGCAAGATGGTGCCTACAAGATCTACGCATTCAATTGCCGTTTCTCAACACTATCATCCATCGACATTTACTCCTTATCGATATATGTAGCTCGGTTTTAGGAATGCATATCGAAAAGAAAATTACGATATTGATATCTGGGAAAATATCACATAGAAAATTGATATTAAGTAGTCAAATTTTTAAAAAGTATAATTTAAAATTTAATTAATAAATCTGTTTTTCCAGCAACAAATGTTGGATGTTCAAGTATATACGAAGGCAACAGCTTAGCAAATTACCTATTTTATTCAAAAATAATGAAGAGCTTCATATAGTTGTCATTTACAGAACATATCTGCTTAAGTATAGTTAGGCTAATTCAACAATAAAAACATAACTCAAATTTAGCTCAGCATCTGTTTTCACAGTAAACGGTGGGTCGCCACCCACGAAAAGGGATCAATAAATATGGAAGTATGTACATAAAGCTCCACGAAGTAGTTACAAATCGAAAAAATAGTGTAAGAGATGAGAATATTTTGCGATATATCGTACTAAAAATTACTTAAGTTTTGAATATTAATATCGATACAGCCATATCGATATGCATCCCTACTCGGTTTCACGGTAGAGAAAAAACAAATAGCATAGGGATTTCGTTAAGTTACGGAAAATATAAATTAAAGTCCCTAAAAAGCATTAAAAATGTCATAAGCATTGGTAAGTGTGTTTGAGATTTTAAATTGGACATATCCATTAAATTGTTAAGGAGAAAAAAAGCAAAACCGCTGCCACTTGTACATATGTTGTATATATGTATGTACATACATATGTATAATTGTACAAGTGTGTGTACATACATAGGTGTTAGTGCAGTAAAAAGAACTGCTGGGCGACAAAGGGTAAAAAATATTGAGCTACTGCTTACTCCTAGGGAGGTTTGCTGGTCGACGTTCGAGAAGGATCCTATCTTAGGTTTCATAAGAGCTCTGCCTCTCTATCCTTAATCAGCAGCAATTTACAAGTTTAAAATCAAAATCGCAGTCGCTGCAAAAGTTTAGACCAACGTACGCAAAATATAAAATCTCAAGGTAAAGAAAGTGTTGAATGAATTATAAAAGCCACCATGAATGGCTTATAACTATCGTCCCCTATGCATTGCGCCCTGTTCAAGGACATACACATGTTTATCTATGTAGTTGTTATTTACTTGTGTATGTACCTACATTGTATATCTATTCACTAGCGGCTTTTGAAGAATTAATAGGGCTTGCACAGGTTTTTCTTTTTGGCTGTGGCAAAATGAATGCGCATGGAGTATATATACATATGTATGTGTTTGTTCGTCTGCTGTAAGAGCTATTTATATATTTTTCCATTTTCCCTTTTTAAAGCTGGTCTTATATTGATGTTTCATAAATATATTTTAAATGTGATTATGCAACTTTTGAGTTGTTTATAAAGCAGGACACAAGAGCACCTATGTTGCGTGTACAACATCCACACACTTACTTATATAGGAGTTTTGCTTTTGCCAGAAATTAAATAATTTATTTTGTCTATTTAATAACGTTTTTCTTTTATTTTGTGATTTTATTTTGCTTACTCGTTCTAATTAAATTATTAGCTTATTTTCAAAACTTGTACACACACCTGTACATACATATGTGTATGTATTCGCACTAAGTTGAGTTGGTTGCGTTTTCTTTGTCAGCCACATATTGAAACAGTTTTGGCCAATTTCTTTGCTTGTTAACTCAGCTGGTTTTCATAACATTACACCCCCAAGAAAAATACAGACATATATATAGTGTGTATGTAGATAAGAAAAATCAATGTGTGTGTCAGATATTACGTCTTATCAGTATAAACGGGTAGTACGACGTCACAAAAGTAATCATTTTGCAATAATAGGTCCCTTTTAAAGTATTTTTATTGGTTTGTTGGTGTAGGTTTGTTTATAAACAAAAAATGTAACGTAATGAATTGGAATTGAATTACTAAAGCTTTCCGCACGTGTACGATTGGTGGGATTTACGAGCTTCGCATACCCTTTTCAAGGTTCGTCTCACTGATTATATGTATGTATGTGCTTTCGAATGAAAATTATAAATAGATTCGCATGGGAACTTAATTAGAATTATAAATAGAGAAATAATTGCAAGAAATAAATAAATAATAAAAGAACCATTAAAATATTATTTTCAGATGTAATATGCCACTGCACAATGAGACAAATATAATGCCATATAAATTATTAAAATTACGCACGGAAAAATGGAAACAATATCGAAGATCTCCCTGATATTGACTCTAGCAGTTGTATGCCAGTCGTCGGCATTGTCTTTCGAGAATGCTGGCAAATGTAAACCGACGTTTGTCAGCACACATTTGCAGCCGATGCCTCCGCAGATCCAAACCAAAGTACCAACTCCGCGCAAGTGGCAGGAGCACGAGTTCTCCCTGCTGGGCTATAAGTTCTATTTGCCCTCCTTGGGTCCGGTAATGGAGGATGATGAAGACGAAGTTTTCCAGGACAGCGACTACTCTTTAAGTTGGGATGATAGCATGCATAAACTTTTTGTCAGACAGCAGACAACAGTGCCGCAGAGCGTCGAGCAATCGCTTGACGTTGACAATTTTTCGATTGAAGATGTGGCCTCAAAAATATTTCAAATCCACTGTGTAAACGTCAGCATTGAAGCCATCAACGCCGAACTACAAGCCTGGAATTATTCACATGTAACGCTGCAGCATTGCAATTATGTGGAGGATGGTAGTGGAGCGACATCGACGCACCTAAATCTGTCGCAAAAGGAGGATGTGCGGCGTCTGAAATGGTTGGATAGCAATTTAAACGATGAGCAGTTGTCGGAACTTTTTGGCGCTTATGCACAGAGCTTTGAGAACCTCCAACTGCTTGATTTGACTGATAATCATTTACAGTGCACACGTTGGGCCCGCCCACGCGCCATGCGCCGCCTCGAAGTACTTAAGCTAAGCCAAAATCGACTCTCCACGTGCGACAACTGCAGTCTCGTCGAGCTGAAGCACATTAATCATCTTCACGAGCTGCATTTGGATCGTAATCGCTTGCAGTCGCTGGCAACGCATTTCATCAGCCCACTTAGTGAGCTGAGAATGCTGAATTTAAGCGGCAATTTGTTGTCTCAATTGCTACGTAACACTTTCACGGGCGCCTTTCGACTGCAGCATTTGGATTTGTCCCGCAACCAGCTATTTAGCATCGACTCGAAAGCCTTTGAGCCGCTGCATGCCTTGAAATACTTGGATCTGAGTCGAAATCAGTTTAAACAGCTAGCTGATGGCATTTTTCAACAACAGCGGTCGCTTGCCATGCTCCGGATAGACGAAACGCCACTTGAACAGCTAGGAAATTGGATATCACGCGATGATGTCTCTCACGTGGATCCGTCGGTGCTGAAACGTTTGCGCTACTTATCGCTACAGCAAAACCCTCGACTCACGCAGCTGCCCAAAACACTGTTTGCGAATGCGCGCAATCTGCGGGTTCTGCTGCTGGCCGGGAATGGGCTTCGCCAGCTGCCCGGCGAAGTGGCACTGCTAGAACATCTGCAGCGACTTACAGTGCGCGGCAATCGACTGACTTCGCTTCCCGCCGCTCTTAAGGATCTCAGACAGCTGCGTTATCTAAGCATGCTGAACAACGACTACATTTGTGACTGCAAAATGCATTGGCTGTCCACTTGGCTGAGCTCTAATCACAGCATGTTGCGACGCAAGCGGGGCCATCACGTAAACGACACCTACGAGGATGCTAACGAGCTGATTGCATCGCTCAGATGCCAGTACGGCTATCCGGGCGACATGTTGCACGTCCTCCACACTTTAAACTGCACTGTGCCCGTCATAGTTGAGGCCTCGCAGCCCACCATGCACAGACTCCATTCAACGGCCAAGTTGGAGTGCGTAGTATCCGGGAATCCGGCTCCAGATATAATATGGGTATGTCGCTCAACGCTTTATTGAATGTTTTAAGAAATTATATATGTATAAATGAGCCCATTAAGAGCAAAGATAAGAAACAAAAAACCTGAGCTATTTCTCCTATCCGAAATAATAATAATTAGGGCTTTATGAGCTTAATTTGCGTACAAATTTAAAAGAAGGTTCTGAAAACAAAACTCTAACATAGTTTTTTGGAATTTTGGCATTTTGGCATTTAATTTTTTTTTTAGTAAAAAAATGCTGTTGGTTTTAAAAGCTTACCATAATTTTATAATACATTTTTATTCCTTTTCGGTGACCTACTCATCTCATTAAATATTCTTGTTACAGGTAACGCCACGAAACAAGATTTTGCGGCATCACGCCGATCCCGACAAACGACCCATTATCATCAATAGCCAGGAGCGCCAGCCCAGCAAGCTCGAGCTATTCGCGCTCACGGATCCAAGCAATCCGCAGCTGAATGTCAGCCAGCAACCTGCTGATGAGCGTGTCACAGTCGTTGAGAGCGGCTCCCTGCTGGTCCACAACATCTCTCGCAGCGATAGCGGTCTCTACACCTGCTACACCTTTAATATTATGGGCAATACTTCCGCAGGCATCAGGTAAGTCTCTCATCTCCATCTCCACTATGCTTTATGGCGATGGAACCTCTTTAGAATTTCCCGTGCCTATAGTTTTCAGATTTTTTTCTAATTAAGCCTCAAAACAGAGCAACTGTTATTCCACTTAGAAAACATCAAAGTTGTTCAATTGAAAGCTTGGATCTTAAAATTCTGGTTTTGCTTAATAATTATATGAGGCTTGATTAAAAAATTAACCGCATTTTGTGAGTGAAATTTGAAACAAGTTTTTAAAAATCAGGCATGCATTAAAACAAATGTTCATATTTATGAAATCATATTTATGAAAAGAACACAAAAAGCGGAAAAAATATTTTCGAATTCCGGCAATCCATTAAAAAAGTCAAATATGAGCCAACATTTGGGAAAAATTTAAATTTTGTGCGTCACAGCTTTCTAGTATTCAATTTTCGAGATGTGTTTTTATTACAAATTTGTTTTTCGATTCGTTAAGAATATTATCAAAGGGTGTAAGGGCATGCTAGATTTGTGCTAATGTGTGTAACACCTAGAGGGAGTCGTGGTAGACGCCACAAAGTATAAAAAATACATTTATTCTTCATTGCAAAGAGGGGATGTCATGATCCGTCTATATTTATAAATGTACGAATCTTGGAGGGTACGAGTGATAGAGTAACGTAAATTCGTGTACACATTTTCCCAAGCAGGACAAGTGTGTTTCATTTATTTAATACCCACCTCCCCCCACCCTCACCACCCAACCACCAGAGACTTTGGATTATAACTCCCATAATTGGAAATTCGTTTACAAATTTTGCAACTACAACCGTTTAGAGCTTAAGTGTCTAAGTGTCCTAAAAGGACAACCCGAAAGGAAGTTATAGCCGGAAACGTAATATCGACCCATGTTATCTGCTATGGTTCAAGTACGTACTGCACACATAAGCACAGACACAAACCCGAAATATAAAATGAATGCAATCACAACCTTACTTAAATATACTTACGTATGTATGTACGTACGACTTTGTTATTACTTTAATTTTATTACTTTTATTCAATTTAACTTAATTTGAACAATTCTAGCGAAAAAATATATCAATTTTATGATTAGGGTGCGCTTTTAAATTTCCCTTTGGCTAAGAAGCTAATTGATATTTCATTACTGAATATGTGTTTAGACTGTACATCGATCCCATTGTCTTCTATCGTGTCAAAATCGAGAGTTTACTGGCGGGCACAGCACTGGCCACCACATTCCTGCTACTCACCTTGCTGGTTCAAGGCCTAAGGAGCTGTATGGCCCGATTCAGTCTCTGCGATCGCTTCTATTGTTGTGCAAGCCGCAACAAAAAATCGGCCCGAGCTCGCCAAGTCTACGCCATGCTGGACAGCATTGAGAGCTACAAAAGCCTGCAACTGGAGCGGTTGCGCGAGAACTACACACAACAGGTACATCGGATACGCGAGAACTGCACCCAACAAGTGGAATGGATACAGAGCAGTTATACGTCACAGGCGAAGTACCTGAAGGAGTTTCGCGACATGGGCTCCAATCATCTGACCACGCTCAAGGATCAGTACTACGATCAGGTGAAGAAGGTGCGCGACTACTCGACCGGACAGCTAAGCTGGGTCAGAGAAAATTATGTCTTTCAGCGCAACAAGATACGCAAATTCAGTGCCCATCAGGTGCTGCGGCTGCGCGAAGGCTACAAATATCAGCAGCAGACTCTGAATAAGGTGCTGGAGAATCTTCCTAGTTTCTATTTTGAGAATTGTCGCGGTCGCTGCGAAGAGGATATAGTTGAGGGTAATGATCACCTACTCTTTTGCAATTGAAAAAAAATATATAATAAAACATTTTATTGCAGACATAGACTGCTACTTCAAGAGTCAAATGGCTGGCGTTGACTTTAATAACTCCAAAGATCTGAATATACAGAAAATTAAGTCTAGATTAGTCGCAAACAATTCGGCCAGCAGTGCTTCCATCTATTATACACCACCGGATGATGATGGACGGCGGCTCTCGCAGACATGCCTGCAAACATCGCCCATACACATAAACTATATTGACGAAAATCTGGATAATCAGAAGCTGGAACTGCACGACTTCAAGTTGGATCCGTTGCTGTTGCGACCCAAGGACATGGCAATGGCACTGATACTCGCTGACAGAAAAGACGACAACTATTTTGTAGACAAGATGCCGTGGAAGAACGTCAATATCGATCAATCCCCGGTTGACAGTGCCAGCAACTTGGAGTTAAATGAACTGAGAAATTCGAACGAGACGAGGAACTCAAAATCGTGTTCGGCTATTTATAAGATGTCCAAACAGCAGGACGGTAGCACTTTGCATGAACTATTAACGGAGGAAACGCCAAATCAGTTGTTGCGTCTCAATCCTGTCAATCAGACGTCGCTGATCGCACAGACGCATCCGCGCAAAGAGAAAATGAACATCATATTAGATGAGTGTGGCAAGGCCTCCTTATGCCGCGGATACGGTAGGGATAGTTTAGATCACGGCGAGGCTAGGAATTTGGAGGCAGCGAGCAGCACGCCGCCTTCCATTTCATTGGCTGGCTCCTCGTGTGATTCCAACAGCCTGGCGGATAATTGTGACAATTCTAACTGCTGTAACTCTGAGATTGCAATTTCTCTGACGACTACTGCTTCGGCTAACTAAAGATTAAACAAATACAAATGCCGGCAAGAGATTTTTTTTGTTAAAAATTCAATATGTATTCGATCGATGTCTGATTAAACGGACGTAGATTGTAGGTCCGAAAATCGCACTTTATTACAAATCGCATTACAAATAGACATTATTATTCAAATAAATGCTCAATTTGTAAATTGCTTTAATTGAAAAGGATAAATGCGTTACAAATATAGTGTAGTAGGCACTCAAGACATGGTTCTCCACTTCCCCCGTTTATATACATATTTAGGTGGCTAAAGTGCAGCTAATATACTTTGTTAAATAAGTTTATTATTCCTACAAATATATATATATATATATACATACATACATACAGGCATATGAGTATCGAAAATACAAATTGAATTGAGTACAGTCATTAGGAAAACACAATAATTTTAGCATTAATTAGTGAATTTTAAATCAAGTCAACTGCTGAATGAACATCGTAAACAAAAAGGGAATGAATAAGTGAATAAATGAAATGAAATGAGAGTCTTCATATTAAATTTCTATAAAAATTCAAGAAGTGCGCCCACGCGAAACTAAAAAGGTATCATTAAAATGTCAATAATACTTGAAAAGGAGCCCCATTTGTGATTTATTTGTATTACACACATGTTAATGCGTAAGATCGTAAGAAGAATATGTATTTTGAAATGAAAATAAGTTTTAAATCCAATTGAAATTTTATGCAAATCATAGTATGAATCTACAATAAAATATTTTCTACATCAGGATGTATATCAACAAATAAACGTCCATGATTGCGTATAAAGCATATTTCCTACTCGCCTTTGCACACATACATATTTCAAAATTCGTTTTCAATCTCGGTTCGGTTTTTGTAATTCACAGTTCATTTATAATTTGCGCATAAAAAGCAATCATTAATACATCAAATTATTGTTTTTTAAAATATTCTTGATAAAAGTACATTTTTGAGGGACTTTTTCCACTCGGAGGACTGGCACATGAATCGATTCTGGATTCACGAGATTCGTTCCAGCTGTCAAGTGTGGTGCTTCATTGCCAAAAATTAAAGTCAATTAAAACTGACAGCTGAAGTTGCTTATTTCAGTAATTTCTGTGCTTATCAGCGAACTGAGATATATAAAGATACAGCTAAGACCAATTGCGTGGAAATGTTTTATTTTTGTTGGTTTTTAGGCGCAGATTGTATTAATTTGACAGAACTAAATATTATTATTTTAAAAACCGGAAATCGTAACAAACTCTTGCATGCTTCTGTAAAAAAAACATGTTTCCGTTATATAGGAGCTTAAGTCTCCGGACATTCAGGCTGTTTAAGAATTTCGATGGCGCAAGGACTGGCATCGATCTTGCATGGTTCGCTGTCTGACTCAACTTCGCTGAGACTGTACTCGCACTCGCACGGGAAACACTCCATTTCGCCCTCCTCGCCTTCCACTTCCTCGCCTTCGCCGTAGTATGAGATCCTCTCCTCGCTGCGGATGCTCGGCACAGTAGACAACGAGCACACTGAGAGCTCCGAGTCGGATATGGGAAGCGGCACCGGCTCTTGTGGCAGCAGCGAATAGTCGTAAACGGCAATTTCTTGGGCGAACCAAAGAGTCGGCTGCAACGGCAATATATTACCTTCTTCGTCCTCGCCCTCGGCTTGAAGCTCCTCGCCAAACTCCTCGGCGGCACGCACAGCGCTAATATTTTGATTTGGCGAGAGGAAGTAGCCGAGGAGTAGATAGCGATTGTCAAAACTGAAGACGGCCGGGCCAACAGGGAAGAGTGTGTCCCAAATGCCGTGAAGTATGATGCACTTATCATCATTTCCAATATACAGCTCGAAGGGGCCCATGCGCACATTCGAGTTCCATGTGGACTTGAGGCGCACCGTCAGACAGCAGTTGTCGATGTTTGTGTTGAAACTATAAATGCCGACTCCATGGCGCATGCCCTTGTACCAGTCCCCCGAATAGGTATCCCCATTTACATAGTTATAGCGTCCCTTTCCATGCTTCAGATGCTTGCGCCAGTTCCCCTCGTATACGGAGCCGTCGGGATATATAAAGATGCCACGTCCGCAGCGCTTTCCGCACCGATACTGCCCATAGTAGCGGGCTCCACCTTTGAACACATAAAGGCCAATGCCATGGCGACGACCCTTCCGGTAATTGCCATCGTACTGATCTCCATTCGGCAAAATCGCCCAACCACGTCCGTGACGCTGACTGGCGGCATTTCGACCGCCTATGTAGAGCTGGAAAGATTTGTAAGTCTATAATTAAACGATGTTTCTGTAGGACAGTCTTACGCCTATGTTTGGTCCCTCATCCTCCTCGTCGGGAAAGGACAAGTCCGACTCTTCGGAGAATTCCGAAACACTCATGGTTGCGGCAAACCAAAAAATATATATACACACTTGTCTCACAATTTACACAAATTCGTATGAATGGGTACAATCTTTTATTAAAATATAATAAGACTTTTAAAGCTAAGGTAGGACTTCGTTATGTTTCATAAAAGTAATTAGCCAGCGGGTACCGTATGACGAAAGCTACTAAAGTGCACATCACCTGAACTCCCATCAGCATCTGAGTAACGACTCGTTCGTGTACGGGCCCGAAAACCACGAGAACAAAATTGATCAGTGTAAAATTATTGGTTATGACGCGTCCATCAGACTTCTCCTGCCAGCTAATGAGCCGCAGGGTACGGAACACTGTTACCATAACACGACCCAAAGTTCCCAGCTCCTTTGGGTGAAAGTCGGTGGTGCTGATGTGGAGCAGGTCCGTCTTAGCATCATATTTAGGCAGCCGATGTCGGGGGCAGGGCACAAAGTGGAAAAGCTGCGGCGTCGAGTACAGAAAATTGATAATCTGCGGCAGAAAGAAGAGCAGTAAGGTTTTACTGAAATGACCCAAAATGCCGACCACAGCAAAGGTCATGCCAGCAAAATAGCAAAAAGTGTCACCCACAAATACCTTGGATGGGTATCTGCAATAAAACAAGAAGATCAGTTAGTTATGGGTGTAAAGTAATTACAATTAGTGGGGCTATTTTGCAGTTAAATATGCATATACATTTTTTCAAAGAGCTTCTTTGATGATATGATTTAATATCTAAAGTTAATATGATTTAATATCTAAAGTTAATATGATTTAATATCTAAAGTTAAAGTATTTGGTGGAGTCTGAGTTGCAACTTTATAATATGATAGTGTTTGGTAGACTAATACTTCGCAACGCGAACACTTATTAGAGTTAACCAGAAAAACTAAAAGATGCAATGATCGCAGTAAAGCAATCACTTCTATGTTTTGCCATGTAGCTATGAATATATACATATGTAGCTATTTATATACATACATAAATTTACTTTTAAATTCCCGTTAACACGTTAAAACTCTAAAATTTTGTGAGTGTTGGTTTATCCAATATGTTATTTTTACAACACTGGGTGCGTTTCTTAGTGCTGTGCCACTAACTGTGCATAGCGTTTTTGACAGATCTGCAACAGCAACAACAATGTCAACGACAAAGTTACAGGGGTGGGAAATGTGAACAGCTGTCAGCCGGACGGTTGAATTAGTAAGCCATAATTGGGTGTGTTGAGATATACAGTAGATAGAAAAACGCTATCTCACATACATATCTTGGAAAAGTAGAATGTACAGAAAGAAGAAATTGCTTTTGAAATACAGTTCGGGCATAATGCACAAGAAAGTGCAATAAAAACAAGAAAGCAATAGCTTTTTAAGCACAAATGGCGCACAGTCTAGTCGTCGCTGGTGCCGGTTTGGGTCGTCTGGCTATAACAAAAAAATTAGTGCTCTGGTCCGTCCTGATCCTGCAGGTGAGCTTTATTGGTTTGGTGTGGCTGCTGCAAATGAGTAATGGTCGGGAGCAGCAGGGGAGCTACAATTTGGATTATACGGAGGCTGCAAAGGTAAATTTTGTTAGGGTGAGGAAATCGAAAACCACACTGCGACAAAGTCAGGGGCACTGTTCGCGTCTCGAAAACGTGAATCGCTATGAAAAGGACTTTTTTCAAATGAAAATAGATGTACTAAACCAGACAGCGGAGCTTGCAATGGCCAACTACATCGACCTGGAGCTGGCGCCAGAGGTGTGGTGCTTCCGTGAGGGCACACTGAACGAGAGCAGAACTCGCGACGATATGTACAACGACCTTCAGTTGCAGTCACAGCCTGCATGTAGGTGTGCGAGTGGTTGGCATAGTCGGGACTGTGGGCAGCCGGAAATAATTTGGCGTGCATTAATGACTCACAGCCGCGTTAGCAAGACCAGCTTGCCTATGCAACTGCGAGAGAAAGGCAGCCAAGGCTATAGTGGCGGCCAGTTGCGTCTTTACTATCTGTTGGAACTAGGCCCGTGGCAGCACCTTAGCTTGGAGCTCTTTGATTTGCAGCTGCGCACACTCATCGGCATTGTAGACTACTTTCTCGTATACTATGTGAGTGAGAACAGGGAACGTCTAAGCTATTTGGCGTTACAACGACGCCTGAGATCCATACTGGGCAGCAACGCAAATTATCTGTTGTATCAGTGCTTGATCAATTGCAGCAGTGCCGCCGCCTATGCTTACTTCTATCGCCAGCTCTGGGCTCAGTGCTCCGTGCAAATGCAGGCAAATGACTTGCTTCTTTACGGCGATGCCCAAACCGTTTATGCACCGGCGGCACTCAAATTCCTTAAGTATTATGCAGTAGACGTGCTGCCTCTGCGCTTCAGGCTGAAATACAACGTCTTTGGCTACTATTGGCAGCATCCGCAGCGCACAATTCTTCGAGGCGTTTTAAGTTCCTTAGTGCATCTGCACGGCGATCCACAGCGACTGCATAATCAGACCAGCTATACTTTGGGCGATCTGAATCATTATGGAGGCTGGACCTGTCAGCTCTGCTTTCCACCGGAACAAATCGTTCATTTTCTGCAGACATCCAAAATTAGGGATGTACGTTTGCCGGTAGGCACACGCGGAGCGACACACATTGATAGCAACTACATGCAAGGACTGATCTCGCAAGGTATCTATGTAGACGGCAGCACAAAACTATTGCGGATGCGACAGGAGGCAGAGAAATATTATGCACCCGAAGTGGCGCTTTCTAGTGGCAGCCAATACGCTCAGTTGCTGGTCAATATGTTTGAAATAGATGTGCTTAAGGACGTCCAGGAGGAGGACGATTAGGATGCGCTACATATTTAACATGTTTATCGACTGAGATTTTATAAAATTATTCTGTAATATTACTTAAGATATATCTAATTTTTCAAGTCAATATCTTTACAAGATTAAAAAATTCCGAAGGGCTCTACAGTTAAGTCTAAAAATGAACCAAAAGTTTATACCTATACCTAAGTGAATGTTTAAAATCTGTTTCCAATTGGTCTTTGAGTTGTTCCTCAATAAGAATATCTTACATCGCATACAGCCATTATTTAACTAACAAATCAATTGTTAAACAGGATTTATAATTATGAAAACCATGTATGTGTAAGTTTATCATTCAATAATTTATGTGCTATATAATTCTGCTAAGATTTTACAAGTATCGCTTTACACGAGTTTAAAAAATTTCAAATATTCAATAAGAAAAATATAGATGTATTGAATTCTGGCAATTGTCAATTTTAAAGATAAAAATCATATACTCGTGTAAAGTACGTATGTCGTTAAAAACTTTGAATCTTTGCAGACACAATATCTGTGATAAATAATAAAAAATTGTAATTGCAAACTAAAATAGGTCTCTTAATTTTCATTCTAAGCTAATCGGCACATTATTAAGTGTAATGTATGAGAGTTACTTACTTGTTAAATTTCCAAAGAGCCAATGAAGTGGCCAAAAACGGGAGCACAAAGTATATTGAAAACTTATGAGACTCGATTTGATGACCCAAACATAGCTCGGTTATGTTAAAGACTAGTATCGAGGCGGCAATTATCAAAGATTGGCCGACCTCTAAACCATTAATTCCAGCCAAAATATTGATGGCATTCGTGCAAAAAACTGCAAGCATGCCCATATAGACGTAATAGAATATGCCTGGAAAGAAACAAAAGCAATGGAGTCATTTTAAAAATAAGATCTGAGGATAACTTACCAATATTAACGGATTTTCCAAAAAATGCACGCGCGAAATGGGGCAGAATAATGGTTGTAGAGTTATAGTTCACATAATAGACCATAAGAAGGGGCAAAGTGGCAATTGTGGGGAGCAGTAGTTTGTGACGCCATCGGAGATCTAACACATCATCGGCAAACCCAAGGAAGATCATACAGCAGATAGACAGCAGGGCGGCAATCAGCTCCACAAACTGAAAAGAGCATTAGAAGCTGCTTTTTTACATGAATGTGACTAATATATACTTTGTCGTGTGGAAATGTTGCCGGTTTGCCGCCAGTCTCCACATCCATTGCTGCAGCTTCATCGAATGTGAATGGTATGGGTATAAAAAGAAATAATGATACAAGAAACACGCAGCCAATAAGCACACCATAAGATTCAGGTCTAGAAGATAAGATATTTATATTTCACTTAACATTTGTGGCAGTTGCCAGGACTTACACTTGTGGCTGATCTCTCTTACACAAGTCCTTGCCATACAGTCTGGCCTTCACGAACATGTCACGAAACCGTGGTATCATGCGGACAGTCATGAGGTAAGCACTGACCGATATCGCCGCATTAATAGCAATTACAATTGCAGACATTTTTCCGGCGACCGCTAACCAACTGCAGAGTCGAAAGCAATTGCACAAAATGAATAAATCTGAAGACTTTCGTAACCGCTGTGCTGCAGAAGAATGAACAGTGTGCTCGTTTCTTAATCTATGCTCAAGTCAGCCAATACACCTCGAAACATTTCCAATTACTCATAATATCACTCGCGAATAAGACAAGTACACGAAACCATAACATTAAACGGCTGATAGCTTAGGGCTGCCAAGTCAAGAACAAAATGTAGCAACCATAGGGTGCTGCCAATTCAGTTTTTTCCCGCCAGTTCTGGAGTTATTCGAAGGCAGAACTAAAGTGATTGAATTATGAGCATAACAAACGCCTGTATGTACCTTTAATATCATTTTTATAAAGCTCTTATCTTAATAATTAAGACATATAATACAAGTCAAACTTAATGTTTATATATGTATCAACAAAAACCACCAAAGTAAATACGATTAATATCGAGTCGAATTATTGTTATAGCATTACCGAAAAGTCTCTCTGAAAAACGGAAAGACTTTTTGCAAATCTTCTTTTGATTTGCATGCTTCGACTAGAGGTAAAGTTTCCAGTAGATTCAATAAATAGATTTGTAACTGCTGTCGACGTTCCTCCACAAAAACGAGATTCATATTGCCAAAATGTTTCTTCCTCGGAAATTCAATGGCTGCGATGCTGGGATGCGTGCGCAGCAATGATTTGTGTAACTTGTAGAACTCGCGATAGCGTCTGAACAGAGTCCAATGCTCCAAACGCTGCCGCATTGTGATGTTTATTTCGTAGGTGTAGTATGCGCTAGATCGTTGAGGTTTAATAAGTTTAACTTGTGGAATGGTAATAAGAAAGTTGGCCAGAAACGATGATGTCGGATCGATTCCGGTAGCGTTAAACTGCAATGTAAGACGTCGCACCAGTTGGCGATTTTGCAGGCTGAGCTCAGCCACGCGCGTCTCGAGCAAGGCGCAGCGATCAGTAAGTACGCCAAGTTGTTGTTCCAATGCGGTAATCTGCTGACTTTCCGTGCAGTTTGTCAAAGAAGATGATTTGCTGTATTGCGACGAAGTATCACTGCGTTCCTCATAGAGTTCGTCATCGCCGGCGTCGTTGGCCACTGCGCCGGAGTTCTTTGTCTGTTCTTCGCTAGCTGGGTAAACTTCCGGCAAAGGTGTATTTAGAAACTCTAGCTCAGGCTCAATGGGATCACAGGGAGTAGTATATGCTGAAGTGTATGGTATTCTTTGCTCAATAGCGTTGTCGCTGACTGTTAGCTGTTCAACTTTTGTATTGATGGCACTCAATAGGTCCTCAGTTGAGTTACCGCCCGCAATGGGTCGCTCTATAGCGCCAACTGTTCGCTTTTGCGTGCGCGTTGCGACAGGTACTGGATTCGGCGCATAAATAATTGGCTCATCCTTTACAGGGGCGCTGGAGGGCATGCGCTTGGGAGCATTAAGTTCGGTTGTATCCACATTCAGCGCAAAGAGTACATCTTTTAGGCTGTCGAGAATTTCTGGTAGTTTTCTAACAGCTTCCTCATTTAGCAACAGTGACCATGGAGTGAAATAGCGATGCAACAACGCTTCGTCACTTAACCAGGTAAGCACATGATTCTGAAGTCGCTTTTCATTTAGGGACGCTCTTATAAAGGCACGTCCACGCCCCTGTTTGGTCCATATCTGATTCAACTGTTCGTATCGCTGCCGCTCGTGGGGTGTTAGTTGGGTCTGGCAAAAGTCCCAAAAGCTTGAATCGTTGTTGTTGTTTCTGCTCCCACTTACTCCTGTCACAATTTCATGCATATTCTGCAGAATACTCGCCGCTGTCAACGTATTAGCTCCAGGCTGCTGACGCAAGCCATAGCTAAATGTTTGCTCCAAAGCCTCGCACAGCTCTTGCACGTTATCATCCTGATCCGTTGCCAACTCACGCTTGCCACTGTAGGTCTGACTAGTTAGTTGGGCGCTTTGCTGAAGCCTTTGAAAAATGTCCTCCCTTCGTTGCCCAAATGTACTGCCACTTAGAGAGGCCCGCGTAGGCTCTGGTAATGCGTTCTCCGGCATTTCTCTTTTTATGAAATTACGTTATAAGAATATCCATGTGATTGTAACACTGATATCATCGCGTGATTCAGATTTGTGCTTAAATTTTCCAGATCAGTTGGAATAGGGTAAAAAGATGTTGTATTACGAATTGTTTGCAAAAACTCTAAGTGTATCAGAGACTTGTTCGATTCGATAGATTAGCATCGATATGCAAACGATTTTGAAGTGTTGGTTAGCGCGTTCGCATGCGCGGATATTTGGAACAATTGACTAACACAACACCTTAACAGTAATAGGAATTAAACGAGTTTGTGCTGGCTTTCACTATTTTAATTATATTTTAATGCGATATTCCTAAAGGGTACTTCGGTTTTTTCACCATTAAAAATGCCTATTTTAGCGTTATCATCCTTAAAAAATTCTGTAAAAAATATTAATTTCGCAAATTAAGTTTTATTTGTTTTTAGAAGTCGGCGGAACTTCATCTGGTCCAATTTCTATTTTCTGTAAGACGCCAGCATTGGCACTTTTGTCAGAGTTTATTTCCGCTGTGACTTCCGTGAAAAGTTTTTCCCACTCCCAGACCTCATCACGTTCTTCCAAATTTTCTTGCGATTGCAAACATCGAGTCAATATGGACAGATCGACATCTTCGATGGCTGAAAAAGCGTTCTGTGACAATAGGTCCGAGTTTAGTTCCTTCAATGTAACGACGCGATTGCTGCTTATTCTAGTAAAAGTTGAATTTATAAAAAAAAAACAAATCATTACCAGCCTTATATATGGAATTCTTACGTGGGAGGCTCAGCTACTTCGTTATACAGTATTTCATCCTTAACATCTTCTAAATCGGGAATAATCGGTATATCATCTGTGGGAATCGAGCTTGTTGTTGGTCTAGTCTGCTGAAAGCGCTCGCTAATTTAATGAAATGTAAACGCAAACTTTATGGTAAACAAAACTCAATAAACTTACTCATCAAACGAATTTTTCTTTGACCTGTAAAACAAGTATATAGTAGTACTTATACATTTAATATGAACCGATCCGTCTACCTTAGACTCTTCAACCCATTATCGGCCCAGCCTCCTGATATCCTCCTCATTGGCGGGCGATTGGAAATCAATTCATTGTTGTTTGAGGCCGGTGTTGTCGTTGTGCTCATAATACCATTCTGAACATTCAAGGTGATATCAATTGAGACATCGTTGTTGTGCACATTCGCTGAAGTAGCCAAGCCAGTTGAGGCGGTACTGGAGCTGGGCTCATCTTTGGATAAGTCGCGACTTTTTGAGCGGCGACCTTTTCGCGCCGTTGTCTATTGGTGATTTAAAAGATAGTAAATACATTTGTATACGAAAATAACTTTGGCTATATCGCATATTTGCCTTTCGAATTGCCATTTTCAGATCTTCCCAATCCATTTTTATTTACTTGTTGTGCCTCTTGTGTTGCTTAGCAACAAGTTTAAGTCGAAAAGTATTCACAATAGACAATTCAGGTGTTGCAGGTAAGCTAATGGACGTTGCTATAAGCAGTGTTGCCATTCTGTAAAAAGGGCTGCAAAACGTTCAATCTTGTCTATTGTGTACTTAAGAAGGATTATATTTACTATTGTTTTATTACTTGCTTACAGACACGCACCACGCCCTAAAATACCTGTAGTCTACAATCACTTTATGAAAAACAAATAAAATACTTCCCCTAAAATTTAAAACACTTTATTCAGTTCAGTTACTCTATTACTCTTATAATTAACACAACTGTTGCTTCTTTTCTGTAACTGTCAGCCCTAGGGATCTATTATAAGTGCATTTTAAACTAACACTGCATCATTTTGTTTTTATATTTTAGAATATATAATAGACAAAATCGTAATTCCAATTTAAGCTTAAATAGTGTAATTTCATTTTTCAATATAAGGCTGTATTGGACATTTATAAGACTTTTTATGTTGCCTTAGCAAAGACATTCACCACGTTTCACCATTTCGTTAGAAGCCCGCATATCTGCACAGTCGATATTTTGTTAAATCGTGTTTTGTATATAAAGCCTGATATTCCAGAAGGGCAAAAATTGTTAATAATACAATTTACAATTGAGAAAAATGCTGAATGACACAGAAGATGATTTTTTATTCGAGGAAGATAAGATGTGAGTAAAATAAACAATTATTGGTTGCTGTATACAATATTTCTGCCATATGCTAAAAATCAATAATTTGGCTCTAGTTTAATTCTGCCGTACATTTATATTTACATTGTTTTGTAAATGTGCAAAAATAAGAGGGTTTCTACTTCATGTCTTATTACTCTTAAATGAAGGGTGTTCAAGCGACCGACTTCGTTGAGTAAGTACAGAAATTCCCTAATTTGTGAAATGCCAAAAGTGTTTTAGAAAAGTAAAACCAAAACCAACTTTGCGAGTTTATCAGAGGTCCAATGGATGTCTTTAGCAATATAAGCTCCTGCTCCGACGCCCAGTCTGTCGAAATCGAGACATCTGTCACCTGCTCCGGATTAAATCTGACTGCAGACCATTATGAAATAGAGCTTCTGCGGCAGAAATTTGAGTTAGACCGTTTGTAAGTGCACTTTTTGCTACAAAGTCTGTAGTATTTAAAAATGTAAACTTTGAAACTAGTACATCATGTAATTCCCCACAAGAAACCAATTTCCTGAAGTAATAAAATTACTACCTAATGCTAGATAGCAAATTAATATCGTTATCAAAATAATTAGCTGCTAATTCGGTTGTCGAGACGGGTGAGGCTTCTTAATTTCTATATATTTCTATAAAAATATTTTGTTTCCCCTTAACATACAAAAAATTATTCATAATACGCTGAATTACAAATAATAATGAATAATATTAAAAAGAGTGGCTTTTATTATATAAATTATTTAATAATGAGTGCATCCTCTTCGCTTCTGACACTTAAGCAACGCCACACCATTCTCATACGAAACACTTAAGTAATGTAAGTGTTTAAAAATGTAGAAGCACGCTGCTTTTAAATAATATGAGTTTGTTTCGAACTCGATTAGATTTTTAGTGTAAATACAATATACATATCACGTAGTCTTAGCAAAAAATGCCGTAATGCCCTTGCTAGATCTGATATTAGGCCTATTCAGAGAGTTCCATTCATACATGTAAGTATATATGTATGTACATTACATATATACATATGTACTCGTATATAGACTTGAGCTTATTGTAGATTTATTGAAGAGTTCCTCGGCGTTTTATTATTGAAATATAAATGTGTAAAATAGTTTGTTCTTTTTAATTTTAACAGGGGGATGACCGTCACCACCAATGCCGTTGTCATTCAAAAGGATCAGAGCAATCTAATTGGGATCAGCATAGGGGGCGGTGCTCCAATGTGTCCTTGCCTCTATATTGTACAGGTAAGAAGCGTCATTCTTGCCATTTCAAAGGCAAAGTTTATTTGAAAATATAGAGACATGCGATAAGTATAGGTATGATGGACCGGACGGGACGTTCACATTGCGGAAATGCGCTTCCACGGGTTAGGCCGTGCCTTGAACTCTGTCAATTTTCGTAGTTGCAGGTACTCCTCGTGATTCTGCCTTGCCAGCTCCAGCGCCTCCAGCCGCAAACGCATTTCAAGATCATGTTTGGCTCTCGCATTGAATTGTTTGCGTATCTCGGCCCGTTCACCGCATCGGAGCTGAAACGGCTTTGGCTCGATTATGGTTGACTCGTACTTGGGCAGAAATGGTTCTCGGCGCATATATGCTGTCGAATTGAAGATTATCTTTGGTCTGCGCATCATCTCGCGTTCGTTATCGCGCCGCATCAGCTCCAGTTTCTTGCTGGATTCTATTGACTTGACCAGAGTCTGCGGAGTGATTGGAACAGTGATGGAATTCCCCGAGTTCGAGCTGCGACTTTTTTCCAATCTTTTGTGCAGCCGACTGAAGTTTGGCACAGGCTTGAAATGAAATTCCCATTGTTTCCGCTGTTGCTGCCTAAGTCGTCGGCTGAGCTGTGCTTTGTGTCGCTTATATATCTCCTGAAATTTAAGAACGTTGGGTACCTTTGGTGAGAGGACTCTCTTTAATTTTTTGCCCTTAGTCCGGTCCAGACCAGCCTGCGTACGACAGAGTCGGGCATCGTGCTCATGGAGCACAGCTCTTAGCTTGCTGTCTATTTTATCACAGCGGGAACGCGTCGCTGTGGCTTTCGTTGGTGGCACTGGCACTTGAGATTCACGGTCTTGCGTTCTTAGTGTACTGATTGGCTCTTTGCAGAAGTCCACATCGACCCATTTATACCAATTGCCCATAACGCCGTTCGTTTGCCGCCAATTTGCAAATAAATTTTTATTGAAATAGCATCACCTGAATTTTAAGAGCAGTGCCGAAATTCATAATTTTATAAAAATAACACCTTGACTACTACTTTTGAGTAACAAAAGTGCTTACTCTGTTCCAGGTGTTTGATGGCACGCCAGCAGCCCGGGAGGGTTCATTGCAGTCCGGTGACGAACTCTTGGCCGTCAATTCCGTCAGCGTAAAGGGAAAAACGAAGGTGGAGGTGGCCAAGATGATTCAAACGGCCACCGATGAAGTAACCATTCATTACAACAAACTGCACGCCGATCCTAAGCAGGGAAAGTCCCTCGATATAATACTAAAGAAGCTAAAACATCGCATTGTAGATAGTATGTCGAGTAATACAGCCGATACCCTGGGCCTATCCCGCGCCATACTCTGCAACGATTCTTTGGTCAAACGCCTCGAGGAGTTGCAGGGTACAGAGCTGATGTATAAGGGCCTGGTGGAGCACGCACGTCGCATGCTGAAGGCCTACTATGATCTCTTGCAAATATACAAGTCCTTCGGCGACTGCTTCACACAGATTTCAGCGCGGGAGCCGCAACAACGAGCCTCCGAAGCGTTCCGCACCTTCGGCGAATTTCATCGAAATCTAGAAAAGGATGGTCTGGCCATAATAAAGCTTATTCAACCGGTATTGGCAGACTTGGGCACATACCTGAACAAGGCTATTCCGGACACGAAACTGACAGTGCGGCGATATGCGGACGCAAAATTCACTTACTTATCCTACTGCCTTAAAGTTAAGGAGATGGATGATGAGGAGCACGGCTTCGCAGCCCTACAGGAGCCATTATATCGGGTGGAAACGGGCAATTATGAATACCGGCTAATACTGCGATGCCGGCAAGATGCGCGAAGCAAGTTTGCCAGAATGCGCACTGATGTCCTCGAGAAAATGGAGCTGCTAGAATGCAAACATGCCATGGATCTGAATAAGCAGCTGCGTAGCCTGCTTAATAGTTTGGCTGAGCTCCACAGATCTGTGGTGGAACGGTTGGGCTGTCTACCGCCGTTGTTTCCCATCGAAGTCGACTTTAAAGAAACAGATTTTCAATACAAATCGAGCACCTTAAAGCCACAAGAGCTGGACGACGATGAAGTTGAGGCTACCCAGACTTCTGCGAATCTGGTTTATGGCCTCGAAGCCGTTGAGCAGCCAGCTCCCATTATTACTGTCGATGCAAAGGCCATTCATGAATCAAACCAAAGTCAAGTCCTTGACGCCACATCTGAATCGAATGTTGAAAATACGACACTATTAAAGGAGTTAGATATATTCGATGTTGATTTGCTGTCTAACCCCGAAACGGTGAGCAAGCCAACGGAGTTAGTATCAACGGCACAAAATGGTGCTTACGATTTCGACTTGTTTTTGAATCAGAATGGTGTGACAACATCTCAGCTTGAACAGTATCTTATGACCACAAACGCGCAAGAGACAGATCTGCTCTTGCAATAGCCAGATTGTACATACATACATACATATATACAAAACGAAACTAATAAAGTGCTATGTCAAAAGAATTTGTATTATACTTGTATGTACATATTAGCGATTTAACGGAACTCGTCGTCGCGGTAGATTTACCTATAGCTTAAATGCTTCAGCTTTAATAAATATAATGCACATATAATGCATGTGTGCAAAATTTTGTGTCTCTAGCCTTTATCGTCTCTGAGATCTAGGTGTTCATACGAAGGGAAAGACATGGCTGAATCGATTCGGCCTCCAATGCTAATCAAAAATACATGTATGTATGTATATGAATACTTTGTGTGGGGTCGGAAATGAATTGTTCTCTCTGTTAGAATTTTTACTTTGGACAAACCTAATATATCCATGTACCTTTTAGATATACATACATATGTACAATATGTATGTATATTCAGTGGCATGAATGAAGTCCTCCTCAAATTTGATTAACATCTACGAGAATAGGAAGCAGCAGAGAGCTAAAGCAGTTCCGTTCGAAATTTGAAAATAAATACTATAAATAAATATTATAGACGTTATAAGTTTTTATGTATTTCTCATTTGTTTTATTTCAAAGTATACATGTTATTCAAATTAGACGCTTTTTTAATATATTTATTAGTATATATCGATATAAGATTGCGATGCAATAGATGCCTACTCCAATGCGAATACATTTTTCGATAATCGAAAATAAACTCGATGTCTATAAAAAGCGCACGCGCACTGCTTAATTGTTCGATTCGGGTGTAAATTATTCACCGCATTACGAGTAATATAACAACGTACGAGGGATCAAAAAGATAAAGTAAGTTGGGTACATACTGGTGATAATAAAAGGGAACATGTACGCTTTATTACATATAAGTGATTAGAAGGCTTTTGGCAGCCCAATAGAGTGTAGATATGTATGTATCTACTACATGTTACATATAATTTTATTAAATACTTTTTGTGCATATATACATAGATACACATGAGTATCTTTTGACACAATGCAAGTATAAATATGGATAAAAATGTGCGTGTTTATTTAAATTGGAGTTTCGTGTTCATGTCTTAATAAATTATAATTGAATTCAAATAACGATATTTATAGTTCTATCAAAATTTATAATTTCTTAGGCATGTGTGAATGTATATAAATATGTACATATAAGTATAAACATACATATCTACACAACCAACAACAAGAGAGAATATTATAGTCGAGCTAGCCTGACCGTGAAATACTGTAATAGGGTTTTTAACGGCAGGCTAAGTCGATCATAATATTCTATTTGTAAACAATAATTTTGCCATATTTCAATCTTTAAAGTCTTTTAATGTGCAGGAAATTTCATAAAATAAAACATATTTATGTTTTTTAGAATTTATATCATATGGAAAACATGGGACTATCAACGAACCCATCTTTTTTAGATGTGGAATTATCACAAACACTTATTACATCACCTTCCATATCAACACTTATGCATGATGAAGAAGCCTCTATATGTCCATTACTTTCAAATAATAACATTTCGGGACCGTTGGAAATGTCCCACCCACTAAGTGCAAATTGCACAAGTAAAGATGTTTCTTTATCCAATGCAAACTTTAAAGCTGAAACGAGTTCATCTGGTAGTAGCACTGGACTTGCAATGGATGCTTCAGAATCTCCGTCGACAAATCTCTTCAACAAAACAAATTATCAAAACTTGCAAAATACCAATGTCAGCAGTGATCAGGTAGGTGCTAGTTATATGATTGTGGAAAAGATAAGTACATACATGTAAGGAAAAACCTAAATCAATTAAAATTGGCGCTATTGGTCGCTCGAGCCGGCCAACATTTATCGAAATGTTTTTATTTTTTAGATTCGTTTATGACTCGTTATGATTCGTTAGACAAACCTTGTTATGTTGTATATTGGGTCTGACTTCTTCTGGGTTTCTTTTCTAGGAATCAAGCCGTCAATACATACGTGGAAATATGCATCATTCTGAAGAAGCTCCATTGTTTGTGTCGTGGAACTGGCCTTTAATACGAAAATTCACACTTTTCATATTTTTATCTGCGTTGTTAGCCATGTGCTCGGTTGTTGTCGCCAAAATTGCACAATTACCAAAAACGTGCAATCCAAAGTATGTATTAACCAATAGGTGTATTACCTTCTTTCCAGTTTTCCTATATACAATTTGAAATCTTTCAATATTTTATATACCGAAAACGGAATTGGGTAGAATATTTTGTAATTTAATTTACTAATGGCATTCTTAATTTGTTTACAGGACGGCATGGTATCGAGGAAGTGTGTTTTATGAAATATTTCCTGCAAGCTTTCAAGACTCCGATAATGATGGCATTGGCGACATAGGTGGCATACTGAATCGCATGGATTATTTGGCCTCTTTAGGTGTCTCTGCGGTGCGGCTTAATTCTATCTTTGACTCGGCACACTACCCGGATGACTATGATAATCCTACATCTATTACTAGAATAAGCTCAGTAATTGGGAAAGTAACCGACATTAAGAACTTAGCAAATGCCTTGCATCAGAACAATATGAAGCTTATATTAGATTTACCACTTCGCCAAGTGATCACTAAAGGAATCTCTAATGAGGGAAACTTTAACGATTTGATCAATGGTGCACTTATTCAGTGGATCAGCCATGGAGTGGACGGCTTTTATCTTAAGGGGCTGGACAAATTTGCAAGTAATTTTATGCTAGGAAATCACTTAGCATTATGGAAACGAAATATTGGGTCAAATGTTGTTCTAATGGTTGAAGAGTCTACATTCATGAACAAATCATATGCAGAAATAGCCGACATTTCCAATTATATTGATTTAGTCGACATTCGTCTTAATGTAGGAAGTGGTGCAAAGGCTATAGATCAACGAATAAAATATATACTTACCCAATTATTACCCCCTAAAGAAGATGGTGCATGGGCCCACTGGTCCATTGGAGGTGTGGATTCATTTAATCGGATCTCCCAAGTAGCAGATAGTCCGAAATTCGCACTGGCTACCACAATTATGCAGCTAATGCTGCCTGGTACTCCAAGCATATTTTATGGTGATGAAATTGCCATTGAAAGTGCTTTATATCCAAATAATGAACGCAATGACATGAAACATCTGCACCATTTGGTTCCAATGGCTTGGCCCAATGCAACACATCAATTTACAAGTTACCACACTTTGCCGTGGATTTCGGAGACGTCTTCTTATAATTTTGAGTATTCAAAATTAATTGCTAAAATGATCTCTTTGCGGGATCATTCTCCTTCCTTATATAAGAATGTCATCTGCAAACAAAATACTAAATTACCAAATACTCAAATACACCACAGCAATGACGACATTATAATGATAGAACGCAGCTACCCACGAAGGAATTCATTTGTATCCATTACTAACCTAAAAGGGAAAAATGTTACATTAGACTTGACATCACTTTTCTACAGTGGCAATCAAATGCTTACAGAAAACGAAGGTGAAAAAATTTATTTCAATAGTTTAGAGATTCTCCCTCTCGAGACTATTGTAGTCAAATTAGATAAGTAAGATAACATTTCTAACAAAATTGTGTTATTTTATAATTACAAAAAAAAAAAATAAAAGGACCCACCATTTATGCGATGCATAAATTTCTTAAATTTTTTAAAGAGACATACTTTTTTTCATTTTGCAGGCGCATGTATTCGCATTGTTAATATTTTATTAACGCCAATATTATGAACCATAAGAAATGTTTTTAAAAAAAAATGATATATTTGGAAGAATTAACAATAATATAAATAACATTATATGAAGTGGCGATGTCTCGGCCCGCTGTTAGAATTTTATTGAAACAAGACCTTTATCTTACTTATAAATGGCACCATGACTAGGCGAAAAACGCGGATTAATTGTAAATTGGATTTTCGGAATGGACCAGCAATTAAAACTCGATGTAATAGTACGTGAGTTCACGTGCGACCAGTAACCGTTTGTAAGTATCCTTACTTAATGTTCATTGATAATGATCATGGTATGTTGATATTGGGTGGCACAATCAATTGTACAACTTTTTTGCTTCTTTTCTCCGACATTTCCTTTTAGCATACAAATTGTTGATTCTTCCCTGTTTTATTTGATCTGAAAAATAATAAATAATGAAATACAAACTGGTTTAGATGTTTCACCTCTCCGTGGTATCTGGAAAAATTTAGATGGTCACCACCTATGATGTTCAGCTATCAGACTCAAACTCTAGAAAAATATTCTCTTCGGGCAAGGCCACTTCAAATATGTCAAGCAATTTTAATTTGAAGCTATTTTTTACCATTTAGGATCCTTTTACCACTAACCATACAACATGTTGTATGGTTAGTGCTTTAACTTAGAGCAAAAACAGATGACCTACACGGAATGCTACTTCGAAAACAACAAAAATAATTAAAACAAAATCTAAGTGTGGACAGAAAAAGGTCCACACGGTTAAGAGATAAACATTAAATACTGTATCTGTTATTTGTATTACGAGTATTTAAATGTCAAAAGTAATTGCACAGTAATAAATTTTCATATGCACTTTATCCTGTTAGAATAAGTTTCGTCGAATTAAGAGAGCCTGTACCAATATTCGTGGCTTTAATTCATACATATACTTCCGGGATTGTAAGGGTTTGCAGCGGTTTCTTCGGGGTGTTTCATTCATATGTATTATGTATACATAATGCATTTGTTCACATAAATACAAGTATGTATGTATGTACATATACGTGTATGTATGTACATATGTATGCGCGAGCATTTATATAGCGTGTTGTTGTTGCTATTGTTGCCTTCCACAGTACATGTTTTTTTTCAAGCGGAATGTACTGTATATTTGCCAATATACAGTTAGTTTTTAACACATGCATTTATGTATGTATGTATGCACAAATATACACACACACGAATCTACAAATATGTATATACATACATAACCGCGGAAAGAACAGCAGACATATTTACTAAGCATACCGTGTACATACATACATACATATGCATTTTGGCATACAACTCTGGTCATTTATTTGAATTTGATGTACATACATATACATACATACATATCTAAGTATTCGGTAAAACTAAATCCGTATATAATCGTGTAGTTGTCTTAAATAACTTAGATTATTGAATTAGCCCGCTATTTTAGTGCTTAAATTTGCGTTTTATGTATTTGCGTGATTAATATTTGAATTAATGCAATTGGTGTATAAATTAAATCATTTTGTTTTTCAAATTTTACTGAACCTTATACAACTTGCGGCTCAATTCGTTATATATTAAAACCGGTGATTTCCAACTGGTGAACGGGATCTAAAGCGACTCCCGCTGCCTCCTTGCCCGCCACTGCGGCTGTAGTTGCTGGTGCTACTTCCGTAACGGCCGCTGTCGCGTCCTCCGCCATAAACGTCACGTCGACTAAAGCCGCTGCTGCTACCGTCGCGGCTAGAACGACCACCACCGCCGGAAATATAGCCACGCTCTCCATGGCGACTGCTGCTACTAGAGCCACGCTGCTGTCTAAACCCGCCACCGCTGCTATTAATGTTGTGCCTGCCGAAATCAGCACGGCGACCTCGGTCTCCAGGTCCGCCTCTTCTTCCTTGACGTGGTCGGCCCTTGGATATTTCAACACGTAATTGAGAACCCAAGAGTTCTGACCCGTTCAATATATCGCAAGCCTTTTCAGCATCATCACGATGTTCAAATTCAACAAATGCGAAGCCGGGCGGATTAAATGCAATCCACACTGAATTCAGTTTGCCGTATTTAGTGAATTCTCCTTCCAGGTCGTCTTTTTTAACTTTATCTGTTAAGTTACCAACATATACTCTGGTACCTCGTTGATCGCCCATATTTGACAAAAAAACAAACTTTAAGATATCTAGCAAATTAACCACCAATCAATATTTTTCCACCACTGCACACAAGCCTTACTTTTTTCACCTGGCCTATGATATGTATGTATATCAAGTTCTCATATGGTGTGACCATATTTCGTTTTTCAAAAATGTCCAAAAATTGTTTACTAAAGGACCTAAAAATAGTGTAACTGTTTGAATCAATTATAATGCATAAACAGAACCAAATTACTATTAATATAAATAGTAGTAACAATTCTTGACTCGCTTACATTTAAAAGTAAAACATACGAATCGAGCAATCGATAAAACAGAATTATTTGCATATATTTTGTTGTTGGGAATCATTTTACATTTTCACAATGCATTTGACATTACAGAGGACTTCACAATAATAAGTGATTGTATACTAATAATCCAAATAGATATTTACTTATATAAAATTATAAATTATAATATGTATACAAAATAAAAATATTATTAATTGTTCTTTAAATATCAACTTGAAATTCAATTTAAATAAAATAAAAAATTTGTTTAAGCGTACACTTTGAATACTAAAATATATAGAAAATTTAAATAAATTGTATTTCTTAAAACATAGCAAATTAAAAAGAAGTTTCAAAAATGAACATATTTAATAAGAATTTAGTATATTTTAGTGTAAATCATCGATAATATTTACATAGCTAATATTTTCAGATAATTTGAAGGTGGTTTAAATAGTCAATTTCATCATATCTATACTGTTATATTACGTCATAATATGAAAAGTATTTCGCAAATTATAAAAAATATAATTGATATATGTAGATATCAGCCAGTTGCAATACAGTGTCGCTTATTTTTCTGATACTGGAAGTTTCGATATAAATAATGTTCCTGCAAAATTAAAAAATGATGCAGCATCAACATTTCAAGAATCGATTACTATGTTATCAATTAGCAGCACTTACTAAAAAAAATTAAAGCGTTTATTAGCACTTTTAAGACTTTGTGAATAAAAAAATAAATAAATAAATATTACCAATCTCATATTTCATATCTGTTGGTAGATATCAACTATCAGTTCTGTAAGTGTAAGAAGCATTAATATCTATACTTAAAACTAAAAGACCATTTCTTACATGTATTCTAAATTCAAGGACGCAACATAGAAAATCATCGAGTAAACTGAATGACTTGAGATGTCAACTGAGGAGTTACCCGCTGATCTGGGCAGGCTGAAAATTGCTCCAACACAAACACATTTTAGTTTAAGCGATGGAAGCGTGCCCATTGTTCTAAATCCTTTCTATACCGATCACAGTACTACCATCACTTCGGGTAGTAATTCAGCTCCTACCTGTGAGTCAGTCCGCAGTGCAAGAAATCGAAAGACACATCGCAGATTCAGAAGAAGATCCGAGAGTTTTTTAGATGATTGCAAACAAGCAGATGAATTTGAAGCACATCCACCTCTACCGGACTCTTTTGAAATTATAAGTAATCTGCGCTGCAACTCAGGCGTTTTTAAGCTGCCACTGAAAAAGCCCAACAGTTTGAACAAGAAGAATTTATTACGCGTACCTATTTTGCGATCCCTAAATGACTGTGCACAACCAAAATGTATTGTTAATAATAGTCGCACAGATCCCAGAAACTTCAGTTATGCGCATAAAAAATCATTGGCAGCAGTCTCACAATCAAGCAAAAAGATGAGTGTTAAAGGCAGTGGCCTTTGTGCTTTTGGCGATTTAATTTGCGAATGCACATTATTACTTGATCGCAATCGAAATAGCAAAACCAGACGTCACTCGCCGACAAATACAACCACCTTTCAACCCGAAGAAGTCATAGTGTCCAGTGATCTTCTCAGTAATGCAAATATCAAACCACAATCTTTGATGCGCTGTAATACAACGTGCTCTCAACAAGCAAGTAACACCGCTTCCGCAAATTGTGATGATGTTACAATAGATGAGCTTGCCAGCTATTTCGACACTATGGTCCATATTCCAAGAAAAATGTCGTCTATGGCGGAAATGATGTATATATAGTTATTAAATGCATATACTAATAGACATGCATGTATAGTTATGTTAAATAATATTTCTCCCAATTTTGTCTAAACGCATTTTTAACATTAAATATATATGTATGTATGTATGTATTTATCTCGTGATTTTTTATTATACTAAAGATGTAACAGCTATTGTACATAGGATGTAGGCATAGGATGCATACTTTTGAACACCTTCATCTTCGTTTTATTGTACGATCTGGCATGAAAATACGGCCACTGCAGAAATTGTTGTTTAAAAAACAAAACCATAGAGGATAATAGGGAAGGAAGCAAGCAAATTTATACACGTATAACGATAGATTAATGTGGCTCTAATCTGTGGACTCTGTGTACATATGTACATATGTGTGTGTACTACGCAATTGAATTACAATATCAATAGTTGTTGACATGACTGGCTGAAATTATGTAGTCGGTTTATAGATATAGCTCAAGCAATTATGTATTCGAATAGCTTTGACACAGGAATACTTGTATATACGTAGTCAATTTTCTACGCTGGTTGGAGTGGGGATTTGGTGTCTGAATGTTTGTCTTATACAGGTGAGTTTGTACAAAGCATCTTCTATAATGTTCAATTTGGTGGCCTAGCATGATTGATTACCTACTGCAACCAGCCCATATATTTTCTAGGAAAGGTTGTCAAAAAGTAATAGCTTCATAAGCTTTTACCATTACTGCTTGTGCGGCCATTAATTGCTTGACAAATTTGTATTCTAATCATAAGAAATGTCGTTTTGCTTGCCAAAAATGTCCCGCGCTCATGAAATAATATAAAGATGATGAATATGGATTATTTCATGGTATCTTGATATAATGATAATAAACTGAATAAAACAATGGATAATAAATATTCTAAAATCGAAAGGCATCATCCACAAAAAGTTTTTCAACCAACTCTTTTGTGTAAATTATTTGCCTTAAGCCCCCTCCAAGAAAAAAATCGCATATTCGGGAATTTATTCGTTGAGAGGTTTGCATGGACAAGTTTCAGCAAATTCTATATTCGTATAAACGATTCTCATAACTTATAATTTTGTTAGATACCATGACCGACCACTGTTTATTTACGATATGCGTTTTTTTGCGCTTCTCCCATTTACACATACACGTTTAATTCCTCAATATGTTGCGTCTCTTAACAAATTAGGGGGGTGAGTAAATTGTTCATACTTAAGTACATATGTATGTACGTATGTGTATGTACAAGAGTGAGAGTATGGCCGGGCTGTATTATTGAATTTATAGGTTTATTGTTTACTTTGATATCAATTACTTAGCGTTGAGTAAGCGCATACATACAGTACTCCTCAGTCAATCGCCCGAACGCTGTCAGTTAAAACGTCTTTTACGGTGTAGTGTTAAAGATTAGATAAGCATGACTCTGTTGTTTTTTGTTAGAATTGTAATAATAATTGAATTCTATGTGTTTTAAAACATCCGAAATAAATATAATTTACAATCTTATTTAATAAGGAATGTAAAATGGGTGTGACTAAAAAATTATTTTGTACTATGCTGGTTTGTTCGATTTTAAATTCGGTTGTGCAGTGTTTTACTAAGTTTCGAGTATGCTGCCCCACAGACTATATATTATACAAAAACAAAGTTGGGTTAGATTCTGAGGAAGCAAATGCAACACATAAGCGAATAATTAATGGATTTCAATCAATTGAAAGACCTGAAGTGCCATTAGGATATGGCATAGAAGAATCCACAGCAGATATGTGCCATGCGCGTATCGAAAACTGTACACATTTTAAGTTTGACAGTTTTTCACTTTCAATAAAAGAAAATACTCCTACTATATACATGGATAAAGAGTCTTGCTTGGCTGTAGTGAACAGTCTTTTGGTGAGCATATCTTGCCAAACAAGTAAAAATGACGCTATGGAAAGGATTGATATCGTGAACAAGTGCTGCCCACACAGTTATATCTACAGCACCAAATCGGAAAAGTGCATTCGAAAAGAGCCTGACTTCGATATTTACTCGGGAATTTTCAGCAACGCCGCAATTTTTGACGAGAATGCATTTAAATGTTCACATAAAAAAGTTTTAGTAGAATACACGGTTACTGCGGACACAGTAATGTTCAGTGAATCACATTTAATTTGGAATGATGGTAGTAAATCTATTAGCACCAATGGATTTTGCATTGAAGCAATTACAGACTTACCTATCAACGAAGCTACAAGAAATAAACGCAATCATCAGTTCTTGGTTCGGGCGTGTCAAGAACTTAAAGTTTGCAAATCTTTGCCATGCATACGGAAGTGTTGTGCTGAAGGCGAGGTGTATATGAAAGGAAATGCAACAACCTATTGCAAAAAGGCCGAAAGCGATGATATTGAATTTTACAGTTTTTCAAGTTTGGAAATAAGTGGTAATTTCTCAAAACCATCAGGTGCGTATTGAACTAAACAAAAATTGAGTTTACTTAATTCAGAGTTCAGCAACATTAATAAAGGGGAATGAAAGTATTGACAGAAAAATGTCAAAACACAATTTAAATTTTAAAAATGGCATACGTTTAATTCATTCAGGTGTAAAACCTTACACTTAGTCGCTGAAAAGTATTTGTACTATATGTTAGCAGTTTCAACTATCTTTAATTTCAAAAAGTTTGTATATTCAGGGTCGAAGTACAGCTCCTGACTGTAGCTATAGTGGTTGTTTTTCATTTTGTACAAATTTCATTTCAATGTATATGACTGAATGAAGAACTGAAGTCCTAAGTGCTTACGTGTGATTTTTTTTACTGATTAGGAGATAAAGGTTTCTTTATAGGTTAGTCGTGCTTTTGTTATCGATCGATGGCAGTGGCCATTTAAAAGATTGCCAGGAGCTATGTCTCACCGCGACTTTTGATTAGGAAAGTAGGCTGATTTTCACGATTACATCGGAGTAAACCAGAATAAAGAGCCAGTTGCATATAATAGAATGATGATTACAGAAAGCTCAAGAAAACAACCTTCGTTTTCATTTCAGAATATGGCATATTGCATGGATTAGAATGTCCTAAATTTCGATTGGATCCTGACCTGTTTTCAGATGATTCTCACTCAATAAGTTCAGTCAATGGATCGTTGGTTATTAGAAGTACTAACAAAATCTATACAAATAATCATTATTGTATAGAAAATATTTATAATTCGTCATTTTTAGATCGAAAGGTAAGATCGACCATAAAACAATTCTTTTATATTTTGTTGCTAAAATAGGAAAAAAGGCATACAAGATCGGCAAAAAGGCTTGTTCTATATTTTCTTTACTTGAAGTAATTTTATTTCCTGCTGGACGAGAAGACATGTTTGATCGATCTGTCTCATTAATGTTGTTTCTGTTACATATTTTAAACACAGTTAATATACTTTTTACCCTTTGGGTATAATTATAAAAAAATTTGATTTGCATTTATTAATATCGATTTACCCAAAAAAAGAAAATACGCAAAACATATACCTATGGATTATGAAAGTCTGCATACCATGTCAAGCCACTGTGGGAAACATAAATAGATCATGGGAAACCAGAGATGCTTTCTTCTTATTTCCTTCTGAACTCAAATAATGGGCAGAAGCTGACAGAGAGATAGAAGATAAAAGTGAGCTTTTTAGTTTATTCGACACAGAATAGAATTAACAAGAAAGAAGAAAGAAAAATCTCTCATACACATTTCTTAAAGTTTGATTTACAAATAAGGACCTTTAATTAAAAATATACTTTTTTCAGCATAGCTGTACACTTTTTTGTGCTTTGACTCTAACATTGTTGGAAATGATCAAATTCGGTTCAAATTGTATCCAATTGGTCTTCTCATATCCTGCTGTTTCTATGCCCTTACACTGATTGTGTATATTTCAATTAAAAGGCTACGAAATCTGCCCGGAAAAATTTTAATCAGCCTCGTAAGCAGCTTGCTTCTGGCATATCTCGGGATCGCGTTAGGACAATTAATGCCAACATCTAACGACAATGTGTGTTTCATTTCAGGTAAGTGCTTACTACTTGTACAAGCAGGTATACCTGGCTACTATTTTTTAAACAATACATGTTGTAAATAATACATAGCTCCCATATCAATAACGACAAATGGCTGCCATCCGAACTATTTCTTAACAAAGGCATGTAATAATAAATTGTTGTTTTAATATAGGAGACTGGAAATCTTAGTTTTAGACTACAACATATCATCACCCTTCACTGAAAAGTGAATTGTATTTTTCAGGTTTCTTTGTATATTTTTGTCTAATTGCGGCATTCTCGTGGATGAACGTAACATGTTTTGATATATGGAAAACTTTTGGGTAAGAATATACTTACATGACAATTCTTAAAAAGAAACTCTTTCCTGTACATATCACAATATTAAGAAGTTATCATGCAGCGATTTGCGAGATTAATTTTAAAAGTGTTCCAATTTTAACCAGATGTAAAAGTTGAAGGAATGCTGTAGCATTTGATTTGAAACACTTGTATGTACTTTGTATGGGAAAAAAGCTTCCAGGGTCGAACAAAGCAAAGAGAACACACAAAAAAATAATTCGATTTTTGTTGATTTATACCTTTTAAAAAATGTTTAAACTACAAGTATTCTGAATAGGTATTAGAAGTACGTAGTAAGTGGAAAAATATAAGTAGTATGCAATAGATTTCATTGTTGACAAGTTGCTCATTGGGAATAATAAAACAACATTCCAATATAATTTGGTATGTAAGTATATATTTTTTTTATATTGAAAAATAATTATATTTTCAATAACTTTATATATTATTTTACATCAAAACAAAAAACTTTACGAATTATGCACATATAATATGAAGGTGAAGAAATTTATATCAGAAATATTACAGCTTTTGCTTCAAGTGTTTTTACCAGGTGGTATTTAAAAATTTTAGATATTAATAGATATTTAAATATAGCAATAAACAAGTATACACACGTTTGTATATATGTAAGTAAACAAATACAAATTTGTTTGTAGATTTGCCATTTGAAGTGTAAAGCTGTTGCGAAGCAGGCCGTTAAAGGCAATTTAAATTTTAAAATGAAACGAAGTTATCGAGAAAGGATTAAAAAGGTGATATTGAAAAATATTTAAGTTAAGCGTCGACACACCAAATAAACTAAATGAAGAAATGAGTAATTTCTTGGGGCTATCCTAGCACAGAAATGCACTCTTATTATTATTTAGATCCACTTTTTAACACCATTTACATGGAGCATCCTATGTTAGCATGCTTCGATCGAAAGATTTGGTTAAAATTGCAACCTTGCATAAGAGAAATGCAGACATTGATTTATATATAAAGGCTTTGTTTCTAACTAGTTGTTTTTCAACTTTTTCGTTTAGATCAACTAAATCAAATCGCTTGCAGAAAAGAGAACAAGCTTCTCGGTTTATCTGGTATTCTGTGTATGGCTGGGGATTACCAACATTCTTGACTGCAATTACTGCGGCATTGACAAAGTCAGATGTGCTTCCCGAAAATGTACGTCCACTTTTCGGTAACGGACGCTGCTGGTTTACATGCAAGTACAACTAATTATATTTTTCGTCATTTTTGTTGGTTAAATGTATGTCTACTTATAGATGATACCATTGGATTTGCGAGCTTAATCTTTTTTTCTGGACCTGTTGGATTTCTGTTTCTTATCAATCTTGGATTGTTTTTGGTTACCTTGAAATACTGCAACAAGGTTAAAAAAGAAATTTACCGAATGCAAAGTTCAAATAATGAAAAACCTGTGATGAAAAATAGATTTTTCATGGACAAAACCAGATTTGTAATGAATACCAAACTGTGCTTTGTAATGGGAATTACATGGCTTTTAGAATTAACCAGCATTATTTTCTATGATCACAAGAAGACATTTTTTTGGTCAATAAGTGATTCATTCAACGTCCTCTTGGGAGTTTTTGTCTTTTTTATTTTCGTATTTAAGAAACGAATATGGCAAGAGGTTATGCAAAAGTTGGGTGAGTATTATACATATGTACATAATACTACCTTAAAATTAGTTAAAGGCGGTGCAAAATGTATAATTTGGTTCCCTGCACCCGAACAGCGAAAGAATCTATGTATGTATGTAACATGGGTCAGAAGTAATTTTTCAGGTAGTACATACGATGTTCTACGTATAGTCATGTCCGTCTTCCCATTAATGTGTACATATAACCACAAAAGAAACGAATTTGTGTTGGAAATAACGTTAATCCCCTAATATACAAAAATATGATAGGTTCCTTAATTGGGCCACAAGTGGCGTCAAACGATGGACACACGCCCTTGGTGGTATTCAAGTCCCAGAGTCTTTCCATTTCATCTACTCCTGACGAGCTGAATTCCCTTTACTGCACATTTTGGAGCCTATTATTAGGCAGTCTTCCGTTCGTTGTCTTTATGCTACAATAAAGTTGGCGCCATTATCATAGTAAATTGTTATTACAGCTCCCCGTCGTGCATTAAATCGTTCAAGTGCCACAAAGAAGGCAATATTTGAGGTAGATAGAGTAGGTGGGGAAGCAAAAAAAATAAAACCAAAAATCATTGCCAAATAAAACATATTCCTAGTCTCCTACTCCCGCATTATATAATAAGCTTAATTGATTCTTAGCACACGGTATATACAATTGTTTCTGCTATAATAACACAACACATTCTCAGAAACAAATTAATGCTGTAATGTTTATTGCAGGCATTCGAAAAGGAACCCAAAGGCGACACAACACAAGTGCGACACGGACAACGCAAATAACAAATTCGGAATTAATCGCATCTGTAATTAATTCAAACCGCGTGGAAACTCAAAACTTGGTTACAAACTTCTGAGGCTTTACCTACTTAAATTCATATTCATATTGTACTCATTCAAGAAAATCTTGACCGTAGGGAGCTTTCATTTTCCTGGCATCTATTTTAATTCGAAAGCACGCACGCACATAACTTTTCACTATTTATGGTAATAATTATTGTTATTTTTTTAATATTTATAAACTCACCAATAACATTAAATGAGATTATATTAAATGCAAAACTAAATATATTTCGATTTGTGTTTTGGCGATGGCAACAATAGTTTAATTATTTAGTATAAAGATCGCTATGAACGTACGGGTGGACAGATGGGCAAAGATATATATGTATGTATGTACATATATATGTCTCCAGGCTTTAAATGTTAAAAAGCCCTTCAGTTTAAAGTGCATATAAAATTGCTGAAGTATGTGGAGATATTCTTCTTCCTCCTTCGGGTACAGAGTAAATAAAGTAAAGCGTTAAATTAAAACATTTGCTAAATAAGGATTGTACTAATGAATTAATTAAAATACTTTAAGAAATTTAATTGATATAATATCGTTATTATTGGGAATAAAACTATTCAATAATATACAGGATCATTATATTTGCCTTCGACTCTTGAATACACTGAAATAAACAATTAAAAAAACGTTAGTTAATATCGTTTGAAAGATTCTTAGTTTTCTTCCTCACTTCAAATTTACTTACATATATTTGCTTATCTGTTTTATATCGCACAATATTTCGTCCTGAGAGATATGAAGATCATCACGGTCAACTAAAAGACTCATCAATTTTTCATTGAGACTTTCTATATACGTTTGCAAATTTTCCACCAAAAATTTCAGTTGTTCTATATCCATTCCGGTGAGCATTTGCCTTGAAATCCATCTTCTGTTTGAATCCACTTTTATTCCAATTTGGCTAAGCATTAGGCGAATTGCTTCTATAATTGGTGAAATCGTTTGATTTTTTTTTTCGATCTGAAGAATAAAACCGCATATATTAACGTAGATATTTACTAAATTTCGCCAAATTCACCAATTTGGTGAAAACTGTATTGAAACAAACACTAAGATTGTTCTGCATGCTATACTATTTTAAAATATGTACTAAATTGAATGAAATATATACCTGCATTTTCATTTGCGCCACTTCCTTTGACTGTGCCAAGGCCATTCGAGCCTCTATTTGAAGCTTGGATTGCTTTGCGAAAAAATAGTTTTTCTGAAGATCATCGACGGCTGATGTGACTTTTTTGCAGCTTCCATTTCCCTGCCAAACTGTATCATTTTCTTTCGGAATAGATTGAAGGAAATGGATGGCTGAGAAATTAGCCTCTGCAGCGCGTGAAAGTTTTGGGCAAGTTTCGGAGTCTGAGCTGCAGCTTTCAGCATCTGACACTGCTTCGTTATTTGCTTCCATATCTGAAAGAATTGTCATTTCATTTGTATGATCAAAATAAAAATTAGGCGCAGCTGCAATTTATTAAATAAAAACTCTTACCATCCAAAACTTTATTCTTAATTTGTTCAGCTCCCATAAATCCGATATGGGCAGGTATAGCCTCCATTGCCAATCTTTTTCGTATTTCCTCTCGATCATATCGTCGCTGAAATGGAGAAAACAATTTTTTTTTAAACATAAGCATTTTTACTATCTTCATATATATTTATCTATAAGTATATAACGTACTTGTTTTTCAATTTTTTGCACCATTTTCAAATGGCTCTGCAAAGTCGTCAAATCAATGTCCTTCGAAACTTTATAAGCATCAAACTGGCCTTTAATCATAAAAAGAGATACATTTTACAAATCTCTAATCTTATTTTTAAGGTAACTAATGTAAATTTAAAATATTTGAGTTTTGAACAAATAAAAATACATTTAATCAATTATCTTCTTGCTTCACTCTAAACATTTTATTTACCAAGTGTCCTGGACGATGTAAGCTCAAGTGAACGTTTCATTGAGTCCTCTAAGTGGCGAGCCCAACATGACGTTTTAGTGTATCGGCTATTGCTTATTATCTGGTCCTTGTTATTCATGATTTTCTGATACTCTTCACGCTCTAAAATTCTATCGACATTTGCATTTAGTTGAGTGCTCCTCTTTCTTAAATTACATTTGTTTCTGTTTACCCTTGGAAGAGACGAATTCGTATTTTCAACTTTGGTTTTTTTAACGCAACGATGACTCAATTGACACTTTTTGTAGTCAATTATAACCGGCGGTAATTGTCTGTCATCATGTGAAAATTTTCGATATTTTGCTTTGTCCACTTCATGTGAAGTTTTTGTTTTAATGGAACTGTTTTTCTCTGTCGAATTAGAATAGCGGGATATTAGGTTGAGTCTCAAATTTTCGCTTGCATTTGAAAGGGCAGCATCGGTTATCTGAAAAATGTATAAATACTTATTTTCAATATAAAATTAATACTAATAATAATAAAAATAATTACTCACTATTATTACAATTGTACAAAAAAGAAAATGATTAGAGGAGCTTACCTTATAGAATTGCGTTTCGTTTTCTGATACTTTTTTATATCCCGGAAAAATTAAATCAAATTCACTTTCTATCTCTTGGCCAAAATCCCCAATTATATCAAGTGTACTGAGTCCCAAAAGTTGCTCATCTTTCGATTTTTTAACGGCGGATATCTGCGGGCAAATGTTTTTTAAGAAATCAGGTTCATTCCGGTTTTGTAGATCTTGGTCGTAGAGTTTTTCGCAACTTCTGAGAATATCAGGCCCCAAAAAGTAGTCGTTTTCTGACGAAGAGGGCTCTGTGTCCTTTTTCGTGTTACCATTTTCTAAGGTATCATTAATAGTATTAGTTTGTTTAACCATGTAGTTCGAGTTTTCGGTTTCACTTTCCATATCAAAATCTGAAGTGTCCATTTTACATAAATCAAACATAGAGCCATGGTCGTTCGAATTTTTCATACATAAGCTATGCTCTCTCGTTCCTTTGGGTTCAGCTAATGACCCAACGTGATTTCCTGTAAAATACCAGAAAGCTTATAATCGGATACATAATATCTATATAATAATCGAAAATATATATATGATATGTCTTGTTTCAACCGTGTTTATCAACATATTTCATATTTACCGAATGTTTGTAATGATTTGTCATCCATATGTATAGATAAATTATGGTTTAAGTCATTGCATAGACTATCCTCAAAACTATTAGACATGTCTAATGTATTCTTTCGACGGCAACAGTTTTCGAATACCTTAAATAAATTATTAATCAAGATAAATAAGTGTAAACGGCAAGATTTAAGAATAAAGGGCTTTTAATGTATTTAAATATTCAATCATATTTCCGATACAGCGCATAGGTAAAAAACTTTTATCATAAGAGCCCCTAATATATATAGTTTTTTATTCTATTAGAAGTAAGTAAATACTTACTTGTATTGTCTCACAATTAGAAACTATTGAGCTATTATAACTGTCATGGTTGCATCTTAAAGCTCGCTGAATAAACTGTTCCGCCGCCGAATGTTTAATGTTTTCAAAGGTCATTCCAGTATTTGTTTTTGCAGAAGGTATCTCGGGGATTCGCATACTTATGTTTTCTGCAAAGACAAATTTATAGTTCAATTGCAGTCTTTTCAAAATTATCTGTATGATAGGGTAATAGATGATAGATACTGATGCTATGCTTTCCATATAAGGAAGTATTGACACAGATAAATAGACACATGCTTGTGTTCAAATAAATCAAATATACATATAAGTTGCTTTGGTATTTTTGCAATTAATTAAATTTGGCATTCTTCGTTAGAGCCGCTATCAACCCATTGATAGCTAAAGTCACCAGCTGCCTTCACTTAATTATCGTGCATATGTATTTCAAGCTTTTGAAGAGCGCGTAGCAATGTCATGGATGTATGATAGCTACGCATAATTTTATTTATTATCTGCTTAGTATAATTAGTTAAAATAGCTCTAACTGCTGCAGATAATATAGACTATAGACAAATTTCCTTCGAATTCTATTTGGTCGCTATTTAAAATTGAGATAAAGGTAACAATATAGTATATCTATATATTTATATACCATATAAATAGCTGTAATGGGTGAGTTGCTATCTACCGGCACACCACCAAATTAAGCTCCATTCAACTAGACTAGATAATGTGCAGCTTGTTCATCAATTTTGGATGAAAGAATTCAATGAATTCAATGAATACCACAGTATAGTATAAGTATACAAATACACATAAGGATTATGTTGTTTTAGTCCAAAAGCTAACACGTAAAGCAAGGGAGTGGCGAAACCACGAACTATCCTTGCTTGTACTTAGAATAATGCACACTCCACGTTTATTCACTATCTCTTATATATACATACATTTCAGGAATCTTGCATTTATAAGGACGGGCAGGCCGACATGGTAACATAGACTAGCCTCATCGACTGGCCGTGTTGAATAAGAGTATAGAATTTGTGGGGGCTTTTGATTTACATTCATGCTTTAAATTACTCAATTTGGGAAACCCTTTCCGCATTTTCAAAATGTAATCCTCAAACTAGTTTCATGTTATTGATTTTTCACATCAACCGTAGTTAAATATATATGTACACCACATTTGTGAATTGAATTGCTTCAATTCAAATAGTTGTTCGGCAAAGCAATTGGTTGTGTAATAAATATTCCACATTTGAAAAATAATATAGTTTCATAAATTTGCTTACCTAGATTTTTAAAAATCTCTAAATATTCGCTTTAATAAGGTCGGTCTTCCGTGTTAAACCAAACAGGGCGTACAGCATAATAGTACTGCACCCCGCGCATGCTCATTACGGTTGGGTTTATCAAGAGTATTTAATAGTCACGAGCACCTACCCCCTTTGACATAATACTTATAATAGTAACAGCTGTAATTTCAAATATCATACAACAGGGACACGTTTTTTATTAAAATAAGGCAATGTCAGTTGAACTTAGCTAGCTGGTTCATTAAAATAAAACTTGTCGTATTAAACTGGGATAAACTGATTTGGTTTTTTTTTTATTAAATATACATACATATGTATATATATTTGAATCCATCCATATATATTCCAATTAATAAAATAATTTAAAAAAAATTGTATCCATACAAAACAGAAATCATGGCAGTATTAATGATGCTTTTATTGGCTAGCAGCAGATTATTCAAATCTCTTGAGTCGTCTAACGTCAACTTTTTGCCAATATTATTAAGTATCTTCTAGATGCTCTTACAAAAGGTACATTCAAGTCTTTGGATGACCCATACTTGCTGGAATCTACTCCATACTTATACCTACGAATTTTCTCTAAGTAACCGTTTCAAAAGTAAGCAGTGTTTGCCGAAAGCAAAATTGTAAAATGTGAAAGTTCATTTGGCTTATATGGGAATAAGCTATTGTTTAATTCATCGACAAATTTGAACGGTAAGTAACATTTGGGTAATTAACATACTTATGTACATTGTGCGATTGGAACCAAAGTCATTTGGCAAATGAAGCATATTAGAGCCCAAAAATGGATAAAATTGACAATTGAGAAGCAATTTCTTCATTCAGAATGTATTACTAAAATGTCACAAATGCATGCCAATATTTTTAAATTTATTTGAATTCAGTTTTAAATATTCAAACAGAGTTCATGCAAAGCAGTAGCAACAATATTATCTAATTTCTTAATTGTATTCTAAATTTAAATTTCGTTGTATTTCAGATTTAACCGAGGAAATATATGCTTGTTTTGTTAAATTTTTTACAAATTTTAACAGCGTTGCAAATATCATCAATAATTTAATATTTTGACGAGCCTGCAAGATCAATAAAATGTGCTATAAAACAATAATCTTTTTAATTAATAGTGTTCAGGTAAGGTATTACTCAAGTACATAATAAAATAGTATATATGTGTACGTTTCCCAAATAAGTCCGGGCTTAAACAAACGATTTTCAAATTGACAAACTTACCAAACAAATATTCAATTTACCATTAAATACTAACGGTATCCCAAATAAATAAACAACGCTTCAAAATTCTCAAATAATTTATTTGAGCACGACTAATTAATACATATTAAGAGCAAGAGAACTTACTAAAGAGACCTCTCATACGTATTAGACTGGCTTTTAATACCCTATTTATGAAATAGTTCTACTATGTGACTTCCACATGGAAACATGGAATATAATAAATTATTCAAATTATTGTTATTTTTTTTAAAGATTATAAGTGTATGGCGGGAGCGAGACTATAAATCTAATTAACCAAAAAAAGTCTTCAATTAATAATATTATTTTCACATTGTTAAATAATTGTCGAAAATGTTTTGCGAAATGATTGTGTTAAATGTGGAGCGCATCTTTATTAACATATTGTAAGTATATATTACCAATTTATTTATGTAGGCAGATTTATTATTAATAAGTTTATTTCATATAATAGTATTTATTTTTTTGAATAAGCTTAAAAGTGGGGTGCGGGTACCTCTAGCAGACTCTTCATTCTGAGCACAGCGGGTAGGTGAAAAATTACAGTCTATTATTGTGATCATAAATAATTATCAAAGTAAGACCTCAAGTCTACTACATGTTCAGAGTAATGGCATGTGTTATCATGGTTTAATCAGTATCATCACTGAGCTCCATCATTTAAAAAGTGTCGAAAGCATTTTGTCAAAATAATTGTGTTAAAAAGTAGAACGCATCTTAGCAAACATTTAATCATTTTATTTTTGTTATTTGAAGTAAACACAGATTCAACCAATTCTTTGGTAAGTGATTTAATTTGTGCACAAAAAGTTATACATGCGGAAATATTGAATTGAAAATTATACGAGTATATACCTATAGAATCTGCGCCACAGCAGAAGGTCAAGAGATTAGAATTATAAAAATATATATACGTGTATATATATTATGAATTATCAATGAATTGCCAACAATCCCACAAATAATAAGTGGACAAAAATTTAATATTTGTCGACGCCACAACAAAAATAAAATAAATTAAAATAATTCGAAAAATAATAAGCATTTATGAGTATTACCTTAACATAACATTACAGTTTTATACTCATCATCAACACATAACTACTAGCCGGTGATTTGAGACAAAATTAAATTGCTATACACAAACTTAATAACAACACGTATCGACTAAATCAACAAACTTTCAGTACAAAAACGTTTACAGCACTTCCGGAGGCGTGCACCAAATATTCGTCTTTCGGAAATCCTTTCAATTTAACGCTTGTACACTAAATGGCAACATATAATTAGATCCACTCACATATACAAAATTAGTTTTAACAAAGCTTGGTTTCATGTATATATTTATTTTATTTTAAATATTGAAGTAGAGTCAATACAAATCATTGCAAATGTTGTTTTTATATGAGAATTGAAAACTTTAATTTCTTAATTCTTAATTCTAGAGGCCCTCCCAACGTCCACCAAGTGAAGGTGAACGAGTTACGTTGCAAAAAACATCAGAATTTTGGACAACGAAGATGGTTGTGGATTTTTTTGCTGGTCTAGTTGGAGGTAAATTTTATTTACAAACAAATAATTGTTCATACAGGGTCTTCAACTGGTCGGTTTTAGCATTATTCGTGTTTGATTTTGCATACAAACTTCCAAATCTGTCTCGGCTTTGTTTGTTTGTATTTTCTGCAAAAATCCTTACAGGCAAATATCTTTCCAGACCAAATAGATGCATTTTAATTATATAAATACAGCTTTATAATAACGAGCTGAATACCTAAAAAGAAAAGAAATTTATCATTTTCGTTTACATAGAATTTCAAACTCGAATAAATTTTCTGTAATTTCTTTTTCAGGTGCCGCCGGAGTCCTTGTTGGACACCCCTTAGATACAGTAAAAGTACACTTACAAACAGACGACCCCAAAAATCCTAAATACAGAGGAACATTTCACTGCTTTAAAACAATATTGATGAAAGATGATATTCGTGGACTATATCGTGGAATAAGTAGTCCAATGTCTGGTATTGGCTTAGTCAATGCTATAGTTTTTGGTGTCTATGGAAACGTGCAACGATTATCAGACGAGCCCAATTCCTTGCTGTCTCATTTTTGGGCAGGTTCTCTCGCTGGAGTAGCACAGAGCTTTGTATGTGCTCCAATGGAACTGGCTAAGACTCGCCTTCAATTGGCGAACAATATTGACACGGGAGTTAAATTCAAAGGACCAATTGATTGTCTTCGTCATATTATACGTACAGATGGCATAAGAGGTGCATTTAAGGGGTTAGTGGCTACAATATTCAGAGATATTCCAGGCAAGTTTATTACATTTTTGAATTAAAATTGTAGTTGTAATATTTTTCTAAAGGATTTTCCAGCTACTTCGTTTCTTATGAGTTTATAATTCGGATGAGAGAAAAACCAAACATCCCATATACTCTTATGGCAGGTGGATGTGCTGGAATGGCCTCATGGCTGGCTTGCTATCCTATCGATGTTGTTAAGACCCATATGCAAGCTGATGCCTTAGGGTCAAGTGCTAAGTACAATGGATTTATTGACTGCTCAATAAAAGGTTATAAAAAAGAAGGAGTATACTTTTTCTTTCGAGGACTTAATTCTACATTAATTAGAGCTTTTCCGATGAATGCTGCTTGTTTCTTTGTGGTTTCTTGGATACTGGACTTTTTTAACAAAAACGGAATTGATATGGTCGTCAATTCTAACCAGCAGCTTAATATTGTAAATTTGGAAAATAAACAACTCACCGATCCCACGGATGATGAAATAGTACGTGAAATAATTACAGATGGCGCTTTAGAATTTCCGTTACTGCGATCACATGACATATAATCAAAATCAAATGATGCTTTGTCATAAATTTGTTTCTTTAAAAATAATTTATCAAATGTTCAATTGAAATTTGAAAAGAGCCCACAATAAAACTATATTATTTTATAGTCTATAATAAAAAAGAGCCAATGTACAATAATTATAAAATATATGGAATACGTTTTTATTTCCTTTTTTGAGTCTAATAGTTACATTTAAGGTATGAGTTGCGCAGCTTTTGTAGCTTTAAACTACAACCAGAGCTCATAAAGAAAGCTCAATGCGCCACTTATTCTGTACATATAAAGCGAAGTGATCGTCAGAAACTCATATTCGCTGACCAAGAATGCAGACAACATGGCCACCCTTCATCGGTTGCTGTGAACAGTGGACCGTATGAGCGTAACTGTCAAGTCAAGATTGAACGGATACGATCAAAGGACCGCTTGAACTCAGCTTTAAAACTGGGATTAGAAACAGATATATTAGTCTAGTTATACTGATTAATTATGTCCCTTTTATAAATGAAACTACCAGAATTGTTCTCAAAAAGGCACATACATACATATGTATGGAGCTGCCACTTATTTATTTTATGTACCATGCGAGTAAGGTAGCACTAAAAATGCTCAATTGTACTACATGCAGGAATACCCACAATGAAAATCGTATAGTTCGTGCAGCCTTTGTGCTACGACCTCGAATTATCCGAGTCAATTCAATAACTACACAGTTCTTAATTTTATATTTTTTGTTTAAAATAAGTATTTTCATTAATGGTAGTTTTCTTGGCGTTTTTTTTTTATTTGTATTTACGGAATGTGCGTTTAATTTAAAAACATACTATCGAATTTATCGAAAGCAATCCAAAAACTCAGCACTGGTATGACGCACGAGCAGAACAAAGATGGCGTTCCCGATGGTCACACGAACGAAGCCAGAGCAATATTAAACGAATACTTTTATGTTAAAAATTTGTGCAACGTTGTGAAGAACGTTCTGTTCGCGTATTGGCAATGAATAATAATACCGGACAGAGTGAAAAAACAAACTTCAAATACCTATATCGAAGTTGAATGAAAATTATTCATACATACATACATAAGTGCATAGTGCTTGTCGTGGTCGAACAATTTAGATATGATCCACACCTTTTGCGATTAAAAGAAAGTAGTGGTTAGTAATAATGCGACTATATTGCCAGTTTAGAATGTATTTATTTCAACTAATACAATTTTTGTAGGTTGTGCCCCATCGTCAGCAACAAGGAAAAAGCAACAGCATAAACAATTCGCATTTCAATCACTTATTTTCTGTGAAGTAAGTACATACAGTATGTATGTGTGTATATATATACCTATGTATGTATGTACATGCATATGTATGTTTTTCCCTACGCACGTACCCTTATTTTTCTTTGTATTTACAAACTAATACAATTTATGCTTTTTATTTATAATCGGTAAAAGAGGGAATAATATACAAAAAAATACTTTTTTTAATAGTGGTTGATAAATATTGCAGTTGTATTGTGTTTAGTTTGATAGTGGTAACCCATGAGTGGTGGACCTCAAAAAGTTGGCTATTCTTGATATAGAAATGCCTGTCTTTTTTTGTAGACTGTGCTCAAGTCACGAACTGCAGAGACTTATTTCTGCAAGTAGCCGGATCAGAATTGCTCTAGAAACACTATCGGTCGATTTGGTAAAAAAAAAAGTCAAATAAAAATGCAATATTGATATTTTATGTTACATTTACATCAATTTGTACCAAACTCTTAGTCCGATCGAACTATTATAACATAGCTGCTGTCAAACGATATTCTTTAAAAAGAAGCATTTGAAAGAACGTGCAAACGCTTCCTTATGCCAATTCGTACTTAGTTATTACATTACCATCATTGTTACTGAGATAACTTACTAGATTGTCTATCGTGCAGGTTACGGAAAGTATATCTATTTTGTCTTTATTTTAGACCACCTAGCCACTTCCTTATTCTTTTCGGGACCCAGCCCGCGGACCCCAAAGCTAACTTAGGAAATTGTTTATCATATTAGCAATAATTACATTCGATACTGAATACCTTCACAGCTTTTCTTATGAAACAAGTGAAGATATGGTGCTAAAGGCAGTAATGTGGTAATGTAAAGTTTTACATACGTCTATTAATAGAGATTTATTACTCGTATGACAATAGTTTTTTGAATTCAATTTATGTATGGTTATCTTTGACTCTTACAATTTATGAGTGTCTTAGTTGGTATGTGTTTAAATTAATCAATAAAATGTTTTTGTTGCAGATCTAACCTGCATAAAGTCCTGCAAATATGGCGACCAGTGATGATGAGCCGATGCACTTGTATGAAGTGTTTCAGAATTGTTTCAATAAAATAGCAAACAAACAAACTACGGGTGCAGTAGGAACTGAACGTAGTGGCGGATACAGTTCATCATATGGAGGTCTTGGGGTAGAAAATGGAATTTATCCAACTGATTTTAATTCCATTCATGAAGGAAACGGCAACAATAATCGATTTGCAAATACATCAACGGTCGATCAGTATTTTGATTCTGCTGCGTCTGGTAGCACTGGATGGTATCAATCGCAAATGGGAAGCGGCGCCAGTTACATGGGCCAAGCTACGTATCAAAACAGCACTCCAATACCATCTCATGCTATGGACCCCCAGCAAGTTCATACCGCTGATGGACTGCCGCCTGGAACGCATATTGGAATGCAACTTAGTAGCGAAAGTAATCATGTCGCCATGATAAGTCCGGTGTCAACGTCTCTTCCACCTATGAGTTCATTCAGAGGTAGTGGTGGCAATTTACCGAGCATCGGTGGCCAAGGGCCATCATCAACGGTGAACTCTTCAGCTATTTATAACCCACCCCAAGGACATAATCAAACCACAGTACAATCACAGCATAATGCACTATCGACGGCTGGGCCGCATGGTCACCATTCTCTTAACCATACCACGCTTCCTCATGCTCATTCCCATCACAGTCAGCAACAGAGTCCTGCTGTGCAGAATACGGATGCCTTTGGTGGAATAAGTGTTGGCGCCGGTGTGAAAGTGGCAGGATCTAGTAATCCTTCGGCCACAATACTGCGCCAGCAAATGTACATGACGACTAGTGCAACTGATCAAAGTATTAGTAGCTTTAGCTCAAACCCCTCAACGCCCGTTAATTCCCCACCGCCGTTAACTCAAACAGGAATTGGGGATGCAGCTGTTTCTGCAGGTGGAGGTTGGGGTCAAAGCGTGTTAAATGGTAGTGCCACTTCAAACTACGCAACCGATTTGGTGCCTGTATCTAGTTTACATGCTATGGCCTCTGTTTATCAGGGAACTCGCATGGAGGAACGCTTAGATGATGCTCTGAATGTGCTTAGAAATCATTGTGAGCCAGAAATATTGGCAAACGTTAACTCATCTCTCACATCAATGGACAATATTGACACGTTATCTTCCTTTGTGCCGAATTCGCCTTCATCAAATTTAATAAGTTCTGCAGGAAGCAGTGCGGCACCTGTGGCAACGTCATCTAATACACTTGCGCATGACGTTCTATCAATGGGTACATCTGGTACCCCTGTCCAAGCAGTCGGTAATGCAGGTTTGCCGACTATAAAAATGGAACGAAATGCATCTACTTCAACAACTTCAGTAAAGCAAACTAAGAAACGGAAAGATCACACGACTGTCAGTGGTGTTGCACCAGCAGGGATATCCACAACTTCATCACTGGCTAACTTAGATAATGCAGATACAAAACCCACAAGCTCAGTAGAATCTTCAAATGCCAACCAACTGCAACAACTACCGCAGGGCGCCAAGGCTGTAAAACGACCACGCCGCTATTGCTCCTCTGCAGATGACGATGATGATGCCGAACCAGCGGTTAAAGCGATTCGTGAAAAGGAACGACGCCAGGCTAACAACGCCCGTGAACGCATTCGAATTCGTGATATTAATGAAGCGTTGAAAGAACTGGGTCGTATGTGCATGACCCATCTAAAATCGGATAAACCCCAAACTAAATTGGGCATCCTTAATATGGCTGTTGAGGTAATTATGACCCTAGAGCAGCAGGTGCGTGAAAGAAACCTAAATCCAAAGGCTGCATGCTTAAAACGGCGGGAAGAAGAAAAAGCGGAAGATGGACCAAAACTAAATGTTCAACATCACATGATACCGCAGCCGCCAGCAGGAGTTGCTAGCTCTTACCACAATCAACCTGCACAAATTATACAGCCGCAGGTCATAAGTAACATTTCTTTGCCAGCTAGCCAGAGCAGTAACACATTGCCACCGCACTTGCAGCAGCAACAACACCACCTCGGACACTCTCAACACCCACAATAGCATGCACATTGCAGCGGCCCAAAATCGCCCCTATCTTCCATAACAACTCAAATTAGGCAAGACTCTAAAAAGTACTCATCGACCTATGGGCTCGAGCATCAGCTGTTAACCAATTTTTTCAGGCGTTGTCACTCGCAACCAAACCTTCAGGCAACGTCGTTGCGCAGTACACACCAGCAACACCAGTTCTAATGCGTTGCCCGGCTCTCAATCCGATATCTTAGTATTTTAAAATGTATGGAAAATTAATTTCCAATAGCAATTGTACATAACCGTTTAATCAAATTTACTCCTGCCCTTCGCGACCATGGAGGAGAGGTTATATTTTAAGATTTGCTTTAGATTTTTATGAATATTTGAGGATTTGAAGTCGTTGAAAATCACAATAGCCATATTATAAAATATGTAATAATTATATGTAAGTAGTTTTATTTTCAAAAGGAAACATTCATATTCACGTAAATGTATTCTCTATTTTAATGATATATATATTTATATATGTATATATATATATATATATATATATATATATATATATATATATATATATATATATATATATATATATATATATATATTATATATTTATATATATCTGATTTTATATTACCTATCTGTTGTCACGGTTATTAATTATATAATATTTTACGATACAATGAAATTCAGATAACACGATAGCTATTATTTTATTGCCGGCAATGTAGGTTTTTCGCATTGCATTTAAACTTTGATTAATGCGCGTCAGGATTTGTGTAAGGGCAGTAAAATCTCGTTATTGTGGTTATCTACTAAGAGCTTCGATTGTACATAAAAAAAAGTATGATGATTTTAGCGCTCTTGCATGTTTGGTAATTCCTTAGAAATGAAAACATTGGTTCTGATTTCGTTGACTACATATTATTGAATACTATTTTTCGAAACCGCTCAATACCTTTTCTTTTTATTCATTTTTTTTAATTTAGCGATATTTTACTTGCCAGTACAGATTTCTGTTTCAGTAGTGCGTTTTTAAGTGCAAACATTTTAAAAATACTTTTCCATTACCATATGTTATAGATATATGTATATCATAGCACATAATGGTTGCCACGTCGTTAACTTTATATATTCATATGTATATATAAAAGACGCGGACAGCTGTAGCGGCACATGTAAAAAAAAGCGAAAAATACATATATATGTATGTTTTAATTATACGATATTATACGACATCTTGTTATTATTCTGTTGCAAGTTTACCCTCCCGGAGGCTAAGGATAATTTGTAAGGCCAACTTAAGCAGGGACGGGAGACCAGTTCAGATGCGTTTGAAAATGAATTGAGAGATGCTTACAATTGTCTGTTACTGCGGTAATGACTGGGCTCCGCACACGTGTGTTGAAAAAACTGAAACATAGCGCAGCTCATTATTTCCAATGCATTTCAGCGGGAGCTCTTAGATAGTGTCCCAAATGGCATTGGAGTTATTCGCCTGCAGCGTGTTACAATAATGTCCCTCAGTTCGCGGGTCTCCTCAACGGATAGAAATAATAATGTTGGTTTTCAACTATCTTAAATTTTGAGTAAAACAGCTTTTTCGTTAATTTTATTAATAGTCTAATACAATACATACATACATATGTGGTCTTAACGTTATTCGTACTTTCTTGGGTCACAGAAGAGAAGTCATTCAAAACAAACTTCTATGTCGTCTTTTCGATGCACTCTACAACTTTAAAAGCTTTGAAAATGCACCGGGGAATTATTTACCCATAGAAAGCATAGAAGTTTTGTGAAAACTGCCTGTTGCTGCAATCTTTCATTGAGGACACGTCAAATCAGTGGAATAGTCACACATAAGAAGTAAATACGTTAGCTGCGGAGTGGTGCACCTCATCGCTCCTATACGCCGATTTGGAATCGGTAACATTATAACGCGACAGCTTTGTAAAAAAGGGATCAGTTGAATTCCTGTGTTCTGCATGAATCGCATTGGGCCTCGTAATGTTATTTATTTATTGCCGTTACAGCTTTATACTAAGTTAATAAAATTGATTAATTATGCAAAATTCTGAAATGAGTTTAATAAAAATTAATTTTAAAAGTTTGTAAGGACACCAATTTTCATAAATACTAATGGTATTCCAAATCTACATCAGTGGAGGAATAGTACATACTTGCAGCGTGAAACGAATCCGTTATTTACTCCATTATAACACAAGCACCAAATAGGGATTAATGGTTTCATATCATCAATAATTTATAAAATTTCTAGTCTTATACATTTACCGACTATACACAAAAACCATATTTGGATACGTGAATGCTTTACAATTTATATTTGGGTTTTTTAATTTGTGGCTAATTTAAATTGTTAAATTACAAATATGCAACTTTGCAGGAATACCACTAAGATGTTGTGGAGAAATGCAGTTAATGGAAAGAAACCCATCGATAGTATCTTGGGTGTTATCGATATTTTTGCACCTCTAATGAGTTGGGTTTACGTTCTATGCATACATGTGAGATAAAGGTCTCTGAAACACAGTTTTTAAATTTAACCCATTTGGTACGTTTAGGCAAGCTTCATAAATCAGAGTATAATATTTGAAAAATGGAACCGAAAGATGAGGAAATCATGAAACAGCAACGTGAAATAGAAAAAGAGGTGCGTATGAGTTTCATTTTAATAATTCGCTGACTTACATACATATGTATATACATACATACATACATATATCATTACAAATTACCATTGCTTTAGGTTTGTGATTCGACACCTTTGGTCAGTGAAAAAATATCCCTATCATGTTTAAGAACAGAATATATGGGCGACGACGTGTTTAGCGCTAAGATTCAAGATCTTTTGAAGAAGTATAAGTTCATCAGACGCACTCGTCCCGACGGCAATTGCTTCTTTAGAGCCTTTGCATATTCATATTTGGAATATTTGATTACGAATTATACTGCTTATCAAGAGTTTCGAAAACTAGCGGAATCATCTAAAGATAAACTTGTAGAGCTTGGTTTTCCGAGGTTCACGTTGGAAGATTTTCATGAAACTGTAAGTCCGTCCCGTCATTTTATATTAATCAAGATTATATTTATTTTGTTTTAAAATAGTTTATGGAAGTTATTAAGCGCGTAGATCCAGATTGTACTGGAGCTGAAGGATCTGAAAAGCTTCAAAATGAGCTACACCAAATATTTAATGAGCAGGGTTATTCTGATTATGTGGTGGTTTACCTGCGCCTTATAACGTCGGGAAAACTACAAGAAGAGGCGGAATTTTATCAAAACTTTATTGAAGGAAGCTTTACTATAGAAGAGTTCCGTCACCAAGAAGTTGAACCTATGTATAAGGAATCGGACCACATCCACATTATAGCATTATGTACAGCTATAGGGGCAGGAGTACGTGTTGAATATCTGGACAGAGGCGAAGGTAGTACCGTTAAGGCGCACGATTTCCCTGAAGGTTCGGAGCCAAAAGTTTATCTTATTTATAGACCAGGTCATTACGACATATTGTATCCTAACTGAATTAGGACCTTATAATTAAGTGACGAAAATCGTCCTTGCTATATTTTCATAGCCGAGTACGTAAATATGTATTTTAATACAAAAATATATTCTATTAAAAGGTATCTTTATATTATTCATTTTAGTTGATTAACATAATCTGTATATCTATAGTATTGATTGTACTGAATGACTAACTGACTGACTGATAAATACACAACCTTATAAGCTAGAATGTTCAATTTAGACACATAATTCCTTCTATGAAGGATGTGAGCATTTAGAAGTGGGTTTTTTGGAAAAATCAAACCGCTAGTGGGTAGAAACTGCGGTCAAATATAATTTGTTTAAAATAAATAAAAATGTCAAATACGAAAATGTCTTCTACTGGTGAGTTTTGTTGTAGAAAAACAGTGAAATAGAATATTCAAAAACGCCGGCTAATATTAATATGAATACATTCCAGAAAAAGCGTTTAGGATAATAGTGGATGGTGTTGATTTAGGTTGTAACTAAGCAGCGTCGCATTTGGTTCCCTTGAATTGATAAATACGAGCATAAATACATAGGTATTTTACTTTTAGTTTCTGAAATATAACCCATTAAATATATTAATACTAATTTATAATAAAAAGACCAACATGTCTAGATCAGCTTGTGTTATACTTTAAAGCGTCCATAGAAACTATCGGGTTATTTTGTAATAACTGTTGGTTTTTGAAACGATCTCTATTTAATTTTATATTTGGTTTAATAAATTGTTACAATATAAACATCCGTTTGGACCATATCGGAATAGATCAAATAACTGTTAAAGATCAAGTTATAAGCCCAATTTAATTGGAATATTTTTCTTTTTTTTGTTATTGAACAATGTTTTTGCTTTCTCGGGTCGCTGACCAACTCGACCTAAAGTTATCTCAAAGAAAGCCCCTTAAAAATTGGATGAAATAATCAATTTTACGCCAAAGTGGTACATATGTATGTGTGTGTGTATTACATAATTTTTATAATTGTATAAACATTTCGTAAAGAACTACATTTTTTCGTAGGGCTTTTCCAATTGTTTAGGTCCATAAAGCAGGACGTAAGCACAATGCCAATCTCCACCACCAGAAAGTCGTAGAATTTCATCAGTAGTTACAGATGTCACATCGTCGTCGTCAAATTTAAACCATACATCACCATTGGACCGTACCCAAGCAACATAATGCCCGGACGAACTTGACCGACCCTTGTGGGTCAACACAGCTTTCAGAGTATAGTAGCCAGAATTGTTGCTTCCCATATCATCATCAAACCAGAATTGTTCATATTTATCAGCGTTTTCATCCTTGACTTCCTCATAAGTAGTTATTTTATTTAATTTCGTATCAACGTCCATTTTTTTATCTTCAAATTCTTTGAACTTTTCACGCATTGGGCACAACTTCTTTTGCAACTCAGGCGTACACAATTCAAAGGCATCAAAATCAATTGGAAACTTAATATCTTTCAAAACTTTAGCATTAATACCTTCCTTCCCTTTGAATTGAAAACGCACAAATTGAACTGTTAGATAAGCGGGAAGTCTACTGACTAGATACTGAAATAAAGAAATATTTAAATGAAATTACAAAATACAAGTTACAATTTCTCACAGTTCTGGTATATTGTGCATCTCGTCCTAAAGTTTTAGAATTCTTTACCAACTGTTCCTTCATTTTCTAAGATTACAATATATATGTTTATTAATTCAAAATAATAGGTCATTTTACATACCGATTTCAAGCCACTTTGCATATACTTAACTTCTGTTGATATAAAACAGCTGAGCTGCAAAAATGGCTCTGATGTGACGGTGGCCTCTTCATCAGGTGCTTCGTCCGAACACATTTTTACTTCAAATGTTCCGCCAAAAAATTGTTGAATAAAAGAACTTTAAACAAACGTGCAACAAAAACAGCATTAAAAGTGGATTTGAATATTATAATACATACCTGTGCGAAGCTTTCTGAGTAACATTGTTTAAAGGGGTCAGTGGCTGCAGTTTTTGCTGCAACATTTTCAAAATCTCTGACCAACACTCGTTGGCATCCTGTTGTCTATATGTGCCATTCTCTCCTGTCTGAGCAAATTGTGGTGATGCTCGATGTAAGGCCTGCAACAGGACAATTGGCGTAATACAAGTACCCTTTTCCATTTGAGCGAATATGATTCTCATTGCAGAGGAGATAGCAAGAGCTGACGACGCAGAGGCAGATCCGTCATCCCGAAAGTTATCCAGTGCTTTTCGAAGCTCAGGAACCGCCCTTAAACATTGGACAGTAGCGTTCATATAGCACGTGTTTCCAAGATTTGTTAACCCCGCTGGCATTTGCATCTAAAAATTGTCCGTTTAATCTAGTTGAGTTTTCGAAGCGCTTTAGTTTTGTATTCACTTACTGCAGCAGAAGCTTCCATCTCGTTCATATCCTCAATGAATTTGACTGGCATTGTAGGCACTTCCGGCACTTTTTCCTTACTACCCAACATCAAAACTATAGCCCCCTGCAACCAAATGGATTACTACATCTTAAGCCTTTAAAATTAAAGCTTTAGAAACATACATTTTTAAGCTCTAAATTCCACTCCTCATCCTTCAATATACCGCCTTTACACATAATTTTTTGGCGCTCCGGCTCAACCCCTGTGAGCGCAAATAGTTGCGCTTTAAATAATATTGGATTTTCATCCGTATTCACATCGATGTCCGGATAAACTTCGCGGCCCCATTTTACTTTTACTGTAATCAAAATAAACAGCTTTATTTACGTTGAAAATGTAATATTTAGAAACAAACCTTTAAAATTCGGCATACCAAGATTGAAAACTAAATACTACCTTCTATACAAAAGTTCAAAGTCATACTAGCGGTGGGAAAAAGTAATAAGCTACAAAATATCGATATCTTAAAATTCATTCATTTTATTTGAATGTTTGTAGAAACGATTTTACAATGTTTCCACTAATAGCATTATGTAAATCTCAATGAGGGCTGATGGATGTTTAGTTATTTGTAAAGGGTAACAATCAATAAAATAGTTATTCGATCTTTATTTGTATGAAGAAACAATCAATAATAATTATCAGATGTGAAACAGTCTTATGAAATTTTATTGTTTGTGACACCTAAGCCTTAAACCTAATTGCATTGTGTATTATAAGTAATTATTTTTAAGAAATAGCCCCCACCTTTTTTGCTTCACATGTATTTTTTGAATATATAAAACATACAAAGCCATCCACGAATTGATAGAAACTACAGTAATAGTCATTTATCGATTGCAAAGTCATGGCTTGCAATCGCACAAAATGACAAAATTGAGGAAAAACTGGTTAGAGCATTTGGTCTGTACACTTTTTGACAACAAAACTCACTCGATATTTCTTGTGTAAATTTGGACTGCCGTATTAAATAATCGCGGTATCGAATATTTACCAGCTGTACGCAGGTATTTTAAAACAAGTGGGTAAATCCGAAACTGATTGAGCCAATTATCGGTGTATTTTATTTCTTTACCAGCACATTTTTAATCTCTGTACCTGAAAGGTACAAGAGTATGTTAAGTTTGTGCAGAGTGAAAATGTAACAGGCAGAAACCGGCAGGGTCGCCGACCCCCAAAGTAACGTATGTATGTAGGTATATTCTTAATCAGCATGACAATATAGTCAATGTAGCCCTGTCTGTCTGACCGTATTAACGCCTACATACATACATACAGGGTGCGCCATCTTTTATGTCGGTATGTAAACATACATATGCATAAGCTATTTTTTAAATGAATCGTGCATTATTTAATCAAAATTTTAATTTTTTCGCCCCCCCTTTGGTAAAAGCTGCCTACGCCCTTGTAGTATTATATGTACATTAATATATGAATCACGGATATACGGATATACTTTGTATATCCTTAGAAATAAGTATGATATACATGGATACATGGATGTGAATGCCTTAGAAATTGATTTGTGCCAGGTAGTTAGCAAATGAATGATGCATACATACTTATCTTCATTAAAACAACATGAAAACAATTTATTTTATATGAATAAATTTGAATTTTTATAAAACTTTTTTTCGGTTTACCGATTACATAAGGAAATGTGGCAGGTTATTTATTAATTTAACCAAATATATTCATATATTTATACTCGCTATACAGTTTATTTATGTTAGTTTCCGTAGAAGTAGTGATAATACCAATAAATATTATAAAGTAGGACTACGTTTTAATTTACCAACTATTTCCAAGAAGATACTGTATCATGGTGACTAATTTTGCTTTCATTTACATCAATGATACATACAGCTCTATATAAGTTTAAGTGAATAGTTTTTTAAAAACTATTTTGAGTAAAATTAGACTGAAAGGTGATAGGCGAGACTTTCGTTGGTTACAATAAGTAATTGGTTGTGTATGATTTTTAAAATATTTTCTGTTGACAAACAAGATAAATTACATATATATTTTTGGGATCCAAGTATCTGCAACAAGTTTGCATATTTATATAATTGCTTAATTCTGGTCCGGTATAAGCTCTGATGCCCAAACATCTTGAGGCCATCCTGTACGCCCCTTCGCAGCTATGTAAATGTTCTGTAACAACAATGCACGAGTTAGTGGTGGGTTTTGGCTTTAATTCTATTTATGAAAACATACATTGATACCGCATAAAATTGGGGCGGCTTTACAAAGAGATAAACAAGACAAGCGAAAACACTTGACTCTAAGCATACATACAGACAATGTACATACATACATATACAGCTGCGTTGTTTGGACTATTGTGCGCAATATTTGTATTGTACTTGTTGTATGTATGTATATGTATATCTGTATGTTCATTTGTGTGAATGAACGAATATATTTAAGAACATACAGATTTGAAAATGTATCCAAAAGTGCAGCTGGCTGAGTCCATAAACGATACATAAATATATGTATGCTTGTAGTATGAATAGATACAGACATTTGCTATGTATGTATGTAAGTAACCACAAATACAGTTTATTATTTTGTGATGTAGCATGACCATGAATTACCGCAGACACTCGCCACTTTAATTGATAATCCATGCCTTTTCTCCCCTAACAAAGACAAAAAACATTTAGTTAATTGGCAATGTGGCAACATTTTAATGTACATGCACCAAAGTAGTGGTTAGGGGGAAGCAAAAGCTAAATTGATGCTCATTTCGAATTATATTCATATAATAATATCACAGGCAAATTTTCTTAACCCAGCAGCGATATCGATGCCATGCTATCAAGTTAAATTTGATTTAAAATACCCCCTCAACTAAATCGAAATTAAAGCCATGCACGATTAACATATACATAGTATACATAGTATATAAAAATACGAACATTTATTTCATTTTCCAAGGCATGCTTCCTTCCCGCACAGGTTTTGCGATGCAAATTTTTAAGTTCTGCGCGAAATCCACTTTTCGGATCCAAATCGCCATCAAGTACATCTACCAAATAATTGATGTACAAAATTGCCAATCTTAATGTTTTTATCTAAAATAGGAAAACGGAACAACATACATATTAGCATATATACATACGTACCTTTGCTAAAAAGGTATTGTGATTTAAAATTACCTACAATACAATTGTGGGCACATTTAGATATCTTTGTTTATAAGAGCTAGAGAAATTTAAAGCATACACTTGCTTAAAATTGGGCTAAAAATCCGTCGGTGTCGTGCATGTTCGAGAGGTGTTATGTTTATATAATAGAAAAGGCGCAAAACAAAAGATTGTTGGTTCGTGTTTAAAAGAAACAAAAACCCTGCTCCTTTGTGAAGAAGATTGTAACACACGCTGGCATGTATTTCAGCGCTCTCCTATGTATAGTACATACTTTAGTATATATGGAAATGGCTTCATTTTATAAACAATTTTTCCGTTTCTTATTAGGCTCACTCTCACAAAATGTGTGTAGAAAATGCTTATACACATACGTATTTACATTGCTTTCTAGTTATGTTTGGATAAAACAGCGATTTGACAAAAAAAAACTACTTCTAGCAATAAAAGTGACTAAACACCTTTTACTTTTAGTTTAGTTGCAATTTAGGTGTGTATACGGAGTACATATATAGATATGTTATTGTAATTTGTTATATTCATGCATGTACTTAAGTAACATGGTGTATACAATTAATTGTTTTGATACAAAATGTGTATCGAAAACTTTGTGATTGCAGTCTTCCCACTGCCACAAGGTCTTTAACCCTGGCAAGATGGTAATATACATAGCTAAGTTCATATATATGTTTAATTTAGTAATTAAAGGTTAGGAGAGTTTTGAGTTTAGAGTTGTCAAAAATACATAGAGTTTTGTTTTTAATCAAGGCTGAATTTGGCGGATTGCTCTGCCTGAAGAGGCATCGCCCGGGGTTATTTTCAGATCTCAGAGTCTCCGTTCGATATGATCTTAACCATTTTCTAATCTGTTGTTGGGACTTGTATATACCGCTAACTGAGCAATTATACACCTCTTTCCCACAGAAAAACTTCAGGGGAATGCGTTTATATTTGTTTTGCTTTTAACGCCGGCATTTCATTGGTGACAATTCATAGCGCCTATGTTCATGTGATTAAAATATTTCATATTGCAGTTCTGACTGACATCGGTGAAAGCGTGAACCAAATACTTTTCGTTCAGAAAAAACCTGTACATTTTTAGGGTGCCGTAGTGTGGGCGATAAGCATTTGGCATTATCTTAAACAACAAACTTAAGAAAATCATAGAAAAATATAAGCTTTGGCTCGCTTTTGAGTGGATGTCAATTTTAATTATTTCACTTCTTAATATTTACCTTGGATAGTTTTGTATCTGAAGGAACATTTGGTATTTTGTCGCGTAAACAAGAAAATGCATTATTAATACTTTGGGTACGCCTTCTTTCCTTTTTGTTTGCCGTGTTTCTCTTTTTGATAATTCGAACAGTTGGAGGTGCAATAATTTTAGTATTATTTAACGACTGATAGCTTTGTTTCTCGGAATCTGGAAGTATGTACATATAAATATGTAAACATGTAAGAAATTACAGCAACACTTGTCAACAAAACCAGAAAAATATTGGAGTGAAACCTTACGAAATGTTTTTGTATGCTTCAACTGCTCATCTACACAGGCATACAAATATAAATGTGTATATGTAAACATATCTACATACATATTCATAATTATATAAATTTAAAAAAAAACTGCTATTGATGTATGTATTTCATTAAGAAATAAACTCAAATTATTCAGCCTATATCAAACAAATAGAGAACACTTATAAGTATTTGAGTGTTTGTATTTGAAAATACAAATCCAAAACTTATTGTGAATCTCAGATATTTTCTGGCAGATTTAAAAGCGTTATTTGGATTAGGTTACGCTATTTCTATGGCTTTATATATGGTATTTTTGAATAGTTTTTTTTAGCGTATCTCTTTTTTGATGGGACATTTACAAATGAGGTCTTACGATTTCAATAGTAGAAAAATCATCATTATTTACTTATTTGACGTTAAATTATTGAACGTTAAACCATCCCTAGACGCTTCCATCAATAGTGACAGTTTTGATAGTATCTATAATTTTCTTTATCTTTCTGCTGCTCCTTTTAAAAATGTTGTGTATTGGTATATATTTTACGGATGTGCCACTCGAGACCTGATAACATTTAGGACACAGTACTACATACATATGTATGTACATAAGATATATGGTCACTTTATGTGGAGAAAAAGTAAAGATGTTCGTTGCCTTTGGGGCTCTGAAGCTTATAAAATATATGAGCTTAGAAATGTAAATACTTTCCCTTTTTGAAATGCCATTAAAACATAATAATTTAAATACAATTTAGCGGTATGGCTAAGCTTTAGCTTTTGACTTAAATTCAAAAATGAAATAGATGTGTGTGGAGATATATGAGTACTTCGACCAAAGCAGCTCCTACTAAAGGATAGGTATTCTATAAAGCAGATAAGGCTCATTTACATTTCGTGGGTTATTCCGCGGTTCTTTCCTTGAACACCAATTAAGCATACCCAAAAAGGGGACGAAGTATGAAATTAAACAAATTATTTGTTGGAAAATACATACACTATTTCGTTCAAATAATGATGTATTTGAACTGTGATTTCATTTTGTAAATATATATTTTCAATGAAACTAAATTGGAAACTGTCACGACGAAGCTTTGTGAACTCTTATGAAATCAGAGTACCAGATGCCTTAAACCTGGATTACTTTTATGAAAAGTTAAAAAAGAACTGAAATAGTTGCAAGGGAACAAAGCCCAAATTAAAATTGCAATCAGAAAATTGAAATTTAAAACAATTACGAAGAGGTACTATTATCAGTGGAAATTAAGCAATGCTATAAAATACTTCCATAATATTTGTTGATGATATATTATTGTCACTTTAATCCATAAATGCAGTAAATACTATTTAATTCACTATTTTGTACATACACGTTAAATGGTTAATATCCAATTCTGGTATACTTTCATATAGATTGCTATAATACGGAGGTGTTTCAGTCCATACAACACTTGTATATTTTGACATTTTACTAGAAATGAAATAGTCACATTTATATTCTTAACAGCTTTTAATATTTAATTAATTAAATTTTAATTTGAAAGATTAGTCAATATGTAATATTTATTTATTTATTTATAACGCATAAATATGTACATATAAGAGGTGCGTTCTTATTCACAAACTGTTCACTGCTCCTAAAGAAATTCTACAAATATGAAAATCATTCCAAAAACAACAAAGAGGCCAAGCATAGCCCACAAGGCACTCTACTATAGTAAAATAAAAAAAAACACCCTTAAGCTCAACCAATCCCGAAGCATGCAGTTTAATTTCATTTTCCTTTCAACCAATAGAAATGGATGCTTAAAATACCACAAATAGTGGTATTTTTATGTGAAGCCCGTACACGTGCAGTCAGAATGACAATCATCCATAGGCGTTCCAATAACTTCGCACAGCTACTTAATATAATTATATTAATTATATGAAATTATGAATATCGCCTGAATAAATAACTATTATAATAATATAAAAGCTTATCCAAATAGCACGGTAATACTTTTTCAAAATGACGTCAATGACAATTGTGTCGAGTTAATTTACGCGGTTATGTGTAACAAGGGCATTGGATACGTTTACCGTAGAGATTGCAAATTAAAAACGTATATCTCCTATGCGGAATTCCAAAGGTAATGAGAATCGGGACTAGTTCGATAATTTCGCAATAGCATTTATATTTATAAAAGAGCTAGATGATAATCGGTTGCACAGATAACGTATGCTTATCGATAGCATCAACAGTTCTTTCCAACTCGCATCCCTAAATAAGCACAATATTGTTAGTCACTGATTTGTTTTGTTGTTGACCCTTTGTTTTAATGGAAAACAACAATGCCTTTATAAAATATGCGGTTGCTTCGCATAAAGTTGAATTAAATGCTCACAGTGATGTTATTCGAGCTAGCGGCAAACCAAGGAGTGAACTACAAATCGAACCAGGCACATTAATAAAAATTGTCCGGTCTTGTGAAAATTTCAAAATTGTACAGGTTTTAGATTATCTACGACATGATTTCACCTGCGAAAATCTTTATGAGTGCGCTGAAAACAAATTGATCGAGGTTTCGGAAGATGTGTGGCCTTATGTTATTAGTATAGAGCACAGCCTACGCCGTCTGCTTTTTGTTAGTAATAAGAATCAATGTCGTTGGATTGTTAATTTAAAGCCCAATGACTTGTTAAGTGTTAAAGGAGAGCAGTTCGGCAAGGAGGGAGTTTATTTTGATTGTATTGTTCGCTATATAGGCCCGGTTCAGGAACTACATGCTGTTGGATATTTTTTTGGCTTGGAGCTATTGGTATGGTATAAGTGCTTTGATTTTTTTATTAGAAAATTTATTTTCACTCATTGCATTGCAGCATTTGGATAATGGGAAGTCACCACAATCCAACCACATTGAGTTTTCTCATAAATATATGCAATGTGACCCATATTTGTCAATAATTACTACAGCGGACTGGATAACTCCTATTTCGAATGAATCAAATAAAAAATTAACGGCCAGAGAACGGATTAATGAAACTATTGAAAAGGTGCGTACGGCAATTGTAACACCCAATAGTAATTCGTATATGAACAGGACAAAAAAATCGAAAACACCGCAAGCCAATTCTAAGTTTTACGATTATCTGCCAAAAGGGACCGATTTGCCTGTAGGTGGAGCACCGTTGCATGGAGAAAACTCTATAAGTCCCCGTTACAATCAAGATCATTCCAAAGCAACTATTAACAACAATGAGTTGGGACTGGAGCATAAATATGCAAAGGCAAATACGTTTTCTGTGCCGCAAAAAATTTCACATAACATCGATCTATTAAAAACAGAAAAAGAGCAACCACTTAATAGTAACAAAGCTGCACGGTCTGACCCTTTATTTAAAAAAGATGGTGAAAATACTGTAAACAAAAATGCAACGAACAATGAAAACATTCCGATAATTGCGGACACACGTATGCCTGATACTGTTGATTTGGCTGACCTTCTTGGCACCAATTGGCCGAAAAATGCTGGCGATGCAGCTATGATTTTAAATAGAAGCCATACAAACATGGAATCTTCTAAAATGGAAGAAGAGTTGGGCGAGTTCGATTTGGTATCCGCCAGCGATCGTATTTTGCCTACAGTTCCAAATGAATCAACTTTAACAGCACCTTTTACATCCACAAACCATTCTAGTAAGTACTTTTTAAGATAATGTTACGTTAAGATAAGATAATTTGAAAATATACGGAAGGGGAAACGTTGTAGGACTTTCCGTTCATGTTGTTACTTGTTGAATTGGAAACTGAAACTACATTATTTAAATTGCCATTTATTATGCCCGAATGTATGTAAGAAACAGAATAAGGCGAGGTAGACCAAAGTATGTATATACTCGTATGTATTACAAGACGAGTCGATATATCCATATAGACGGAAGATAAGATAAGATCTACAATAACCAAACTTGGTATTCCCCTAAGCCTTAAGCAGAGCGAGTTAATCTTTCATTACCGATGCACTGCCTCGCTATTGCTGATTTTTATAGCTCCATTAATTCTTGGATTTTCTTTACTCAATTATGGCAACTGACCCTGTCTGTGCGTATAATCACCTAGATCTAGAGACACCAATATTTGATCCCAGATTCCCTATATAAGTACAAAGTACAAGTGTATTTTATTTATTATTTACACACTTGCCAGAATTTAAGACTATAAGTATTGTAAAATACATATGCGAATTACATTTATCAAGAAGTTGAATTAAAAAGTATATTAGTCAGGCGGGTGATAGGTTATCAGGAAGTCCTCTGGCCAGTCTGCTGCTGCATTGCGTTGTGCCAGCAAAGCCGCAAGGTTTAATTCTGAATCATCTGGACCCGTCAACGGTTCGACGCTGCAGCTAATTCGCAAATCTGAATACCGTAGCTAACAACCAAACTTATGAAATCGCCGGCCAGCTGTTGTCATAAAGGAACACCCTGTGACGGCGGCCAGGGCTCCGCTATACTAATGTTTATTTGATGCATGGTATCATCATGCTTGTTGAGTATTTTTAGAAATTTTTCTTGGTGTCTTGCCAGTTGCTATATTACCATACCCTTGCGCGGAGCATGCCTCAAAACTGCAGCATCAAATAATGAATATTTTAAAGAAAATTGTACGTATTTAAATGGTAAAACGGAATTGCAAGTTTAAAATTTATCCCTATGGGATGGTTTAAAATAACATAACATTTTTTTATTCAAATTGGATTTTATTTTACTATATCACAGTGTGATAGAATCGAGATGTTTGTGTGTTATTTATAAACGGAAGAATTTGCAAGGGTATATAAGCTTCGGCGCTCTGGTGTTCAGGTGTGTACTTCATTTTAAAGTAACATGAATAGTATTTGTCTTCTCTTTGGGCAGGCAGTATTATTGCCTATAAATATTTGAGTGTTCAAGAATTTAATTTGTACGAATTCATTTGATATTTAAATATTTACTTATCTTCGAAATTGCATATTATGTATCTCCACTCGCACGAATCATTGACTGAGCCCAGCAGCTACAATCATATTCCATTGACGGTCTTAGATTTTTTTTCTAACAAAAATGTTAAGGAAGAAGGTGTGTATGTAATTATTCTTAGACCAGTACTAGAAGAACATCTTGTTCAATAGTTCTTACAGAGTTACAGTTCTTCTAGCATCCATTTGCCGACAAGCAAAAAAGCTACTATTTATGTAAATACCATTGGACGAATGTGAATAAGAGTGAATAATAATTAATAGTGTCTCCTTTTGGGGGGATTTATCCAAAAACTGTATAAACAATTAGTGATGGCTTTATTTCAATGAACTTTTTTGTATATACTTACGAATATGCAAGTAAGCGTATTCAAACTAAGCAGGTGATACTGGAACCAACTAAATAGGCGATTTATTCATTTTATTTATGTATATATATACGTGTATAGTTTAGTAAAATTAGGGAAAACGGCTGGCCTCCTCTGCGCTTCTCAAACTAAGTACCTAATCGAAGCCACTTGAGCCATCAGTAGGTGATTTATTCATATTATTTATTTACAAAAAATTGTGTAAAATTAAATTAAAACGGTCGCCCTCCTCTGCGCTTCTCAAACTAAGTACCTAATCGAAGCCACTTGAGCCATCAGTAGGTGATTTATTCATATTATTTATGTATAAAATATTGTGAAAATTAAATTAAAACGGCTGCCCTCCTCTGCGCTTCTCAAACTAAGTACCTAATCGAAACCACTTGAGCCATCAGTAGGTGATTTATTCATTTTATTTATGTATATAAAATGTTGTAAAATTAAATTAAAACGGCCGCCCTCCTCTGCGCTTCTCAAACTAAGTACCTAATCGAAGCTACTTTAGCCAACAATAGGTGATTTATTTATGTATATAAAATTGTGTAAAACTAAAAGAAAAGGGCCGCCCTCCTCTGCGCTTCTCAAACTAAGTACCTAATCGAAGCCACTTTAGCCATCAGTAGGTGATTTATTCATATTATTTTTTTACAAAAAATTGTGTAAAATTAAGTTAAAACGGTCGCCCTCCTCTGCGCTTCTCAAACTAAGTACCTAATCGAAGCCACTTTAGCCATCAGTAGGTGATTTATTCATATTATTTTTTTACAAAAAATTGTGTAAAATTAAGTTAAAACGGTCGCCCTCCTCTGCGCTTCTCAAACTAAGTACCTAATCGAAGCCACTTTAGCCATCAGTAGGTGATTTATTCATATTATTTATTTACAAAAAATTGTGTAAAATGAAATGAAAACGGTCGCCCTCCTCTGCGCTTCTCAAACTAAGTACCTAATCGAAGCCACTTGAGCCATCAGTAGGTGATTTATTCATATTATTTATGTATAAAATATTGTGTAAAACGGCTGCCCTCCTCTGCGCTTCTCAAACTAAGTACCTAATCGAAGCCACTTTAGCCATCAGTAGGTGATTAATTCATTTTATTTATGTATAAAATATTGTGAAAAATTAAATTAAAACGGCTGCCCTCCTCTGCGCTTCTCAAACTAAGTACCTAATCGAAGCCACTTTAGCCATCAGTAGGTGATTTATTCATATTATTTATTTACAAAAAATTGTGTAAAATGAAATGAAAACGGTCGCCCTCCTCTGCGCTTCTCAAACTAAGTACCTAATCGAAGCCACTTGAGCCATCAGTAGGTGATTTATTCATATTATTTATGTATAAAATATTGTGTAAAACGGCTGCCCTCCTCTGCGCTTCTCAAACTAAGTACCTAATCGAAGCCACTTGAGCCATCAGTAGGTGATTTATTCATATTATTTATGTATAAAATATTGTGAAAAATTAAATTAAAACGGTCGCCCTCCTCTGCGCTTCTCAAACTAAGTACCTAATCGAAGCCACTTGAGCCATCAGTAGGTGATTTATTCATATTATTATAGCCTGTACCCAAAGGGTGAAAGGCTATACTAGTTTTGTGCGCATGTATGTAACACACAGAAGGAGGCGTGGCAGACCCCACAAAGTATATATATTCTTGATCAGGATGAGAAGACGAGTCGATATAGCCATGTCCGTCTGTCCGTCTGTCCGTCTGTCCGTCTGACCGTCTGTCCGTCTGTCTGTATGAGCGCAAGGATCTCAGTAAGTACAAGAGCTAGGATAACCAAAATTGGTATCAAGGTTCCTATAAGCCCTAGGCAGAACGAGTTTGTTTATTTTTTCTGATACACCCCCCCACTCCCCCGCAATTCGTATTTTTTCTTATAACTTCCGTAATTCTCGGAATTTTAAAATCAATTTTGGTAGGTACATCCAGTTAGTACTAATGTGTCCGTGTGCCAAATTTCATCATGATAGGTCAATTCTGAAGAAATTTATAGCCATAAGTAAAATCGCTGCTCATGCGCTGCCTGCAGCTCTGTCGGCAGCGCTGCCCGCAGCTCTTGTTGTTGTTGCTGCTTTTGTTCAACTTTGTGCTGCATACATACACGCATATGAACACGCATAGGTACGTGATGTAAATGTATGCTGTTTAAACTGAACATAAACATGTATTCTAATTTAATTTAATTAATTATTTTAATTAAATAATTCATTCATTTTTTTTTAATAATTTAATTTTTAAATAATTTTTTTTTTTTTAATTTTTCCTTTTTGTGGAGAGTACAGGCTATTTTACTGTCGGGCTTGCTCGACTGTAGCGTTCTTTCTTGTTTATGTATAAAATATTGTGAAAAATTAAATTAAAACGGCTGCCCTCCTCTGCGCTTCTCAAACTAAGTACCTAATCGAAGCCACTTGAGCCATCAGTAGGTGATTAATTCATTTTATTTATGTATAAAATATTGTGAAAAATTAAATTAAAACGGCTGCCCTCCTCTGCGCTTCTCAAACTAAGTACCTAATCGAAGCCACTTGAGCCATCAGTAGGTGATTTATTCATATTATTTATTTACAAAAAATTGTGTAAAATTAAATTAAAACGGTCGCCCTCCTCTGCGCTTCTCAAACTAAGTACCTAATCGAAGCCACTTGAGCCATCAGTAGGTGATTTATTCAACTTATTTATTTATATAAAATTGTGTAAAAATAAATTTAAACGGCTGCCCTCCTCTGCGCTTCTCAAACTAAGTACCTAATCGAAGCCACTTGAGCCATCAGTAGGTGATTTATTCATATTATTTATGTATAAAATATTGTGAAAAATTAAATTAAAACGGTCGCCCTCCTCTGCGCTTCTCAAACTAAGTACCTAATCGAAGCCACTTGAGCCATCAGTAGGTGATTTATTCATATTATTTATGTATAAAATATTGTGAAAAATTAAATTAAAACGGTCGCCCTCCTCTGCGCTTCTCAAACTAAGTACCTAATCGAAGCCACTTGAGCCATCAGTAGGTGATTTATTCATATTATTTATTTACAAAAAATGTTGTAAAATTAAATTAAAACGGTCGCCCTCCTCTGCGCTTCTCAAACTAAGTACCTAATCGAAGCCACTTGAGCCATCAGTAGGTGATTTATTCATATTATTTATTTACAAAAAATTTTGTAAAATTAAATTAAAACGGCCGCCCTCCTCTGCGCTTCTCAAACTTAGTACTTAATCAAAGCCACTTTAGCCATCAGTAGGTGATTTATTCATATTATTTATTTACAAAAATTTAATTTATGTTACATACATATTAATTGGAATACTGCAACTAGAATTCCATAGCGACAAAATTATTTATAATCAATTTTATGTTTATTTCCATTATTAGATGTTTGTGCACCGAAAACCCAAGACTTTATTGAAGTTTCTGGTATGAAACTTACAGTGGGCTCCCTTGTGGAGGTGTCTAACTTGGATTATTCTTCTGATTTATACGGCGTCATAAGATGGATTGGAGTCCCTCCTGGATTGACTAATGTATTGGTTGGCGTTGAACTTGAAGATGATTCCGATTTAAAAAATGTACCTGTGACTGATGGAAGTTTTAATGGATTTCGGTAATTTATTTATGTAATTAAGTTTGTACATATGTAACACTAGATTGGCGCGAGCTTCTTTTATAATGAGTATAAGTACTATAATGTTAAATCTGTTGCATTACAGATTATTTCAGTGTCATGGTGAGCGTGCTATTTTCGTAAGTCCTAACAAATGTTCAACTGACCGTCGGTTTATTGATGCGGACGGTGTGGTACCTGGAAGCAAGGGTGGAATAAATGGCGATGCAGGGTTGTTTGGACATGTTGACTGCCCTTCAATTGTAGGAGCCGTAGCCCCATTAAGTAAGTGCTATAAAAAATAAGACCTAGTTCGTATTACATACAACTGATATCAGTTCCAGTCTTGCTTTTGCACTAGTGCGTATCGTCAAAAAGTTGTATACTTGTATTATGTTGGGGATAAATCACGGCTCGCGATTACTAACAAGTGGCTGCTATTATTTTTTGTTTCTGTCTTAAGGTACCCATAATTTTAAAGAGCTTCAAGATATATGCGGAAAGTTTAAAGGCATACAAGGACACCATAACTCCTGCTATTTAGATGCAACTTTATTTTCAATGTTTACTTTTACAAGTGTCTTTGATTCTCTTTTATACAGATGCCAAAATGACATGGTAAACATTTAACATTCATTTAAACAAAATGCCGAGCTTATAAATTAAACAATTTTGCAGGATATTTCTAACTATGAACAAGTTCAAACGGTGTTGCGGGAAGAAATCGTGAATCCTTTACGAAAAAATGGATTTGTTCGAGCAGACCGCGTTATGAAACTTCGCAAGCTATTGGACCAACTTAGCTCAGTAAGTGGATTAACAACAGAAGAAAAGGATCCAGAAGAGTTTTTGAATAGTTTATTGGCTCAAATCATGCGGGTTGAGCCATTTTTAAAGGTACGAAGCGTTATAGTATTTACATATACACGTATATATATTAAATTTAAGTTTATGTATACATATATATTTTTAGCTTAGCTCTGGACAAGATTCGTATTTTTATCAGCTTTTTGTGGAAAAAGATGAAACCCTAACCTTCCCAACAGTGCAGCAATTGTTCGAGCAAAGTTTTTTTTCCTCGGATATAAAGTTAAAGGAAGTTCCATCATGTCTTATTATTCAAATGCCCCGATTCGGCAAAAACTATAAAATGTATCCCCGAATCCTACCATCCCAAATTTTGGACGTCACGGATATAATTGAAGATTGTAAGCTTTGCAAAAAAAAAAAAAAATAATTAAAAATCGTTGAAGTTCTTGACTCTACATATTTCTATCTCAGCGCCTCGTCAGTGCTCTGTTTGCGGAAAGCTAGCCGGGTTTGAATGCCATGACTGCTTTCAGAGCTTGCATGGCGAAAACGGCCTTGAATGCACAGCGTTTTGCGAAAAATGCTTGGACACTGTACATATGCATGAGAAAAGGTAAGAATCTATTATAATTTCTGATAAATTTCTTAATTTAGATGCCTCCTTACAGAACCAATCACTGTACCAAAAAAATTGCGGTCCCACGAGACTTTAAGGCTATGGCCGACCATATGGTTATCCCAAGACTTTACATGGAACTATTCGCAGTGGTTTGCATAGAAACATCCCACTATGTTACATTTGTGAAAGCTGGTTCAGGACCAGATGCACCATGGTGTTTTTTTGATTCAATGGCTGACAGAAAAGGTAATATTTATGTTTATGATACAAGTTACCTAAGTTAGTAAATAAGCCGTTTTGTCCGTCGCATTTTGCCGTGCACGTTTAAAAATATACATACATATATATATATATAGTAGTTGCTATACAATGAGAGATCTCAGTGCAACGCTTCAGGATACGAATAGCAGTCTTTTATTTTCTTTATATAGAAGTGCTTCCCAGCACAACCCAGTTTCCGACATTCACACATTCAATAGCTTATCAATTTAACAGGGGCATTAAGATAAAAAAGATAATTCCGACCACGAGGTTTTTAAACTAATTATGTTGGCTTTATTAAGAGAACCATATAGGAAATGATTTTGATTAGAAAATGTGCCATTGTTCTCTTCAATTATAGGTGAACGTAACGGCTACAACATACCTGAAATGATACCTGTCCGGGAAGTTCCTCAATGGTTATCTGACGAAGGAGCTCGGGCTGTCAATGAATCATCAACGAATGACAAAGTTCTACCTGAACATGCAAAGCGTCTTTTTTGTGATGCATACATGTGTATGTACCAAAGTACGGACGTTATGATGTATCACTAACGTTCTGGTTTTTATAATGTTATTTAAGGTACAATTTTTAAGCAATAAACAATGGTATAACAGTGATTAAAAAATCGAAAATCCAATTTGGCGCCGTTTTTTATGTGCTTTTTCTGCCGTTCCTGTTTAGAAATCTAAACACATTACAAAAGGTCATTTACTTATTGTACCAACTTACTTTTTACTACCGTACAGCAATGTTAATCATTTTGTTTCATTTATGATTAATAAACTAACATACAAACCATGCACATGTACATATGTATGTATGTGGGTATGTGTGCCCTCGCACTTCACAATCACACGTAAACTCTCTACACGTCATACCATACCCAACCTTAGTCACGCCCGCTTAGTGCGAGTTTGAAACGATCATCGCTTCCCATACCCAAATACAAGTCTGGCTCGGTTGGGGTACCAGGCGATCATAAGTCAGCAGCAGGTGGACTTACATTCGTAAACAACAACATGCGCTTAAGCGAACTGCAGCCATCAGCTGTATAAACATCTGTTAATTAACAGTTGTTCTGTTTTATTTGTTTACATTGGCCATTTCGCAATGTATAGTATATGCGTCTTCTTTTCTCCTAAGCTGAGATCGGCCTTGCCTTTGTACTTGCTACTGATAATGGCTTGCTTGCTTTCATTTATGTTCGCCTGGCTTTCCACGTAAGTCGGACTTGCATTTTGTACGAAATCTGGAGCCGAAACGCACGAAAAATATCGCCAGGCTCATATAAAATGAGAGGCTGGTTTGGGCAAAATACCAGGAAAACATAAGTGATGACGGACAAACGAGTAAATAAAAAATAACTAAAAGTAAGGCTCCAGGAGCGACAGAGGCTTATGTATATGCATACACACATTTAAGCTGTGGTCGTCTCTTTCGAATCGGATGTTTACAATGCTTTTTACCATTTATGTTCGCCGGGTACGCTGCTTAGCTCAGACTCTTATTTTGTGACAAGCTAGTTGGGGATATTTTTCAGTGCGTTTTTGGGTCTCGGATTTCCTAGCAAAATGCAAGTCCGACTTACGTGGAAAGCCAGGCGAACATAAATGAAAGCAAGCAAGCCATTATCAGTAGCAAGTACAAAGGCAAGGCCGATCTCAGCTTAGGAGAAAAGAAGACGCATATACTATACATTGCGAAATGGCCAATGTAAACAAATAAAACAGAACAACTGTTAATTAACAGATGTTTATACAGCTGATGGCTGCAGTTCGCTTAAGCGCGTGTTGTTGTTTACGAATGTAAGTCCACCTGCTGCTGACTTATGATCGCTTGGTACCCCAACCGAGCCAGACTTGTATTTGGGTATGGGAAGCGATGATCGTTTCAAACTCGCACTGAGCGGGCGTGACTAAAGTTGGGTATGGTATGACGTGTGATTACGTGCGTTTGTGAAATGCGATGGCAATTTCCAGCAACTCGCTTTGGATGTTTAGGTATTTTTTCCATTTCTCTTCACGGCTTTTGCTTACATTGGCTTTTTGGAAAACGTCTAACTTTTATTTACAATATGTGTATTTTATTAGTTATATTTCGATCTCCTTTGATTAATTTTACTGACTCTATAAATTGTATTTCTGTCATGGTTTATCATCTTAAATGAATGTAACAGTGTAAGTTTCAGCAGAAGTTTTGAGAGTGCAAAAAAGTTTTCAAACGATTAATGGAAAAGTTTATTCATAGCAAATTGTAGTTCTTATACTTTTATTTTTCACTTTATATATTTTGAAAAGGGTAACTGTTACTGCCGCAGCCCAGCTTAATGTGAAGGCGTCGTTAATTTCAATTTTCAATTGGAAACCGTTACCGACTTCTACGGCAACCCCAAAACCTACAGAACGGCCGATAAAGCCGGAGGTATGGCTGTTGCGGCAAAGAGGCCTGGTAGCAAGAAACAAGATTTTTTAAAGCTCTCGCGAATACGTTTATAATTTGTATTTATTTCTAAAAGTTCATAATAAATGATTATTAATGTAAATGAGTGCTTTTAGAAGCTGTTTGACTTGTACCCTCCATTGTGGCGGCTGTAACAGTAACAAAAAGTTTAATATTGACAAATATTTGGAAACACATTCTAGTTCAAATGGAACCCCTTTTCTTTAGTTGCTGTCAACAAACGTTCCTTCATAATTTCCTCATTCGGGTAGTCGGGAAGTTTTAAGTAATGAACACAAGTATTCACAGATGGATAACTTCCCTCGCCAGCGTCGACCTTCCGCACAACAGTTAATCTTGGATGTAAGTTGGCCAAGCCACCCGGTGGCAAGCTGCTGCAGCCGGTCGTGAATTGAAGAAAAGCTTTCCGTTCATCTCCCGACATGTTCAGCAATACGTTCACAAAACGTAAGAACCCGGGGCTTAAATGAAAAGTTATAAATTATATTTATAATAGTATATTGTGCATATAAACATAAGAATATAAATGTACCTGTCTTTTGAATAACCCAGCTTCGGTTCTGTATAAGCCATAAGATCTTCACGAGTCCATTGGGGATGTTGTTCTCCGCATATCATCATGCGTGCCTCTGAAGTACTAAATGCTGCCAGCTTCTTGATTTCAAAAACTTCACAGAAACCATCGTGGAAGGCTTTCAGCTGCTTGGCAATTCCATCGTGAAGTATAAAGTTTATAAGCAATTCACAGTAATCTTCTATATTGGTAATGTTCACGTCGATAGATCCTCCATTTGGCAAAAGCTCCGCATACTCAAACCCATACACAGAAGAGCTGGGTAAGTACGTAAACGTGAGTGCCAAATCTCCCAAAGATACTTCAATTCCGTTTTTGGTCAACAATTTTAGGCCCGCAATTAATTCTTGAGCTTCTTCAGAGCTTAAGCTGCTATCTAATTCAATTGCTTGTTTACGAGACACCAAATCTTGCAACTCAATTAAAAATTGGTAACGGGTTGGATCAATTTCTTTTAGATTCTCTACGTTCAAAATTCCATCAAACCAGTTTGAACCCTTATTGGCAATATTTAAAAGGTTTGCGCAGGTATATGCAAGCTCGGAATCTTCTGATACAACTGATGATATCATAATATCTTCAGAGCGTATATTGGATTTTAGTTTCTGCAAGTTGCGCGACAGTGCTTTGTTATGACAAAGTAATTGAAGAAATGAGTTCGACAGAGGCATATCTACAAGTCGCATGTCTTGAAGAACTTTGGCGATGAAAACTCCGAAAAACCAAAAGTATTTTGATGCCTTTTCACAAACCTCCGAATCTTGTGGTAAAGGAGCGGGGAAGAGTCCGCGTTGACGACTGTTGACGTAATAATTAATGGGTTTCGTACTATCTTCAATATCGTCATTAGATTCTAGCTTATTTGAGTTGTCGCAAAACTCTTCCTCACACAGCCACATGCATAAGTCAGCTCTTTGGAGTTCCGCAGCAACCAGTGCATAAAACTCAAGAGTAGGCCCCAATCCAGTACCTTCCTCATCCAAAAACTCAACTTCCAGCACAGATTTCCTATTGCAGTGAGCTTTCATTACTTCTATAGCCCATTTAAGTAAATCTTTGTTACGTGGCACTTTGACGCGCTCATGCTTCAATCTTCCCACACGAAAGTCGTGCTGATCATCGCGACGGGGGCTTATGCTAGGAACTCTCTGACGCTCCATTGTAATATCCCGTTGGGATTGCAGGCATACAATGCTGCGAGATGCGCCAAATGCTGTGCAATTAAAATACAACTGCCGCGTCTCGAATGGAAACAAGAATGGACATGATTGGTTCAAATTTTCGCACCAATTCGGTAGAGCGTTACTCGAAAGTACAAGCGGATCTTGGATTTGTTGTTGCATTTTATTTGTTATCTTCTTGCTCATGAAGAGCTCGACTGGTAACGGCAGAATATCGGAGGCACCTCCTTGAGCCGTACACTCAATATTATTTTGATTGAGTGTATTTATTTGGGTAAGTAATTCGAGCACATCATCTACAGAGCATAATGTGTTATCTGTTGCATGAAAACTAGCACGAATTGGCGAGTTTGGAGAGAGCGTAGATGCTCCACTCTTTGACGATATCTCGGGCGTATTTTGACCGTCCTCTGATTGGAAATTTGTGTTGACCTGTTGCTCTGGCACAATTTCTCTGTACACAATTGTATAAGTTGGTTCCCAGACTTTTCGAAACTTATCGCTTTTACTTAATTGACAATTCTGAAGAAGTTCTTGCACTGCACGAAAGACTGACCAGTCAGCGTTATTTAATTCTATTTCAACATCTGGCACTCCACCAATACCAGGACCACGCAATTTCAAGCCAAGTGTTGGTTGTAGTACAGGAATATGACAGGTCTGACTCTTGTGTTCTGATTTAGATCCCGGAGGAGATATTTCTAGGTCAGAAGTCTGATTAACATTGGTACGTCCCGGTCTTGGATCGAACGCTGGTATTAATGCCGAGAATTGTCTTTTCAATACAAACTCGTCGTCCCATGACTTGCGCTTCGTCACTCCAGCTAATCTATTTTCGAGCGTTTCGTCATCCATAAACGTGAGAAGGTTACGCGATACCATCACTTGCAGCAATGTATTTCCGACTTCTTCGTACTCGTCTTCGTTTTCCTCTTCATCGTTGTCTTCATCCATTTCATCATCGTCATCCATATCCCCCAGCAAAGTTGGTGCTCTACAACTCTCCAAAAAGTCTTCCAAAGATACTTGCTCACTGTCGCTTGAGGTAGAAGTGAGGCTCATTGTTAATGTAGGATTTATAACCGATTGTGTTTGTTGGCTGGCATTGGTATCTGTGGGGTTGGAAATTGTATTGCTTGCTCCATTGTTGGAAGATAAGCTCGGATAGCTCTGGGCTGTACTTAACAGTCCAGAAGGAAAGTTGCTTGATAAAGCCAATTTAACCAAACTTGTAACTGAGTTGGGCCCCCTAGGAAACAAAGATGCCGTTGCCGCATTTTGGTTCCGGCGTTCATTTTTTTTCATATTTGAAGTTATTATCTGGTTAGTTTGATTACTTGTGCTTTGAGAGGTTCTACGCCTGGCGATTGCCGCAAATGTCTCTAAAAGTCCAGAGTGAGCCACCATTTCCGAGCTAGTTGGTGCTTCCGATGCCGATGTTGTTAGATTAGGTACACTGATACTCATTTGATTAGAGACGGAGACGGGTTCACATTGAATTTGGGGATTTTTCTCCTTGTCGGTTTCGGCCGGAAAGTTTACTGTCGTATTATGTTCATTTGATGCTGAGGTTTTCGATGTGCACGGCTCGTTTATCCTTTTAATGCCGGTATCTCCAGCAAAGCCTAAAATTTGAGTCGGTATTGTATTGCCAGGACGCAATACCTCATCCTCTTTCGGAACTTCCTTAGACAACAAATTTGTGCACGGAATAGAAATTTTATCGCAGGAAAGGATATTGTTGGTATTGTTCCTTATCATGTCGACCCCGTCGCGCATTTTATCAATCATTTCGAGAGCTTCAGAAGAAAACTGTGAAACCCGCGTGGCATCAGATGAACTATTGGCGCATACATTTGCAAGTAGGCCTTTAGATATGTTGCTAACCGAATTGGTAGAATTCATTTTATTATTTGCTTCAATATTTGTTATTTGTTTCACGTTATTCCCACTGGCCAGCGATTGAGTATCAGATCCAACATAACATGAACTTACATTCGCAGGCTCTGATTTGAAGGTCGTAGAATTGACATTACAAATATTACCTTTGCACATTTCAGAAAGTGACAAATTTTCAGAAATAGTTTCCAAGTCAGTTACAGCGGTGGTGTTAATGGTCGACGTTGAGTTATTGATTGTGGAAAGATCTGATATATGTTCCAGTTCACGAATTAAATGTGAGGAAAGATTAACTTGCTTAGAAGCAGATTCCTTGTCGTTTTGTTGTGATTTATTTGTTGAAGTCGCTTCCGATATGGGATGGCTGAGTGCAGCTTCCTGGTTAGTCGAAGTGAATACATTTTCTGCATTTGTCTGCGCCGTTTGTTTCCAAGCTAGATTATCTGCCGACACAGTTTGATTTGAATCATCTTCCGTATTTCTATTTATTTCAGTAGCTTCAGGTAATGATGGAGTCGAGCTGGATTTGCGCGACGTTAGAGAATTTCCCTTATCAAATTTTTGAGCGCCTACATTCGCCATAGTAGGTACAATCGAATTGCCGCCTTCGAAAATCGACACACTCTCGCAATAAGCTAATTTCAAATCGTATTTGCCCTCTGCGCCCATGCGATATGAATTTCGTACACCGTGGTCCCATTTCACATCAATCCAACCATTGTGGATCTCCCCAGTAATGGTTCCCTCACAGCATCCATCTTGATCTTCCCAACGCCAGTCAACTCCCCGCACTACACGGGCTCCAGTGGTTATGTGTTTGAGTTGGGATCGGATTTGCCGTCGTTCACGCCGTATTTTCGCTTCTGCCTCCTTAACACTTTTCCCAATATCATCACAAACACTTACAACATGACCGTAAATCTCGAATCCACTCAGGCTTAAGTAATGTGTTTGTCCTGAAGCATTGCGACCGTTTTGTTGAATGCGTATATAACGAAAACCTTGTTCATCATCTGCAGCGCAAACAATTGGCCAAGATGCTGTGCTTCCTGGCTCAACGAGACTTTTATCATCCACATGTGAAATAAGTGTGGTCCAATTTACACCATCTTTTGATGCTTGCAGTAACCAGTTTCGTAATGCTGATCGTCCATAGCCACGGGCATGGCGTAGAGTATACGCATTTGGAACGATATATACTCCAAGATCAATTGCAAACCAGGCTTTCTTGTTGTCCTTAGTGTGGCAATTGAGCGAAATACTATCACGGGACAATATATCTTCTAGTTTTCCGTAGGGCAAAGTTTTACCTTCTGAGCTCGTCACTTGAACAAGGCCATACTGTGCTGGGTTAACCCATTCGCAAGTTTTCCCGTTGGACCCGATATAGTATAGGAGTCCCTCTTCGTCGAAATCAAAGGTGTGCGTAAAGGTCAATCCGTTCTTCTTTTCACGAAGCTTTTTCAGATAAAAATATGTTGAGCGGTCCAAATCATACCATTGTTTTGCAACCATTTTAAGTAAATATTTTTCAAGCTGTCCAATTGTAGCTAATGGCTCCATTTTAAGAGTACGGCCAGTTCGGTCAAAGAGCGTACTTTCGCTAGCAGCTCGTTCCAAACGAAAACGCAGTCTCTTTTGCAAAATTTGTAGGCCATATCCGGTGCCGGGTACCTCATATAAGTATACAGGCAATTTCTCGGTATTTTCTAAAACAGCTACCAGTTTTTGGACCAGTATACTTCCGGTGCTCTTTGTCAATGCTGAATTGCGATTAGAAGCATCATTTTTTTCTAGTATACATTTTTTAAATATGGCGATCCGCTGTTTCTGCATTTTGTTCCTTTTGCAACGAGACATATTACTTTCCCAGAAGTTTTTCGACAGAACGGCTACCAATGCTTGCACAAGTCCGGAAGAGTGCATTTCATAGGCGCTGACAACACCATCTTCATGAAGTAATTGGGACAGTTCCACCAGAGCCGTGGTTAATTTATCTGACCAACTGGGAATATTGGAAGCTCTCTGCTCCTCAATAGACTCTTCAATTTTCTTTACTATGGCAGTCAATTTGGTAACAGCCCCACGCGGTGTTGCTTGAGCAGACTTAAAGTACTTGTTATAAATCTCTCGAGACAGGTTTTTTACTTGCATTTTCTGAGCTTCGGCCTTGGATTTAATGCGTTTTTTCTTTCCAGTTGACCATCCAGAAGCAAAGTCAGGGCCCAACGCCGTTTCTGCTGTGAAAGTGTGTTTTGTGCCTCGGTTACTTTCGAAAATGAAACCTGGCAAGTCGTCCTGTAATATAGTGACTTGATGACCTTCGGTATTGTGGATTTGAAGTTGGTTAGGTTTATGTGACTGTAGCACCCAATTGCCAACCACTAAACGCAACACACAAACTGTGGGTAAAATGGGCTGTGATTGTGTTCCAGGACTTACACAGGAGCGAGCTCGCACAAGTTTTTCTAAGAATTCACCACGATTTTCTGTAATTGATAAAAATAATGTGATAGTAAGTGCAATAATAAATCACTCAATGCAAATGAAATTTGTACATTGGATGAGGTAGATAATTAGATTGATGTATTTGGTTACCTGAACTATCGTTCCCATTCTCCGGACTTCCACTTGAGTACATTGTAGCTAATTTGCCATCAAGTATAAAGCGGAACCACCCATTAGAACCATTTGAGAGCTCTAAGGCTGCTGAATCTGACCAAACATATAGGCAGTCACGACCGCGACATATGCTCCATTCTCGCCAATGGTAGGGCTTTCCTTGCAAAATTTCTTTGGCGTCCTCCACCAAATCATCTAAAAGCAAAAAAGCATGATTGAATTGAAATTTGTAAATAAATGAAAACTACGTACCCGATGTCGCTCTGGGAGGCATACATATTCCTGAACACCTTTCCCCAAACGCTTGATCGTTAAATTTCGTTGTTATTTGTAAAGAATTGTTATCCTCATCGTGATTCATTAACGACTGAACTTTCGAAAACACTCCTAGCCTTGCAAAATGATCGAAAAATTCTTCATGAGTTTTACACATTAGTTCCTCAATTATATTGAGAACTATTAAATGTCCGTCATCGTCGTCCTAAAAATGTTTATAGATTTAAAAAAAAAAAGAGTCAATTCTTGTACTATATTTTTTTTATCATCCAACAAATTTGTTAAGGTCACAAATGTTAGTCTCATTTTCTTGAATATCTCTAATTACCATGACTTACCTCATTGTCCAAAACGCTAGCAACGACTTCAATAAGTAAATTCCCAACGTTTTGCGCTGATGTTGAGGTTGATGCGGCATTAAAGTGTGTTTCGCAAAAACTTTTCAGTACAGATGGATGCGCATATTGCACAATTTTTTTAATCAAAGCTAAACTAGCTCGCCTTACACTGCTTAGCATGGTTCCCTGAAATGTTCGGCAAAAAATTGGCAAAAGTAATTTTAAATAAATTGGAGCCATTTCAGGATCGCCGCGTGGTTCAATTAATGACTGGTTTCGACCATCTTTGCTTAAAAGGGCATTTCCAGACATCCACTCCCCCGGCGATTGCAGTATTGTTGCAACTTCGCGGTGCCCGTCATCTGATCTCTCACGAGCTTTATCCAAAGGCGTTTTACCATCTTCATCCCGTAAGTCCGGATAGGCACCATATTTTAATAGGATTTTAGCAATTCCTGGTCGTCCAAAGCATGCAGCATAGTGAAGAGATGAACTGCGCTGTCCTTTATTTACATCTGCTCCCTTTTCACATAGATATTCAACCATTTCTAAAGTACCAAAAGCTGATGCCCAATTTAAAAGAGTTTGACCCACATCGTCCATACAATTGACATCAATGCCCCCCGTCTCAATTGATTCTTGCAATGCATCAGTATCTTTTGATCTAATGCAGTCTATTAGCTGGCGATGAGTTCGCTCGGTACTGGAGTCATTGCGTCTTGGCCGCTGCGCTAACTGCCCTTGATTGGTAGTTACGCCTCCTCTATTAAGTGCTTGTCTTCCTTCAAACAGAAGTAAAAGTAACAAATCGGAAAACCTCATGCAGTCCAAAACACAACGTTCATCGCCTTTAAGAGCCCGTTCGATGGCATCTGGCAATTGTGATCTCAATATGTTGTGTGTTATGGATGAAGATCCACGACACAGTGTTGACAGTAATGATATTGTGGTCGAAATGGACTGCGGAGATCTGGCTGAGTCACTGGTTGAAGTTTTTGTAGTTGCTATTGCTGATGTTCCAGAAATATTTTCATTTAGTCTATCAGAGTTTGATGAAAAACTACTTCTTGTTAAAGTCTGTGTATCTGTTGATTTTGGCGTCGATATAGAATGTACATTTCCTGTGCCCCCTGCGTTTTCTAGGCGCTTTAGCAATTCGGCTACCAGTCCATATTCAGCCAGTGGTGCTGGGTCTATCCATTTTCTAGTAAAGCGATCGGCAACTGAAGCAAAACATTTTAGGGCGCCATCCGAGACCATTGGGTCTTCATGTTGGAGCAGTGTACTTAAGCTTTCGACACAATTTTGAATACATGGCGAATTCGGCTCAACTTTTGTACACAAGCGGGAAACAACGGCCATGGAAGAATGCAAAGTGTCCTTATGAACTTGGGATCCACAATCGCGAATAAATGATAAGACGCAATTTAAGCCACCGCCTTCAAAGACTGCGCCCGCTTCCCGAGTGCAAATTAGCTCGAGGACTTTTATGCACTGCTCCGCTAAGTCCCGCGATGTTCTTGAAGATAGATCTGCAACAACCAAGCGATTGCAGATTGCTTTTATAGCCCCCTCAATCGAAACAATCCTTCGGGTGCATTCTGCAGATACGTCCAAATAATATGTTATAGCGCGTGCAGTGACTTCAAGCACATTTTCGGGCGCAAGTTCATCGAGAAAAATCTTACATAGGGCAGGCAAAAAAGTACGTGGAGGGCAACTGAAATATAGGTCATTTATTTAGTTAGTTCGCGAATAGGAATTTTTGTGTAATTTTTTCTCAATACTAAACAAAATATAACATGTAAATTGTACCTTTCAAAGCAGCGATCTACGTTATCAGACATCAAGAGAAGCATACATAGTTGCTCTAGCGCTATCAATTGCATATCTCTCTCATCTCCTTGCCCCATGGATAGCCATTCCAGCAAAGTCTCAGGATCAACATCGCCCATCTGCAATAAAATAATAAAATAATTAACGCACATGCTTTCTATTACCTTATTTAATAAGGATTGAAGACCTGGTTATATAGTATTTGGAGAAATACATAAACAACGAAAACTATTGCTCAGAAACTAAATGTATTTATACATTTTTATATATATATTTTTTTTTGTTTGTTTTATTTTGAATGTTGCACGTACTTAATACGTATGCAAGTTTACTTCAATTTGTTAATTTTTGTTTTAATATCCATAGAGCGCATTTTTAATTTATTAATGTGCCTTTAATGCACAGAGACTTAGCTATGTTTATACAAATGAGTGTGCGAAGACGTTCAGCGTTGACTGCACCAACCATTTATATCATATTATATGTACTCTTAATCTCGTGTTTTAACTTATTCTACCTTAACTTACATTGCAGTTGTTAAATTGTAGAAAGCCGTCAAAGTGTAGCAGGAATTATTTCTGAAAATAGAAATGAAAGTAATAAAAAAATAGATGTTCATTGAAAACTCACATTTTTGTGGGTTTGTTTTTTTTTAACACTAAGTATCAACCCTATAGCATATGTATGTACATATCTGATATCAGTTTAAACGGATGATTCTGTTTCCACTGGCAAATTGAAAGACTGTGGCTGTTCTGTTAGTGATTGTGTGTTGTAGCCATAAATATAATCTCTGCCCAAGCTGTGCCCGCATATTATGTACATAATTATGTACTACACACATAACTGCATGTGTTGAATATTTTTTATTTAATTTAATTAATTTAATTCTTAGAATTTTTTTTTAAATTTTTTCTTTTTTGTGGGAGTGAGTAAAGGGTATTTAAGAGTTGAGCTTGCTCGACTCTAGCATTCCTTTCTTGTTTATAGATGGAACTTTAAAAACATCGATAACAATGAAATACCTATAAAGTAATTTTGACAATCATACTGAGCCAAGAAAGCCACAAATAATTATTTGAATTTCAAATATTTAAGTGGATTTCGCAAGAAACTTACAAATTAACAATTAAAGGCATCAATTTATTATTATTACATAGTTCGGATAAATATTTCATGACATAGCCTTAAAACTAGTCCAATTTGTGAGCAAATTACTTGCATTTTGATCTTATTATTAAAGAAGTGTTCGAAGTGGGAATTTATGTGTAAATAACGAGCCTTCAGAAGATTGACAATAGCTGCTAATCCCTCTAATACTGGTCAGAAAGTAACAGCAAAATGGTCTAATGAATACTGCTTACCAAAATATGAAAAAAATTTTGTATCTAAACCAAAAAAAAAAAAAAAATGGAACTGTAACCCTGTCACTTCTTTTTACGTCATGATAATACTGAAAGAGCTAATTGTAATTTCTGGTATCCACGTCCTGATTAGACATCATTCTATTCCTTTCCTTTATTTTCAAATATAGAATAAAAATGGGCAGAAATAGCAAGATAGAGATTATTTGAACATTTAATGAAGAAATTGAGATGATATTTTTGGACGGTTTTGACAGGTGGATCAGTGGACCTACCGACTAAAGAAATGTATTGAATGATAATTATATGGATAAAAAAAAGCAAACACTTTCGTTCGCTCGGCCCGTACATATACATACATATGTATATACTAGTTTATATTCTCGAAAATTTATTGATTTAAATAAATTGTACATACATGCCTATGTACACGGACGTAAGTACATATTACATTAATGTACGTTAAACTACACGCACTTATATACATATGTGTACACACTAATATGTATGTATAAACATGGATATGTATGTGTTTACTTACATACATATGTATGTACATGTGTATATTGCTTTGGATATTATATAAATATGCCACCAATTCACTTAATTACGCAGATTTTTAAAAAACATTTTCTACGGTAACGCAATTTTACCCATGTACATGTGTATATACACATTCAATCCGTGTATATACATTCATAAATACAATTATACCTTTTCTCATGCACACATATGCAAGTTGATATTTGGTTTTGGTATTACCTTGTTCAGCATTACTAATTGGTTGCACCTTTCCTAAGGTTGGAATACTTTTACAAGCAACTCAAATTTAAATGTCATTTGAAAATGTACTTTTGTAATTACGATTTATTTTAAAGACGTCGTATGCGACCTATGATGACATTAATATTAATTTAAATCCGTCGAAAGTGGTGCCTTGTTGGTGTGTAAAACACATTATAATCATATTCTCGTTAGAGATGAACGATAAGGTTTGTACTTGTGATTTGTCACGAGTATTTAATCGACAAAATCACAATGGTGAAAAAACACAGAGAATGCACAGATACAAAAAATCAAGTCACGGCCCAGCAAGCTGAAAAATGATCACCTATTTTCACGACTGGTATCTTGAACTCGCATTGAAGTCATCCATATCCGCTCCCATTACAGTGTATCAAATCCAATACGTCGCCTGTGTCTGTCTTACTCGCCTAGAGATAATGTAATTTTCTCGCCATCCATCCCAAATGACAATTCAACACAGACAAATATTTGCCACTGCTGCAAATTGAACCATTTATGCTATCTGCATTACATTTCATCTAAATTTCATCAGAACCGGCAAAGTCTATTGTTGCTTGCTTTTGTTGCCAACTCAATTGCAGCATTGCCAACTGCATTTTTCAATGTCATGCATATAAAGTACCGGAAAAAGTACAGACATATAAAACCAGCAATGACGGCACAAGCTGAAAACTATACCAATAAATGATCAAATATAAAAGAAAATTCCAAAAAAATGTATATACTTGTATAAAACAATATGGGTTTCGTTTACAGATTCTAGCACTTATCATAGGCATTCAAGGTTCACATATAGTTCAATATATTTTCTACACACATAGCATGTATGTATGTACATATGTATGTTTTAAAATACTTTTCAGCAGCCCCTCGTCAAATCTTCAGAAAAAGCTCTTTTTATGTGTAAAAGTATTCTCTAGTAAAAAGTTTACTCAGTGTTGGTCTATAACTCAGTGTGCGAGTATCGCCGTGTAGCTTTTATTAAACGACGTGAGGTCATTGAATAGAGCTTTTCGTAAATACAAACAACGTTTTTTTTTATCATTTTAACACTTGAATGTTCCATGTTTATTTGGAACTACACATATAAATTAAAAATATAACTAACTTTGCCGTTAAACATTTCATGGCGTTGACATCATCAACGTAATACTACATATGTATGCCAGCTGATCAATACTTACCTTTAAAAATACTCGAAAGCACACACAAACATATACTAATGAAGATTGATATGTGCAAATAAATATATACATACAATATAAGCTCTAATTTTCGAATAATTAATGTAAAACACTTTGTATAGATAGATAGATACAAAGTTCTTAAGTATTTATTTCTTTGGCAATTTTATTTTCTCTTTAGGTAACAATAAAAAGAGAACATGAGCTTGCGAGGGGATATGTCAATTATACGCAACGGACGCTCTACTAGTCAAATATCAATATACAACTATCCAGAACACCTTAATCCGTTCTATGAAGATGACAATCACAAAAGGTTGCGTTTCTGGAAAACTCAGAAGAAAGACGGCATGGAACGCCGCAGTAGTTTTTCCTTAGAAAACTTACGTAATATATGGTAAGATTCTAGTACGTGTGCGATGTCGAATAAATTCGTTCTTGTTTTACCATCTACCTGAAACTTTAAGGGGTATAATAAAACCTGATGTGTTGTATATAAAAAACGTAATATCGCTGAATAAGCTTCAGGAGCTGGTAAAGTATAATAACTGAATAACCAAGCATGGGTTTAAGTTCGAATAAGGACAAATTTATGTTTGTGGCTCAGCTGCAGACTTTTTTTTTATTAATTCTTGTTTTAACTTTCTGGGTACTTCTACAAAAAACTTTTTACCCCAAGGGAACTATGTATCTAATAACATAACAATTGTAGTATCTGTATAATTAGTCTTGGGTGGCAAATTTGACAATACATTGTCAAATTTTGATTAAATTAACAAATTAAAATGCGATATTCTTTTATTATATAATCCCTGAAAGGGGGCCAAAAAACATCGATTAACTGAATGTATCCTCAAAGAAAACTATTAGCTTTTTGAAAAAAAGCTTACAAGTATGAAGAGGGCACCTTTTTGCCATTCTCGGATCTAGCTTGCTGGGCTTAGAAATAACTGATAACGCTTGATAAGCACATCGCAATTTCGTATTATACGCCTGAGCGACCCAGTATACCTTTCAATTATAAAATTTGTGTAAATGTATACATTTGCAGGTCTTTCAAGTCATTTTCAATGAAAAAGAAGTCATCCACCTTGGGTATAAATAAAACATCTGAAAGTCCTCCAATGTTACGTCGATATGATATGAATCGAAATACCATTGGACCAATTCTGTCCAATCGGACTGGAACTCACAGAAGCTCCCTACCAGAGGTCAACACACCAAACACGGTATGAGAGCATTAGATTAATTCAATAGATTAATTGTAATCGGCGCACAGTGGTCTGACAGAAAAAGTGAGGGACAACGTATAGTACAAGAGTCGAGCACGCGCGACTACCTTTTTTTTAAATTTATTTAAAAGTTGGAAAAATAATTATCCACAGGAAAATCTGCTTGAATAGTCAATAAATGTCTGACCTATAACAAATCCATTCGATACAGAACAACATTTAAGTGGATTTTAAAACTAACAAACATTATAGATTTTGAGAATCCATCTACCCCCCTTTCCCAACCACCAAAAAATATATACATACATATTCAGACCACTGTGCAATGCACCATTTATTTATATTGAAACCTTAAAAAAATTAGCCTTAACAATTATTTGTTAAATATTTGTATTTAAAATGCAATATTTTGTTTACTTATAGAGAGATTCTGGAATGGCTTTTAATCGAAATGATCACACCCGAAATACAATTCAGTTCGCTGGCTATCGAGCTTCCCAGACTCCTCAGCCCATAAGGTAAGTCACAAAATTTGTACACCTTTCGAAAGGTAAAAACGGGCAATATAACAACGCAAAAAATACCCCTTTAAAATCAAATAAAAAAACGGAATGCTATACGCAAGGCATTTGAATCTGAGAGTGGATTAATGGCGGACATCCGTTTATCGTTTCGTCTAGTCGTATATGCTGAGCAATGGATATTTATGTACATACTCCTATGTATGCCTGTCGCAATATGTTTCATCTAGCAATTCTTTCCCTTTAGTGTTACAATTCATTTTCTCTTAAGAGAAGAGTATACACGTCTCAATATAAAGTGTCATATTTTCATTCAAACACTGATAATTGTTTATTCAAAATGTTAGCGCATCTTTGGAGATGAGCCGTCCGCGGCGCCTTCCCAGTCCCCAGATCATCGTTTTGAGACATCGCCGGCGTAATAGAGTGGCTCGATCTTCTCAGCGAGACCTTGAAAATTGTGTGCATATATACATTTTAATTTTAAATATATATAATTGTGTTCTAAACTTAAAAGTCAATCGGTTCAACATATTTTTGGCTAACTTTATATACTTTAAGTTAGAATTTAATTTGTAGATTGTGTATGCCATCAAAGACAAATGATATTCTCTACGTAACAAATACTAAGCTTGATAAATGTTCTTAATCGATTTAGATCCAGTTTTGCCAGCGCCAATCCTTTTGAAAACGAAAACAGCTACAGTTCCAGAAGAAGTAGCAACCAAATGGATGGAAAAAGGACTTATAGAAAAAACAGACGAGCACCTCCACCACCAAGTAACTATATGGTAAGATTTTATCAACCAAAATACATTTTATAATATCAGATACAGCAAAGAATATATGTAATTTGAAACCCAATCTCCCAACCCAATTTTAAAAATTAACTTTTAGGTATTTGGGTCCAGCTTTTTTTAAATATAGCATTGATTTTTTTTAAAATAAATAGCGATTTTAGCATTGCTATTCATCTTTTGTTAATTAATTTATTAAAGTGTTTGATAATGGGTCTAATTTTAGCTGGTCAGATGTTGTTAGAAAGTCGTTATTAGTGATACTATATGGGTATAAGTTGTTGTCGCGTGACAACTTTCTAATCTAAGATATAATCTTGCAACGCCCTTTCACTGTTTGGGTATAAAAAAACCTCCATCACAAGGTTAAGAGAAATCATTTTATTTTTATATAAAGTCTTTGCTGATATTTATTAATGTGTACCGATTTACATATATCTGTATTTGTATTTGTTCACAGGTTAACAGTTCTGAGATCGGAAACAGAGTTGAAGTATCAAAACCAAGTTCTGAGAATACAGAGATAGAAGCTATAGACATTACAACGCTTACAAATGAAATAAAACAGTTTGTAAATACTTCAGCGGAATCGGAGGACCAACTTGAACAGAAAATACCCAAATCAGCAAATGTTCATGATGACCGCACTACTGGCATACAAACCGGGGGAAAAAGTCAACATCCCATTTCATTATCAAATTCAAACATACATCATAAGCAACACATCGGGGAAAAAAGTCAACATCCCATTTTATTATCAAATTCGAGCTTACATCATAAACCAAATTCGGTGGACACTTTAATGGAATCGGAGAAAAAGCTCGAATTGGAAGTGCCCGTATCCGCAAATATTTCCGATGACCGTACTATTGTCACAAACGTTGAGGAACAATCTCAATGTCCTTTAAAACCCAAACGTAATTCTGACGAATCCGCAATTTATCAATTTTCAAATGATATATCTATGACTAATGATGTTAATAGTAGCAAACAAATCCAAAATGTTGTAAGAGAAGATGTTCAAGATAACAAACACAGTGTTTTCGTTAGTAATAGAGATGAACTAAAAAGTGCACCAGCTGCTCATACAATTGTTCTGAAACATCCACGCACTACAAGTCCCATAAATATTGTAGTAAATCGTTTATCAACATTTCAACAAAACCCTACCAAATGTGTTAATACAAGTCCCAAAGGTAAATATCAATTTAACAGAGAACTACCACAAATAGCTGGTATTGAGAATGAGTTGAAAATTAATGAAGATATCGAAATAGTAGAAGAAAATATTGTACCAGTACAAGCCAAAGAAAGTCAGGTTGTTAGGCAAACTGTTAGTCCAGTATTAACATTTGATGATAATTTATCTGCTTCATTGGAAAACTTAAATGTCGCAGCAAAAGAAAACAAGACGCATGATGTAATAAAAGAGAGTCTTAAAAATAATAATAGTGCTGAAATACAAATGCCCGTAATTGCTCAAAATAGTGAAGAGAGACACAACGACCGACTGGGTGCAGTGTCTTCTACATTCAAAAGCTTTGATGACAACCTCAACAGAAATGAATCAATAAATAAATCATTTAAGAAAAAATCTGTTAAGGAAATTATCGATTCAATTACTCGTAGTCAACAAATACTAAATGAAAGTGCAGCGAAGGGAACAAAAACTTATTCAACATTAATATTAGAAGAAAAAAACAACGCTTCACCCAATAATGTTGGCAGCTTCAATATAAAAAGTGAGCCATTAAAGCTAAGCAATAATTCGCCAGAAAACGACTGTCTTACTGGCATTCAAAAAAGTAAAATTCATAAAGTTGGTTTCCAGCTTAGAGAATCATCTCCAACAACATCTAATCTTGATTGGAATCCAGTTCCAAAACCAAAAAGAAATATTAATATTTAACTTATTTAGTGTGTACATTATCTTTTGTCTAGAACTTTAATGTGTAAAATGGACCGAAATATATATTTTACATATACATACTTATACACATAATATATATTTGTGTATATATGCTACAAATATATATTTAGTATATATATGCTACAAACTTTTATATATCGGTATCACATATCCTTTCATTATTTTCTTGTACTTAATTGGATTTTTGGATGTTAATCGACAAACAAACTCGCATTAAAAATAAGTTTAAAAGGTCAGGAACCTTTCTTTGAAGAAATAATTTGCTGTCACTGTATTTGATTTAAATATCGCAGAAAATGTTGAGTCGAATATCGAGCAATACTAAGTCAATTAAAAATAATAAATGTTAAAAACGCTCAAATGATTTGGTTGTGGTTTTGATTTTGGTGCCGTAATAAGGTGGCTGTATTCGTCAAAATATGTAAGTCGATCGCAGTTTATGGAATTTGAAAAAGTTTTATGAGCAAAGTACATATTTTTGGAAATCAATGACATGATAGAAATATCAACTTGTCTGCTTACTAAATACAAGGAACCTGGTCTTAAGTTTTTAAATCCGATGTACAAACCATGTGGATGTTAATGTGATGAACGTGGTTAAAATGGAACAACACTATGTAGTACTTACTATAGTACACTAATTAATTTGTGTGGCTTTTAATGCAGGCGGACATTGCCTTGTCTCACAACTTAGGTATACAAATTTCATTTCACGCAATTAAAGTCATCCAATTTCGATTATGTTTGGCTGTTTGATGCCATTTTTATTAACTTGTGTACTAATAACAATTGGATTAAAAATCAGTTATAGATTTATATACATACACAATATAGTAAGTGTTGGTCGAACAAGACTTTTTGATTAAGGAGTAAAATATTTGAAATCAATATGACGTTCATTAAGTTTTTGGTCAATCCATGGCCTTAACTGAGACACACTTGCATATACACCTGGCACATTTTCTTCACCGCAACCAATTCCCCAAGCTACAATACCGGCTTGGTAATAGCGATCCCTTTGGCCCTTAACGGGACACACTAATGGCGATCCGCCATCCCCTTTACATGTGTCTTTATCTTTCTCTCCGCCGGCGCAGATAAAGCTCTTGTCCAAAATAAAGTGCTTGCCGAGACGCGTCTCACGCAAATTCGCCTGGCACTGGTTCCTCTCCACAACTGGTAAGTCAATTTTCTTAAGAATAACTTGGTACACTCCATCTTTTCCAAATGTATTCTTTCCCCAGCCAGTTGCATAGCAGCGGGCCGAGTCAAATTGCTCTCCAGCAGGGGGTAGACATATGGGTTGTATGTTCTCCTGCGCGGTGAAAGGACTCTCTAAAAATAGTAGTGCGACATCATTGTAGAGGGCTCCCTTGTTAAACTGCTCGTGATATACTATTTCCTTTACATAGCGATCTTCATGAGGGATAATCTCACTTTTCGTCTGTGTATCCCATTCGCCTGCTCTTACTATTAGAGATTTAGCGTCTTTATTATGGACGCAGTGGGCTGCGGTAAGTATTACATCCGGGGATATTAAGGCTCCGCCACATTCATACAAGTTAAGGATGCTTCCGGTAGAAGATTCTTCGCGTAAAATTGCCACCATCCAAGGGAATTCACCAAATTCTGCTTCCTGGTCAACTGCAAAAGCCGTGAATGCATTATAATACAAATATACCAATGCTTATCAAGCTATCATCAAACAGCTAATAAGTTTTCAGCTCTAGCTTTTACGAACATTGAATCAGAATTTAAAATTTGGACAATTAGATGAGGCTATGTCTTTTCTTAAAACACCCTTTAGGTAGGGCTTTCACGTTTAATGCGTAAATAATTACTTTGGCCGGTTATTTTGAAGCCAACTCCATTTGGGTTTCGATATCCACAGCCCTGATTCTCCACGGGATGTACTATTGGTGTTACAGGTGTGTCTCTCTTTAAGAAAAATGGAAAACGCATAAGAGTATCTGTGTCCTATGCGGTATTGCAAAATATCTTACTTTATTTGGAAGGTCGCAGCAAAGATCTAAATAGTTTTTACACGGTGCATCAGTGTCAATTCGAATATCTATTATATTTTCGCCACTTGTGTTAATGGTATCATTTGCACATAGCCATCTTGGAACACACTCCTTCTGGTACCCACATGATTCATACTGATTAAGGTTTTCTTTTGTATCCGGCGTCAAAACGGTGGTCTTTGTAGGTGTTGGTTGAAAAGGTACATTGTTTCCATTCGCTTCAGTTGTTGAGCTGAACGAATTTGGATCAGTTTTGAAAATATCGGCAATGAGATTGTCCAATGATGAGTCCTGGGCTAGGCAAGTACATACTACTGCAGTCAATAGAAGAACTAAATAGTTCGCCATTTCGAATACCTGTATTTTTGGACAAATTGTATTCTTTTATTAGTTGTGCCAACTCAACTCAACGCGCGGCAGCTTGGATGTGTAATAAAAACTACCTAGATGTGAATCATGAAAGCCGAGGAAAAACCCTCAAATGAACATGAAATGGTATTTCTCTGTGACCAAAAAGTATTTGCATTGGATTTTGTCAAGCAAAGTTTTTTGGAGAATGCTTGACAATGTATTTTATATATTTCGCCAGTTTATTTGTTCGGTCTTGTGAACAGATTTTTGTCTTAGATTATGCTTTACACATATGTTAATATACATATACTACATATGTATAGGAATATGTTGTATTTAAAATTGTTTGTCGTCCCCAAGCCACTGAGATTGTACTTTCGATCCGAAAGTGGGGTAAATTGCTGTCAGGGGTCATCATCATGCTAAACATCGAAACGTAAATATGTTTGTGTCTAGTTATTCTGATAAGCACGTTATTGGCTTCATCTCCGCCTGAGGTTTTGGTTCTGTCTTTATTGATATGCATAAGCTTACATACATACAAATGTACACGTTTACATACGAAAATATATATGTATTTGTATGTATGTATGAACGTCAATATGTACGTCTGTGTGCAGATTATGATTGAAAATGCTAATTAAATTTGTAAATACATGTACAATGTATTACTCGTATATTAGTACGAGTATTTACTCCATGAATCATACGTACATATGTACGTATACATATGTAACACAAAATACATGATTTATACATACATATTTTGTATAATTTTTAGCATATATACCCGTACATATGCATGTATTTACGTGCATATATCATACATACTCGTACATACACAGTCTTCGGAGATTATTTAGTTGCAAACTGGTTTTGAAAGTTAATCTACTACCGGTTTAAATTGGTAGGTGTTGCGAATGGTGAATTGAGTTTAAGAATACATTTAAAATGATGCCTATTGTCTGTCCTACATACGCAATTCCAATTCCGAAGATCGCAGGAAAGTACCGAATAGCGATAATTATATTTGTTCTTCTTTTTAGCACGATGTGCACATTTAAAACACACACAAACTTGTTAACGGTTGCAGTCGAACTGTTCTCTGTTGTATACAAGACTCAACTGAATCAGAATCGAAATCTATTAGGCAGACGAAGTTATTTCAGTCCTCTCTCGGTTCCAAAACTACATCTCAGTGGCGAGGGCTGATTTTAAAAAAGTTAATAAATATTTCAACTTGCTACTGATATCTTTCTCGGACGTCTGCTCCGTACCGACTGACTGTAGTGTTGCTCTTGCTGTTGAAGTATAAACTTTGCAAAATACATATATTTTTTCCATTTCACTATCCACCTTATTAGTCGATATTTGCACGTTTATGTAAATATTTAATGAGTGAAAGTGAATGGAGTATCTGGTTTTATTCACAAATACCTTAAATATAGTACAATGCTTCGAATGACTATTATCCTACCAAATTCGCAGAGAACTTAGGATTGGTGGCGACTAGACAGGCGAATAAATAACCAGGGGTCCTCATGTAAGTGCACTTTCCCGGCTACAGAGTATTCTCGCTTCATTATGGAAAAAGTGAAATAGGCTTTTCGGTTTTTATTGATGCGGCCAACCATTTGCTTAGCCATTTATAACTTGCTGTAATATAAAAAACAATTGATTCCTAAAGCGGTCATGTAACTTGGCCCTTAGATGTGATGCAGTTAAATTACCGCCCCCAATCACGTTAGTATCTAACGCACATTCTTTTTTGTGAAATAGTAAATTCTTATTGGAGAATGGTGCTGGCTATATGGATTTCGGCTCATAGCCTTAAAAACTGGAATAGTGGATCTCAAAAAGAATTGATCTCGTTACGGTTCTCATGGTATGTAGCTTTTATGGAGCTTCGGCCACAGACATCTCTTCAGCACCTGGCATACCTCCACAAGTCCAAATCTTACACAAATAGGAATTTTTCTTCGAAATTATGGCCAAAGGAAACAACACAAAAACTCATAATAGTATTTATTTTTCGCCTTGAAGGGTTTTTGATTTTTAAATATATAAATAATATGACATCAACTTTAATAATAAAATGTAAAAGTAAACCTCTAGGGCTTGTTCACTATAACGTAAATATAACAAAGATCCATGTGGTACTGTTGAGATTTTGCTGGTGTTTTGCATTTTTAAGAACTGTTTACTTATGCTTATGTTATGCTCTACTTATAATACATACAAGTATTAAAGTATATCGTCGCCTTCAAAAATACCACCAAGTATGCCATCATTACCATTATCTTCCAAGTCACCCAACCCAATTCCGATTCCGTCATCAGCACCGGGTGGCACAAAAGCACCATTGAAAACATCTTCCAGTCGGTCTTCAATACCCATTGTGGAAGCGATGCCGTATATGAGGCGCATTATTACAAGGCGAGCAAAATTTGGCGTACTTGTCTCTTTGCCTTTACCAAGAAACAGTTGTCGTGAACTATCTATAATGGAAGCAGCCTGATCCCATTCTATTGACTCAGAGTCGTCATTGTTTTCACCGGTTGACCCTTTTATTATTACAGCTAGCACTGTTATGCCAATAGCGACAATGTAAACATTACTTGTCTTCATCGTTTTAACTATGCAATCAAAACTTGTTTAACACTTGTCCCAGTTGACTCACACGAAACACTTTGTTAAACGATCTGATATCAAACTTGTACTGATGGTGTAACCAAGCTTGCCCATTGAAGACTCTTTCCTCAGTGTTTTATTTTCCAATTTACATTCAAAATTTCTCCTTTTGTAGAAACAGACGCACATATACATATATGTATGTGAGTATATGTGTGTCTTCAGTTATTGTTTTCAAGTATGTATTAGACGTCTGCAGGTATGCACAAAGCTGGCATACCTATACATATGAAGACATTCATGACAACGCTCAAGCAAACTTGTAAATAACTTTGGACTTTGCACCACGCAGTTAGAATCATCGCTTTTCTTTTATTAATGTGCGCATTGCAATGACAATTTTTTATTTTTTTTGAGTTTATCTCAAATAATATTAGGATTACAATATACACAATCAACTATTAGTTTACTTGTAGGAGTGATTGTTTTACATTTTGACGCCAGCAATCCGTAACGTATTCATGCAAAAAAAACCGGTTTTTTTAGTATTTATCGAATCAGCTGTTTTTAACAAATCGCGATAGTGAATACGGAAAATACAAAATACGTTTCACACACATAATTACGAAAAGATAATTCCACTTTACCCTGTGGAGCGTCAATAAATTCATTATTTAAATATAAATTATGATAAAAAAGAAATAAAACAAAAAGTTGAGGAAACAAAACACGCTACAGCTCAAGTAATATTTTTGAGTCGGGGATGGAGTAAAGAATAAATAAAAAATAACAGAAATATTTAAAGCCATGAAATAGTAAACTATAGTGTAAATACGGCATTAGGCTAATACAAGTAATCAGTGTATTCCAGCAACGCGTAATTTGTTGAGTCTAAGTTATCGAATGCTCGTAATCGGTTACATTTTGCCGTTTGAGCCGCTTTCTTTTAAAATTAGAATTCCACTCACGTAATAGCTCAAATAAAATATACAACAGTGCTCAAGATGGCGTTTCTATCGGAACACGCAACAACAACAAACAAAAGGCATTTTGAGTTGCTTCGGTAACAAACAAACATGAAAAAGAGGTACAATACTGCCTTTTTTGATTTTGGTCATGGTGTTTCTCGCAAGTCCAAACAACTATGTAGATAAGATATAGGATTTAAAAAATGTAAAGATTCTAAAGTTTCATATAATCTCTCTCTTAATTTACTTAAGGGCTTTAAATTGTTTATCCTTACAATGTCCAATAACGACATACAGTTTCTTTTCTACTTGTTTATTTTTAAATTGGATTTTTAAGTTTTTCTATGGCATAGTGATTTACCCCTACTAAGCTATATCAAAAGTATTTTGATAATCGAACAATTTTGTTACACAAGATCTACGAGCATGTATGCACAATTTAAATTAAACGTGTTGGGGTGTCGCCTAGCAACGCCTCCAAATCAACAATGTTTTAAGCAATACTTGTCAAACTAAGCCGCTGTGCCTATAGAAACATATAGTATATTTCAGTGAAGATATAATTTCCACAAGCAATACTTAAATATCACATAAAATGACCGCCAGCGAAGATTTTGCTTCGTGCGACTTTGCGAACATTATGGAGTCGGAGGCAGAGCCGGAGCCAGAACCAGGAAACTTAGCTGTTCTTCCGCCCAATCACCCTCTCTTGCAAAAGTTTCAAGAATCCCTAAAAGAACATCTTCTACGTACCAAACGAAAGCTAGACAACGAGATTGCCGATTTAAAATACGAAGTCAAAGCCAAAGAACAACGCCGAGAAGAACAAGGATTGAGTCTCTATGAAATGCAACAAAAACTGGCTTTTCAGGAAGAACAAATAAAAGAAATTTCAACGCAAATAGATGAGTATATAGAGAAGCGCCAATCAGAGGAGGCTACCGTTGCAACCTTAAAGAAGGAATACGAGGAAAATGTTATACTGACCAAGTCACAAAAGGAGTCTTATCATAAGCAAATGGTAGAACTCGAAGATTTGCAAGGCCTTAACAGCAATATTAAGAAATGGACATATGAAGTCGAAGATGAAGTGAAGAACGCAAAACGAATTGTTAGCAGAGATGGACAGTTACAAAAGCAGTTATCAGAAGAGAAAAGGAAATCTGATATACTATTCTACCGTTTAGATATGGAGGTTAAGAAAAGGGAGGTCGAGTTGCAAAATATTATCGACGAAGAAGCAGAAATGAGGGAAGTGGTCAACATAAGTTATATGAGCATTGCTGATGCCAACACCGATTTAGAAGCACTTCAAAATGAGTACAAGAGGCTTTCGCAAGCGTGGAATGAGGTTATTATTGCCATACAACTCAGGGACAAAATGTTGTTCCAGGTGCAAGACACTATTGGGTAAGCTCTCGTTAGAACATACTACTTATATAAATATATTTTTATATACGAAAATTATTGTTTTCAATAATTTAAAAATAGGAAACATAAAGAGTCCATTAAACTGAGTTCATCAGGCATCGAAGCAGTAAGAAAGCAAATCGCAAAAGAACTAGAGCAGAATCTTAAGCTTGAAGCATTTAAGCAGAGATTGGCCGATGATACAAACTCTCTAAGGCGCGAGTGTAAGTACCAATCAGTTTTCCGTATTCTATGAATCGCGTTGTGATTACAAGCCAGTAGTTTTTGCAACAACAATTCAACCAATTGCTTTCTCTAATCCAAGCTAGCATTTAACCGAATACCACTTAAGCCATCAATAGGTGGTTATTTAATTTTATTTATTCATATTATTTATGTATAAAATATTGTGAAAAATTAAATTAAAACGGCTGCCCTCCTCTGCGCTTCTCAAACTAAGTACCTAATCGAAGCCACTTTAGCCATCAGTAGGTGATTTATTCATTTTATTTATGTATAAAATATTGTGAAAAATTAAATTAAAACGGCTGCCCTCCTCTGCGCTTCTCAAACTAAGTACCTAATCGAAGCCACTTTAGCCATCAGTAGGTTATTTATTCATATTATTTATGTTTATATTATTGTGAAAAATTAAATTCTTCTCAAACTAAGTACCTAATCGAAGCCACTTTAGCCATCAGTAGGTGATTTATTCATATTATTTATGTATAAAATATTGTGAAAAATTAAATTAAAACGGCTGCCCTCCTCTGCGCTTCTCAAACTAAGTACCTAATCGAAGCCACTTTAGCCATCAGTAGGTGATTTATTCATATTATTTATGTATAAAATATTGTGAAAAATTAAATTAAAACGGCTGCCCTCCTCTGCTCTTCTCAAACTAAGTACCTAATCGAAGCCACTTTAGCCATCAGTAGGTGATTTATTCATATTATTTATGTATAAAATATTGTGAAAAATTAAATTAAAACGGCTGCCCTCCTCTGCGCTTCTCAAACTAAGTACCTAATCGAAGCCACTTTAGCCATCAGTAGGTGATTTATTCATATTATTTATGTATAAAATATTGTGAAAAATTAAATTAAAACGGCTCCTCTGCGCTTCTCAAACTAAGTACCTAATTGAAGCCACTTTAGCCATCAGTAGATGATTTATTCATATTATTTATGTATAAAATATTGTGAAAAATTAAATTAAAACGGCTGCCCTCCTCTGCGCTTCTCAAACTAAGTACCTAATCGAAGCCACTTTAGCCATCAGTAGGTTATTTATTCATATTATTTATGTTTAAATTATTGTGAAAAATTAAATTCTTCTCAAACTAAGTACCTAATCGAAGCCACTTTAGCCATCAGTAGGTGATTTATTCATATTATTTATGTATAAAATATTGTGAAAAATTAAATTAAAACGGCTGCCCTCCTCTGCGCTTCTCAAACTAAGTACCTAATTGAAGCCACTTTAGCCATCAGTAGATGATTTATTCATATTATTTATGTATAAAATATTGTGAAAAATTAAATTAAAACGGCTCCTCTGCGCTTCTCAAACTAAGTACCTAATCGAAGCCACTTTAGCCATCAGTAGGTGATTTATTCATATTATTTATGTATAAAATATTGTGAAAAATTAAATTAAAACGGCTGCCCTCCTCTGCGCTTCTCAACCTAAGTACCTAATCGAAGCCACTTGAGCCATCAGTAGGTGATTTATTCATTTTATTTATGTATATAAAATGTAAAATTAAATTAAAACGGCTGCCCTCCTCTGCGCTTCTCAAACTAAGTACCTAATCGAAGCCACTTTAGCCATCAGTAGGTGATTTATTCATATTATTTATGTATAAAATATTGTGAAAAATTAAATTAAAACGGCTCCTCTGCGCTTCTCAAACTAAGTACCTAATCGAAGCCACTTGAGCCATCAGTAGGTGATTTATTCATTTTATTTATGTATAAAATATTGTGAAAAATTAAATTAAAACGGCTGCTCTCCTCTGCGCTTCTCAACCTAAGTACCTAATCGAAGCCACTTGAGCCATCAGTAGGTGATTTATTCATTTTATTTATGTATATAAAATGTAAAATTAAATTAAAACGGCTGCCCTCCTCTGCGCTTCTCAAACTAAGTACCTAATCGAAGCCACTTTAGCCATCAGTAGGTGATTTATTCATATTATTTATGTATAAAATATTGTGAAAAATTAAATTAAAACGGCTGCCCTCCTCTGCGCTTCTCAACCTAAGTACCTAATCGAAGCCACTTTAGCCATCAGTAGGTGATTTATTCATTTTATTTATGTATATAAAATGTAAAATTAAATTAAAACGGCTGCCCTCCTCTGCGCTTCCCAAACTAAGTACCTAATCGAAGCCACTTTAGCCATCAGTAGGTGATTTATTCATATTATTTATGTATAAAATATTGTGAAAAATTAAATTAAAACGGCTGCCCTCCTCTGCGCTTCTCAAACTAAGTACCTAATCGAAGCCACTTTAGCCATCAGTAGGTGATTTATTCATATTATTTATGTATAAAATATTGTGAAAAATTAAATTAAAACGGCTGCCCTCCTCTGCGCTTCTCAAACTAAGTACCTAATCGAAGCCACTTTAGCCATCAGTAGGTGATTTATTCATATTATTTATGTATAAAATATTGTGAAAAATTAAATTAAAACGGCTGCCCTCCTCTGCGCTTCTCAAACTAAGTACCTAATCGAAGCCACTTTAGCCATCAGTAGGTGATTAATTCATTTTATTTATGTATAAAATATTGTGAAAAATTAAATTAAAACGGCTGCCCTCCTCTGCGCTTCTCAAACTAAGTACCTAATCGAAGCCACTTTAGCCATCAGTATGTGATTTATTCATATTATTTATGTATAAAATATTGTGAAAAATTAAATTAAAACGGCTCCTCTGCGCTTCTCAAACTAAGTACCTAATCGAAGCCACTTGAGCCATCAGTAGGTGATTTATTCATTTTATTTATGTATAAAATATTTTGAAAAATTAAATTAAAACGGCTGCTCTCCTCTGCGCTTCTCAACCTAAGTACCTAATCGAAGCCACTTGAGCCATCAGTAGGTGATTTATTCATTTTATTTATGTATATAAAATGTAAAATTAAATTAAAACGGCTGCCCTCCTCTGCGCTTCCCAAACTAAGTACCTAATCGAAGCCACTTTAGCCATCAGTAGGTGATTTATTCATATTATTTATGTATAAAATATTGTGAAAAATTAAATTAAAACGGCTGCCCTCCTCTGCGCTTCTCAAACTAAGTACCTAATCGAAGCCACTTTAGCCATCAGTAGGTGATTTATTCATATTATTTATGTATAAAATATTGTGAAAAATTAAATTAAAACGGCTGCCCTCCTCTGCGCTTCTCAAACTAAGTACCTAATCGAAGCCACTTTAGCCATCAGTAGGTGATTTATTCATATTATTTATGTATAAAATATTGTGAAAAATTAAATTAAAACGGCTGCCCTCCTCTGCGCTTCTCAAACTAAGTACCTAATCGAAGCCACTTTAGCCATCAGTAGGTGATTTATTCATATTATTTATGTATAAAATATTGTGAAAAATTAAATTAAAACGGCTGCCCTCCTCTGCGCTTCTCAACTTAAGTACCTAATCGAAGCCACTTGAGCCATCAGTAGGTGATTTATTCATTTTATTTATGTATATAACATGTAAAATTAAATTAAAACGGCTGCCCTCCTCTGCGTTTCTCAAACTAAGTACCTAATCGAAGCCACTTTAGCCATCAGTAGGTGATTTGTTCATATTATTTTTGTATAAAATATTGTGAAAAATTAAATTAAAACGGCTGCCCTCCTCTGCGCTTCTCAAACTAAGTACCTAATCGAAGCCACTTTAGCCATCAGTAGGTGATTTATTCATATTATTTATGTATAAAATATTGTGAAAAATTAAATTAAAACGGCTGCCCTCCTCTGCGCTTCTCAAACTAAGTACCTAATCGAAGCCACTTTAGCCATCAGTAGGTGATTTATTCATATTATTTATGTATAAAATATTGTGAAAAATTAAATTAAAACGGCTGCCCTCCTCTGCGCTTCTCAAACTAAGTACCTAATCAAACCACTTAAGTCTTTGCGATTCTCAAACGATAAAAGCATCTTTGAACATGTAACTAATTCTTAAACTTGTCTCCTTTTTATTTAAAAAAAAAATAAGGTCAGAAAGAAGCCGATTTACTTTCGACTCTTCAAACAAAACTTGATGAACTGCCAGAATTTTTATCCAGAACAGAAAAGGACTTACAAGAAGCAAATAGAGAAGGCACGAAGCTGTGGTCTGAAATTCGAAGACTTGACCTTACTCTGGAAAAATACTACCAGAAGAAATTTCAAATAGAAGAGTGCATTCTTAAGTTGGCTCAAGAACATTTAATTACTGACAAAGCCAGTGCATATCGGCTCAAACTTTTAAACAAGGCGCAAGAGGATCGACGGAAAGTCGATTTGTCCTTGTCGAAGGGACAAAACCAATTAGCGTCGGCAATGCTAGATGTAGAAAAACTGCGAGGTGTTCTTTTTAAAATCACAAACGAAAATGGTAAAATTAAGAAAGATTTGGACAAGGCGGAAAACGAATCGGAAACTCTCGATAACAACTTAAAAAAAATGCAAACACAGATTGAAATTAAGATGAAACGTTTCGAGAAGCTAAGTAACCAAATTGAAGAAATTTTTAAGGCTTGTGGTGAAGTCTTAAGTAGTCCTACAGAACTCAAGGTAAAAGAAAAACTAGATTTGGCATATATATATATATATATATATATATATATATATATATATATATATATATATATATATATATACATAGTATATATATAGTATGTATACATAGTATTCAAAAATCGGCTTTTTAATGTGTTTTTAAAACAATTCATTGCTTTTTCAGATCAAGCAAATAGAAAAATCAATTCATACTGGTGAACAGAACATACGAGAGCATCAACAGTTTTGGATAATGTTGCAAAATCATTTTGTTAATTTATCCCAAAAACGAAATGATCAGTTGACTGAAATTCAAGTAACTCGCAAACGTAAGTAGTCATCGGTAACATAACAAATATTTATTTGATAAAAGACATGTAAGTCTGTTTTAATGGGCTAAACACCAGGTTTAGTTAGTCCAGGTCTTATACAGACAGACACAGGCAAGGATATATAGACTTTGGGGGGTCTGCCACGTCTCACACTAAGCTAGAATACTCTTTTTCTCTTTGGGTACAGGGTATAAAAAAATACATATCCGCCTTTATTTTATGGCTATACATCATCATATAATATACTAATTTAATCATCTATTTTCACAGAGCTATCAATAATAAAACAAAAATCACTTAAAATTGAACAAGACTTGGAAATATCGGAAAATAAAACAAAGAACTTAAAACAAGATATTCAAAAATTTACGTCTAAATTGGAACTTCTCAACGACAAGATCTACAAGAAACAGCTATCCCATGAAAATGAAGAAACTGAATATGCACATGAACAGTCGGAAATGAGCCAAAAACTCAAGGTAATTAATAATATATTTATTAAGACACACTTTAATACTGTTGTTTTCCAGAATTCTGAACTTGGTATTATAAAAGTTGAGGGGGATATCAATGATCTCCTAGCCGAAATAGATCTTCACAAGGACTTGGTTCTTGATAACCATCGGGAAGCCTTGTCATGGGAAACTAAATACAAGTTGATAGAAGAAACAATCCGTTGGTCAAAAACAGAGCGATCATTAAGCGGTGAAGTTGGAGCAATGAAAATCGAAATACACAGAATGCATATACGATATAATCAGTTAAAGCGCGCACAAGAAAAGTTAGTTCAAGATTTGCAACACTGTGTTATGCACAGAGAGCAAATCTTTGTGGATGCTACGGTTAAGGAGCATATAGACGCCAAAATGAGAAAACTTAAAAACTTCTCACAGGTCCAAGTAAAGCTAGATGAGCTACGAAACAAAGCAAAGTTGGTTCAAAATGAAATAACGCACCTATCGAGTAAGCGTTTAACTGACGCTGTCAATAACATCGAACGCATGATTTATATTCTTCGAAAGATTCAAACTGATTTAAAGGATGTTACTGAAGAGGATTATTCAATTCGAACTCAAATAGATGAAGGTCTCTTGCTAAAGCACTCCAATTTGGAACAAATAATTCGGAAGCAGAATCGAGCTAAGGCTTATCGAAGACTAAATAACACAAAAACTCAACAGAAACTAATTCGATCAGACTTGGCAATTCAAAATCAAGCTCAAAAGCAAAGCGTAATAAATGACACTTTAATGGAAATAGTTCAGACGTTAATGTCAGATTATCCAGAAAAAAAATCTTTCTTTACCAAAGTAATCCATATTCTTAAGGAGTAAGTATTCTATACATTCGTAAAATTTACCTGGAATTTAAATAAAATCATTGTGGACAAAATTGCACACCTTTTTCAATTTGACAAATACTATATAAATTGAGACACAAATAAATCTATTTTGAATCGTCTTCGGAAGATAAAAACGGGTTGAATGATGTTTATATATGTGTATACCATTTACCCAGCTGCTGCTGATTTCAAAAATGGTTATATCGTGTTCACTAGCTTTTTTATTTCATATAAATTTATTAAATAAATAATTACTGATATATGTATGTATGTAGTATGAGAACATTTTTTGTGGACATGTACTTTGTTAACGCTAGCATGGTCTCTTATTATTATAATTGGTTGTAATAATTAGTTTAATTATTTCTAAGGAGCTTACATTAAAGAGCTTACAACTAACTGATTCATGGTGTTTGTCCAAATCCTTGGGACCTGTAGAGTGTGAAAGAGTCATATATGCCCTGAAGCTCGGACAAGCGGTATTCTTCCAGACAAACAATACCCTGCAGTGTTGGCGAAAGTTTCAATGCACAGGCCAAGCAATGAACGACATGACGCTTTTCCTGCTCTCTAATGAATAGCACATTAAATACTTCCACCTAGAATACAAGGGTTTTTATTAGTGTGTTATCTAAAATACACATTAAAAGCGGTATCTTTGTGCACTCCGTATTTAATGAACTGATTTTTCTGCATTTGAATAAAACAAATTACTTTGCACTTGGGATCGAAAACACCATATACGATACATTTTTATTTCATCTTTTTAAATTGAGGTTTCCAGCCCGACACAACAAATGGCTTTGAAAATTATCCAATGTTTCACTTTCACTGTCAAAAATCTCACACAATAAGTACGTTAGTACCGAAATCGACACAAGAGAAGCAAAAGGATAAACACAGGAAATATCACATTTAAATAACTCAAAGTTCGAACCGCAAACAAATAAAATTGATGTGATGTGCAATAAAATAACATTTTGAATCAAAAACCACCACCCACATAGCAGGGACCTGCTTGAATAAATAATAAAACTGAATCACTTACTTCACATTGCCCACAATAATGGGAAGCTTCGTTCTTTCCGCGACCATGGAATCTTATTTCAACTCCTTTAGATGCTACGTACGCTTGTGTATGCAAAACATTTTTTAGGGTTTGCATTAAACACATTCTGCAAATCGAAAGAAAAGACAGAAAATATAGATTAGATACAATAATTTCATAATTGTAATAAATATATTAAAAGAAGTCACTAACATTTACTTACTTTATTAATTCAAACAGCTTAGTGTCTGATACTTTGATATTTCTTGCCAGATTCCAGCTTAAATGAACCATCGGCACAATACTTTTGAAACTCTGTAATTTATTCCACTCGTACCGTTCTATTGCAAGAGCGTACTGACGTGCTGTCAATGGGCCAACGTTCCAAGCTATGTTGTTGCACCAACCAACCGACTGCACCCAGTGAACGCATCTATGAAAATATAAGTTGATTATATTATACCTTTCTTATGCACACGTTCTGCCCACTGTTTTCATATATTGGGGTTTTACTTGCGTAAATATGAGTGGGCTAAATTCAAATTACTTACCCAGCATTCACCCATACCAGGTCTCCAGGTTTCTGTATAAATCTATAAACTGGTATGTTTTCCTTATATAAGTCTTCTAGCACCGGCCACCATGATCCATGTAAGTAACTAATGTTATTCTTTTCACAAAGATTATGAATTCCGCCCCAATATGCGTCTGGCACAGCAAACCACTCACAATCGCCGGGGCCAATATTTATGTTGATTGAGCAAAAATTGTTATTTTCTTGGTGCCCAGGTGTCCTACTTCCTGGGACTTTCATATACAGCTGTACAGTATTCATGCCCAAAATAACGTGACCGACATGAGACAGCATATTTGCCGCTGAAATAACACGAGCAAAGGCAGGCAATTTTTGTAGTTCGCTTAACTGGGGCTTCCACTTTCGTTCATCGGATAAATCGACGTTCGTGCCAAACCTTTTAAAAATGTAAATATAAAAACTTTAATTGTTTTCTTTTTATTACTAAAATAAGACATTGATTGGGTACCTTAACATTTTACTAGAGCTTTTCGACCTCTTGCGTTTAATATTTATGTTGGAATTCGAAACAGAGTCTTTTGAGTCAGAATCTGACATAACTTGAGAGCCGACGGAGCCCTTATCACGTTCATCCTATTGTGCAAAAACAATAAGTATTTTTCAATGGAATATATTATGTTTATTTACCTTCAAACTTTCCTGAAAACTAGATGCTTGATATTGTGCATATTTTGCTATTGTCGTGTGGGATCGGTGAGAAATACAAGCCCAAACCTTCTTTGCTTGGGATATATCCCAATTCTCATCCGGTGATTGATGAACCTGAGTTCGGACTTCCACGCTGTGATCTGGATTTGCTTCAACCAAAGTTTTCGTTGAAAATAGACCCAAGTCCAGTTTTAAGGCGCCGGCTAACCCTCGCACAACAGCAATAGGGTGTTTTAAACAAAACTCTTGAAGCTGTGGGCTGAATGCATTTTTTTTATTTTCTAAGTGAACCGAAGGTGTTGGTGGCAAAAGTTGGTCCCGCGTTAGTCTTTGCGGCGGACAATCCGGCGGAGATGGAGGAGGTTCATTGAGTTGGAGTACGGTATAGTTAGAAGGAGGTTCATCAATTGGCAGCATTTTTACAGCAGATACTAGTTGCTTTGAGTCCATTTTAATTTTAAACGTTGGCAGTGTTTCAATGTCATTATATAAATTCTCCTCTTCAAGTTGATTGTTTGAATTTTTACGAAAATCGTTTGTGAATTCTTCAAATATATCATCCGACTTTTCATTGGCACCCTTTTTCATATTATCTTCTTCTTTGAGTGTTTTAAGTAAATCCTCCGCTAAGGTGCCTGATAATTCTTTTTCAGACAAGATTGCACTTAATTCTTGATTACATATTCCTGTTAAAAATAGAAAATAATATTCATGTGTTAAACTTAATTCAGAAAAAAACAATACCCACCCAAAACAGTGGAGTTGCTTTTACAGTCCACGTTCATTAAGTCTTTGCATTCATTTTCTTCGTTTACAATATTCGGAGACATTGATATGAATGAATGGTTAGAAGCATTCATGGTTTCAATACTTTCTGGTACGGACAATGTATTTTTATTGTTATTTGTCAAAGATGTATCAATAAGTGTTGACTTTTTCTGGCGCTCTGCCATTTGTATTTGTCGATTTTGATTTCCTAATTGTTGAAAAAAGTGTGGTTTTTGGTTGTTAACTGTGCTTGGATTTTGTTGTAAATACTGAACGATGTTTATTTGGTGTTGTGATGAAGTATGTACCGATTGTACTGGGTATGCACCATCATCCTTCGCCCGCTTCACAGGTATTGGGCCTTGATTGGCTTGGTTGAAAGGGTAGGGAGGCGGTGGACCCTTATTAAGAAGAAATATAATAATTAATAATATAAATTTTTTGCAGTATGTCACTCTATATTCCGCATGTTTCGCATAGATTTTATTTAGTGTATGTGCTGGATTAGACAATTTATCTCTTATAATGGAGACTTTTGATAACGATTAAAAAAAAAACTGTATTGGTTAAAGTCTTATTAAATATTTGACCGCAGCTTTCATATTGCTTTGCTCTTTTTACTTTATAACAATGACACCACGAATGCTCTGTCTAAAGAGATTTCATAGAAATGGCAGACGCGCCCCAATAGTTTCAGATGATCAACGGGCTCTTCTAAGTCCGTTATGTATAGTCTGACTTGCTTATACTACTAATAGCGGATGGTATGCATATTATAAACACAGCATTTAAAGTTTACCTGTACTGGATTACTTTTCCCCATCTGTTTTTGTTGCATTTGGACTGATTGTTGATGTTGACGTGAGTTCATCTCTAAAGAAATAGGAAGGTTCCACGCTTCCTCAATTGAACAAAGTTGTCTTCTTTTCGATGTTATACTTGGTAAAGGAGCATTTGCAAGCTGGCTTTCTAAGAATTTAATTCGTTGATCTAATCCCTTCATTAGAAGAGGTGCATCGTCTTTAACACAAACGCCTTCATTATTCTCTTCCTCAGTGCGCGCGTTCTGTTAATGTACAAATTAGTATGGGTAATATTGAAAAGATGCTGACAGAAACATGTGGATTTTATTATATATAATTAATTTACTTCATGGCTATATGAAAAATATTAAATGATTGATTGTATATACCTTGCTTAAAATCCTTTTTGTGGCATTTAAATAGCATGCATAGGCATCTCGTAATTGACCGCAACTCTCATACAGAATTCCAAGATTTGTCCAAGCAGCCCTATGACTCTTGTCTAATTGAACAGCACAAATGTACGCTTGAAGTGCATCTGTAGGTTGATTTTGTTGCTGATACAAGACTCTGTAAAAAGTAAGTCATAAACAGAGCATTGAAATGATATTTAAAAATATTACCCAATTGAACACCATGTATCTGCATTGCCTTCACTTTTTTCCACAGAATTCCTGTATGCTAAAAACGCATCGTGAACTTTATTCATACCGGCGAAACATCTTCCCAACAAGTATAGTGACTGACCGCACTTTGGGTTGGCTTCGATAGATTTTTGTAAAAATGACAAAGCACAAGTTTCACGTTCTTTTTTTTCTCCTAGGCATTCGACGCAATGATGCATCCATCCTTAAAATAAAAGATATGTTTGACAAATTAAAATAAGATAAGATAATAGAAATATATTCTTATTAAACCGCGTCATGGACGGCCGATAATGCTGTTATGTGTTAATTGTATAAGCATTATTACTATTGTTATTAGTAGTATAGTAGAAACTTACCTAACTGTCTTAAAATTTTTGCTTTGAGATCCAATGTCAAATTTTTCTCGCCCAATAAAAACTCATAGGAAACTTTTGCGGCCTTATGTTTATTTTGTACCTCATATACATGGGCAATCTGAAATTTAACTTTAAGAAAAATCAAATAAAAATTAATATTTTTTATTAACATTTAATACATACGATATTTGGTGATTAAATTTTTACCTTGAAATTTTGAAAAAGTCGAAGGCGCTGAATCAATTAGGGCCAGCTGAAAGTGTTTTAAAGCTGCTGAATATTTTCCGTAAACTTTTAACATCAGACCAAGCCGATAATGAACTTCATTGGCGCATGGGAAGTTCGGATTCAAGTATATTAGTTCCTGAAATGACTTGATGGACCTTAAAAAAAGAATTGAATAAATTATATGTATGTATATAGTCCACCAAACTGGCAAACAAAATTTACCCAAGACGGGTGGAAATTCTTTCAATTAACTTCATTTGCAATGGCAAATATCGGAAATAAACTATGTTAATTAAAAACAGAAAAGTAAATTGCAGGGGTATGTATTTAGGTTACAGAGACCCGAACATAACCTGCGTATTTGTTTCATTTTATTTTTATTGTTGTAATGAAATCAAAGCAGGGAATTTGAAACAGCATAGAAGCGGCCGAAGATGTGTGAGAGAATTTGAAAATAAACACTTCTCTTCCTGGTATACATACAGACAGGTCTTGCGGATATATCAAATTGTACTAAATGCATAAATGCATACACATGTAAACACAAACATGGAAGTATGTATGTACATATGCACGTACATATTTACATACATATGTGTGTACGTGTATTTATACATGTGTGCAGATCAGTAATATTTCTGACAGAAATCTGTTATATATTGAATGTAAATGAATGCATATATTTGTATGGTGCATATAAATATACATATTTCGATAATTACATGAATATGTGAATATGTAATGATCCCTGATATACATATGTACACACACACATACATATGTAAACTGCAGCAAGTGATGTTGTTGTTATTTTTTTTATGGGTACCCATGCACTAAAATCATTAAATTGTACTTACAGTTCCGATAATATATGATAAAATTCATTTTTTCTTAGAGAATGGCAGTGTTAATATTACGGTGAGTCTTTTTTTTACCACTAATTACTTATTTATATACACAACACAATTGTTTTGCACTAGAACCAACCACCAAATCCGAAATATATATTGTAAACTATGTGAACCGACTGGAAAGAAACATGTTTTCAGAGTTTGTTTGGCCTAACCGATTTTACTCATTAGCGATAGGTTTCGATTACAACCAAATATACTAGAGCATTTATTTTCTATCATCGATATGGAAAAAGTTTGCCCTATCGGTTTGGAATGTTTAAGCCTTAATGGGAAGTATCGAATTAAATATACATACATATCCATATTAAGAATGTAAAATGTGTTAATATGGTGATTGTGGAAAAATATCAAACTTGATTTCACAGCAATTACAGCAATCAATATACAACGATATTTAATAATTTAAATATTTTTTATGAATATGAGTATTTCTGATAGCTGTGTAAGATTTTATTTTGTAGGTAAAACAGCTGACTATTCTGAAAGATAGACCACCCAAATCGTTCACATTGCTACTTAATAAATAAACATAATCAATTGATTATATTTTTACTGAATACATATTTTGCACTTGCAGCCGTTTTGTTGACAAAAAATCTTGCCATCAATCAACACTTAGAAAAACATAGCATGGTAGTATTACTGATATATGACCAAAAGACAAAAGAAACTTTTGCCAGGCAACATTTTTTAACGCACCTTCTTCTTATGTACCTTTGTACATAAATACACATTAGGTATATTAAAAGTAATATTAATATTTACAAAAATAGTTAACATGTCCTATGCCTTATTTAAAGTCGTTTGATTAAACTCACCATTTATAACAGCACAACTTAAAATAAACGATTCCTAATCCGTATAGGAAATACTGATTGTGCCAATATTTTCCACAAAAATGCAGGTACTTCTGATAGGCAGATAGGGCTAAAAAAAATAATTATATATATAATTTAAGAGTTAACTAATTACAATCATATTTTGTGTACACCCGATGTGACGATGTATGGAAAAACTCAACATTAAGCTGATCCCAGACAGGGACATTATACAGATTCGTATCTTCTTTCGTACTTGGAGTATATTTTTCAGATTGTCCCATTTCTGATTATACTATATTTATATATTTACATATAAAACAGGGTCTGCCATACTATATTCCACCTGTTACATACATTTCAGTGTACATTTACATTTATTGAGTAGGGTAGAACGATAATCAACGAATGTGGTTGATTTTTCTTGTACAAATGTACACAGGAAGCAAGCTGTGCAGCATCCCAATCTTTATCTTCCCCAGGGCCGTGCACATCAATGGCGGCAGGAGGTTCTCAATCTAAACGTACTCCTAAGCTACAGTAGAATAAAAATCATAAACTGGAACTTAGGAGAACGTAAATACAAACTTTCGTAGATCCAGCTTTAACACTTCCTAAGATTCCTACTTTAATGCAGACGGACATGATAGTAGCAACTGTATTATAACTATTATAATCATTATCCCGTAGCTTTGAATTTACATACCTTCGGGGTATTCATTAAGCAGTAGGTGCAAATGTCCGAGTTTACAGAATGTGTTTATATCTATTTCAATGCCTTCTTCATGTCCTTTTGCAGTCTCTTGTTTGTTCATATCATGTTTGTGTGTATTTATGTAAAGTATATTTTCCTTTACATTTTCATTTCGTTGCACGTCGTTTTGAACAGCTACGGGTTTTAAGTCACGTAGCTTTGCAATCCCATCGGAGCGACATATGGCTATTTCGTCTTGTAAAGATGTAATAGATTTTTTTATTAGCGTCTTTACTTCGGCGTTTTTAACATCAGAGACATCAAGGAACCCAAAATAGCGGCTGAAAAGTATAATTTGCTGTATTATTTATATAAACGAAAGTTCTGATTTCTTACCTATCCAACTTTGATAGCGTATGAATTTCTTCAATTGAGAATGAAATCATATTTTTTATTATTGTAAAATTGACGAAACTTCACAAACATACATTCATTTATGAATATATTTACTAAGTATATTATCCAATTAAATTATCGGTATCGATATTTTCATTTCCATTGTTCCGCAGTTGCCATCTCAGTGAGTGTAACAGCAAGAATACTGTTCCACAACTTACAGTGTACGTTCCCAAATTCTGGGTTTTCACTGCTATTAATATTCTTGTCAAATAGCTTTAATGTTAAATGTAAATTTTAGTGTTTTCACAATTTTTAAAAATTACTGTAGATATTAAGACGAAAAATTCAAGTTATCGGAGTAAAATATCGATATTTCTATCACGAGAGAATCATCACAAATAATGTATTTACAAAAACCCAAAAACGAAAAACAAACAGAACTGCAACTCGAAAATGTTGATTATTAATTTTTTCTATGCGTTTGTTTACTATATTTGCATCGTTCACAATACTTCAAGCTGTGTCGAATAATAGGCCAGTCGAAATAGAATGACGTATAAAATATATTTGCATATAATAAGAAATCCTGAAGGATCAATTTGAAATTATGAATATGTTGACTGATTTCACGACATTTTTAATGATGTGTTTGTTAAAATCGACGTAATTTTTCAAATATCAATAACTCATTGAAATCCAATCCAGTGCTGGTTCTTTGTTCATGGTGATTTTCATATTTTATTGTTTTGATATTCTATAAAGCGCCAAACTTTTATTCGACAATTTGAATAATTAGGCCCTATAAACGGGTGAGTGAATTTTAATAAATTAAATTTTTTGCTGCTTCGTAAAAGGTGCTGGCTTTTGTAGAGCGAATATACCTATATAAAAATACAAATATTTAATTTCTAAAACAACCTCCACTTTTTTGGTGTTTAAGATTGTTATTCCCATAGGATCGTAGAGGTAGTAATTTTACAGAAGTCAACAATTCTTTATTATGTAATATATGCAAAAACAACATTTTTGGAAAAAACATACTATTCCCCATACCACAATTAATTTACTGCAATTAAAGAATTTGGGACGTTTTCCCAAATTTCCTCACAGCTATTAACAACAGTTTGTGGACAAGATGACTTATGTTTCATAAAAAACCCTTGAATTTGTGCTGGACTGACTGGGTGATGAAAAGATATTACTCTATCAGCAAATTCATTAGCCTTTGTATTTTCATGAGGACCATAAAATTTTTTAAACATTTCTTTAAGCTGAAAGTGGGTACAGTGTCCTATATATTCTTTTAAATCAATTCGGCCAGGTCTTATTAATGCAGGATCCAATCGCTCCAAATAATTTGTAGTCATAAATACAATCCGGGCTTCAGTAGAAGCAACCCCATCTAAGCAGTTTAGTAGACCACTAAATGTTATCCTATTTAAACCATCATACGCCGATTTTTGGGTGACAGAACTTTCCCGAGAAACGAAGGCTGCATCGATATCTTCAAGTAATATTATTGACTGTTCAGGGGCAGCATTTAAAAGATGATTTAATCTATCATCAGTAAGACCCCTTTCAGATAAGTTCAACAAACATATACCATATTGTAGTTCCCCCGCTAAAGCCGTTATAAAGCTTGATTTCCCACAACCTGGTGGGCCATATAAAAGGTAGCCTCTCCGATATGGTATTCCTCGTTGGGTGTACCAAGAAGAGTTGTTAATAAAATCTTGGCAATCGGCAATGATTTTTTGAGAAATTCCATTATCTAGGACTACTGATGAAGTAGGTCTACGTCGACGGGGATGTCCGAATGGTCTCCATTCTGCGCCCATCGCAGTATACATAATTGTTTTTCCTTCAGTAGATTGTAGAGCTAGCTGACGCGCATCTTCTAATATTTCAAAATAAATTTGCTTGTTTCTTCCTAATGCTGTTAAAGTCACTGATTCCCATGGAACACCCATTTGTATGTCTAAAGTTTGTTGTTCTCTTGTACGCTCTACTTGTATCCAATTGCCACGATACTGAAACAGATGTTTTCCAATACTTGGTATAAAATCAAAGCTGGTATTAATCTGTCCATTATCGTTTTGCAAAAATGAGGTTTCTACACTTAAGTGCTGGGTTTTGCGGGCGCCTCGTAACGTTATCCATTTTAAAAGCCATTGATATGATTTATCTCTGCATGGAACTTCCAAGGTAATCATTAAATGTCTTCGGAATAAAATAACACCGCCTTGTAGTCCTTTTCTAAGTATTGCTGCACCAGCTCCAACACCGAATAATCCAAATCCGGCACTGAAGTATGGGTTTTGAGACAAACTAGAAAAAAGATCGGCCCACATCATCTGTATATATTGAAGTCTAAAAGAAAATCAAAACATTTCATTAGTGTTAATACACACAAAATACAAACATATTTTTCATTGGAGTGATAACCGAATGCATTTATATTCGAAATCTTTCCCCAACGCTATGCTCTGCATTAATGTTAGAAAATAACCACGAACAGTCAGCTGACAACTTCAGACAAACCTAAAAAAAACTTTTTAGATGTTGGTGAGATATTCTTACACGACAGTAAAATGCCTTTGTGTATATGGTTTGTTAGTGGTTAAACGTCAGGCGCCACGAACGAAGAATATTTAAAAATTATGTATGTAAGTTTAAAACTTTTCGGCCACCTTTGCATTCATACTCGTCGGATTGGAAAAATGTGACGTAATTTTTTTATGCTCATGTTGAATTAATGAATTTATAATTTATTTAGAAAACTTGATGAACACAAATTGCAAGCTTATGGTACAATAAGTGTTGTACCACGCGCCTAACTTAAATTTTATATAGTAGCCTTCATTATTATAAAAACAAACAGTTGATTGTAGCAATTATAAACTGTGATGAATTAAAAACATCAACTTTAACATGATTGCTTACATATCTACATATTAATTCATATATTAAGGAATCTTCTAATAGAACACAAACTTAATAGGACTGCAGCTCACAACGTCCAGTGTCATGTAACATAAGACTTGCTACATAACTTCATACATGTGAATACTACCAAAGTAAAATTCCGTGTTAAGTGCTTTATGAAATCATCCAGATAAAGATTTAAATTACATAAGTAAAGCATCCTTACTACAGTTATGTTGGGCCAAACAAATGCATGTATGTATATACGTATGTATGTGCCTATGTCTTATATCCACTGTATTTATTAAGAACTAGTGATGTTAAAGTGGAGAGTCGAGGAAACATCGATTTTCGATATCAAAACTTGTTGCTAACCAAAAACCGTAACAAAAAGTAAAAGTCCACCACAGCGAAAAAAAGTACTAAACTATTGGTCAAATTTAGTCATTTATGTCTGATGCGAAATAAATAGCGTTCGATAACTTTTTCGATTCGGTCGTCTTAATATCTAGTGGATACTCGGCTTTAATCAACTAAATGTAAAAACTTATTAATCAGTGGTTTTAATGTCAATTTACAATCCGATTATATGAAAGGTTTGTAATGTTTACATTTTGTTCGGAATTAATTGTCTAAATATTTACACCTATTCAATAGATATGATTATAAATATGTACATACATACAAATCTACTTTGTTGTTTTTTAACACCCGAGGGTTTAATGCCTCGGCTTAGTCAATACATTCATTAATAAGCAAGTGGTTTTTTACGTTTGAGGTATTGCAGACTCTAATTTAAAACTAAATGAATGCCATATACATACATGAATATTTTTGTACGTGCGTCATAGTTGTACTCATGAATTTACGGCTCGTATTGAATTTGTAATTCCAGATGTATTACATACGTACATACATTCATATGTATGTATGTACATTCGGTGGCTTACTATTTATTTGAAGTAGCACCTCTATAAACACTTACATACATATGTACATATGTATATGTTCTCGCATATTTTGCTTTGTGTCCTAGCGTACATACATACTGCTGACTGAGCAGTTGAGTCACAGTTTAGTTATTATAATTTATAACAAACACTTTTTACACTCTTGCGGAGGTACATATATTGAATGATATTCCTAATTTGGGTTTATCTGTAGCTATGTTTGTGGCAGGGTGTATCAACTAAGATTTTCACTGGGCTTCAATAACAACATTTTAGCGTCTACGTAACATTAAACGAATTTCGACGTTTGAATTGGTGTGATTTTTAGCCCCTCCATATGAATCGTTTCATGTTGTTATTTAATTACTTTGGTTTGTTGTCCAATACGTATCTTATTGGATTCATATCAAAGAACTGTTTGTGGTGTGGTTAGGTGTTGTCAATGAATTATCTTTTATCCTTTAACTATTTCTCAACACTAAGACCATGTATTACATGTATTCCTCTAGCTTTTGTTGTAGGTTCAGGGATTTAAACAAATTCTTCACATGTTCTCCATTAAATATTTGAGTTATGAAGGCTGTCGGAATAAACTTTGTCAAATTTCCATTTCATGCATGTTCCAAATTCGATCAAAGCTAAATATCGTTGGTAATATTGATGAATGTGGGCTTAAATTGGGCATAACGATATAATATAAAATATTAAATCTACTTTTATTTGGATATATGTATGTGTAGAAATGTATAATACTCGTTTCCAAATTATTACAGAAAAGAAAAACATTAATATGAACAGAGACGTAAATTTAACAATTATATTCAAATAAAATTAATAATTATATGTACACATTAATTATCCTTAAGATTAATATTTGCGGATTTGGAAGAAATATTTAGTGCCATTGAAGCTTAAGTGGACGCAATTCAATCCTAGTATATATAATAGTATGCACATACCAATACATAAATTAATGCACTGTTATCTTGTCTTTAAATATAGATTACTTTCCAGATATGCGTATGTTTTATTAAAAAAGAACACCAACATGAGCTTCTTAACCTATCCAGGAAGTGCTACCAATGAAATTAAGTGTTTCATAGTCTTTGTGCTGGTGACTTTGTTTGTTCCCTCACAACAGGTATGTATTTATATACTATATATGTAGTTAGTACAATATGTAAACTGAGCTTAAAAACATATTTTGTTGTTATGATAATGCACTTGTTGGTTTTTTAAGCTGTCCAATATTTACCGTATACTCCAATAAACATATTTCTTGAAAACTATCATAGGTTATTTGTACGGAAGCTCGTAACGTATTTAATTTTTTATTTAAATTTTAGGACTGTGTGTGGTTTGGTGTTTGCAATATAGACGCCCTAAGCCACCGTCAATATTGCTCCTATAATGGCACTGCGAAGGAAATGGCTGCTGATGCTTTTCCACTTCTGAAGGAAAGATGTGGTCATTTGCTCGAAAATGGGCAAACAAGCTTTTGTTGTGACGAAGAACAGGTACGTAACTTGCGTTAATAACAAATTATACCAAATTTACTATCAAATTTACTATTGCGGGCTTATTATTATTGAACTGTTGAAGAGTTGATGAAGATAAAATGTCTTTTCAGATTAAAATACTAAATACAAATATTAAGTTAGCCGCTGCTATTCTCGATCGATGTCCGGCATGCATGGCCAATTTAGTTCGTCATATGTGCGAGTTCACATGCTCTCCAAAGCAAACAGAGTTTGCCCATGTTGCTCAAACAGAAAAGAATGATCGAGGTACGTATTCCATTAATATGTTGTATATACTGCATTTTAATACACATATTGAAGTGTTCCCAATTTCGTGATGGTTTCTAAGAATTTGAAATATTGAATTCTGTTAAAAATCATAATTTCCTTACGCTTTTTCTAAGACGTTATCTATTTCTTCACTGTTCTTTCTTGATTTCAGGACAAGATTACATAACTGCTTTGGACTTACATATTACTGCAGAATATTTGAACAAAACTTACAAATCGTGCTCCCAGGTACGTATAATACTTAATAATTTATGGTCTTTTGTTTCTGGTTTGCATCTGTTTTGTTTGATATTTTATTTTCTTTTCAGGTTTCTGTTCCACAAACGGGTCAACTAGCACTAGATCTAATGTGTGGAGCCTATCCTGCATCCCGTTGCAGTCCTACAAAGTGGTTCACTTTTATGGGAGATAAAAATAACGTATACGTACCATTCCAAATCACATATATTCAGCATGAGACAAATTCATCAACAAATGAGTTCATACCTTTGAACCCAAAAACAACTCCATGCAACGCACCCGTAAGCGTAAGTACAACAATCCGCTTACAGTTAAAATCGCGAACTGATAATGTTCTGGTATTTTAGTCAATACATGGATTACTTTTCATGGTGACTTCTTGTATCCTTGCTAAATCTAAGTTCTATTGACATGGAAATTTATTGGTTTTATATACTTTTGTTGCAGGACGAATTGCCAGCATGCTCATGTTCTGACTGCGAGGCATCGTGTCCACAAGCTCCGCCTGAACCAATAGTACCGGATAAGTTTACTATCGCAGGATTTAATGCATTCGCTGTTATTATGACAGTCGTATTTGCAGTTGGGGCGACTTTGTTCCTAATGGGTGCTTTTATTTTTACTGCAGATTTATTGAGCGGTAAGTCAAAAATCAAAAATACTATTAATATTGTTTTTCCAATGTTAAAAAACAAATCAGTACGCGGATTATTTTTTATGTTTGAAAAACATGCCCTCCTCCATTTATTTTAAAAGGAAATGAATTTAAAAATGCAGCTCTCCTCCGCGCTTCTCATATGAAGTACTTAGCCGACGCCACTGTTGTCACCAATACCCGATTTTATTATATTTCATTTTTTAAACTGAATTAAAAGGACAGCCCTCCTCCGAGCTTCACATGAAGTACCTAGGCGAAATCCATTTAAGCACTGATCTAATTATATTATTTGACTTTCTATAAAACTTATAAGAGGCACAAAACCACCATCCAAACTAATTTTCAATCATTTTAGATGACGATTGTGATACTGGAGCGCCTGAAAATGAGAGAGGCACAGTTTTTAGTCGCGACTCAAGATACTTTGAAATGCTCGGTGCACGCACCGAATTTCATTTACAACATTTTTTCACCAGGTGGGGAACATTTTTCGCGAACTATCCATGGCTAACTCTAGGCGGTGGCGCTTGCATTGTCGCGATTCTTGCATATGGTATAGCTTTTATACAAATAACAACAGATCCAGTTCAACTATGGGCTTCGCCAAAATCAAGATCGCGAATAGAAAGGGAGTTCTTTGATACAAAGTTTGAGCCTTTTTATAGAATAGAGCAAGTAAGTATTTTTCGAAATTGAATTTCCCGAATCAACCAAATACATTCGAGTACATATATAAAAATACATTAACTTTCATGAAGAATGACAACTAAAGTTTTAAGAAATGACTTTATTTGTATGTATCTAGATCATTATTAAGGCTGTGGACTTGCCCTTCATTGTTCACAATACGTCAAACGGCCCTCTTACTTTTGGTCCAGTATTTCACAAAGAGTTTCTTACCGAGATCTTATACCTTCAAGAGGAAATAAAAAGTATCAACGCAAGTGGAACTTCTCTCAAAGATATATGCTACGCTCCACTGACAGAAAACAACGAAAAAACTATAAATTGTGTCATCCAATCAATTTGGGGCTATTTCCAAGATGATGTTAGTCGACTAGATGATGAAGACGTTGACAATGGATTTAATGTAAGTAATATGTATTACTTTGAATGGCTTTACTACTGAAATGTGGGTTAATGGCAGTAAAAGGTGTACAAAAATGTATAAGTCGGTTACACGATGCTGGGTGATTGTTCATTGTACTAAAACCCTTTAAGTAACATTAACTCTGAAGCTTTGTTTTTTACAATATTATAATATTATTTTCCTCGTCGGGTATATTTTTTTATTAACGCTCGGAATAAAATAATCTAAATGTTTCTTTTCCTTTTGTATTTCACAGGTTACTTATCTGGATGATTTGTATCAATGCACTAGTAATCCTTATCAGTGCCTCGCTCCTTATGGGGGCCCCGTCGACCCAGCAATTGCGTTAGGAGGGTTTTTAAAAGCCGGCGAGCAGTTATCTGGGGAAACAAGATATGAATTGGCAGATGCATTAATATTGACCTTTTTAGTAAGAAATCACCTTGATAAGGAAAAGCTAGTTCCCGCCTTAAATTGGGAGAAAAAATTTGTTGAATTTATGTCTGGTTACGTCCAAAATAAGTCAAGAAAGTTTATGGACATTGCTTTCACAACAGAGCGCTCAATCGAAGATGAATTAAATAGAGAATCTCAGTCAGATGTGTTAACTATTTTAGTTTCGTATATTATTATGTTTTTGTATATAGCTATATCTTTAGGTCATGTTCAGGAACTTAATAGAGCCTTCATAGATAGTAAAATTACTTTAGGTATAGGAGGGGTTGTTATAGTTATGGCTTCTGTTATTTCGTCAGTTGGTATGTTTGGATATATTGGTGTACCTGCTACTCTTATAATTGTTGAAGTTATTCCATTTTTAGTGTTGGCTGTGGGTGTCGATAATATTTTTATTCTGGTTCAAACTCATCAGAGAGATCAGCGCAGGGCAAATGAAACACACGAAGAACATATAGGGCGTATTTTAGGTCGTGTGGGGCCAAGTATGTTGCTGACTTCAATAAGTGAGAGCTGTTGTTTTTTCCTTGGTGGATTGTCTGATATGCCCGCAGTTAGAGCATTTGCTTTATATGCTGGAGTAGCTTTACTTATTGATTTCTTGCTTCAAATCACTTGCTTTGTAGGTCTGTTGACCTTGGATATAAAAAGGAAAGATGATAATCGTTTAGATATATGTTGTTTTCTAAAAGGGAAAAAATCTGATAGTATTACTAATGAAGGACTGTTATATAAATTTTTTAGAAGTATTTTTGTTCCATTTTTAATGAACATTAAAGTCCGTGCTACAGTAATGGTTCTGTTCTTTGCATGGCTTTGTTCAAGTATTGCGGTAGCTCCAAATATTGACATTGGTCTAGATCAGGAGTTAGCTATGCCTGAAGACAGTTTTGTTCTCAAATATTTCCAGTCTCTTAAAAAGCATCTCAATATTGGTCCCCCGGTTTATTTTGTTGTCAAGGGCGACTTAAATTATGCCAACACTTCTGTTCAGAATTTAGTATGTTCAGGTCGATACTGCAATGATGATAGTGTTTTAACGCAGATATATTTGGCTAGTAGACGTACAAACGTAACATATGTTGCACGCCCCGCTTCTAGTTGGATAGATGATTATTTCGATTGGACGACAGCATCTGGATGCTGCAGATATCACAAGGATAATGGCAGTTTCTGTCCACATCAAAGTAAGATAATAATGACTAATACAAAATCCATAAAAAACACAAACTGGTTATACAATAGTTGTTATTAGCATTGCTGCGACAGCAAACCTATGTAACTTTGGTATCTCCTAAGTCATACCCTATAAACTAACTTCCATTATTGTGTTCTCTTTTTATTCCAGATATATCATGTGCTAAATGCAATATACGAAAAAATAGCTTACAACGTCCAGATCAACAAGATTTTGGAAAATACTTACCGTATTTCTTAATGGATAACCCAGATGATCAATGTGCCAAAGCTGGACATGCTGCTTATAGTGGAGCTGTTCGATACAGTAATGATAAAAACGGGCTTCATGTTGACGCTTCTTACTTTATGGCCTACCACTCAATATTGAAAACATCTAGTGATTTTTATTCGGCGTTGCAATCTGCCAGACAAACTTCTGCTAACATTACACAAATGTTGCAAGGCAGATTGATTTCTAATGGCGCACCAATAGAGTTGGCTCTTAACGTCGAAGTATTTCCCTACTCTGTGTTTTATGTCTTTTATGAGCAGTATTTAACCATGTGGGCAGATACGTTGCAAAGTATGGGAATCTCAGTACTTTCTATATTTATTGTTACATTTATTTTAATGGGCTTTGACATTCATTCGGCCCTTGTTGTGTCTATCACAATTACTATGATTGTAATCAACCTTAGTGGCCTAATGTATTATTGGGATATATCTCTCAATGCTGTGTCGTTAGTAAATTTAGTTATGGCGGTAGGAATATCTGTAGAATTTTGTTCTCATCTTGTACACAGCTTTTCACTTTCAAAAGAAACAACTAGGGTCGACCGAGCAGCTGATAGTTTAGTTCAAATGGGCAGTTCAATTTTTTCCGGAATAACTCTTACAAAGTTTGCCGGTATATTGGTACTAGCTTTTGCAAAGAGTCAAATTTTTCAAGTATTTTATTTCCGGATGTATTTGGGAATTGTTATTATTGGTGCACTGCATGGACTAATTTTCTTACCTGTTCTGCTGAGCTATATTGGTGAGTAAAATACAAAAATAAGTAAAAGTATAGTCACTTCATATAGTCACTATTAAAATATCTAGCCACTGTTTACTATGCATATTGCTTATTAAGATATGACATGATAAGCCAATTCTCTTTTCATTACAGGTGCTCCAAAGAACATTGCTAAGGTGGAATACAACAACCCAGTTAGTGCCGAGCAAGAGACATCTCTGTCTGCAGTTAGATAATTTTAGATGAAGAAAAACCAAAAACTAAATAAAAATGCGTAGTAAAGATATAACATTTTTACAGGTTGAGGTGTTATAAATATTTTTCTACATTTTATGAATAAATATATCTTATACATACTCCACTGACAAAATTAGTTTGTTTGAATTGAACTCATATGATTCTCCAATGAGCCAACAACATCGAAGTAATAAACTTAGTACAAATATATTCAAATTGGGGTCATTTGTGGAAATAGAAAATCCTATCAGCTCAACTATACATGGACATTTTTTGTCGAGAAGCAGGTGTCCATGATGATGTAGTTCTATATAGTGCCAATAACTAGTTCGTTTTTATAGAAAATGGACCCTCTAAGGGGAGACTTTCAATGGACATTTACAGTGAATTTTATGTAATACTACAAATATATGCAAAAATAACCACTACATTTTTGCTGAACACAAAGGAAAATGAGAAATGAACAAACAATCCTATTATTCGAAACAGTATATATTTTATTAAGATTTACTTGTGAGACATCTCACGCTTTTCTTGAAATTGTATTGATAGCATATAGTACATAAGTTTATGCTGTAGCCACTCCCAAAGCAACACCGCCCACAAATCCGGTTAAGAAAATGTGGAGGTCGTTTATTTTCGGTCCATTATCATCCCCAATTAATTTGGTGTACCATTTCTTTGCTTTACTGGTTTTGGATTGCAACAGGCTTTCTGCTTCATCAAGTTTACGGTCCACAAATCTTTCCGCCTAAAACAAGAAAAAAATATTTGTAGTGTTACATAGTTTGTTGTTAGTTATAACATAATTTACACGCTATCCAAAACGCAGAACTATTTACCACAAGACTACTTTGGGTTTGACTTTTGGTGGGGATGGGTGAATATTCTCTCCACTGTCATGGTGTCTCACTGCAGGGGGTCATGGGTCGGGGCACTTGCGTGCTCGTATAGTAACTGGTTCTAAACACACATCCCAGTATAGCATACAGAAACGGCCTGTATTTCTATTTGATATGTATATATTTTTATGCGCGTCTTTAAATGCGTCACCATAAGATGCTCCCCCATTCGCGTGATTTTTGATCGCGTAATCTACGCCGATGACTAATGTGTACTTGTACGAAAATGTTGGGTTGTCAGACGGTTGCAGCAACAAATTTTGGTATTTTAGTTTTGAAACTACATACATACATGCATATGTATGCATATTCGATTAAATTGCTACATCATTTCTAGCAAGGTTCATTTTTCATATATGTACATACATGCATACACACATAATGAATATTTATATACAAACATATATGATATAGAAGACCGTTTCGAGTCTAACTGCAAAATCATTCCATTTATCATATTTGAGTATAAAGAATTTTGCGACTGGTTTTGGTAAATAAGCCCGTTTGCTAACAGATTAGAAACAGCAACAGCTAACAGGAAAATCAAAATATAAAAATGAAAACTGTATGTACTCAGACCCACCTTATCCGCCCAATTTTTTTCTTTTTTGGATACAGCATATTCGACTTTATCAGTAACTGAATCAACACTCTTATTTAGTTTTCTCCAGTCGATTTTTATATAACCTTCTTGGTGAGCAATTTCCATTAAAATGATACTGCCACCAATAGCAAAGGCTGCGAACTTTCCAACTTTCATAGTTGTAAATCCAGTTGCCCTGTAATAAGTAATATTAGAATAGATAAAACACTGTTTGTTTTGTAACATAAATAACTGTGTATTATAATAAAAGGGTATTTTCATTTTTCACAAAATATTAGTTATGGAAAAGCTGGCTTGGATTTAAATTTCATCGCGATGCAAAGGATGAACCACAATTTTGCAAATGAAAGGTTACCAAAAATGTTCATTATTTGATGGTACCCAATTCAAAAGCCAAATTTTGTTCAATTTTAATTCGGGGTTTGCGCATTTTGTTCCTTTCTGTGTGTACATACATACATACATTTTTATGATGGTATCTATACATGTATGTGTGTGTGTAAATTCATTGCAAAGGAACCTACATCAACTTGAAAACCATTTTTCTTTTTAAAAAAGGCGGATGTCAGGAGGATAAAACAATAATATAATAATAAACCTGCTAATCCATATATATAAACAAATCTACGTGTGTACATAATGTAAAATGAATTCAACGTCCTACATTGTATGTACATATGTATATGTATTCACAGATTATAAGTCGATTTGTAGGGTATTTGTATTTTAACATTCGTTATGACATACCAGCCTGACGCAACGCCAATAAACAATTGTGAATACGTAGAGCAGCTTCTGATATCATCGAGGATTCCTCTAAAAAACTTCGTCGTATTGTCCGACATATTTAATAAATATACAAATACTATTACTCAATGCGACCGCAGGCGGCAACACGAAAATGCCTTTATTACAAATACACATAATAATACCAGACCCTCAAAAAATCCCAAAATATACTTAATATTAAAAAAGCTATTCTTAAAGGAATGCTAGTGATAGATTGATATAGCAACATATCGATACTAAGGCTCAGATGGTGTGACACGAAGTGAGGCGTAACTGTAAACAATCGATAGCCAGTATCATTCCAGCACTGACAAATCTTTAACAATTTCGTATATCTTTAAAAACAAATAGTAAACATGAATTTTTTAACTATAATTCGGAATAACTGGAAAAAAAGTGCTTGTGCTGCTGCTATTTCTGGATATGGTATATATTCGATGAAGATACACTATGAGTATGTATATTTATACGTAACATATATATGCACATGTACAACCGTATTTTAGGATAACAAACTACATGAGGCAACTGTGTAATGATGTCGCTTTTTCGGGTGGAATAGAGGACAGTGTACCAAAAAAGGTTCTTGTTGTTATGAATCCCGTTGCAAATAAAAAGAAAGCAGAAAAGTCCGTAAGTTGGTACCATCCACTTTATTCTTGCTTTAGCAAAATCTAACATTAACAATTTTCATATTTTGCAGTTCAAAAAATATTGCGAACCAATTTTGCATCTAGCTGGATATTCCGTTGAAATGCTGCGGACTAGTCACATTGGTCATGCCAAAACTTTTATTGAAGAAATGAACAATCTTCCTGATGCCATTGTTGTAGCTGGAGGAGATGGCACTACATCCGAGGTTGTAACCGGACTAATGCGTAGAAATAGCGGCAATTCATGTCCTATAGTTTTGTTGCCCCTAGGGCGCACTAGTCAATCTGCATCGAAATACTTCCAACATGACGTAAAAAATGATGTTGATTATGTGAAAGCATTGTCCGGCTCATTAATGCCGTTGCTTAAAGGAAATTTTAAGTTCGAGAGCGTGATCCAGTATGATGTACTCGATAAAGAGGCTAGCATTGATGGTCCTAAAAATCTAAAACCCATTTTTGGACTCAATCGATTCTCTTGGGGCCTGATGAAGGATATTGATGCAGTTAAAGATAAATACTGGTATTTCGGAATCTTGCGACATTATGCGGCTGCGTTTTTTAAATCGTTTTCCAGCTCTGTAAACTGGAATTTCGAAACAGATTACATTTACACACCTCCGTGTCCCGGTTGTAGTAATTGTTTTGTAAAAAGCCAAGCGAAATCTCCGTCTGTTTTCTTTTTACGAAATCTTGTTGCGCCAAAGACTAACACCGGAAGATCCGAAAATGAAAAAACAGCCCGTAATGATAGCTGCACCACAAAATTTGAGGGTCGGATTGAGACCAATCAGTTGAATATTGCTTGCAACAGAAACGAAGAGAATTACTCTGAATTAGAAAGCGAGTTTATTAACTCCTTACAGCCTGGGTGGGATTTTGTTAAGAATATTCCTAACATTACCAAAAACGCTATAACTCCAAACTTGGTGCTTAGAAGTCGAACTATCCAGCTATATCCCATAGCGGATACGTCCAACATTTTTTATTCAATTGACGGAGAAGAATATGACGCCAGACCTATAAAGGTATCCGTTGTTCCAAATGCTATAAAGGTTTGTTGTTAATTCATAGATACGGATGTATATTATATGTAATAATCTGACATAAATAAAAATACATGCCAATTGTTATTTTTGAATTTATTATTAATATTTCATTACACATTCACAACAAAAGTTAACTGCTACTTCCTCCCATATCCAGAACTCAGTATAATCATTTTGCAACTCTTCTCTTGTAATAAGAATAAGTTTGTTGCTTATTCGAATGCACGAACCATTTTTTTTACGTAGTACTTTTATTGTGAAAGACTTCGGTTTGCAATAAAAATGTCCATACCAACACTTTTTAGCTATGCACTCTATAGATCGAATGTAGCGTGGAAAGTAGTTTACACCTAAATCAATCCAATTGATCCTGGATGAACATTCCCACGGCCGCGACATAAAAACTTCTGCATTTGAGCCGCCTTCTGTACTAATATATCCATGTTTTGTTGGAAGGGCTCTTTTCAATAATTTGTCTCCTTTCTTCTCAAAGTACGCGAAGTGGTTTGTGTCCCAAGCGGGAAAATCTCCCAAGGAAACAATGTCGTTGTCAGCATAAAATGGCATCTCATTTAAGGATCTCTTGTAACTAAATTCCGAACTTTCTGAGCTTGGTGGAAAAATGCTCATATATCGTGGGTTGAAAGCTTGCCCCAATATCATACTAAGAGTTTTTTGCGATAGTTTTGCACAGGAATCTGATTTCGCGGAAACTATACATTTATAAACGAACAGAAAAATTAAACTATAGATCAATCGAAGTTCCATTTTCACATTCAATTGGGTAAACAGTTGGTGATGGTTGTAGCGATACGCTACTAGCGAAGGACCATGCATACTAAGTACCTACATTCATACATAAATACGTATACTTACATACATGTGACTGCACATACATACATATGTATGTGTATATAGGCGTTCGCATAATTTGTACATCGATAGCAACTTGTTTCGATCTCTATAATAGTGCTAAAAACTGAGTGACCTACAAGCTATATTAAATTTCATGTAATATATTAATTATATTAAAATTAAAAGACTGGTTTACCCAGTGCTTAATATGTGTGAAGAAGGATCGCTTATTGCCAATCTCACTATTATAGATGACATACATATTTTGTGCCAGACTTAGCAACAACTTCAAGTCGTTAACATTCTTTTAAACTTACAAGCAAATATATTATACATACACATATGCCCATAAATACAAGTAGTATGTGTTTTTTTAAAGCGCATCTATACGTGAACCATACCGTATTTTACGGGTTTTTTAATTTTTCCTTGCCTTGGTTATTTTTTCTTAACAAGTATTGTTTTCAGAATATTAATTAAAACTTTAACGGGTTTTCACACACACATCGTTGTAGTTTTGGATTGGCCTTAGCAAAAGAATAGATTTTTAATTTGGCTTTTATTATAAAACCTTTAATTTTTTGACTAAAAGTCACAAAAGAAAAACCAATATTAAAGTCGAACTACAAATTAATTTACTGTTTATTTTTCAGTAATATTTTAATAGTATTAATTTTTTAAAAATATGAATGTAGAAGTATTCCCCTTTCAAAATACGAGAAATCTATTAAATTAAAGAGCTTGCATACCAATACGTTAATATTCTTTTTTCTTTTGCAGCTCTCGTATACAAACTTGGGCTCACCCAATAGTGGCACAATTTTATTTTTGGCTGCCCGCTGCCTTTTCTCAGTAAGCAGTGTCAATATAATGTTTGTATTAACAATAGGTAAATAAGTTGCTATCCATTTATATTTGGTCCCGGGAATGGCATGTTTTTTTTCTCATTTCTCATTTTGAGTACCCCCATATTATAATTATTTTAAGCTGTTAGATTGAAAAAAGATTAATCTATCTAATAAACATTGTTTTTATAAAGAGCACACAATTCAAGTTTACATAGTTTGATATCATAGTTTTTGTATTTTATATTTACCTTTCTGCTTTTGCCTCTCGGGTTATCACCTCGTCAAGAGTTTTCATGCATTTACTATATATATTTACATATAGTACATACATATATGAGTAAATAGAAATTGTGAATCCAAAACCTTCATGCAACATTGCTATGTAAACACTTAATAAATTTAGAAAAAGAGCTTTTGGGAAAATGCATTTATAATTGGGGATGTCTTGGCAAACTAATAACTTTTGATTAAAATTAAAATAAAACAAACCTGGGGGACAATCTTATAAAGTTAGCTCCAACCGTGAATCTTCTTTAAATACATACATACACATGTACCTTTAATTAGAAAGAGAAAATGCTGTGTCCTAGAGTAATAAATGCATTAGTATCTATACGTAATTAAAAATAATTTACACATAAAATGTCTGGGAAATGTTTTTTGCCGTTTACAATAGTGCATGTACTAAAAATATATTCCTAAGACATTTCTTTTGTTCATTTGCACTCTGAAAATATATGTTGTATATACATATATATACATATAAACAATATGTATGTTTGATTAAATGCTCTAATACATATATATTTATAGATAATGTTTAGATGCATTTATAAAATGAATCTTTTATTGCGGGGATGCTGCTCGTAGGTTTTGTAGCACATCAATTCAGTTTGTGTAAAGTAAGCGATTCCTAAGGTACATAATTCTTACAGTCAGAACCATTTTGTAATAATAAACATAAAGTAACTGATTGTAGGAATCACATTGTAATCCACATATGGATTGCTTCTAGCAAAAATTCAAATTTAATTTGTCATAGTTTTAATATTCATTTAAAGGAATTATATGAAGAATATCATAATTTACAATGGCATATTCTTGGGATAATCGCGTCGACTTTGTGGTGCGCTACATGTACGGTAAGTTTAAAAATGTATTAATTAAGAACGTGAAGAAGTCTACATTTACATAAATAAAGTACAACTACATAGCATATTATACATACACACTACATATTATGCCTTCGAAGTATATTTAAGGACACTAGTCTTTAAAAAATAGTTAGTTGTTATTAATTATTATAAAAAACTTATGAATAGTTAACTGTAAGGTATTTAATTTTGTGCTAATAGATTTTAGTTTTTACCTTTTTTAAATATTTATTTTTTGTTGTATATTTAGAAATTAATTATAATTTAGGAATGTATTTATTTTGGACATAAACGATTTCAATATAGAAGATATAGAAATCGAGGCCAATAGCCTCAAATAATTAATAAAATTATTCCATTTTTATTAATTAGTATTTAACTTGCGTCCTCTTTCGTGGCCCCCGCGTTATTTGATTTGTGCAATGAATATATATGCACAAAATTAGAAAGACTCTGTAGCTTGTCCGGAACCATTAAAATTTGTGTCATTCTCTTTATAAAAGCTGTTTAAAACGATAATATTGGGCGAGATTGTGTGCCTTATAAATTTGTCATTTGGCCAATGAGTTTTGATAAAAAATTCTTGGTAACACCAAGGGTTTTTTACAAAGAGAAAAACGTTTCTCAGAATTCCCACATCACTGGTTTGTCTTTCTCTTTGATCCCACTTATTAATAGCCCGCTTCATATGTTCAGTATTTACATGTACATATTAAATCGTTCGGGACGAACGGCGTTTTCATTCAAAACGAACGTACACGTACAACGAATAAACAAAGGTCGCCAATATTGGACACGGCTATACATTTAAAATATATTCTGTAGTAATTGGCTGCATGTCGCACCCATGTTAAATTGTATTTCTTTAACTCAATTGTATGCTACACCCTGCCAAAATAATTTCTTAAAGCTTGTTTTCGAAGGCCCCCGTAGATCTAGGCAGTGTTGTCCCAATTGGCATAGAAATTAGATACTTTACATTTTTGGTTTATTGTTATTTTTTTGTTCGAAGAGGATACTAACTGAGCATTCTCCAATGTTTTTTTTATAAAAATACTTACTTAAGGCGACATTGTCGTTTGACTTTATATAAATAAAAGAGGAGGTACCCTGTCTATCCAGCCAATTTTTTATAGTATAGACAGCCTTTAAATACTGCCTAAAGTATCACATGTTTTTTATTAAGAAAGTAATAGGTGAGGAATTTTTAAAACTTCTAAAACGGCCACGATATAAAAACCCATCGATTGTGGGGAACCTATGCTCAGCTGCACAGATATCTAAAAATAGATAGATGACGCACCTTAGCATTACAGCCTTCTTACTCCCCCTTGTGTAAACTGTTAAAGCCTTTTGGTTCGTGCTGTGAGGGAGGCCCATTTTGCCAGCATATACGAAACTCTCAATTCAAGCTAATTGACGATTAGTATCGTAATGATTGGAAGTTCGCTGGCTTTGGGGTGGCTGTTAGGAATTTTTCCAATTCTTTTCTTCCATGGCCGGGGATCCTTTTCGAGGTAGCATGTTGACTAATCCAAATGCGATCAGGCCCTGTGCTTGAAATTATTAACCGCTAGACTGATCAAGTTTTTGATTTGTTGAAATAACAAATCTTGAAAGCATTTCCACTTTAGTTTCTTTATTTTCTTTTCTTCACAGATATCGATAACAATGGATTCTTAGATCAAAATGATTTCCAATGTATGGCCATTAGGGCATGTGTCGTTGAAGGCAAAGGAGATTGTAGCGCTTCACGGTTGGATGAATACAAAAAGCTTATGAGGAACTTGTGGGACGAAATATCTGCCATTGCTGATGACGACAAGGTATTTTAAATTGTTTATTCTCAAAATGTTGGTCTAATGATTGATAAGAACTGCTATCCAGCATACATACATTTGTAAAGATATTAAAATCCTAAAAATTTCCCCCTGTTTTCCGACCTGGTCTGTTTTCCAACATTTTCCCTAATTTCAGGATGGAAAAATATCCAATCAGGAGTTCAAGGATGCGGTGAAAAAAACATGCGTGGGTAAAAAATATGAAGAGTTTCCACAGGTAAGAAGTTGTAAGCTTTTTTCAATGAGCAAAACATTGGTATGACAGTCGCATTGAAATATTTTATATACCCTCAGAACTTCGTCATAAGAGCTTTCAAAATATATTAATTAGCATGCGATATCTATAAATTAGAAGCTGCATATAAGAATGAATTCCTGGAGTCAAGCGCGCACAGCACAAATACTAAATTTTTGTTTTGTTGATACTGTTTCAAATATATATTTTGAAAATATTTTCTATAGGTGTGTGAGCTAGTAGGTATATGAAGATGAATTTTCTATTTTAATTGTATATTACGACTACAGTGCTCACAAAAATCAAAAACGAAAAAAAAAAAACCTTTTTGAAATTGCGTTTTACTTAATTATTTACAAATATAAAGAAACAGATTGGAGCAAATACTGACCATAGCTACAAAATTGCAATAATCTTCAGGGCGGCTTTCATACATTTCCTAATATTCTAGTAAATAGAAGGGCTAATTAATATTTTTATTTTCAAGGCAATGCGAGCATTCATTGAGTCAAATTTTAAGCTACTCGATATAAATAGTGACGGAATAGTTGGAGTCGAAGAATACCGATACAATTGCATCACAAGAATTGCTATTGATGATATAGCGCCAATCGACAAAGCTTTTGAGACCCTCCTAAACGTAAGTTGAAATTTACATTACATTGTTTGCATTGTTTTATTATTGTTTGCATAAAACCCTTAATTTTTTGTTTTTAGGATGAAGATAAAAAGCGTGGAGGGCTGTCACTAGATAGATACAAGGAACTCTATGGTCAATTTTTAGGAAATACAGCTGATAATCATCCAGCGGTGAACTTATTTGGTCCTTTATAAATATTTTACTTATAATTGTCTTCGCTGTTGTTCAACTACTATTTTATTAAGTTTTACGTGTAATTACTATGACTATAAATTTAACGTAACTTCCTACTACCTAATACGTAGACATATTGCATTCATATAATTTATGTAGAATCGTCAGTTGAAGAATTCGTTAACTTTAAAATATTTTGTAATAAGACAGAAAGATTTGCTCTCAGATGTTAGTTTACTATAGTTTTTTAAAAAAGTTACTCTCAGTTGAAAGCTCTCTGGCAATGTGCCTCTCTCTCATTTACTTATAACAAATAACTGTATTTTAAAAATTTAATTTTATATGTTGGCATGTTATATATTACATATTCAAGCTTTTTGTGTCAATGCGAATAATTTATATATGGAGTAAATTTTGTCCAAGGCTTAACCTAAAGCAATATGTTTATTATTAATAAATTGACAAGATTTATTATTTAAATCATTGCTACTACTCTAACTCTTATGGAACACAGTAGTAAGTATGTAGTATAGAGGGGGAGATAATAGTATATGCATATATCCGATGTAGGGCTTTGTGGGCCCTATCTAATCAGTTTAAGCATATGCCGTACACCAACTGCTCTTTTCCAAGAAATACAAGTATTTCGAACCATTAAACTAGCGTAAGATATCGCATTACAGGTCTTCAGCGCAGCTGATCTCCAAAAGGAAATCGAATGAGTCAAAAGCTCTGGTCCATCGACCACTATGTCTACTTAAAATGTTCTTTCAGTTCTTCATTGGCATAATAGGGCTGTATCGTTACAGCAGCTTTACGCTATGCTCAGGGTTCTTGGTGAAAGCTCGAACCCTAATACTTCCACTGGCTTCGAGGAATCGAAGAGATAATGATGCCATCTTTCAGTCAAGGTTTTTCCGTATTCTGGGATGCACCTGAAATTTATGCCTCTATGGAATCGGCAAAAATAGCGATTCAGTTGCTAATACTGTGGAATTGTTATAAAGCAACAATCGAGTAGTATTTGTAGTCTTAATGCTGAATTAGTGGTAAGTAAGTCTTATTAAGCATCCGCGGACTTACAAAGCAAGCGAAAACGGCTCGTTTAGATAAAACACTTTGACAAATGATGGTATCGTCATCGTTTGTGTAAAAACTTTCGCAGCCAATGAACTTTTCACATGGAAAATAAAAATAATTAAAAATTGAAACAAGTAGCGCATTAGCTGACTCCTTATTTTTGGGTAAAATCGAAACAATTTTTAAGAGACGACATGCACAACCCCTCAAAACTAGTCACATTGATATATTGCCTCCGGTTTCGCTAAGATCAGGATTTGAACTGGTGGTCGCGAAAACCACTTTTCAATTTGCCCGTGCGAACACATTGGATATTTGCAATTATGTACCTTGGAAACGAAAAATTGCGCTTAATCAACCTTAGCACTAATTGTAATGCTAGTTAAGAGATATAAGTTACGCCCATTAAAAAAAAAAAGGTTTTCACAGAGCCACATACATACATATGTATGTACATATGTTTATGGACTAGAATACATGAATGCCTGCGTGTTTGAATCTGTGCACTACAGCATTGAAGGAAAGCAGCATGAGTAGCTTAACAGAAATTACAATTATGGCAATAATTTCTTTAAAAATGAATTGTAAATTGTAATTGTCGAATTTGAGTAAAAAGTTTCAATAATTATACCTATGGAAAATCACTAATAAGTAGTGGGGGAAAGGAGGAAAATTTTGAAATACATACATACATATGATGTATGTACACTTGTACTGCACACAAACATAAGGTTTCTGTGTGCAAAATTTGATGTCTCCAGGTCTCTTATTGTCTATAAGATCTAGGTGTACATACATATGTATGTACATATGTACGTTTATACTGACGGGTGGACATGCTTGTTTCTGCCTGATACATTTCGACTTTGCACAAACATAATATACCCTTATGCCTTTCAGGTATAGGGTATAAATATATAACGAATACAAAGCGGAAATAAATATATAAATGCAATATTACGAAAACGGGAACGCTAATTTGGAATATTTCAACTAATCTAAGTGGCACCATCAACCTCGAAATAATACGGAATATAATATATTAAAATTTCTACGCAAAGTCAAATATATAAAATATATTGTAAGCTACGGAATAATACGCTAAGAAATTAATTTTAATTTAATTTTGTTCTACAAAGAAAATGCTCTTCGATAAATATTGCAGACGGTCATTTTACAAGTTACTGATTACTGGGCCTAATATTAGCGATGCATGGTCCGATAATTTTGAATGTATCGATACATCGGAAAAAATCGACGCAATACATTGATGTATATTTTTTTTATATTACAAATCGAAATCCGTGTTCATTTTTTCGTTGTCGAAGTGACAATTTATTTATTATAAATAAATAAATGCTGCTATATTTATTATTAAATATTATATAAAAATACTGAATGTAAACTTTCTCCTAATCAGCTTGCGTGTAACAAATAAATTTGTAATTATGTGTAATTTACCACTTAAATATCGTCAAGTTTGTCGATTGTGCCTCACATTGGTAAATGAGTGCGAAATAACAAAACTTCAAATATATAGTTCGTCACCGGTGTACTCCAATGTGGACTCCTTAACTTTAACCCCATTCAATGAAAAAATAAAGCAGTGCAAATGCAATTTAACAGAAAGTTCAACAAAATGTTTAAACTCGAATGAATGTAGTTGTGATAACCCACTATCAGTAGTTGTGACCAAACATGAAGATGAAGTGGACCCTAGTGAACCATCAGAAATTCATACAAACTTTTACACACCGAATGTGCCTTCTAACGTTGCTCATTCGTTTTCATTTTCTAACAAAAATTTATTGGAACGGCAAATGACAGTCTCTTCAGTATTGAAATTGCGATCATCGCCCACGCAAGTCGTGCAACAACAGGAAACAAAGGAATCATGTGAAGTCAGAAGCACAAAATTTCAATTAGAAAACGATTTTCCAAAGAGAGAACAAGCTATTGGTGAAAATAATGGTAAATCAACAAATACAAGACGATCTAATGAAAACAGTGGCAATGTTTTTATGGAGGAGGAAGAGCACAGTGATGATTCATCACCACACATTACAATTCAGATACTCAACTGTCTCTCTATTAAGGTAAGCCGAACGAGCTTTTAATATACATATGTATGTATATAATTATATATACACATGTATATGATATCAGAGAGAAGAAAAAATAGATATATATGAATACATATCAATAAACAGAATAATCATAATAATAAATATAATGAATTACTTATTTGAGATATATAAATATATATCTTATTATCTAAGTATTCTCTTATATCATGGCAACTTCTATGTATTTATACATATACGAATGCGCATCTACCAGCTAAGCCCACATGTTTTATGTTTATATGAAGAAAACATAATATAGATGTTGGTTACATTGGTATTTAGGAAATTCTGTGCTGATGATGCACTATTAGGCTGATGTCAGACCGTGGGTTATCAACAATGCGAAGCAAGGGGCGACGCTCGACTAAGCAATGCATGTGTGTTCTATGAAGTTCCTCGAAAGGTGGAAGGGTATAAGAAAGAGGCAAAGCAAATGCACGTAATAAAGCTAGCGCGAAGTGAGAGCAGAAGCTGTTATTAAAAAGTTGTAAACCATTAAGATTTTTGTTTTCAAGTGGAATTATTTTTGTAACTTGTGTGTCAATAAACAATGTTATTTGAACTAAATATTTAATCATTTAAGCAGGTTGCATAGGAATCTTAGTTTGCCAAGTGAACTTACCAAGTTTCTCTGATTTGACTCTGAAATCTTGTAGAAAAAGTTTACCAATAATGAAAGAGCAGGTGGGATGATGCGCTTGCTATATCCTGTACCCGAAGGGTGCGTGGATATGTTATGCAAATGAGCATTTCCAATAGGAACAAAGCATTTTGAAAACCGTAATGCATTTCCGACCAGTATTTCAAATCAATCTGGGGGCCTTCATTTACCAAAATCTCAAAATGCTGAGTTACATTTTTTCAAATTACTCGAAAAACTTAATTCTTTTAAGGTAAAATTACATTTCATATTCCCACTTGAACGTTTCTAGGGTCAAATTGATTTATTCTTTAACTCCTTCAACAAATTACTGGCTCTTATGTTTATAACTACAGATCTAGTCCTGTTATCTTTAGATCCTCACTGATAATTAGGATTCTTTTCATCCTAGTATACAAAATTTCGCTTTTTGCACAACGTAAATTAATAAGTTAATGTAATAATTACTCTTAGCATTCTTTCCGCATCGTAGGGTTTGAGAGGGGGGTTTTTTCCGGATAGGTATTTTATGCGTGCGGCTACTTGTATGTGTTCGGTATTTATCTGGATGTTTGTTTGATAATTTGGAGATGTTTTGTATAAAGTATAAATATTGTAACAAGTAATTTTCATTTCAGCCTTTGCCGAATGATGGATTTCCCACCGTCATCTGCCGAGATTGTAGAGCCAAACTTAAATCTTTTTGGAAGTTTCGTTCAATGGCTCTTAATTCACATGAAGCTCTGAAAGAATTTCTAACAGCGACGGAATGCTCTAATGTTGTAAGTCAATTGTTAATTTTCACCGTTCTTATTTCATAAATGCTGGGTTGGTTATATCTTATCGAGGCTCATCTAGATTTCGCAGCTTAAGCATTCTGCCTTTCGTTATTCGAAATTCAGGTAGCAGATAGCACATGTATTTAATGCACTAAATACGATTGGCCATGCCAAACTTTTAAAACCCGTGAGCCTTTTTTGTTTTGTTTTTAGGTCCCCTATTTAACTTATGTGTGACGTATTCTATATAGTATATAGTGTCTGGTAGATTATTTAAAAATGTTTAATTTTAATTGAGAACGGAAGAAATGTATTAATACAATATTACTTCTGTTAAGTGAAGGCTATTTATAGTTGTCCTCACTCAATCGTGAATGTTTATATTGGAAAAATATTGCATATCTATCGTATTTTTCTAGGACGCGGGAACGCTAGAAATGAAACTGGACACAATCTTGAAATCTTCATCTGAAGCCATAGCTGCGAAGGCTCTTACCGAATTAAGCAAATCTTCAAAAAACATGTTTACCAACTCACAGTTTGATGGAAGCTTTAACAAAACCCACAACGATCGGCTTCAAAATGAAATCACGAAAATGAATGAAATTCGAAATATTCAAACGCCTCCATTATTTCTAAACTCATTCAAATCACCAACAGCCTTATTAAAACCTCCTTTAAGTAATATTAAAAATAAAGAATTCACTGTCCAAGATATTTTTTCGTCGGTGTCTAACGATAGAAAACCCGAAAAAATGTTTGAATTGGATAGGGCTGCAGATAAAAAAGATTCAGAAAATGAACAATATAAAAACATGCAACAGCAACTAGAGACTGCCGCAGTCCTTATGGATATAAGTAAAAAAATAGTTATTTCACCACCTTGCTCGAACCCCCAATCTCCAAGTCTTTCTGCACAGGCAGAAACAAGTATTAAGAGTTCTGTGATAAAATCAAAACGTCCATCAAACAAAAATGAATTTCAAGACGGCGTGGAAATAGATCTATCCATCAAAAAACAAAAATCTGATTTCTTAGATCCACGGAACTTAGTTCCAATACATCACACGAGTCAGCCTCCAATACTTAAAATCAAAGCAAAATCGTCAAGACCTGATGATCGAAATAATGACAGTATTAATATGAATGAAGTCGGGCTGCCTAGTTTCAAAGTTAAAACATCAATAATAGAAATGGGTAAAGGCCGAGAAACTTGCCTATCTGATTCTGAGGATAGCTCTGATTCAAACAAATTGGAAATGGATATTGCATCGTCGGTTAACGAGAGGAAAACGCCCGACAGTATAAATTCAGATCACGCAACAGATGCTGCTACTACTCAACTCTGGCAAGCGTTGGCACGATCAGCTGGTAAGTAACACCAATTATGTTCTACAAATAGTACAAATTTGAAGAACTTTTGAGTAAAGTTCAAAGCAGGAAGGATACATTACATGAATTGCAATTTTGCTTGCTTTATACCAACCAAACCTTTTCAGCTAAAAGCAAAGAAGAAACTCAAGCTAGTGAGCTATTACGAAACATGATGAGTCACCCTTTCGTGTTTTCGGTGCCACCAACAATTTCAATGTCAGTATCAAATGTACCTGATGAACCTATGGGTCTTTTGAAGGTAACAAACAACTCATAGTTTATTTTCTCATTAAAAATATAATTATATATTCTGTGCAGGATTTCTCGGAGGCTCAACTGAACAAAGTTAAAACATGTAGAAGAAAACAAAGTTTTCCTACCAAAACAGATTCTGGAGAAACGGCAGGCGCTAAAGGTGCCGATGTGTTTCCTAGCTTAAAGTCGACATGCAGTGCAACTCTAGAAGCTCAAAAGGAGAAAGAGAAAAAAGTACATATATTATATATATATATATACATATATAAATACATTTAAATATGTATACATAATTGTAATTCATTTTGCTCAATTTTGTTCTAGTATTTTAAAAGTAAGAATACTAACGTTCTACCGGGTACGCAAAAAGATATGTGTTGTTCAAATTGTGGTACTCTCACAACAACCATTTGGAGGCGAAGCGTTAGAGGAGAAATGGTTTGTAATGCCTGTGGATTGTACTTTAAACTTCACGGCGTCAACAGACCCCATTCGATGAGACGTGACACTATACACACCCGGCGCAGGCGTCCAAAAGAATGCGAGAGATCCAAAAAACGTGAGCATTAATGAATATATATTTTGTAATACACGATCCCATGTAGTGTATATATTTATTCTAAATGAGCATGACCATACTAAGTAGTTGACTTAGACATATTCACCTGCTTGGAAAGTAGACTCACCAAACTTGGTATTCAGATACAGTGGTTATTTTCGATTCCCACCCCTCTCTTGCTTCCTCTAAAACAGTCGTAATGTTTCGTTCTCCAATTTTATAACTAAATTCATTGAAGAATATCTATACATAACCTAAAAGCGCTACTCATATACGAAATATTTTACAGTATTTATAAAATAATATATATTGATATATATAGGCATATGCAAGTTTTTCAAAATTGTTCTTAACACACTGAAGTTCTCACCCATGTTGCATAAACTTGAATTAACTTGTTTAACTTTAAATTAGCGTGTTAATAAAATATGTGTGTAAATAAGATAGGAAAAGACATTTTGGTAAGATCTAAAGCCGAATAAAATCCTATCTCCTATATTTAATTGATTAGTAATAAGCTTTTTCTTTTTAATAGGAACTAAAATGCCGTGCTCTTTGGGTGGGGAACATAAAATTGAAGGCATAAACATCTCTATGGAATCTAAGCAGATGGAATGTTTGCCAACCTCTGAACCGCTCAGTGTTTCAGGACTAGTATTAGACGTAAGTACATAACGATTTTACTGTTCCTATAAAAGCAAGTCCCTAACTAAACCCAAAGCAAATTAACGAAAAATTGTATATAAATGATACAATCATATCACATATTCCACATATGAGCAATATCTTTCTGGATCTTGAACTTATCGTATCCAAATGTTGCTTGGGATGGTTCAATAAAATATTACACCATGGAATACTACTTGTATATAGTATATAACTATATCCCGTAGTTGTCAGAGCAAAGAAATGTTTTAATATGAAGGAACCCTTTCAATTTCTGTACCTAAAAGGCACAAGAGTATATTAGCCGTAATTGTAATCTCTCTCCAAGCTCTGCCAGCAGCTGTTGTTGTTGTTACTGCTTGGACTCAACTCTTTACTGCACACTTGCTCTCACACAGCCACGCATAGACACAATCCCGATGCAAATGTGAAGTCGTACACCCCTTTACGTGAGTTCAAATCCCAAAGGAGGTATAATCGATCAAAAAAATGTTAGATAAGGTTTCATTCTAGGCCTTCTCTTAGTCAATAAACGTAATTTATCATTGAGGCGGCTTTTTAAATTTCCAACTCAAATATTTAATATTTTATAGAGATACAAGATCCAAATGTGTGAAGAAGAAGAAGAAGCAAGCGCTTCATCAGCGTTAAAGAACGTGTTTACAAGACGAAAGAAGACACAATGTTCACCGGCCTACAGCGATGTCTGCGAAGCCGAGGAGCTGTCAGTACCACTTAATCTTGTATCCAGTGAAAATAGCAAGTTAACATAAAACGCCAAATTAAACACAGCTTCAACTACTCACAATAAAAATGTTGCAACGCACATCTTATTTATTTACTTAAAAGATAGCAATGAAAAGTTTTATTTCATAAAAACTATATAACTATGTATGTATATATAATACACCAAAATAGAAAGAGAATCTATATACATAAGTATGAATATTGAAATATTTTTAAATTCTTTAACTTAAGCAAGGAAAAAAATTACTTAATTTTTTATACAAAAATAATAATTCAAAACCATTATTTACATCAATATTTTTTGTAATCAATAATTCAGTATTTTTTAATTTATAACTCACATTTAATATATTTAAGTTGGTTTTTAATAACTACTTAATTTAGTTGCAAAAGTGGTTTAATTGATTTGATCAATGAGAAGGTTTGCGGAATACAATACGAACAGAAGAGCGAGAGGAAAATACTATACATATATAACAAATTGAACAAATTTATACACAAACACGTAGAAATATTGAGCTGTAAAAAGCTATCCGCCCTTTTTATGCGGGCGGGCCATGGGCTATGCACACATCAATACATATAGAACGCTTATTATTGAGTAATATCTTATAGTATTGCAATGGTATTAAATACAGAAAAACGCTCGCAGCGACGCAGGCAACATTTGTAAGCATTTCAAAATTAACTGGTAAATCAAAATAGAAGATTGCAGGTTCGGTGTGATTACATTTAAAGATATATACTCCTAGTGTCTTATGTTAAACGGGGAGCAGTGTATTGAAGCTTTGAAAATATAATGAACGGAGCGGGATCGGACCAGAGTATCGCTTAGTGATTCTTGTAACATATTAATATATGATTTCAATAATTTACTAAGAACAGGGTCTGTCTTTGTTTTCAAACCTTCTGGAAACAGCAATAACAATATAATAATTCAATTTAGTCTGTTTTAAAGACGGCATACCTGCAACTGCAAATTATCTAATGAGTAAAACTCTAGTCACCTGCTTACTAGAATAGTACCGGTAATTTAAGAATCTTCTGTTTCTCGAGTAATTCTCTGATTACTTTTTTTTGTTGTGAAAAATCTGTTCGTGTTGTATTCCTCACTCCTTCCGCAAATATGTGTAAAAATATTTAACCCAATGTATTATTTAATTCTAAATTAGGAATCACTTTAAAATCTCTTGCCTGTATATGAAAATCATGTGATAGTAAAATAATCTCCACAAAATTTTAAAGTAGTTAAACTATGTAATTAAAAGCAATCTACACTATTCGCCTGCTTTTCAGTGAAAAATACTCTGTATGCAAATGTGCGACATTAGAAAAATCTTTATATCAACATTTAAAACCGTTTTTTGATTGTCTTTAAAATTAACTTAAACTAGGTACTTCAAGTTAGCATAAGGAAAAAATTATAGTACATACATTTATTTTTTCGAATTTAATACACTAACGTTCTTTTAACAAATATAATAAACTCAATAATTGAAAATAGTTTTTGTACTCTGTTTAGGTTGTACTGAAATTTCGGCAGCTAGTGTCTTTTTATTTTCAGTAAATAATGGTGCTTAACAGTTTCGTTTACGTGAATGGACGGTAAAATATCCATATGAGTGGAGGTTTCGAGAGTTTCGTTGGTGATCAAATGGCAATGTCTACTAAACTGAAGAGATGGTGTTAAAACTTATGCTGTCATCTTTAAAAAAAACACGGATTCAAATAAAAGGACAACTCCTTCAACACTGTATCGTTAAAAAGGGAATCGGAAGCTCCTGTATAACTTTCAACGCAATTACATATCGCAGGTGGGGTCGTCGCTTCCACAAAGGCAATTCACTTTTAATCATTGTCAATGCCTGGAAGTGCCCAGACTTCGATCTATTGTACATTCTAATTAAGAATCTTGCCATCAGTTATAATTTGTCGGTAACCTTGTCAAAGGTCAGAGCGAAGACCGATTTATAGCTCAACATAGTGCACCTCATTGAGCCGATTAGAAAATAGTATTATACTCCACTGCTCTTTCAATCTATCTCATTTATTTTTACCTTGAGGTTGATTGGTATAAAACACCAATTGTTCGTACGTAGCTGTTTAGCTGTAAAGGATCTGAAGCAAGTCCATTCCTACACAATATTAAAGGGATAAAATCTCACTTCAGTTGGTAAGCAATCAAAATAAATCAAATCATATTATTATAGCTTATCGGCTTACGCAGAACATACTATCTTTATTGAAGATTTAAACAGCTTTGCTGTGGCTCCATCTGACCATATCTCTCTTTATCTAACCCAATTCAATTTCAAGCAAATCAAACTGCCATTTTAGAACTTCGATTATTTATATTAATCAATGTAATGTATGGTATTAAATAATCTATCAACGTACACATTTCCATTACCCAATAATATTACAAATTAATATGTATATAAATCCTTTCCAAACAATTCAAAATGTTATTAATTCAGTATGCTCTCAGCAAAGTTAAGCTTCAATTGACGAAGTTTTTCGAAATGAAATGATGTGAAATACAGATTGAATTACAGAATTCAATACTTCTCGAAAGTAAGACTCTGAAAATAGTTAATGAAATGGAAATTAGCAGCCCATACATAAATGTTTCATTTTAAATATCAATATGTTGTATCTATCCATTGAAATGACAAATGAAATAAGATATATTCATTTATTCCAGTTAACGATTTTGAAACGTGGCACAAATATAGTGAAATAAAAATTATACAGCTGGTACCTAATTCAAACATTTCAGAAATTTAATTAGGTTCATTTTCGGATCAACACGGGGTATTTTGGTCTGATAGATTTTTATATTTGGAAAGAGAACATATTCTTCGATAAACCGAAGAGGTTTGTATAGCAATATATTTACAAGTAACTCACAAAAATAATAATAATTATTATTATAATAATGTTGTAAATAAGTTAGCATTAGATATCTAAGATTTAAACACATTTGATAATGAAGAAGACGAATCCGAGTGATCAAAATCAATCCTTGCATATAAATTACTCGAAGAAATCGTTTCTGGTGGAGATTCATATGCAGCTTCCTTGCAGTTTTTGGCTGTTATTTGTCCACTACATTGCGGAAGATCTAAGCTAGCGTAGTGAAGTTCGTGGTCGGAAGTTAGCGATGCTGGCCTCGAGGAAGAATTCTGTTCGTTCAAAGGTTTATTGTTGTTAGCATTGGCATTTGTATTTGATGCCCATTGAATTTCTTTTGCTGTTACAGATGCACTCCTCTTAGTTGGAGTTTCATTTATATACGCCCTCTTACTTGTATTTGCGCACTCCAACATCTTAGTTTTATGTTGTTTCTCCAGTTTGTTTATAATCGTTCTTGGAATTGGTTTTGTCGAAATAAGAGAGCTATCGCTTTTAATCTGAAGTATTTTGTACCCAGTTTCAGGTAGTAATTCCGCAATCGAAGCCTTCAAATTTTGCGAATAGTCTTCATTGCTTATAGAATGTGTCAATTTTCTCGAATAATTGACAGGCTTTGTAATATTACTGGTTCTTATATCCAAAAACAGGTTCTGCATTTTATTTTCCAAATTGCTGTTCACCACACTTATTTCTCCAGTAGTAGTCAGTAAATTTGCATCCTTATCATTTATATAATCATTCAATTGCAATTTAGTTTTGTCGACTTTACAACTATCGGCGCCATGAACGGGGGATAAGCTAGGATGATCCTTTTTGGTAGATACAATTTTTGCGGGAAGAGCGAGGGACTTATTAGGCAGAGGTTCAACTTTACTTGGGTTACCAACTGGCTTCATTTCCAGGTACCCACTATCCGACGTTTCTGTGATGTTGCCTGAGTTACATCTTTTCATCATATCGTCACACTTTATAACAGCGCCAAATTGGGAAGCAACTTTGAGCGAGCTTGTTTTCTTATTGTGAACAGGATACTTTTTTAAACTAGATTCCGTACTTGTTTTAGAAAAGTCTATCTCCATTAAATCACTCATGCGATCAGCATTTATTTGGCTTTTCAAATTTAATAGGGGAGCGCTTGTGGACTTTTTATCCCGAGAGGTACTGAAACCGACTAACCTATTGTATGTGGGGTGATCTATTGACGTATAACTATTAGTTCCACTAGTGTTGTTTTTTGACCGCGCTCCCACTGAAAATGCTCGCTCACGAGGTAAGTTGCTTTCTATTTCATGTGTATTTCCGCGGCGCACATTCGCTTTAAAATGTTCCATTCTACTTCCTATTGAATAAGCTCGTACGGGTCGATCACATCTGCAAAAATTAAAGCAATTGGACTTTTATTAATAAAATGAGAGATAATAATCGACCAAATTTTTATCCTTATTAACGAACTTTTCAACCTTTTTTCGAAAATAGGTGGCATTTTTTTCCATTTAAAATTAAAGATTCAGTTGATATTGGAGAGCTACATCGCACACAGAACTTTATTTGAGATCAGAATGGTCACTTCCACTTGAAGCAATTTGAAGCGTTATATTTCTGGCAAAATGGGGTTAGGACCTCATGATAAGTTAATTTTTAAACCCTCGCAATAGGGGAAAGCATTGATTACATTGATTTTGGGATAAACATTTCTTAAGATTTCTCGTTTTGTATCAAATTCCAAAAAGTTATAGGAAGATGCTTACAAATTCAATGTGTAAAATTATTTTGCAGTTTCCCTAAATTTAAATTTGATTTCAAGGATACATCATATATATATATATATATATATATATATATATATATATATATATATATATATATATATATATATATATATATATATATATATATTTATATATATATATATATAGATACATGTATGCATATATATTTACACTTACTGAATATCATGGTCGACATCCGAATCCCTTTCTATTTTCTTGAAAGCATGGTCAGCAAAGTCAAAAGATCTGTTCGTATCTCCAAGACTCGACATTTTTGATGATTCCTGATTTAATAAATTTTGATTCAGCTGACTTATGTGATTGACATTGTCGAATTCATTTGGTGATTTGATGGGAGTCATTGGAATATAAGTGTCCAATCGGCCGCAAATATTATCAATAACACAGAAATCATCAACATTTTCCTCAGGAATTATACCTTTTGCAGCCCGAGTACTAAAATATACAAAAACATTTTATTAGAAGATAACACTTTGTAGATTACAAATTTTAAAAACAATACGTGTCGAAAATCCTATAACTGTGTTCTATTAAAGCATCTATAGAATCAGAAAATTAAGTTTGAAAATGTTGTAAAGGGTCGCTTTTGAGAAATTGCTAATACAGGTTTTTAGGTTGAAAAAAATTACTTAAAAGTTATGATATTTCTGGACCTTTAGTCTGTGAATTGTGAAAGCAGCCATTTTTTCAATAGCAATACTATGACAGGACTCAGATCGCTAGTTCATTGAACAACTAAGAACTCAAACTTATCGAAATAATATGATTTGTAAACTTACTTCAATCGGTAAGGATTAAAACATCCGTTATCATCAGCTTCCTCAATACTATTAGAGGATTCTTTACCCTCAGAACATCTAATTGGAGTATTTAACGGTGGACTATGACTACGTCCTTGACCGGAAAAGGGCCGCGTTCCTGAAATTGTATTACTTCTCTGCGTATGGTTCGGTATAACCTTGTAACTTTGGTTAGTACATTCACTCGATGTTCGATTTCTTGAAGGCAAACTGTCGCATCTTTCACGCACGCAATCTGGAAAAAGGGAAAAAGAGTTGTTGTATTTGTGAAATGGAGAAAAGATAATATCGAGTAGGAAACATTTTGAACACCTATTTGCTAAAATTCCACTTACTTGTATATTTTGAAGACAGATTGTGTATTTCAGTAGATAGTTGTCGTTTTTGTAAGCCAGTAACTGGCTTAGCTCCCTCGTTCACGGATGAAGATCGCTTCCTCATATTCTCATTATTAAAGACGGACTTTTCTTGGCAAACATTTGTTTTCGCTGACATTGCACTACAAATTTTAAAAAGCTTTTATTTATTATCTTAATTCATAGTATGAATTTTATAAATTATACCTTAATATTGTATCGTGCATATTTTTAGCAACAGTTGCATCTTCAGTTTCCATCCACAGCTCCCCGGAGCCTAAAACACACTGCCTGCCCAGTTCCATATAAAAAATACACTGAGGAGAAGCATGTCCGCATCTAAATATGGTGTCAAAATTATACAACAATTACATTCAATTATGCAATCACTCTCTCTTGAAGACATAACATACAAGGATATAATTTTCAATAAACATTAAGTTCATTACCTTCTCACTGTTGTTAAGAGTATCTCTGCTTTTAAGACTCGATCATCTCCGGTGGGTGATTTTTCCGGACCTATGCTAATAAAAGTAATTGATTTTGAAGTTAAGCAACAATGATAGCTTCCGACGATTCCGACTTTTTCTGATATCCCCTTCCTTTGGACGACAACTTGCCAAACGTGTTCTGAAAATTGAAATAGTTTGGAAAAAACTATTTGAAAATGTTGTTTGATTGTATAAAGCGAAGGCACGCCAGCCTGTTTATTCTATATTTTTTAGGTTAGTTTAAGCAATTGTCGCAACTCTTTTAAAAGCCTGCGTAGGTCTTCAGAACCAACCAGGAGACGCTGAGACGTGTTTAAAGAACACTAGTCTGTAAATTTGTTTTTATTTAAGAGGTATAAAGTATGTCGATTAAGGGTACTCGATCCTTTGCTTTCATATGTATGTCAACATCTATGAGCGGATTTTTTGCAAAAGATGGACTGCAATTTTTTAATATTCATCGGGCCGTGCCATAACATATTTGGCTTGTAGATTTGTCTTACATATGATTTAACATATAATAAGACAACTAAATTCAAAATATTTATATTTACATTTATAGTAAAGGATTTAAAAATATGTGATAATGAAATACTTACCGAACTGCGGAAAAACTTGATCTGGAAAATTTGCGTTATATCGTTGTAATGATAATAAACTGTCCAACCATTTCTGTAAATCACTCTCAGTATCTAATACAATTCCAAATCCGCCTTCCCTCGATGAGAGCGCCAATACAAATTTATGTTTGGTATCGAAGCGACGATTTATATTGAAACAATTTTTAAGATAAATGACGCGCTTTGCTTCCAGTCTTTGATGAAACTTTTTTTCGTTATCATAATATTCCAATCGAGCAGCGTTGTTGCTTGTTTCCTTGTATAACACAAAATATTTTTTTTTCATCGTTTTTAGTTTTTTCTGGTAACCGCTTAAAACTATTCCATCATCCATTTTGGAAGCCATAATATACACTTTTTTATTGAACTGAAAATATGACGAGAAAGATTCAATATTTAATAAAAACATCTCTGATTCTGCATCCAACGGCATATATAGCGTTTGAAAATATGTGTCAAAACTATAACGTGTCTGAGAGTAAAGTATAGCTATAAATACTCTTACGACTTTTACCCGAGTGTTTTCATGGTATGACTAGGCTATACAACTAAATATTAAACTTACCACTAATTAAATAACAGTTAAGACCTAAGTGGTTGAGGTTGGTATCTAAGAATTATGGACCTATGACTTGTTGAGCTGGAAAAAAATGACGGAGCTTCATGGTATATCCGATTCAACAACACTTATCAATAGTAAAATTCTAATATATTATAAATGTATAGCTTCATTTTAAATGAAAGAATTCTTTCCAAAAATAGAAGTAACTTTGCTATCCTGGAATAACTGAACTTGGCGAGGAAATGAAATAACTTTTGGGGTGGTATTGCTTATAGCCATTGTTTCTGTTATGCTAGCTATATACAGTACCAACTGGCCAGCTGTTAAAACCGACCACAACTGTAGAGCTCTATTTAAACACACATATGTACTTACAAACGTATGTACATATTTATATTATATATGTATGTACATATGTATGTGGTGCATGTAACACATCAAACATAGCATCTGAAATGCATACTTTGCCTATAATTAATTTTCAATTAACTCTGACGCAACTGAGTTAACATCTATTTGAATTGTTTATGGATCACAACATAATTATTTTAATGGAGAAGACTTGTAAATAGACGTTGAACCTTTTTTTTGTAAAAGGATGGTCGTACTGTTTTTCATCTCATTTACTCACCAACCCACACAATTAACATTTAATGGTTGCTTGCAACACTTTTTATAAAACACTTTATTTGTATTTCAAATAAAACACATTTGATGTTTTTATAATATATATATATATATATATGTATTACAGGGGTAATTTTTACCACTTTTGACAAATCGAATTAGCAGAGAACAAAAATATACATTTTATCGAAAAATGTAAATTGTACACAGAAGAAAGAGTGACCAAGTGTTAAAAGCAAAACTATACCAAATGCAAATCGGTACTGTTCCAAGTTATCGCTTTTGTCAAGTACGTAAAATTTTGGAAAATTACTTAATGGTATTACTCCAGTATATTTTGCTAAATATTGACCTTGCAGTCCAAAATTGTTTCGTTTAAAGTTCGACTTTTATTTTATGTTTTTTTTACCGTTTCTGAGTAGATTTCTTTACTTCATAGCAACATTATTAAGCAGTGCTTGTGCATAGAAATCGAAACTTTATTGTTATCGATATACAAAATCATAAGCAAATGATTAGTTTTGAAAATGAGAGCGAAGGAAATGTATTCGATAAGAATAACATTACCAAACATTGACAGAGTAAAAACGCAAAGCATATTTATGTTAATTCAAATTATATATTTCAAATTTTTAAAATATGTATTGAGTTTCTTGCAGCTAATATTGCATACTCGAGGGCTGTATACTACGTAAATGGCACACATAGTTTGGGAATTTATAAAAAAAACGGATAAAAAAATTATAACTGGACTGCTGAAAAATAGCTGGATATTTAAGAGTAGTTAGTGACTCGGAAAACAGTAAATTCCGCAGTGAACCTATTTATAATGTAAAGCGTACTAACAATTTTGGGTGTGGGTAAATATTTGTAAAAACAGTAAAGATTACAAAATGTTGCTAAGCGCACTTTAATCTGATTGGTGAATCATCATTATGTTCGTTAATGCGTTTAGTTATCAGTAATTAGTAGCATATCTCGACAAATTGAAAATTGTTTGATCATTTTCAAAAAATGCAGGAAGTTATTTTCACACCATTTAGTGATTTACCTGTTGAGCCGATATCCTAAGTCATTTTGCTTGCCACCGTCCTCCCTTCAACAATCATTTTAAATTTGTATTAAAATGTGATAATTAGAAGATTTTAATGTTGATTTACCATTCATGTTTGCGAACAAGCTTTATTTTTAGGTAAACATATTACCTTCCAGATTAAAAAAATTTGTGTTTTGTGTATATATGTATGTATGCATTTATCTTCTGATTTTCGTACTGAACAGTAATTTCGCAGAGTATAGTATGTTTTGCTTACTCTTAGTCCCCGTTTTTTTCAAAATATTTATAGAATTTAACTAGCTAAATTTCCCCTTTAACAAAAGCAATTGAAGTAAACTACTAAATACATATACACAGAGCATAATTTATTACACTAACGATGACTAAGGTGTTGACATATATTTTAGAGAATTTATAGATGTAACTGCCCTCCTATATTGCTATTATGCATAAGCATTATCGCTTGGTGCTTAATCTTCTTTCTTTTGTGCGGCATCCTTCTCCTTTGCCGGTGATTTGGAAATGATTTGGGAACCTTCCTTATCGCTATCTGGTTGAACGCTATTAGTATCACCACCCTCAATCCGATTTGAGGCGGCATTTGCTTCCATTTCACCAGAGAAGCCAAACTCGTTGACACGCTTTAAATCAACACGATATTGCCATCTTTGATAAAGGAATACAAAGAATATAATATCATCACGGAAGCATCCCAGACGATACATGGTGGGCATCTTAATGACGAACGCAAATATATCATCGATGAATGTATTTAAAAACTTGTAGGTCATCATACGCCAAGGCATATGGGCTACTGACTTCAATTTATAGTTGATAAACAGCTGCGGCGTCATCAAAATAAAACCAAATGTCAGCAAGTAACCGTACAGCATATTAAGGACAAATGAATACCATCCTTTGTGATCGTTATAAAGCAGCGAATAGACGAAGTAGCCCACAAGCAATGGGAAACATACCCAACCCAGATATTTGAATGCTAAGTTGTCATACTCCTTGGTGGCGCTCGCTGAGTACGAACCCTTGTCCTTAAAGCTGATGCTTGGTAGAACTCCTAGTAGCTTTTTGTTATGGTCATAGTTGACATCGACAACTTTGTGTATTTTCCATATTTCAATAGCTAGACCAACAAAGCAGGAGACGCGTATCATGAAATTTGTTTCATTATCTAGTACGTAGAGTAGTATAATAAGAGATTGGAACACTCCAAAGAATACTGAACGCACAGAAAGACCTTCTAGCGATTGACGATTATTCCAGAACTGTATGTCATTTTTAAAGGCGAGAAGCTCGAATAGCGAATGTAAAATTGAAACAGCGACGGTAAGGCCGAGTAAATAAATATTTGTATCAAGAAGAGTTTCTTTTAGAGAGTCTTGATCCTCATCGCTTTCCTCCGCGCCACCCGCCGATATTATTTCACCCAGCATGTTTCCACCCCATTTATGTTTCATCTGCTTGGCAGCGTACAGCTGCCATTTGAACATGCCAAGCGGTTGGAACGTTAAGTGCAATTCAAGCTCAGGCGTTGTGTGGTTAATAGGAAAGTATTCGCGTTGAAGGTTCCAGTAATCATTTACGAATACGATGGGTAAATAGGTTTTACCACTATCCACAAACCTTACATACTCATCCAGAGGTGGTGGTACGCTGCCTTGTGCCCAATTCGTCTGATCCACAACAAGGTTAATAGTTAAATTTGGATGCCAGTGTGATAATATTTGGTCCTTAAGAGTGGCTTGCTTTAATTCGTGTTCCAACTTTTCTTTATCACTCGCCAGTAAGTTGTAGTTTCGGTTCACACGAATTTTTTTAAATTTGTTCAGCTGATGTTGCTGATGGCCCATGTGACCATTTCGCGCATAATTGGGTGACTGAGGGTCTGGACTTTCACCACTTAGGGTAACAAAAGCGTGCAAGAATATACTGCCATTCTTCATAACGTGTGGGCTTGCTTTAATCTTTACGCTGTGTGAGAAGATGCCATCATTTGTAGGCCCTGAGCTCCAGTCCCCATATGTTAGATCCTCTTGTAGCCAGAGAAGGTTGTCTTTCTGTTCAAAGTTTACGACGTCCGGCTTATTTGACAACCATACATGCAAATCAAATTCAGTGCCATTCTCAAAGAAGTTCCAAGCGGTAATCTTCGGTCCGGCATTTACAGAATTTTCCTGGCTCGTATTTGTTTGAGGCCGCCGAAAGAAGGAGCTAACGAAGTATATAATAAGCGCGCGCAATATCAGTGACTTCGTCATGGCGAAAAAGGATTCTATGCGTGTTGGTTGCGGCTGACCTTCGCCCGCATTTTGTGCCACCTAATTTTGAAGTACAGTAAATTAATGAATAATGAATTAGCGCGGTCCGTGCTTTCAAGATCTACCTCTCCATTGCCATTGTTTGACATTATAATTTCGGCTGCCAAAGAATATTTTAATTTTCCGGACAACCTTTTCGTGTTTTTTCAGCAGCACGCGAAAATTATAAAGTACGTGTGTCAGACTTCTAGTTATGTGTGTTTGATTGTCAATATAAAAGGTTGCCAGAGCTATACTTGTATGTTTTGCCTCTTGTCATTCTTTAAGGTTGCCAGAGTTTGAGTTCTAGGTTGCCAAGAATATGTTCGCGTGACTCTGTTTCTCCTTTGTAATGGGTCGCGAACTATGTATACATGTACGTACACTCCTGTGACCGTCATTCCTTAGAAAGCATTTTCGATACATTTCTTCGATTTCATTTCTTTTTATCTGCAATATGTAGTTGGTCTGGAGAGATAACAGTGTTTACCAACAGTAAACGCTAGTCAAATTATTGTATTAAGAAATTTACACACCGAAACAATATAATCTCACTCTTTAGTAAGTTTTATAATATTTGAAAACTAATATATGTATATATTTCAAATATTTTAATAAAACACAAACAATATTTAATAAAAGACATCATAAAAAAATTCAGAACTTCTAAAATAATTATGAATAAAACCATCGGTCCTGGCAAATAAGAATGTGTTTAATTGATTTAATTAATATGTGTATCTAAAATACATTCTATTATCACAAATATAGATCGAAATCAATTCTTTTACTAGAATAAAAGTTCGATTCACCAACTTTTCGGACGTAGACGCCACTTTTAAAATAGTTTCCTTGGGACCAATTGAACATTTTTTCTGTATTGAATGGACCTTGGAGTTCTTCGTCATCTTGCTTCCACTTGAATTCCCACATGACGACATTTGGCTTCACATCTTCTTCTGATTTCTTCAAAGGCTTCTCCGCTTTTAGACGTATTTTCTCTTTTTCTTCAAAGTCATCAGCATACATGTCATCCTGAGGAGCTTTGCTGGTGCTAGGAAGATCTACAAGACGGTCTGTTATCTGCTCATATGTTTCTTGATAAATGTCCATGTTGCCAGTTTTTGACAGAATATTATTCGCCAATTCTGTTAACTCTGAAATTTTTTGCGTTTCAATATCTATTAAACCAGCCTTCTTTCTCTTCAGCCGTTCGACTGTGGACAATTTCGGTCGCTGTTTGCCCAACCTCTGCAAAGCCATTTGAACAGTTTCGCCTGGTTTCATGTATTCAAGCATTTTAGCGAATACTATTGATTTATTAAATGATATTATTTCCAATTCGTTTTCTGTTGAATCTTGTTCTTTGCTGAAGTTCGGCAATTTTTTCCCGTCTTCTACCTAAAAAAAAGTATAAATCAAATGAATTTTTAAATATGTATGTGTGTAAATACCTTCACCCAGTCAATATTATCCAACCAACTATCCTTGATTTGTGTTTCCTTGTTCCAGTGGTAGTGGCCATTTGTATCGAAATGGCCTTCTTGAAGCTCTTCTCGCATGTTAAAAGGAGTAATTTTTACATCTCCTTCTACTTTCGCATCGCCGTCTTCGCCACCCTCAATATCGCTGTCGTTTAGGTTGTCACTGTTGTAAAACTGTTTTAATAACTTTAAGGCTACCAGGATAGGCTTAGCATTCATACCGCTGGTAATCATCAGAGTCTTCTTCATCGGAGTCCAGAGTGTGTTTCTTTTCAAGCACATCGACATTTTCTGCAGCATATTTACGTTTTGTTGGATTTTTGTGCATCTTGCTTTAACAAGTTTTGTTTTGAGTATATTTGAGGTTCAAGCACAATCTTATTTTGTTTCCGCAATTAAATGGCTATTGGTTTTGCTCGGACAACACAGGGATGCGATAAAGACAGGTATAAAACTATCGATATCATCGATTTTTGAAGGCGATATTATCATGGGATTTGAGCGATTCTTTTACCACCTCAAATTCTGTGCAAGAAAAGGGTTGCGGAAAAACTAAAAGCTTGTTAAATACTGGGGTTAGACACAGAAGTTCTGATTTTCTTTTTCCACCTGTATATACATTTTTCTCTAAAACTATTGTGGTTTTTAGTTATTTGGATTTTTAATGGTAATTAAGAATTTTATTTTGTTTCTCCACATCTAAGAAAACCGTTCTCTAATAATATTTTAGGTTAGTCTTTAACAGTTTTCCATCATCGCAAGAATACCACAAGCAAATTTTTGTTGATAAATTATCCGATGACCGATACAAAATCAGCGACAATCACCGATATATGCGTTTGCTTATATATCGGCAATGTCGGGCGTTTATGAATAAAGTATCTCTCAGCAATGGAAAAAAAGTGAAGATCAAAATATGAGTTGTAATTATGCTGAGGGCTTATCACCGTATGAGCATAAAGGAGTACTTGGAGTTCCGGAAGTACGTATTTGATTGGATCTTAAAAATTTTTAAAATATGTGTATGGAATATCAATTGTGTTCTCCATTTGTGTTTGTTTACGTTTTTATTCATCCGTATACATATAATTACATATACGCAGATTTTTGACAGCAGTGATATTGTGGAAAAGAAATGCAAGCAACTGGCTACATTAATTACAGAATCAAAACATGTTGTTGTACATACGGGTGCTGGTATCAGCACTTCTGCAGGAATTCCGGATTTTAGGTATGTTTTACTGTAATTGTAGGGTCCATTAGAAAATAAAAATGAATCAAAATAGTTATAAAAAATCAACCATTCAGCACGGGTGAAAGTATTTGAGTCTTCTTGCTTACAATTATGCGATTTTACATATCGACATTTATAGTTCCTTATATATCTGAAAACTAATTTACTTTGTGTCTTAGAGGTCCTAAAGGCGTTTGGACTCTCGAGAAAAAGGGCGAGAAGCCTGCCTTAAATATATCGTTTGATGATGCGCAGCCCACTTTGACGCATATGGCATTATTAGCTTTGGTTGAACATGGCTATGTCCAGTACATCGTGACACAAAATATCGACGGATTGCATTTAAAATCTGGACTAAGCCGCAGAAATTTGGCAGAAGTGCATGGAAATATGTTTATAGAACAATGCCGGAAATGCAGACGACAGTTTATTTGCCCTACAGCATCTAAAACAGTGGGTCAGAAGACAATGGGGTACCCGTGTCAGTCGGGTTTGGATGGCAATAGCCGTAGCTGCCGCTCTGGTATTTTGCATGATACCGTTCTAGATTGGGAAGACAACTTACCGGAGCCAGACTTTCAACTAGCATTAATGCACTCCACGTAAGTAAGAAACTTAATACGTTGGCATTGTGTTAAAACATTTTGATCATTTGCAGTATGGCCGACCTAAATATAACGCTAGGTACAACCCTGCAAATTGTTCCCAGTGGCAATTTGCCTTTGAAAAATTTAAAAACCGGCGGAAAGTTGGTTATATGTAACCTGCAACCCACAAAACATGTAAGCATCGCAGAAGAAAAATATAGTGTAGCCTAAAGCTTTTAATTTTACAGAACAAGCATGCTCATCTTATTATTTCAACCTACACTGACCAAATATTGAGCAAATTATGCAAACTTATTGGAGTAGAAATACCAAAATATTCGGAAGCGTGTGATCCAACAAAGTGCTTCACGTATTTAGAGTGGGCCCTTTCGCAAGACTGTATCAAATCTTTGGAAAAAACGTTTAAGGAACACCAGGCTGCAATAAGAAAGGATTGCCATCAACTTCAAGTTCCTAAATTCATGCCAAAAGCCAAAAAAAGAAGAAAATCGGAAACATAGCGTAAACAATGCATACAAAAATTCCCAGATGATGCAATCTATCGAGAAATAAATAAAATTGATATCTTAATTATATTAATGTTTTCTTTATGAAAAATCTCTTTTCCTGTTTGATCCAACGATATTGCGAAATGTATTTCAGTGGGACGAAAACATTGCATGGCTGACATAAATTTAAAAAGTTCGCGAAAAAAGGAATAGAAAATTATACTTCTAGGATGCAGCTCCACACTTTTGGCCATATGACTTTTCTGAAAAATGGAATGCCAACAAGATTATGACACTCATGATTATTAGTTATGTAAATGTGTATTATATTAATTAATATGATTTTAAAAATAAATATGAAAGTAAATTGTCTCTGTTGCAAATGAACTAAACGTTTTTTAAATGTTTACCCGCCATGCATTTTGTGTTTTATGCGTACCTGCCAACTTTTCCAATTTTTATAACACGTTGGCATATCCTGCAGAAGCGTTTCAAAATTCAAAGTTTTCTCACTTAAACCACATGAATATTTGATTCTATTGATGGTGTTTGATCACCATTATTATTTTTTTTATGGGGAGCTATAAAAGCTATATTATATGGACAGATCTATCGACAGGACGTCACAAGTTAAATACTTTGAACAAGCTACATTTATTCAACTAGTATTAGAAACTGTTTACGTACAGAAATTAAAACAAAATATTATAATTTTTTATTATACAATATATCTTTTTAATAGGTGTATGAGTGATGAAAAGAGACTATTTTTAATCCCCTTCAGTATTACTACCTTAAGTGTAGGAAAGGATAGGCCCTGTTAAAAGAATGGATATACATACATAAATGTGTTTTCTTGTTGGGATACTAGAACTCTAACAAAGATGCACACAATCCTCCCCATCTTGTGTGAATGTACAAACCTATGTGAATGTAGCCAATTTTACTGGGCATGCTCGGTGGCACAGTGCCTTTTCCCCACCCTTGGGCCTGGACCTGGGCCTGCGCATTTGACATATCGATTTTTGAATTGGCATCGAACCTTGTAGTCAAAAGTGTTTTCGTAAACATATAAAGCATTTAAATAGACAACTTAATAAATTAAAAAAAAATGATTTTTGCGACTTAATAGAATAATTGGAGTTTTGATCAAACTGTACACTAAAAACTATGCAAGAAGGCTAACTTTTACTGTACCTCTTCACGTGTGCAAGGAACAATTGAATATTGCTGAAGTCTAATTTTCTCAAATGAAAATTGTAAGTTTGTACATTATTAAAATTAATATTTGTAAAGTTGTGCGTGAGAATTTATAGTCCCTATACGCTTATCGCTATTTTTTGAGCAAAGAAAACATTTTATTAGTTTCATCTCAAACGATTAAGTTTGGTGTAAGAACAATTATTGCGATAAGTCCTAATTATTATTCAGTATGTATAAATTGGCAATGAAAAAATAATTTGGATCCATATTTAGTGCCTTTAAACAACATATTTGCTTGAAGTGTGAAGTGGGACAGTGTCGAAAGTAATTTTTTCAATAGTCTGTTTGTAAATCAGGACAAAACCAGGTTGTAAGTGAAACTAACACAATCAGAAAAAATCACACGTACAGACGCTCACGTAAAGGAATTCACTCTCACCCTCCCACTCTGAGTGGTCACATCCTACACTCTGCCTTTCGTAGAAAATCACTTTTTGGAAACACAGAATGAATGAGTTGGTAGTCAGAGCATGAAAGCTGTATGGTCCTCCCAAGTGCGGGTAAAGCAATAATGCTTTTTTTTACTGTAACGTACTCGTACTACGAAACAAACACACAACTATTACATAAACTAAACAATTGTTTTATATACGAGATCATACTGTAAACATGTACCAGAAATGTTAAAAGCGAAAACTAATGCATGTTGAGGGGAATATTTTGAATATAAAAAATAAAAATGTAGGCAATGATAAACTTGTGTGTAATATTCGGCAATAATGAAGGTTTCGGTAAAAAAATAAAAAAAAAGTTAGAGGAATTTATAAAGAGATCATTTATAAATAAATTGAACTTTTATTTTGTTCGGAAAATCCCCCCTCTTCTCCCATGAGCGTTTTTATTTATAATTAATAAACTTGTTTCCAGCCGTCATGGGCACTGTCCTTAGCTTCAATCCTCGGGATCGACACCCAGTATACTCATCACAGCACGACTTTCAATACAATAAGTCTGCTGACATTAGAAACGAAAATATAAACGATAATGTGGGATGTACCGATTCACATTTGAACAACTTTTCATACGAGCAACTTAACAACGTTAAGAATCGTGAAAATAAGAAGACATTGAGCCATCAAACGTCAAAAAATGGAATCATACAGCAATCTTCTTGTGGAAACATACATTTTGGTATGCCCACTCAGTTGAACTCGCACAACTTTAACAATCTTACTCATTCTTCGAAAGACACAATTAATAATGACCTGGACACCCATAATGAAAATACAATAATTCTATCAGAGAAGAGCTCTATTGAGAAAAATCTTAAAAAACATTCCTTATTTATAAACGCCCTGTCTTGGAAAAAACTATCATCGTCCCACAATAAAAAGAAAATTGAAAATAAGAATAAATGCGCCAACTTAACGACATCCAACTTTAAGGCACAGTTATTGGAAACCTCTTACACTGCTACATCTGACAAGAATAAAAATATTCAGTTACATTGTAACTATATTGAAGAGCATCAGCCGCATCGTTGTAACCAAATTCAAGAAATCCGAGATCAAGCATATTATTCAGCACCTCGGACCCAAAACAAGCCAACAACAACAAAAGATCTTGTCAGGGATAATAACACAAAATCAATATCCAATCATAATAAATTGATTCAGAAACAGCCAATTACTCTGACATTGCCTCTGCAGACACAGCCTTCTATAATACAAGTGAAGAACAGTAATCAGATTCCACGTAAAACTGTTATTCAGGTAAGTTATCTGTAAGCTAATTATATGAAAACACTTCCTTTAATTATGAATTCTGTCATTTAAAAGGCATCTACTTCAGAGCTTTTAAAGTGTTTAGGATTATTTTTGCATTACCGATGTCAAAAGCTAAAAAATTTTGATGCTGGAGACGCCGTGATGTGGCTACGAGCCGTCGATAGAAGTCTGTTACTACAAGGATGGCAGGTAAAAAAATAATGCACGTACGGATAAAATAAAGGTTGGATAGAGTCCGTTGTTTGTATGCTATTTAAACTTGTGTCCCACATTGTGGATGGTCATTATGGTCATATCAATGAATAATCCGTGTGAATGGAAATGAATGATGTGACACGTGCGCTGTAAAATATTGATAGTACAACTCTATGTATTACTCCAATAAATCTAAAAATAGCTTGGACTAATTTTATTAAACTATTTTTAAGGACGTTGCTTTCATCAATCCCGCAAATGTTGTATTTGTGTACATGTTAGTTCGTGAACTTGTAAATGGAGAAGAAACCAAGGAGTCGGAGTTGCAAGCTTCTGTGCTTACCTGTTTATATCTCTCTTATTCATATATGGGAAACGAAATAAGTTATCCTCTTAAACCGTTTCTAGTAGAGGACTCCAAGGAAAAATTTTGGGACAGGTAAGTCAGTTTATTCGTCATGAAACTAATTAAATGAAAAATGTTAATTGTGGGTTACAGTAAAATGATTATCGTGAAATTTTCCTCGTTTTCAGATGCCTTGTAATAGTGAACAAGCTAAGCAACAAAATGTTAAAAATAAATGCAGAGCCGGGATTCTTTACAGAGGTCTTTACAGAGCTAAAGTCTTGCGGCCAATTCCTTTCCAGCTCGACTAGAAGATTGTCATGTGGTGGTGCTTGACAGAAGAGCACTGAGATCGTCGTTCGACTCTCACTATCTGCACAACAGCAGATATTTTCAGATAAAAGCAACCCAAAAAATAAAACGTTCGAAAAAAAAGGTTTTTAAAACAACGGACAGTTTCACAATGTTACTGTCACCGTCGTTCAATTTCAAATAAAATAGCAACAGAATATAAATGCATGGAACATAAGTGTTTTCTTTACATAGTCAAAAAATTGAATTACCGGGCTCCGTTACTAAGGTGGTTGTTGACTTCTTTGACGTTGCACGTGAATTTTCGTAGCATTCTCATAGCCAACCATCTCAGTGGCCTGTTTTATTTTTTCTTCAGTCTCCAGATATTTCTTTCTTTTTGCTAATGAGAATGTGCCATTAAGTTTGAAGAATCTAAATGATTCCTTAAATCGACAATATTGCATTGGCTTAGATTCATATTAATAAAAAATATGTCCATTTTTAAATATCAATCAATAACGATGCAGTCCGATGTAATATCAGCTCGAAATGCGATAACAAAATGAATATAAAACCTTTTTTCATTTCCCAATCGTTCCAAAATGCGTGTTGTGTGCCACGGCCTAAATCATCTGTACCGAATGAAAATATAATACGTATTTCTATGTCTTTAGACTGCGGTCACACTGATATAAAAGAATTAATAACACATAAACGAAATTTTTAATGATGTATAACTATTTTATCGTTATATGTTTTTTGCTTTGTGCGGCAAATTGCGGATGGGTACGTTCATATATGCAACGTATTGTATATAAATATAATCTGTATATGCATGGTTTCAATTTTGCTAATTTCGATTATGTGCCGTGCTCTACTTTTATAAAAAGGCAAGCATTTTGTGAATTTAGCTTCTGTACTCATTTTCCAATCGGAAATACAGAAGGGCAATACTCCCTGATTAGCCAATATACATATGTATATGTATGTATACATTTCTAGTCCGTATTTGTTATTGGATTGCTTTAACATTCTGGACGGATGGTTCCGTCCGTCGCTTACGTATGCATGTGCGGCAAATTCTAAAAATGTTATATCACCGGAATAAAATCGATATTTAAAACCTTTCAATTGATATATTTTCCATATCCATAAGCCTTGCAATTGGCTAAATTACAGGGTATTGCGGTAGCACCATATGTGCTAGTGCCGCTTACATGTTATTTTGTTTTCTTTTTATATTAATATAAGTATTAATTTTTGTTTTTGTTTTATTTATATAAAACAGAGTTACTTGGAGCAAGATAGTTGGACGAATGTGGAATTACACCATGGCTTAAGTTCTGACCCCGAGCACTTTTCCTTTCGTGGAAATGTGACAATTCCGAGTTTGAATTCCGCTTTATCTAGTCTGCATCAGATAGAATTAAAAACAAGTGAATTGAATGTGTTAACGGTATGTATTTATTACGGATCTAAAAAAATAGCTGCAACTTTTGTTCATTGTCGAGCAAATCATAAAATAATTCTTTTTACGTATATTTATTTTAAATAATAAAATGTTTCCATTCATGTGTATATTAGGATCTCGCAAGACAAAATGGCTTCTATCGTTTAAAAGTCACTGTAATGTATCCAAATGGCAAAAAACAGATTTTTTTGACCTCTAGCAAAGCCTGTAGTTTACTTCAGTCGGAACTCAATGATATACTTTGGATTTCGGTTGGGCCTTCAGGGTTTATCTCTTCCGTTACACATACCTCTCTATCGGATTCAATCGAATGCGATGTTAATATAATAGAACATATTCAAGGACAAGAATATAACACCGACGTACTTGTCAAGCATTCCGAGTTGGCACCGATGCCAGATACCGCCGGTTTTATACAAAAAGTAGAACGAGAGCGAGAAGCAAGGGAGCGTGGAGAAGTACGCGATAACAGAGGATTCTTTTCGAAATATGTATGTAAATTTCGATAAAAAAGATTGCAAAAAACTTATATGAATTGTCTTTCAGTGGATGTACATTGTACCAGTTGTTCTACTGGTTTTCATATCCGGGGCCACAAACCAAGATGCAGCGAAATAAATTTTGTTTTCTTTTTTTCGTTTTATTTATTTTATAAATGACTTATAATTAATAAAAGTTTTGCCTTCTGCAAACAGTCTAAACCGAATTGAAATGAGTTGTTTGACTGTCTTACATTATTGCATTGAAATATTGTAGGCAAAGGGAGTGTGTAACGAAAATTCACACAACACATATAAAGGCCATTTATTATTATTAATATACATTAAAATGAAAATTTACTTAAAAGAAACTATTTTCAATTGACATAATTTAAATCGGCGTGTGTACTTAATATGTTGAGCTTATAACAGTAAATCGGCTATATTGTATTAAAATTCATACAAATAATCATCTATGATTACTTTGTGCAATTCAAACTGTCAATCAACAATTATATATTCTGAGAAATAGTATATAAATATCTGCCTTGGACTGCTCAAAATATTAGAAATATTCATTGATGCACATCGGAGCACGAGTAAAAATGAATAGTTGGACATCTTTTCTTGGATTATTTTTTGTACTAAATTGGCAAAGTATAGATATGACTATGGACTCTTCGGTAATAATAAATTTTACAACACACTTAGTCAAAAGTCATGATGCAATTATTTTTGATTGCAACGCTAAAGGTGAGACCTTTTTATATTTTTTTTATTTGAACATGAACAACATACAAAATTCTATTGGTCGTTTTACTGTTCTTATAGAGCTTCAGAGCATTGCTGGTGCGTTGATGGCACAAAATCAATTTGTGTACCCAGTACAACTGAATAGCTCGTTTAATTTACGATTCATTTTGACAAGACACAACTATGCTCACTCTTCAATAGTAATAAACACGAGCTGTAAAGAATCGAGCATTCTACTTGAAAAAGCTACAAGAGATCGGTATTTCAATAAGACATATCAGTGGTTGGTATGGGGCGTAAATCAGAGAATAGATAATTTATTTCCCCCTGAAATAAATTACATTGGCCCCAACGCCCAAGTTACTTTTGTAAACGAGAGTAACGGTGTATATATGTTGTGGGACATACATTCAAAAGGACGTCATCTTAAATCTAAATTGGAGATTCGTTTGATTGCAAAAATTGATAGGAACAGCGAGCAGTTGCAGCAAATTCGAAATATTTTTGAGCTGCAAAGCATAAGGAATCGAGACCAATTTAATGGATTGACTTTACGAGGAGCTAGTGTTGTAAGTATATAATCTCAATGTCAATTACGTGTGCCAAGAAGCGAGGTGTTTGGGTAAAGTGCTTAAAATATATTACTAATGTGGAAACAACAGTGTTCATACAAACAATCGCCGCCTGCCAAACAAAATTTTGAAACGCAATAACATTACGATAGTGAAATGATATAAATTTGATATTTGATAATTGAGCCGTTTAAAGATTACGAAAATTATTTTTTTTAGCTTGTACATACCAATTCATTGATTTTATATTACTGATCTCTTGCAGATTGATCAAGAAAATATAACGACGAACGAGCAAATAACTGCCATACTTTCTAGACCATCAAAAGATTCGGGCGTGGCCGCGTTTATTAAATATCACTACGAATTGTTAGGTCTATTGCAGGAACGTTTTAACTTCAGTGTTCGTTTTCGTAACTCAAGAGGATGGGCTGGAAGATTGGGAAACACGACCTTTCGTTTGGGACTTTTGGGAATAATCATGCGAAATGAAGCTGATGTTGCTGCATCCGGGTCTTTTAATCGCATCAATCGGTTCGCTGAATTTGACACGATACATCAAAGTTGGAAATTCGAAACCGCATTTTTATACCGCTTTACTCCTGATTTAAATACTGATGGTAAAAGTGGAAATTTCTTAGCACCTTTTAGAAAAGAGGTGTGGTATATTGGACTGGGAACGCTAATTGTTGTGGTCATCATGTGGTTTCTTATAAAGGTTATTAAAAGTAGAAGCCTTAAAATGGACTCGCAAAATTTGTTCTTCGAAAATGAAAATGAGCCGAGCGTTTCAAAATACATATCACCACATAATTATTCAGAACTAATACTCCAGACACTTGGGGCCGTTTGTCAACAAGGAATGGATCCGATGTATAATAATTTGCCATCGCGATGCATTGTATTAACCATATTTTTATTTTCTTTGGTCATGTATAACTATTACACTTCGTCTGTAGTTGGAGGATTGCTTAGTTCGTCCGGACAAGGTCCCGCCTCAGTCGATGAAATTACTCTTAGTACACTAAAGATTTCGTTTGAAGATATAGGTTACTATAAAGTTTTATTTCGTGTAAGTATGCTATTGTTTTAAGCTGAATGGTAAGAGGATTCAAAAATTGTTGTATAATTTAACAGGAGAGTAAAAATCCCATAGTAACTCGGTTAATAAGCAGGAAGTTATCTGCATCGAGAGGTCCTCAAGAGGTACCAATTTATAGTCACATAGATGAAGCAGTACCTTATCTGAAAAAGGGTGGTTTCGCTTTTCACTGCGAGGTTGTGGACGCATATCCCAAAATCGCTAACCTGTTTGATGCAAATGAAATTTGTGATTTACGCCAAGTATCGGGCCTAATGGAAGTGGAAATCATGAACTGGATTGTTCATAAAAATAGTCAATATACAGAAATTTTCAAAATTGCGTAAGTATTTTTTATATCATTATACATATATTTAAAATTTCTCTAAAATAGAATGTGTACAGCTCGAGAAGCTGGCCTGGTTCAGAGAATCCTGCGACAAAGACAAATTAAAAAGCCCGTTTGCCAGTCCTTATACACTGTCTATCCTGTTAGCTTGTCAGGAGTTATGAGTGCGTTCGTAATTTTAATTGGTAATTTTCTAGAATAGTAAAATATTTATTTGTAAAATTATTTTTTGTTCTATTTTGTAATAGGTGGATTAATACTATCACTCTTAACACTAGGAGTGGAAATTGGCGGTACGAAATGGCGAACAATAAATATATAATACAAAAATTTCAAAAACAATTCTTATCTTATATTATACTTGTATATCATAATACTCAGTCACATCAATAAACCAACGACTTTTTAAACACGCATCAATTTTAACGTCTAATTACGTATGATCCTCTGCGCTTCAAGTACAAAGTACTTTATCTAACCATTTTCAGGCTGTTAATGGCTGTAATCACAATCAGCAGCTAACTTTTTCAAATTTAAAACCGGTGTGTTGGCTACACTGCGAATCCAAGTGACAAAGCAACATAATGATATATTGTCATCATACACGTAAAGTGTTTCTATTCTACCGTTTCAGCTATGCTTGTCAGAGCCTAAAGTAGGAACGTCTCAGCTTCGAAGAACAGCTGTTTTGCGTAATTTTGATCGAGATTGAGTTTATTAGCATATTACGCGAAATTGTAAAAAGGGACATGTTGAAAAACGCAGTTAACCTTTTGTTAAGAAATACATCAGTAAGTGTACAAATTTTTACATAATTGCATAATTGTCTTTTTATTCACTAAAAATAATTTATTTGCTTATAGTGCGTGACTCGACAACATCCCGTGCGGGGAATAAATCTAATTCCCATGGTGGTGGAGCAGACGGGCCGAGGAGAGCGCGCATACGACATATTCTCAAGATTGCTGAAGGAGCGAATAATTTGCCTTATGGGCAACATTACTGACGACATCAGCTCCACAGTAGTAGCTCAGCTGCTTTTTTTGCAGTCGGAAAATGTCAACAAACCGATACACTTATACATCAACTCACCTGGTGGAGTGGTAACTGCTGGTCTGGCCATTTACGATACAATGCAATATGTGAAGCCACCAATAGCAACTTGGTGTGTGGGGCAAGCTTGCTCAATGGGATCACTTCTGCTTGCAGCGGGCGCACCAGGCATGCGGTACTCATTGCCGAACGCACGTATTATGATACACCAACCATCGGGAGGTGCGCAGGTCAGTAAAAATCGTCGAGATATGTTAGCTTACTTTATTCCATGATAAGAAACGCTGATTTGTTTTTCCAGGGTCAAGCTACAGACATACTCATACATGCAGAAGAAATAATCAAAATTAAGCGTCAGCTCACGAGTATATACGTAAAACATGCTAAAAATAACTATGAAGAAATGTGTCAACGGATGGAGCGAGACCACTTTATGACACCAGAGGAAGCTAAGATACTGGGTATAATCGACCATGTTCTTGAGCACCCACCTGAAACAGTTTCAGAGACCGGACCATCTTCAGACGGTGGCGTAAGATCGGGGAAAACGTCCTCTCCTGACGAAGACTCTGAAAAAAAACGATCCAAACAGGCAGTTTAACAACCATAGCTATTCAACACATTTCGGCCTCTAATTAAAAACAAAAAAAAATTAATCGCAAGTACAAGAAAAAACCCAATTTTTACCAACGTTTTTTTAATAAGGGACTTTTTCTTTATTTTAATGCTTCAAGTTTTACTCTACTTGAATGCATTTTTATTTTAATATTAATTTTTGAATTGAATAAGTAGATACATTTTAACCATTTAGCTCTGGTCCATATCAATGTCTGTACTGCCAGCTAATGAATCCTTTTGAACGTAGTCGTAGATTTTACTCAGTTCAGGAGTTTCCTTAATTGACTTTAGGAAATCAACTAGCTGCTGATTCTTGTCTGGAAATGTACGTGTTTAAATGAAGGCTACAAAGTCCAAATTATTGAACGTACTTGCTTTGGGTATTTGGGAAAGTGCTGATACAGCACGCAGGGCTGAACGCTTCAACTCGTCTTGCTTCTCGTATTCTTGCTTTACTGAATTAGCCTTAACTTTGTGTGTGCATGTGTCACGCAGTTGTTGAATGAACTGATCTAGTCCTATAGTAGAAAAATTAAAATTAGTGCTTTATAAACTAATGTGGGAGGTTGAACATACTTAATAGAACTTTTTCAGGACACAAAACGGCCAATCGCGCCGTCATCAGGTACGTCAACATTTTGATGTCATAATGATCACATAGACCAGCTTGTACATGATCAAGGAACTGCATTATATCGACGCGTTCCAGGCCCTGTTCCAGTAACGTATACATGCACTCAAAGGCAGCTTTGCGTATATCAAGACCATCGTCAACTGTGTGTTTAAACGGACCCATCTCGACCTCTCTAATCAACTCGCTCTGTAAGTAAAGAATCAACAATAGGGACACAAAAATTTCATTCAGCCGATACGAACCTTAACCTTTGTTTCTGAATACAACCACGGCAAGAGGGTGGGGAGCAATTCTCGAACCAAACTCGGTTTATTGTGCACTGCCGAGTTGAAGGCAACCAAGGCAACACGGCGAACTGAGGGTTCCGGGTCCCGTAGTGCAAAAAGAAACTCTCCAATGCTTTGCTTAAGTAGAATGTCTATTGGTTGCGGCTGGTCCGAAATAGTAAATTTCACCGAGGAAACCACAATAGTACGCATAGTCGCGCTCTCGGAACGAAGAGCCTTTTGAAGCTCAGGCAGTAGTCCCTCCGGATTAACAAGAACCAATTTACCGAGGCATTCGGCAACTACGTTGCGAGAGCCTTCTTCAGAATATTCACAATGTTTAAAAAGTTGTGTCCATATTGACGGTACTGACGGTAAAAGCAGCGCTAGGCCATTTGGAGTGGTTGAGAGGGACGAAATTACTTCCTTTAAGGAATGGAGCAGCAAATACTGCCGCTTTGGTTGTGATTCAATCTCCTTTAAAATTAAAGGCAAATACGTTTGTAAGCTGCCCACAGATACCGCGCCAAGGGCATACGAAGCAGCTGCCTTTACATCCTCAGATGTAGCACCGAAACATTCAATAATAGTCTGCGGCAAAACCTGTATAGCACTGAGGTCGAAGTGCCTACCTATTTCGCCAATTGTTAGTAGGCAAAAGATTATTTGTGTGTCATTTGTTACGCGATTCTGAATCTCAGTTATTAACTTAGTTGCCAATGGTGTGGCCACCAGTGGACATTGTTGAGTTAGTGCTGCGATGCATTTGGCTGAAGAATGATATGCCTGCTTATGAAGTTGTTCATTTTGACGTTCCATTGCGTTTTTCGTCGACAAGTCACTACCCATAAGTACCGGCTCCATTAGCTGAGAAACAAGAGAATGGTAATCCAAGCCAGGCAATTGGGTCTGCACCAAAGATTGAAACAGGTCTAAAGTACAGTTAAGCGCGGTGCCCTAAAAATAAAACCAAATAAATATATTATTCCATTTTTTCGATTTAGTCATACATACCTGAAGCAGAGGGGAACGTACTAAAGTTAGTATTGGAGGCAAAAATTGCTCATGAATACCAACTAATGCCTCTGGCTGGATTCGGGCAGTAGTACTTAATAATATCAATGTGTATTGTGCTACATGCAAGTCCGAATCAGATATAAGTGGAGGTACCTCAACAATTGACGCCTGCAAAAGCTTTGGTTCGATGCTACTTGAATAGTTAATGACAATTTTATTAATAAGGTCCAAAGAATGCAGTTTTAGTGCTCGGTGGTTTTTGCGTAAGAAAGATCCTAAGGTTGGAAGCACGTCATGAAGTATTGGTGACAGGTCTATTCGCAAATGTGAAGCCGCAATCATAGTGAGTGCTTTTACGCTGCTTAGTCGAGTAACCTCATTTTTAAGACGCTCCATAAAAATTGGCAGACATACGCAGAGTTCACTCTGGAGCAGGTCTCCCATGTTGGAAATAATTTGGCCCATACACGCTATAGCTCTTTCCTTTACTTCTTGGTCAACATCAGTGACTTTTAACTTCTGAAGTGTGCATGAATAAACTTGAGTAACAAATGGCGTTACATCGAAGTCAGATTTAATTTCCATTTCCGATGGTCGTATTACTTTGACCAGTTGCTGTAGTACCAATAACGCCTCGGTAGAAATTTTATAAAAGGGATCGAAAACTGATGTTACCACGAGAGGCACCAATATAGGTATATGTCGGTGAAATACATGAGGCTGGTGACCCTGGAGCAAAGAACATAGAAATCCCAAAGATTCAATCTTCATATTACTTGTCGAGTTTTTGTCGTTTAAAGAATAGCTTATGCCAGGCACAATGCTATCCAAGTGCGGACCCAAAGCACCCGGCAAAGAATTTAAAAGCTCCCGTAATAAAAGGAAGCAGTCCTGCCGTGTTTTCATCGACTTTTCACGCATCAATGGCTGTATGGCTTTTATAATTTGTGGCAATTGTTCAATTAATAATGATGTTGGTGCTGATATTTGTTCCATGGAGTCAGGATCTTGAGTCAGTTCATTATTTGGTCGCGTATTTTTTAACAATGCGACGTACGCATGAAATATATCGGATTTAACATTTTCTTCACGCTCTTTAAAACGCGCTATTAGAGCTGGGCTTAGATTGCGGTAAAAATCTTCAATTAGTTCGTGACGGTTATAAATCAAAACTTCTAAGCATTTGGCAGCAGCGCGCCGTACTTTCCAACTCATGTCGTCATCATCGCTGTACTCTTCACTGTCAACATATTCTTCTTCTTCAGTATCCATGGCAATACCTGCCTCAACTTCATCAGCTTCATAGTTATAGTTTGGATCGTATGTCAGGTATTTAAGACAAAGCTCTAGAATCTATTTAAAAAAAAATGCATCAATTTAAAGCAAATGTTTAGCAATGTAAAAACATACCATAGGAATGTGTGGTTTTATCGCATCTGGACAGCGCGATACAAATGCTTCACAAGCATGTAGGCAATACTCGCGTAACTCATCGTCATCCCGTTGACTATATTGCTTGAGAAGGTGCATTGAACGATCAATATGATTGCAAAGGCGATGTCCAGCATGACGGCTAAATATGATCACATATTAAAACAATTTCATTGTTCAGTTTAAAAAAAAAAAAACAGTTTACCAAATTGAGGCCAAACATTGGATGTAAGTGCGAATCGCACCGGGATTTGGTGGTTTTTCCAGTCCTTCCAGTAAATGATCTATAACGCCGTTGTATGCATTACTATTGGCTTGAATCAGTAAAAATGAAAGGCCTACAATTGTGCGTTTGCGTACAGCTTGTCGCGGCGATGCCAATTGGGGCATCAGTGCCTTTAGAATAGTGCTATGAAAAGGAACTAGAAACTCGCCAAAACGAGATAACAGATCCGACAGAATGTCAAGAGACTCTAGTTTAACCGAAATGTCTTCCTACAAATAAAGGTTAAGATCAATAAGAAATTTCCCAGCAAGTCATTCCCTTACCTTCTCAATGGCATTGCTTAATTTGCCAGTTATTCGCTGGCAGACATTGGGTGCAAGAGAGTTGGATGACTGTGGCAGCTCTGCAATCACTGTTTTTAGACCGATGCTTGATATATCCCGCAATTGTTCCATATTGGACATCATATTTCCACATAAGGAATCCACAATGGTCTCCACTTGGTTTTCCTTTACTTTGTTTACGAGCGGCCCTAAACACTTCACTGCCAAGTTCTGAACTTCGCCGTTTTTATCTTCGAGGAGTTTTAACACCATGCGGACAACTTTTTTCTCTGATTCATCGTCCAAAATAATGCTATCTTTTTGCAACTCTGTCATCAAATCATTTGTAGCCATGAACCGGAAATCCTTGTCCGTAGAAGTCATCTGTAATTTGATCTTAGTATCAATATTCGCAGTCTACAAAATTAAGTTTATTATTACCTTTTCCAACAAATGGGCAATTTGGTGGTATTGATGAGACGCCATGATCAAAATAAACTCTGTATGTATATAAAATGAGCACAAAATCGTAACAATTGGTAACCGACTCCCTAATTCCTGGTATTATATGCACAAGTGCTTGACGGTGTTACTCAATATAGTGGTAAATACCTCTTATATCGATCAAAATGAGTTATTTCCAATTTATTAACTACTTGAATTTGATAATGTCCACTAAATCTTTGTTAAATTATGACCGGCAGAAAATTATTCCTTACAAGTGGCAGCACCAGCACAACAAAATATGTATCATTGAAACATTTTATCGATAATACAGGGAGCGTTCACACTGACAAGCTTCTAGATACTATCACGGTCAATTTACATATTTATGTACGCAACAGAGTTGGACCGTCAACTACGAAACGAAGGAACTATAGAACATTAAAAATGAATTGTGAATTGAATCAAATTATTTCCAAAGACGAAGGAATACAATTTGAAACACTTTGTTTATTGTTTTGATTTTTGGGTAAGGCTTACATACGAAACTACTACTATTATTTCGTAAGACTTGCGATGTTTTATATTAGCCCACATTTTTGCTTGAATTTATATAAAAAATTTTACATTTGTATACAATTTTATTTGCGTTCGCTTATTTGTCCTGTTTTTTAGTTCTCGCAAATGTAAACATATTTATATGTACATACGATCGTGAAGCTGATTCAAGCTTTTATATGTAAAAGGTAATTTTGGGTTTCATATATACGTATTTATTTTTACTGATGCGCTTTTAAATACTTGAAGCCATTTGTTTTAATGTGCATCGATTTTCGATATCTTAATCGAATACAAAAGCTTGTGGTATTTAATCACTGAAAATTGAATAAAATGTAGCACCCTATTTCAGAGAGCCGCGTTAGCCACCACGACCAAATGTATCTTGAACATTTCAAATGCGAAAATTCCCTCATACTTGTAAATTTCCTAAAAATGTTCGTACCTAAATCTGCAGTCTGGGATAATTGAAACATTGCATCAAAAAGACATTACATTTTAATGAATTACAATTATTTGAATGTGTATGTTAAGTTTATTTACTTTTTGTAGCTAAAAACGTGATACCAAGTATTAAAAAAAGAGATGCAATTATTAAAAATACATCAGAATATTCCCAAGCGCGAAGCCTTTTAGAAATAGTCATCATAAGCTAAATACGTACTCCTTTATATTATAAATACTTTTGGTCTATTTTTTGCTGGTCCACATACACAGTTGGGGTTTCTTTAAAGGGTTACATCAATGAAGTCGGGGTCGTTAGAAAGCAATGCATCTGCTTTGTCAGAAGCTTCGAGGTCACCGATCACAAATGCCTGCTGCTTTCCTTTGGTTAACATATGAAATTCTTTACAGAACTCTAAAGAAGCTTCTTTAGGAAGGCAAATAAGAAGGCCACCGGAAGTCTCAATCGATGTGCCTGCACACAATTTTGTGCTTTGATCAGTGAGCTTTCCAAACTTCAAAACATTTTTGATAATTGGTAATTTACGTATTTTAAAAACGCAAGTTTCTTTTTGATAGCTGGCCAGGTTTTTAGCATGACCCAACAAACCAAAGCCAGTAACATCGGTGGCAGCATGAGCCTCATATTTATGCATCAAAAGTGCGGCTGAAATGAAAATTAGTAAATTTTTCTTGTTTATATATAATTAAAATTGTACAACTTTTTATAGGATTGAATTATTTTTTAGAAGTGTAGGTTTATAGTCTATTGTTTACATTTACCATTTCTATTTAGGTACGTCATAGATTTTACTGCTGTTTCAAAACATTCCTGAATATCATCATCAGAAAAAGATGACTTAATCTTTTTATAGTTCTCATTCTTCTCAATCATCCAACGATAAGCATTTGTAGCTAGTTGTGTGCCAAGTGGTTTTGTAAGTACCAAAACATCTCCATGTCGCCCGTAAGACGGTCTAAATAAAGACATCAAATCGAACATATTATAATATTTAACAACTAATTAATAGCACTTACAATATAATCTCCTCTTTGCGGCAAAAAGATGTAGCTATTCCTCCTATGATGCACCAGGGATTGATCGTAATGCTCTTAATATAAAGTTCTTTGTGGTAGCCAGCTTCTACTGCAGCTTTCTGAAAGCCCTTTATGATCATTGGTACGACAATATTTTGTTGCTTGGTTGTAAACTCAGTTGGTGCGCTAATAATCATGTCAAGTTTGTCGATCTCAGTTACTCCGACAGCATACATGTCACTCGTAACATTAGCTAGAGCTATGCGTCCCATTGTGTCAAGGTCGTCGACAAGCGGGTAGAAAAAATCGACAGTCTGAACTAAAGAGTATCCCTTGTGACGCAGGGGGATTACTGCGCAATCTAATCCGGATCCTAAATATGTAAACATATAAATAAATTAATTTGAATAGGCATACATAATTTAGGAAATTGTCACTCACCAATGTAATCGTCTTCATTGCTTTTGCTTGTTTGAGTATGAATTATTTCTGTTCCCTCCAGGTATTTGGCAAGTACCTGCTGTGGGATTTTGCAGCCTCATCCTCTTAGAGTTGAAAAATTTGTAAGTCGAAAATCTGGGTCTAACCCGTGGTCAACTGGATTAAACATTTTCTTGGACTAATGGTTAACTTAAAGTTTTTGACGATATTTATCAGGCCTCATTAAGTATCGAAATTGCTATCGATAACAGTCAATACATTTTTGAAATAAAACAGGAAAGGGTATTCCATACTATGTCTAAAGTCAACATTATTCAAATGTAATTTCCTTGCAGTGTGCTGCTTTAATGCAGTGGTGGGCACGTAAATTTTAATCGGACCGCTATAACAGTATACACGCACTATGTGTACATATTATGTTTTTGCATAATCTACTTGTGTTCCTGGCTGGCGACAACTGCATGTATTTTGTCTTTTTAAGCTCGGTCGCAATCGGAACTCTGCTTGTTTTTCTTCAGTTTTTATACGTCACCTTTTATTTTTAAATGATGTTGTATTTTTTAAAGAGTATAGTAGAGTATACATACATATTACACACCTTTAACGACCTTTTTGAAAAACTGCTTCACCCCTCGGTTTTTGAAATAAAAACAAAACATCCTAGTAGAGTTACAAAATTACAAAAAATTACATTTTATTAATTCGATCAACTTAATTCATATTAAATAGAGCTGGAACTGTGTACTTGTATAGGGAATGTTGGGTTTGAACTTGACCGGAGGACAACATATTTAGGTTGAAAATACGAACTCTGTTTGTATGTATATCAGCAGCATATTGATAATATGGTTGTTGTATTTGGCTTATCTCTTAGTACTAAAAATAAAAATTAAAGATATCTTTGGGAATGGCTTAGAAACATATGATTTTCCAAAAAGCATTATTTTAAAATATACAACATAGTCTGAATCAATATTCATCTTAACTACACATGTAAGTATGTATATACATACTTATGCATATACATACGTGTCTATAAAATCAGGATTTAACAAGCCGTATCTTTTAAGCTAAATAAAACACATGCATATGAAATACAAAGGCTTTCGAAATGTTCTTACATGTTTTGGCTTCGGCCCAACTTTTGCAGGAAAAACTCCTTAAGCGGCTGATAGTACTGGTAACGTAAGCTTAACATTTCTGGCATGCTTCGTACGTGCTCAAAAAGTTCGGACTCTGATTCCATGATAAAAACGGCAGTGCCGGTCATAGCTATAACTACAAATATAACTGATGGTATAAATGCATGTAGTAAATGGAATTTTCGCAAGTTCTTGGAACTGTTGATGGAGTTTTTATGCGTCAATTTTGATGTTGAAATGCCTATGGAAGCACCTGAATTAAAGGCTGCGTTTGGTAGCCCACAATATTGCTTGGACGAATAATACACTTGTTCATGGGGGCCGTAATGGTGATCGAGCTGTTGATGTGCGTTCGCAGAGCTATCCGAGTAGGCTCTCTCCGTAAAAGACTGCTCCATGTCATCGCGATACGTGTAATCTGGAAACTCACTCGCTGTGTGGTTAAGGCCATCTATGTTCGAAGAACGTAGCCGCGCCTCCTCACATAAGGGTTCAAGGCTAGGCATTTGAACACCACCATTGGCGCCGACATTCATATCGTGTGCATTTCTGCCATAAATAAGGTTCTTTGAGCCTATAGTGCAGCCCAGCGGGTCAGACATTGTTGAACGTGGTAAGCTGCTATATCCTGACAAAAAAAGGCAAGTATATATAAATATTTTGTAGATGTAATGCAATCGTTCTGCAATAGTTTACGTATTTGTGCTAAGTCGCCCTGTGGACTAGAGGGTGTTGCTGGCACACTGCTGGCTTTACGATTGCTTGCTGCAGAATGGGTCATCTTTTGTTCACGTAACCTCTCACAGTATTCCGTCAGAATTTCACGTTCTGTTCTTCCTGTGTAACGAAACTTGGTCCCCCAAGAGAAGAAACCTCCACCAGAAACAACCGCCACGTGTTGGCTGTTAGGCAAGCTGTGAAGTATATATCCAACATATTTAACAACGCTCTTGCGTTCTTTTATAGAAAATTGCTTACGTGAAAAACAACATTTGTTCAATTGCACATCTCCACAAATATCGACAAGCGGCGCCTGATGGACATTTAAAACCAATTGTATGCTTTTTCTGAAACAAAATTGATAGTTAATATGTGATAATTTGGCCATTTACGCAATGCTAAACTTACTGGCTCACGACTAGCATCAGTGTAGCTTAAATGAGCAATGAACATTTTACCCTCAAAGTTGATCTTATGCACTTCGTTCCAACGAAAGTGTTGCGATCGTTTACCAGCTACGAATGTACTAATGCCCGAATGATTTATACCAATATACAGCTGAGAACCGCGATGGTCTTTGACTGGATGAGGGTCGATGCCGTAAGTTTCTAGCCCGCGGGCGATGCCCATGAACTCATCCCTTGCAACAGATGGATCCTGACCAGCCTCACGTTTCTTGTGCAATTGCATTATTTTCTTTTCAAGATTCTCTGTCTGTCGTAAAGCCAAGTCAATTGATGAAACATAGTCGTCTATATGTATAGCCTCATCAAAATCTCCGAGTTCCTCTGTAATATTCATAAATATAATTCAAATAAATAAATTCGTAAACTAAAGACACCAATACTCTGGATACCTTGAACTATTAAAGCACCCAAGGCTGCCGCCTCTCCTAAAGAACAGTATAATCGACCATGTCGCAAATCTCTCTTTAATTGCTGATACAGCACCAGGCGACCATTACCGGTCAGGCGAAATGGATCCGCGGGATAGAACTTCACTCGAAGCGAAAATAGCATAGGGTCTATATCTAGTGTAGCAAAAACATAAAAAACATATAAATTTCTTTAATATATAATTGTAAAAAAAAAGGGATTTACCTTTACATTGTTTTATAATTGATTTTGCAAGATCAAGCCAATGCTGTCAAAAAGAACATCAATGTATGTACATATATTATATATTATTACAAGTACATTCAATACAATATCGACTTACTCGTTGTTTTCCATTATCCACATAACGCAGGCCAAAGTAGTCCTTCTCTTTTATGTTTAACTGCTCACATAGGTACTCAACTAAGTAAATGCCTTTGTGGGACGGCTTAAAAAATTAATACAGTTGTAAATTAATTAAATTTAAAAGCATATAAGATTCATTTTGTATATCCTATGTCTTTTAGAAAAGGGAGTATTCTAAATGAATCCCTGAGTACCTTATAGCCGAAATTCTTACAACTATGGCTATAACTTTCTTTACATTTGATATATCATGATAAAATTTAACACGAGGACACATAAGCTCTAACGGGATGTTATTGCCAAATTTGAGTTGAGGAAATAATTAAAATACATTTGTACTGCGTACACAAATAAGGTATCTGTTACGTTACAACGATATATTGCTACATTTTGAGATTCCGTAAAGCGTTCTTATTGTGCAAGATTGCTAGATAATTACAAAATTTTTGAAATTCAGTAGAAGAAAAATGTAATGCATTCGTTACATTTTTGCGTTTTGCATACATTAATGTAAATTATACGTACAAGTATGTATCTTCGTTTGCATAAATACGAATTCCTGTGAATGTAACACACATACATACCTGAAATTCACATTCTAACACATCGGAATCATCAAGCAGCCGGACCGTGCATTTATATATAATATTACATTCGTTTTTACTTTTGAACATTTTTTATAATCTGAAGTTTAAGGGGATATCGACTTTTGCAATGTTATTGAATTACTTCTATTTTACTTATCCATCTCTGTAATTTTCGTTATTTTATTACGCCTTGTAGTCTTATAGCGCCTTTATAAATATCTTGTTAATTAAATAGAAAGGAGATGTTTACCAAATATGTATTAAGCAATTTCAAAGATAGTTGCCGACAATGTCCTTTAGTGCCCTACGCCTACCTCTTTTCAGGGGTGGGTTTTCGAACTCCTGTCAAAGAGTCGTTGAAAAGTAGTACAAAATAATGTCAAGCGCCTTACTTAAGTATTCGAGTATCGCCGCCAATTTTTCGGTATGTATTTCATTTTTCAAATTGATTGATTTAATACCAAAAAGGTTAAGAAGAACATACATAAATATGCAAAAAATGACATACTTTCAGTGTCATCCAGTATTAAGATTCAATATTATTTTTTTTTAGAAGGTGATTCATTTGACAAAAGAGACAAAAATTGACATATCCAATAGAATACCAAAGAATATGCTGAATGATGAAACGAGCTGGTGTCTAAATTTTATGTGTAGTCACAAAGTAGTATTATTGAGCAAAAAATCTGTTGCAAATTAAAATCACACACAGAAATAAAAAGTATTGTGTTGACTGGATAGTGTTTTTTTTTTTTAGTATTTTCAATAACACATATTTGGTCCCACTAAGGGTTCAGATTGTGTTACATATTTTATTCTGCTTTTGGAATGAATCTAAAAAAATATAATGTTGGCGCCTTGAAATACGTGCGCCCCAAATTTATATCAACTTTATCTGGGAATGTATTATTCTCGCCGTCGATTCCAAATGAAATTATTGCAGATGCGGATACCACAAGATTTGATAAATCTGGCTTGAGGAGAGATCACAGAAATGTGCTTTCTAAAGCAGTTCCTTACAAAACACCTCACACTTGGATACACGCAACAGAAAAATATCAGAGAAAACTATATGGCTTATACGGGAACAATAGTAATGTTGATCCGAAAATTTGCTTTGATTCGGTCATCGACAGAGCAAAATTGGATAAATTGGACCGGATTGCGCAACCTTATAACTTACAGCAACTGCGAGAAATTGTTAATACCCAAGAAGCTAATAAACTAGAATTAATAAAAGCCCGTGAAAACGGACTACGTATTAAATTAAATAAACTGGAACAGTGGAAATCTGAGTTAACTACAAAAATAGCAAAGCGAGAAGCTGCAGCTCAAGAAGCGAAAGAACGGAAGGAGCGAATGGTGGAAGAGGTGCGAAGGCATTTTGGATTTAAAGTAGATCCCCGCGATGAACGATTTAAGGAAATGCTGCAGTTAAAGGAGAAGGAAGGCAAACGTAAAGACAAAGAAGCTAAACGAAAGGCTAAGGAGGATATGATGGTAGCAAAACTAGTCGAAAAAATGCCTTAAATGATAAACTTGTAAACTCTATTATATACTTTTCGTCTATAAACTTTTACGGAACTGTATTATTGTGTGTATTATTTATAAATGTACACAATCATTCCATTTATATTCTATACTGCATTATTCCGGCCCACAATAGATAGTACTGTGCTGCTGATTCACGGAATTGTATTACTTTGTGTTTGGAGGGTAATCATAAACAAACCGTGTGGGAGTGACGCACTCGACTGTATTCTTGATCACGAAAATTATATATAGTGTGAAACCCTCCCGCATTACAAAAGCTATATAAAAAAAAGTCGAGTCATTTTATTTATTTATATATGTACATATATCACGCATGTTTTCATACATATTAATCGTTTTCTTTGTTTTCTATACTGCATTACTCTGGCCCACCGGGTACATTGTCTTCGGATACAAATCCAATAATGCTTAAAGCAGATTCTTCGCTGATCCAAATGAGTCCAAGGAAAATTGCTTCAAGAATGCCGATAATTGTTCCAGCAAGAACATCTAAAAGATAATGCCGTTGCAAAATAAGTCGAGAAAGCGTCACGCTTACAGCCCATGCTGTAAGAGGCATCCAAAATACCACCGGTATAGAATATAATTTTGTAAAGAAAAAAAGTAAATAAAAAGCTCTCGATGCATGCCCTGATGGAAAGCTGAATTTATCCGGACCAATCGTATATGTATCTTTGGGTACTGCAGGACGCCTTCGTCTTACAATTGCTTTTAGTAAAGCAACAACAACAATGTCCAATAACAGACCAATCAACATATTTAACTGCATTTGAAACAGATTCTTCGAATTGACCAGCCAGATAAATGCAGTCCAGGACGCCAGCCAAACGATTCCATCGCATGAATACTCAAGAAATTTACAATGAACCCTTAAGGATTTAATTGATGCGAATTTCAACAAAAAGGAAACAACCGTTTTGGTAGCTGTCTTATCAATCTCCAGTAAATATTGAAGCATGGTTGTAGAACCGGACTGAAATGAATAGACGTGTTAAAAATTAGTACATTTTAATTAATCTCCACCGACCATTTTTTGTTATATCTTGAGCTGGAACCGGTGCACTATCGATAGTTACCTTTTGTAGTCGCAATCGATAATTTATACAATATTATTTGCTATATTAATATCGATAGAAAACATGATGGGTTTTCCAATATACGGTCGAATGCATACGTGTATATGTTTACAAATTGTGCAAAGAAAAACAAATAGATTTTGTGTGCAATCATTGAGTATTGACAAGGCATGTCATTTAAGTATCGCGCTTTGCGGGATATACGACCATACAATGGTTGCATTCCCCAACTAACGAAACCTTTACTTCGGGCTCTTATTCAAGCCTCGGTGCATTACTTGGAGTCCGAAAAATGTTCTCCTGAAATTTTGGACCTGGCTTTAAATAAGCTTTATGCGCGACATGAGATTCCAAAAAATTTTTGTCAAGTTTTCTCCATGGTGCTAACGACAATGCAAAGTTTTTTGCGCTGCCCAAAGGGTGGAGTGATGGACCACGAATTTCGAGAGTTTTTAAAAGACTTAAAGTATGTATATAAATATATGTATATCTATATATGAAAATATATATTTATGTATGTACATATATGCAAATAGGTTTCCAGATGAATTTATTGATGATCTTTGCAATGTCCTATTTAACTATCGGGCCACGCTAAGTAGAAGCCTTGCAGAAACCAAAATAGACAGACCCAAAATTATAGGCATGCAATGGCGTATAAACATCTCGTTGGCTACCTGGTATGTATCTGCATTCAAATCCCAGCTATTTATCCAATTTTATTGTTTTTATATTTACCAATAAATCGCTTGTAGTGTCGCACAAGTATCTACCCCCACTATAGTGTTATACTTCAACTTAAATAATGGAGAGCACCGAACTCTGGAGTTGCCATTGACAATGTTTGATCGCCTGCGTTATAATGTTGCTTTATTAGTGAATGGACTGCAGTCTTTGCAGAATCGAACTGCATTGAAATCGTTTTGAAAATCTATGCGCATATTTTCTACATAACGTAATAAGATAAATTATATACAAATAAAACAAATGAGAATTTTTGTCTTGGAGGCAGTAAGAAAAACATCAACTTCATGAATTCCTCGGAACTTTCCTCTCGTTCTTCAATATTATTTTGGGACTTGCAAGTCAACCCACACTTCTATCTATTCGTATATCTACTAAATTTGTACATACATATATGCAGTTCCGTCGTGTATCGCTGCTATTTTGACGCTCATATTTAAAATTTGCATCAATAGTATCGAAAACCTGTATATTCTTAAGACGTAAAGTATCGATGGTCCAGCCCTGAAGTGTTCATAAACAATCACGCACGCTCACATATGCGGCCACGTCACATTGCTTCTCTCCGTTTGTATTTCTCTTTTGTGCTGACATTCTAGGTAGAAGCTAGAGGAGGCATCGAATCATAGGAGTTAAGCTCGTTGGCAAAATAAAAAAGTTTTATCAACTAGAAAACTTACATATTAAATTTGCAAACGTATGTATATTAATGTGTTTTGATGTAACTCAATTGTGACAAGCTTTTTTTTCTATCCACCTCAGTAAATACAAGGAAACGAACACGGATACAGTTCACATTATCAAATACAGAAATATAAATTAAAATGAATATATTTCGATTTGCTGGCGATTTGTCGCATGTATTTGCCATCATAATATTGCTTTTGAAGATATGGAAGACCAGATCGTGTGCCGGCATATCCGGCAAGTCACAGATATTATTTGCCGCGGTTTACTTGACACGGTATTTGGACCTTTTTACCACGTATGTGAGTCTCTACAATTCGGTTATGAAGGTGTTGTTTTTGGCTGCTTCTGGTGCCACAGTTTATTTGATGTACGTAAAGTTCAAGGCCACCTACGACCATAACCATGACTCCTTCCGTATTGAGTTCCTGCTTATACCATGTGCTCTTCTATCCCTGGTCATTAACCACGAGTTTACTGTAATGGAAGTGCTTTGGACATTCTCGATCTACTTGGAGTCCGTTGCAATTCTACCGCAGCTGTTTTTAGTAAGCAAGACGGGCGAGGCTGAATCCATAACTAGCCATTATCTGTTTGCTTTGGGATCTTATCGTGCACTATATCTATTGAACTGGGTATACCGCTACATGGTGGAGTCTCATTATGATTTAATCGCAATTTTCGCTGGCATCGTACAGACTATTCTGTACTGCGATTTCTTCTACTTATACATTACCAAAGTGCTCAAGGGCAAAAAACTGCAGCTACCGGCATAAGCTGCTCGTTTATAATTCCATAAGCATGCCGGCGTCGTCAGTTTTACTTCAGATGCAATGCAATGTTGAATGGCGGTAAATTAATATAATATCAGAAAAGCTTGTAGTGGAGCGTGGACTGCTTTTCACTGCGTCATTATTTTTAGTTTGTAATTACATAAAGCAAAAAATTTATTGAAAATCAGTCGTGACACCAACCTTTATGCAACATACACAAAAACTCAATAATTATACATGCATACGAAAATGTACAAAATGTATTTATTTATTACGGTATTAATACATTTAAAATACCAGGAATCGGTTGCCTATTTACAATTTTACATTCTGTCGCACCTCGTATTTTGTGACACAAAATGATAAAACTCAAAATATTTAAGATAATAATTTATAAATCATTCAAATTAAACCAAGTTCAAGTGCGACTGCCAAGTTAAACTTCAATAATTGTCCACTTTAAGTCATGTGTAATATTACAACATATTACAAAGGTAGCATTAACAACAAAATAAAAATCATTTAAAATAGAGTCTATGCGGTGTGTCCTTATAGCCTATCGCAACTGAAGCATCACCAAATCTTAAAAGTTAGCTAGAACGTCTTCCGCGATCAATCAATACCAATAACGCTACGTCCGGTCCGGCTGTTTTTGTTTTGTTTTGAACTCAAATTTTAAGAAAAAGAACAAAAGTGCAAATGTACCTTTAACAGGCATTTTACAACGCATTTTTATTAATTATTTCAAATTTGTTCAGAAACAAAATATTGCAGTAAATGTTTTCCAATCTTGCTACTTTTAACCTGCACATATTCGCTTAAAAACTGGGAGATAGATCCCGTCAGGCTGATCATTTTGTGTACATACCTATTTCATACCAAATGAAATATGCCCAATGCATCGGTATAAGAATATGTTTTATTTACTCAGATGTCTTTTTGGATATTCTTTAATTAACAGTCGTGACTCAGAATGGGCAACTGTCACTCAAATATCACGTTTCAATGTATACATAATGGGGTGAAAGATAACACCTCTTTTACTGGCCAGATCGACAGCGATCTTGGATAATTACATTAAACCGGAATCGTGCCCATCACCCAAGAAGTAGAAGAATCTAAAAATGATTAATTAGTTTAGGCCCACGGAATAATAATACATTTATGGATACAGATTCCAACAAATCGCTTTAAGAAAAAAAACTGCATCCATAAAAGAAATAAATATTTTGTTTATTTTATTTTTTTTTGAGCTAAGCACTTTTAAAATGCAGATTAAGAGCTAATTTAAAAAAGGGGCTTAAATCAGAAATATATCAGCTATATTGTGTGTTCAAATAAATGTGCCAGGATCTCAGCTTCGCTAAAGTCCATTTTGTACTTTTGCGTAATATCCTGCACCTTAAGACGCCGTCGCACATGTGGTGGTTGGTAGCTGCATGGAATCGAAATAAAGTAATATACATATGTATATTTGATTAACTTTTTTCAGTTAAAGTTTGACTCACCTATCATTATCTAACCGTCGTCTACGGGACATGTTTAATGCTGTTTGTCGAACTAAATTACCAGCAACACGTCGACTGAGCACCATGCCATCAACCAAAGGTATGGCAAAATTAAGACGACCTGGTGGTCCTTGCAGCTTCACACGCAACAAACCTGAATTGAGCGTGTGAAGAAATATGATATGGCAATCAGACACTTTTGTCTGTTGCTCTTCGCCAGTACTTGTGTACGGTAAGAGATCCTGCAAAGGAAAATTTAAGTGATCCTCGAAACTCTCCAGCCATACTAAGAAAATTATCGGAGGCGTCTGCGCTACAACCGAAGGCTTTGAAGCGATTGCCCTGCGACGGGTCGGCGGCATGGGCTCTTTGTTTTTCGTGTCCGACTCTAAAGAAAAATTGTTCTGCTTAGATGTGGGCAAGCTGTTGTTGCCGCGCATCCAAATATTTTCCGCAGCTTTATTGTCATTGCAATTTTCTGTTTCATCAGTGAACCGCATATTCCAGGCCGTTGGCGCAACGAAAGCTATCTCAGATGAAACATCAGCCCAGTAGAGAACACGCTGTTGTCCGCTATAGTTTTTATCGTTGCTTCGCTGCGGCTCGCCTGTGTCGGCAATTTTTTTTACTGATCTCGACCTATTTGTAAATCCTGTCCAACCAGAGTGTTCCGTCACGACCACTGGCCAACCCAGCGATTGCAACATATTCCCAAAGTGCGTGTCTAGTGAGTTCGGTTCCGTCATGTTGCCTATAATATGCTGTGCATTCATCTGCCCCGACTTAACGTAGAACACATGCACTGTATCGTGCGTACGTGCGCTTAGATTATCCAGAGCCTTGAGATCCTCTGCGAAGCCACTCTGGCCCGTGCTGAGTACGGTAAGCGGACGTTGTGAGGATGTTCCCAATGCCTCTGCTGGGCTGCTTGGATTTCTGGTCTCAAAGCTCAGAAAGCCGAAGTGCGATAGAAATAGACGAGCTGCGTGAAACTCCTGGCAAACAGTAGGTGGGCTGCACTCCTGTGCGTGGGAGAGACTGTCTTCGCTGTTATCAGATTCAGCCCAAGCCAATTTTTCGTGAATGCTCTGATGTTCCAAAATAGATTCCAGCTCTTGTATGCTTTTGACACCATACTGTTTACAGATTTGCTCGATGAGCGGTATAGAATAGTCGGCGACACAAGGAGTTATCTTGTTGACGCCATCCGGATAGTTTTTCTGATCACATTCAGGCCGCTGTGTAATGTCATTCATGGGAATCGGACGGCCAGGATTAATTGCGTTATTTTTTATGCCAGACTTGCTGCGAGGCAGGTGTCGCAATTGCATTGTCCATGCATGACGTCCAAATGGTCCACGGATGAGCACTATAAAAGGAAGAGCTATGTATGTACAATATGGGTGTGTCCCACTTTTACTTACACGTGATTGTCGGTTGCGGGTCTTGATCATTGCCTAATGGTTCTTCTAACAGCGCCAGTATTGTCGAATTTTCAGTAACGAAATATTTAAACTTCGGAATTGCTTGCTCTAGGTTGCAGACACCCGCATTATCCCCAACTGGAAGCGAGTTGCAATGTTTGATAAGCGCCAACTCGTCCAACAAAGAAGATATTGACTCAAATCCGCACTCGCTAGGGAAGTAGCCAACTTGCTCAAGTATTATTGTTAACAGATTCTCTGCTGCATCGCGCACTCGCATAGATGCCGGTTTAAGCTCTTTTTCATCCTTAAATCTTGGTTTATCTTCAGTCTTACATTGACTCTTTGTACCAGATATACCGAGCTCAACAACCTCCAACACCGTTTGCAGGCAGTCCTTGTGTTGCAGTAAATATGGGTGCTGAATAAGCCAAGCTGCAGTACACTGGAATGCTGCCACTATGGTGCTATGTAGATCTTTACTGTGTGCCGGTGGAGGGCGCGAGCACTGATAACATATATAGTCGCAGATCCACTTAACCACACGCTTGCACTCTAAAGCGTCTAAAAGGATTATTATTATTAATATTATATGCCAGCATACGTTTGTAACATAACAGTTGTGTTTTTGGTAGCCTATCGTCCCTTTGCATTTATTAATTAGTTTCAAAATTCGCGTTTTTATCCTGCTTTACTAATTGTGATGTGTGTCTGTATAATAAATGCATATACCTGTATTGCGTATATGGATACGGGCCAAGCCTGCTAATAACTCCAATGCAGCCAGAGAAACATTCAAGTCGCTCCTCCATGATGAGATTAAACGGTGACATACCAAATACGAAGCGCGCACAAACAGGCCATGAGCATTGTCTGCAACTAAACAGTTTGGTTGTTATATAACATAGGCAACAAAGCGTACAAACAAATTTTTAAATATTAATTTAACAATTAATAATTTAGTTAAATGGCAACAAGGTACCGCATTGATTAACGTCGAAATATGCATGTTATGCTGACTAATGACGTTGTTTAACTCTCTATATTATTATTCTTTCATTTGGTTTTGTGTTGGTTGTTTATCAATTAATCATTAGTTTATCAAGGTCATTTTGTTGAATTTAAATTTTTACAAGATAGATCAATAAATACAAAGCTTACCAGAGCTAGAAGAATTTAATTTCTGCTGTTGCGTACCGCTGGTACATTGGAAATTCTCCGAATCACCAATTTCAGTCTCTTCGAATGTAACAGAATCCTGTACCAAAAGCATTAAGCCCCCAAGCATCATATGGATGTTTTGAGAATCGGTCTCCACCTGTAGCGCGTTCATTAGTATGTTAATTAGCCGTCCTCGAAGTTGTATGAAGGTAAAAAATCTAAAACAAATGAAGCAACGCATGGTTATTGTTTTTATTTCATTGTTATCTGTAGACAAATCTACTTTTCGTTTGGTCCCGTTGTCAAATCACGTATTGGCACCATTTGATAATGCAAGGGTAATACTAAAATAGACAGCAGTATGTTGATAGCTGATCGACGTAGCTCAGTCTTATTGAAGATCATGGCGTGAGTCTTAAGCTGTAAGTCCTTGTCGGGTAGAACTGTTTCAAGCGCGGCTACAAAGCCAGGAAGCAGCACGTTGATGCCATCCAGATCTAAGCGAAATAAATCTGCAGAGTAAAACAAAATACTCGCCAAAATTTCGTCGCACTCCTGGGACTCTGTAATCTTCAGGCACTGCTGCAACGCAATGTAGAACCGCGCCAAATAAACTGGCAAAATATCTTCACCGGCCTTTTTTGAGCTAAAGATCTTACACAAAGTACCAATGGCAACAGCACGCCCGGACTCGAATTTATCAATAGTTAATGTATGTGGTAGGGACGATGCATCATTAAGGGAATTTGGTTGGGATAACGAGATTGATCCTTTACGATGATCCATAACCATGGATGACGGTCTTTTGTTGTCTTCAGACACTTGTTCTATAAAACACTCTGAAAACATTTAACCACTTAGACAGTAATATTAAATCTCACTATTTCGATTCGACAGCCATGTATCGCCACCTATATGTGCTGCTTCGAACAGCCATTCTCCAAATAAATGCAAAATACTATTGCTTTTGGGCCGCGAAATCGCTAATAGGGGGCGGGCCATCATGGAAGTTGATGCTATAGGAACGCACCAAAAAGAAGTTAACTGTTAAGAATTATCGAATGCAACCATTTCTTTACACTCACAGATTGTTGTGCTAACGGCGGGTTGATCCGACGTTGGTATTAATGCAGTATTTAAGGTAGTTTTACCTAAACCTGCAAAGTTAAAGTGAAAATATTAAAACACAATATTATCATTAAGGTTTTTTCTCAAGCATGCATAGCACTTACCAAGAAAAGCATCAATCTGGGTGGAGACGCCCTTCATCGTACTTAGAAAGATTTGTGGTAGGAGTTGCAAGCAGGGATGCTGATGCGTCTCAGTGCCTTTTTCAAGAGTAAGAGCCCACTGTACGAAATGAGGTGATTTACTTATGCCATGTGGCGAGCACAACGCTGTTGGACTGCCAATAATACGTGAAAAGCGATACCAAGTTTGGGCAACGCAATCGTTTGACATAGCTGCTGGTATGAGTTGAGCATCTTCTTCGGCTATATAAAAACGATTTTGATTTTAACTTTATAAATAATTAAAACAGACTTTCACCTATTTTTATTTGCGGGAAGGTAGGTCCATAGCTAAATTTAAGTAGTCGGGCGGTTAATGCCATGTTAACACGATTCCATTGGTCTGCCAAAGCAATCCGATGGCGCCAGAATGAGCACGCTTCCTGTAGCGTTTTCCACAATGACGGCGAAGGAAAGCAGCGTACACAAGCTAATAACCACACCTCGAAGAGCACTGAGATTACGCGCTCACACAGCTGATCTCCCACGTCATCTCTGACAGCAGGAGGGGCTAGTAGGATTTCATTGATGGCTAGCAGAAATAGCAGCAGCGTTTCCCAAGTCTGACGATCCATTTGCGTTGAGATCTGTGCTGTCTGCTGTAATGTGCGTAAAACGCGGTGACAAAGCACAGTTTGCCGCTTGATGATATCGGAACCTGGTCGCAGTAAAATTAGAATAACGTTAAGGATAATGCAATATTTCGAAGATTGGCAGATTAACACTTATATAGCTTGAATATCTACGAATAAAATTAACTTACATTCACCCTGACGCGGCACGAAGAGGTTATGAAAATGGTTAATTATTTGTCGGGCGTATAAATTGGCGTCTTCGCATATAGGCTTGGGAACGCTAATACGCGGCTGAGGGTGCAGAGCAGTTAACCATTCGCAGTACACGTTTACACAATCTTTAATGGTTTCGTGCTCATGCAGGGGAAGTGAGAGTCCAAAGCACACTACATCCATGCACCATTTGACCTGTTGTAAGTATTTGGTATGTTATCAAACTAGATTCTTTGGATGTGAATTTAATCCTACACTGCCGCTCAATAGAATATGGTTTTTGGAATAATGATGTGAATAATACCATTTTATATATAAAAAACAAGTAAAACAACAACGATAAAGCTACAGGTTTTCCCTACAAACGAAATACATGGACTGACACCCTTCCAAATTTTAATGGCGCTGTAAATGCGGTGTTTGTCATTTTCAGACTATCCAAATAAAATAATAATCACACACTTTTCTGTAGTAGGAAATTCTTTATATATTTTATATATATATATATATATATATATATTATATATATTATATTATTTTAAATATTTAACAATTATCATATTTAAATTATGGAGCGGCAATGTACTTATTTATGGATATTACTGAAGTTACACACCTCCTCATCCTTGACCAAATGACTCGGCTCAGCATTTTGAGTTATGCCTAAATTAGTGGCCAGCTGCTTAACAACAGAAACAGCCACTTCTCGACCAGCAGAAGCTGGAAATTTATTTAAAACACTGTAACACTGTGCCCCACAACTGTTGGCGGCAATTTGGGTTGATAGAGAAACCCATTCTGAATACATGATTGTTTTTAAGTTAATTAAAAAAAATTTCACTTTATTCGAAATATTTCATATCACCAACAACAGTCTTAGCTAACCAGTTTCCGTATTTGTTTATGTGTATATTAACATACATATGTTCGGTCTTAATATTCGCAAGCTCCACATATAATAATTTTAGGCATCACCCAAGGCATTTGCATTAATTCACTCTTAATCTTCATAAGGTCTATAATTACTCGGCCCTTATTAATTTTGTCTTCTATTTATGACAATAGTTTATATGACTAGTTATTGCACCTGTGTTAGAGTAAATTATCGATAAATAACCATCGATTTCTCCCAATCGAATAGAGTGCGAATTCATTCGTTATATTAATTTTGATATAGTAGTAGTGCTAGTTCTGCGTGTAATTTATATTTGTCTTTTAATGGATTAAAATAAATTCAAAATATATTTTGCTCTTTAAAAATGTGAATAAGTAATAGTATTGCAGAAAATGCTATAGATTTTAATTGGATTTCATTTAATAGCTGTTTGGATTTTTCGCCAAAAAAATGTTCACAGTTGCTTAAATCAACGTCAAAACAAACAAAGATTAATTTTGGGAAAGTTTGAGGTACAAAAAAATTTAAATCTCGTAACAGAAACGACTTTAATCAACATATTTTTCTCCCTGATGCTCACTTAAAGCATTAACTGACCCTTTAATTACCAATAGCTTAATAGACTTTATTCATATTTGTAGAAATGAATTTGTATGATACAATTCGAAACACCGCTGTCCTAGGCGCTTCTCAGTCTGAGCACTTAACCGAAGTCATTCTATACCATGAGATGCTTTCTTATTATGAGATTTGTTCGATCAATTAACTGTCCGTCGAATGGTCATATTACGATAGACTGCCCATGATGACTTCTGTGAAGCATGATTACATGATCCTGAAATAATTATGCCATACACAATTTTAATATTCGTTTTGATTTAATTATTAACTATGTATTATACAATTTAGTTTTATTATATTTTGATTTCTTTTGACGCTCTTTACTCGTCAGTATAATTTATTCACAAGAGATTTAAACTCATACAAAAATTCTTACTTTTAACGCCACTCTTAATACTACGTACATATACATATGTGTAATTATTTGTTTATGTGTATACATAAACTATTAACAAGATTACATGACTTAGATGAAATAATTTTAATGTGGGAGCTCGTTGTACGGCCGCAGGATGATCTCCTAGATTTAGGAAAATATAAAACCGATGTAAATATATTGCGCAATTCTTTTACTTCTTATTAATTTATAATACTTACCGTTTAAAATATGAACGTTGACGGATTTCACATTGGCATTTGACGGTAAGCATGAATATCTACCAGAATCTGAAATTCTAGCTCTTTGTATTAGCAAATACGATGTTGTTAAATCACCCTTTTCAGTAATAACGGAAACGCCACCTCGTGGTGAGTCATAGTTTATCTCCTGTTATACAAATGTATATATTTGAATTAAGTAGCGTTTGGAAATTTAAAACAAAATCCATACGTTTAACCCGTACAAACCTCATTATTGTGTGTCCAATGAACCGTTAAAGGAGGATCTGGAAGATGCTTAACTATGCAGGTAAGATTTACTGTTGATCCCAAATCAATATACAACTCTGGGCCGCCAGGAATAGTAGTTATTGGTTCTAAAAATGTTAATAATTATAAGGCTTATTATCGCATTTAATGTATAGGAACATACCAACAACAGAAAAAACCATTGTATACCCAACTGGAGGACTCGTCGACACTTGACATTCGTAAATTCCAGAATCTCTTTTTTGGGGGAATTTGATCTTTAAAAGAAAAATATTCGATTTTGTTATAAATATGGAACAAAGAATTACAATCTAATTTGCGATAAAAGCAAATGTTGTCTTATTAATATGGGTTAGTTATCTCGCAACCTATACTGTTATTCACTAAAGTGTTTTATGCGATCCAAAAGTATCATAATGTGCAAAAATGACTTCTTGGTTCAATTTTTGCTATTCACTTTTTATAGGCCCTGATAAAACCGATAGTTCTAAAGTTGGTTTGCAAATTTAATTTGCAACTAAAATAATTAAACCTGCTTGGAAAGAGACGATAGATTCTGCAATAATTAGATACATACCTGCAAAGACCAATCTCCGGTTTGCTTATTATAAATTGAACTGAATCTTTGGTCCGAAGTATAAGTGCTTTCTGCTACAGTTAAAAGATGCAAGTCCCTGTGCCGAATCCATGAGACCTGCAAAATATGTACTCGATTATGTATAGAGTTTGAAGATAATGGTTTACATACCGTTTTGTTGCCAAGATTTTTTATTCGACAGTTTAAGTGACCGGTTTTACCCACAAGAGATGTAACATTCTTTGTTGCAGACGTATCAAAATAGGGTCCTCTATCAAAAGGCTTGCTTAATTTTACCATGTGGTCGTCATAATTTGAAGTATTTATGTTATGATTGTTTTCAAAAGTATCATGTTGACAAAGTATTTCTCTAGAACAAACTATAAAAATATAAAACTTAATTATAATTTATTTTTATGTACCGATAACTATTTATAAAAACAGAAATGTTTTACTTCGTTTATGACCGCGTTTGGGCGCGGGAATAGGTATTATAAAAAAATAATTCCGTTGTGATTGAAACAGACAGACGAACATTGCTTTATCGATTCGTCTCAGATATTAATGCTTAGCAATGCTTAACAATATTCTTTACAAATATTATATAGTTTATAAATATTTAATTAGTTTATAAAATAAATATTATTTTTTCGACGGCAAATTAATATGCAAAAATAGGGTAGCCTGACGTATATTTAATTTTGACCATATTGTTTGCGATACATACCAAGATAAATATAAATATTAAAATGTATGACATTTTAATATTCAACACAGTCTGTAACCTATGAAAATAAGCTGGCTTCATAAGTACGAGTATACATATATAGTACTCCCTCTGCAATAAACAGTCACCTTTCTTGGTATTTATTAGCTATAGTAGTTTCTCGTTACCCAAATAGAATCAATATAATATAATTTTAATTTATTTTCAGATTTTGTGTTGCATATATAAAAAATAGAATTTCTATTGTTTATAAATGCATACATATAGTCACACAATAAGGCTTAATAATTTAACACTGCTTTCATTTTAGGAAACGGTTTATACATACATACATGGATTTTTAAATAATGAAATAACCAAAAACAATCAAAAAAACTTACGAATGTAAAAAATTATCCTGAAGTTCCACGACTTCTTCATGATGAATCCTTAAAATTATACTTTTTTAAGCACACATTTTATGTTCTTGTTGCTATATTTTGTTATGAGCAGTTTTAGGGCGAAAAAAATCGTCGGTGTATTTGTTCATATTCCGACATGCGCAGTATAAGGTTGAAAAGATGCATGCACCCAAAAGTGTACCCACAACTGTTTTTCCCAAATAAAGTTGAAAATCTTAACGCTAACTACCAAGCTAATTTTTGCGGCTTATATAAGCCATTTAAATACTATGGTAAGTTATACATGTGGGATTGATGTCATGCAATTCAAATTAAAATTAGTACCAATTAATCTCTTCTTCTATACCAAAAGGCTTATTTTCCTTAACTAATAGCCAAAACATAGTTTTTTTTAATGTGAACAATAGCAATATGTGTATATGTACATTTTAAGATGACTTTTATTGTTAGTCACATTTCAATCACATGTTCAATTTTATTAGTTCATAGTTTTATATAAGTGTAAATTTTCGTTTCGTGCTATTTTCCAAAAATTCTTCGTTTGTTACCTTATCAAAAATATCGGAAATCTTATTCGTATTGATAAAAAAAAAAAACGAGGATTATGTGGTAACACTACGTGCAACATAATTAATATGAAATGGCAACATTAAATATTGCTAATTTTTCAATGTTACGACTAGTGTAAACAAAGAAATAAGTGAACGGCATTGTGCTTGTTTTGTAGGGCTCAACTATTGTACAGAGTGATTCGTTTGTGTACCAATTTCAAGAGTCTATCCGTGACAATGTTTTTTATTCATCGAAGTAAATTACTGTTTATTTATAAGTAATGTAAGTGTAAATGCAAATTTATATATAAATATTAATATTATAGTAAAAACTATAATAGTCCACCACAACCAATTTATAAAGAATATTTTACAAGAATATTGTAAATGGAAAAAGATTGTAAGTATATATGTGTGCATAAACACGTATAAATATGTGTGTATGATTCGTTTGAGACAGCAGTTCTGTTTCAGTAACATACAGTATGAATATAGGTACATATGTATGTTTGTTTGTATATGTACATGTATGCGTATGTACATATATATTTGTATGTTTGGAGGATAAAAGCCCAATTTTGTCTTATGACAATTGTATGTATGTACATACACATGTATAATTGTATATTTATACAAATGTATGTACATATGTATGTTCTACATGCCTAAATTCACACGAATATATTGTATGTATGTAAGTACATATTTATATATTGCTTATTTAATGAGGTTTGTTAAGTCTAGTTCAGTGCTTTACGCATACAAATATATGTATGTATATCAGACCAAACTCAATCTTTTCCATTTTTTGAAAGTTATAGTTATATATGTACATACATATGTAAACAAACAAGTATTTTTATCACTATGGATGACCCCCTACGTAGTAGCGAAAGCTTCAGCACAGGGTGCGATGCCGACATTATGTACATACATATGTATGTATGTACATACATACATATGTATACAAAGAGCTACTTTTCAACTCTGATTGGCTGTCTGTTCGAAGTGAGCAATTAAAGTATTTAATTGTTTTTAAAAAGTATTAAAATGTACACTTAGATTATTTACCTTAGGTTTCGATTGGCTGTCTGTGATGAAAGCTATGACAGCTGCAAATAATTAAGCACACTTGGCTGCATTTTTGATTTTGAATTAAAATTACTACTAACAGTTTATTGGCAATTTTTTTCAGTCAACAGATTCGTCGGCTTTTTTATCAACAGTTCATACTCTCAGCAATATTCTCTTTTATTCAATACTATAATATATCTTTTTGAAAATTTAGACGTTCAATTGGATTTAAATTTCATCCAAACTTTAAGACAGGTCGCAGAGTGTGTCTTAGCACTTATATTTCTAAGTCTGTCTATATAATATGTATGTCCTTTTCTGATGTTTCATAATTTCCCAAAAATAATTTCAAAAATGAATATGAAGGCACATTTGACTAAGTTTAGCATTCATTGAGGGTATTAGTTATATGCTGAGGCTTGGACGAAGAAATACAGTTTCTGACATTATTTAAGGCTGGGCAATTTTAAACGGGATACTGTTCGTTGTGACGGTTGTCATGCTGAGATGTGTGGATTTTCTACTATCTGCGAATTCTCTTGGATTTTAAAAAACCGAATCGTTTTATAATATCATGTCACATTGCGGTTTACGTTTTACAGACTTTCGTTTGTATACAAAAATGGTCTGGTAGACTTCAAAATCACCTGAATATAGCCAAAATCATAAATATATTAATAATTAGGACAAACATTTATCAATTCGTTGAGGTGTTGTTCTTCTTAATGCCTTACCGGCTTACCTATAATTGGCGTAAAGTATTGGGGAATTGTTTTCTTAGTTTAAGTCTTTTGTCAAACAAAATTGAAAGAAACTGATTGCTATACGTCTTCACACATGTATGTTTATAACAGTAATTTATTCGTTGAATTTGTCTTAAAGGTAGAACATAAATGCAGTCGGGAAGAATTTGTTAAGTTAAAGAAAAGGGTTATTAAAAAATTATAATATAAAAAAATTAAAAATATAATATATACATATTTAAAAATAATATAAAATTATCAGATTAGAACATAAATATGCGGAAATTTTTGATTTAAATAATTTTTTAAATATTAATATACTTAATTGCAGAAAACACATTTGGAACACTCACATATTAGAAACCTTAGTTATTAATAGAACCAAGCGGCTTCAAAACAGAGCAAAATTCTTGGTGCTTAGTTGCGTTGTTAAACCGCACTGTGAACTTATACATTTTTTATTGCAAAAAAAGGCGAAACCCATTTAACCAATAAATAAATGTCAATAACGAACCAAGTGGACCTCTGATAGAGGTTTTATTAATATGTGTTTTATCTGTTTCTCCTGCTTGAACAACTTATAAGGCCAGTCTAGTTAAAAAGATTTCCATCCGTTTTTATTTACTAATATTTTAGAACAGATGTTGGTTTTAATAAATTAAACTAACGTTCTTGTTATTTTGGGTTGTGCCGTTCCTAACACAACTGGTTGTATGACAAAATGTAGACAGTGGAGTTGCCACATATCTATTTTTAATAATTATGCTATGGTTGGCATTTTAGTTTAATTAGTGTACACTTTTTTTTATTTACCTTAAAAATTAATTTATCGTTTTAAAATATGTTTAATTTTTGATTCCACGTTGCTAAGTCATTTTGATGCTAAGCTAGTTGGTGCGCATTCAATAATTATATCGCATCGTGCAAGTATACCTCGAAGGCTTGAGTTTTCTGAAACATCCCTAGCTTTATATATTTTGTGCTTGCATCACCCTGTGTTTGATTTATGAGCAACCTTGTGAACTGCTTCAAGTGGTAGTTTTTGTAGTGAAGGTTTTACTAGGATTTTGCAGGAATTAAATAAAAGTAACTTATACATCCGGTTTTTTTTTCAACTCTACATCAATAAAAAAATGCTATATTGCTTATATTGCAAATGAGTCTTTCAATGTGTCGTTCGTAACAAACCTGCAACAATTACTGTGAGGTTGTAGCAGACGCCATCTTGTAATTATTTCGAACGCTAAATATAAAATTAGTTTTGTAGATGGAACTTGGCAAGAAGAGGTAATTTACGCAATTAAGATATTTTATTTGTGATATGAAAAACCAAACAAAAACGATGTTTTTCATAAATATTAATTAGTTCATGTCCAACATTTAAGTACAAATATATTTACATACATACATATAATGTAGATCATGCATTGTACATACATACATACATACATAAGTATATTTATGTATTAACAGTGCATTAACGATAATTGCATATGTACATTAACATTAATACGTATTCATCGCAGATCGATATTTTTCTTACCTATAAAATCATATTAAATACAAAATATTTTATTTTATTATAGGTATAAGGGTGGTCGGACGCCTCCAGTTAGGTCAAGTGATAGGCGACGCCCACAAAGTATTTCCACATCTACGCTGTCTCCGCGCGTGGTTTTATCACGATTGGAACCTAGAGATTTTGAACGACTTCGATTATCATATAAGGTTGCTATTGACCAAAGGAGATCACGAAGCTGCCGTGGTATGAACATGGGTCAAAAAATCAGTGGTGGTGTCAAAACTGTTAGCCGTAATGATTCTCAAGCTACATTTAAACCAATAATACCGAGGGAATTGCAAGCAGATTTTGTAAAACCAGCACGAATAGATATTTTACTTGATATGCCCGCTGCGAGCAGAGAAATTCAATTAAAACATTCTTGGAACTCGGAGGACAGGTCATTAAATATATTCGTAAAAGAAGACGATAAGTTGACATTTCATCGACATCCAGTCGCACAAAGCACTGATTGTATTCGAGGAAAAGTTGGTCTCACAAAAGGATTGCATGTATGGGAAATTTATTGGCCGACAAGACAAAGGGGTACGCATGCAGTTGTTGGTGTGGCGATGTCCGATGCCCCGTTACATTCTGTAGGGTACCAGAGTTTAGTAGGATCTACTGAGCAAAGTTGGGGTTGGGACTTGGGCAGAAACAAGTTGTACCATGACTCGAAAAATTGTGCAGGAGTTACATATCCTGCAATTTTGAAAAATGATGAAGCATTTTTAGTTCCGGACAAATTTTTAGTAGCTTTAGATATGGACGAAGGAACTTTGAGTTTTATTGTTGATCAGCAATATCTTGGTATTGCGTTTAGAGGTTTGAAAGGAAAGAAATTATACCCAATCGTTTCTGCTGTTTGGGGCCACTGTGAGATAACAATGCGATACATCGGTGGACTTGACCGTAAGTATTATTTAGAATGTAATTGTTAAACAAATTTAACTAAAGAGCGCATATTGTGTTAAAAAATTGAATGATTTTACCTCTTATCCATTTTTAAACCATGAAATTGGCAACCTGAATCAGGATATATTTGACTGATTTTTTGATAGTTAATATATTTAAATATTTATACTTTCTAGCCGAACCCTTGCCATTAATGGATCTTTGTCGAAGAACAATACGACAAAAAATTGGGCGAGTAAATTTGGAAGAACGTATACAGCAGTTACAACTTCCTGAATCAATGAAAACGTATTTATTGTATAAAAATCGTAGGTAATATTATTTTTAAATGTTATTGAACACAAGTATGCTGCATGTGATGAAAGCAGTAATGGTAAATTTTGTTAGATTATATTTTTTTAGGTCAGTGTTTAGTTCCCTGTCTTGACAGAAAAATTAATAAAAGCTTAAAATTTTACTTATACTTAGTTTTCATAATTGTATGTTAAAATAAATAATCTGTATGTAAAACGCAATTTAAGATGTATACTTTAAAAACCTTTACAAAACTAAGATCATTTGGCCTCAGTTTAAATTTTATTGGGATATCAGCATGTATGATTGACCAATCGGCACAGACCTCGTGGCGAATATAGTATTCAACTTGTAAAATAACTTACATTTTTATACAAAGTGTAAAATACATCCCATGTTTATTAAGAAGATAAGGAATTTGCTCTGAATCTACACTGTGGATGGTGCAATAATTTCCAGAGCAAAATAATATTTGTATTCTAAAAACGACTGAGGAAAAAGAATCTCAAAAAAAAAAAAAAAAAAAAAAAAAAAAAAAAAAAAAAACAACAAATAAAAAACCGCACTGTATCAATATTAAATTTAAAGAAATTGCCGCTATGTAAAATTTACACATTCTTATTTATGTATTGTAATAGCTTGCGTATTAAACATCTGTAACGCTGAGCAATAAAACATGGCTAGTAGTCTAAAAATAAATAAACAAAGAACAAAATTAATTTCACATAGTAAAAAACATCCAACTTGGACTATAATCGGTGCATCAGATTGAAGTGTTCGAATCCATCCACCTACACTTTTAATGCATCGAATTCCTAAGACAACACCCTATAATGTAAATTTGTACGCAGAGATTATTCGCAAGATGGAAATGTACTTGTTTAATAAATTATTATAAGGTGTGCACTAAGCATTTGTCGTTCACAGTTTTGTCGCTCATTTAGTTTAAAAAGTATGCTTTTATACATATAGCCATACATGTTCTATCTCATAAGGCAATTTTAAATAAGTATAATTCCGAATCGGTAGTATATGTATTTAAATCATTTACGTGAACGGCCAATTATATTCCGATATGTGTACTTATCAAGCATTTCAGATGGTTTTACATAAGTTTATTATTAAATTTCATAACATTTAATAAAGACTTCATTTTATTGATAAGGTACAGTTTTTAAAGCATAACGGTAATTGTGTTTTAAAATGCATATTTATTTTTCCTTTTAATTTTAGAAAAATCCAAATTTTGTTCAATTATAAAAGCATCTGGCGGTGGTTAAAAAATCGGATCATAAAGTCGGATTGAATAGACATTAAAATAAAAATGCTGTTTCTGATCCGATTAAGATTGGAAATATCTTTGGCTTGGAAATTACGCCTCGGGCTTAGTAAATGACGCTTTAATAAACAAAGATATGAAATGCTCAAATTATTCTTTGGACGCATAGAATATTGAGGATCTAAAGCAAAAAGTTTGACAAGATAAACTGAATGTATAATTAAAAGCCCAGATTACTAAATTGAGGTAATCTAACAGTAATACTAAGAGCTTCACAAAATATTTGAATTTGGGAATACTTTTTTGGGTCGTATTTTAAAAATAGAAGAAAAGGCACGCTAGAAAATGCGTGGGAATCACATACGATCAAGCTTTAAGAGCGGTATGTTGTTTCAAAAACTCAAATGATATGCTGAGGTCAGTATGTATTAAATCATCGGTGGTACTTGTTATTGAATTTTACCAGCAGAACTTAAAATCTAATATGCATGTTACCCTTCCGCTCTTCGAATACGGTGCATTAAAATGATGTATTTACCTGTTTTTATTCAAGTTATAGTCTCATAATTCTTTTATTCAACCCAAAGATATGAATATTTATTAAAAGGCTTTGTAACAATATAGATTTAATATATATCTTACTATGGAAAATGTAAATATTAAGGTTATGGTAATTTCATATGTATGTACATCTGAAAATATAAGCATATACATAAAGAATTTAACTAAAGAACAGATTTTAAAATTACACTACTTGCGGTTGTAGTTTTTGACCTTGAAGTGACTGGTCTATGCTACTATCATAACGTACTAACTTTTCTAGGAAAAAACAATCACTTTGATGATAGTCCGAGTCCACAACAAATACATCGACGACTTTTTCAATAACATATTGGTCCTTGTTTAAAGTATTCAGCAATATTAAAGGTGTAATTTTCACAAGACCCAATTTCGCTGGGCACACCGTGAGGGGGAAACACGAAGACGATTCTCCCGGTTGTAGAACATCTAATACAAATTCTGCTGAGCCAGTATAGTCACTCTCTGGTAAAAAATTTGTGTATAGACTGCCATGTAACTTCATTGCGTGATCGGATGTGTTTGTTATTTTGCATTGGAATGTGAATGGTTCACCAATTTTAACAATGTTTTTGGCGTCAACTATTTCTAAACGAACATCTTTATGTTCAAAGGGCTGCCCTTAATGAAACGAAAAAGTTTGTAAACATTTTATGATCAAAAAGAGTGTTTATTGTATACATACCAAACGCTGCAGTTGGCTTGTCTGTAATCTTCCTTTTTCCCCCAGCTTGGACCGCCACACAATGTCTAACTTTCCAACATTATTCGCTAGACGAAGGGTTTTTATGTCTTTCGCTATTTCGCATTTAGGCTTAAGTTTAAAAAAAAAACATGCTAGTTCAAGTTTTTATATTTATGTTGTAACCTTACCTTTATACAGTAAAGAAATTGGCAGCTGTTATTTGGTTGCAACATGTTTTTAGATGTAAAAACAGACTCTCCATTTGGTAACGTATTTAAAGATGTGATTGTGTACTTATCAGAACCATCAAGTTCTACTTTCTCAAGGCAAAATGGACTGCTGGTTACATTTTGTATTTGTGCTTCCAAATATATTTCATCCATTTCTTCAGCGTTATAAAACTTCGTCTTTACGTCTAGGGGCTTCAAAACTTGAAACTTAAAGAATTTTCTAAGAGATTGCGAAAATCCCGCTGGGGTCGTATAATGTACTTCGCAAATCAAGCTACAAAATGTGAGAGTGTGGCAAATAAATATTTTATAAACGTCTTAAATTAAGTTAGTTATGGGGCAGCGAAGTGGTACTTACATATGTGTGCCAATTTCTTTAACTTCATAGGAAATTACGTCATCCAGCGTCTCTTCTGGTGCTAGGGTGGATTGAGTTTTGTTTTCATGTGTGGGCAGACTAATTCTAGTGGTATTAGATTGCAAATCTGCTTTGACCGTAACTCCTTCTACAGTGTGCGTTGTACAGTTGTGCACACATATGTAACTCGAGAAAGTCTCTCCTAGATATATATTTCCAAAGGATTGGGGGAGCAGCATAGTTTGACCCGCGGCCACAAATTCTGCTCCTTCAGATGTCAAGCACTGTTGTGGTAAATCTTTTGGCTCACACGTAGTTGCTGGCCACGCACCCACTAAAGTTGGTCGTGTAAGACGCATTACCTTTAGAGCTAATAAGTGTGAATCTGCATCAGCAGAATCCATTCTGTTTTCTAAATTTAATTAAGACACAAGGCTCCAGAGTACTATTAAGCTGCCCAAACAATGTTGAGGAGCTGTCAAACTACCAACGGTACTATCGATAGTCCTCGTCTCGCTGTCGTGGGCACACAGGTCCGCATATCGATAAGAAAATTCCGATATTACATCGGGAAAAAATATAAAAAGAATATAAATGAAAAACTACCTTTGGTCACTCATTTAGTTATTTACGCATTTTTGAACGACTGGTAAACTTGGAATGGTATTTATGTTTGTTTTGTAATTGGGGACTATCACGTCAGAGGTGACACCAGGAGATAAATATAATTTATCCATTTCAAAAAATATAGTAAACACGTACAAAAATTCAGATAGATGTTTTAGTAAACAAATCGTTTCAAACGATAGCAGCCTATCGTGTTAAATAAATCATCAATGCCCAAAGTATCGACGTTTTCTTTCATCTCAAATATTTATCTAAATGCAGATGTGTTGCAGCTTGCACTAAATTTAAAACAAAATGGCACAGGTTTTGATTGGTGATGAAAATTCCGGTCCTCGAGCTAACCGTAAGTAATAAAGGCGTTAGGATTCATAGTAGACTAAACATAACATATACATATGTATGTTTGTTACAGAAAACGGCTTACCAATAAAGCAATCAATCCAGAAACCCGTTTTGGGGCAACTGGATAATTTAATGCATTGCAAACCAGGAGCAACGCCATTTAAAGCTGCTTTAATAGAATCAAATGATAGCGTTAGTTCATCAATGTGTAATAACAGTTCTATTAAACGTAAACAGACCTTTGAAATTCCTCAACTGTCTAAGGATTACTGCCAATTTCCACAACTAGCAACTCCTATCCATGCAGAGGAGCAACACACAGATACCGATCCCTCTCTCTTTGAATACATGGACCTAGGGACTTGTTCGAATTGCAACAAACGTAAGTTCCTATGGCATAATTTAGTATAGGTCTTGTTATTAAAAATTTATATCAGCCATTTCAGAAATATGGGCTGAGAACCAATACTTAAGCGATAATGTTATTGATGCTATAACCTGTTTTTCTAAAGAAGATAACTAATTTAAAGAAGAAAAAAAGTTACGTCCTTGGAGGGACTAGCTGTCAATGATGAATATGGTCCTACAAATCCCCAACTGCGCACTACAGTTTTAAGTCCTTGCTCTTTTTAAGCAATATCCGAATTTTTCTTTTTTCCCTTTAACATTCGCGGAATACATAGATATAAATTTATTGTTTTATTTCTAATGTTTAATGTTAACTATCTTGATAAAAATAGAATTTATTTATTGTATTGCATATATATCATTAAATGTATATTTTAGCTGTATTAAGAGTGATACGTTTTTTTGTCTACAAAGTTTGGTGCCTCTAGGTCTTATAGTCTCTGAGATTCAGGTGTCGTCTTGTGTTGCTGATCAAGAATTTATGAATTGTAGAATTGAAAAGGTAAGATTAAAGCATTTATACTCGTATATGTATGTACATATGTACATCAAATATACATATGCAAATAAATAATTTTTCAAAACAATTTGTCAACAAGCTGTCTAATAAAATAGAACAATAACAGTAGACCTACATCTTAAATATTTATGGTGGCTATGGATCCGTGCCTATGACATAGTGTGTTAAAACGGAATGAGGCAATGCTTTCAGTTGGCCTAGTGGTGGTGCCCAAGTAGATAGTAGTAGATAGTTTAGAACTAGTATAGCGCACTGCAGGGTTACTTTACACATATTGTACATACGCATACAAATGAACATATGCATGTATATATTAACATTCTCATGTGTGTACTTTTATAAGTATTTACTCTAATAGGCTCCATCCATGAGCGCCGAGATCAAGGTAGTTGAAAAGCATTGGTTTCATTTCGCGAGCAGCTATTCTTGAGTGCGGTCGTTTCCACGTTCTTAGTTCTATCTTTAAACTTAAAACATATCTAAAGTACGAAATTTGTTGTGCACATGTTTTATGCATGAAATTTGAGCTAGAAGTTTAAAATGTAATTTTTTTAATTAGGTGACTAAGAAAATCGGTTGGAAAATGTTATGGAAATCAAAGAAAGCTTGGTTCAACATTTATGTTTTAATTGTAAGTTGCTTCAAAGTTTGAATTGTTATTAACGTATGTACGAGATATACTTGTACATTTATTTAAATATTCTTTTGTGAATATTTATTTATGAACATAAATATATATGTTGATATAAATAAACATTACGTAAAACATTACGTTATTTATGGAAACCAACAGTAATACTTGAAAATTACAATTACGTGATGTAATACTTACAAAACAAATAAACAGCGCGAAAAAGTTTCTTAATCATTGCAGAATTAACCCGGTCCTTTTTAAATATCAGGACTAATATGTATATAATGAAACCAGAACAAGGAAATCGGCTTATAGTTCTTGTGGTCTTTACTGTAACCCTCTACTGTTTGCTTTAGGTTCAAGTATATGTTCTAACATAGCTTATTCCGTTTTGCACCTGGCTTACATAGTTTCAGGAGCAAAGAAGTTATTGGAATTTGGGTGGCCTATCGGCTGATTTGATTTAAATCGCTGTGAAGAACTTTGCTCGGTAGCTTAACATACTTATATACGTGCATGCTATACGTTAGAAATATTATAGTAAAAAAGAAACATGTACATATGTTCTTTGCAGCAGCATAATAATGGATCGGTGAGCATGTTATTTGGACCGCAACAGTCTTTCGTTGATTCAATTGACTGCACAAAACAGCATGTGTATGTACAGAGATAAGTGCATACGTATGTAAATTAGCACATACATATGTATATTTTCTATAATTGAAATAAGCCGATTAGGTAATTTATATTTGCACAAATAGCGAAAAGAAAAAGCCGTTAATTTGCAAATTTCAGATAGTTGCAGTCTCAATACATAGTACAGTAATCCGGTCGCTCTAAAAATGAAGAGCGTGATGTAAAACCGCAGATTACTTTTGTTATTTCAGCAGTTCTATTTCCTTTTTTTAGGTCGCAATTCAAAACGAAGCACCTCAGCACTTTTTTCAAGCAAAAATCTACGAGCAATACTTTGACAGAAAGTCGTAAACATTCTTTTAAAATAGGATTAAAAAAAATGTTTATAAACTAAACTGAGTATTAAGATTGAAACTATTAACTCCGGCAGAAAATTCTTAAAGTTCTGCTAGCTGTTCATTGTTTTGCTTTTTTTTAATGAAGCAAGTTTTTATTTGATATTTTGGAAATGGTGCACCGATACTAAGCCAAAGGATTTTGTTTTCAGATTATGCCTTTAAAATGCGTTACCCAAGATTATGATGGTAAGTACGTGATTATACTGACAAGCGAAAGTTTTCACAAGTATTACATTATCTGACCGTTTCAGTCAACGATATTCAGTGTGCATTTTCATCATCGGGCTCTAGTATTGAAGATCTGATAACAGCAAAACTTAAACGGCCCGTTGGATTTAAAGGGGCGCCAATGTTTGCTGACGACCACGAAATAAATACTCATTCCAACCGATATTGTCTGATCACAAAGGACCCAAATGACGATGTGACATATAGCTTGAGAATAACGAACTTTTCCCGCTGCGGAGTTCTAAAACGAAATGTGATTACACATGCACTTTCCTAAAATCTTTCTAAACCCATAATATAATGCTCACAATAATAACATTTCCAGGGGTTCGTTCATGTGCGCATTTGGTTCCCCCAGTTTCCTGGAGTAGTCATGCAATCTGATCAGGAGTTGATCATTATGTGCAAGCCCCCAGAGCCAACAGTTATTGAAAATAAAGCAGCTGGATTTGCTGGTTCATTGTAAATGAATTTCTACTTAATGGGATCTGTATAAACTCATCTAGTTTCCTCTTTTAATTGCAGTCCACACGAGGCACGAGTCTCCGGTGTTGTGGAAGAGACGCCTAACCGCTTGGAATATGAAGTCGCACTCTATAAAGAAGCTCCCCCCGTTGCGCGCATCAGCGGCACCACAAACCCAGTAAGCACCACCAAAGACGTGCCCGCTTTATCAACGGCGAGCGAGCTGCCGGTGGATCAGGCTGTTCCGATAGGCACCAAGCTTCAATTGCGGGCTCGTATCAGCGCCCAGTCCGTGTGGAAGTATATTAAATTAATGGAAGTAACGGTTTCGTCCGACCCCGACCACCCACTCGCAAATGGCGCTGTATCTCTGGTGCGCGACGGCTGCCGCAATCGAGAATTCGTTACTATTATACCGCATCAACCAGCCAAGTATCGGGATCGACCGAACGAGGTCTTTCTCGACTTCGAAGCTTTCTTGCTAAGCTCTATGAAGGTTCGTGCCACGCTTTGGATACATTCCCAAATAAAGGCGTGCATGGATGCCAAGGACTGTGCCCCAAACTTCTGTATAGATACATATGAGCCATCTGGTCAAGGTCGAAAAAAACGAAACCTTGTGTCGACAACGCCAAATAATAATTATACATCGCCGGAATTTGCACGCTTCAAAGAGAACATTAAGTATACAGTTATACTGCCGAGCGAACTGGACACAAAAAAGAGTAGCGCTGATGGATCAACAATGCGGTGCCAAGGGGCTCTTCTCATCACCTTTATTTTCATAATGCTTTTTGCTCTGTGCATTGCAGTTGTAAGTTGTTTGGTTACGGCATTTACTCGTTATTTTTTGCTATTCTCTATTTATTCCCTTTCTGCAGATTTGCCTGCTGACCGTTCGAGTACAGAGCGAGCAAAAACTCCGATCGCTTCAAATTACTTCTGGGTTCAACTCGGGTTACGGTTATGCCGGCCGCACAATCGATCAATAAATGCATAGATACAAAAAAAAAACTTCACACACTCACGAATATACATACGTATGTACATGTAGACGTGTATTGTATGTGCAACGTTAGGCGTGAAGCAACGCATTTACATAGTCAGTAATTTATGGTGCATTTGTATACATTCATACATATATATCTTAAAACATTTGTACACTGCCTATAGCATACACACTACCGTGCTCGGAAAATCGGGTTTTGGCTTGGGAAATTCCTGCTTTTTCCGCTTCGCCTAGTCCTTAATATACCATTACTTTACTTTAACACTATCAATCCTATAAATACATGAGGATATGATATTCAATTCAACGCTTTTAGACGAAAAATCACGACTATCGATAGCGTTAAATATATTGTCATCCATCATCTATATAGTTTTAGATCCTTGCTATTTACCTTTAAAGGGAACCTATTATTAAGAAAAATAAATTTACAGTAGATGAATCGCAGTCTGAAGAAACCTGTAACTTTTATTGATGCCTTAATTATATAAAAGGAGTTCGACGATTTATTTTACAAAACTTGTAATCTGATTATGTATAATCAAGAAAATATTAACCATATGTCAACCTGTAAGTATGTATTGTAAAACATTACTTATGGAGCATTATGCCAGCAATGCTAAGTACCTAAAAATTTGCCACATGGAAATGAAATTATTAAAAAATTGATTATTTTCAGTGCCAGTAGCCGGACACCACTTGCTAAATGTGGTTTTGTTTATGCTCTCAGTTTAATTTATGCTGCAGCCAAGTGAGGAAATTAATAAATGTTGGCTAAAAGTTTGTTCATTAAAGGGTGAATCGATTGCAGGAACTTAACAAGGAGGCGTGACGTAGACCCCTGGTTATAGATGCGAACATACACAATTTGTTGTTTGGTATATATCAGCAATACTTGGTAGTTAAATCGAATTATGTTGAGCCTACGAATATAAGCGTTTTTGGACAAGTGGGTGAATACCTACTATTTGTAAAAATGTCACATGAGAGCAGTTTACAAAACGAAAACTCCTTGCTGAGATTAATTCCGTTTGGACCAACGACTTTGAAAACCTATTATGGGCGCAAGTCTTTCTGTAGTATTTATTTTAAAGTTAAAAAGAGGAATATTTTTGTACACAGGCTCTTCGTTTATTTATCTTATTAGTTATTTCTCTTAATTGGATGAATTTCAGATAAAATAGCTTAGAATTCTCCTACAGAACTGTGTCTGTCTGAAGACCCAACGATTCGGTATGCTTCTTGGCTTTCATTCGCAGGTCAGCTATGCTAGAGCTTTTGCTATGAGCGGCTGCAAAGGCAGCCAAATTAATTGGATATTGCGGCAAAGGGAACAGTCCCGTGGGCGCGGCACCATTGCTAATGGCCGAGGCATACTGAAAATGTGTCCGCATAAAGTACAAACCGTTTACAAAAATGTATAGTGCCACACCCATACCTGGTGAGCTGCTGCAGAAATAATTGCCGGGTCGAACGCTGAAAACGCGGCTGCTGCCGCAACGGAGAAGTGTTGGGCTGCTGCTGCCGCTGATGCCGGTAGCCCGGATGGAGTTGATACCATCGTACTGCCTTTGCTAGCATTGGCTGCAGACTGCATGCTGCTGACAATCCTGGTTGTTGGGAGTGCGGAGGATGTTTTGCTGCGGATTGTACTAATATTTAGATAAGGTGCTACCCGGCATGGTTCGAGTGGTGCAGATACTGGCGGGCTCTGGGTGCTTAATAAAATACCTGCAATATAATAGATAAACAAGAACTACTATTAGCTACATTTTATCTGTTTATGAATATGATTTCCTGTTGTGTTCTAACTGACCAACGGAAATATAACAAAGTCTATACAACCCCACTAATCAATAAGAAGATTGCCCCGAATCAAATAAATTTCTAGAATTAAATCCAGTACTCGAAATTAAACTTTTCCAACCATCAGATAAATTCACACATTCTCCTACGAATCATTTTCATTACGAAGATTAACACAGAAACCATTACACATTTCCTTAAAGCCAAGAATCTCATAATAAAAGACGCAAGCGCTAAAGGGTGGCAGACAAAATATCCTGACTAGCTGTTTACAGTTACTTATTGATTCTTAACAAATTTCTCTGCATACTTTCAGGTTTGCATTTATTAAATCTCTTCATAACTCCACTTTGTACGCAATTGTTTTTTTCTCTTTCACTAAATTTCTACAAAATGAATGTGATCTATAAAATATATTGCAAACAATTCATTTGCTGCAATTATTCCTAGAAAAACAAAATCCGACCAAGAAATCCCTTGTTACAATCAAAAATTTAATTAAACGTGCAACTGTGAAATTCCCGGAGATCCCGGCAACCACTGCAATAAGGAATGAACTCATTTTAGGTTAATAAATGTATTTAGTTTCTGTTCGAGCTCAAGGAAATTATTATTCAGTCTCCACCGATTTGAAAGCTACGGTATGACACCTGAATAACATAGTCTTACAAGTAGTATAATACAAAAATGTTTAGCTAACAGAAGGGCTCGTCTCAACGTGCTGATAATTTTCATATGAATGTATACCCACAACTTTGCGACTACCATGCTTACAGTTATGTATTACTGCTAAACGCCAGTTAAAATATATCCTTCCATTTCGTGTGAAGGGTATAAGTCGTACACGTGACCTGACCACCTCGAACATTTTTAATCTGGCATGTCTGTACCTGTACATATGTAATAACTTAATCAAAAGGTACTTTAGTGTGTTTGTTTGCGCATACTGTTTTGCGAAATCGGTACAAATGCGTGACAAGTAATTGAATTTATTTTCTAATTTATTGCTATGAAAATACTCCCCCGAAGAAAGCACTAACGGCATGCCTTTGCCTTCAACCACACTCTCATGGTGCTTCCCTGCCACCCTATCGGAAAGCAGACGGACGGATATCAAAATTACACTCATGGGACCAAGGGCCAGGTTATCATCTTTCTTTTCGTTTTGTTCTTTTTTCTTCGGTGGCGTAAAAAGTTTGAGAATTGATATAAGCTCGTAAAATACTGCCTTCCTTTTTATTCGAATTTTAATTTGATTACTTCTCTAGAGCGTTTCACCACCACTCGGACGTTCGCAAAAAAAGAAAAAAATCAACATGCACATATAAAAATGTCAGTGGTGCAGAATCCGGTGGCTTTACCTGACCATTGATACATGAGAAAACATCACACCTTCTATTTCACAAATTAACATTTAACTCTCTGCCTCCCCTGGGTAAATAGGCATGAAGTGATTGGTTTGCTTCCTCGAACACAAGGTAAGGGTTCATTTTCATTAGAAAACAGTGGTTCCTCTTAAAATATATGAATTAATTTAATTGCCATGCCATTTAAACTTCCAAAAATGTTTCTAAAAATAATAATAATTTTTGTTTATTTAATACATAAAATTCCTCATTTCTAAATGTATGTGAGAGCTCCGTGGGAGGCCAGACATTTTCAACATGGATTAAGACCTTAGTTTTAACATAATTTGATTATCTTTTTATCACCGAGTCGCTTATGAATGTTTGAAATTGGAAAAATTCAGGTTTAATATCTGAAGTCTATACAACTATTCAAATTAAGTTGAGTTCAGTTTAGACATTCACTGTTAAAAAAAATTGACGGGCCGACGTGATGACTCGACGATGTTGGATTGCATATGTCTCTAAGGTCAATTCGTGATCAGACAGCCCTCGCTTTAAATTTTTGAAACATCTGTTGTGATTTTTTTCTTAGTGCAAGCGACACAAATCATTGCGAGCTTAATCAAATTAAATATGCAAGCCAGTAAAATGGCAAATAAAAGTACTATGGATGCGATTGGGGCGCTGATGAGCAGCACAGATGAACGTGGAACGGAAGGAGAAGCAGGAAGCAACGATGTGACATATTACCGATGCTTTTATTTTCTGAATAAACTGTAAAACCATAACAGATTGTTTCAACCAGACGATAAACCAGCAATTTAAGTAAATCAAAGCGTCGAATAGGGGTTTTATCTTAATACTTCATTTACATTTGTTCTGTTTACTTAACAAATTGCGCTCTCCTTTTAAAATTTAAATGAATAAAACAATTCGCTGTTACAAGGGTGTTTAAATGTAGGATTACGCACAAGGGTGCGAAACGGGTTCATACTCGTAGCCAGTGCCAGTAAATGGATTGGAGTGTCATATGTATGTATGAAAAATATACATAAAAACAACCAAACAGCTTTTCTGATACACATGTAAATAATGTAGATATAAAATAGCGAATTTATGTATATACATTTGGCATAAATGGGTTGAAATTGTATTCAAGAGGATAATAAAACCACCTTCAGGATTCTCTACTTCTTTAACAAAGAAGTAGAGCGTTACAAAAAAATATGTAAGCAGGATGGGCAAGAGTGAGAAAAACATTTGAAGATGCTACGTAGATGACCAGTTTGTCCATGAAGCAACATGTCTTTCACAGTCTACAGAACTTTATCAATATATGTACCAGTATTTAACCAATAACATTCAATATTTATACGATAAAGATGAAACTTGAAATATGGATAATGTAATTGGGTATTCATTTGAATTCGATCAGTTGGCATTAAAATTAGGCTTTTAATGAAGAGGCAAGCTCTTTGGAATATCACATTTAAAGGGAATAAAGCAAGGGTTTCATTTGGTTTTAAATTAATGTCATCGTTTTCGGTGATAGATTGAACACAATGAGAAACATACCTTTATGCATTTGGTTTTCGTGTTTTCGGCACTTCGCTCTTCTGTTTTGAAACCAAACCTGCAATGAGTTATACAATTTTAAATAATTATTTTTAAAGCTTCTGAAAATAAATTAAAAAATCAATACACTATAATCCAAGCATCCCTTTTAAAAGCGTCCTACAACTGTTTAGACTATCCTCATTTAATTTTCTCTGAACGAACTTGTAATTGTATTAACAATGATATACGCAAAAATATATTTTTAAGTTCCCAAAATTCGACATAAAAACAAATACAAACAAAGAAAAACTTTAAAAACTCATAAAAAAGCAAACAAAATGTGTATTTTTATGTATGCGCGATTCCAGTATTGAGGTTGTGAAAAAAATGGTAAGAAATTAAGTAAATTTTTCCTATTTGAATACGATTTTCGTTTGCAAATCTAGAATGAGGTTTTGGGAATTCGAAATGACGGAATCCAATAGACGAACTGTGTTGCAACATTTTGTACTCGCATGTAATAAAAATTGTGTGTGTGATTTCAAAGTCGTTGTGAGTATCCAAAATGCAAAATATTGCTCTGAAACAAAAAAGAAACAAAAAGCAATTAAAATACAAATAATTAAAAAATAAAGCAATTAAAATATGTAAATATGTAAATATGTGGGCGGCAGTCGTGTCAGTCATCATCAAATACATAACAATTAGGTAAAGCCAGTAAAGATGTAAAAGCCTGCGGAATAGACAGCCATTCCATAGTTTCAAAATAGTGGATAATATTGATGAAAGGGTAATAGAAGAAAAACAGCATAAACTGATACATTGGTGGGTATTTATTGGTAGGGGACTGATCCGTTTTTTAAATTCGGGCATCCAGAAATACAGACAGGCCACTTTTAAGTTATTAGTATTTCCAAAATATTCTTGTTCAGGGTACAAAAAAGTTTCTTAGCCAGGCGGATCTAAACTGACTCATCTCTAGTAATCACTTCAGTTGATAGAGAAGATGTGATTTATTGCACTCTCAAAAACCAAATTATTTTCCATGTTAACCATAAAACACCACCTAGTGGTCCATTACACATACATGTCCGTGATTGAGCGTTAAACATTCATTTAGTCTGCCCCCTGTTGTCACAGTAATTTTCTTTTTCTGGTTCTATGCTGAGGGGGGTGATATAAACCACTTAACACCCCATATTCCTTCGCCGTAATGGTGGTTAAAAAGTCAAATCTCTTTCTATTGCTCTTGCAGCAGTCACTACTTTGCTCGAAACGCTTTATGTCTGGGGACACTAAATTATACTTTGCCACGAGCACGAGTATAATTAATATCAATTGTATTTCAATTTGTGTTCTTCGGCATTTTTGTATCAGAGGTTTCTTAACTCACTTAAAATTTATGACCTTCCCGCTATGCCTCTTGAATGCTTACATTTTTATAATTACCTGTACTCGCGCTTCGCTGAGCCCCAATCGCTGACTCAGTTCTTCCCTCATGAATGCATCTGGATAGTGTGTTTCATCAAATAGTCGTTCGAGCTCATTAAGCTGCTCGAGTGTGAAGTTAGTTCGAGATCGACGCTGCTTATTACTAGGCGCCGACGAATCAATTCGGTTAAAATTGTCAGTAATTGATGTCAGGACGGCGACGTCTGGCGACGCACACTTTTCAGGTGTTATTGGCGTCGGAATAGGTGAGTTGCTCCCACCCGAACATTCATTATCAGTAACAGAATTTAAATGAATGCTGTCTGAGTCTGAAAAGAACATTTGTGTTACTATTTTTATTCCTTATTTTATCCAATATGTAAGTATTTCCTTCTGTACAAGTATATAAATATTTCTTTTAACACACATTCGGATCGCAGTATCTTTTTATAAACATAAGAGTTTGCACTCATACATATTAACAAGTGATTCCTTTAATGATTTCTTACTATTTATCCTAAGACTTCCTGTATGCAGTTCACAGATACCAACAGGTGAATATTCTGATATTCCAATCCGACTCATAGACAATTAACACCCCTTATTGCCCCATTTGTAAATTATGAAGCAATTCTGTACTTATCTGATTGCTTTACGGTTTCCACGGACCAACTGTAAGGATTTGGTGCCAGTGAAGGGTGAATACCACTTACTTAGCTTTGTCACAGTCGAACAGAACTTTTTAGCTCGTTTGGTATCATTTCGTATAATGTTGAACAGATGGATTGGCAATTGTAGTAAGCCAGCTTTTTAGTGTTGTTTAAAAGGATACATTTGTGTTCTCATTATGCTGATGCTTTATTTCAAACCTTTGAAAATAGATATCTGAGTCTATATCTTTTTAATTTACTTTACTTGTATTTACTCTTTTGAATAATCTTTTTTCTTTACGCGTGATTATATCAAAACAAAACACCTTCATATCCACCAATATTTCTGATATGAATGATATGTTAAAGAATTATGAAACTAGTAGGCTTGTATGATTTCTAATTGAAGTCATTTCCATGATGTTCCACAGCACAATCTGAGGAATAATATTTAAGGGGCACACCTTTCATATATTTACATGCTGTGCGGCCATCCTTTTTAAGTCGTTTAATTTATCGCCACTTTGCCTTCGCAACCGTTTTGTATTTGTATTCGGTGGGTTTGCCTTTGTAGCACTTGGGTGTATGCTAGTGTGTGTAAAATCCATAGATTCATATGTACTTTTATATATGTGGGTAAATATGCATCCATGTACTTACTTGTATTTATTATCGTGTACTTACACAAGTTCTCTATCTCAATCAAGCATATTTTACCTCTTTTTGTAATTTTTCGTGCTCGAACTACGCTTGGTTAGCTCTACTTTCTTGCCTCACCGAAGCTCAGTTTATGAGTTTTGCCGTCGGAAGATGTGTAATTTATTGTATTTTAACTATTATAAACTCCATATACGCAAATGCCAAAACGGATTTAAATGTTGACATATTTTGTGTGTTGTTTACTTATATGAGTATGTATGTACAAATATTGGTTCATAAGTTAACACATAACAGCTAATAGGCGGAGTTTTGATTGGCCCTGGCGTTATGGTCATAGAAAGCGCCCAAGGCAATTATTTGTAAAAATTATACTAAAGCTCGATATCTCAATTGGTGCAATAAAGAAAGCTAATCTCTAGCTGTATTATTTGACTAATATACACACGAGTACATAAATACATATGATAAGTATTATATACTCTTATTAATGCTTGATTTAGTTATTGTAAAAATAGAGTAATGAACTTTATTTGGATTTTACCTTCTTGAATTGTTTCACCTGATAAGTCAGATATCAACCAATTTTTGGGCTTTACCGCACTTTTATTTGTATTGTTAGCTTCTGATGGGTCCTTTACATTTACCGATTGCAAAGTAGGCCGGGCTTTGATTAATGCGATTGCGGTAGGCACAGGTACTTCCTTATTTTTATTTTCCGACACAGAATCCGTTATATCAATGTCCAATGATTCATCGCCGTTAACACAGTTATCAATCGAATTGTCGCTCAAGTTAGCTGTATTTATAACCAAGGAACTATTCGCTTCGGAAATCTTATGTATTCGAGCACTAGCCATTGAATTAAATAAAGCATGAACGCGATTGTTAGTTAAATTCAACTCAAATGACTTTGATACAAATTGTGCAAGCTGCTCCATACTATAGAGAATGTTTTTGTTTTTTATTTGTTCTACTTTTCAAATATTAAATCTTCATGTTTACTATGTTTTTACTATAACTCCCGACCGTACGTTTCTTCATTGATATTTAACGAATGACTACTCCTCAACAACGCCAATAGCGTTGCGATTGCTTTTCACCCCTACAGTAAATAAACAATATAACACGACAGCCTTACAGTGGGCTTGTTCTCTCATTGTGCGCATGCTAGTCGGCTCTCTTTACGCCTCAAATTGCATTTCCGAAGAGTTTAAAGGACCAAGATGAAGAGAAGAACTTTGCATTACGTTCTATGTTCAAGTATATATACAAGGCCGTACACAGAGGGGAGCGGAAGGCAGCGAAACTTGCCCCTCAAAATTGTGCCAATTTACCAGCGTGCACTATAAATTTTATTAAATATGGTGCATAAGCGTTTGATTGTAAATAATGTGATTTCCTTATAACCAATCATACATGTAATTATTTAGCTGTATGATTAACAAATAATTAGAAGGGTCAAAAGCTATGTACGTACGCCCATGTACATATGTATTGCATGTATATGTATAAAATATGCGCAGATGTATGTAAATATATATGTACATATGAATATGAATAAATACATACTCGTACAACAACTGACTTTAAATAACTTCTTACTATATATGACAGAAAAGATCCACAAATACAAAATCAAATGTTATAGACAGTATCAATATCAGACACATGTAATATACTGTAAGTATGTAATTGGTCCTATACTGTAGTTATTTCATACGTCATTTATGGCAATAAACATTCACAGGGTTTCAAATTACCAGCAATATTACCTTGCTTTCTCTTAACACCAAAGGCGGTTTCTCTTGAATTTTACTCTTTTGCCATATTTAAAATAACACCAAATAAAAATGTACTCGCCATCCGTTGTGTTTACAACCACCCTTCCGACGGCATTTCTATTCCTTCTTATTGGTCTTTACGGAAACTGAATACCTTTCCCACTGTGGAGAGCTGGATACTTCAACCCTACTTTACTGTTATTGGTTATGGCCACATTCATTGTGTTCATTGTGTATAAAGCGAGTATCAAACACCTAATCACTCTCGGGGAGGTTTTATTTGTGGGTGGAGTTATGCATTCATCGTTAAAGCGGAATCTATGTAATTTAATTTATAAAATAGTCGTTCAACACACCATTAAGAGGTCGAGTCACAAATGAAATAGTAACAGAACTAATAATTTAATAAGTTTTTGAGTCGTGGATGATATTCAAAACATTGAGCCCTAAACGCAAACACAATGTAAGCAACATTTTCTAAAAAATTTTTTCATGATAATCAATCAAAACCTATCATATTAATTAAATAATTAAAATGCAATAATAATAAAGAAATTGTGCAATATAGTATTATAACACGTTCTGCTTGACATATTTACAGTTAGCACTCGATATGTGAAATGGATGATATAGGAAATCATGTAATCAATTGATCAAATTAATAAAAATACTAACCACTTTTTATTTTACAGATTAATTTATTTATTTTTATATATTAATTATTACCAGGTATATAGGTCGGTACATTTTTGAAAAGTATTTTTTAAATCGAAATAGAAAACTTCAGTGATTCTTTTATGAATCTAAGTTTTGGTGTGGCGATGCACTGATTGCTTTTTGAAAAACAGCTTTGTATGTACCTTAGTGAATTTTATTTTGTTTAGCTTTAGTTTGATTTGTAAGCATCTAAAACTTGTCTCCTGCTAAATATTATCTTACAGTCATCGTTTAAAGCATAAGTGTGCGTGGTCACACTCTTTTGCTTTCACGAAACGGCTAAGTACTTTATTTATTAGAGTATGTAGATTAGTAGATGATTATCCTTCTAATGAATACGAGAATTGTGGCCACCCTCTTTGTTCAATTGTAAATTTACGATTTGAGCGAGTGAGAGCGCATATCGAATGAGAAGAGTAACCAAATGCAACATTTTTTTCATAGGCGAAGCGAAAGCAATTACGAATAAGAGGTAGCAGGTCCGTATATACACACATTCTTATGTATATATGTATGTACATATGTATCAGGACGAATTTGCTTACTTGCGACGGTATATCTGACATCTTCGCGCCAGACAGGTTATCACTATGTAACCCTTACACAAACATACTAACATATGTGAGGCGGCAACGATGCGAAACACCTTCAGATTCTAATTAAATTAATAAATTTAATACGGCCAAAGTGAATTGTACTCCAGATTCTGACTGTTGAAACACATACATATTTCTATATCTGCCGAAAAATACGTTTAAATATAAATACAGGTGTTCAAAATGTCCTATTAGTCTCTTGAATGAAGTAATTACGTACTTATTCAAGTCTTTGCAGAAATACAAAAAATCTTTTCGTTTAATTTTAATTTTTTTCAAATGTTTAGCTAATATTGTTCAATAAGAATACGATAATAGTGCTTCCATGGCAGCAGTTATCAGGAGTAGGTGGCGATATTTTTGCAGGTGTATCATATACATATGTAAGTACCTATGGCAAGGGTACTATAGATAGAACTTTGATAACTCCGAGATGATTTCAAACTCAAAGAAATAAAAATGCTTTCTATTTTGATCGGTTCGGTTCGTTACTTATAAAAGATTGCCACAGCACAGTGAGGATAATAAGAAGCGATGCGGTTCATAAGGACGGATGTGATGCATAACTGTGGATTTTCAAATGGTATTTCTTTGATATATGTTAATAAAGTTGTAAGTACGTGTTGTATGTGTTAATAAATGTTTTTCGTCTTGTGTCATATGCAGTGATTAGAAGAATGTTTCTTCTAGACAATGATACGAAAGCTCCTCGCCCATGTCTTCAAAGGTAAGAAACTAAGGTTACTTAACTTTGCATTATATTTTGAACTAGCTGAGTTTAAAATACAATTGTATTACTAATCTTTCCATATTTAATGTTTAAAAGATTCATACCATCGAATTTAATAAATAAAAACAGATATATTTGTAGTAAATTATATTTTTATGTTATGAATGCAGCAGTACATAAATAAACTTATTTCTATTTAATTTTTGTCTTTACAAATTCTAGAAGTCATTTCTTGCAATGGTTCCAGTTCTTTACTAGGTATCAAATCGAATTCCTGTACAAAATAAAAGAAATGCTTGTAGCAAGCGTTGACATGCGCTTCCTGCAAAAAAATAGAATAAAACATTTTTAAAAATAATTAAGAAAACCATCGGAGTTTGAAAAAAAATACTTACAGCACCGATGCTGACGATTCTGTCAAAATGATGGATATAGACATGAACAAAAACACGAAATAGGCGGGTTAATATCTTGCGACAAAGCGTACCAAATGTTTTAGGAAAGGGAACATCTGCAAGCAAATAAAGAAATATGGTTAGTAATACTTACAAATGTTTACAAAAGCTTTCAATAAAAATGTATCATTACCAGTGGAAACAGGAAAAACAGCTTCGTTGTTTATCTGAGCTTCAGTCCAATCCATTAAGAGCTCAATATATTTTTGAGCAGGAAGTGCGGTTGGCTTTTTATACCTACCGTGAAATAAAAGGATTTACATAGATGAGTATATATTTATAGCATATATATTTGCGTAACACACATTTCTCCATCTGCCCATAAATATTCGTATCTAGAGCCTCCAGACATTGTAGGACACGTAGTTTCATTGCAATATTCCGAAATAGTACCATAAATAAGGTTGATACGGTTAAAGAAGTCAACAACTATATGTATAAAAAATTAAGAAACATTAAATGAACGTATCTGAGTATTAAAAACATACCATGCACAGCCAGCCAATCGTTCATGTTCTCGCCTAAAAAAATATATAGAATAACATAAGGGCATTATGCATAATTTTTCCTCACCTTCGGGCAACCGTACTACCGTTCGTAAATTTATGCCAGATTGTAGACTAGCTTGAGCTTGTTTGTGAAGGGAGTACTTAATAGTTCCGGCCGTAAATCGTTTTCTGGGACGAAATGTCTAAAAAGGTATGAAGAATTTAGTTAATAGTTAAAATTAATGATTTTAGAAAGTTCCTTTATATTTTGTGTTATGTTTTTGGCCATTATAGGAAAAACGTTTATATAAGCATGCCAACCAAATCGCATTTATTGAATACAGTAACAATAGCTTCCAAATTTGATTACCATTAGAATTCTTCATTTAGATAGAAAGCAAATCGCACTTAAGGTGCCTCATAAATTCGACATTCAAGAAAGTTTACTATATAATAGAAACTAACTTAATGGAAGTGTTTTATTCATAAGAAGCTATTGTTATATGTATGTATGTATGATGTACACACACGCATACTATGTATGAATGTATCTATGTTACACATGTATCTAACCTTGCCCTTTTGAAAGAATTCCAGAAACCCGTTTAGAGCCATTGTTTTACATTGTTAATTGTACACACATATATACATATACATAGTTTTATTAATAACTTATATATTTATCTGGCTCAAATGTTTAATTTCCAGAGTATTTAAGTGCTCCAGTGTTCATTGTCCTGACTATTTATAGAATCGCATGGAACAATATAATTCATGTGCACAATGCAATTTCCAATGCACAATTGAGGAACAATTCTGACAACGTAAGACATTTAACACCGATATAACTATATATTTATTAAAATTTATTTTTTTAGATAGCGCCCTTTTGGCGATGCGGTATTTTTATTGTTATGATAAAATGCAGCTGACGACTAGATGGTTGCTTCTAACGTATCGAATAATTTCACATTATTTGTATCGATTTACGGGCCTGTCACCATAGCTAGATGGACAAAAGCTTACTGCTACGCCATACATTAAAGTCGGCCATGTTGATTTACCTCGCCATTACTGCAAATAAATAAATAAATTAATAGAAGAGAACACTCTGTGCTAATATTCCATCGGATTCTTTAATATTGCAGAAATATTTCCAGCTACATCACTCCAAACGTTATTTGGGAAGAAACGAATTTAGTGGATGATAAAAACTATAATTCAGGTGGTGCACCTTTGAACAACTAAAATTTTTTACAAAGTGGAAAGTAAACATGCGTATTAAGTTGTGTAAAACTTATGTCCACTATAAATGTGAATGTGTATAATGAAAAGTGTTATTTGCTATTGTGCTATGTATATAACATAATAATGCACCTATTTAGCGTAAAGAGTCACCGCCACCACACTCGTCTCAGTGAACATTCACATATGTATGTACATACATATATAAATATGTATGTATATGTGCAAACATGAATATTTACATACACGTACGTAGGCTAACCAAAAGGAAGAACTGATTGCGCGCCTTAAGTTTGTTTAACGCTTGCATTTATTAAACTATACTGTATAAACGTATTGCTAGGGAGCAGTGGCATCAGAAATACATAATACCGCTCTGATAACACTCGAGACGGATGTGGTTACCTCAAAAAAAAGATTGTTTTCGTCGAGTTAGACACTTTAAAGTTGCTGCAAACGAAAGTCCTGATATTTCGTAGAAAGTAAAGTGTTTATTTTCTTTAATAATGGGTGACCGCGATGTTCCAAGTGTACCGGTCACAACATTAGCTGGACTTACCAGCACTTCTGATTGTAAGTACACACTCACGCATTTCTATAGCTACGATTACATTGCATATATAATGATTTAAATTCATTGTTATACCTAAGATTATGCATTAGCTAACAAATTCAATTTCATGTTTGTCGTTAGACGATTTCCCTTCCTTTCCAGGAAAACAAAATTATATCTCAAAAATGTATAAAAGTGTATGTCTGTTTTAAAGCGTTAATTCATTCAAAATAAATCTGAGCAGAACAACATTCGATATGGCATCTTGTTTGATGTTTGAGTTTAATTTTTTTCACTGACTTAATATTGATAAACCGTCAATAAAAACTCGTAGTTTTTAAACATTTCACGTTTTTGGTCGTTTTCGATTCTTTAAAATGTAGTTTGAAATTGAAAATTTTCCATTTGCTACCATTAGCTGCTTTTCTCGCTACCTACCAGTAACAAGTAACATATAGTATAGTATATCGCTTGCATGGTCATTTAACAAAATTGATTTTAATCGTTTGTGCTTTTAAAGAATACATTTATTCGTCAAACTTTTCGGTGTAAGTTCAGAAAGTAGGCATTGGTATTAGTTTATTTTATTTCTTTAGGTAAAATAAATAATAGAAATATGTTGGACTAGATTTATAGCGCAATTTGTACAATTATATGAAGCTCTTATCTCATCACCTTGCCATTCAATCTAAAGAAGAGTCAACTGTCAAGTGTATTTGAGAACTTATTTTTTAGGATACACCAGAAATACCCTCTATTTGTGAATGTACGCATTTTCAGCTTTCCATTTCTACTTTCCAATGCCCCCAAGAAAATTGCCTACCTTCACGTTTTACAATCCTCATAATACATTTTAAGTCTTCAACCACAAATAAATTTCACTTTTAACGATTGACCATCCGTGGTCATTACTTACGCCCCACAGGTAGTTGTTCTTGTGCACGAGTTTTCGTATTAGTGGTCGAAATGTTTGAAAGCATATTGGAATTATTCAATAATTGCCATATGTTCATCTCAAGCGTACAAGCATAGGAATCTATAAGGGACAGACATATACAAATTTTAGATTACGTTTATATGTAGAGGTAACAAATGAAAATCACCATTTGATCCGAATTTTTATTCTAGTTTCGGACAAACGGATGTAACCTATTTGAATTGCGTTATGAACCAAAAATGTGCCTTGAAAATGTAACCGATTTGTTCATATTTTTACAGTGTTAAGCGAGTTGCCTGTATCGGATTCATTACAAAGCGCGTCTTCTATAAATAAGTCATTACTTTTCCATACGCTGGTAGCCAGTGAGTCCAACAATCTACTGTCATTGAGGGATGAAACGCTTGTGCGGCAGCTAGTTCACGCCATTGAACAAACCAACTCAGATAACATGTAAATGAATATTCACTTCAACACTAAGCAATCCACTAATAATTTAAATCGTTTAAAAATTTAGTGAACTTAAATCTCAATTTAATATTCAACAACACGGCACCAATATCAGCACGTATCCTGAGCTACTGCAAGGAATTTACAATTTCCGCCCAACAGTTTTTAATACGCCACATAAAAATGGTAAGTTATGGAAATACAAATTTGTAGCAGTCACCTTTTCACCTTTTTCTTAATCCATATTATAGCAACAAATGTGGAAACAGCACAACAGCTGCATCCGTCACAACACTCCGAAGGGCTGCGCCCCGCACACTCCAATCACTCAGATCTTGCTAATGAGATAGACCAAATAACTTGCAACTTTGACTCCACTCCTCATCAACAGCAGCATCAGCCGGCTTATGTTGATCAACCAAGGTGAGTTAATACATTTATATCATTATTAAAACTTGACTATAACAGTTATTTTAGAAAGTGAACAGTGGACAAACAAGTATACTTTCAAATCTAACCACAACAAGTATACAAACTTACCTTATAAACAAACGAATTCATTGATTTTTTTTTTCAAAATTAAAATTATATGAAGTATAATTATAAATTAAAAAATTTATACGTGCACATTATTTTATATTTATTAAATCAATCTAAACCCAATCTAATCTGAACATAGAAATTTGATTAATATATAAAGACTGACAAACGAACTTACAGAAGGTTTTTTTTTAAATAGTAGCTCTAAGGTCCCTAACAATCAATCAATGTTTAAAATTCTTCTGCTATTTACAGCTTGGTTGCAACAGGTGTTCCAACTAAAGTGCTTACAGCACGAACATCAGCGATAAATTATGATGGAACAGAGGAAGGAATGGACCATCAAAATATTTTGATGTCGCAACAAAAGCAAAAGGTACCACCTGCTCAGCAATTAAACATCACACAACCGATTGCAGTGCCGCAGCAGCAACAACAACCATCGGCTCTCAACTTCTCAGAGCTGCAACAGGACCAGAAGCATCAGCAATTTGGACAGCTAAAAATGTATAACGATGGTTATACGTCTGATTTGAACCCTAACTGGACCAGCCAACAGCCTACCTATTCAACAAATACATCAGACATAATGGGTCAACAACAGCTATTGAATCATACTTCCCATGTTGGAAAACCCTTCCATTCGGAAGCTACACTAATACAATCCCAGGCTCCAACAACAACGACATCAACAGTGCAGGGCAGCTTTCAAAATGTATTGAACTTGCAGCGACAGCAAATCGCTGCAGCAGCTGCACAGCAGCGTTCAGATCTTCAAAGGCCTCAACAACAGCTGCAACATGCCAAAAATCAATCACCCGTACAAGCTACAATTGCTCCCGATGCAAGCCAGCAACAGCTACACAGCGCTTCAACCTCAGGGACTATGAATCACAATAGCTGTGCATTTGGGTCTGATACTCACCAAAGCACACAGGCTGTGTCGGGGGCTACCTCAACCTCAACATCATCTAGCGGCAAGTCTCAGGTTCGGGTATGTATAAATCGCCTTAACGTTGAAGATGCGCGCCTTATGCAACATAGTATTAAAGAATTTGTACAAAAGTCACCAGAATTGGCTAGAAATATGGGGTTACTACATGAATCAGCAGAACAACAAAATCAAAGTTTGCTTACCCTAGCTACTGAGGTTGATGGTATACCTATAGGAATTGAATCGATCACAAAAACTTATTCAGCCCCATGTCAAAATACTTCCCCAATTGATATGTTTGCTGTCATGAAGGCAGACGAGAAACGCAACACTACGAAAAGAAAAATTGCAATATCGCTTGGTGACATTCCACCAGAGCAAATATGTAAGTATTTCCTTTCTGTCTCTGTCAAATGAGATTCCTTATTTATCGATGAACACTTGCAGTTTCAAAGCCTAAACTTCGCCGGGTTGAGCGGACAGCCACGCAATCGAACACAAAATGCACAAAAGAGGAAGTAACCCGGAGTCAAACTTATCAACAGTTTATGCGAAACATGGAACAAATTATAGAGATGCTAGATGATACAGAGCCACCAAACTTTGATTCAGGTATGCTTCTAATATAACTACGAGTATATGTGGAACGAGTATTAATTTATGTTAAATTGTAGAAGATGTCGATGAAAATATTGAATGTATTTCCTCCAAGCTTCTCACGACTATGAGTAACGACGTTGCTAAACTAAAAGCTAAACAAGCTCTGGATTCAATACCGAAAAATAAGTTAACATTACTTATTAATTACGCCATGAGAAACGTTTATTTGGCCAGGAACTATTCCGCTGGAATGGTATGTTTTTTCTAAATTTCTGACTTGGAGTTTAGAGATTTCTAATACCTATACAAACATTTTATAGGAAGACGAGGAAGAAATTGTCGATGATGAAATTATTGACAAAATATTAAATGCCATGGACGCGTGCTTACTTATATGCAATATATACTCAACAGTGAGTGACTTAAAGTTTTTGCAAGAAGACAACATTTCCCACATTATCAAGTTCGCTCAATTTCAATTGAGAGAAACCATATTCCCTCTTTACGATCCGGTATACATGGTAAAGAGTATGAAGAAAACGACCCAACGCAAGAAGACCAAAACACAACAAAACCATCAACGCAGCCTCCAGATATTTTACTCTAAAGCGGTTGAGCTGCTAAAGGTGTTTGTAGCGCTTTTCGACAAATGCATATTTGTTGATACTATTGTTTTGCCATTATCGACGCTTGCTGTGGAACCGTTTTTTGTGGACAATATTGAAACGCTGCAATTTGTATGCTTGGAACTTGTTACCACGGTAAGTAATACATGAAAAATATAATGTTCAGAAATAAATGTTGCTCATTTAACAATCCCTGTTTTTAGATATTCCGTAAAGAAAAATACGATAAAATTCGAAGCAGTATATTGGGTGATATACTTTCATCAATCGATCGTTTACCCTCCGCAAAGAAAAATCTACGCCCATTCAAATTAACAAGTAATGGAGGCAACATTCAAATGGTTACAGCACTTGTCCTGCAATTGATTCAGTGCGCTACAATTCTGCCTGATTCCCTTTGCGATAAAAACAAAAGTAACGCGAGGAGTCCAAATGATATTGATTTGGACGATGATGTTCCGAGCGGTGCAAGCAAAATTGTTAAGCCCAATCAGGATGTACTTGTGCTGAAAAAGTATGACGTCGCAGTTAGTATAGGTGGCAATTTCCTCACCACTTTCCTTAACAAGTGCAAATCACGATCAAATGAAACCGACTTCCGCCCCCTCTTTGAGAACTTTATCCATGATCTATTGGCTACAGTCAATAAGCCGGAGTGGCCCGCCTCTGAGTTATTACTTTCACTATTGGGAACAATGCTAGTTCGTTATGTTTCAGATAAGAGCATTGAACAAACCATACGTCTGGTTTCCCTTGACTATCTGGGCATAGTAGCTGCACGCTTACGGAAAGACACGGTAGAATCTCGTTGCAAAGTCAACATTATTGATTCTATGATTAAATCAATAAAATTGGAACAGGAAAAAGAGGGGGACCTACCTATCACAAATGTAAGTGTATTATAATGCAATTTTAAAAACTGTGCAATGGCTTGAAAATATTACGAAATACTTTATTAACAAATTGCAATATTTTAGCCGAACATCAAACTGCACCCCGAAGAACAACGAACGGAATTTCTACAAAAAATTCTATTAGACTTCCTTGCCGTAAATGCACAGGAAGAAAATTTAATATGGGACTATGCGCGGCACTTTTATTTGGCCCAATGGTACCGTGACATTATCTATCAGCGACGTCGAATAAAGGAAGGAGAAAAAGGTTTTGCATCGCGAAAGTTTAAGTCGCGGAATAAACGCGTGAGAGGTAGGTGGTTTATAAATGTGTTAATAAATCAACGAAGCAGCTGTATGTAACACCAATTTATAAATTATTTAAAAAACAATTGTTCTGTATAGATCGTACTATTCTCTTGAAACTTTTTGTGACAGAGCTCTTATTTTTTATAAAACAAATTGATAAAATAGACTCATTTATAGTATATATCCGGTTCGTTCGCAACATTTGAGCCCTTTTTTTGTGGCCGTATTGTACAGTATTTACATATTTAAATATATGGATTTATTTTTTTATATAATGCAGGCGAGTATTCAGAGTCATCAGACTCCGGCTCTTGTGATGAAATTGATGGAGAAGACGGAAATAAAAATGGGAACTCCTCTGCTGGCATTATTGATTATGAACTCAACCTCGAAATTTTTAATGTTCTGGAAGAGCGAAAACAATATTTGATCAGTAAAATAAAGCCATACTCGGCATCTGGCGAAATTAATCATACGGCCCATCAACACATCAAGACTTATATAGATTATAACAACGCACAGCTAATAGCGCAATATTTGGCTACAAAGCGACCATTTAGTCAATCGTTTGATGGATGTCTTAAAAAGATTATATTAGTCGTTAAGTAAGTATATTATTGTTCTTTAACTTACTCGAAACTCATAAAAATGTTCACACCAGTGAACCCTCCATAGCTGTGAGAACACGTGCAATGAAATGTTTGGCGAATATAGTGGAAGTAGATCCGTTAGTATTGAAACGCAAAGACATGCAAATGGGTGTTAATCAAAAATTTTTGGATACGGCCATATCAGTGCGCGAAGCTGCAGTTGACTTAGTGGGAAAATTCGTGCTTAGTAATCAGGAACTAATCGATCAGTATTACGATATGTTATCAACGCGCATTTTGGTAAGTAATAAAAAATGATAAACAATAGGGTCTATTCAATGCTAATTTTCAATGATTGTCTTTTACAGGACACTGGTGTATCAGTGCGTAAACGCGTTATTAAAATTTTGCGAGATATTTGCATTGAATATCCAGATTTTAACAAAATTCCAGAAATTTGTGTAAAAATGATTCGCCGTGTAAATGATGAGGAGGGTATTCAGAAGCTTGTCACAGAAGTATTCATGAAAATGTGGTTCACACCGTGCATTAAAAACGATAAAGTAAGTCAAAAGTAATGATTAAATTGTTAACTCTCTAACATATAACTGTTACAGCATGGGATTCAGAGGAAAATCAATCAAATTATTGACGTGGTCAATACAGCCCATGACACAGGAACAACTTGGCTGGAGGGACTTTTAATGAGTGTAAATATTCAATATATTAGGAGCGCGCATATCCATGTACTAAGTATTATTTATTCACTAGATTTTTAAGCCGAAAGAGAATATGTTGAAACCGGACGGCAGTGTTCACGAACCTGTCAAGAAAAATACTGAGCCACCACAAGAGATTGTTTTAGCCTGTCAACAACTAGCAGATGGTCTGGTAGAGAGGCTAATTGAATTAGAAGACACCGATAACGCCAGAATGCTGGGCTGTATTACAACGCTTCATTTACTGGCCAAAGTGCGTCCTCAGCTTTTGGTTAGGCACGCCATGACGATCGAGCCCTATCTGAATATAAAGTGTCATTCAGCGACTGCAGCCAAATTTATTTGTGCGGTTGCGGACATTCTCGAAAAGGTTGTACCTCTTGTAAACAACGCGAGTGAATCCTTTTTGGCCTCGCTCGAAGAACACTTGATGCTTCTTGTTGTGTCGCGAAATCAGGCCGAGGTGACCAGTTGTGTATCCTGCTTAGGCGCACTTGTGAATAAAATAACAAAGAACTATAAACTTATCCGAGATTGTTTTCAAAAGTATGCAGCAAACTTAATATGTTAGCACTGTGTATATACTAAACATTTTTTCCTTACAGGTTTTATCGTATTCTAGATCTATCTAGAAACCAAGTTATGCAAAATAACTGCAGCGTCGACAACATATACACTCCAAGTTTTCGAAGGAGTCTCTTCACCATTGGTATTCTGATGCGCTACTTTGATTTTAAATCACCCAATACTTTAGGTAAGTAGCTCAGCCTAAAAATGTCCAAATCCAAAGGTCCCTTTAACTTATTTAATTATAGGGGAAACGAATGGTGGTCTTCCTTCTACGATATGCGACAACGTCTTCGAGTGCTTGATGTTTTTCTGCATTTGTTCAAATCAAGAGATTCGAAAACAAGCTCTAATCGCATTGGGCTCCTTCTGTGTAATGAACGACGATTATCTAACCCGGTCTGAGCTCAAGCAGTTCTACTGTGATTTATTGGGATCGAATACTATCGATGCCGGGGTTAAGATAATTTGTATGCGAAATATTTGGATTTACTTAACGGAATCGGAAATGTTTATGCACAACAAGGAAAAAGAATGTGAGTACAGTCTTTTTATACATCTGTATGGCTAATTTAAATTTTTTCCTTTTAGGGGAAAAACAATCTAAGCACGAAGACTTGAAAGAAATGAATGATGTTTCTTCGGGCATGTCAAGTCGAATCATTCAGCTTTACCTTGAAGAAATACTTGACTGTTTCCTTAGTAGGGACGATGCGGTTCGTTTATGGGCAGTCAAAGTTGTGCAAATCGTTCTGCGACAGGGATTAGTGCACCCTGTAAGAATGGTACCTTATCTTATATGCTTGAGTACCGACTGTAAAATTGAGGTAAGTAGCGTTAATGTAGCATTAGTATTCAAAAATACTAATGAGTTTTTCTTTTTTGTATTGTAATTTTCAGTCGGCCCATAGAGCAGACGCCCTACTAAAAGATATAGATAAGACTTATTCGGGTTTTGTAAATATGAAAGTGCAATTTGGGCTGCACCTTTGCTTTAAACTACAGGAAATATTGCAAACAAATAACAGTGGAAAACTGGAAATTATTCGTGGCTATGCGTAAGATAACTTTTTATTGTGAACTGATAGATGTATTATTTTTAAAGCAATACTATTTTTAGTAAACGCGGTCCAGATCAGGTAACGACAGCATTAAACGATTTCTTGTATACGTTACTACGTACCACAAAACCGCAAAGAAGAGCTTTGGTACAAACTGTTACAAAACAATTTGACGATCAGAAAACATCGCTACAGCAAATGCTTTATATTGCCGACAATCTTGCATATTTTCCTTATGTGGTGCAAGACGAGCCACTCTATCTCATTCATCAAATAGATTTGCTTATTTCCATGGCCGGTACACATCTTTTGGCCACATTTAAAGAGCATCTTAAGCCAAATGATAAGGAGGGCGACGTATTAGAGGATGACGATGATGTTGAGGACCCGCAAGTTTTATTTAATCGCCTTCCTGATGACATAACCGAAATACAAAAGTGTATAATGTCAGCTCAAGCTTGTATGCTTTTGTTAATACTAAAGGAGCACCTAAAAGATATGTATGGACTGACGGATGGTAAAATATCCCGGTATTCTCCTTCTGAACAGAAGTTATATGAAAAAGCAGTTACTCGTAAACCTGTTTCTGACTTCAATCCGAAATCAACAGTTGATGTTATAAAGAAGCAGTTGGTCCAGAACATAACAAACTCAAATAATGATTGTGTATCAAGAACAATCACGGATCCCGAAAAATTGGATCTTGTTGTCAAGTATTTAGATGTAAGTATCAATTTATCAATTTATATTATTAATTATTAATCGTTATATGTTAAATTTTTTAGTTCAAACAACTTATGTTGAAACTTGATCCTGAAGATGAGGAATCCGATCTGGATGAATCAAAAGATAAGTCAAAGCTAAATAATTTGGATGGCAGCATTGCTAACAGCACTTTAAATCCAGCGCCTAGTTTTAATGCAAATAATACAAATGTCCAGCCACCGATGGTTATTATGCCGGCAACGCCTGTAGGTGTAACTTTTACTTCTTTTTATCAAAATATATAACTAAAATATATATTATTTTCATGATGTCATCAGGAGACTTCAGTTAAATCCATGGCTCGCATAACAAAGTCAACTCTCCCTGCAACAAAATTAATTGTTCGCAAACAAAATCGGAGAACTAAGAAAAAGCGACGTAAAATGATGTCATCGGAAGAAGAAGATGACGAGTATAGCGATGAAGACTATGCGTGAGTGGAAAACCAGGAGTCATTTTCGTTCAGCCTTATGTATTTGTAGTAATTCCTTTGTTAAAAGTACTATTTAATATTTAGTGTTGTAAAAATTATAAAAATAATTTGTAGCAATTAAAATATAGTAATAAGTGTACCATATTAAATATTATGATATAAATAACTAGCTACGTTAAGCAATACATTTTATAAATAAGATTTCAAAGGATCTTAACACAAATGGCCACGTTCCGGTCTTATAAACAGATTATTTCATTAGCAATCACAAGAAATACCAGCAGGCTTCATTTCTCCACATATTTTATTTAAGCAAAAATTAAAATTGAGCGTACTTAGTAAAAAGATACGGTAACTTACGGTAGGGTTATAAAAGGTGGTAAAAATTCAAGATATACAATCTGTAATATGTAAAATTTTTATGATTAGTCTTAGATACTTTCGAGGCAATTAAAATAGAATCCATACCCTTAGCCTAAAGATTTTCAAGAAATAAAACTAATGTGAATATTATTTTTTTATTTGGGAGTAAAAGCGTATCATTGGTACAAATGTCCCATGTACTCAGTAAGGCTACAGCCGTAATAAAATGTATAAACGATGTATTTTATAGCTACAATATATATTTATTTTTATTTTATTAAAATGCATAATTTGTATTTAAAAATAGTTAAATAAATATGGAATAAAAATTGTAATTTTAAATTAAACAAATATAAATGTTGATTACACTTTGTTATTTTAACCAGTTGGCGTTTCGTGCTTGAGAAGGGGTTGTAAAATATTTTTGATAACTCAACGATTACTTAACTAGGGTGTTTTAAAAATCTTTACCCAAGAGAAAAAGTAAGAGTTGCGGCTATTGCGAGAAAACTATATCAAAAAAAGTGGCAAGTTTAGTGGCTGGTTTTCGAAATCAATGAGTTAATCCAGTCAGGTTCCACGACAGCCAGTAAAGACATCTTGTAAAGTGATTGTTATTATGATTCATCTCAAAATGACTAAACAAAAGTTGTAGACGTTTATGCTGAGTTAGTTATCAACATTAGAATAAATTTTTAAAGACGGATACCCATAAATCGGAATATTTTTATTATCAAAATATACTGTTTTTATGCCTTAAATAGAAGGTTCCTTATTTCTTCCTTTTCCGCTGCCTCCAAGTAGCTCTGGCCGTCAGGTGTGGAACCATTTTTGTTTGCCCCCTAGAAGATTTTTATACTGTAAAGTAAACATGTCGACTGATGTGAATTCAAAGGAGTACCTTTTCTAATAGTAATTGAACGCAACTTGTATGTCCTTCCCACACTGCAGCTAATAATGGCGTAATGCCATGTTTATCGCTTTTCTGCAATTAAGAAGAATAAAATATCATTTTGTAGCTTTCCTTTTTATGTTGTATGATCCTACGCTTTTTTTGAAAGGTACTCTCTTTTATAATAGTCAGATGCTATGACTGCTTTAATACATACATATATATTTTATAAAGTAGCGTATGCAGTTGTGACATTTGAGTTCTACTCCGATCGACTGGGCGACAAAAGTACATGTGCACTTAAATTATCGCTTGGACTTAGGACTTACCACAAAAGACCTGTCGTCCGCGGGAGCGTTTCAACTTTTAACTTTACGACTACTGGTAAGTAAATAGAGAGGAGTCGTATAAAAGTGAAGCAGTTACCCAGATTTTTGTGGTTGCAATTAAAGTAAATAATTGCTTTTTCATTGTGCAAACAACTATGCCTAATTTTAGTATAAGTTGATCTGAATATATTTTCTTACGTTTACATCGGCTCCCATTTCAATAAGAAATTTTAATACTTTAAGCTGTCCAAAATCAGCCGCATAGTGGAGGGGAAACCTTCCTTTTATTTCCTGGTTTACTTTTTGGACCTAAGAAGAGATATTAAGTAATTGAGAAGTGAATTTTAAATTAAAACGCTCTACGTACATCATTTTGAAAAGTGCTTTGCACTGCATCGAATTCTCCGTTTTTTATGGTCCATATTATTTGTTCATTGTTTTCACTCATTTTCGACAATTAACTTTGATAGACCGATAAAATAAAATACATACTGATGAGTAGACATAACACATCGATAGGTTTTTGTTTCCATAACGAATATTTTATATCGTGAGTCTAATGAAACTATGTGAATTTATTTTTGTAGTTCTGGAATTTACGAGAATTTCTTAAAAATTGAAATTCTTCTTTTCTTTAGCTTGGAATTGAATATTGGGATACTTCATATGAAAAAAACACCACACCTAATTTAGCCATGCATTTTTGAGCAAGAGTAGCAGTTATAAAAAACCCAGGTCTTTGAACATCTGACTGTGACTTGTATTTATTTATTTAGTCACCATGCGACTTGTTACATTTAAATGCCCGTTACACTCTCAGGTGCATTTTTTATCGGTCATCCCAAAATAGTTCTAGTGATTACATATGAGTAGGAGGAGATGTTTAGCGTGTTGACAAGGTCGCCGCAATTTTCTGCATTTGCATTAAGCAATTTTGTGCGAATGGCTGGTCATTCTAAATGGCAGAACATTAAGCACATTAAGGCACAAAAAGATGGAGTAAGAGCAGCTCTATTTACGAAATTATCTAGGCAAATCCGTCTGGCTATTCAAGAGGAAGGATCATCAGTGGATCCGAACCTCAACAGCCAACTGTCGGCTGTTATCGACACTGCATTAAAAAAAAATATGCCCATGGACACAATTCAAAATGTTATAAAAAAGTCCCAACAGAGTAAATTAAAACTGAAGAAGCATCGCTTGGATATCCGATATAAGAAACATGTTTATATGGTATGCATTATATATACTGATAATTTTCCTGGGGTGAAAATGGATGCAACGGCAATGGTTAAAAAATCAGGGTTAGTATAAATATTTTTTATATTATTTGTCCAAAAGTTGATGAAGACCGCTGCTGCGCCCGTTTCCTATCCTACTTGCCGGTAAAATATGCTGACTACATTGCAGCTGCAATGTTACTTTCCGGGTTACTTTCCGAAAAAATTAATTTAATTTTGAAAATGAAATTATAAATATTATAAATATAATATTTCATGAGTAAATAAAGTTGAGCATATAATAATTTCAGAGGTGTTTTTGTCGATGTCAGTCACATGTTTGATTCTGTGGGCTTGGTGGAAGCTCGATTATCTTCGAAATTACATACACATAATTTAGAAGATGTTGTAATGGAAGATGCAATTGAGTTTGGAGCAGAAGATGTTTCAATTGTTGACTCTGAAAGTCTGGCTGTAAATGTAAGATCAATAATGTCCATATTTCTTTTCTTTAATTTATGTATGTTCGCATATCTTCACAGTTTTTTTGTAACCCAATTCAGTTAAAAGTTCTTACTGATGCTTTGGAAAAAAAAGGATACATTATTGACACATCTGAACATGTATTCACTCCACATGTAAGGCATGGATATATGAAATTTGCATTTCTACTTTAATGATTACTATTAAAAAACCCGTTTATTATTTCAGACTGTTATAAATTTAAGCACTGAAGAACAGAAGCTGTACAATAATTTCGTTGCAAAGTTGCGGGATGTGCCCGGCCTCGAAGATATTTATGATAATGTTGAAAATACTGACTGATTCAACTGAAATTTTTTGTTTTTATTCAATAAATATACCAATCTTTGTCTTCTCCTGTAAAGAGCGTCTTTCTCTTATTGCGAAACTATCCAGTAAGCGATCCGGGAACGGACACCCCTTTCTATAGGTGTATTGAAAAATGGGGCGAAAATCACTAAGCATTATGGGCCTATCGTACTTAGCACCGTGGCAAGAAACGGGCAAACACCTCTTCTCTGCTGTTTCAAGTGTTGTCTATCAGAAGATGAGTGTAGGGTGAAAAAGTAAGCGAAGTAACTATTACGGATAAACTACAGAGTTGGCAAAGCGGGTGATACATAAGACGGTCGGTAGGACGTTTTTTTCTAAAAAAGCTACCTGGCTTTGTACAAGTGTTTTTAATTAACCATAATGAACAGTATTCCATCAATAAGCTGTAAATGTACGAGTATTCATATAAATGTTACTCTAAAAAGTAGGCTACTTTACTATAGAATGGTTTTTGTTGTACCACTATAATGTACAATTTGTGTAAGTATTTATGCCTGAATGAGATTTTATTGATTAATTTTCAGCTTTAAGCTAATTAAGTTTTGTCACGACAGCGATATATTTCCACTCTATATTACATTCATAAATTGACGGCCTTTTAAGTACTTGAGTGCAATTACATCGTTGAATCAAACGTCGTTCGGCAACAGTTGAAAATGTTTCGAAAAATTTGTACCTATGCAATAAACTATGTCATTTTATATTTACAAATCAGTTGCATTCATGGTATTCGGTATCTGGTCAAACGCATATTGCTCATATTTGAGAGGTATGTCCGAGTTGAAATTTGTTACAATTACCAAAAATTGCATGCTATTCCAGATTGCTATGGCTCGCATTGTTGATAGCGTCCATATATTTCTGCATAGTTGTCTCGTTGTCATCCGTAGATCGGTATTACACAAAGAGCACACATATCGGACTCGAACGTAACTACCACTTTTGGAATACAACACTTCCGAGCCTCACATTGTGTCCAATGGAGCGTTTAAATCAAAGTTTTTTAGACAAATTCTGCATGTAAATATCTTAATAATAGCTTTGTATAAATCTGTTTCTATCATCTATTATCTGCAGGGCAAATGGTATTGAAGGGCGAGATAAGGCCGAATTTGAGGATTTTTTGGAAAATTTGGCAAACTCTACGTACACAAATTTTCATAGAATACCGCAGTATCAAAGCACAGACGATATCCTTGAAAGGTTGAATATAAGACCTGAAAATTACATGGAACTAATCTACAATATGACATACGATAGCTCATACGATCCAATCGAAAAACAGCGCACACGCAGTATTGATGGCCAAACCAATATACACGTACGCCAAGTACTGACTGAATACGGTTTGTGCTATTTGGGCAATTCCAAATTGGGTGAAGAATATAGTTCGCGGTATTTTATATTTGGTTTGTATCCCGAGTTTAACAGGCATGAGCACACTCGTAAACTACTGCAAGTGCAAATTGGTTCGTTTTTTGAAAAGGATGTGGGATACACACTTTTGGGTCTAAGAAGTGAGGCAATCGATGTAAGTACTATTCATATTATTCAAAAGGAAAATAAATCTAAACATACTTAGTATGTAAATTTAATTCTGATATTTATAGAGCTTTATTCATTCTCCTTTCGATGTCATGAAAGTTGACAATAATTTCGGATATACAGATGATGGGGTGGTATACGACCCAGAAAGCCAGGAGGTGATTGCCGAAGAGAACTTTGAAAAGTACCATTGAGCTATGCTAGACGGTTTTTATTACTATATTTATAAACTTTCCCGCATATTCTGTTTTCAGGGAAGCAACAATTGCTCAACGAAAATGCCGTTTTTATCACGAATCCAATCTGACACATTTTAAATTTTATACCAGAAATATATGCCAGCAAGAGTGCCGCATAAACCTGGCCTATAAAATTTGTAAATGCATTCCACATTTTTACCCCAACCGCAGTAAGTCGCTTTTGTTATTTTGGTGTTTCCTCATTCTAAAATTTAATTTATAAGAACTATATTTAATTTTACAGTTGCAACACCGAAACAAGTCTGTAGCTATAAAACTCTTAAGACTTGCTTTCCACAATATACGAGTAAGTATAGTAGAGATGCCGTTGGGATCCCAAATGGGGATTTTATATTAATTTGGTATTCAAACATTGCTGGACGAAGGTAAGCCGCTTAGGTCAATAAAGCATCAAGGTCTTTAGAAATCAGCCATCGCAAAATACATACATACTCGTATATTATTTAAAAATAATATATGTAGAATGGCGAAAGAATAGAAAGGGATAAGATTTGGAGATGGCAGTGAACCCTTTATTACTTCGACTCAAATCGAATTCTTGCAATTCTAGCCAAGTCAAGCTTGTTTGTTCTCTAGTTTTGTGCGCATGGCAGACCCCACAAAGTATATATATTCTTGATCAGGGTGACAAGCCGAGTCGATATAGCCATGTCCGTCCGTCCGTCTGTATGAGCGCAAGGATCTCAGAAGGTACAAGAGCTAGAATTACCAAACTTGGCATCCAGGTTCCTCTAAGCCCTAGGCAGGTCAAGTTTGTTTTTTTATTTTGATACACCCCCCACTCCCCCTCAATTCGTGTTTTTTCTTATTACTTCCGTAATTCTTCGAATTTTGAAATCATTTTGGTAGTTACATCCAGTTAGTGCTTATGTGTCCGTCTGCCAAGTTTCATCATGATAGGTCAATTCTGAAGAAAGTTATAGCCATAAATAAAATAGCTGCTCATGCGCTGCCGGCAGCGCTGCCCGCAGCTGTTGTTGTTGTTGCTGCTTTGGTTCAACTTTGTGCTGCATACATGTAATTCATTTTTTGTTTAATAATTAAATTTTTTTTTTTAATTTTTTCTTTTTTTAAATGTTCCTTTTTTGTGGAGAGTACAGGCTATTTTACTGTCGGGCTTGCTCGACTGTTGCGTTCTCTCTTGTTCTTTTATTTGAAGGTTTGTTCCTTAAGTTGTATGGCGACCAAAACAGCCCCATAAAAAGGGCAACTTGTTATTGTGAGCAAACATGCCTTGACGCTGTTGTCACCACGAAAAGTGCATTGGTAAGTTGTCACTAAGGGCCTTTTAATCGAGGAGTCGAGAATAAACTTTATTTACTGAATTTGGTTGCTTCCTATAGCCCATGAGAGGATCCAGGCAGCTGCTGGGAAGCATTGGCAGCGCTATTTCTATGAAGACTTGGCCACAGAATCGATTAAAAAGACAAGTGATTTTCACCTTTACTGACTTATTGGGTAAATATTACATGTATATATTGGATATTTTTGAATGTTTCATTGATTCTTATTGCAGTTTCAATTGGAAGCACTGCCGGCTTGTTTCTTGGGTTTAGTGTGTTAGGTTTAGTTGAATTAATATATTTTTTTACAATTCGACTAATATGTCAAATACTAGGCTTCAAAATCTAAAAAACAAAAATCAGGCTTTTGAACTTAAATATTTTTACATTGCTCAAAGTTAATTTTATCATTATCATTTATCAAACATTATGGACAGCTTAACAATATAACTAATCTGTTAAATAAAATCACATGAAACTCAACACTACGAACACAAAGTTAGAATTCAAATAATTAGAATAAATAAAATTGAAAAACAGATAAACAGAATTGTAATAAAACAAGGGGAAAAGCTAGAGACTCGGTGCCCCGAAAGAAATAAAATAAACTTGCACAGCGGGCAGCGTTTATACGGAAGGGCAGACAGACAGACGTGGCTAAATCATCTTGTCATGCTGATCAAGAATTTATGTATGTATATACTCTGTTGGGTGTGCCACGCCTCCTTCTGCCTTTTACATTTTTTTTTCTTTGCACAAACCTAATATCACAAACCTAATACCTCTCAGATACAGAGTGTAGTATAAGAATTTTAAAGCGTATTTAACCACTTCAATTACATATGTACATATATGTATATAGATACACATATGCATACATTTATGTGCGTGGAAGTTTCTTGAACCAGAGCAACAAAAGCAGCGGCTCGTGCCAACGGCTGGTGCTCTGCCGAGCATGGGCAAAGAAAATATATTTGGTTACTAGCCGATCTTGTCTGCCTTTGCTTGGCTAAGTATTTTTTGCTAAGAATGATATATATATTTATTTACTACTTTTGGGCTTATGGGCTCCGACATTGTGCTCATTTCCAGAAAAGCTTCTATAGGAACTACCAAACAGCAAATTACCTTGGTACTTACTAAAAGCTAGTGCATATAGCATAGCAAATATGTACTATATACATACATACAAATACTTACAAATATGTGTGTGATATTCAGGGAAAGTAATATAAACGAAGTTTAAGGTTTATCGCAGCTGTGATTTATCAAAACCGCTTCTTATCGCTCACCTACACTGTGAAAGGATACTTGAGTCCAGCTTCCCAGCTCAAAACGTTTGAGCTGTGCGTTGATCGGCAATCAGCCAGTGAGAAGAAAGTTTTTTATATTATAAGTATGTATATACATATGTATGGATAGTTGCATGTAGATAATTGCATTGCAGCTATTGCAAATAAATGATTTAAAAACATTTTTTCCATCTGCAAACTTAATTCTTTCAACACAAAATTGGTAACGAAAATTTTGTGACTTCCAAGCTTGCTTTGGCCTTACGACTTTTTTTTTATCTTGTGAAGAGATTCTTACTAAGATAACCATTACAGCATGCACATAAACATATGTACATATTTGAACTAATTTGTGTGTACATGGGTGTCTGTAACATTATGTATGTCCCGATTAGCTAATATTTCCGGGTGTGATAAAAAGATTGTAATATCTTTGTATAGAATATTTGTGCGTAATTTTCACAGCTTTGTTTAACATTTCTGCCTTCTGTATGTTCATAATTACATACATACATACATACATTATTACGTACATATATACATATTGCATTTAGTGAGTGTACTTGGTTTTAAGCGCACACTACAAATCGTTTTGCTGTAGGTCTCTTTGTTGATTACACTTCGTCGGTGGTGGTATGTACATACATACATATGTACATACATACAAACATTGAATGAATGTATGTATGTATTTCCACTTACCGCAGCCATATGTGCGTACGCTTTGATGTGTAAGTACGTTCATCTATGTGTACCCCTGCAGTACTGCAAGGCTCAGTTGGTACTAAGAGACACAGTTTATCTTGCTCACTAAAAGTATTACAGTTTGGTAGCAATAGGAATGGCGACTCTACCTTGGATTTCAAGTGTGCACAACAAATCTGAAACCGTGTTGTCAAATGGCAGCAATATAAAGCTTGAAAACTAATTTTAATAAAATAAAATAAAGAACACATGTGGGAAATGATTTTAAATAACATAATAAAGCTAAAAATTATGTATTTACTTCCTTTTGGCAATTGCGATCAGTCGGTTCATGGGCGTCGAATGGTCGACGACTGGCGAAAGGGGCGGCGAAATAGGTGATGAGAGGCTGCCGCCCGTTACTGCAGGGGCATTCCGTAGATGTGCACACGCACACGCCCATACGCATGAATTCAAAAGCCAAAACAGTAAATGCTCACATTATAAGCATGTTTGGCTCCAGCTCCAGACTTTTTGGGCTCACTGCGATGTTGGTGGTGGTATCGTTCCATTGCTCCAGCAAGTCTGCATCTGTGTGAGTATCAGCGGTTGGGCTGTCGCCGAAGCTTCGGCTCCCAACACGATTTTCCTCGCACTTTTAGTTCCAATTTGCTAAGCACGCGATCACAACGGTTTTCATTAACATAGGAAAAAGCTTGTGGACTATAGGAAAATGTTATTTCCTGGTGTAAGCTTCAAGTCGCTCGAATACCTTGATTCTGACGAACTCACTGTGTATGCTACATTTTCTTATAATTAATATTTATTTAAATTAAATGTGAGTGATTGTGTTCGTTTAGTATCAACAAAAGTTTCAAATATTATGATTGAATAAATTTTAAGCTTGATTATTACAAATTTGTAAAAAGGTAAGTATTTGGCATAGAATATTGTGATGATAGCGCTTATAGCAGTTATATTTTTTTGTTGTCAAATAAATACAATAGAAAATATGTTGAAATGGATTTGAAATCTGCTCGATTTTGATTGCTATGAAAACTAACAGGGGAATTAAAAAATTGACGTTCTATTTACTTATGTTTCTGTTGAAACATTATATACTATACATAAGTATAAATACATTTAATGAACGAGAACTTAGATTAATGTACCATACACATACAAAACAGTATGTACAAGTACATTAAGGCCTTCGAAGCAGCACTATGTACGCGGGAAAGAAACAGATCTTTCTTTTTGTATAATTAGAGCCAGCTGCCATGACGATTGGCGGCTGGGAAATAGAAGCGTAGAAGAGAAGAACGCACTTAATTGAGTTGATAACAGCATAATTTTATATTGATGCTGTTTAATTTAAATTAAATATATTACGTCATTTATTAGTTTGCTGGAGCACACAAAAACCAAACATGTCGAATGCTTGATCACCCGCTCGTTTTGTTTTATATACAACATTAGACGCGACGATCATATACATATGTAGTATAGTATAGCATATGTCTAATGCAAATGTATTTACTTTTGAATATAATATTTAAACATGACTCATTCTTACATGAAATGGAATTCAACGCAAAGATTTCTTTAAATATTGAGGGTTTCTGTGGAAGCCATATTATACTTGTATGGTACTCCAATCCGCGTCAAAGTTCCAATACTTACATTTATATATACCCAAGATAAAATGATTAATTCATTCTACACTTGGATCTCAGAGGCGTTATGTAGTATGTGTAGTACAAGCTTGTTTTTTCCTCTTTCTCCTCACTCCCCCGCCAATACTGATTTTCCATAACATCCGTAATTCTTGGAATTTACTTAATGATTATGTGTCAGTATGCGAATTCTTATCATGACACTTCAAATCGAAAGGAAGTTATAGCTATAAATATAATTTCTACCCAGGCTCTGCCCGCAGCTGCTGATGTTTTTGCTGCTTTGGTTCAAGTCTGCACATCCCCATAGACACAGTTTTATTATTATAATTGCGTTATGTATTCTTAAGTTTTTAAATTTCTATATTTATTGTACACATAGATACAGAGTATTTCAAAATAGGGGCACCTGGCGAACCACTACAAACAGGAATAACTAACGGATAAATAGCATATACTTTTGGGCGTCTGTACATATAGAGATCGACTGTTATGGTCATAATGATCGGTTCATTAATACAGTTTTGTGTATTTCGTCACTTTTCGATTGAAGTTTGATTGTCGCAGTATACACGTACATAAATATATGTAGAAAACTGGAAAATGCTTAATAGATATTACGGGTAGTTGGCGTCATGCCGCTACATGGATTGCCGTCCATGGTTATAGTTCTTTATGTGAATTTTAAATAGATGCAATAGCCGAGGCGCAGCTCGTCATGGAAACCAAACGCTTACCACAATCAATTGGCCTACAATTTTCGCATTGTCACGCGCGACTGCGCTGTACGCACCTTTTTGTTGCTGTTTTTATAGGTTGGTTGTTTGGATGCCTAACATGTCCGTATTTGGGGAGCACTCTTTGTGTTTGCTTCCAATGTGTCGGTGTTGGAATGATTTTCATCTCGAAAGCTTTAGATGGGATTAGGATGATACAGGGCTTATAAGCCACAAGCTCGTGCGACACAACCACTCTAATAGCTGATGTTTCCTTCTTTCTGGTTTTCCCACCACTTAAGTGTCTCATTTGAAAAACTTTTCAGTGAAACCACTTACCACAGCAATTGTTCACCCGTTCGTTCTTGCGATGCAATACCTCTTACACTCGTACTTGTATGTAATATTGCATTTGGTGGAAATGGTTCCGAAAGAACTCTGTTTCCAAACGACGGCAACTCTCAATTACAAATGTACATTAACAAATTTACATTTCAACATTTTTACACATAATTAAAACAAGAGAGAATGCTGCACTCGCGTATAGCCGACCATGAAATACCCTGTGAAACCAGCTAGTGTAAAATTGTATCTGTAATTTCTTTGGGTTCTCCTATATGGGTGAAATGCTTAATAATAATACAGAACTACATACTTACAAATGTAATATTTGGTTTGTTTAGTTTTGGCATTGCGAACAGCATATACTTGTATCATATTTTGTAGCATATACTTGTAGAGTTAGATTTTTTGAACAGATAGACATGCTTAGATACGTGTAAGTACCCCCCATTCTACTGATCAAGAATATACACATACTATGTTATATGCGTAGTACACATAAAAATATCAAACCATTAAAGTCAATTAAAAAGAAGTAAAATTTGAATCTGCGTACACAAATATATACGCATGTACGACCACCTCATAACTTACATACTTGTATGTACATGCATACATCTGCATATATACAAATGTATGTACACATCAATAATTAGATACACAAAATATCGTAAATTCTTCAAAAATTAATCGCCATGAAGGTTAATAGAATTATAGTGACCTTTTTGTGTCAACAATCTAACTTGTACATTTCTACATTCGTACACTATATATACAAGTATATACATATACTATATGTATATACAAGTACATACATATACAATGGGAGTAGGTATGTACTGTGCATGCTTGAATCGGGGGTGCAGCTCTATAATTTTCGCGACGTTACGCGCGACTTGCTTGCTTAGAGTTAATGCGCAGAGCGCGCTTTTTGGTTGCTTTTATTTATAATTATTTTTTGGTTGGATGTTCAAATGCCTAACATGCTCGTATATGGGGGGCGCTCTTCTATGGTGCCGAACTCATGTGTTTTGTTTTATGACTTCCAATGTGTCGGCGTTAAGATTTTTTTCATCGCAATCCTCGTTGTTTCCAACGAGACTCTGAAGCGGTTTCAGCGCTCAGCCACCAGCAAATTAAATTGGGTTAATTGATAGACAATATTTCATTTTAGCGTTGAACTGTCGATTCGGTTCTAATGAGCTCATTACAGTAGGGCGTGACTGGCTCGACGCTGCGTGAAATACTACCAGATAAGAGATCAGGGCTTCGCTTTTAAAATTGAACTGAGATAAATACAAAAAGCAACTCTCATATCCAATTCATCTATTCTTTACCATTTGTATACTCTGTACATGAATGTGTATGCCATCGTTAGGCCTTACAAACCACAACGCAACCCAGCTGAATAGATTTAACATTTAGGAATTACAACAATTTTCAATATATTGAAAGTTATGCGACCGCTTTGAATGCCTTTTCATTTTTAAATTAAGACGAATGGTGCTTTAAAGCACGAAAGTTGACCACCTTACTTATTTTCAATAGTTATAAAGAACTTCAGTTAGGCGTGGCCAACCCCACAAGACCAAATTTGTCGACTTGTTATGATAAACTAATGCACATATTTCACTTTCTTTCAGGGAAGGACTTGATCATAATGACCATGAATAATATTAAATATATAATCAGGTAACAAAAATTTTTTTAATATAGTCGAACACTCTTTGATATCGAATTCACCGTTTTATAATTATTAAACAAGTTTTAAAAAATGTAAATATCTCGGTTAAGCTATATAATTTTAAAATAGCTTATTGATTCTTAACTCGTAGTAAGTCCAAAGGTGTTCTATACTTTAATCAACATCCTAAAATGCTCATTTCAGTATTTTTCTATATGCGACTGTTTTATTCTGTTTGGTACAAGCGGATTCATCAACTATTGAACGCATTAAGGTGAGTTAATATTCTTTGAAAAACTGTCAACGTTTTGCTACCTGATGAACGCTCGTTACAGAAACACCAAAAATGGTTAAAAGAACGAAATCAGTTGAAAATGGTACCGCCTTCAGTAAGAAATTACACTACGGCCTTTGAAAATTTCAGTGGAAAGCGTTCATATGAAAAAGCTAATTCAAAATGGAACAGCAATGAGGTGTACCCAGAGAACGAAGTCACACCTGAAAATAAATATGATGATCGTCAAATGAGAAAATCAACACCGATAATTATAAACGATTCTACAAGTATGAGCCCAAAAGTAAACGAATCTCGAATATTAAATGCAACAGAACATTTTATGGAGAACACACTGCCAATAACGACAAATATGCCAACAACAACAACAACACTTACAACAACAACACTAACAACAACCACTAAAAGGATCAAGTCAAGACTTCGACAATACCCGAAATGGAGCGAATGGGGTGATTGGAGTGAGTGCTCGCGAGCATGCGGAGGTGGCGTAATGCACCAAACACGGAAGTGCATAAGTCGGTGAGTAGATTTATCCAAACTTTAAAATAAGCAATTTGTAACAAAATAGATATATATGGACTGCTGTTTATGGGATTCCTGTAATGTGAGTCGAACAAATTTCGTTTTGATCTCGGATTTTTATATATGAAGATTCTGTGTTGAGCTTAATGTTTATTTTAAATATTTGCAGCAATATATTGACGGGAGTACGATATACGACCGATACTTGCGTGGGTCTTATCAAGCGTTATAAGCTCTGCAATGATCATCCTTGTTTAAAGGGATCTGAAGACATTAGAGCGATCCAATGTGCCATGTACAATGAATTCAATTTTCATGGAGTTCATTACAGCTGGATACCATATATAAAAGGTATTCAATTTAAGAGAGTCCGTATATTTTATTTATTGTTCGATTCCAGACGATGCCGAGTGTGAACTTAACTGTAGACCCGTGGGAACGAAGTTCTTTGCCACTCTTAATGAGACTGTACTTAATGGTACACCTTGCTCCCGTCCGGCTGAATATTATCGCTTGAATAATTCAAGCCGTGCTATTTGTGTCGACGGAATTTGTAAGGTAAACTATTTTTGCAAATATTTTAGGTATAACAAATAATATAAATCATACACAAATATAAATGTAACGTTAAATTTAATTGACTATGGATCGATAATTTACAAATATATCGACATTCGAACTGCATTCGTGAACTAAGAACTGAAGGAGCGATAAGCTACAGATAACGAGGAACTAAAGAACCAGTGAACTTTTATTGCGAAGTGAGAACTCAAAGACCGTTGGACTATGTATATCACTGGCATTGATAGTTATGAAGTCAACTAAAAATGTTTTGTTTTATTAAATGCGTATTTTATTTTCTGATTTGCTTGAAGGCCGTACACGCAAATGGAGCCATTAATGGTTTTTATGCAAACAGCAAGGCGGTAAGCTGTGGAGGGCTTTTATGTCGGCCAGTAGCGGGAATCTTCACACGTGACCCCTTGCCAGTGGATACTTATACTCATGTAGCAACCATACCCGCCGGTGCCTCAAATATCTCCATTACCGAATTAAAGAACAGCGAAAATTTACTGGGTACGTAGCAGATATCTTTGTGAGGAAATAGTGTGATAACCGCGAGATTGCAGCTTTGCGTGTGCCGGAGCTGGAGTACGTATTCAATGGTGAGAATATGGTGTCCGAAAGCGCCTCGTATGAGGTAGCAGGGGCTACTTTCGATTATCACAGAATCGATGGAGTCGAACAAGGCGAAGGAGTTACGGAATGGATTACTGCCATTGGTCCAATAACGGCCCAATTGGACCTCTTGGTAATATTGTTTTAAAATTCGATAAGCATTCATAATAAGTGCCAACATTTTTTTTACAGGTGTATACTAAAACAGCCAACCCAGGTATCAAATATGAGTACTTGTTGCCTATAATATCTGAGTCTGAGGAGAATGAGTTGCCATTAGAGTATAGCGGTGGCGTTTTAAAGGAGGGCTTACTGGGCAGTTCGCGTCCTGGGCGCAGACGGAAGTATAATTGGAAGGTAATTGGTTTCAGTGGTTGCACAAAGTCTTGCGGAGGTGGTACTCAATCACCAATTCTTCGATGTGGTCGTGAAAACCCCGTTCGTTACTACTCTCAGCGTCGCTGTTTGCACTTGGAGAAGCCGGTTCTTAATGAAAACCTTCTGCGTTGCAACACCCAACCGTGTCCGGCCTACTGGCGTCCGAATGAATGGGGCCCCTGCCGCTGTCACCACGGACAGGGGTTCCGCAATCGTGAACTCAGTTGCGTACAGGAGCTTGCATCGAATATTGTTATACACGTGGATCGCTCCGCCTGCTTAGAGACGCAGCCGCCATCCCAAAAGGAATGCGAGTGTCCAAAGAACCAAAGACACAACCACTTACATAACCGCTCAGATTTCAAAAATGTCACTCACAGTCAGTACAATGCCCACAAAAAGACCAGGACGTCCGCTTGGCTTATGTCGAACTGGAATAACTACTGTTCAGCACAGTGCGGCACGGGTGTGGAATACCGTACGATTTTCTGCGATCGTTCAAAACTCAGCTCAGAACGTTGTAATCAACGTGACGCTCCAGATATCAAAAGACCGTGCCAAACAGAGCGCTCGTGTGATTTCGGAGACTGGTTTACTGGCCCTTGGACCCCTTGCAATGGAAACTGCTTCAATTTGACGAGCAGTAGAATGGTGATCTGCATTAAGAATCAGCTTATAACTGACGAGGAAGAATGTTTGCCGGACGTAAAGCCGCAGTCATTTAAAATGTGCTCCCATGATGAGGTTGAATACTGTGCACCACGCTGGCACTATTCCGCGTGGTCAGAAGTAAGTAAAAAAAATAAAACAATATCCACAATGACAATTTTAATTATAGTTATAACTATTTGCTTCAAATGATATTCTGATAAGCAAATTGTTTTTAATGTATCAATTCTGACAGCTTTATGATCCTATCTAATTAGTAACTTTTTTAACTGTATTTTTATACAAATACTCTTTTGTGTTTGTGTTGACCGCTTTCCCCATTGGTTGTTTGAAGCAGTCAACGCTTTTCTTCAACGCTTTATTCTTTAGCCGCCACCTATCAATCACTTTTTTTGATTAAAACGATAGAATTCCGAACACAATATAAATATTTCAACGCTGTTCATCATACGCATTTTTTTCTTAATTTTTTTTCTTGTTTTTTATTAATTATACTTTAAAATGATTTTCCTCTGTAAACCTTTAGTGCTCAAAATCATGCGATGGTGGGACACAGCGGCGAGCGGTGAAATGTCTGTCCTATGATGAGAGGCAGAATGCATTGCAAGAGTCGAGCGAATGCCAGTACGCAGTTCGCGAGCCCATCTTTCGTAATTGTAATACCCAAAAATGTGAAGGTAAGTCGGAAAATAGGCTCGTATTCAAAAGAAGTTTGATGAATACTCAATGGTTGTAATATTATTTATAGAGAACAAGAACGAACAGCTCCATAATGATACATCGATTGCCTGCATAGATCGATTCGCGAACTGCCAATGGGCTCTGCAGGCGAAGCTGTGCAACCATAATTACTATCGGACTAATTGCTGCTACTCCTGCACGCACACGCTTCCATTAACGACTTTTAAATAAATGTAAACCAGCTGTAGCCAATTTGGTATTTAAAACCTATAAATAACGATTTAAAATAAAAAATACTTCCTAAGCATAAGATCCAAAAGTATATTTTCAGTTCGACTTTGATTGAAATCAGTGGCTACGTTTCTAACAACTTAGCTGTTCCTATTACTTCCAAAAATAAGGAAACAATTGAGCTGCTACCTCCTGAATATTACTCGTTTCAGTCTCTGTTTCAAATTTTCCATAAATCAAATCTTACTAAAAACTTAAAAACTATCTTTATCAGTAGACTCCTAAAAGTATGCAATGGTTTCATCATCATGAAAAGTGTGAACTGCTTTGTTATAAGTACAGTATCCGTCATACTTTGGTGGCAAGTTTGCTATAAAATGTAATATTTTGATTACTTCTCTCCAATACCTACATCCTACATTTCCATCATCATGATTTTGAATATTATATAGTTTACCACAGAAAATCGAGCTATTCTAGATGATATTTTAAATATAATTGAAGTAATGGTCTTCTTGTGTGTATGTATCTTTACATCGGCATGACGCGTCTGGAACGGAGATTGGTCATTTTTATATAACGCGTGACTCTATTACGCAACAAAAGTGACATATTATATAGGCCATCGCCCAGTTTATTATATACACGAAGTCCTCTTTAAAAAGCACTCGGTCACGAAACCGAAACCCTCATAACATTTTCCAACTTTATTGAAACATCCAACTACCTCGTCCGTAGTCCAACCAAGAAAAGGCTTTTTCGTTACTTCGCCTGTTAGGACAACATTAAATGACCACTTCCCCGCCGCAACTATTGTGGAGGTGTGCGTGCTTATGGGAGTGAAAGTTGACGCACGCCAAAGAAAGTGATTAAATCAGCACGATAGGTTGTAGGTGTGTGCACTCAAATGTTACACTTTTACTCTTTCGAAAGGAATGCTACGAATTTGTGAAGGAGTTTGGCATTCTTGCCATGTGATTGCCATTGGTTGCACTCATTTCTTTGAAGCCCTGTTCAGGAACTAATACCTGTACATAGAAGAGGCAGAAGAAGGCAAAACATCCTAAATATCTAGAGAAGTTAAATGGGAACTGGAATAAATTGATATCACTATATCCAGTCATTTGTTTCTAACAGTCAAAAATATATATCGTGCGGCTTAGATGTTGTATACGTTCGGGGATATTGAGAAGTTTGTCATTGGGGCTATGGGACCACCATATACACACATAGCTGCCAGAGACTTTGCAAGGATATATGAGCTTCGGCGCTCGGAAACCAACGAATAGAGCGTGTGCGGCTTCAGCTTTTGAGTTGCTTCAGTGTATGAATATAAGTCGGTAGGAGTGCTATATTCAATAGATTATAGTCGGACGAAGGCAAAAATGACGACATCGTGCCTTTCTCATTCTTATAGAATGGCACGCTAAAACAAGTTTGGCCTTAATTTAGTAGCTGGCTGCATGAACATGGACATAAACAATATTATGTGGGGACGCTCAGCTATTTAGCAGTCTATGTGTATGTGGTGGTGGCAAATTATATGAATGTAGTATCACAATATATGCAATTCCCTTTCAGTTTCAAATATCATTGTTCTGGCAGGAAAAATGTTTATAATGTTGCTATTTTATATTATACATTTGAACTATAGCTCAAAAAATTGTATTCGAAATATAAAAAAAAAAAATGAATTACGAGTTCATGTATGTATGTTTAAACATGCTTATATGTATATATTTCTTATTTAATCAAATATAATTTCAATTGTCTTCTATTTGGAGGTGTGCCAAAATATTTGTTCGTGTCTTTTTTATGACTATATACTATATGTGCGTACGTATATATATATATGTATATTTTAAATAAAAAAGGAATAAAGCATTCTCAGACGGCTTATAGAATATTTTCTAACATTTGTTGTTCCATCAGTAACCAGTTGATGGTTTATATTTTTGATCATTTTATTGGGTAAGCTAAAGAACTTCTCATAAGCGTTTGATGTTCTTTATATATATGTGAAAAGCATAGGAACAGTTCTTGAGAATTACATAAAACTTTAGGGCCAGATATGATAGTAATATTCAGAGCCGTTTTTATATTCAAATTATCTAATTGATTAATATAGACTCTTAAAAACGTAATTTTTAATATTCACAATATTAATATTATTATTAGTAGCGTTCATCATACAAACCCTGTGGAGTGCGAGACTTTATTTACTTTATTGATTTGCACCTTAAAAATCCCCCATTGTTTTACCTTCCTCAGATCTCTATAAACAATATCGTTTAACGGAATAATGCTAAAACACATGTGTACATTATTTTCGTATAACAGAAACTTAACAGCAGCGTGTTTGCTGGCGATAATGAGTTTGAATCGAATAACGGGTTCGAGTTCAAACATGTTGTATGTGCAGCCGAAAAATTCAGGTGGTGCATAGTGTAAAAACAGTTTGTTATTTGTTTCCAGCCTGGTCGGTCGTCGCGTCACCGCTTTCTTCAGAAAAGCTTCACCCGAAACCAAAAGTATTCAAAACGCGTGCTTTTGTTAACACCTTTTGTAAGCTAAGAACATGAATGAAAAAGTTTCGTAATAATAAATAAAATAATATTGTACATATGAACAATATTCTGCATAATTTAAACTGGACAACTGCCGTTTTGTTACATAAACCTAGTTTATGTTATCCAACACGCGTAAATACCACCACAAGAAAACTATTCAAACTCTTTTCATGTGGTCAGTTTTGCTTACAAAATATTCAGGATATGTAGTATAACCACCGACTCTCAGACACATGTGAAAAAAGTGAATTGTTCATTGTTATTCTAAAAGAGCTTTGGCTCTTTTCCAGCCTTGAATAGCAAAATAAAGAGCATTGGCATATATGTATGTATGTATCTCTAGTCGGGAAAAAAACAATCCATGAAGAATGTCCAACTTTAAGTTTGGCGTGTAGTGTGTGTGTGTGCCTGCAGTAGTTTTTAACCGACGCACGCAGCTTCAATAACAGCTGTTTGCTGCCTGTTGTATGAAAAGAAAGCAAAGTGTTGAAAGAAGAAGAGTAAACAGTGTGATGTTGTTGACGATTGCATCCTTGCAAAAGCTGATCGGTATACCAAAATAACTATGTTTATTAAGAATAGTTATTCGAGTCCTTTTGGTTGATGGTTAAAATTAGTAGCCCGAACGGAATAACTCCTGTATTTTTGTAAACCTCTACAGCTTCGAAATGTTCGAGTCTGGCCGATTATCTTTAATATTTTAAGCTGCAGTTGCTTGTTTTTCAAATATAATAACTAAGTTCCTGCTCTTATACTAGCATAAATGGTGCTTAACTAATTAATTGTTAATTTAAAAACTTTTTTTTTTCGTCCTGTTTCCAAGATATTGGAACATTGAAACTTTAATAGCGTAAGCTCCAAGGTTGGGCAAGCTTCATACCCTGCACCCAAATGGTGAACTATATCGATGCTCTCGCTTGAAAGATCTAGAAGGAGTGCTCATAAATCCGTTAGTGGATGCAGTAGCACAAAATTCTATATTACCTGCCCCCATTTGGTGCAACATATTTGAATAGAGTCACGAAACAAACATAAGTTTTGTTAATTGTAAATGGATGGATGGATGGTTCAATCAATATGAATGAAAACAGTAAAGAATATTGTGATAAGGGGCCCGCTATTGCTAGATCATGAGGGCATTCTTTCTATCAGTGTATGTACTTGTACGAGTATGTGTACGTATTTCTGTAAATACTATCTAAACTAAATTCTATGAGAATATTTACAGACTCGTACTATATACATATGCATGCATGTATGTGTGTATCCGTTTGTTTATACATAGGTGTTGTTCGAGAAAATGGCGCCCGTCTTACGGCGACATTGGTGGGGATAGTGAAATACTTGTTAGTATACTAACTACGAAGTGGTCCATTTTTGACATATTATCCCACGACTTCTTCTTGAATAGATTATGTACAACTATATGAGAGTGTGTGTGTTCGCGACTCTGCTTGTGTGCGTGCGTGTGCCTATCCGTGTGTGGCTACGCATGGCTCTGTACCAAAAATATGCCCCATACAGCGTAAGAGTCCATTTATCGTACACAAATAGCTTTTGTTCTGAAAATTTAAATTCTTTGTACAATTTTCTTGGCAAGAGCTCGATGTAAAATATGAATATGCAAAGTAATTTCGCTAGTCTAACAACATATCTGATGCCCTTGCGCTCATCAACGTCGCTAGTCCGACTAGTCGGCTAGTCCGTCGCTAGTTCGTCGCCCGACTCATCACCACTCCCGAAAATTTTGATGTTCTGAAACTGCTGCAAGCAATTGTGTAAGCACGGCCACTGCCTCTGTTACTTTTTATTTTTAAACAGGAACCGTTCCCACATTACGCAAAGGCGGCACAAATTTATCATCAATTCCACGAAGCTAGTCTACAATACAGTTTTTGTTCTTAATACTTATTTATGGTCGGTCGATCTACAAGTATGTTCACTCCGTGTAGGCTCTGCACCGCGATTGTTATTATTTTTATTTCGTTACTTTGAAATTCAATGTTTTGTTATTGGAACACTAGCTGCGACAAAATAAACTCCACTGACATCTCATAATAAAAGATGATTGCTTTTATCTTCATTTCTACGTACTAGTAGAAGCACTATATATATTCCGGCCGCAAAGTGTAGTCCCAGATACTTATACATATACTGTGTCCATAGTACATCCAGTTTTAACATGTCCATAGGATCGAATGCTTTGATGTTTAAGAAAATACGTCACTGAGAGTATGTTTGTGAATCTATTTTCAAAAAAGAATTCCGAACGCCAGAGACACGGGTGCTCGGCTCTTGGTATATTAAAATAATTTGTTATTTTCTGAAGGGGTGTAAATGTTACATAGATTTAATGATCTGCGCCGAAACTACTTTTAAATTGGATAGTCAATTCCATTTAGTTTCATTTAATTTTAATAATTTTGTACGCTGTGCTTCTGGTTCTGATTCTGATTCTGAATCCGAATGATGTTTTGGTGTAGAAAAGAAATTCACTTTTTTCAAAAACTGTTGTTATGCCACAAATTTGTTGGCAATATATCAATAAGAATTAAACGTATACCAATTTATATGAACAAAAGAGAGGAATAGTATAAGAAAACGAAGACATGAAAAAGATAAAATTTTGAAAATTTTGTTGGCCAACTCTTGAAAACGTGCGGGCCTAGTAATACATCAGACTTATTTTAGCAGAAAGCCCCTGAAAATAAACAAATCTATTCCCAAATACAGTTGCCACGAGTGGCGACCACGACCAGGCGAGATAGGAAGCGGGCGGTGCGTTTATTTCTATTATCGCAACATGGCATATTGTATTTGGCCGCGTCCATTATGCGGCAAACGGCTGATGGCTGACGGCTAACGACGCCTCGTCTGAGACATCCGACAGACACATCATTTGTGTGTCATGAATGATTTCGGAAACTAAATTTGTTTCAACGTGAAATTCATGCGATTAGAACGGACACTACCTTACCACTGTAGGATGAAAACACTGCTCCAACTCCAACTCTTCTGGCCATGGCTATCAGCTTTCATGTACATTTCAAATTCATTGCACCACATTTTAGGGCTTGCCGGCCCGGTAGCTAGATAGCTGCCCAACAATCTGTTAGATGGCTAGATGGCCAATAAAAAGTAGTATGCCGTTCGCGAGTAGGCCAGATGGGGGCCGCTAAGGTGATTTTTGACAGTATGTCGATAATTAAACAATGAACTCACCCAAATATAAACACACCCAGCCGAAGTGAACATTTGTATGTACTTGTATGTATGTATGTATTCGTGTTTTGCGTCTGTAAACCGATGGCAGCAAAGCTCAAATCGACTCACCAAGAGCTAAACCAAACAATCACACAATCGCACAGCGCAGTCTAAGTTTATTTAATTCTAAACTTTTTCAGCACTTCGAAGGTAAATAAGTAGCTGCCTCTGCATACCGACTATATACTCGTACTCGCAATTGAAATCAGATGTTTTGACCAGCAACATAACTAAATTTATGCATTTTTCCCCCGGCCATATTGAAAAATAAACAAACAGGTTGGAAAAAATATAACATTTACCATTTGAAGATCACAAATATACATTTATTGCTTTTTTCCTCAGATTTCGTAAGTGTTGTGTGCATTAATTGCTCGGCAAAAAGCGGGCTCGTGTGTGCGATTTAACAAATAAATTAAATGTTTACCACTCGATTGTTGGCGTAGCTATAATATTTGATTAATGATAAGCTCGTAAACTTATCATCTCAGTAGTCCCTCGAAATCTTTGGCAAAGCCGACATGCACAATTCATCGTGCGCCTGGTACTTTCCGTGGCCTTTGGCTGGTCAGCAGCAGAAGGTAATGGCTCTGCAGACACCAGTCTCAGACAAAATTTCTGGCGTCTACCCAGGCTCGGCGCTTAACCCACTGGGCGCTCTCCAGGTGCAGTCCAATCTGCATATCCGACCACATCATCAGCATTCCCAGCAGCAGCCATCGGTGATTCCCCACCAGCGCCCACACACCCCTACACCCACACCCACACCCTCGCCTTCCGTAGCCTACAACTTTACGCCTTCACTTCTAAACACACACGCACAACTGCAGGAATCGGCGACAAGATACGCAGTGGCCGCACAGGCAACTCAAGGCTCGCTTCAAGGATATGCCCGCACACATATGCTGCATCCCACCATGCTGTCGCCGCTGTCCTTAGCTTCCTGCATGGCGGCAGCTGGAACAACATCCTTCGGCGGGGTGCTGCCCCAACAGCCGACCTATGGAGAGCCGCCTTTAAAGTGTATATCGGTATATCCTCAGGAGGCACAGCACCCGCAGGTTGCCACATCGATGAACATTAATTTAGGAATACTGGCACTGGGAAACTATGGAGCCAAAACAAATCCAAGCACTGCAGCCTTGCCCAGCAATAGGACTGTGAGTACTGCCACCAACAGACCCATTTACAATTACAAGTTTTTAAAATTAGCGAGGCATGTGCCTCTCTAATTCTAATTCAAATACTGTTGAACAGAACTACCCGTATGAAGTTGATAAATTCTTCACACATATCATAGAAGTACACAATACTTGTATTGACCCAGTTTTTAGTCTGTCTGTTAACCTAGATGGTACGAAATTTGCACTTGATTTCAAAAGAAGTTTTCGATGAGCTCTAGAGTTAAATTTTGTATACATGTAATCAAATTTCAAGGCCTTAATCATTGGGACTAGCAATCTAAAATCGCGTGGAATAATTTTACAATTGCAAGAGCAGCAGACAATAAATTTCGATTTTAATTTTTACAGAGAAGTAAGTAATGTCAAATTAGGGCACCTAATATTTCGGAACAATAAGGGGACATTTGACAGCAGAGCTTAGGATCTGCGAATGATATTTGAAAACAAAGCGTTTGTGTCTACAGGTGTTAGGCTTCAAATTGATGACAAGTGAGACCAGCTATGGAAAATGTTGGTCATCTGGTCGAGTGAGGTTGGTGAGGTTGGTGAGAGGGTGAGAGGTTCGGTCAATGCTTTAACGAAATTCTTATTTTTAATCAAACCAACACGCAAGCAAATACAAATTAAAAACGGCAATAACCACGAATAAAAATTGGCCAAACGGAACAAGAACACATACAATCATAACAGGTGATGCAACCGCAACAACAAACGCAACCGCAACCGCAATAACATTTGCAACCACAACATCATACAGAAGAACAGCAACAGTGGCAACCACGACAGTTATGTTAAAAACGATCACCAACAAGCAAGCCAGAACTTATATCAAACACCGCTAATTAGTCGCAGGCGAGGCAAGTGGCCATCGAAATATGGCAGCTGATTAAATTATAATTTATTCGACCGCAAGCAGTACACCTTGATTCACTTAAAGTGTTCTTTAAAAATAATAGTTTAGTCCTCATCATTGTGCAAGGTAACATGACTTGGGGTTATTGTTCGAAATTAGATTCTCGATCCTGAGTCTTCACTTACTATATGCTTTACATAGATAATGTGGGCGATTACAAAATGTGGAAATCCTAAATAACAGTTTCTGACTGATCCCATAATTATGAGGGGCCCTAGACTAAGTCGCTTATCTACTCTTTTCTTTATAATGTATGCGTTTGGTCATAGAATACACTATGTTTATTTTTCCAACGAATACACATTCAAAGGCACTATTCGTATATGGGATAAATATAATACATATATATTCATATATATATTTATTTTCCTTCTGCCAAGTACCTAGAAACTTATATGTTGTTTCCTTGTTCCTTGTTTTTCTTTGTTAAAAAAGATTATTTCTCCAAATGATTTTGGAAAAAAAACACTGAGGGTACCAGAGAAGCGGAAAACTGAAGACTCTGACCAAATAAAGGATTTGAAAAAGGTACCAACAACTGAGCACGAAATATATAAAATGTAGACGCTTACAGCTCCGGATACATATTTCTTATTTCAGGCTAAACTAGAGACAAAGGCTTTGAAAGCAAAAAGGCCTGGTTTTACGGACGAAAGATATCAAGAAACATCCTATTACATTGAGAACGGTAAGTTTCCAAAATAAACGAGGCTTACAATGCCAAAATGTTGCTTCTATAATTCCCCTAGGACTTCGGAAAGTCTACCCCTATTACTTTACGTTCACAACGTTCACTAAAGGGCGCTGGGTTGGTGAAAAGATCTTAGACATATTTGCTAGAGAATTCCGAGCCCATCCAGCAGAGGAGTACGAGCGTTGTATTCAAACAGGAACACTGACAGTAAATTTCGAGAAAGTGCCCGTGGACTACCGCCTAAAACACAATGACTTGTTGGCAAATATTGTTCACAGGTAATCAATCAGTAAAATGTATCTTCTATATTTTGGAAAGTATTATCGATCTAAGCAAACGGGAGCATTTTCCCGAGACGGAATTATGCTTGAATAACTATTTGTATCGTATTTACTTTTCAAAAGGATGGTATAATGAATTTTGATATATCTGCGACTAACAGTTTCAAATGTTATATAAATCAATAAGAAGTCAGTAAATTACTTTTAGTTTTAAAAATAACTTTTCGAATTGGAATAGATAGACAGAAAACGGATGAGTACCGATTATTAGCGATAACTTAACTTTCCTTTTCCGAACTGCTTTGGAAAATGTTCTTAGAAGATATTATTTTTTGATGCCTGCTTTAAAGCCTTTTTAAATAATTTATTTCGTAAAAATTCTTACAGACATGAAGTACCAGTATCCTGTCAGCCAATCACGATTGTCCATATAGATGAGGACATTGTGGTTGTAAATAAACCAGCTTCGATACCTGTAAGTGGCATTGTTGACAGCCATATTTTATATGTTAGAGTTACCCCCAATCTCCCATCAAATTAGCTATACTGGCAACAACAAAATTGATTGTTTTTTCTTTTACAGGTACATCCTTGCGGTCGCTACCGGCACAATACAGTTGTGTTCATTCTCGCTAAAGAATTGAACTTGAAGAATCTACGCACAATTCACCGCCTGGATCGGTTAACATCGGGTCTATTGTTGTTCGGTCGCACTCCGAAAAAGGCGCGACAAATGGAACAACAGATACGTAACAGACAGGTGGAAAAGCAATACGTGTGCCGAGTGGATGGTATATTTCCAGAGTAAGCTGCTCCGCTTTGTAATGTTAAGAGAAACTCTTCGTAATGGATCCATTTATATTTTAGTGGGGTCGTTGACTGCAACGAACCAATTCAAGTGGTCAGTTACAAAATCGGGGTTTGTAAAGTTTCTCCGAGAGGAAAGGAGTGCACTACAACATTTCAAAAGCTTTCACAAAACGACAATAGCAGCGTTGTCCTCTGCAAGCCCCTCACCGGCCGCATGCATCAGATACGGGTACATTTGCAATATTTGGGTAAGCTATACTTAAGATTATTCTACAACTGACTTACATATAAGTATTTTTCGGTAGGCTACCCCATTGTGAACGATCCTTTATATAATCACGAAGTTTTCGGACCGCTAAAAGGCCGTGGAGGCGATATTGGCGGCAAGTCAGATGATGAACTCATTAGAGATCTCATTTGTATACACAATGCTGAAAATTGGCTGGGAATTGATAGTGACTCAGACATATCATTGTTTAAAACTACCAAAGATGAAGCGGACCGAGAAAGCCTCAGTACCGATCAAATTTCTGGTAAGCTGCCTGCCTTTGCTAAAACTGGGAAACTATTGATTTCACTTGTCGAAAAAATCGAAATTTTTTGTAACAAGGAATGTGCTTGCCCATTCCTTAGTTTTGTTAAATCAGGTCTACTGTTTGAGTAGAAACATAAATCTTGTAGTTATTTACGAATCGCTCAAAAGTAAATTAATAAGTAGCGTCAATTTTTTCTAAAAGAGCTGTGTTTCTAAATTGGGTTCATCCTTCTTGTAACAAAGTCTTGTCGAAGAGTATTACACATGTATGTATGTATGTATGTGTATAAATATAAATGTTGTTATTAAAGGAATTCACCACAATGATGCTCATATTGGTATTGGTACGCATTCTCCAGAAAGCACTCCTCTGAGCGTAGAAAGTCCTCTTTCTGAAAAGGAAAGTTGGACTCAGAAAGAAAGCACAGAAATCACCGAGAGGATGTGTAATGCAGCTCCTCTGCTGCTCACTCAGGAAAGCACAGAAGATCCAGTAGACATAATGTTTAAAGCGGATAAAATGACAGACGATAAGCACTGCTATGAGTGCAAAGTGCACTACCGGGACCCAAAGCCAAAGGACCTTGTTATGTACTTACATGCATGGAAGTATAAGGTATAATTTGAACAAGTTAAAGTACCAAGGCTTGAATTTTAATTATACATTTTTGAATTACAGGGCCCAGACTGGGAATATGAAACCGAGCTTCCAAACTGGGCTCGCCCGGAGTGGGACGAATCCGAATCGACTTGAGCGGAACGTGTTCAAATAATAGCTGCTTGCCGTAACTTTATTTATCATAGACAAAATTTGATATTTATTCATTAAGTTATTAAGTTGTAGAAATATTAATAAAAATGTATTTCTCTATATAAAACTGGACATAAATTTCGATAGTTGTCCTTTGTGTGCATAGTTTGCATTTCAATTATATTTATAAGGGGTTTCTGTTGTAAAAATAAGGATGAAAATGTGCTATTCTATACATTTTTGATGATTGACCTTTGCCTACATTTTTTTTATTAGTTTCTAGTAAAACCCCCATATGGTGAAAATGGTGGAGTTGAGTAAGCACATTGATAGAGCTACCACGGTGAATAGAATGACAATTATATTTGGAAAAAATCCTACCCAAAATAGTATTTTCTAAATCGAAAGAGTGCTTTGTTTTGATTGATGAACATCTTTGAAATATAATCAGCAAGCAATCTAAAAGATGCCAAAATGACTAAAATCACAAAAAGTAGCGGACCATGACCCGGACTGTGATTTTGTACCTGTTTTTTTAAATATTAATTATCCGATACAAATCACTGTTGCAAGTGTTATCGCTCATCTCTACAGCTCCATTGTTCAGTAAATATTTGAGATTTTTTATTATATAGCAATAATCCCGTTTCGCAGTAATGTTGAGACTTGCTCGTGTAAATATACAAAAATTGGATGCATTGCATTCCAGGTAAATCACATTTAGAATAAATTTACGCAGATGTAATAATACATAATGTTGATGCGATACAGAATCACATACATATAACATATGGATGTAGTATAATTATGTATATATATGCTCAATGCTTAAATATTTTAATTAGTTAATATGTATGTATTACCTATTGCAAACGCCAGGGACTCATGAATTGTCGTCAATAATGTAATGCCAAGATCAACTGCACACATGTACATACATACATAGCTGTGCATGTAAAAATAATCTTGTGTACGTCACAGACTGCACGGTAATGGGTCAAAGATCAACCGTCACAAATCAAACTCACAGTTTTTGAGATGAAATTAAATACATACATATATATTTATACCCTTGATATATACATACATGATGCGCATTTAGGAACGAATGGGAAACTAGAAGTCATAAATATAAAATACCCGAATGTCTTCAATGGACTCCAACTTTCCCCAACATATTCAATTATTTTTCCAACCAAATACTCTTTTGTATTCAAATAGATGCTTTGCGGCAGTTGCTTCTAAGAAAGCGCATGAAAAGGATATTGCGCAAGGACCGGCTAGACAAAATGAATCATTTATGGCGAACATTTTCCGTGGATCTCTAGTCCCAACTCAGGTCTTTCCTTATCCCGACGTCTTAACAAGTGAACAAAAAGAACTAACTGCCAGTCTAATAGATCCTTTTGAACGCTTTTTTGCGGTAAGTTCCATTTTCTTTTAATTAAAATTATAGCAAAGGTAACCATATTACAAATGTTATTATATAAATTACATGGTAATATATACTTTCAGGAAGTTAATAATGCTGCGCGTAATGATGAAAATTCAAAAATCGACGATAATACTCTAACAGCACTGTGGGAGCTCGGCGCTTTTGGAATTCAAGTGCCATCCGATTTCGGCGGCTTGGGTCTCAATAATACCCAATATGGGCGGCTTTGCGAAATAGTTGGAGCCAACGATTTAGGACTTGGGATAACGATTGGAGCACATCAAAGCATTGGCTTTAAAGGTATCTTGTTATTCGGAACACCTGAACAAAAAGAGAAATATCTGCCAAAAGTAGCATCAGAGAAAGTGTACGCAGCTTTCGCACTAACTGAACCGAGTTCAGGCTCAGATGCTGCCTCTATTAAATGCCGGGCAGTTAAAAGTGCTGATGGCAAACATTACGTACTTAATGGCTCCAAAATTTGGATATCGAACGGCGGAATGGCTGAGATAATGACAGTTTTTGCACAAACTGAACAAACCGATAAAAAGACCGGCGAAAAGAAGGATAAGGTAAGCCAAATGCAAAGTCCCAAAGGTGTTTAGGTGCTTATATTTATGTATCTGACTAAAGGTGACTGCTTTTATTGTTGAGCGCTCCTTTGGAGGTGTTACAAGTGGCCCTCCAGAAAAGAAAATGGGAATCAAAGCATCTAATACTGCAGAGGTTTACTTCGAGGACGTGAAAATTCCAATCGAAAATATTCTTGGTGAAGAAGGAGAAGGCTTCAAGGTTGCAATGAATATCTTAAATAATGGCCGCTTTGGAATGGGCGCAACCTTGGCTGGCACTATGAAAGAATGCATAAAAAAGGCCACTGAGCACGCAAATAATCGCGTTCAGTTTGGACAGAAGATAAAAAATTATGGCGCCATTCAGGAGAAATTGGCGCAAATGAATATTCTTCAATACGCTACAGAGTCAATGGCATTCGCCATATCCCAGAATATGGACTCAGGCAGCCAGGATTATCATTTAGAAGCTGCGATATCAAAGGTCTATGCATCGGAGTGTGCGTGGTATGTTTGTGACGAAGCCATTCAAATTCTTGGTGGCATGGGATTTATGAAAGAAACCGGATTAGAACGAGTTCTAAGAGATCTGCGAATTTTCAGAATTTTTGAAGGCACGAATGATATTCTGCGTTTGTTTGTGGCATTGACTGGAATACAATACGCAGGATCCCATTTAAAAGAAGTGCAGCGTGCACTTAAAAAGCCGACCGCTAATTTGGGTTTTATATTCAAGGAGGCTTCAAAGCGGGCTGCTTCCACCGTTGGTCTTGGTGGCACCGATCTAAGTCCATATGTAATTGATGAACTGCAGCCCTATGCCAAAAAGACGGCAGCCTGCATAGATCTTTTTGGGCAGACCGTAGAGGAACTGTTGTTAAAATACAACAAAAACATTGTTCACCAGCAGTTTACATTAAGCAAGTTGGCTAATGCTGCAATAGACATTTATGCTATGATAGTCACCCAATCTAGAGCGAGCAGAGCGACTAGGCTGAACCTTCCCACAGCTAACCATGAACTTAGTTTGACGAAAGCTTTAACACTACAGGTACGCACAAGCTAGAAATATTCACGTGCAATTTCAAATACCAGTAATTAATGGTCTAATATTCATTTATTGCAGGCATCAGATCGTGCTTTAATGAATTTGCGGAACGCTACCTCCAGCTATCACCAAGAACTTAACAAGGAGATGTCGTTGATAGCCCAAAGCGTCTGTGAAAATTCTGGTGTGCATACATCTGGCGTAATTGATTTAAATTGAAATTGAATGCCGATGAAAAAACAGTGCCTTAAGTTCTTTTAAATCAGATACAAATAAAGGCTCGTTCTTCCAACCAATCCCATATTTTGTATATTAGTATGTTTGTTGCTTTAGCGAATTTTTTATATTAAACATGTAAACTGAAATAAACGTATACTTATTAAATTTTAAAACATTTGGAAATATTGGAAACATTTTGGGAACATTATTTCTATTGGAATAGGTGGAGCTTCTTTAGAAGCGGAGTGGTGCTGCAGATTTGATTATATTTGTCAATGCACGTTTACGAACTTCTGGCGGCCATTAAACCTCTTTGCTCACATTCCAAATTCAACCAATAGAGGGCAGTCGCTGTTTGGAAATGCTCCGTTATGGGCAAACAGCCATTTGCCTTACAGTTTTTTTTGCTTTCATTCATAATTTCAGTCTTGGCTTGTTTTCTTGCTGCTCATTTATGTGAGCCTGTGGTTGTCATGATATTGGTGTGCACAAAAAACAAACACAACAGTATGCCTGATCTACTAAAACCAGAAAATACTATCGAATTTTAAAATCATTACCTGCCAGGGTAACATAACAAAGCAAAGGCAAATCAACTGTGGACGGTTGCTTGTTTAGTTTAAACACACAAAATAAATATGACCACTAGGAGAACCCCAAGTTTGCTTGCATTTCAGATTATGCCGTTAAGATCATGGAGCCTTTTCATGTTACGCCTGATTTTTGCTTAAATTCAGAATTTGAATCTCGCCAGCTTGCTTACTTTTTGATTTGGACTAGCAGGGTATACGAATGACGCTGCGAATCATCATGGATGGTTGGGGATTATTTTTTTTTTCAATTGTGCTTATGATAAAATGAGGTTACAAATTTGGCTTCAGTTTCACGAAACAAAATGTAGTTTTAGTATCTCTAATCATTTAATCTCTGCTATACGAGTAATGCTTCATAAAGCATAAATAAAGAGCAAAGGCTATTAAACAATTAGATGCAGGTTTATGTTGTTTAACAATGCTTCATAAAGCGCAAAGGTTATTAAACAATTAAGTGCGGATTTATATTGTTTAACAACATGTAAGCAACCAAAACTACAAAACAATTGGGTTCTTCAGCTTTACTCAAAACACCGCAAAACACTCTTATTGGAATGTCAAGTGTGCGGAGAGTCATTGATTCTCTGGATTACAAGAATTCATATACATAAATGAATTATTTTTAATATTCTCTATTAACTTTCTAGCATTGACTGGGCTTATAACAAAATAATTGCTATCCCTTTTGATAGAAATTATATCGCCATACTTACCGTTAATCAGCTTTTTATATAGTAGATTATATACACACATTTAAGAAAATTCTGAATGTTCACTGCTGACATGCAGTGGAAATATGGCATTCTTAAATATCAATTTATTCATTTTGTAAAGTAATAATATGTAATAATACATATCATAGAATTAAATAGAATAGAATTAAATTACAGGAAGTAGTTAATGGTACAAAAAAGGGTATTAATCATTATGGAGCTGAAAACGGCTTCCCATAGTTCGCTGCAATCGGTGATAGCTCCACATTCAAACTATAAGGATCTTCCTCCATTATATTTCTGGATGCTAAAACAGAGAGCATTTCGATTTTAAATTAAAATATAATTAACACCATCGTGTTATTGAACTGATTTATGGATAAGGACCTCTACATATTTAAATTTACAAATTGCTATAAATCTTTTTATTATTTTATTACCAACCTGTGGAGTCCCAGAAGCGGATTGAATTTTCATTACATACTTTAGGGCCTTCAACAGGCAAAGCTGCAGGAACATTATCTAAAATACATTTGTAATATGTTTATGCACAGTGTAAAAGTAATAAATATAATCATTACCTTTTGTTACCAAACTGTTATAGGTATTTCCAGCATTTAAGGTTCCCTGAGGTGAGTATATCTGTAAATATGAAAACATATATACATACATAATATTTCAAATGAAGTCAGTTAGTGTTCCTTCAATTGCCATAATCACACACTATCAGTAGTATGAGCCCTTGACTTTGCAATTATCACAAAACCCAACGTATAGATCATTGTATTTTTTTTTTAATTAACTGAGTACCTTCCGACGGCCCAGTATTTAAATAAATTAATTCACTTTAACCTAGTTTTGGAAAGCCGCCGGTCATATACCAACAACTAAATTCTGCCCACGGTCATGAGGAAGATACATTTTTGAAAATATTGAAATAAGCTCACTTTTGCGAATCTGATATGCACTTAATAATCAATCAATAATCAATTTATGGGGTATGTTTGAAATGAAGATGGTTCAGCAAAGAGGCAAATAAAAAATAAATTACCGAGTAATTGTTGGTGTAATTAATTCTTGCACTGCATGTATTGTACGAAGGTGTTGTCTGGGATCCCATCCATTGTGAGCTAAAAAGTATAGTTTATGTTTATACATACATCAAGGTGAAAGAAGAGTTTTAAACGGCTATACCTGTAATATGGTTGACATGGCAGTGCGCTAATCGTTGGCTTTACTGAATATATATCAGACATTATTTTCGAAAACTGACCAATAGAGCGATAAGGGCGTTTCATTCGACGTCTTCTTCGATAATTTCCGTTTTCAAACATATCTTCATAGTGGGGATCTAACGTCCAGTAATTGCCTTTTCTTTCTCCGGCACCTTCACGAGGGACTTTCACGAAACATTCATTTAAACTCAAATTGTGGCGAATTGAGTTTTGCCAACCCTTTTTATTTTGTTCAAAATACGGAAATTTCGATACAATAAAATTATAAATTTCATTTAGTGTTGCCCTTTTCAAAGGAGAACTCTGAAAGTAAAAAGGGGTGATTTACACATACACCTGGAAACAAATAATATCTAATTATATAATTACAAATATTTCAGTTTATCCTCGATTCATACAATATTGCCAATACATATATAACACTGTTTATGCATTCTAAGTAAATGAGGTATTAAAACTACTTTATTAATAAAGACTTTAACGAAGGACTTCTTCTTCAAGACTACAAAATTTCTTACCAACTATATATACTAGTATATATTGAGAAAACGGAATATTACCTGTATGGCCATAGCGATAAGTGCTACATAACTGTATGGTGGTTTGGAGTTTTTTGGGATATCCGATGAAGGAGAGCGCTGCCTAAAAAAAAGGTTACCAAGAAAATTGCTATAAATATGTGAAAACACGTCATCCATTTAGAAAGTAGTAAATTGACGATGCGACCAAATAAGTTATTTTGTTGTCCTGTATAAAATTCCATTTTTGCCTCTTTTTTATTGCGCACATTTCAATTTTGTTTTAGAGAAATTCACAAGGCACTTTACTTTTGAAATTATATTGAAACTCAATAATTATACTTAAGCATATAAGAATCGGACATATACTTTTTAATATATACATATATATATATAAAGGCGCTCTCAGTTAATAAAAGCAATTAAGCAAACAGCACTTCTTTTATGCAATTGATCTGTCGGAGTAGTTTAATCACCAATCTAAGACCGAATATTGAAAAAACTATTGAGTTATAAAACACATATGTACATAAGTCCTGAAATTCGTTCTGGGTTAATGGAAATACTTAAACGCGCATTAACACTTTCTTTTTTAACGATTTTGGTAGGGATAACTTTGGCACAAGTATAAGTGAATCCAATTATAGTCCAAACAAATAAATATAAAATTCTCAATAGTTTAAAATTCGATTGAGATATATGTATGTATATACATATGTAATACTCATAAGTCCTTATCAAAGGTGCCAAATCAAAATAAAAACACGGATTAAGTTTAAAAAAATATATGACTTCGCGTCTTACATATCTTTGCCGACGGAATTTTCAAAAACACTCATTCGTTTTAATTTGTTATTTAAATGGTATAGTAACAGCGAAGCGAAGCCAAACAACAATCACAGAAGAAACTTTTCAACAGCATCCGAGTATGTACTACGAATATGTATGTAGGTATGTATGTAGTAAATAGCACGTACGTGTTTAGACCCTACTGAACACTTACGTACCCAATTGCTAGTATTTCAGCGAATAAGGCATATGTATGTGTACATAGCTACACATATGTACATATATACATATAATCCATGATTGTTTGATACGGACATATATATGTATGTATGTAGGTATGTGTGTATGCGATCTTTTGGTTTGTTGTTGTGCTGTACTGGAAAATAATACACATACTTAAGTACTCGACGCGGCCGCACGCGGTAGGCAGTTGTAGATGCGACCTCTTCGAACACCCAATCGGAAAATGCTTTGTTGCAAAATACCAATACAATTGCGTCGAATTTGCATTTTTACTTCAAATGCTGCTAAGCAGGGGAGTATTTATAATACGTTGATCTTATGGATAAGTATTAAACTCATTTATGTACATATGTACATACCTTTACCCAATTATGCCTGCATTAATATTCGAATAAATATACATATGTATGTATTCAGAATGCAATTCGACAGCCGTATAAGTAAAATAACCCATATGTATGTATGTACATATACAGTATTTACGTATATATATATGTAAAAGCACAAGAACCTACATACTATATATGTATGTATATGTATGAGGGTACATACATATGTATATGTATGTACATTTATGCCCTCATACGAATGCATATACAGTCAGAACTGCCAAATGATCTCTGTGGTCAATAGTTTTTATAACCTGTGCCCGGAAGACTTAATGCAGCATGTGCCACGATCGTAAATTAAAGGAAGGACATCCGACGCCATAAAGTACGTATGTATATAAAATATTCTTGATCGAAAGGTAGTTGATTTACACAGGTCTGTCGGAAGAACGCCTCTAACTCTAATACGGAGACGGTTCGACCCAAATCGATCAAACTTCATGCATATTTATTTAATTTGTGTTTTATTTTATTCACCCTGCCTACTAAAAAAGGTATTGTAATGATTTATCTCCTCTTTTTTTAATCATCAAAATCAACTATTCCTAACTAATAAGTTATCCCCGAAACTAATATACAAACGTTTGATAACCGTCTGAAGCTGAAAAAGGTATTTTCGTTTCGACACCGGGTGCTTCAAGGACGGGCAAAGCTTGTTCGTATTTGTGCAGACCCTAGACTTCTTTCGAATACTCCATTTATGCTATACATATGTATATATACAATAAATGTCTATACAAGAGACTAGAGGGAAGGCACATATGAATAAATCTCTCCTATGTCGGCTAATTTGTTTAACAGCTTAAGAACATTTCTACACCTTTTGAGGTGAATTTTTGCACAGAAGAGCTGAAATATTTTGTAACGCAAATTTACACACCTGTCATAACATAGCCAGTTTTGACTGTAAAAACACATACATACGTATATGGTTACAAACACACATACACATAAATTGCTGCGCCGTCATTCATCTGAGAATTTGTGCATGCAAATGCAATTAAAGCAAAATACAAAATGAATTCGACAAAAAATTAACTATCACGATTAAAAGCGATGATGCAGGCACTAATGAAAAAACATAAGCAAAAGAAAAACTGCAACACATACTCGAGCTTATTTTTAAAAAGGCAAGGTTATTGTGCAGCTCAGACTGCGACACACACACAAACGAACATAGAGTGTTTCACACACACACACACACACACACGAACATACGAAGGTGCATGTATGTATTTATAGATGTAGTCCACATATTGATAATACGAGCGCAGATTTCAAAACTCAGTTCACATTTTTATATTTCCTATTATAGATCAAACGCTGATCTGAAATCAGGCAAGTCTCCTTGGAAGTTAAAGTATAAAACACGAGAATTAGTTGCGGGAGACTACCTGAACTGTTAAATTTTTAAACAAGTAATTTTTTGTGTGATACGTACACAACTAGGTCTAAATAGCCTGAGCAATAAAAAGTACATTGGTGTTTATTCACCAATAGGCTTGCAAATATAAAATATACTTTACAAAGCCGACGGAAAAACGCTCGATTATATGGACTCTTCTTGCATAATGATCATGAGGGGTATGTCACACCAGGGTATTACTCATACTCATATACGCTTGCCTAAACTTCCAAAGAGGTGTTGCCATCGGTCCAGGACTCCTTTAGTATGCTATGTTATCAAAAAACAGCTTTAAGCTCTTCTGTCAACTAGCCACCTATCGTTTCAATTATTTATTTTATCCATTAGAGGAAAAGAGTAGCCAAACCTAAATGGAGCTCCAGATATTGATCAAAGGATCATTGGCAATCGTTGTGTGAAGTTGTTGTTGCTTGATTTGGAGTGGTATGTTGATTAAAGCCAAAGGCAGGTTGTGTGTTGGGTTTTATATTTTACATGTGAATGCAGATTGAAAACGTATTGGCTTGGAATGTTTAGTTTGTAACAATCAACTCATATTTCAAGTATAAAAATAATATATTGTGTTTAAAAGTACGTAATTGGTTGATTTAGAAATACAATTAAATATGAAAGTCGTCAGTGAAACTAGCGCGGTCATATAAAGCTCGGTGGGATGTATCTCCACGTGTTCGGTAGCCAAAACAGCCACGTCTATATATTATGAATCCTAAATAGGCCGTTGGTATTGCAGTAATGACTAAAATCACCAGCCAGAAAAGAGCACCATGCGATGAATTGTCTATACTGTTTGCTCGTATTACGGGAACGCCAATGAGTTCCTTTGGGGAGCGACATTCCACATTATTCGCTAAAATTGGGTTCGTTTTATTGATCTGTGGTAACAGTATGGTCGACATCCAGTTATTGGAGAAATCACAATTCCAGGGATTAAAACGCAAGTCTATTACATCAAGCTTATCCCAACGAACAAGTAAACTCCTTGGCAGGCTGGTTAAGTTGCAGCTGTTTAAATATACCTAATAACAAATATTTCAATGATTAACACAATTTATTAGTCGTATGCGAGTTGTTTCTCAACTGCCTTACCTTTTCTAGAGGAGGATATTCATAAAAGTTTCCATTTTTTACATCATTTGCCAATGCCAGACTGTCAATTTCTGCCAACCTACCATTATCACTTAGAATTAATTCAGTCAAATCTGTAAGACAAATCAATAAAGCAAAGTTGAATATCAAGTTTCATATATAAATCAATATACATATGTATATATTTTACTAGTTCTTTATGTTAATTATTTTCTTTGATTCAGATTGGATTACGATATAATAAGGGAAAGTGAATATTGAAGATTATGAGATTTAAATTCTTTAACATTCTTACTTTGTAGTGAACTCAGAGCTCCTTTTCCGATTTTATACAGTTCCGGCATATAAGAGAGACTAAGATACTTTAAATATTTCAGCTCAGGAAAAACGCTAAAAGGGAATTTGAGGTATTATAAAACTCGTTTAGTTTTTAAGCCTGCAACTTTAACTTACTTTTTATTCTCTAGGTTCTGAATAGGATTCTCATCCAGTGTCAGGCTTTTCAAGTTCACAGCCGAAGAGAGGGTTTTTGGCAATTCGGTAAACAAATTTCCCACTGCTATTAGAGTTTCAAGATCTCGAGGGCCATGCAGTAAGGTATCGGGCAAGCTATTAATTTCCATGTACGATATATCTAAAGTCTTCAATTTGAAAATCATTATTTGATTAAAGTCGGGCTTGTGAAAATAGTATCATACCTTCAAATGTGCTAATCCGGAAAGTGCGGTCTCTGTTAATTTGTCAATCGTTTGAAACGTATTTGAACATAAAACTAATTCCTCAATGAACGGGGCATGCTCGAACAAATCATCATTGAGAGTATGCAAATCGTTGTATCCCAAGTTAAGTGATTTTAAATTAGCCAACGGTTCATAATCTGAGGGTGAGTACGATCCTTTAAACACATCCGGCACCAAGCTTTTCGACGTTATCTTGTTATGGGACAGATCAAGTATTGTGAGCTGAGTTAAATTTTGAAAAGCACCCGTCTCAATGGTTTCAATTTCGTTGAAACCTAGGTATAAATTTTTAACACCGTACGTTGGCAATTTAGGAATATTAGTCAGGTTATTGTGTTCAAGCTTCATCGTCTCGAAGATAACTCCACCATTTTGAAGAAGTTTCCATTCTGCTTCGGAAAACCAGCCTTTTAGTTTTGCGGTGCAATCAATTAGACTGTTATCCACATCGCAAGTACATTTCGTGCATATCTGAGTTTTCGTCACATTAATCTGTGGCTGAAAATAAAAACAAATATACATATAAGTATAGTAATATGATTCAGACGATATTGCTAGCTTCATATGTGTTTTATATTTCTTTGCACTTTCCGAATTCTATGCAACCCCACCCACCTTTGCACCTATGTATTAACACGCAATAACACGGTTTTATCAACTTTGCGTTACATTATACATTAGTTGTATATGAATCATCATAGAATAACTTGGAACTGATTAAAAAATGATTATTGCCATAGATATCGATGCATGGTCAGACATTCAAGTAATATTTATTCGAATCTTTCCAATTTCTATTAAAATATGTATTCAATATAAACGCGTTTGTTTATGAAGAAACAATAAAATTGAACCTTGTGTACTTAGGTTGCGAAAGTATTATTAGCTTCCAAATAAATATTAATGCATTCATAGCATTCAAATGTAATTAGAACTTTATAGCAAACACATTTCCCCACGACATATATGTAGTAGTACATAAATCAAACAGGACTTTAACAAATAGATGGAAACCACAAAAAAAAAAGCGACAGGTGTAACAATTTTAAGCAACTTACCGCATCTGTAGAGAGCGTAGTGTTTGCGTCAGAGCCATCTATCAAGTGTCCTTTTGGTATTATAACCATAAAACAAGCCAAAATAATGTATTTACTTCTGCTAATTTTCATTTTGGTTGCGGCCAGACTAACCGAAATGAGTTAAGTTTATATAAATACGTGCGCTTTTGCGCTTGTGGGTAACAGAAAATGAATTCGATCCATACCACCGACTCATCGACTCATCTTATCTAATCTAATCAACACTCAAGAGAACCACCACTGCGATATGTGTTGCGTTTATGCCGAAAGCTATGTAGATATTTTTTCTTGAAATAAGCAACATACGTTTATACTACTTGTAGGGCGTGATTTTAGTACTTTATTTATGGAACAGGGTAATTTTTTGTTTTACGCCAGCAATTTGTAGCTCTCAACATTGGGTTTCACAAAAATTATGCTGCCACAGCCATCTAACTGTGCACTCGGCATGGTGCTGCCAGATTTTAAGTCTAATTTGTTTATCAATATTTGGCATTAAACGTAATGCTCGTTGGACAATAAAGTATCAGGGCATTTTACTTGCGCTACTGTTTCCCAAAGCTTTCTATTTGGAAGCAGGATACACCTATACCAAACAAATCTGTGGATAGTATTTTGAGTTTGCCGATCGTGTCGTTGTAACCGCTTTGAATTTTGGTTTTTGCGGCCTTCAAACTTTGAGTGGAGGCAATTGTGGTTGTACGACGACTTCTGTATCTGTTCCAGTTGGTTTGATTGCTTAAAATAAACCTAATTCACAGTCCTAGATTTGCTTTTGGTACCAAGTAAAATACATTTATTTGGATGCATGTGCTTGCGAATGCATTTCCGCAAGAGTCTAATATGTACATTACTGTATTATTCAATAATTAAGTTATAATTTATAAATATTAAGAGCCATTTTTTTCAGGATGTCACCGAGGAACAGCTGCTACGGCGACAGGCAATACACTGCCAAGACCAGACGTCGGAGGATGTATAGAAATAGTTTTGTTATCCATTATTGTGGTTTCCTCTTGTTCTGAACTCGTAAAATACCAATTTTTCTTATTAACAAGAAACAGCAGCATCAGCACGGGTAAATGTAAGAGTGAGAACCTGAACAGCTTACGGGAGCTCCCACTGTCGGATTTTTGGTGAAACTCGTAAGCTAAAAAAAAATGAATTTTTATTAATAATATTTAGTAATGAACGGCTAAATAAACTGAAAAATAAAAATAGTTCATGCCACTTACCTAAATAACAAAAATACAAATTTAGAGGCATTGTTTCCAAAGCAAACCAGACATTTGTGACATCGAAAATTGGCGCTAATAGTGATAGGCCACTAATGGCCATTGTGTAACGTAATGCAGTACGTCGACAAAGACTAGGATTGGTAACGGCCATCATTCGATAGCCGGCCCGAGAGTAATCTGGACGAAGATTCCATGACAACGCATTGAAATGTGGGAACTGCCAAGCATAAAGTAAACCAGCAAGTATCCACGCCCCAACATCGAGAGTGCCTGCACAGCCAGCCCAGCCCATTAATGGAGGAATCGCTCCAACAATTGATCCCACCCACGTGTTTAGAATGCTCACGCGTTTCATGGGTGTATAAACGCAGGTGTACAAAAGAAGATTGCCCGCTCCTAAGGCTGCTGTTAAACCATTAACTCCGAAATACAAAAGGCACAATCCAGTGGACGCTGACGCAATCGCAAACCCAATTGAATGAAGGGGCGTCATCTGTCCAGTAACTAAGACTCTATTTTTCGTTCGTGACATTTGGGAGTCAAAAGGAACCTCGTGGTATTGGTTAATAGAATTAGCTGCCGCAGAAACTAATCCGGTTCCCAGTGCACACATCGCGAAAGTGGATATATCGAACGCTGCTGGCGCCATGGCATAACCTCCCATTGCCGTAATGACAACTAACGCTGCAACGAAAGGTTTTACCAATATTTTATGTAAATGAGTACTGTATCCATTGAATATATCATAATATACATACATGTTAGTCGGAATTTCGACAATTTTTTGTAATTGCTCATTGTTTTCCCCGCATTTGTAAAAGGGCTTGGCATCCAATCCAGGTATTCTAAGCGGCCGCATCGCGTTTGTTCTTTTTTTACTCCCGCTAAGCTCGATGAGTTCTTGCAGGAAATAGAGCTAAGTAACTTTACGTTTCCACATGAAGAGACTCCTTGAGTTGAGGGTTCCTCCCAGGGACGTCTACTGACTGTAGCGGTAAGCTAGAATAAAGTTATTTTGACATCATTGCGTAATCGTGGTATCCCTCCACCGCATGTATTAATTACCCTTATTAATTGACATTTAGACGATGGTGCTGCTAAATAGTCCCAGGTACTTCTTCTAACTAATACGCCAATCATAATTGGTTTATTGGTGCCACTTTATTCCTTATTTAAATCATTTTAGTGCGATTTTCTACTGAACGAAAATGTACATCTGATATGTACACATGTTGTGTAAACTAGAGATGGGAGCCGCAAAAGCAGCTGTTTGTGTTTGTCGATGTACAAAATCTAATATAAAATGTAAACAAATATTTATTCACAAATATTTTCCTTTGCACCACTGAGCCGACGGCATTTCGTCTATATGTAGTTAAAACTACTTTTTTAGCTCAAAAATACAAATACATTTATCTTCATGCTGCGGAACATATAAAAAAAAAAACAATTAAATCGTTAAATTAATTAGGTCTCATTTTAATTTATTTTTAAAATAGTGTTAACAAATAAAGTTTAGTTATATTTAGACAATGGACAATTTTAAAATAAAAATATATATTACATTTTTTTGATTTTATGTACTAATATATTTAATAATATTATAGTCTCGCAAGGACTGACATTTATGTTCATAGTGCATCAAAGACTCTTGTAAGCTATTGAAATCCTCAATTAGAAGAGTATTGTTATGATTTAACTGGTTCACAAAGTTATCCATTGGAGTATTTACCTTTTTATAATCTGCAAAGAAATAAATATACATGTTATAATACAAGGAGAATTTAATGCTTTAATTGAGTGCACCACCACTCTGTTGAGGCTGTTGTCGTGGCCGGCCAATTTTGTTGCCGTCTTCTACAAATTGTGCAATATCACTGCGGAACTTTTCAGGTATGAGAAACAATCGTTCAACATTGCCTTTTTTGTAGCAAAGATATGCAGACTTCATCTGAAACCACTTCCTTCGTATTTGCGTTGGAGATTTATTTGGAAACCCACGCTTTTTCATTTTATTAGCTATTTGAGTAAAAGTGTAGTGAGTTGTTGTTGTCGACCTCGTCTGTTCCGCTCTTAACTCTTTTATTAAGCTTAGCATACACTCTATTTCGGCAGAAAGCCAAAAATTTCGTTTTAGCTTTCCACATTTCATAGCTTTATTGTTTAATATTAATGTATTTTTGCTGTAGGGTTTAGAGATGAACGACAACAACTTAATCAATATTGTCACGGGTACTTAAACGCCACAGTTACTAAATCACAATCTGCGACATTTTTCCATAACATATCCTTTTGTCACTGGCTGTTAGTGAAATTAAATGATTAATAATGAGTGAAGGCCCAACAGCAGAAACTAACGATCTTGGGAAAGACCCCATAGAAAGCTGAAGAAACAGATCATTAAGCTATTAGGTCTAGACTGAATAAATTTAAATTTTAATATGGTAAACATTATCGTATCACCATTGCGTTCAACAATATATTGTTTTCCCAATGAATATACTGCGAGTCGAACCGTTACTGAAGATTATTTCGTCCTGTATTTTGAAATGGTACTCTATCAATAAATGGGAATTCCTTGGTTGATTGTTTATTTGGGAATAAAATTGCATTACAGCTAGGTACATGAAGTCATATTACACATGATAAATTAAAAAACATAAAAAGTACAAAGCTATTGCAAAAATAAATGATAAACGTTTACCACGGAGAGAAAAGTAAATAGTACGTTCAGATGATAGAATTCGACCTTTCGACCTTACAGACATTATTGTCGTAAATGTTATGATAACCAAACTGTAGGCGTAGAATTTAACTGAAAGAAAACATAAAATATATACTTAAAGTTGAATGCTGTCAATCATATTCTACAGTAACCATATGTGTATTTTAATGTGATTATATTTCATGATTATCGTGGAGATGTTTTGGTTACTTACCAATAGACGGTGTTATGCGGCTGTGTTGGCCAATGGTTTTCGTAAAGTGCTGCAAATGGAGGAAGATGGTAAAATACGCAATTGCAGCTACTAAAATTTTTTGCCGGAGCTCAATGCTCTCAATGGAGGAAAGAAGTCCCAGTACAATAACACATATTGCGGATGCCCGGAATATTACAACCATATTTGTATTTCGTTCCAATTGAATTGAATAGTTTATAGTAATGTATGGCTCTGTGCAGCATGAATATAATGTAGAAACGTACATGGCAGTAAAATTTGTAACTTTGTATCCCATGTTGGTTTGATCAATTTGATCAAAATTTATCGATCTGTTCAAGCCCTTCTTATTTATATCTATGTCTAGGCCATCATATGTCCAGGAACCCATAGTTAGGTTACAACTGTGGCTGTCCAATGGATATTCCTGCATGTTTCCAGTGCAAAATATGCTCATATCTATAGTGTCCATCCAATCGATCCTGCCGTCATGGGCTAATGTAATCACTCCTTTTTTATGCATACTGATCATTTTGTTAGGTGCATTGTTATACAATTCTAAATCTGGAACCCAAACTAGATTTTGTCCCACCAATACATGCGTTATGTTTCCGTACTGCGTGGGATTCCATTTCAGTTTCGTATGCATCCAACTCTGGGTAGACATGGAAACATTAATTTTAAACAGTAGCATCAATCAATATTACTGACCACATCTAAATGACCCACGAAATGAAAGTTCCCATCTGTTGGTCTGAATTCAAAGTGTATCAGCGTTAAGTATATAGTTAAATCGATCTTCATTCCCTTTGGCAGAGGTCTTAAACATGGCTCATTTTTTGAAAATAGATCAGCCAACAATGATTCTCGATCTAAATATAAACATAAAGTAAATTTCAACGCATTGCATATACGAAAGACAGTATGTACGAGTATTACTTACAGTTCACACGAGCCGACAAAACAGAACCAAGGACTGCAAGTAAGAAAAAGGGAGCAAAACCTAACATCTTCTGAGCAAACACACGAGCTATCGAAGAAATTTGATGACAACCCAAGCCGAAGTGATTCTAAACTGCTTTTCAAGAGGCAGCTTGAATTTTATGAGAGTCTCACACATACATATGTACAAGTATGTATACGTATACATTTGCATTTATGGGGATTAGTGGAATTGCTTCGTTAAGCCTATTGATGCATCTTAATATGCTTGTTGAAGTTTAGACACTCTTCAATTTGGCGAGGATATACATATATATGTACATATATCTATGAACTTATTGCTGCGAGATTCGAAGAAATATTCCCAACCATGAAAAAAATTAATTTTGAAGAAAAATATCAACCAAAGTATATATTTACATAGAAGCTTTTACAAAAAACTGCACATACATTTTTTTATCATTCAAACTTTGAAGGTTAATATATATTTTTTTAATTTCATACTGAGTTCACATGATTTGAAAAATGATGTCTATAATTCATTATTTTTCATTTTATTATTGTTTACTCACATACATTTGCTTGTAATTATATGGGTGCCATCAGAATTATTTCCTGAAGCTCATAACCAGGGGTGTCGCATAAATCACTAGTCTTAGCTTTTTGTGGCATTTCAAACTTCTACTTTTCCTAAACGGATTCGGCATTTTAAAATTAAATAACAAATACTATCTAAATGATTATCCGCCATATTAAATAATTTGAATTAAAAATCTTTTATTTGGGTCGAATCTGACTGCACTACCTTCATTCGTTTTGTTCAAGGTACAGAACAATTTATAAAGACAATCCACCATATTTTACGGCAATAACTGGTGAAATTTAATATAATTTTAATCGTCAATCCATTTATTGTACAATGTACTTGTATGTGTAAACAAATTGGCAATAATTTGTGCTCTAAATTTTTGTTAATTCCAAACCCATAAGCCACGCAAAATAATTTTCGCTACGAATTTTCTCCGTGCATTTGATTGCAGTCCCAGCTATTCTCAAAACAAAAGCCATCGTATAAATGATATATGAACGAAGAGGACTAACTTTCATATTGATTTTCTTTCATGTATGCTATTTGAATTTCCTAGAATGGATTTCCCTTATCCGTTTTTGTATTACCAGAAAGACTGCCCTCCATTCGGTCCCATGGCAGTGTTCATATTCATATTAATTCCTGTAAATAGTCAAGAGGAAATATATTTATGTGTGTTAAAGAATAAATACCGAAACTCAAGTCAATTTAAATGTCCCAAGTAAATGACGAAAAGTCGCGTAAAAATGTGCAGTCATTTATTGGCGACAGGTACACTAATGTAAACTTAAGTAATAATAATACCTGTATAAAAGGCAAACGCTTCTCCATTTTCCAAAACTGGCCCTTCCTGATTTAAGCTATGAGTGAAATAAAGTTATGTATGTGTAACGCAAAAGCAACTACTATTAATTTACTTACTAATAATTGGGGCACTGAAGAGGTGACGAAACATTATCGGACTGGAAGTTAGGCATTGGTGGATTAGCGTACATGGCACGTGGGATTGAAGAGTATGGAACAGACACTCCGCCATTTCCGTTTCCTGCCCATTGACGACCATATAAATTAGTTCCATCAGTATTATATCTGCCGGCCCCTATTCCCATCTGCTTTAAGGAAACATTTTATGGAACCGGAAATTACTATACATTAACAATGCCAAAGATACCTGTGAACAAGTAGCCTCGTCGTTCTTTTGCCAGAAATTATAGCTGCGGTTCGTCGACATGTTGAAATTTAAAACGGAAAAATATTTCGAAATTTTATTTAGCCAAACGTTGTGATAAACTGAAAATAATATTCAGACTGCAGTACGAGAATAACCAACTATTTCAAAGGTAGCTGGATTTGTTAGCAAGTACAACAAATTCAGAAAGCAGCCTCATGATCTCCAGTTGGTGGAAGGGGAGGTCACAAATTGTGTAAACAATTTAAACAATTTCGCAGTTTCTGGTAACTATGTATTTAGGAACTGTTTTTTTACTCTGTATTTAAAGGGAAGGAACTGCAGAAGTTGTCAGCTTGCCGTCTTCGCCAACATGAGAAAAACGATGATTTTGTTATTGCAAATAACATAATGTATTTCCCTTTTGAGTAAAACAAACAAATTTTACATTAAGTGCAACAAAGGTACCCAACTTCAATCTGTACGCCATTGGTATTGTATCTGTGTACATACATACATGTATGTATGTAAGTATGTAGCTAATATCATCAAATTCTTCCATGTATCTTTCACAAAATTGTCATTTTTGTTTTGTAGTTATAAGAGGGCTGTCTGATATGGAATCGGCATTGACACCATCCTTCCCAATATTTTAAAACATGTTTTTCTTGGAGTCGGTGAGTTGCGAAATTTGAAAGAGTCTCGCTACGTTTCGCATTCGGCTGCCAATTCTAATATTGTGCACTAATTTAATATTTTAGAAAATGTTAGGAAAGACGATATCAATGCCGAATCGAAGTATTTTTATAGAGCCTCTGCAGTACTTTTTATCAAAACCAAAATTCGACAGGCGAGATTAACGATTTATGTGGCTGATCAAATAAAATCATTAAGAAATATTTCCATTTGTTGCATTTAAAAAAGGATGTTATTCATATAACTGTGGAAGAAAGATCGATCCAACATCACTCACCGAAATTGAATGGGCTTCTACAGGGGAATCCAGATGAAGCCAAAGACGGCATCTGGTTTTAAAGTTTGAAATATCTACGAGCGAAGGGTCACTTGCATACTATGCTGGGCTTTGGCAGAAATCAAACGCAAATTCAGAAAAGAGGAAAAGTCATATCTCTGAGGCAAGCCCACTAGGATTATTGCCTCTTTTATGTTTGTTAAACAGACAGCCCCCATGTGTATATATAGTATGTACGTATGGATGTATGTATATGTATAAAAATTTGAATCAATATATATGTACTTCCAATTAAAAGAATTCTACATTTGGTCTTATTATTTTAGTACTTATAATAATTATATATTTATAAATTATTTACAGTTTAACATTACTATCCTTTGATATACGTTTGTAGTTATATACCTATGTAACTACGTAGATCCACTGTGCTACTTAGATTCACATGCGTATCTGATAACACGAAATGCGTGGTTAACCCAACTGGTTTTAGAAGTTAAATGCTTTGATGGAACAAATTTCTTGAATGCCCTTGTCGCCAATACTTATATTTACAGGAATATGTATGTATATTGATATATTCTTATTCACAAATAAAACAATCGGTCTTGAAGTCAATTCTTATATTAAAACTTTCTAATTACACGAGTCAACAAAATACGAAACATTTCTTAACCCAGAACTGCCAATTTCAATCAATGAGTTCTAAAATCTCAAACTCGCCTCAAAACCTACTCTCTCTTAAAATGAATCAAACAAATGCTAATGTTAAAATGTATGTGCTTGCAAAAATCACAGAAAGAAAAATCACATCCTGCTTCCATTACTGAGCATTTACCGACAATAGATCCAATTGAGTGGCATTTATAAACTGAAATTCAGTAAAACTTCAACATGGTTGGGAAATAAGAAACCGAATCGTAAGGAAGTCATAGTAAAGGACATCTTGATCGCAAGATTGTAGTAGTCTAATGCCTCCCCGTAGTTAAGTAGATGAATGAGAATTTAAATTATAACATAACAGACAAAACAGTTGTAACTCTAATAAAGTATAACAAATACAAGTAAATGGTGAATAAACAATAGACTTACAAAGTTATTTAAAAGTGCGCTGAAACTAAAACTCTTGTCTTTTACAAAAACAAAATGAATCTCATAACATAAAACAAATTAAAGATACACATTATAAAAAATATTTAATAATTAATATGTTGGTTAAGTACGAGCTGCAGTATATTTAATTGACTTTTGCTTGATTGTAATATGATATATTATTGTTGAAACATATGACATATTAAAACATTTGTAGTTTGTAAGCCCTTTAGCCGAAGGACAAAAGTTCCTATTGCATGTAACACTTAAAAGGACAGGAAGCATTCCAAAACTATATTTGCTTTCGCTTATATCTCCCATACAGGGCTGACAGTTTTAATACTTCTGTATTAGAACACTATTAATGTATTACTATATTTATTTTCCTGTAATTTAACTTTCGAACAACACATTTTTTCATTTATCCTTATACCACTAAAATTCCTATAACTTTGCCTTATCCTCATACCCAGTCTGGAAGAAATTATGAAATTAACTTGTAGAACCTTTAAATATGCTAAGCTTAGCTCTGCTTGTCTGGACCACCAGAAACTTTGGAACACCACCCTGGGGACTCCATCAGCCTTTTAGAAAACTTTGCTTATTAAATAAAGTACATTTAAAAATAATACAATAACATTGATATAAAGTTGGTTTTTTATGGCAGTTAATAAACAAAATATTGAGGCTATTTATGATTTCAATACTCGGCTTGCCTTTGAAAACGAAAAGGCAACATGCCACTCATTCTATGGTTCAAAGATTCTCGACGTTTATGGGGACGGACAGACGAAGACAGACATGGCTATAACAGGGGGTCTGCTACGTCTCTTTCAGTCTGCGGAATAGATAACGAGCGTCCTAAGTTTAGCTTTTGACCGGGGAGAGGATATTAAAAGATATTGGCAGCTCTGGTTTTTTAGGGTTATGGTTACAATGCTAACGTCCATGTAGAATTTTTAATTCGGTACTTGTACATTGTTAGTTATGAAAGTCTATCCACGCACTATATATATATATGTAAATTTATATATATTGATTGCGTTAGCTCTATTCCATGTATTTCACAGCGTTTCAGCTGTGTAAATGGTGTCATTTATTTTCAAGAGGAGAAATTCGTTCATCTAAACTTATTTTTGCCATAAGAAACAGCAAAGATATAATTATTAGAAGAGTCGAGCGTGGCATATAAAGGCAGTAAGTTCCGCTATTAATTCCATTCACACTGTTCAAACTCAGACTAGTATTGCTGATGTTTTCGTTATCCAAAATGCTGCGATTGGCATGTTGCATGGCGGCCGGCTTCTCCCCTGCGAACAAACATCCGAAAGTCTATTACAGTGGCCGCATTATATTTAACAATTAAGTCTCATTTACCTCGCAGGACATGCACGGTAATACTAGCGGGTCGCGCATTGGATGGGGCACATGTGTAGTTCCCGGCATGGTGGAAGTGCACTTCTTTGATTATTAGCACACTCATTGATGGCGTCAACAAATACGATGATTGGTGATTTTGTGGAGACACCGAGCCGGCATCTGTGGACTCAGTTTGACTGGTTGACCTTGTGGGAATCACACTGCCGTTGACAGTATTCGAATTGGCAGCAAGCTTGTACCCTCGAGACTTTGATATTTCACTGCTTGGCGCTATTGGAACAGGCTGGTTGAGCTCCAAGTTTGTTTGCATGCTGTTTCCAGTCGATGTCACCAAAAACCCACCCTGGGCGTCATAGTTTACCATTTTGTTATTATGATACCTTTCAAGAAATTAAGTTTAAGCTGCAACAATCTCTCTTTTTTCCACTTGAATAAGGTCTTACCAAAATACAAAGGATGGGTTCTCCGTAGCACGCTTTAACTTGCACTCCAGACGCAAGGTGGATGTCTCATCAATGTGCAAATCCGGTGCACTAGAAATCTCCGCTACCGCTTCTGCAAATAATAACATTTCAAAATATATTTCAAAATAAGTAAATATGTAAGTTAATATGTATAATTTTAATTCATTGAATACAAGTTCAATAATAAATTGCCATTGCTTACAAGCTTTAGTTTTTTGTTTTTTAATTTGTTGCTCTTTCTATGACTTACCGACTATTTTTAGCTCTATAAAAATTGACTGTGTTGGGTAGATCGACAATTGACACTCATAGAATCCTCTATCATCCTCCTTCACAGCCTTAATTCTTAGTGACCAGTGCCCCATATGTCGGGTATGTTCAACTAAAAACCTCTTATCGCTGCTATGGGTTGATAGTCCTACTGTAAGTAACTGAAAATCTTTTCTTCGTATCCAGGAAACCTTAGGAATATTAAAAAAGGATGGATTAACTTATTATTTAAGTATTAACTCATTTGGAACATCATGTTTTTTACAAATTAAAAAAAATAAATTGTTCTTACCGTAGCCGGAGAATTAACTTTCACCACACAAGGTAAAATGGCGAGACCACCTTTTTGGGCAATAACACGAGTGTTGTTTTTTGTGGTAAATTGCGAATGTGCGGAATTTCCAAAAAGATTCTGAGACGATGTAAATTTTCCAACATCTAAAATAAGAAATATGAACAAAATTAGGCCAGGAAAAACGTTATGAATTTTCTGTATATGCTCAAAAAGACAAGCATTTGAATAAAAGAAGAACCACATGCATACTTTTTAAAAACATTGTTTATTATTCTAAAAATTATTATATTTGACTGTGGAACGATTTTTATCATAGTGCTCAACTTTTTTGTCATTTATGTATGTATGTGATTCTGCTTACTATACGTTTTACATCAATAACAATAAGACCCACAATACGGAACAATACAATCTAGAGACATATCCGTCGATTTCACAAGATATAGACTTTGTTAGAGAGCTTTTTTTTAATTTCCTTTTCCTGATCATCCCCCACCCTCGCTACAACATCGCTATCATTACTGGCCACAACTCCGAAACTACACAAATTATATTTGTATGTCTTAGCTACGCCACCAAGCTGCTGCAGCAGCTGTTTTCGTTCTTCATCTTGTTTTTCCTGCCCTGGGCACATACCAGCGGGGGAAGTTTTTTCTTTTCGGTACAGGGTGTTCCACGGCGTGGTAACTAACCTCTAATTTAATGACTTGTTTTGTTTGTCTTAAATTTGTATATCGAGTTTTATTTTCTTCATTTTGTAAACTATTCTTATGCCCTTTTTGTTAGATGTTTGTTTTTGTCATAATTATAATATTTGGCTTTGTCAAATATAAATTAAAAAAATATACAAGTATATAAAATATTTTTCTTTAAATATCTAATTTGCGAAATAGCTACTTTTCAAGACCACATATAAAAGGAATCATTAATTAAAACATATTGGTTTTTTCGAGCAACAAACGCTTACCTGAATATGTATATTTGCATAAAAAGGTACTGAGCAAAAGCAAAAACCAAGGTAAGTGCAAATGCCTCCTTTTTGGATCCATTATAATGTTTTCAAGTTTTGAAGTCCTCACTTGCTGTATTTATAATACTTTTACTGATTTTATCCATTTGAGCGAAACGTAGCATTACTTTAAATTTATATTTTCATTTGGAACATTTTTGAAGCAGCTAAGCGTTCTAATGAATTAATTAAAACTCCTCGTGCTGATATCCGAAGGTCGAGTCTGACGAATGAAACAATTTTTTGCACGTCAATTATGCGTTACACATCAGTTATTATCAATTTATGTAATTAGTGAGAAATTCATTTTAACTTTTTAATTTTTCTGAGCCTGCATAATATATTTTATGCGAAAACTTCCCAAATATATGTATGGATGTTACCACAGGGTTTTTACATTAGATACATATACATACATACATACATACATTTAGTTTGTGTGTTTGTGTACAATTATAAATTCAAATATTGTCACACCCACAGTTATTTGCGTAGATTTTGCATACATACATACATGTGTATAACTTTATATAATATTCGTAGATGCACACGCAAGCCATCAACGTTTCCCACTAGGAATTTTTCAGAACTTCAACTTTTCTTATGGACTGACCCATACACGAAGCGTTGGGTAGGTCGGGGCAAATTGCAGAAATTAAAACTTAAAAATCAATTGCTGGATTCGCTGCAACACAACAGGAAAGCACTAAAACGGATGTATTTATTGCACATACTTAGGTTCACTGAACATCCACACACGGAGTCACATTTGTTCAGAAAATATACAATTTTGAATTCCAGGTCGGCCGTCCTAAAACGTTTTGTGTATTGCGACTTCCATTCGCCCGTATTTCGCTTCGCAGCTACCGTAACCGAACATTAATTCATACAGAAGTCCGCACAATGCATATTTCTGCTATGCAGCGGCAATGCGAATCACCGTACGTATGAAACTTCTTATTCGAAGTGCCTTATGGAGACTGAAAAGGCGATAGCCACAAATATGTATTCTCAATGTTTCTCATTCGAACAAAACCCATCTTTTTCCAATGGACTATATTCCAGGCTGTCGAACTAAGCGCTCTTTATCATAACGCGCAAGATTGCATGGAAAGAGAGCATGGAAATCAGAATACCATGCACGAATTGGCACGTTCCTTGGCAAAATATATGTGTGTATGGATGTACATACATATATTCTTTTTATATATGTATGTTTGTATGTACATACATATGTACCATACATACAATTTTGATTTTTATGGTAAATGTGCAATGGAACATTTTATAATTAATTTGTTAAAATGCAATACACCTGAGACTATGCACACATTTTTTGAAAATGTACAAAACACAAATACATACTACATACACATGTATGTACGTGAAAACCCAAAACGAAATTACGAATTTAATATGTAGGAGAAACAATTGCATAGCAATATCAACATACATATGTGTGTATAGTATGTAAATACATTATCTTCGAATCCAAAAATTGCATATTTTCATATTTTTTGCAATAGTATGTGGAGTGGATAAAGCCTTTTATCACTAGGTAATGACCTAGTGATAAAAGGTGTAATGACACCAAAGCGTTAGTAAATACCGACCACTAGAAGGAATTATTTGGGTCAAAGGTTATTAGTTTAGAAAAACTTGACTGTCCCTTGATTGATTTCAGGCTGCATGCATGGTCTACAAATAACAAAAATGACTCCCACAGAAACTAATTTAGCGAAAATGTTTTTATTTTTATTGTTTGGCCGGCTCGAGGTCAGAGTAAGAAAAACCAATTTATTTAATTTTCTTTTCTTTTTCCGATATATTTCGGTTACGCCACGGTAACCGTCTTCAGGGCAATTATTTAAGCAAGTCTGCTCTGTTTGACTTGGAGTTACTAACAAGTCAAACAGAGCAGACTTGCTTAAATAATTGCCCTGAAGACGGTTACCGTGGCGTAACCGAAATATATCGGAAAAAGAAAAGAAAATTAAATAAATTGGTTTTTCTTACTCTGACCTCGAGCCGGCCAAACAATAAAAATAACTATGAGGAAGGTCACCAAAATACTCAACGAAAATGTTTTTATTTACAGTACAGTAGAATCTCGAATAAGCTAACCGAAATATTCAAATTTAATAACCTTTGTCGAACTATATACTTGAAAAAAATACAATAATAAATAAATTTCAATGACTTAGTTTTATCAAGGTATTGATGCTTTTGGTGCTTGCTTTTTTTTGATGAACCTCTCGAACGGTACATTCGTAAGCACTTGATTTAATTAATTCAGACAACGGAATGTAGTCTTCACTATCGCATTGATCATTATACCTTTTTTTGATCCTATTCCACGCTTTTATAAGAACAGTTGATTTGAAAAATGCATACGCTCAGAAAAGTTAACTTGAAAAGACACTTTTTAGAGCGGCATGTGGACGCTGCAATGCGGCTAACTAACCCGAGCGATTAACTTTTGCGCGAGTTAACTTTTTCGAGATTCTACTGTACTTTCGTTCCGTCATAGGTTCACTTCCAATGAACTCCTAATCTGAAGTTGTACTACAGTGACTCTAAAGAATCGCGGATAATATATGTATAGTCTGGGACAATTTCATGATTTATCTATTTTTTTTAATATTTGTAATTTGAACGGAAATATTTGTTTTAGAACCCATTTGAATTCGACAGTTGTATATGAGGAATGGTTGATTAAACAACTAATATATGAACTATTAGTTTCAGCCGCATAGTTATTTATACAGATTTAATTTTTATACATATCCAAAAATCTTAATAGTCGTATTGGTGTTTCCACAAGCTACAAGTTTTTCCACTATAGCCGATACACTAACGGAGGCATCTGGCTATATATTTTTTTAATGTTTGCCTTGAATTAATGTTTGAATTAAAATGATCAAGTTTTCACCAATATAACAATTCCTTTATTATTAAACAAAATTTGAGCGAAATATATATAAAAATATTCTTTGCTATTTATAATATTGTAAAACTAAACTTCCAATCCGGATGTTTATGTTGGTTCTAATCCTTGGTCAAGGTAGGAAGACAGTGTCTGGTCTGGCATTTTTATTGGGGCTGGTGTTGGAGTTTCTGTTGAATGCATTGATTCTCTGAAAAAAATAAGATTAATAAACGCTTTACACAGGCGGTGTTGAAGGCGCTTTTTGGAGCGACACCGAAATCATAATTTTTTCCACAGGTATAAAAAATCACGAAAAATACACTTACTTTAAAGCCCCCAAAATACTTGATACTCGTATGTTTGGAATAATATTTCGATTCATAGGCTCGTGTGATTGGTTCCTGATTGGATCCTTCTAAATATGAAATAATATTTCGTTTACATTATTTATGACATTAAAGTGATATTGATTTTACAGTTGTTTTGAGTTCCTCACTTCCGAAAAGCAGATCATGTTGTCTCGCAGTGTGCCTACGAATTTTTAGGCCTTTGTCGCCACTAAAATATAATATACATTATTATAGAAAAAGTTTGAAAGTTTATCGAATTTATGATTTAAATTCCGAAGGTTTTATTCTTACGATTCTAGGTTAATTGCTGTCGATGAGCTCATACTTTCGCCAGTCTGTACACCGGAACAGGTTAGGGATTCTGGTACCTCCCCATTTGGAATGTCGTAGGTACCATTGCTGATTAAAGATGTTTCGGAGCCGTTTCGGCTTAAGCTAGCCATATTACAAACATTTCCAAGGTTGAGTGAGTCAAATAAATCGCATATTTGCACGTTGCTGTTTTGTGAGAGGAAATATTGCAGTAATTGCTGTTGAATATTACTTTCTTGAGTTGCTTCGTTCAATAATGTTTTATACTCCTGCAATTGACCCTCGTTTATAGCAGATGTGCAGGTTAAATAGACGGCATTGTCCGACAATCGTTGAAGAAGAAACTTCGCCTCTTCAAGTGTGGTTACATTATCTAAAAGACTTTGAATTTTTTGCATATCGTTTTGCGGAGACTCCTTGCCTTCTTCGAACGCTATAATGGCTTGCTGTACATGTTCGATGTTTTCCTGTACATAGCTTATGTTGATCTTCAAATTGTCTTCTTCATTGGAATCTTCCCATTCTTTGTTGGAGCTCCGACGTTTCTCTATGTTGCCCAAATCGGCACTAAGATCCTCCCGTTGCGTTATAAGTCGCCCCAATTCTTTTTCCAGTTGAATAATAAACTGTTTATTCCTTGCTGCATGAGATATTGTGCGGATAAGATTATCCCACCTTACGTGCGCTGAACGAGTACGTGTATTTATGCGATTCTTATTGTTTAATGCCAAAACAGAAATTTTTTGTCCACGAACTCCCCTTTGACTCTTTCGAAGGGCAGAGACTTCCTCGGTTTTTCGCCTTAATATTTGCTCTTTGGCATTCATTTTCGCCTGCAAAGATAGGACAGCAGTTTGTTGGCGTCGCTGCTCCTTTCTCAGCTGAGCGATTTCCTTTGATTTCTTATTATCTTCCACTTTATAACGACTAACTTGTTCAGAGATTTTTTTCATCAATTTTATCTGGAAATAGAGAATGTTAGTAATTAAAAAACAAAGCAACAACCTATAATATTATACAAAATGAAGCTTCTTAGTACCTTGCTACTTTTCAATTCGTGTAGTTCCAGTCGCAGATTCTGTAGTTTTATTTCCTGTGTTTTAAGCTTTCTCTGTTGCCGGTTATGTTCTTTTTGTGCAAACTGAAGCCGCTTCAGTTCCCGCTGCATATCAGTTATCTTACGTTCATATTCTGCCTTCACCTTTTTCTCATTATCTTTTGACTGAACTGACGCACTGGACACTGAAATTAATTTATAGAATATTAAAATCCAAATTAACCAAAATTTTAAATAATAGATATACCCATATTGGACAACACTTCATCTCGTTCTTTCTGTGTGTTTGATATTTTGCAATTCAGCACATTTAATTTTTCTTCATACTGCTGCCTCATTATTTGAATTCTTTGTTGCGACAGCTCCAATTGTTCAATAAGCTTAGTTTTAATTTCTATATCTGAATTGATGTCATTCAAGTCTGCTTCCATTTCGTTCTCTGAAAAAGGGCTACGTTTTTAGAAATGGTATTTAGCAACAGCCTTGGTTGTTTAATCACCTTCGGAGTCACTTTCACTTTCAGAAGGTTCAGGATCTTCCAAATTTAGGTTTTCATCGTGTGCGCCGGGCAAAGAGCGAGCCATTAAAAGTCCCCGTTCCTTTTCTAAATCGAGCTTCGCCATGTTTATAATTTTGTCTGGATCTACATGAGTCTTATTAGTAAATTAATGATTTCAAATCGTAGTCAGATGTACCTTCATAGAGTGGTTTGGAAACCCGTGGTGAATTGGAATTGGAGTTAGACTTCTTCAGTTGTTGGTACATCTCCTCCGATTCAATGAGCTTGGCTTGGAGTTTTTCAATCTCGCTCAGATAGTTTCCAACTATGTTTGTTAGTACGGAATCAAAATTATCGCCTTGCGACCATTCTTGAGATACCTTTTCAAGTTTTAGTTTTGCATTATTTTCTGATAACACTTGAACCGTCTCCTGCATTGATTTCAATCGATGATGCAATCGTTTGTTATCAGCCAACAGCATCGCGTTTTCGTTAAACGTATCCGAAATATAATTATTTCCCTCGCAGTCTATAAGACGTTTTCCCTACAAGTATATGAGATTCGTTATCTTGTGATTTGTTGAAATATATGTATATATATATATGTATTTGTGCTAACCTGCTTATATTCCAGGAGCTCCAGTTGTAGTGCCGCAATTTCCCTTCGCAATTGCAAAATTGTCCGCGAACTCTGGTCCTGATTGATTTGCACTTTGTTCTTAATATTTCTGGCCCTGTTCGCATATTTCAAGGTGTTAAGAGTTTCCATAAAGTCCCTATCACTCGGCGATACGCAGGCTATCATTAATGTTCTGCTGTTGCCACCTAACGAATCCTGAAGAAGCCGTGTCAGCTTTGAGTCTCGGTACGGCACGTGGGTAGACTTTTTAGATTTGTCTCCCAGTGCGGAAATACAATTTCCAAGAGCCAGCAGGCCACAATTTATTGAAATGCCCTCACGTGCTCGTTCGCCCGTAGCTAATGTGCGCTTCAAACGCTCCGAGCCAGCTAAATCAACAAAATGAAATTTTGAAGTCAATGTTTCCAAGTCGTTTTCTGCGAAGTTAGATTCCGAAGCAAGAAGACGCTGCCTGCGAATAAGTATTGTAAAAACTGCATGCGACCGCGATGATTGATCATTCATTTTGGTTGATGCAGTTGTTCGCGCTAAAGCCCCTTGTTGAAGATATCTGTTAAACGTTTCTAATTATCACCTTGTTTCTTATTTCCACGAGAAAACGTTTGTATACCTACTTTAATGCATCCTGTGGTTCATATATTGCTTTGATAGTAGCACCAGTAACAGCAATTTCTCCATTACTGCTCTCCTGTATCCTAAAACTCCTTCCTTTACTATATGGGTCCAACAAGTCAATAATATCCTCGTTGTACAGTTCTATGAATTGCACAGCAACACTGAACTCAGACTTTGCTTGTTCGGTCGGTATTTCCTCAATACTCAGCACCAAGTTTTCAATTCCGGCAAACAAATGCCGAACTGCACGAGGTATAATGCCAAGTTGATGGTCTAAAAATGCGTGGTCGAAACCGGTACCCATCGTATAAGTCTTTCCAGACCCTGTTTGGCCATAGGCTAGTACCGTCGCGTTGTACCCATTAAGAGCTCCCTCCACTAAGCGCGCCACACACTCATTGTATATATCAGCCTAAGAAAGAAATAAATGTTTATGAAAGAAGCTTTTTATTATATACACATTCTTACCTGTATAGAGCTGGTATCATAAACATAATCAAATGTAAATGCTTTATCTGATCCCAGAATAATTTGATGTTCCCCAGGTATCACAGTTGTACAAATACGACACATATCTATAAGCTCTCGTGGATTCTGCGGTCGGATTCTAACAAATAAAACACAAGATTGGCTTGGGTTAAGTACATCGTACGAAAAGCGCGGAGCAGGGCAGGGTTTTTCAATTAATCGTAAATAGTAGTATGCAGAACTAATTGGCATCAGCTTTTGGTTCAATTTTTAAATTTAATCGTCGAATAAAAAATCAGCTCAGTAGCGAAATGGGATTTGCTTAAGTACTTCATATGAAAAGCGCCGAGGACGACTGATTTTACAACAAACACACTTACCTTACAGCTACTCGAACCGAACAATCCGAGTCATCAATCTCATTGTCAGCTAACATATTGGCTTTGAAAACCTACAAATAGTTAAAAATAAACTCATTTAAAAACTTTATTTTTTGATACAAAGACAAATGGTGGTATTTTAATATATAATGTTAATCAGTACTGCTAAGATTTTAGATTGTTAATAATATGATCGGCATTATTCTCCCACTATTCCTCAAGGCTTTAATGCTTCGTATCTGATTTATGAAGGCTTTTTCTGTTTGGCAATGTATTTAGAAACTCTATACAACTTTTTGGTGCTCTGCAGTACTGTGGTCGCCGAGGGTATCGCGGTTATAGTTTCAATTTGGCTGTATGGGAGGTGTGCTTCAAGGTTTTCCCATCTGCCTGCTATTTTTATAAGAACAGGGGCAGACGGAGTTGATTCCTCCGCTACAAAATAATAACAACAATTTTGTGAACTGAAAAACACGACATACGAAATTTCGGACTATAACAAAGTCAATTTAAAATTATTGTTCGTAAAATGGCAATCAAAATGTAAACATTTAGGGAAAATTTTTACCTATTAAATTCAGAGTTTATACGTTTCCTCGCAAAATTGCACTTTAATTTTAAGATATTTAAGGAAACTATTGCAGTTGCGCGTAACGGGTGCTCCTAACATGACATGTATGTGTTTATTTATGTATGTAAATATGTATGAGTACAACACATCAGTATATATGCCACTTTAGCACCTCTTTACACAGTTGTCGCTTTTTAGTGACTGCGTATTCAACAACAGGTTTCTTGTGAACGGATTAGTCAGCTTTGTAAAAAACGTTTATTTACCCAATTTTTAAGTGAATAAATACACCAATCTAAAATACTAGTTCTCACATATACAACCAACAGCTGATAAATAGAGATGAGTACATTTTCGTACCTGTTGTTTTGTAACGAAGATTTAAAAATACCTCATTAAAAAATACTCATCGAAAGTATTACTTCAAAAGTTTATGCGCGTTCGTGCGATAACTCATTCGCAAAATGTGCCATTAAATTATTGACTATTTGTTTTTTCAGAATTATAAAATGCACATTTAACTGTTGTTTGTGTGCAAACTGGCAACGCAGAATCGAAAATATAATTGCAATTTGCTTCTACAAAACGGAACAAGTATTTCTTCAATAAAAACCGAAGCATTAGCATTTACCATAGACCAAAATAACAACACAAAATTAGTTATTTTAATTCAAAAATGTATATCTTTTATTTAAGATTGAACATTTTAAAATGCCCTACTTTTCCTCAGGCTTGCTGAAGACAAAAGTCAAATTGCATTTTCCGCAATAATGCCGATCCTCGTGGGCAGCCATAAACACTCCGGCACCACAATTCTCACCTGGGCACTCACGACGGAGACGATGGATTTTTCCATTCTCGTCAACCTAAAAAAAGAGTTAAAGAACAAAAAGGAATAAATGTGCGTCCGCTTCAAAAGAGATAAACACTTCTAGTCAAAAGCTCAAGTTCACGACTCAAGAATTCCATCCGATCAATATTTATACTGGATTTGTACCTTGTAGTATTTAAGAACAGCTAGCTTGACCTTCTTCCTCTTGTGTTTGATTTTCTTGGGAGTAGAGTAGTTCTTCTTCTTGCGCTTCTTGGCACCACCACGGAGGCGGAGCACCAAGTGCAATGTAGACTCTTTTTGAATGTTGTAGTCGGACAGAGTGCGACCATCTTCCAATTGTTTGCCAGCAAAGATCAGACGTTGTTGATCTGGAGGAATTCCCTCTTTGTCCTGAATCTTGGCTTTGACATTTTCGATTGTATCCGAAGGTTCGACCTCAAGGGTGATGGTCTTGCCCGTTAGGGTCTTAACGAAAATCTGCATTATGGACTCCCGTTACCAAGAAACTGAAAAACGAATAAGTGTTTTAATTAGAAGTTTGTTATTCAATCAGTAAATTATGCATACACATATTAAATTAAATAGAAACACATTTGCGCAGGCCACTGATCATGATATATTTACGAAAATATTGCTGCTACAACTAATTACAAAATTATTAAATGTACGTTTTCCAAAATGAATGTTTATACTAGAAGCACAGCATTTATAACTCCATCATTTTCCGGGTTATTTGTAACCTGCGCGTATTTACCCCAAACAACTTTGCCAGTCTGTGTAACCAAGCCCAGTTCCGAGATATTCACTTCTATTACGGTACCTTTTGTAATAACTCCAAGGGAAGTAAACATTGGGGAGCTTGGATTCTTTTTCACTCCAATGATAGGCAGATGAAAAGTGGCTTTTAGTTCGGGGTGTGTGACATGTGCCTTCTTTAAGCGAAGCGCCATCGGTCTGATAAAGCGTTCAAACTTTGGTGGTTTTCGTGTGAAGTTTTCGCCGACGAATGTTACTTTGGTAATCATACGTTTCCAGGCCTTTCGCTTGGTTTTTCCCGTCTTTAGAACTTTGAAAACTTCTGCATCTGACTGCGCACGAACTTTTGGAATAGGTACGTCCCACTTTCCAGCTTTTTCCTTCCGTTTCTGCTTTAGCATATTAGACAAGACCTTTGCAGACGACTGGACGCCTCTGTCAAGAAGATAATGCGGAAGAGCTCCTTCTTCCACTTTTTCCTCTTGTTTCTTGACTTTCTTTTCTTCATGGGCTTGAATCTTCTTTTTCATTTGAATCTTTTCATTGCGGCGTTCCTTTTGGAATAGTTTGGCTTTAATGCCCCGCAGCTTGCGCGCTTTACGTGCTCTGTCTTTAGGAAGACGTGCTTCCTTTTTGCGTTTACGCACGTCATAATCAAGCCGCCTACCGTACAACTTACGGTGGCGTTCCATATACTCATTTTGCGGCATAGTTGCTTACCTGCAAAAAAGAGATGATTTATTTACAAATATCATTCACAAAATGTGCATATAGAATTTTCAAAAAATACATATATGTATATTATAATCCAAAAATATCGCCCGGATATAGAGCTAAGCTAAATAAACCGGATAGTTTACGAATGAAGTGTTTCAGAACCGTATTAAATCTTACGCACTAACACATGTGCACTAAATTCATTTGCATATTTTTCTTTTTTGAAAATTCACAATGCCATTTTTATTCGGTGTTACTTACCTCTATAAATAATACATCAATATAAAAACATTTACATGAATGTATTTAGGAAACAATTTCATGTACATACATATATTCACCACTTGAAAACACTACATCGACATAATTATGTACAACACATGTGTGTGTACAACGTGTGCACAAATAGACAATGCACGAAACGCATGTACAACTCGAAAAAAGTCTCAATATTTCCGCAAAAATACCATTCCACCGGTATGATTAGACAATTAAATAAGCCCTTAATACTTCATTGTCATTTACCGACTTACCAACTTATTTTCAACCATTAAAAATAAAAAAAAATAAAATCTACTAACCTTAGTCCGGCAGCAGCACAATAGCGAAAGAAGGAAATTACAACAGAGCAGGAAGTGCTGCCATAAGAATATAGAGTCGCAATATAATTTATCGAGTGCTAGCCCATCATTCTGCTAAGCCTTATACCACCATATTGAATACTTTAGTAGTAAAGTAGAGATAGCAACATAACAAAACGGCCAAATTGGAAATTACAAATTCGTATATTAATTATTAAAGTAAAAAATTGGTATTTATGCAAAGACTACATTTTTAGAGTACATTTTTGTGAGGTGAGGCCTATTGTTTATTCTCTCTATAACGAAACTGCATCAACATTTGCGTTCAAATATGATGTTAGTACTAACAATCACAACTGGGTAGCATTGTTCTCATTGTTCCAATTTTAATCATGGAAATTGTTGTTATTTATACTTTCCAATTTTGAAGCAATGTGAATGTTGTATTACCGGTAGACACATCAAAGGCTGTCACTGGTAGCAATATTTTTAATATATCGATATTTAGATATTAACATTTTCGAAGGTGCCTCCGGCAATGAGGCACTTTTTGTATTTATCACGTCCAAGTCACCAGATCGCTCGTAATTTGGTGGTCAACCACAACAAAGTAATTGTTCCTAACAAATTTTCAAACTGTAAGCACAGAGTCAACTTACATATTCTATTCGGGATCGTTTTTACGTTTATTAATGTCCGAAGAAGCAAAAGTAATTTCTTACCTATTTTGTGGTTCGGGTTTTATAAGTTTGCTTAGTCGGGGGAATTGTAAAGTCATTGTTGATATGTGTTATGAAATTATTGGTTTTATTATACATATATGTACATATGTTTATACTTATAAATTACCATGTGTACATTTAATACCTGTATAGACGTATTTCGTGTCAGGTTATTTAATTTTCGTGCGGTTGATATATGTACATATGTGCATATACATATGTATATGTATGTATGTAAGTGATTATTCCGGCAAAGAACAATTTTTACATTGTATGTACATATGCGAAGGACTTTGTACCTGCCAGCGAGATCAAACATTTTTATAAGCTTGCAAAAATTAGTATTATAATTAGTATCATATTTTTAACGCTTACGATGTTATATGTACATCTTAAATGATCAGCATGACCAAGACGAATCAGTAGTTAGAAAGGTGACGAGCTCAAATTCTGCTAAAATATTGTTGCCACAGTACGTGGAAAATTGTCATATCCATTAGCAGAATTATCAATACTTATATTTATACCTTAAACTTTAATATTCGTCTTTAAAACATTAGGAAAATAATTTTTTCTTTTAAAACAGCTCCAATATTTGTGAGATATTTGTCAAATATTCAGAACTTGAACGCATCTAAAATCATGAAAGATAAATTTATGTATCCTATTGCAAAAAAGGATGAAAAAATTGAGGATAATTTTCATGGCACCAAAATTAAAGATGTTTACCGTTGGCTAGAGGATCCAAATGGCGATGATACACAAAAATTTGTGGACGCTCAAAACAATATCAGCCAACCATTTCTTGAAGGCTGTGATAAATGGGAAAAGTTTAATGCAAAGCTCACAAAATTGTGGAACTATCCCAAATATGGGTGTCCAATGAAATATGGAGATTATTATTACTATTTTATGAACACCGGCTTGCAAAATCAGAGGTACGTTATAAATAACATGTCCTATGCTGTATATTAATTTCCATTGTATTTTCAGCGTTTTGTATCAGCAGAAGTCTTTAAAAGGCGAAAGCAAAGTATTTCTCGATCCAAACAGTTTATCTGCAGATGGTACGATCGCTTTAACCCAGAAATCTTTTTCTGATGATGGTAACTACATGGCCTACGGTTTGAGTGAAAGTGGCTCAGATTGGATAAAGATTCGCATTCGAAATGCAGAAACTGGTGAAGATTTTCCTGAAATTTTAGATAAAGTGAAGTTTACCGAAATATCATGGACAAAAGACAACAAAGGTTTCTTTTATGGGGTATGTCTACACAAATTAAAGTACTTCGATTGTTATACATAATTTGAATGTGTCTTTTAAAACAGAGATACCCAGACCAAGATGGCACAACCGATGGCTCCGAAACCAAACAAAACGAAAACCAAAAATTATATTATCATCGCATTGGCGAAAGTCAGGATAATGATGTTCTGGTTGCAGAATTTCCAGAAGAACCCTCATGGCGCATGTAAGAATAAAAACATAAATTTGCAGCACAAATATATATTTTGAAAATCTAGCGAAATACTTGTACCAGAAGAATTTGTTGCTTGACGACTTAAAAAACCAATAATTATTAATGTCTTGCTAGCGTCCAAATTGAAAAAGTTCACTATTTCTATCCTTTTTTTTTACCAATTTTAACTTGACGCAAGGTAAGTTATATGGGCGCTGCCTGATAATAAATCCGCCTCGCAATATCGTCAAGTTTATAAAAAAAAAACTGCGAGGCAAAAAATGGCCCATATTAAATGATTTATTTGAACTCCGATCTATTATCAGACAGCCCCATTATATTTATTAGTCTGTCAACTACGTTCTAGTAATAATATACTGTTTTATTTTTTTTAAGAAATTAACTACGTTTTTTATTCGAATTATTTTTAAGACAATCTGTGGTATCTGACTGTGGAAAGTATTTGATTTTGGCAATAGTTAAGGACTGCCGTGATAATATTGTGTATTATGCGGACCTCGACGCAGGAAAGGACATTACCTCAAAATTGAATGTTAAAAAAATTGTCACAAAATTTGAATCCGACTACGATGTAAGTGTATAACAATTTTCAGTTGATGAGCAAAATGCTAATTTATTTCCGTAATAGTTACCAACTATTCGGCTCAGCCCAAATATATGTAATTGAAGTTAAATAATTTGTAAACAAACATTTTCTATACCCCTTAAGTTAAGGACAATTTCTAGTATTTATTTTCGAAAGAATCAATTTTATACAACTATAACTGTTTGGAGTTCTGCCTTAATCACTTCAGCTCTTTATATAAGATACAAAATCTTATTTTACCAAAATTTGTCTGAGCGTTCATCCAAAATTGTTTGGATATTGATAGAGCAGAAGGTTTAACATAATTTTCTGCCTTTATGTCTGCTATGCCTTCAACCTTTGCCTTGTCTTGTATTATAACTTGTAATATTAGTTTAGGTGAAGACTACTTTTTAAAACAGCAAACACAATGTCCATTTCCCCTAACCTTCGAAACAAATCTATATGTAGCATGCAAAATGTTTTAGATTTGGATAAGATTTCATGCAATTTTGTTTGAATAGTTTTAATTTTTTTCTTTTCCAGTACATAACTAATGAAGGATCCAAAGTATATTTTCGAACAAATAAAAATGCGCCGAACTACCGAGTAATAATTATTGATTTTGAGAATCCCGACGAAAAAAATTGGACCACTCTTGTTTCGGTAAGTTGTAAATACAAGATTAATGCTACATCAATTATCTTATATGTTCTGTACGTTTAGGAACACGAAAAAGATGTCTTGGACTGGGTAAAATGCGTTAGTGGGAATAAGCTTCTGCTTTGCTATATAAGAGACGTGAAAGTAGGATTAATGTCTTTAATAGTAATCAACAACTATTAACATAATCCAATTATAGAGCATTTTGCAAGTTCATGCACTTGAAACTGGAGAGTTAACACAGCAGTTTGATTTAGACATTGGAACTATTGTAGGCACCTCGGGAAAAAAGAAATATTCGGAAATATTTTACAATTTCTCGTCATTCCTCAATCCTGGCACAATCTACCATTACGACTTTTCAAAACCAGATAAGAAACCTGAAATCTTTCGAAAAATTGAACTAAATTTGGAAGGCTTCCGACAAGATGACTATAAAGTTGAACAAATTTTTTACAATAGCAAAGATGGCACTAAAATACCAATGTTCATAATTCGAAAGAAACGCGAAACCATAAAGCCTCGACCCTGCCTTCTGTACGGCTATGGAGGTTTTAATATTAGTATGCTGCCCTCTTTTGGACTGACTGGGTGAGTTTAAAAGCATTGCATATTAAAATAAATACACTTTTTCTGAACAATGTCGTAGTCTTATGTTTGTAGATACTTTCGATGGCGTGCTGGCCTATCCAAATATACGTGGCGGCGGGGAATACGGCGAAAAGTGGCACAATGAAGGACGATTGCTTAATAAGCAAAATGTTTTCGACGATTTTCAGGCAGCTGCTGAGTATTTAGTTGACAACAAGTACACGACGAAAGACCGATTAGCTATTCAGGGCGGATCTAATGGTGGTTTACTAGTCGGAGCCTGTATAAATCAACGTCCCGATCTATTTGGAGCAGCCATTGCACAAGTTGGGTACGTATAGGGCTTTATGATGTATCTTCAAATTTTCATAAAATAAATTCCTCAGGGTAATGGATATGCTACGTTTTCATAAGTTTACCATTGGACATGCATGGTGCTCTGATTATGGAAATCCTTCAGAAAAGGACCATTTTGAGAATCTATACAAATTTTCACCTCTGCACAATGTCCATACGCCATGTGGAACGGATAAGGAATACCCCTCTACATTAATACTGACCGCTGACCACGATGATCGCGTTAGTCCATTACATTCGTTGAAGTTTATTGCCGCACTTCAAGAGGCTGTACGTGCCTCAGATGTTCAGAAGAACCCATTGTTATTGCGCGTTTACAAGAAAGCTGGCCACGGCGCTGGAAAGCCGACGTCTAAAAGAATTGAGGAATCCACTGATATTCTAACATTTATGTACAAAAGCCTAAACATTGATGTAGTTAATTTGTAAACTTTGCCAATGGTGTTCAACAAGTTTTCTACCGTGTGGAATTTTCACCCACAATGTAACCAATAAATATGTATCTTCATTAAACATTTTTTAATTACAAATACTTCTGAAAGCATATAATAGGGATGAGTTTGGGAAAAAGCGGTTTGTATTTCTACACGGAACTACTTCATCTGTAATCCATTCGTAAACTGTGAGTACGTAGTACGAGTGTATTTTAAAATTCTGCCATTTTACACATAGGTACAGAGTAGTCCCAAGTCAGCACACCCGACATTAGCTTCTCCGCTGGTTTTGATAAACACAAGGTTTGTTTTCAAGTCAAGTTAAATGGTTTCTAGCATATTGCAAATATTTCAATACATTATTGTTATTAGAAAACGGATAATACAGCATTTATCACACCATAGTCCAGTTCTTTCGCGGAATGTTACCAATTCCATTTAATTAGAAGAAGTGTTTTCGCATACTCTTCAAAAACTTTGGTGCAATTTGAAACACCTTTGAAAACGGAGTGAGAAGGACGTCCTTTGTGGACAATTTGATCAGCGGAGCATTAACAACCCCTCGTACGGTAAATGTCGGCTTTTAGACTTTTATTAGGTGAAGTATGTAAATTAAAAATATGATTTCAAAAACATCTAAGCATACACACATTGGTAGTTTCTACCCACTTACTTTATTTACAGATCGAATAATTAATTTAAAAAAGTCCCCATAATTCTTACTATAAACTAAACTAAAATATGCTGCTAATAAGGTAAATAGATTCAGACTAGCCGCCAAGCGTTCGTCTCTAAATGAACTTCCGCCAACTGTGAGACACCACAGTCACATTTAATTACATACATATATAAAAACACGAAATACATAGTTTTTTCGAAATTTTAATTCATGTGTTACATTTTTCTTTGGCTATATTTCTTATAAGACTTATGTATGTAAATACAATTTTATAAAAAAAGACCAGATCATAGGCCAAATTTATTTTAAAAGTGGCAATATTAGCCAACTAAAAGCAACCAACTCAACCTTTTAAATGAAAATGTGTCTTTCAGACCATTGTCTTCACAAAACTGGTTTAGCAATATTGTCCATATTTATATTGACTAAGTTTATATCTATCTTTTTCTCTCATTCACTCGAAGATGTACATTTCTACATACAACATGCGTATACATACAGACATTTGTATGTATGTAGATGTAAATGTTAGTGGTTTCATGTTCAGCAACAAAGCTCAGCCAAAATCCACAAACAGTTTACGTTTTTAAGCCAATCAAGAGAGTGTAATTTTTTGCTTTTCATTTCTGAATGTAATTTTATTTGGTAAAATATTTAATTTCGTGTATAAATTTATTCATTTATTAAATTATTACAAGTACATGCATTCAGGCATCTTATACACAAATGAAATGAAGAATTATTAATTTCTTTGTTAATTAGTTTGTTTTTTAATTGTAGCCATGCATATGCCCATATGCCATATGTATATGGATAAAAGCCATATGTATGTACATACATATGGATTATTTACAAGATTCGAGAAAAACTATTATAATTTCCCTTCGAAGTGTGACGCATGTATTTCATTATAGAAATATAAAATATAAGCTGTGGCAACGATTTAAATATGTACGCTTTTACCGAAAAGCTGATGTCATAACGCGCATACTATATGTACATACATACATATACATTTAGAGCATGTACATATTTCTTGTTTTAATGTACATAAATTTTTACTGATATTTGAGAAATATGTGAAGACAATGATGTTAAAGTAGCTATCAATAACAGAACGGATGAAAAATGATTATCAACGGAATTTAAATCTATAAAATTAAAGCTCAGATAATATTGTACTTTTTATCTTTCTTTTCAGTATTTCATATATAAAATGACAAAACAAGTATTTTCTATTGTTGCAATTATTTTGGTTGCACTTTTACATATTGCTTCAGCTAATTTAAATTCTAAATTTACACATAAAGAAAAGGATATGATGCGTAAAAGCATTGTTTTTGATAAAAGGACGCCTGATGTATTCTATTGCCCAATGCGAAAACCTACCTCAATGAATAAGCTGATAGTCAAGTAAGTGGAAGTTTATGTATGTAATATATAAAACTAATGTCGGAAAGTTCCGACGATTAACGTGAAATGAAGGGAAATTGTGTACAAAATACGAAATGGATTTCGCATTAATCCTCAGATATTTGGTAAATGCTTTAATACTGTGCAATAAAGACAAATAACCAAAATAGCAATGCTACCAAAAAAAAAAAAATAAGTAACAATGCCTGGGGTATAAATTTGAATAATAAATTATTATGGATATATAGTACTAAATGCGATTTTTCCTCTTTTAGATCCCGACCTTTACATAAGCTGTGTGAATACGATGGCAATGATTTGCCATCAGATTATAAATCTGATTGCTATGACGACATCGACGAATCAACTTATGCATGCAAGGAAAAGCACAGAATAATGGTAAGCAATCTAGGTATATCAGTATTTAACTAGTGGTAGTAGTGTGTACTTATATTTCTATGAAAACTCATCTTTCTCATTTACATTTGCTGGTTTTATTTTTCTTGTTAATGCTTTAGTAATATTATTTCTTATAGAGTTCAGAAACTAAACAATCTGTACATTAACAAAGTAATTTAATAAATGTCTATCCAACAAATCAATACTAATCAGTATTAGTTCTATTACACTATACAAAGCTTCACTACCAAAATGATCTTCATACTATTCAGAAATGATACTCAAAATGTGGCGATTAAAAGATGGAAAATAAGAACCCTATACATTTCCATAATTACCATTTTGATTATCTGTATGGCTTACGAAGTTTAGTCAAGTCTGCGGTCCATCCTTAGACCAATTTTCTTCTTATTATTTTCGTTGTCTGTCGCCACTAACTAATAAATAAAATCAGCTCATTCTGAATTCTTAATGATGTTCTCAATCAAATACTAACAAACAAATAAATTTCATATTTATTTTTACATTCAAATAGGAGAGCAAAATTCCTTACTTCTGTCATTTATCGCATAATGCCAAATCGAATGTAATATATTTGGTACTAATCTATAGTTATATTTATTTACAGAAACGTTTCGCCAAAGACGAACCCCTCATATTGCAATAAACACAATAAAACCTTAACACAAAATACACCACACTTATTCCGCACTGCAGGTTGTGTGTCTTACACGACAGGACATCTACACACTAATGTATTCGCTAAATAACAAATAATACCTGATATATTATAAAGTTAACTGAAATAAACGTTTTTGATCAACTATTGATTCATGAGGTTCCAGCGGAAGTATACAAATTTCATGAACTCCATGTTGGATAGTATATAGTAGGAATCTATATAGCCAAATTAAATCAAATTGGTTATGGATAACGAATCATAAATAAAGCTTTTACTAAAAAAAAAACGAATATATTTTAAAACAATAATCTCATCTATTATTACAAAATGTTTTCAAAACATTTGAGTAACAGCGCAAAAGAGTTTTTCAGAGGAAAAGTTAAATATGCTTGGCTGTTATTAATTATATTTTGTACCTGAACGGTACTATTATATTTGGTTTGTGCAAAGTGAAAAATGCCTGTCTATCCGACCGTATAAACAACTAAATCTCAGAGACTATATGAACTACATTTCAATTTTAATCAAATTTGGCAATTACTTCCGGTTAGTGCTTTCATGTCCGTTTGCAAAGTTTCATCACGATAGGCCATTATCTAGAAAGTTATAGGCATAAATGTATTCTCTGCCCAAGGTCTGCCAGAAGCTGTTGTTCCTGCTTTGGCTCAACTCTGTACTACACGCATACTTACACACGACCACGCAAATACAGAGTACACAGTTTAAAGTCGGTGAATCCGACTTTAGCTTTTTCACTTGTTTTTATACTGCACCAAGGATGAATATTTTTTAAAGGAAGGTATCATACATAGTATGCTAAAAAAATTCACTTAATGTATATTATCAAGATTCAACATATTTTGTTTTCCTACAATGTTTTAATTTTCGTTATTTTATATTTATAAACACTTTTCAGATGCGAAAATACCCTCCAGGTAGCGAGAAGGCATTCACCGGAACCCAGAAAAATATATTTATAAACTTGAAAAATCCTGTGAAGCCTAAGACCAACTAGAATAAAGAAATGACTCTTCAGACAAACGAGCCCACAAAAATGTAATTGAAACAGCTCTGCAGAATGAAACTCACAACTTACGAAAAATCTTAACGACTCTTCTATAACCTTAACGTTTCCTAAAAACTTTGAAAATAAATACGAGTATACAACTAAAGTGTTTTTTCTTTGAATCACTAAGAACAAACGCGAATCATTATAATTATTAAAAATATATTATTGAGGGTACTCGAAAGTTGCGAAGTTTACTTTAAATAAAACGTAAATACTATAATAATTGTGTAAAAGTCGGATACTGTCTGCTACATATTTGATATAGGATCAAATCCAGGTGATTTTCAATCCAACCACTTGATCAAAATGAACAAATAAAGTAACCATAGAATAGGAAGAACAGCTTACATTTCAGATTATTGAAATATACTTTGGTTGTGAAATGGAATCAAACTGATGAAGCTCCCAAATTATTTTCTTAAGAAAACGTGATTTACCATATGTTTTTTCAACTGGAATATTCCGGAATCCGAAAGTGTATAAATGAGTGTTATATGATTTCTATGCTGCTGTGGACTACATATTGTTTTGGGATCGTCGTTTTTGCGGAAGTTAATTATGGATATCAATGTTTTCACATTTTTTCCTTTAAAATAATGACAATTAAATACTTCTTTATTGTTTTTGTTTTAAATTTGTTTGTCATATTCAAAATTGCATTTATATAATATATGAATTGTAATAATTAATCAATAAAATACGGTTATATAAATCTATATTTTAAATAATTATTAAACAAATTGACGATTTTTCAAGAACTCTAACATGCCTTGAACACTTGCGTTAACCTGTGGCTGTGACGACTGCGGTCCATTATGTAGACTGCTGGACATGCTCATACCAGGAAGGACTGGTGGTTGTTGGGTCTGGCCAGTAAATCCTAGTCAATAGTAGAAATACATATATGCAATTAACCGATAATAAATAATTACTATTTACTTACTTTGTGTGTTCTGCTGCTGCGCAAAGGGGTGCAAAAACATGTCCTGCTGCTGCTGTGGGTGAGTTAGCATTTGACCTTGTTGTGGAAAAGATGAGTATTGCCGATATGAAAGTATTGCGGGATCCATTGAAGTCCAATCGTTAGTGCTATTACCTAAATTTCCATCACAATGAATTTATTTTAATGACACTTGTCTTAAATTAAAATACTTCCTTAATTTACTCAACTACTTTTAAGGCGGTTCGTTTGATTCGCTACACAATTTACACATTAAATTATAAGCAGTTGGAAAATTTTTGGATCTGTTTGTACGGTAGTAAAAACAATGTCCAAATAGCAGCCGTATTTGAAAACTCCAGATTCAAGAACACAGATGACGATAGAGAAACCAAAATTTAAATATCGATACTGACACTTTTAAGAAGAATTGTTGTGGACAGACAAAAAGTAATCTGAGTGAAATAAATTGATTGTTTATTACGATATCTATAGTAGGTTTCCTAAGCAATGGGTTAAATAAAAGTATGGACAGTTATTTAGATGAAATTTGTACAATTTATATAAAAATATTGCAGCAAATAGTAACCACGCAGATTCAAAGCTTTTCTTCTAGCCCTATTCGTTCACGCATTTTCTTCTACTGCTATTTTTACGAAAATATTGATTTCCTGTCACGTAAGAGCAATTTGGTTATTTCAAAGTCCACATGACTATTTAATTTAAAGCTCAGACTATAGAAAACGAATTGAATGGAATTGACAGTTGAGTTTAATAGATTGCGTAGAACTTACCTTTGCTGTGAGGGCCTGCAGTCTGAGCTAGTTGTTGCAGTTTAGTGTCATTAATCGACTGTCCCTGGTGCGGAAGCAAATGTGGGTTCCAGTTGGATTCTAAGGACACTTGGTGTCCACCAAGGATGTTGGCATTTCCAACATTATTGCCAAATGGTGCCATTTTATTCGTGTTCGGCAAGCGGGAGCCATTAATGCCTAATGTGTTCATCGAATTGAAACCTGGGGGCGGCATTCGAGCACGGTTGATGTTATCAATCAGTTGCTGTTGCGAGACTTGTTGGGGCTGCGTCTGCATTTTTGAACCAACGTTTCCGCCATTTATATTTTGCTGCTGAACAATTTCATTCTCCATGAGCTCAGCCAATCCTTTTTGCGTTTCAATAAAAGGATCAAACCCTATATTGTGGATCAATGAAAGCTTCATTTCCTTGATCAAATTATTAATAATTAGATTATGCTCACCCAAATCATCGTCAACAATAGAGTTTTGTGCAAACATATTCTGATGGTTCTGCTGCTGCTGCTGTTGTGTGCTTTGAGACAGGTTTTGTGGCTGAAATATAAAAATGTTTGAAAATTTTTAATTTACGGAGGCACAATCCAAACTAAAAGTTAATGTAAATTTCAAGAAACAACAACAAGGAGTAATAACTATTGCCTTTTATTCTGTTAATTTCAAGTTATTGTATTTCACAAATAATATGATAATGATTTAATTATGTATTTAGAATTTTTTAAACTGGACATTTAAACTGGAATTATGTAATTATTTCCGTAACTATTTATATATAAAATATACTCACCATTGTTTCAAACATTCCATGTAACCTCTGTTTTTGCACCTGCGACTGGGGTGTTAAAATTCCTACAATGATGTTAGAGTCACATGTATGAAGATATGTAAGAGTGCTTATTATTTACCATTATCGACGAGTTGTGGATTAAGCCGACCATTCTCAAGAAAAGCAGCATTCCGATTTATTTGAGGCGAATGTGAATTGAGATAATGATGATGTTGTAACTGTTGTTGGCTTTTATGAAAGTCGAAAAACTTTGTCATATTTCCACCAAAGAACCCACTGTGGCACAGCATATTATCTCTGGGCTGTTGCTGTAGAAGTTGTGAGTGCTGCTGAACAAGTGCTTGTGCCTGTGCCCTAGTTAAGTCCACATTGTTGCTATAGATGTCTGAAATCAATATTCAATAAAATTCAAGTTACAAAACAAACGCAATGAAATGACTAATAACTTTAATCATACCATTTGGCCCACTGCCTATTTGTGGCATACCAATATTGTTTGCAATGTTGTTTCTTTTCTGCATCTCGTGCATGCGAAGGAACTCTTCCTGTTGCTGCAATACTTGTTGGTGATGGTGTTGTTGTTGCTGCTGAAGATGCTGTTGATGCAACAATTGTTCTTCAACATGTCTGTTGTTTCGAATCATAACGTTTTTGAAAGCCTCTTCCCATTCTGCATAGAGATCCATTATTGAATGAATAAAATATGAGAATTATTTAAATACATATATATCAGAATTTTTAAATACCATTTGTGTTCGAAGTTTTTTGGTATTCGTCAATACCTAGTTATTGCCAGTTTTATGTTTGCCGACGTGGTTATGGTGAGAGAAGTAAAGATAAGAAGACAATACATTTAATTCAGAATTAACACATAATTTATATGTATGAGGTATTGGCAGAAACGCACCATTGAGCAAGTCTGGCAGATGGGAAGATGTTGCATTGCTCATCTGATTGTGACGCGATTCAGCTTCAAGTTTGTTTTTTAATAGTAATGATTGCTGGAATGCCGACGACGATGAGAAGAAACTGTTGCTATCATCGAACAGACTTAAATTATCAAATGCGGCTGCAAATAATATTCAAAGACATAAAGTTAATTGATATTATCAATTACATATAAACAAACATACATGCTACTTCCGCCGTATTTCCACTATTATCTTCAATTTTAGTTGGGTTGCCTTCAGATGTCACGTTTGCGATGTTTTTATCAATATTTTTCGAATACGTTTCCAATTTTCTAGCATCTGGCTTTGCTGTGGATATTAAGTCTGAGACAATGCTACCGGAATCTGTCTGTTTTGACGAAGTCAAATCGTTTAAGATAACATCATCATTTTCGTCCACAGAATCGTTATCAACCGATGGCGCTTCCAGGGTATCTTCATTAGGAATTGTACACTCAGTGTCTGTCGAACTTTTCGCGTCTGTCCTGCTTTCCGAGCCATGGTCAGCACTATTTTCACTCGTAGAGCTGGGCGATCGTTTTTCATTGCAATCTAATCGGGATGGCGAGACTGTTCGATAGTGGCTTTCAGTGACATTATTAAGCGGGACTTTCTCTTCTGGTTGCTCCGACGTCTTATTGGAGCTATTGCTGCTTAGCACGACAGATTTGCTTTGATGCTGATTCTTCGAAATAGCTGTACGTGCGTGCAACGAGTTTTCCTTGTTTCGCTCGATTCTAGATCTGGAACTTCCATTACTTGTATCTGATTTAGATGTTGACGTGATCGTTTCATCTGACGATAAAGCTGTTAATAATGCTGGGGCATTTGCATTTTCTTTGGAATCCGATGTAAAGCTTTCTTTATTTGATGCAGTCGAAGAACTGTTGTAAGCTGTATTTTTACATTTCGATTTGTTGTTTCTGTCGTAACGACTTTTATCGTTTCGAGATTTGTCTTTTTTATTTTTTCCATTCGATAAGTTTCCGTTACCCAAAGTCTCTTTACTGTTAACAGGAGAAACAGATAAACTGGGCCATGCTTCCTTTTGCTGATTACTATTCGAAGAAGCAACATTTGACGCAGTCCCCGACGAGGTCGACGATGTGGTTGAAGATAATGACGATGACATTGATGCTGAATGTTCAGGAAATAGTGATATTAATTATATGGGTTTTTAAAGTTGTAGAAGCGGTGTTACCATTAGGTTTCGAATTTCCACTAACGTTTGAAGCTGCACTACTCACTGGACCCCCAATACTATTTATAGATGTGAAACTTGTTCCGGCATTTGCTACCAATGCGTCGTGCAGACGCTTTTCGTATTCCTGGTGCTTTCCCTGGTGCATTTCCTTTACATGTATTAAACGAGGAGTGCATTATAGATAAAATTCGATTCTAAGTGGTTATAATTACCTCCTTGGTAAAACTAGCTTCTTGATCACCCAACTCATGCAAGTACATACAATCACCTTTGGGACATTGTTGGTTTTTCATAAAATGGCTACAATATTTTGTTGTTCCTAGACTGGTTTTTATCAACCTGCCATCTATCATAATATTGTTAACACTTTGTATAGCCCGCAACGCGTCCGTATTATGTACATATGTAACGTACGCCGATGCTGAAGGCCCCTTCAAATTAATAATTGATACAGGAATTGGGAATTGTCTATATACAGCAACAGCAACCGGTACTCACCTGCACTCCCGCATAGGTTGTACTCGGATTTATGACGACTTTATGAATTTTCCCATATTTCCCAAAGTATTCGTGTTTCTTCAATATCTTGAATTTCGAATGCAACATTTAAGGTTTTGAAATTAAGTAATTTCTATAAATTACTTACATCGGCGTCCGCCAATCGAGGGGGCAAACCAACAACAAATACCAAATTTTTTTGCACAACTCGAACATTAGCCAAATGTTTTCGGTTCTCAGTAATTTTTTGCTTTCGCTGCTGATCGCGTTGGCGCTTTTGCGACTTAAAAGCGATCATCTAGCACACAAACATATATATATTTAAAGTGTTAGCGAATATTTAACAAATGACACGTGCAAAATTTTAATTCGTAAGCATTTTACTCACTTCTTCCTGAGTTAAAGGCTTAAAGTCCGCTGGATTCTCTGGATATTCCTTCCGACATGCTGGACAAAGTTTGTTTTCGTCCGTACGAATTCTGTGCCAGCAGAATCGACAAATCTGAAATAAAGTCATTGCCCTGAAGAACGAAGCCATATAGACAAAGCGTTTCTTACCTGGTATCCACAAGTGCATGGGAAAAAGGTGAGGTCGTCTACTTCAAGTGGCTCCATACACAATGGACACTCCACGGAATCTTCGTTATTATTTAAACCGATCATTTTATATATTTTTATTCTTTTTTTATAAATTGCGTAGAAAAGATATATTTGGTTTATAAATTCCCGACTCTGTGAATTCGCTTTTTGTATTGATACGCATGCACCGTCAAGCTGCTGCACAAAAGTAAAACATTAAATTAAATTTTGAAACAGTAGTTTTTACAACAAATATGTAAATGTTGAAAACGTGTTACTGAATCGATAAGAAAGAACATACACACATACTTGGATTTTGGATTTAATGCTGAGTGTTATTCCAAATTCTTCCAATAATTGAAATTAATGACAAAATAACAGCTTTAAACAATGGTTGTTTCAACTTCTGAACAATATGCAGCATTTATAAAAAGTAAAATGTAAACAACTTGTATTAAAGTTAAATTGCTGAAAATACTGACATATGTATGCATATACTATGTACTATGTACTAAACCGATATACATAAGTACATATTTACTTGATCCACAGTTCTGGTAATCACTAATACGTACACATAAATACGTATGTACATATATACAATATGCATATGTATATAAAGATGTGGATATGTACAAATTGAACATATGTACGTATATACACATACATATGTACGTACATATTTATTATTCGACACCGTATCCTTTTTCACAAGGTGTTTACAAAAAATGAGCACAGTTTCCTTTTGGTTGCTATTATGGGTAGTTTTAATAAAGCCAAATGGCAAGGTATTACGATGAATAAAACGCAGAAAAGAAACAACTAAATACACTCGTTTTGTGTGTATATATGGATGTGCATGCATACATGTGTATCAAAGAGTAAAAAGAAAAAGTATTATGCGTGAATGCATATGTATATGTATGTATGTACACGTAACACAAATACACTCATATACATACATACATGTATGTTCATATATGAATGTTCGTACATATATACCTAGCGTACCAATATTTCTTCCTCCTCTCGACTGACGATTTATTTAGGTATTATAAATTATGTTTTTCAATTTTACAGGTCACACTGTCTAATATAATTATATACAAGTGTAGATAAAATCACCAAATAACTTCATATACGTAATTAGTTTCACTAGACGATTTTAACTAAGTACTGAGCACGAATGTCCAAAACCAAGCAATCTGGTTACTATTTAACATCGATATTGACTAGAAAGTACTCGATTTCCCGATAGGAAGTGACTCATTTATTGCAATGTGAAATATTATTTACTTAATATTCCAAAAAAAATTTTTCACTTGCTTAATTAAAATTCTATTAGCGAAACGCTCAAACTGATAAATATAAAAAAATATGAAAATAAAAATGGCCATACCATAAAATACCAACAAATAATTATGGTAACATTAGGTTTTTATTTTCTTTTCTGTCAAACAATTTTCATTCTTTATTTGTATGTACGGGCAGAATTTTGGAATCCTGCAAGTTTGCCATTCACTTTACATACAAATTATCTCTCGCCGAGACTTTAGAAGTTGTAGAATTTGTTATATGTACAAAATACCAAAGTCTATCGATGAAATATCATCCCTATCTGGAAATACCGCGACTACAATTTGTTTGATTGATATTTTTTAAATTATTGTGCTAAATACTCTTATTGGTAAACCTTCTACAGCTGATTGAATTGATAGACCCATTGATTTGTTTTGTAGTAAATGTATTTTTTTCTTTAAAGAATTAATAAAAACGTTGTCGATATTGCAAAACTTCCAATTGATACAAAAGTTGTAGTCAAAAAGCCCTAAAAGTATGCAAAATAAAATCGAGCTAGGAAATATCGAAAGAATAGGGTGTCAATTTGCTCCTCTACACAACCCGGCAATAAAAAAATGCATTAAAATTTTTATTAAATCAAGGGTATTTTAATTCATCTACTTTTAGCAAACTATTTTATTAGTTACTTCCTATTTTTGCTGCCTTGTATAAGTTGACGATTTCCTAGATTATTACGACTTCCAATGTTATTCCTAGCTCCACCACGACCCACGCGTTGATTTGGGTTCTGCGGCAAATTTCCACTACCATTACGATTTTTACTCATTTCAATGCGGTTCCGTGATTTCGCCTGGGAATCTTCCTTCACCATATCAATTACCTCATCAGGAATACGCAAATATTTGATCGTACTGCCTCGAATATAACATTCGGGCATGCGCCAAAACCGGTCACCATCCTGTAAATGAAATCAATATTACTTAATTTAATAAAAGAGCGGTACACTGTTATACTGGCTATATAATACAGCTAATCTGGCCGATTTGGTTGACATTATAGATATACAAACTAATGTGCCTATTCTACATACACAAAGTGGAAGACATCGTATTCACAATATGTATGGGAATGTGCCTATTACGTACCTTTGATGTGCAAATTACGTCCCGTAAATTTATATTCATCCATGAGTCACAACTAACTAAATGTCCATTGTATGTCTCGCCGTTCTTTAACTCGACTAGCTGGAATGAGACAAATATTTAGGAAGCTTCCCATGTAGTTATGTGTTCTTACCATCGGGTGACTTTGAGCCGTTTTTAAAAGTGATAATGGTAGCTGTAATGAAGTAGAACGGTGCACATAAATATGAAAATGTAAGACCCTGCACTGCATCTATAAATACCATTGTTAAAAAATGAATCCTTATCCCCTATTGCATGTATTGTGGACGCTTAAATGTATCATAGGGTTGTGGTGGTATGCAATCGAATTCACTACCGATAGTACGATTGTCTTCACATTTTTTTACCATCAATGTTTTTTGCACCACTAAGCCTGGTCCATAATATATGGAAACTCTTTCGAAATTAATATCTATCGAGTATATTTATGACATTAATATATTAATTGAAAAACGAACAAAGCATAACGCATGTAATGTTTATTAAATTCATTAATTCATTATAAACACTTAACATTCCATTCAAATCATTCGAAAAATCGCCGATGCCCGATGAACTATAGTTTTTCACATCCCTAATCGATAAGCAAAAGAGCGCGATTTGTTCGGAATTGTATTATTATTGCAAAATACAGAATGGAAATGGAAACAGATTATGACAACATACGCGTGCCTTGGTAAGTAATTAAACCTCCAATAAAAAACAACTATGACATTTTGATTTTACAGGGTGGAAAAGTACAGGCCCAAAATTTTGGAGGATTTGATTTCCCACGAGGAAATTATATCAACAAGTAGGTTTTTTAAGAAGCATTGCAACCTAAACTTTATAAAACGCATTTACAAAAAAAACAGTTAATCGTTTCATCGGCAACAAGCAGCTTCCCCACTTGCTCTTTTACGGGCCGCCAGGAACTGGCAAAACTACTACTATACATGCATGTGCGCGGCAGCTATATACACCAGCCCAGTTTAAATCTATGGTGTTGGAGCTGAATGCATCTGATGATCGTGGTATTGGTATAGTGCGGGGCCAAATACTAAATTTTGCTTCGACGAGGACAATATTTTGTGGAACTTTTAAGCTTATCATCCTTGACGAAGCAGACGCCATGACCAACGATGCTCAGAATGCGTTACGAAGGATCATCGAAAAGTACACAGAGAATGTGCGTTTCTGTGTAATCTGCAACTACTTAAGCAAGATAATACCTGCTTTGCAATCTCGCTGCACTCGCTTTCGGTTCGCACCGCTGTCGCCAGAACAAATGTTGCCGCGCCTGGATAGAATTATTAAAGAAGAAGCGTAGGTTCTTCGGTAAAGTCTATTTATCGGTAATAAAATTGTATTTTCTTTTAAAACACTGTAGGGTTAAAATTACAGAAGATGGAAAGAAGGCGTTGTTGACTCTAGCAAAGGGCGATATGCGAAAAGTCTTAAACGTGTTGCAGAGTACTGTCATGGCTTTCGACTTGGTAAATGAGGATAATGTATACATGTGTGTTGGATATCCGTTGCGGTCTGATATAGAAACAATTCTACAAACACTGCTCTCGACGCGCACCTTCGTTACAGCATTCGATAGTATGTTAGTAGAAGTTCTGGCTTAGGACATTATTTATAAATATACTTGAATTTCAGCAATTGAGAAGGCTAAATCTAAACGAGGCCTGGCATTGGAAGACATTCTCACAGAGTTGCACCTTTTTGTAATGAGACGTAAGTATAAAAAAAAACTAATTTAAAAAATGAAGTTATCATTGTAGTAATCTTTATCTAGTCGAATTGCCAATGTCCGTAATGAATAAATTAATAATCAAGCTGGCACAAATTGAAGAGCGTTTAACAAAAGGCTGCACTGAAGGGGCACAAACAGCAGCCCTAGTTTCTGCATTCTTCATATGTCGCGATATGATTTCGCTGGAAAGCTAAGTTACTATATCAGTGTACAATAACAAAAATAAATTCATACCTACTCTAATTTAGTGTTTGCATTCTATTATTTTAAATTTCGGAGTTTTATCTATATGTGGAAAAATTTAATATAGTGCTTGCAGTTTTTTTTCCAAATTAAATATTTGATTTGGGAATAGATTTCATATAATTATGAAATACATGTAAATTTATTTACATAATACGAAGAAGAAAAGACAACATTGAGGATCGCCTGCTAATAACCAGCTATAGTAAAATATTTTTCGAGTGAAATTCATTTTAAACTTTACAGCAAGTAATTATTTAAAAAAAGATACAATGAAAAGAAACTTTATATAGTAATTTTTATTAACATCACGATAAGCAACTTTAAACAAATCAAACCAATTTAAAATCCATTCCAATTTCTCAGGTTATACATAGTTTTTCATTCTTCTTTTACAAATAAAATATGGGAATTAGTAGTCTAATGACCATTCATTTTCAGCAATGAATGTATCTACAACTTCCTTCATTGAGAAATTTGGTATCAACTGATCCTGTGTCAGCTTCACCCGCGTGACGGGATCGAAATGACCTACGCGCTGCAAATGCTCTTCGATATCTTTCCTTTCGTAGGTGATACCCGATGGAGTTATCACAGGATCTGTTAAAATCTCAAAACTTATTTTACCACAGAGAAAATCCGGCACATCGCGTTTCTAAAAGAAAAATTGAAGTAAATAAATGACTGCTCATTTAAGTTTTATTTTCGTTATCTCGCACAGTAAATCTTTGCAAAAGCCAGAGCTTGAGTGGCAAGTGAACGGAGGCAATGCCTCAATGTTTAAACTAAACTTGAAGCAAGAGTTTACTGAACGGGATAGGTGAAACCGAGGCTATATGAAATTTCTACTAATTCATTGGTATCAGTGTGTTGGCTTACCCTTCGGCGTTCATCAACTTTGGCAAATATGTTGTTAAGTTCTTTAATGTGATCATCCTTTGAAATTAAAATTCATCAAAATTGACTTACATTAATTAATAACAAGTGAAAAACATACACATTCTTGTTCAATTTCCTGCTGTTTTTCCTTTATTTGCTCCTCATTTGCATTATCATTCAACTTTAAGTTGGACAAACGACTCTCCATATCATCTTTAATTAGGCTGTGTAGAATATTAAGTAACAAAATTAGATGATGCTGTTATATAGTCAAAAGCTCGATCAAATTTTTTTTTGCCTTGAATGATATGTAATATATTTTGCAAAGAATGTCACAGATTCCGCAAGATTTATTACACAGTCAAATAAGTACACCTAATTCTGTTTTTACACGGTAGATTGGTTCCAGAACAAGTGTAAAAAAAGACATTGATCATATGTTATTTTGAATCGTGCTAAATTGCCACCATTATTAAAATTCTTGATTTTGAAACCGTGTTAAAAACAGAATTAGGTGTACATATTGTCTGTGTAAAGATTATCGAAACTATTAACAACTTAATGATACATACTTTTAAAGTTCGGCCGTCAAACGAACGTCTACTACAAATTGCTTTTAATGTACGTACCGATTTAAATAACTTTGTAATTCAATCTCTTGATGTATTCTTTTCTCCTCCAAAACATTCCAACGTTTTTTTCTTGCGAGGCGCAGCTGCAATGTGATATCGTCACCAAAGTTTTGCTTTTGTTCTTTTGACAAATCATATGCTAAACAGGACTGGGATTAGACTAACTCAAATTATGGGACACTTTTCTGCGACTACTCACCACGCTGTAAATGCTTTATAGCTTCATCATAGCATTCAATCTCCATTAGTGCTTGTCCCAAGAAAAAGTGTCCCTTCAGTAAATTACCATCGATATCTAGGGCCCGCCGGCAATCCTGACAACAAAGCTCCCATCGCTTAAGTTTGAGATTGCAAAGGGCCCGATTTGTGAAATAGGTTGCATTTGTGGGATTTTTTATCTATTATAAGAATAAACATATGTATATGTAAATACCATCCACACATACATATTACATATATATGCATATTTACAAGTGCATACATGTATATCCCAACACAGGATTATGAACCTTGGCTCCCTAAAAGGAAGCATAAAAATACTTACAATAGCTTTAGAATAGCAATTAATGGCGTCATCATACTTCCGCGCAGCAAATAGACAATTCCCCTGTTCTTTTAATTGCTGGTCTGTTAAATTTGTCGTGGAATAAATATGCTTGCTCGTCATGTTGGGAGCAATTGTTCGATATTTTTCCTGCTAGTTGAAGGGTTAGTCAAAAGCAGCTGATAAGGTAGACGCATAAATGTAATCGATAAACAACTCAAGCAGCACTGTATATACATGTATGTTAATGTTTTATTATTGTTTGCTTGTCCATCACTGGTTCAGAATTATTAAGAAAGTAAATGCTGACGAACTGAAAATCTAAATGGCTTCCACGTCGAGGTACATGCGTACATATAATATAAACTCTCAGTTGTGTTGTTCAATTTCAAGCAATATTAAATAACTTCACGTTTAATGAAAGCACTCTGTTTTTTCGTCAGTTATACGATTTAGCGGAATAATTACTGTATATTTTACTTTGCGATATAAAGATATGATTTCGTTTTAATTGTATTGTAAAAACGTAATTTTAATTGCGTTACATATGTACATTGCTTCCTTTTGTTGTTTATTAATATTGACTGAAATGCATTATATACACATGCATTTATTCATAAATATGTATACATACATACATATGTATGTATGTAAGTAAATTGCAATCTGAATTTCGTTAAAAAATATTTTTATTCACTTTCCAGACTGGAAAACAACAAGGTGTGCTGTTATGCACACCCAGAGTCACCGTTAATTGAAGACTATCGAGCTGGAGATATGATCTGCTCAGAATGCGGACTAGTAGTTGGAGACCGAGTAATTGATGTTGGTTCTGAGTGGCGTACCTTTAGCAATGAAAAAAGTGGTGTGGACCCTAGTCGTGTCGGCGGTCCTGAAAATCCTCTGCTAAGTGGTGGTGACTTGTCGACCATAATTGGACCAGGCACAGGATCTGCATCCTTTGACGCTTTCGGATCGCCTAAATATCAAAACAGGCGCACAATGAGCAGCTCTGATCGCTCCCTTATATCAGCATTTAAGGAAATTTCATCAATGGCTGATCGTATCAATTTGCCAAAGACTATAGTCGATCGCGCAAACAATCTTTTCAAACAGGTTTGATACCTTTAGTCGATTATGTGAACACTTTATCAATACACTTTACTATTTAATAGGTACACGATGGTAAGAACCTAAAGGGACGATCCAACGATGCAAAGGCATCTGCGTGCTTGTACATTGCATGCCGCCAAGAAGGAGTTCCTCGAACTTTCAAAGAGATTTGCGCAGTTAGCAAAATCAGTAAAAAGGAAATCGGAAGATGTTTCAAACTGACTCTGAAAGCCCTTGAGACAAGTGTGGATTTAATTACCACTGCTGACTTTATGTGTCGCTTTTGTGCTAACCTTGGTAGGTAGCCCTTTTTAATGAGTATTTTCAAATATAAGATCGCTGTCGTTTCTTATCTCTCATACGTTAGATCTACCCAATATGGTGCAGCGAGCTGCCACGCATATAGCTAAAAAGGCAGTCGAAATGGACATTGTGCCTGGGCGTTCGCCCATATCGGTGGCTGCCGCTGCTATTTATATGGCATCGCAAGCGTCCGAGCATAAGCGCAGTCAAAAAGAAATTGGCGATATAGCTGGTGTCGCTGATGTGACTATACGACAGTCTTATAAGCTGATGTACCCACATGCAGCAAAACTCTTTCCAGATGATTTTAAGTTCACTACGCCGATCGATCAGCTACCACAAATGTGAAAGTATAATAAACAAAGAAAAATAATCATGCTCATTAGTCGCCTAATTTCGGGAATTATTCTTTTCAACAGAATTGAATAATTAATACTACATTGTTAAAACCACATATGGAACAGTAAGGTAATGAAATGTATAATAATTAAATTCAGTTTATTAAAAAGCAGTTAATATTGGATAATTATTATGGTTATATATGCATATATATTTGATTTGGTTAACTAGTCCATAGCTAAGGTACACTTTTCGTCATCCATATGCCCGACACATTGTAAAGCAGGACGGTGCTCCGAGTCCCACATGCCAGGTCCACATCGCTTGCACAGACCACTCAAAGTGCAAGGAATTTTGGGTAACAGGCGGTATTGATGTAACATTCCACGAGCTTTTCGTAAAATGAGTTGCCCATCCATATACATCGCCAAAGAGCTAAAATGCAGCAGCATCTCATCAGTTCGTAAATTCTGGGCAATTACGTCATCAGCGTATACGGCTATAATAGCAAGACAGAGAAACAAATGAAAGTAGTCCGTGAGATAATTTGACCAGCAAGCCTCCCACATGCGGATGACTACGGCTTCTGTGAATTCGCGCTTGAAGCAAAGCAATAGCCAGCGATGGCAGAAGAGTAGTTCCATGGCTTCATGCTGCTGCAGGTGTGCAAAGAAAGCTGGGAGCATAATTCGAATCAACTCGCGCAAGTAGCTAAGAGTTTGGTCAATGTCGGAGGGCGTGCACACAAAAAATGCACGTTGCATTAGCCCTACAAAGCACCAAAAAGTCTCCGATTCGTTTTGAACTTCACACAATACCGGCGCTAATAGATCACTCATACCCTGCGATTGGAACCGAGTAAAAGAAGAGTACAATTTTAATAGTAGACTATTAATGTTGGTAAACACCTAACTTACCTGAGTGTAGGATATGCCAGAGTTATAGTTGTACACAGCATAATTCAATAAAATGTTTTTCATGATTTCCGTGTTAGGATTTTGGTCGCCACAAAAGAATGGATTCGATCGATCAGTACGTACAACATCTTTTTCTACCACACTCTGCACCGTCTTCCAAAAATGGACCTGCTCTTCTGGCGACATCGAATAAAAACGCTTGCTTGTTATTTCCTGGTATTCCTGTCGTTTGATATCCATAAGCAAGGCTCTGTCCTCAAACGTCGAAGAGAATGAATAGCTCTTCAGCAAGAAAGGCCAGACAGTCTTCCGCAAGCTCTTCTCTAGACCACCAAAAAAGACGCACTTGCGCAGGAGTAAGTCATCTTCAATTTGTCCTTTCTCGTTCAACAGCGTTCCGTAGAAGAAGTTGGTGGTTATCTTTTTTACATTACCCTCATCTGGGTGCATTTCCGATTTCTTAACTTCGGGTCGACAAACCATAAAATGCCTGTACGGCAAATTTTGTTTTTCCTGACCCGGTGCTAACGTAATATTGTGCAAAAAACAGTGCCACTGGTGTAACACCTGGGCCAAATGGTCTAGCCCACCGTAATGGAAGTGTAGTATCTTGTACTGCGACTCCCTTGATGCTATAACTAACTGACCGGATGTGCATTTGTCGTCGTTAAAAAACAATCTTAACGACCGCATTTGGCTCAAATCGACTGAAAAGCGGCGGCATTTCATCACCGCCTTTCGGCGTACTGTAGGCGTAGCATTCGCACTATCCGGAAACACCAAGTTATGCTTAAAGGCCAATAGTTCAGGTGTCATCCAATTCGGATTATTGTCATCCGACGCTGACCCATCAGAGTTTAGTTGTCCTTGACATCCATTGTCGCTGCTTTCCCTATCGGGATCTACCACAATACAATTGTAGGACTGTGGTATATTTGTGTTCTCAATTTGGGGATTGGAGATTGTTATGTTTACCGAAGTAATGGGATTTTTTTTCAGCAGGGCTGCCAAATTATCGATGGCTGCAGTTTGTCCGCCGAGAAGCGGCTGCAACTCATTTTTAAGATCCTGCATATCGGCTGTGTTCTCATCATCGCCTCGTATGCCCTGCCCACTGCCTTCTGAAGATTTATGCTCGGAGTTTACACGTATTTCCATATTTGAGTGTGAGCATTTGCACAAAGAGGAATTGGGTATCCACGTGAGCAATAATGTAGGCCGCTTTGCCCTGTTGTACTGGTCAATAAATGTCTTTGTTGTGCACGTCAAATAACCAGGATAATGTACAATATCGGACTCTTTGCGTGCCACTGTTGGCGGATGAAGGCACACATTGTTTTTGCAGAAAAGCATTTCGTTGTCTTCGTAGACCATATCGATTTTTTCACTTGACTTCTCGTCGCCAAGTATTAAGCTGGATGCCTTTTTGATTATATTTCCAATTGGCATTTTGATGCTTACTGCATAACATTTATAGTTATAACCTTTATTTTAATATAATTGCCTTTATAGATGACTTTCTTGTTATAAAAATGTACTTACTAGTCCGAGATTAAAAATCAAACATATTTTCTTTTAGGAATTGTTTGATTGTAGTCTAAACCATGCTGTTTTTAACATTTATATTTTCATGCGTATTTTATTTTCCTGCTGGAGTCGTTGCTTTGACCCTTGCCAAGTTAACAGTACAAAAAAATTTACCATTTCTTTGTAGCTATACTGCGCAGGTCCGTTTTCAGCTTGCCATGACGTTGCACAGTGGCTTAAACACACACATATGTATGTATGTGTGTGTAAATTAGAATTCCGTTTACCACCGAGATAACCATGGCCCTTGAAGGTCAAGTTGCAAAGAGTTACGTCATGACCCCTTAAGAAAATTTGGCAAAGGCGGTTCAAAGGTACTTTCGAATACCTATATAGTTTTCAAATTGAAAAACAATAACGATATTTTAGTTAAGTTTATTACTTTAAATTTAGGATATACGTTATATATTAACTGGTCTTCCAACCCGTTATCGGGTTATGACTTGACGCAATCGTTTACATTGTTGGTTGTGGTAACAGTGCTAAGATGCACACAATCATTTACCATTTCAAGAGTATAGTTGCTGGGTGCCACCCATCTGATGTCTATATCATCGCTTTTAAAGAAAATCGGCCCGCTGGTCCACCAGCCTTGCGCAATAAACTCTCCAGCAGGAAGTTAAAGTGGTCGCACGCCTTTCCTGCAATCACGAACGGTGCCGAAGGGCTCGGAGAGGTCCTTTTCGGCGGCATTGCTTAAATATAGTATAGTATATATTTATTTTTTAATGCTTGCCTATAAGTAGGGATAGTACTTATAATACACTTGAATACAAACTTAGAATATTAATAGTGGAGCAGAGGAAAGTGTGTAGAAATTTGAAAACCAATAGGTATTCAATGTAACGTTGTATGCGACCTTTGAAGTTCTGTGAGGCTTCCTTGAATAGAGGCCGCTTCGGTTCGTCCTGGTGTTGTACTTTCCAAGCGATGTGTGGATTCGCGGCCAAAGTGGCTGCTAAAATCAGGCAGTTCGGGCAGGTCTATGGTTAAATGGGCTGAGAACCGTTTATACACAGAATTCCTAGATGAGTCCTTTTTAGTTTTATTTCTATTTTCTACATACTGCAGCTGCTGCTTAAGAAAAATTGACGTCTTTGTGATCTCCTGTATATTTTGAAATATTTGCTTTGAGTTTTCTATTGATTTTAAAGCTCTGTAATATAATACATTTTAAATAATATTGTTAAATGCGTAGAAAAACTTTACACCTACTGAACACCGTATTCCATATCATAACAATGTCCTTGAAGATTATTTTGCAAAGTCAGCACCTCTGTTCGCTTCTCTAAAATTGCCGGAAGGACTTTACGGACATGTTCCTGAATCCGAAAAAAAGCCAATGACGGATCGTTCGCAAAAATGTGTATATTTTCGGATATTTTTTCGGAACCTATAAATTGAATCAAAATGAGTTTATCTACAATTGCTTACCAAAAAAAACATGAAGTAATTGTAGAAATGAACAAATTAAACAACGTTTTGCTAGTTTTGTTTTCATAACTCCAGTAATACTTGGAACTTTTTACTTAAATTTGATAATATAACATATAAGGTTATTGAATAAAAATGAATTTAATAAAAATATTGAAGAGTTAAACCCACTCTCGACTCCAGCTTTCTATTCTTGTTTTACTTGGACTTTTTTGTAGTTTTGATTATAATAAATTATTTGTTAAAGCTTTTAACAACCGCTTCCTTTTTTTCTTCGGTATTGCATTTTAATTTTCAACTATTTATAATGGTCGTTTCATCAATTAATTGATATCAATATAAATTCGCGCAAATCTGGCATGGATTCTGTAGCTCCTGATCTACCCCAACCTGCCGTATATTTTCTATAAAGAGCATTTTTCTTATACAATTTGAATCTAATCAGGGTGATATAAAAAATTTAGCACAATTTAAAGTTAACGAAACGCCCGGTATTATAACTATATATTTTCGCTTCTCTTAAATGTGTGTATGTACATATGTATGTATATACAAATTTCATATGACATATGCATACATACATATGTATGTAAACCCACAAAGGCATAAACATAAAAACATATGTACAATTGTTTGCATACACACAGTTAATTAGTAGCTTGTGGAGTCCTACCCCAGGTAATCGAAGCATGTTATAGTAACCAAATGAGTTGAAAATTTAGTTATCACTATTATAAATTTTAGCTCCAAGTTTAACAATTAATAAAACAATGACACAAAAATCGCAGTTGATTCATATTTGTTGTATGTAATTATGTGTGTATAAATTTATCACGTACTCTTCTTAGTCTTAAAGTTTAGTTCTGTTCCTTGGGACATTTTCACATTAGTTGCATGTATTTTTCGCAGCTATATTTTGATTCTTTCAAAAAATGTATGTATTTTCGTGTACCTAAATACATATGTATATTTATAAATACCAACTAGGGCTACCGAGTTACCTTGTCAATATACTAAATATCCCTTGCAAAAATATACCACAAATATACTACAATTCAATGGATTGTTTTTTAAGAAAATACATATATTCAATAAATTATTTCGTTTTGCTTAGAAATGGAGGCATTTATTGTATTGCAATGATAATAAAATAAATGCAGTAAACTCTGCATTCTGTAAATAAGTTTTCCCCAAGTACTCTAAAACGACTTGTCTAGTTGTGAATCAGCGGTTCTTCATCTGTTTTAAGTGATTCGTTTAGGATCCAGCAATTTGTCTTCTGAATTTATATCGAAAAAACATTTGTAATTACAAAAGATCTTGTACACATACACATATTAAAAGCAGTTTCAGAATTTCATTTATTATTAAATTCTTTCACAAGTGTTTGAAAGACACTGAATAAATAAATATAAAGCACTGCAAGTGTTTAATTTGGTTTAAGTAAATAGTTGTTTAAAATTATGAAATCTAAGAACCACATGACATGCAGGCGTCTTTATTCTCCAGAGAACAGACCATTTCAGCCATCTTTCGCTCACGTTCCAAGCTAAGTTTTTCCGGGGATAAGTTTTCTTCTTTAAATGACACATTTTGAACAATTGAATCATTTTCAGCGTTATTTGAAATAATGCGACTTTTGTCAACAGTAAACTGAATAGCGTTTGCAGCAGGTTTTGTTCGCAAGTAATACATTCCTGTTTTAAGCCCAGCCTTCCATGAGTAAAAATGTATCGAAGTCAGTTTTCCATAGTTGGGCTCTGCCACGTGAATATTAAAGGACTGACTTTGATCTATAAAAGCACCCCTATCAGCAGCCATTTTTATTGTTGATTTAACGGAGATTTCCCATACGGTCTTGTACAAGTCTCGGACGTGTTGAGGAATAGAATCAATGTTTTGAATAGAACCACGGCTTGATATTATTTGGTTCTTCATGTCGTCATCCCATAGGTCCAATTCTGTCAAATCTCGTAGTAGGTGATGATTTACTACTTGGAATTCACCAGATAACACCCGTCTGGTGTAAATATTAGATGTGTACGGCTCGAAGGATTCATTATTACCCATTATTTGGGCAGTGGATGCTGTAGGCATTGGTGCAATAAGCAAAGAATTGCGAACGCCGTGTTTCTTAATTGACGTTTTAAGTGTATTCCAGTCCCATAAATCTGTTGGAGTTTTATTCCACATGTCATACTGTAAAATACCTTTACTCACTGGGCTGCCTTCATATGTTTCGTAGTAGCCATGTTCTTGTGCGAGCTCGCAACTTGCCTCGAGCGCTCCAAAATATATTGTCTCGAAAATCTGCTGGTTTAGAAGAGATGCCTCATCGCTTTCGTAAGGATACCGCATTAAGATCAGTGCATCGGCAAAGCCCTGAACACCAATTCCAATAGGACGGTGCCTTAAGTTCGATTTTTTAGCCTCTGGTAGAGGATAAAAGTTGATATCAATTATTTTGTTCAAGTTTTTTGTAACAATCTTTGTTACATCTTTCAATTTTTTAAAGTCGTATTTTTTTTCGGGAGTGACAAACATATTGAGGGCTATGGAAGCTAAGTTGCAAACAGCAATTTCATCAGGGGCGGAATACTCCACAATTTCGGTACATAAATTGCTGCATTTAATGGTTCCAACGTTTTGTTGATTACTTTTGCGATTACAGGAATCTTTGAACAGCATATATGGAGTACCAGTTTCTACTTGAGACTCAATTATAGCAAACCACAGAGATTGCGCTTTAATTGTTCGATTAGCACGGCCTTCCTGTTCATATTTGACATAGAGTTTATCAAACTCTTCTCCCCAAACATCATGTAAGCCAGGACATTTATGTGGGCACATCAATGACCAATCCTCATTAGCTTCAACACGCTTCATAAAAAGATCTGGTATCCATAAAGCATAGAAAAGATCTCGGGCACGATTTTCCTCCTTGCCAGTGTTTTTTTTTAAGTCTAAAAATTCAAACACGTCTGAATGCCAAGGTTCTAAATAAATTGCAAAGGCACCAGGACGCTTTCCACCTCCCTGGTCAACATAGCGAGCCACGTTGTTAAAAACTCTTAGCATTGGCACCAAACCATTTGAAGTTCCATTAGTTCCACAGATCGAAGTACCTTTAGCACGAATGCAGTGAACGTTTATCCCGATTCCACCAGCTGATTTGGATATCATTGCGCATTGTTCGACGGATTTAAATATTCCTTCAATTGAATCAGCCACCATCGTAAGAAGAAAACACGACGACAGTTGCGGCCGATTTGTAGCTGCCGCGAAAAGTGTTGGCGAAGCATGGGTGAAATATCGCTCGGAAAGCAAGTTGTACGTTTCAACTGCCGCATCGATATCTTCGCCATGTATTCCAATGGCCACACGCATTAACATATGCTGTGGGCGTTCAGCAATTTTCCCATTTATCTTCAATAAATATGAACGTTCAAGCGTTTTAAATCCAAAATAGTTGTATCCAAAGTCCCGATCATAAATTATAGCTGAGTTTAAGCGATCCGCATTCTTTTTGACGATATTATAATGAAACTCTGACACCATAGGTGCTGAAGAGTTTGTCTCCTTATTGATATTTTTAAAAAGATCCTCGAAAACATCTGAGATAAAACAATATTATTAAACTTTTTTCTTAAATTTACTGATTATATAGCATGTTAAAGCCTGTACATGCTGTTTACATAAGTTTTAGTACACCGGCTTAAGCAGAACTTACCAGAAAATACTTTTTTCGTCTCCTTATGGAGATTGGAAACTGCAATTCTGGCGGCTAAAATGGCGTAGTCTGCATGATTTGTGGTTAAGCCTGCGGCGATTTCAGCAGCAAGGCTATCTAGTTCTTGAGTTGTTACGCCGCAGTACAAACCGTTTATAACTTTCAGAGTAATTGACACCTTTAAATAAACATGATTAACAAATTTCATATTTGCATACATACATATGTATGTATGTACATATTTAATACACATGTATGTATGTATATATGAATAATGAATATCCATTCATTTGCATTATTGTACTTGGTAGACATTAATAATAACCCCACAAATACATTACTTACCGGGTCAACAAAATCCATATTTAAATTATAGCATAGCTTTTGGATTCTGGAGGTGATTTTATCAAAATGAACCTCCTCTTGCCTTCCATCTAAAATACACACAATCAGACTCTAAAACTTTGATACAAGTTCAGAATTTACTTACCGCGTTTTATAACGAACAGTTTCGATGGTTTTATTTGTTTTTGTTTAAGCATTTTGGATTTTTATTAAAATTCTGCAATTTAAAATGTGTCTGAATTCCACCACCAAATGTACGCCGCATATGTATAAAGAAAAGGCGGGAAGAATTCGATAAAAAAATTACCGAGGGCCGATAGGTAAGTTGATCGATTTTAATTTTGGGCTGCAACTTTCAAGTATGAGTAAGAGTATTTTATTTATTCTCTTTGCAATTAAGTTAATCAAATGCAAAGCCGGCAGACAGACAGTCGACAGATATCTACACAGTTTTTATGAATTTTCATTGTCATGCTACTAAGCAGTTATTTAATATGCCTTTGTCGATATTGGCGATTTTACTGCCAATTGGTTGTCTTTTCGATGATTATGTTATAAGGTGTTGTAGCTTAAAAATATTTAAACAAGGCGTTCTAGTCACAGACAGAGAGATTTAGAATTTACTGCATTGGAAAAATTTTAATCAAGGAAACGTACTTAACACTTCCAGTAACTTTTTATGAAATTGAATGTAGTTTGGGTATTCTTAGAATTGCCATTTGCTTACGCCTAAATTTTTTACTACATACAAATGTTCATTGAGCCTGAAAGACCAAAGAAATGTAGTTTTTATATTTTTAAAGATAAAATAATTTTTGACAATGTTCTTTGCTTTATTCCAGCAAAACCGCAAGTAAATAATTAAAATACCAAACCCGCTACCACGTTGCCAATCAAAATAACCTATCGAATGTGCTTTGTAAAATGTTTTCGATAGTCACCTTTTGTAATCATTTATAATAATAATTGTTGGTGGTTTTGCTTGCTTTGATTTGTTTGTAATCATTAGTAGCATTAAAGTTTTTTTTGTTTATATTATAACAGGAGAATTTGTATGCACTTCCAAAATTTTCCCAATCGTTTTAATTCTAAATCTCTTAGCAACCCTATGACAAAGTATTACCCGCATTATAAGCCACTCCACATACATACATATGTATGTATTTGCGGTACTATAGTTTTTAAGTAGTTTGTATAAACGTACAACTTTAGTTTTTAGCTACATACATACATATAATTTACCTACAACAATTTGTTTGCAAGCTGATAGAATATTTGTTTTTCTTTCACTGGTTCATATTCCTTTGTTTTCGTATTAGAAACAAACCTTTAGTTAACTCCATCGCAATAGTTTTCGCCAATATTTGTACCCCCAAATAAAATCAGAACATTTTTATATCTTTCAAGTACTGGGGCTCTGGTTTACAATTGAGTATTTTCATGTCATAATATCTTTTGTCGCACAGTCAGCTATTTAAATAGCTTTAAGTTTAATACAAATAAAAACCAATATGTCTTCCAACCAACATGACCTCCACATTTTCGTGTCATAAAAGTAAGAATGAATAAATGGCACGGAAACAGCTGAGAATTTGAGTCCTTAAAGTAAAAGCATTATAAAACGACACATAAACAAACGTGTTTTAGAGAATTTAATATATGTTTCAATACAATTATGTATTTATAGTAGTTTATCATAAGTAAGTTTTATATATTATACATTAAGCATTGCTGATAAACTATAGCATACACATTACGCTGAGGAATTACTCTTACTCTTCTATCGTGTTCTATTATTGTGTGCTTCGTAATCCATAACCTCTTCATAAATAAGTTCCTTCCATTGCTCCACAGTGTGCTCCCTCTCATCGACACTGTGATCGTATGGCTCCGGGGCAGGCTGCAATAGATTATCCCAATTAAAATTAACCTTAATAAAAATGAATGGATAAAATGAGCGTTAAAAGGGGTATTTTTGTTACCCCCAATTTGTTTAAGGGTTACATTCTTAAGTTTATAGATTGTAAATGTAATAAATTTTCAATGTAATCAAGGCATAGAATACTTACAGCATCAACTTCTTCAGCATCATACCAAACGTTTATGTATTCGTGCTTTAAAGCTTTATCAACAGAGATCCTTTGCTCTGGGTCAATAACTAGCATTTTACTCAGTAGGTCCCTGGCCTCTGAAGCTTTTCTTCGACTGTTCTGATTATTATCATTAGGAAATAGGGCATCGGGAAAAAGTCTATCGAAGGAATATCCAGTGTACCTTGGTCGGTTTTCAACATAGTTTCGCACAGTTGGTTGCAAGCGTTGCATAAACGATGGGGACGGAGTGCCCAATTGTTCTACGAATATACAAAAAAAAAAAACAGTTTATCTTGGCTCTAAAATCGCAGTTTTAATGAGCACACCTACCTATAATCTTATTCCACTGATCAATATGATCACTTCCAGGGAAAAGGACTCCACCCCTTATCATTTCGCCCATTATACATCCAACTGACCAAATGTCAACATTTTCAGTGTATCCCATACCTAAAATTACCTCAGGTGCTCTGTAATAACGAGTTACCACATAAGGGGTCATCATGAAAGTTGTGCCAGCCGTACGCGCCAGACCAAAGTCTAGAATTTTCAATGTGCAGTCTGCCTTAACTACTATGTTGGATGGTTTTAAATCCTGTAAAAATAATATCCAAACAGAAATAGGTAAATCAATAAATCAGAAGTTGAATATTGAATACTATATTCCAGAACACAGGGCATTGCCACAGCTCGATTACTTTGCAAGTTTAAGTATTCAGGGAAAGGAATAAACATGCTGTTTTTAGCACCTTTAAACCCTAAACTGAATATGTTTATAGGAATTAAGAAAAAATTATCAATTAGAATTCGAACCTTCACTACAAACCCAAAAAATTCAATAATAATGTTGACTTAAAAATGTTTGTGTAAAATTAATTCAATTTAAATTAAGTGTTCAGCAATAATTAATAATCGATTCGTAGGACATCTCCAACTTAAGCTAAAGCTTACGACCCTAATATATTTGTATGTACATATATGGGTTAGATACTTTACTCTGTGTATAATTCCCGCGGAATGCAAATGTTTTATTCCACACAGCATTTGATAAAGCAAATAAGACATTCTGTCGTGATCTAAATCCATTTGAATGACTTGACAAAGATTAGCGTCCATTAATTCCATTACAAGATATACATCCTGAAACTCCTCCAAATTACGCTGAGGCGTAAAAGCGTTCAATAAACCAATAATCTGAAATTGTGAGAGTACTTAATTATTAAAAAAGGATTTTTAAAGGATTGAAAACAAAATATAATCAAAACATTAAACTTATATTTTCAATGACAAATGTTATTAATTTATCTCCATTGAACACTTATTCGCAACTTCAATAATTTTTCATTATTTAATGGTACTGTCCAATACTCTGAATATCATAAATGAATATGTATACAATTTTATACTTACATTTTTATGATTTACAAGTTTCATTAGCTTAAATTCCCTATAAGCTCTTTTAGCATGGGTCACATTTTGGAATGGTCGAGATAACTTCTTAATGGCCACATTCTGTTCAGTAGCTGTGTCATAGGCAGCACTAAAAAAAATTTAAATGTATAGGTTTTTGTGAGAAAGGCATTAAATATGTATTATCATAAAGGAGTTTGTAATTTTAAATTAAACAAAGGCGAATGATTACTTGAAGGTTTCAAACAGTAGTTTCCTATTATATTAAGATAACTATCTCAGTTCACTAATTTTGTTATTTTCTTTTAAATACATATAGGATATACATATGTACATATATTCTATTAAGTGTGTTATTTGCAATAAATAAATAATTGTGCTGGAACATACTATGCTGCACGGTGTTTAATATATTTTACGAAATATACATTTTATTCATTCTTTACTTACCAAACTATTCCTTGAGCTCCCGACCCGATGGGTCTTAAATTTATATACCGATTGAGTATCGTAAAATTGGTGTCGCCGACCTCAACGGTATAGTGTTGTTGCTGGCCAGCCATTTTGTTAAATGTTCTTCTGTTTTTAGTATGAAAAGAACATATTTATCTAAACAAAATGTTTTTTTGATTAAATGAATAAGAAAATGAAAATTTGAAGTGTTTTTATAATACATACAAAAAAAAAAAAAAAGAGTAGCCATAGTCGAAACATATAAATAATAACAATGGAAAATAGAAGGTGAGGCAATCCTTCTCGATACGGCAATAACAGCGTGAAAGTATTGAAACCAAAGGTTAAAAGCGCCTTACTTGTAGAGATAGTTAAGAATATGTTTACCGCCAAGAGAGAGGCGTAACAGACCCCACAAAGAAGTAAACATGCATATGTACACATAGATGTACAGAAATATATTGTTGATCAGCATGGCCAAATGAAAGGACCAGGACCAAGGTACTATTATTAGTAGTGTTTCGTGCTGACTGATTGTTACATATTATCTTTTATATATTCTTGCAAGAATAATAATACGAAAATACAGAGTTCGCTAGCAGTAGTACTTATTGTTTCGGTTGTATACATATGCATGTGTCTGTATGTATTGAAGAAATGTTTTAGATACATACGTACATATGTAAAAATATACGTATGGACATATACATGCACGTAAATATGTAACATGTACATGTTTGTACATACATATGAATATATGTATGTATCTACATACATATAAACATATGTAACTACATATGTATGTACATATTTTTGGAATTATATTTAATAGCAACTGCAAAAGTTTACATTTAGCATTTACATTTGGAGTTTTTAGCAGGCATAAGAACGAACTAGCGTTTCTACAACTCTTGCCGAAAGAAAAACTTGCAAAAAACCGCTCGTGTAATTGTAAGACTACGTATACATACAGGTTATGTATGTACATATGTATGTGTACATACATAAGTGGACCAAACTATAAGCCAAGATACAATTAAATATACATGTATAAACATACATTCAAGTATATGTCGGTATATGTTTATATGAAATATACACATCTTGAAACAGTGATGCACTTTCATTTCAAATATATATACTGTATGTTATGAAAAAAGGGCTCGTTACAATCACATACCGTTTTATTGAATTATTACCACCCTCGAGTTCGGATATGTGAAAAATCGATTTTTTTAATTGAAGTCCATAAAAGAAATTTCGGTTTGATTAAAAATGTTGGGGAACAATTAAATAATAATACAATGGCACACATTAAAATATCGTGAATTATTTATTTATATTGCACTTGAGGATACAGACATTTATGTATATGAACTATTCTTTTATTGACTTTGCCCAGAAACACCTTGTCTCTTATTCTATGACAATTGCCAGTCACTGTTCCGTAAACAGTTTTCCATTTATCACTCTAAACAGACTGTCGATTAATACCGTATTTTTTGTTAGTACTAATCGAATTGGCACCTAATTAAACTATGCAAGTTTTGGGCTTCAAAGTTTGCTAGATTAAATACAAAGCCAATATAATCATGATACGAGCAAACTAGTATTTAATTGGCCTTTGTTCTATAAACACCTTCATAAACGCCCGAAACTATCGGAAATATTCCAAAATTAGTTATCGATGAAAAGATTTATCGACTTGTATTTATTTCTATACTTCTTAAAAACTCTTCACTAATATGTACACTGTAAATACAAGAAGGGATATTAGTTTTAATACAAAACAGCAATATGCATTTATTTTGCTAAATAATTGAGACGTGAATGTTTGACAAATACCACTTAATTCGAATTGCTACAAATTGTGTCACATAACTTAATAGGTGTGTAGCTCATCTGCTTTCTAAATAATACACTATTTGGAAATGCGTACATCCTTTAACGTCGCTCTGCCTTAAGTGCTCCTCCACGTCCGGCTCCAGCCCGTCCTCCTCGAGTGCCTTGCTTGGTAGTCTGTGGTGTGATAGGCGCTACTACCGGTGCTGTTGTCACCGGCACGGGCTGTACAGGAGCAGGAACTACGACACCGGCTGGGACTACCGGCTGTGCCATAACAGCTGGTGGAGGCGTTGGCTGTTCAACACGCTTCTCGCTCATGTTCAACTGCTCGTTGAAGATCATGCAGAACTCTCCAATTTTGAAGACCTCGCCATTTTTCCCTGAGTATAATGTTAGGCAGTGACGCCAGATGGAGGCATATCCCTTTGTCAACCTCACAATGTCTCCGGGTGCGATTAGCTTGCCAGGCTCATCCCAAATTGAGACATTTATGCTGGCAGTGGGATCACCCACCTTAAAATTGCGTACCTCTCGATTCTCCTTGGTTAAGGTGGCTACGCCCACTTCTAGCACAATAAATATGACATTGATGTTTTTAAGTCCCGGCTTAATGTCTTTGATAGGAATACAGTCGGCGTTGTACATAATTTCCTTTATTCTTGGCTAAATGCGTTGGGTACATGAAGTACCTATACAGAAGTGATTAACACTAAAACAGTAATTAACAAAATCATTAGTAGGTCAGCGCGCAATGTATTCATATATTATAACAATCAGCGTGCAAAAAACATTTTCTTACGTTGCTTTATATTGTGTATATTGTTTGTCTTGCTTGATTATTAAATCAATCTGTCTTGCGTTTATGAACGTACAAATGTCGTTGGGAAATATATTTAACAGTCTTCCATATGGTTCTACGATTTTGTAATATCCAAATCCATTAGCCTAATGTATTTTCACCAAACAAAATAAATAGAAATACTTTATTTACAGAGTTGTAAAGCTATCGGCTGTGGAATCGATAGTATACATCGATGCACTCACTATCGATAGATCAGATATAAAGTCAAATTTAAGTATAAAGATAAATATAAAACGATAATTTATACATATGTAAATAATGTTTTGGTAAAAACAACTTCGGCAAAGTTTGATCCCGACAGCTAAGCTACTAAAATGCATAGATTCACGGAATAGCGGAATAGAACGTGCAATACCTTCCGTTGATCGATATATCTAGATATGTTCGGTTCGCACATCCCTAGTTCGGGCTGGAAAAGATTGGTTTTTCTTGTGAGAAAATAAAAAGGGGAGTTGTTTTGGAGTTACCAAGACCTAACACAATTTGATTATGGCTGCCGAAATAAAACCAGCGCAACGTACCAATAATGATAAATTCAGTGCAAAGAAACCAGAACTACTTGGCAAATTAGAGGGAAGTGCCGACGATGTAAATGCTGCAATTTTAATTCCAGGGGAAGATGGTGTGATTAGCGTTTCCGACGACAAGTAAGTACAACTGTTTTCCGTACCTCTATGATTTGAGATAAAAACTCGGTGTTATGTTATATCGCACCAAAGCCTATATAATTACTTATACACATATACATATATACATTTATTTACCTTTTTTACTCTAATATTTGTAATGCATAGAAAATACAGTAGATTGTACAAAGTCAGCTATGCCGGCTTATTGTAACCAATTTAAACGAATTCAAATTAAGTATATTGAATTTGTCCCTGCTTACTGTCTCATTTTGTTGCACATTAGGATGAAGTGCTTTGGGTATACACACTCGGAAAGGGCGCAACTTTTGTTTATTTGACTTTGACAATATAAACAAGCAGACTTGTGAATTACTCGTATGTGAAAATAAAAACATTTGCGATTACGCCAGAAGAATAGTATGCAGGCCCGCTTTTCGGAATTGTAGAAGGCAGCCAAAAGACTGACTAACACATATGAACCAGTAATAATTATCAGAAAAAACAGGAAATGCTGCGTAATTTTTACTTTGTTAATGGGTATTTTAGGATTTTGCAAATGTAGGCAGAATGAAGTAGATCTGACCCCATAACTCATATATGTATTTCTAGATAACACTAGTTAACATGTTTTTGGTTCATTTGTTTCTCTGCTACTATGTGCGCCAAAGATATAAGTATGTACAAATAATAATGGCAAAGTTCTTTTTTCTTTGGAAAAGGGTATAACTCGGTCGAACTTGCCAGATAGTAGCAGTTTTTCTTGTGTTACTAACTATCTCTTATTGTATACGTATTACTCCAACATACATAAGCAGTTTAATAAACAAATGTATTCTTTTATGAATACTTGAAGGATGTTATCGTTCAGTATTTGAATGAGGTATACTTATGTATTATGTTATATTGTTAAGCCTATTGTACACACATATTTCAACATATCAATGTACTGCTAAAATAAAAAAAATAAGAAATAAGTCTATCAAATGCGTGTCTTTATATACGTTACGTTATTTTTTTGTCAATTTCTTTTAAGTTCATAGGAGCTTGTGGCTCTTCTTTATTGAGTTTTTATCACTTTGCCCGATATCGCTTATATTATGTATGTGCATACATACATATACTTGTATTGTGTTTAGCACTTATGCAAAACAAAGGTTCCTCGCTCTTCACAAATTCGTTGAAAGTGTAAACATATTGTTTAAATTTTCAATTATTACCCTGAATGTAAGAAGCAGAGCGCACTCCTCGGTCGAAAACTTTAATCCACTTGCGAAATAAATCCAGTGATATACAAGAAGTTTCGTTCATCAGATCGAACGATCATTAGTGCGAAGTAAAGCACATTTTCTACAAAAGTACATACAAGAGTTGCTGAGAAATTACAAATTTGCACTCACCCGTATTTCTGTTTTTATATATTTGTACCCAACAGTATTTCTGTTCTAATTGCTACGCCCACAATTGTATTTGCTTTACTGCATACATATTATCTACACTTTACGATCTATTGTTATTTAATAGAACTGTTCGTGTATGGCTTAAGCGGGACTCTGGACAGTATTGGCCAAGCATTTGCCAGTACATGCCATCGGGTTGCACGGCAATTGAGTATGTTTCGGAGACGAGACAGCTGTACGTTGGACAGGACAATGGGACAGTAACGCTATACACACTATCTGAGGATTGCAATCGTTTGTCATTTGTTCGGGACTATTTATCACACCAAGCCCGCGTTATAGCCGTAATTTTCTCAAAAGCCCACAACTGGATATTATCTGCAGGGAAGGATAAGCAGTTTGCGTATCATTGTACCAACACAACTAGACGAGTTGGCGGATACAGCTTTGAAACTCCTTGCACAGCACTTCAGTAAGTATCAATGAAAACACCGGTAATTTTTTATTATTAAAATTTTAAAGCTACCCAGATTCGACGCATTGGCTAAATATGCTTTTATTGGCGATCAAGCGGGCCAGATTATAATGCTACGATGTGATGTGCAAGGCTCTCAGCTAATTACGACTTTTAAAGGACACACATGTAGTAAATAAAAACAGCGATCAAGTGCGTTTTAAAACTATTCCCCTCTTACAGCCGGAATCCGCTGCTTAATATGGGTCGAGGGTCCCCAGTTGCTATTTAGCGGCTCGTGTGACCAGTCAGTAATCGTTTGGGATGTTGGAGGCAAACGCGGGACCATTTATGAACTACAGGGCCACAAGTAGGTACACTCAGAGTTTAAATATTTAAAGCTCTATTAAGTCTTATATGTATATATTCTTCTAGTAACAAAGTTTCGGCACTTGCCTATGCCAACCACACTCAACAATTGATAAGTTGCGGCGAGGACTCCGTGGTGGTATTTTGGGAGATGAACGCTATGCGGAAAGAAGTGCCGGGCTGGATAGAAAACAACAACTGTCAGTTGTGTTCGCGACCATTCTTTTGGAACTTCCGTTCAATGATGGATCAAAAACAACTGGGTGTGTAATATTGAATTATGACTATATATGTTTGTTTCTAACCAGAATTGTAGGAATTCGACAGCACCATTGTCGTCATTGTGGCAAAGCCGTTTGCGACAATTGTTCGACCAACCGCATAAATATACCAATTATGGGATTCGAGTTTGACGTTCGCTGTTGTGATCTTTGTTATAAACAACTTCAAACAGTGGAGCGTCCATCTCTAGCATCATTTCATGACGCTAAACATTCCATCGTATATATGGACCTAGATGAGGAGCGAAAACTACTGCTGACTGTGGGCCAGGACCGTCTAATTAAAGTATGGGATCTATCCACCATTTGGGGTCAATAAAATAAATAGTCGCTAACCAATTGAACAGATAATGGTGTCAGCAGCTGCCCAGGTGTTCCCCACCGTTTGCATTTTCGTATTAACAATGCATACATGGTTGAAAGCGTGATAAGGTGGGCAAGCGAGAGCATCTTAAAAACTGTCCAAATTATATTTTTTCAATTTTATGTTATGATATCGGAATAAATATTGTAAAAATTATTTTAAAATATTTGATTCGTTTCTATTTATACGGAAATCAAGTAGTAAGCAAAAAGGGGGTTATTTAATAGCTCCAAACATATTTCAAATGTCCTAAATAATGTACTCCATAAAGGGTGTTCCGCAAAACTTGTAGAAATGAGGAATTGACCGGAAATACTGTTTCAGGAATACCTTACGGCCGGCATTAAACCTTTTATTTACTTCCTATTTCAGTAAAAAAAATTGTTTTTAAAAGTAAACAAGCACTATTGCTGAAGAAAAAAAATAACAAATTCCACCCTAGTAATTCTGAAACTGATTTTACAATTAACGCATCCTCTAAAAATGTCAGAACTAGCTTTTTCAAATTTGTAGAGTTAAGTCTGTTATAAAAAACTGTTGGATATTCATTCATTATTTATGATATCGGTGGCAAGATCGAAAATTGTTTATATATTTGCTTATAATTATTTGGTATGATGTTATTATTTCAAAAATGTTCAACGTTAAGAAATTCTCAAAAAAATGTTTCCTTAGTATTAAATGTATATCCCAATATTTTTATTTAAATAAAAAAATCTTCTAAAAAACTAAAATAAATTGTATTTTATTTACTTTTTATATTCAAACCCTTTAGGGTTTTGACATGAAAAACTACTATTCCGAAAAACTATTCCTCGCCTATACGGAATCTGTTATATAAAACGATAAAAATTATTTTGTATGTGTTGGTGCTTTCGGCAGTTAATAGAATGTATTCCATGGTCCTGTTATATTTCAGTACGATCATAAAATTTGAATTTATACGGCAGGTTTTATTAGCATGGATGTTTCGGAGTTTTGCCTAAAGAACGCTTAAACCTAGTTCAAATTTAAAATTTTTGTCATTTATTAAATTTATTTTATTTTCAACACTCGATATTAAGGCCGAATTTCAATAAAGGTTGAGAAGAGGGCTGCTTAAACTTACATTTTTTAATATTCAAAAGTGGCGTCGGTATTTGAAATTTGATTTTTAAACCAATTATGAAGCTTCCAGCGGCTTTAGTAAGGTTTTTCGTATAAGAAACTTTATCAAACATTTAAAAGTGGCTTCAGATAAGTGCTTAGTATGAGAAGCGCGGAGGAGAGTGTTATTTTAATTTCTTAGTATGTGAATCGCAAAACTTTAATTCTAAAATATTTAAAATTGGCTTAGGTTAAGTGCTTAGTAAGAGAAGCGCGGAAAGCGGTATTTACATTTTTGAGCTTACAATGGCTTTAGTTAAGTTTTATACTGTTTAAATTAGGGCCTTAGTCGGCTCTTTGGAAAACGATTTACCTGACTGATGGATTGCTATAAATTTGATCATCGTTTCAAGCTACTTTATCTACTAATATACTCCTATATGCAATTATTTATATAAGTGACGACTTATACCGCCAAAGGAATCAAGAACAACGCTGAAGTCAACACGTGTCCAAATCTGGTAAAATATAAGAAACGCTTTTTATCAGTTTAATTAAAAATAAGATTATATGCACACATACCATATGTGTATGTAAAGATATTAGTCGTATCGTATGTGAAGAGTTCTTTTTATAAAAATATAATTAAAATTTAATAGCCGTCAATCAACCTGCATTCTTCTGTGCAGTATGAAAATAAGGTAGTTGCCAAACCTGCCCATTTCGCTGTCCGGCGGCTGGTTTATTACGCAGTCCATCAATAGCAGGTTCAAGCGGAAGTTGTCGTTGATTAAGAGCAGCAGCAAACGAGCGGACGGGACGGTTGTTTGGGGACCGACCGAACGCACCAAATGTTCAAGAAATACCTCGGGGCTCAAGCTCAGGCATAGCAACGAACGGCAGGGGCCGGACGGTGTCGGGCCGAGCCGGGCCGGGCCGGGCCAGCATGTCTGTATAAACAAGCTTGCCTGCCGATAGGCATGAGTGTAGTATATGTTGTCTTTTATCCACTCCAACCAGAATCAAAATCTTGAGTAGTTCACTACCAAGCGCAGGCCATTTTTAAGACTTTTATTTTTCAACCTTACAGAATATCGTAAGTTGATTGCATTTTATCTCGACGGCAAGTAGAACGCTGTAGTTGTAAGGTACAAATGCGGATGCCGGGCAGCAGAAATTTTAAAGTAGCTGCTTCTGCACTGAAAAGGTAGTCGGCAGTCAACAAATTTTCTTTCTCGCCGCAGGGAGTGCAATTTGTTGCTTACATGAAACGGACAAAGCACAGAAACTGGCATGCTACAGTTATCATCGGCCAGAACAAACCTCTGCCTTAATATATGGTATTACCCACATTGGTGTGAACACCAGACTGCCGCTCCAGACACATCCTTTAATCATAGCTACATTTCATATCTTAGCAATCTTGCGAGTCAGCCAGTCCCTATGACACTGCACTAAGCACTAGACTAGCCATTTAGCTAGTTCGTGGAAAGGATGAGTTAAGTACTTGTAGTATAAAAATCACCTATTTCTTACTGACTGTTTTCTACACAATGAATTAATAATACTACTCGTATAAATTGGCTATCTAGTTTTCTAATCAATTGTCATACAACGAATTAAAAAGATTAAAACTGAATTTTAGAAATGAATAAAAATATAAAAAAACATGTATGTAGTTTGTACAGTCTTTGAAGCGGTGAGCAAAGACAAGCTATTTTCATAATTCATACTAGACGCAGTTTTTGAATTGCAGATTTGTTGTGTTGTATGTTCGATAGTTATCTGTGTGGTGTGTACGAGTATATGGTTTTTGGTGTGGAGGTATGAATCCATATAGCGATGTCTTTCTGTCTGTCTGTTTTAATCATTACTCCGCCCTCAATTTGAAACGTTGCGCCAAAGCTCCAAATTGCTGCAACGATCAGAACAGGAGACCACTATGCACAAGTATATTATAAAAGTGTCATAGAATCGAGATGATTTAAAAGTCAATAAAAGACTTATTTGCTTATACTAAAAGCGAATGGATTATGTATAATATTACTGCATCAATTCTTAATCAAGAATAAGAATCTGGTTCTTTGGATGAGGAAATAATATTTTTTAAAAAGAGTTGCGTTTTTAAAAAATTAATCTTCACATTAATTCGTATATATGTGTGTGTATTTTTGCCGCCATTTCCGGCGAACCCCACCACTGTGCGGAGGCTGTGCCGAAAACTAACTTCATTTGAGAGGAAGCTGCCCGTACATACATACTACCTGCAGAAGCCTCCAGGTAGCAATATTTATTTAACGCGTGAAATGCTGCAGATACTTGGTCGGTCAGTACGAGTAGATGCAGATACCAGTAGCAGTGTGCGGGTTGCGGGGAGGGGCGACCCATCATGATGCACGTATACAGTAGCGCTGTACTTTCAATTTTATAGCAAGCAACGTGTTATTATCCGAGTCAAGAACGGAAACGATCATTCTCGTTGATCGTTCGACTTTTTTTATTCCGTCTACTGGCAAATGCTTGCCTATAATTTGTAAATACATATAAACTTATGTATGTGCTTTACTTATATACATATGTATATATATTTATAGAACATAGTTCATTTTATGTGAGCAATGTAGTGCTTCAGTTTTTAAATACAAACAACAAATGAAGTTCTGTAGCGATTGAATTCACAAATAAAATACGTTATATATATATAGTATATATATATATATATATACTATATATATAATATATATATATATATATATAATCTTAAGCTAGATTAAAATATTATATATATATGTATATATTTAAATATGATTAGTTTATAATAGTGCTTTCAATAAATAATTAAAATGCATATCTTTGGACTGCCTTCTAAACTCCGCTTAATTAATCCGTGAAGCATCCAAATATGTGTGTGAACCAAATTCTATTTACTCATTATTTTATTTACTTAAAGTGTCCTAAGGGGATCATTCCATCAATGTCCTATCAAATTGCTTGTTAGTTAATCGAAGTGTCACCGTTTTAAATAATTATGCCGCCGGTAATTCACTTCATTGCCTTCATTGCCCCTTGATAGGATCGAAAGAATATTATGGAATATTATTATTATTGGAATATTATGCGGTAATTAAAAGGTGGAAGATCGAGATTAAAGACAATCTGATACACATTGCATTAAATCGACGTATTAAAGTGCCCAAGTTCTTAATCTGAGCAGCGTGAAGGAAAGCGGCGCTTGAACATTAATTCTTAAATAAACAAAAAAGGCTTCGGTTAAGTGCCTAGTATGAGAAGCGCGGAGGAGAGCGGTACTTGAATTTTAATTTTTAAATATTAAAAAAGTGCCTTTGGTTAAGTGCTTAGTATGAGAATCGCGGAGGAGAGCTGTACTTGAACTTTAATTTTTAAATATGTAAAAAGTGGTTTTGGCTAAGTGTATGAAAAGCACGGTTTTTGAAATTTGATTTTATAAATTCCAAAGTGGCTTCAATAAAGTGCTTAGTAGTAAAAGAAGCGTGAAGGAGAGCGGTACTTGAAATCTGATTAATAAACTAATATTGCAGCTAATACTAGACTAATATTAGTTTAAAAACCAAATTTTATTTAGTTTGAGAAGGACGGAGGAGGGCGGTGCTTTAAATATTTAAAAAATGAATTCATTGTATATGAGCTATATATAGTACTTATAACAATTTGTGTCAAAACTGCACAGATATCGTTGAAAAGATTTGTGAGCTTTATATAATGATTGAAAGCAATGAACTTTTCCATATTTACATATACATATGTACTATATGTACATATGTTCAACAGGAAAACTCGAAAAACTCATGCGCCAAGCACAATTACAGTTCAGCTTTCTAGTCTTTGCCGTTAAGGCTGTGCAATGATTGCCAATCTTGCCAAAATTGCCACGATAAACTGTTTTATACAAAGATGTATTACTTTCATGTGTATTTGATTTATATAAATACATATGAATATAAGTACAAAGCTTTCCCAAACCCTGTCTGTTCGACTCTCCTCTTTACTTAAATATTCAAAGCTTTTGTATTTTTTATTATACTGTGTACCCGAGCGGAAATATTAGGTTTATGTAAAGTATCTAACAGGAGGATGAAAGCATCTCCGACCCCATATATACTATATATACTCCTAATCAACATGATGAGACGAATCGATATAACCATGTCCGTCTGTTTGGATAAACGCATGGATTTCGGAGACGGTTGGGCCCACATTCAAATTTGGCAAGTAGCCTCTTCTAATATCCAGACAACACGAGTTTATTTTATTTTTTGATTTCCTCCCAAACCAATTTTCATAATAGCTAAGGAAAATGTCGGGCACTGTTCTACGGAACTGTTACGACTCTAGTATTCTGAGAAATCGGACCTTGTACTTGTATTTATTAAATTGTACTTGCCTCTAAAATAAATGTTCATATTTTCCTGTCCATTTCTTAAATATTTCTGGTAGGATCGAAAACAGTTCATGTGGCAGCATATGTGATTTGAATTCCCGCCAAATATAGGTAGGTATAGACATATGTACATATGTATGTCCTTTGCACCTGTTAACTTATAATGACGTGCAACGACGGCCACAACAAGTAACCCTTAGAGTTCATCTGCCAACACACACAACAGAAGGCATTCTTCGGTCTCTGTTGGGTTTTCGAGGCAAGACACTGTTGCTCAGCAGGTCAGCACGTACTTGTTTTCTGTGAGCCAATACCTGCATTGGTTTCAGAGCCACGCTTCAAATTGATAGCAGGTGAAAACCCTTAATACATGGCATCGACCATAAGGGTGCCTGCGGTTCTATTTGAGACCATTTCGCATTTGGCCGACGAGTTTTGTATGACAAGTGGTATTGGTTGCTTACTTATTATGTATTAATACCCTGAACCTTAAAAATACCGACATATGGGTATATCGCACAAAGATATTACTATGTTTTTGTCTTTATAAAAGGAAAGATGTCGAAATTCTTTAACGATAGATTTGCCAAACTATGTCACAAGCCACGAATATTCTCGTAAATATTAAAATATTAAATTAACCACATGAACTTATAACATAACAAGTATTAACATTAGCAAAAAATGTATAAATCTTAGTAAAATCATTTGTTCGAGAATATTTGTCGCTAAAGAGAAACAATGATTCTTTTTCCGTAAATATAGTGTATAGTGAATATTTAAACCTCAAAGCTTGCAATAATTCTACAAATATTATTTTAGTAATTCTCAACATTTAATCACAATATTATTTTCATAATATTAATACAAAATATCCATTAAACGGGTCCGCCACCGAAGCCGAAGAAATTCATTTAGGGTATTTCTGCATAATTGGTGCACACATATGTATATGCATGTATGTATGTATGTACATATATGATGTATGCATGTAGATGTTGTAAGTGTATCAAAGTAAAACAAAAAAAGTGTCGTCTCGAACGTGAGCTCAAAGGTAAGAAATTGGGCGGAGCTTAGTGTTCGACTCACTCGCGTGGATGACTCCGAGCGAGATGCAAAGACACTGAGACTGAGGCCGACCAACAATTCTTGAACTTTTTTACTCAATGGCTTTGTAGGCGATGTCACAATGCCTAGCGTCTTGAGAAAAATGATTATGGTCGTTCATGAATGGGATATAGTAGCACGATAAAACAGGTCATTTCACCTGTTTTGGGCAAGACGTAAAAAGTTACCCTGAGTTTGTCTCAATCGAAAAGAAAAAAAAACAACAACAATAACCGCGTATACCGGCTGCCGCCCAGAGATAGAGAGAGAGAGAAAACGAGTTGAGCAAGTGTTTCAAGAGGGAGATTGTTATTTTTTCTCGTTTTTTGTAGTAATTGAGAGTGTCTTATTATTTCATTCAAAGCATCCGAAGTAAATGCTTATTTACGATCGCTTTAATGTACTGCAAAAAAGAAGAGAAGAGCAAAAATAATAATAACGAACAGCATTAAAGGGAACTAAAACAATGAAAGCGCACCGATCGACGGTACCAGCGCACCAAACAAAGCAACAGGTGATGGATGAATACCACTTCTAAAGCGACTTTTGTTTAATATATGCCTTGGCGAAAAGTCAATCTGCTACCTGAAAATGGACCATATATACAGCACAGCACCATACAGCAGCGCACACTTATGGTCCCGGTTGGTCCCTTGTCCCCTTCTCTTCTCTTAACCTGCTGGCGACTTGCGGCTATGTATGGCATGAAGTATACGAGTGTGTGCCTGTTGATTGTATGTATGTGAATGAGAGTGCTCTTGACGAGCTCGCTGGCTACCGCAGCCACAGCCGAAGCAGCAGAAGCCGCGCAGCAGCAGCGTTGGTGTTACAGGTGCTTGTGCTCGTGCTTGTGCTTGTGCTCTTGATTGAGCGCAAGTGTGTGCGCGTTCGAGACGAGTTTTTTTTGAGATCAATTGATAGCCACGGTGTTGTGTAATGTTGATCTTGTTTTGGTAACGTAGCGGGGCATTGAGCTAAATGAGTTTGACTCTTTATTTTGTTGGCCGCGCGCACTGGCCGCCTGTCTTCTTATCTGCCTCTTTCCATGTAGTTGTGTGTGTGTGAATGGTGTGTTAGTATTTCAGGTGTTTGCAGTTTTCCTCTCAGAAGGTCATGGCTAGCTTAAGCGATCCTGATCAGGTAGTATTAGTTGAGCACTACAAGAAATGGGTGCGCAAGGTTCTTCGTGAAAAGAATTATACTGTATTGTATTTATTTGATAGTGCATACATATGTTTATAAATATAAGGAAAGCTCCTCAAAGCTATAATCTCAATTGTTAATAATTCATACAAATGTTTAAATTGTCACAAAACAAGAGTTGAACTTTTTCATAAAACAAAAATGGATACGTGTGTTTTAATACCAAAATCATTCGCTTTGGTCACAACATCTCTTTCGACCACTAACGGATCGGAAATAACTGTTTGGTCAACGAAAGACATCGACAAAGGGACACTCTTTTATCCCTTTCAAGGCACCGTTCGCACCGATAAACTAGAAAATTTGAACTATCTAGATGATGATGATGTAAGTAAATATCCGTACATAAAATATCAAATGTAAATAAGATAGAAGGATAACAGATATTTAAATCTCATTAATAAATACCTTAAGATGGTTGTAGTGGACTTGGAAGTTTCTTCGTCTAAATTTCATCCCACATACTTGTGGGAAAGTTCTCACGCTACTCTACTTACATGTGAGGACCAGCAGTTAATTGTGACAATAGGTTTGCCTCTTTGATAGACCGCACACCTACATTAAATACATACAAGTATGTATGCAAGACGTTCACGGTTCGCTGCCGAAGAATTTTACAGACGTTGGTGAGCCCCCCCTATGAATTTTTACCCACTCACTCTGAACAATTGGTGAAGCATTAAAGAAAACTATGAGAACTTCTTTTTAACTGCTTGGGTCCGTCTTAAGGAGTTCTCACCGTCATGGGAGAGTAAGCACCATAATACAATCGCTGGGTACTTGCATATATGCGTGAATACCTGGGAGTCAACATACATGTACGCAAGGAAATAAATTCCCACACTATTATGCATAATGGCTAACTTCTTACTGGTCGGATGTTTAAATTGTTTCCGCTACTTAGATCAAAACTTAAAGTGTTGCTTTCGTTTGTGCCCATTAGGATGCGTATTAAGAAAACTGAAGAAACTTATTTGATTTCTTATGGGAATCCGTAAACTTTCTAGCAAGTGCAATTCAGGAGTCTAGCAAAATACACGTTCAAAAAAATAGTCTCCATAGCTTTGGTTAACAGATTTGTTCAAAGCAACATCAACCTTTCACAAATAGCACATAAACTCGTTTATAATTGTGGGGAAATTACCTATTCCCTTAGGCAAATAATGTAGTAGGTGCAGGCCATGCGAATCAGAATATTATATCATATTCACAGGTGAACTATAGACACAGAAACTATTGAATGGCTTGATGGATTGAAATTGTATACTTACACTTCGAAATAATCGGACCTGTTTATCAGATATTGGCAACCTTGGTGCTATACTTTATGGTGTTGCAAAGTATAAGTCAGATCGGAGAATTATGAATGTACACATATCGGAGCCATATGTTGAAGTGGCATTTAATTTTCAGTGGATGTAACGCATATTTATACGAGTATGTGTTCCAATCAACTTAAAATTGATTTGTAGATGGAATTTTCTGCGATATCTCAAGTCCTTTAAAAAGAACTTCGGTCGCAACGGGTGAAATTGATCGCATTTGAAACTTACAAGCCAGTGATAGTTTTAATAACATAGCTTCTTTTTAGTTTGAATATTTATATTTTGATATGATTGTACTCTATTCGCAGATTTATTATTCACCTTTTAATTAGTATACATATATTCCTAACTTGAAAAGTATTTCTTAACTATCACCTTTGTTAAGAGCAAATACGTACATATATACATATTATGTATAGATATATGCCCCTCAAAAGAAAAAAACAAGATTTTTGTGCCTGCTGATATTTTGTTAATTTATCCGATTATTTTGCTACGAATCCACGCTTTAATATTTTACTCCTGTTGCTCGCTTTGGTAGAATCAAATTCTATTAAACCAACCAATAGATTGGTTGATTTGGTCTGGTCTGTAAATAATTAGTATACAAATTGGCAGAATTTAACAAGCCAGCAGAATTCAACAAGATACTAAATTTTATTTTACAATTTGATCTTTCTGCTTGATAGATACGGTATAGATTTGGACTTTATGATGAAATGTCATACAATTATGGAAAGCCAGTAAGGTATTGCAATTGGATCAGATTTCTTCGAGTTGCTCCCACATACGACTCCAGCGTCAATTTAATATGTACAAAGGTTAAAGGGGATCCCATATATGAGGCAATTAAACCAATAACGACACATCAGGAGCTGCTCGTGTATTATATTAACGAACGTCCAGAAGAGATTATATTCTTACGCTTACGTTCATCAATTTATCGACAAACAATGGATTCCATTTTACAAGGTACGGACTATTATACTATATAGCAAAATAGCTTTTATTATATTCCGCAAAATCTATCTTTTAATATATGTATGTATGTACTACACATGCATATGTTATTTGTGGTATTATGCACTTCTCAAAAGCATTGTTTACTTTTATATTTAAGATACTCCCCTAGACCTCTCCTTATCACTAATGCATACGGTCACAAACCTGCCAGTGTCTCCATCAGCAAGCGAGGATGAACAAAAATCCATATTAAGTGATTCATCTGGTTCCTTATTATCGCTGAACGACACCATCAATGATAATTTTAAAAGTGCGCCAATGAATTTTGTTGATCAACTATTGAGTACCAAAAGTACTGAAAAATCAATAAAACTTAATGTTAACAATACTAAAAACCAAACTCCGAAGAAACCAACTGTAAAGAATGAACGTTTGCTTCTACCCTGCGATGTGTGCCGAAAGGCCTTCGACAGACCGAGTCTTTTGAAAAGACACATGAGGACACATACGGGTAAGTAATCAAAATTGGGAGCTTAAGAAAAGCTGCAATAAATAAGAAGTTTCCAGCAATATCTCATAAATGATATGTTGCCCACAATCACCGACTTCTTTCGCTGTCATCCCAGCCGCCGGGGTCTTACACAGCCGATTTTTCGATCATTTTTGTGGAACTCCTGCAAATTTGGCGAGACTGATAGACTGATCTGAACGTATTGAATCTTTTGTTTGCGCTAGACTTGAGAGATTAGACCGAAGCCAGAGAGCAATCGCGAACAGGAGACTGAGATTTTACATTGATTAAGGTTGACAAATCAAAATTTTTATTTCCGTGCTGGGAATAGTAAATATTGCGCTGCTCTGATATGGGAGGTGGTTGAATATTAATATTAATAGACGAGTATTAGGCCAGCCTTAGAGAGGGCTTACAAAATCTTCAATGATTCCATCACATTTTAAACATATCCGTATGGTTAGAGGGGAAATACGGTTTCTTCAAATTACGTAACAAGCATAGAGGAATGTCTCCAACCCTCAAAACGAATATTAATTATTTCTATTGGTAATTGATTTAACAATTACTGTCTGGCAGTGGATCTTTAATGTTAGTTTGCAGGGTACCAAGTATTTCACAATAGGGAAAACTAAACTATAACAATCTTATTTTTGAATTGTAATTAATTTACAACGATTTAACATTTTATTTTCCCCAAATAGGTGAAAAGCCACATGTGTGCATGGTCTGTGGTAAAGGATTTAGCACATCCAGCTCATTAAATACACACAAAAGAATTCATTCCGGTGAGAAGCCCCACGAATGTCAAGTATGCGGGAAGAGATTTACAGCTAGTTCTAACCTATATTACCATCGAATGACTCACATTAAGGTAAAATTAAAAAATTTAAACTGTCACTTCTCTCTCCCTTTGAATATTGAAATTCCCAAGTTATTACTTGAGTTCAGTTCAGTTTCCACTGCAGTACTAATTAATGTATTTATTTCATTTATAATAGGAAAAACCTCATAAGTGCACCTTGTGCTCCAAATCTTTTCCAACACCTGGAGATCTAAAGTCCCACACCTATGTCCACAGTGGATCCTGGCCTTTCAAATGTAATATATGCTTCCGTGGATTTTCAAAGCAAACGAATTTGAAGAACCACCTCTTTCTCCACACGGGTTAGTATTTACTAATAACTAACAAAAGGTTCAACGTCAAAAACTTACCTTTCTGTATACATATGTCTGTAGGAAACAAGCCACACGGGTGCGAATTATGCAAAAAGAGATTCGCTTTGGCATGCAACTTACGCGCTCATATGAAGACACATGAAGGTATAAATCTTACCAACAAAGAAAGATATACATATACAAAATATTTTAGTTTAATTTCAAAAACCATTTCTTTTTTTTTTTCTTTTTTTTGTTCAGGTGATCCCCAGGATGAATGCGTTCGCTGTGGAAAAGTATTTATTAATAATTCTAGTACGACGTTTGGACAAGGAGAATTCGGAATCTGCTCAAGATGCTTAGGAGTAGCGGATGATACGAATAAGACTGCTTCTCAATCAGAAAATGGCATGACTACAGAAGATGAATATGAGTCCTCAGGCGGAACTGAGTGTAGCGACAAATAGACGTAGATGGATATAATTATGACACTAATTGAGATTATTTTAACTCAAAAGTAATTAATACTCCGGCCAGCAGACATCGGAAGTGTGAGAGATAGTGATACAAAAAGTCATATGTTTATAAATAGCCAGGCCGATTTTCAATCAAACGCAAAACTATTCCATTTCATCTAAAATTTGAAAAGTTATTCTGCTATTAACAAATTGGTAATACTGTCACGTCTAACTTTCTCATCACAAAGATATTTTTAAAAATGTTAGCAATGTACATATATATATATATTTTAAGCAAGTCTAACAAAGATAACTCATTAAGATGCATATAATAAATTTAACGACAATCTTTAATAATTTAAAAAGAAATCAACTTTAAAAAATGCTCTACGAAGTATATGTCCCTTTGCAAACAAAAAAAAAAAAAATTTTTTTTGAAACTTTTAAAAATTAAAACCACAATATGAATTTTCTTTAAAGACCAAAAACTAGAAAACAAAAAACAGTAATACATAAAACATTAGAAATGCTTCTTTTTTCCTTAAATTATTTACACACAGTAGTTCTAAGTATACATATGTTTATTCGTTGTTTTAAATTAATTATTATTCAGCAGCTTGTAAATACATAAAACTCTACAAAAATCCATATATTATAGTCGGAAAAAATATAACAAATTTTGGGCTATAATTTTTATGTTTAGCAATTTAACCCTAATTTATTACAATAAAATTAAATGAATTTTTCTAGTCAATACTTATTTTTAATATTAATAATTATATTTATAATATTATGGTTTAATTCATACTCTCATGGTAATTTTATTTAATCTGCACACAATATACATACATACATATGTATATCACAATATCACAATAAAAATTTGTCCGAAGAGCTTATTTATCCTAAAATTTTACAGTTTTAAACAGGTTTTCTTTTACCAGTTAATATTTAAACTAAATTGCACACACATAATCTGTATGCAATTTGCTACCTCTATTTTGAACTTTTAACGCATTTCATTTCTTAAGGAAAGTTATAAACAAAACTACAGCTACATGCAGTTTTGTTTTTTTCTGGTTTATGCGTCTGCTGTGCGCGTTCTAAGAATGTTAATCGTTTTAAATCGAGTATCGATATATTTGATAGGAAATATCGATATATCAATATCGATATTAATATCAATATCGCACGTAAATATCATACAAGTATATGTAGCTATTTTGAAAAGCCGTCATAGATATAGTGGTATGCCTCCAAATGAACTGGATTCATTTCATTGATTTCATCTTAGTCAAAGGATGAAGGAAACTCGTTAAAATTCACATTTTTTCAAATTATTTTATTTATCAAGCATCCCAGCAAAAACGGCTCGTTCAAATCTGGGTAACTTTACCATATATCATAAATCGCAGAAGGGCACAGGAAACGAATTTATTTCAGCTTTTTAACTTTGAACACAGATTTCATAGCTTAACTCTCTTCGAAGGTACTACGCCTTTTATGATAGTAAATAAATATATTGGTTCTTTTTGCGGTACACAATTATTTTTGATTGAATGGGAAAGAGCTAGTTACCTGAGAGTAACTAGTGTAAAAGGGGATTTGACTACCTAGCACACTGTTGGGTAAACATATGTAGTTTATACTTACTGGCGGCATCGGCGGCAGAAGTGCATTTTCGTATTGTTTTATTTTATTTCACAATGAAATCTGTGACGAATGTGGAGTTATTAGCCATAGCTTGCTTAGGGTTGGCCATACGATCAATAATCTCGCTACATTCCTATTCTGGCTTTGGCGTAGCCCCAATGTTTGGCGACTACGAAGCCCAACGCCATTGGCAGGAGGTGACAGTTAATTTAAAGGCTAGTGAGTGGTATAAGAATGGAACGAATAACGACCTGTTGTACTGGGGCTTGGACTATCCGCCCTTGACAGCATACCACAGCTATATCATGGGCCAAGTGGCGAGAAAAGTAAATGAGAGCTTCGTCGAGTTAGGCACGAGTAAAGGCATTGAATCTGGGGATCACAAAAGCTTTATGCGTTTAACTGTTCTTGCTGCGGATATTTTGGTTTATATACCGGCTGTCCTTAGTATGTGCATATGTTTGGATCGTACCTTTCAAACAAATATAAAGCTTGAATTGTTTATAATCTTTATGTTGTGCCCTGCCCAGTTGTTGATCGACAATGGCCACTTTCAGTACAATAACATATCACTTGGTCTGTGTATAATGGCTATCGCAGCAATCCTCCGCGACAGACACTATCTGGCTGCATTTGCCTTTACGCTAGCTTTAAACTACAAACAAATGGAATTGTACCATGCCTTACCGTTCTTTGCATACCTTCTGGGCCAATGTTTGTCCCAAAAAAGGTACACACACATTTATTTTTAAGGAGTTCAATATGAATACATATGTAATATCGGAAAATTATAATTGCAGCGTGTCAGCACTTGCATCCAAGTTCATAGCAATAGCTACAACCGTGGTCGCAACGTTTATCCTTTTGTGGTACCCCTGGCTACATTCATTGGGGTCCACTTCACAGGTACTGAATCGACTGTTTCCAGTAAGCCGTGGTGTATTCGAAGACAAAGTTGCGAATTTTTGGTGCTCTCTTAACGTTGTTTTTAAGCTCAAGTGCGTATTTATTAAAAAGCATCTTACATTTTATTATAATTAAATTATTTTGATCTAATTTGTATAGGAACAAGTTACTAAATCATCAAATGGCACTCATTTGCATGGGCGCCACTCTATTTTTTGCTCTTCCTACTAATGTCGTACTTCTGAAGTGCCGAAATAAAATGTCATTCCTATGGGCTCTTTTAAATACCGCGGCCGCGTTCTACCTTTTTTCATTTCAAGTAAGTACAGACAATCATTTACTGTTTTGCATATGTATGTATATATATTCAACTATTTTCTATATACGTACATAGGTGCACGAAAAGACTATTTTGCTTGTAGTGTTGCCTGCTTGTTTATTGTTCAATTGGTGGCCACGGGAAATGATGTGGTTTTTGGAAACCGCCGTCTTCAGTATGGTGCCGCTATTCAAGAAAGACAATTTATTGCTACCATCCATAACATTAGCAATTATTTTTTATATAGTCTACAATATTTTTTGGAATGAAAAGGATGAAGATAGAAATATAGTGCAAACTCATTCCATCAAAAATATTTCAAACTTCTTAATGGCAACTGTTGTGATGGCCTCCGTTGTTCTGGCTGCTCCTTCAAAGTTTCCCGATTTTTGGTCCCTTCTTATAGCAGTTATAAGTTGCGCACATTTTATGGCAGCACTTCTATTTGGCAACATTCAACAAATCATTGGGGCTTTTAATTAACCAATGTAGTATATGTTGTGTACAATCAATTATAAAAAGATGTAAAGCAAATGGACAAAAAAATATGTTGAAAATTTGTTTTATTGTTTTAAACAGGATTGAAATATATTTTACAATTCCAACATGTTTTTGTATCTGTAGTCTTTTATTCTGACTTATTGTGGTGGTATGAGACTATTGAAAAGTCCAATCTCAAAAATATAATAGTCAGAATGAATATAAAGTATATGAACCCAATAAGCAGAAACGGTTCCTGTAGTAATGATACTCGGGAGAATGTGTATTTTAATGTAAAATCTGAAATATGGTTTTCAACCAAATTGGACCTTGAGAACGAAATCATGGGACGTCCGGTAGTATCCAAGTATGTGTAGATGAATTCGTTCTGTCGCCTTTTAATGCTATATGGAGTCATTAGTTCAATGTTTGAAGATCCCTCTGGTAAAATTACATTTATAACAGCTTTATCAATGGCCATATTATCATGGACATGATCTATTAGCCGCATTTTCAGCTGATAATTTTTCCCAGCACTAAATAAATATTCATAGGAGGGCACATTGTAGCCCAGGATATACTGCGTTTTCCAACCGCCGAAAAGGGGAAACCTAGGCCTTAGTTCTAGATCAATGAAGTCTCGTTGAACATTCATATTAGACGTTGAAATGTTTCCATTCATATCGCGGTAGTATACTCCTGTAGCAGATGCCGGCAAATATGTTCTGTAAGACTTAACTGCAGATTGACCGGATTGACGGCCATCCTTTTGAAAATCGTAACGAGAAAACGATCCCTTAAGTTTAGCGCCGCTGTGGATCATTTCAATCGACTCTTTAACCGCAATATTACCCCAATGAGATACTTCAATCGTGCGTTCCAAGGAATTGACTGTTAGAAAGGGTGTTTGATTTTCATAATGAATTGCCAACTGTTCATCTGATAAAGCTATTTACAAGAAAATAAAAAAGAAGACATTACAAAAATGAATTAGTTGTTCATATTGGATATACCTTTTATATTCTCGTATGGCCCCAATATTATTTTATTAGAAGAAACCGAAAACGGTTTCACCTGAGTGTATGATATAATATTTGACGAGCTCAGCTTAATCTGTGTTTTCTGCGTCACCGTTTTGTACTTTGAATATAAATACAATAAGCCGGCATATTTGACCAACTGCTTCTCGTTTTGCTTGATTTCTTCAGGGTATGGCTTCACATTTCCCACTGAGACTGTTTCAATTTGAATAGTTTGCTTAGGCAAGGCTTTTTCAAAAGTAAGCACAAATCTCTGATCATCATTACTTTGCTCTTTTCGTAATTTGAGATCATTATTTAAAGCATCCTTTGCCGATATATAAGCAATATTTGCCTCCTTAGCAGTAAAGACGTACTCTTTTATGGGTACGCCGGCTGAGTCTTCAGCGTTTATTTTTATTGTTGTTTTTACGAGCTGCGAGCTTAGATCCAAATATCTCTCAACATTTTTATTTATTATTTCAGCTTTTACACTATTCAAAAGCAATAGACAACTTATTATTGCCAAATATAAGCAATTCCAATTCATTTTCAATGTGGACACGTATGTAATCCAAAGAATGATTAGTTGCTAAATTAGAGCTGACAGACTACCGATAACACTATCAACAATTCGATAGCATTATGTTTTAGTGGCCATCGTACTTTTTGTATCTATAAATAGCATTTCCATCAATTGCAAGTCTTTTTTGTTGGTGGTTTGTTTGTTTACCGATAGTCAGCCGGCAGTATCATCGACAATTTTATAGCTTAGTATAAGCGACCTTAAAATTTACTGTTGTGCAAATAAATAATAGCTAAAAGAAACAGAACCTCATGAAATTTCTCAAAACACTGGAGAATTTTATCCGCTCGGCAACTGCTACGCGTTTCAAAAGGTTCAAGAACTCTGCTAAAAAATATCTTCCGAATACACACGGTTTAGTTGCTAGTGATCCCAGAGTCACTTTGACTAACGAACTTTGCAAGAACCACTTAATAATACCAGATAAATTGACACTATTACACAAGTGTAGGAGCGGGTCGTCTTTACCAATTATGGCAATACCACAACACAAGAGCTTACGACATGCTCAAACCCAACATAGTGCGGAACCTCTAGACTTAGATAATATTTTTCTGCACAAGGCAATGCTCAAAGAGGAATTAAAGAAAAGCGATGAACAATGCACGTGGTTTTACGATGTAGACCCATCACTATTGTCAACTACCAATGATCAGGTAAAGCTTAAGAGCTAGATATGAAGATATATGTATGTATGTATATTGATTAAGTACATACTATATATGACTAAATAGACAAGCCATGTGAAAACATGCATTGGAGTTCTTGTACTAAATTTTAAGCTCCTTTCGATTGGGAGTGGACAATCAAATAATTCACCCGCCCGTAAAACTAGTGAATATAAATTTGCAAATATTTTTCCTAAAATATGAATGAATAAAACAGAAACAAGCTATCAAATAAATGTTATTTTTCATAATGTCAATGTTTCATTATTATTATTGTTATTAAGTGCTATAATTTTTTTAATAAGTACAGATGGGGTGTTATACATATGTATATAGGGTGCACCATGCAAATCTTTGGCATCTGGCAACCCTATAACTTTCAAAACTGTTTTCAGATTGTCTTATAATAACCCACGTTCAAAACTTAAAAAGAGACAATTTTTGCTATGGAAGCGAACACAAAGCGGCGACACCATTAAGGTTCCCAGATGTGAAATCTCAACGTCCATATGGTGCAATGTATTAAGTGCAATGAGATATACTTTTCTTTTAATTTGACCATGAATATATAAAAGGGTGCCCTTAGTTTTTATTAAACACTACAGGTATGGCAGGTGACCTGATAAACAAGAATGCATAAGAGTATATTAACAAACACTGTTTTCTAACATATGCCTGTTTGTTAAATTTTTTTTTAGTTCTTGTCATCAAAAGCTGGTGACGGCCAACATAAGCAGATTCTTGAGAAACGAAAGCCAGATAATGCAGAGCATTTAATTACTTCGAAGAAGCCTAAATTGGAATCCAACGATAATGAAAAGTACGAGGAGACATCTTATTACATGGAAAATGGTAAATATAATGCAAAATGTTATACTATTGTACAATAATAAATTAATTTTACAAAGATCTGCGTAAGGTGTATCCTTACCTATTTACATTCACAACATACACGAAGGGACGATGGGTAGGCGAAAAAATTTTGGAAGTGTTCGCGCGTGAGTTTCGAGCGCAACCAGAAGAGGAATATAAACGTTCTATAGAGGTTGGCACACTAACAGTTAATCATGAAAAAGTGCCTATAGATTATCGGCTTAAGCATAACGATTTGCTGGCCAATACTGTGCATAGGTATGCATATATTTAATAATTTATTTAAAAAAATATTGATAAACAAATTTAATTCCATAATAAAATCTCGAATTGGAAAATCGAATATACACTTATCTTCAGCGGTTTTCATTCGAAGCGCCTAATCGAAAGCATTTTAACAACAAATAGCTTATATTCACAGTTAAATTAAAAAAGAAAATCATTTTCCTTGCAGACATGAAGTTCCAGTCACATCGCAGCCCATTAAGATAGTACACATGGATAAAGACATAATTGTTGTTAATAAGCCACCATCTATACCAGTAAGTCAAAAGTTTAAGCATTTCTAAAGATCACTCGACTAAATTATTCTTACCTTTTTGCAAAGGTGCACCCTTGTGGGCGATATCGACATAATACTGTGGTTTTTATTCTTGCCAAGGAATTTAACTTGAGGAACTTACGTACAATCCACCGTTTAGACAGGCTTACATCAGGACTTTTACTATTTGGAAGAACTCCAAACAAAGCCCGCCAACTTGAGCAGCAAATAAGGAATAGACAAGTACAGAAGGAATATGTTTGTCGAGTCGAAGGAAACTTTCCAGAGTGAGTATCATATAGAACAATCTTACGATTTTGTAAATTATAAAAGTTTTTCTTGTAGTGGCGTGGTTGAGTGTAAGGAACCCATTGCAGTAGTGAGCTACAAGATTGGTGTGTGCAAAGTATCACCCACAGGGAAGGACTGTCAAACGACATTTGAAAAGATATCACAAGTTGGAAACTGGAGCATTATTCTCTGCAAGCCACTAACGGGACGAATGCATCAGATTAGAGTACACTTGCAGTTTCTGGGTAGATATATAAATATACAATATACTTGGGGAAAAATAGTTAACCGTTTCATTTAATTTACAGGTTATCCAATCGCCAATGATCCGTTATATAATCACACAGTGTTTGGATGTTTAAAGGGGCGAGGCGGTGATATAGGTGGAAAAAGCGACGAAGAGCTAATTAATGATCTGATCCATGTTCACAACGCTGAAAATTGGTTAGGTATTGATACAGACTCGGATTTACCAGTTGTGAACTCTGTTGAGGGTGCTAATTCTTCCAACGGAGAATCTGGTTTGTAGGACCATGCTTATTAAAAAACTTAATGAAAATAAAATATATTTTTTTAGCAATCTTCAATCCTAATATCCCTGTTAGTAATTCAAATGACTTAGACGCAGCAAATCTAGACTCTTCCAAGCTCCAGACTACCAATAAAAAGCCGGTATGTACCTAGTTTAGTTATATATTTTATTAAATTTCACTTATTAATTTTTTTTATATTTCACTTTTGCGGCTTGCTAGGTCGCTGTATCAAGTCAAACTGGCCTTGAGGTACCAGACCAATACTTTGATCCAAATAAAATGACAACACACCCCCATTGTAACGAGTGTAAGATTAACTATCGGGATCCCACCCCAAAGGAACTTAGTATGTATTTACATGCTTGGAAATATAAGGTATTTTTTATATAGTCATAATACTTTTCGAAGGTCGCTTGTACTTTTCTTTTTTTTAGGGTCCCGGGTGGGAGTACGAAACTGATTTACCGGATTGGGCCTCGCCAAATTGGACTGAAAGTACCTAGCTTGCTTTATTGTATTAAATTTTTAATACAATAAATTATTGTAGGCTTTTCAAAATAACTTCGAACTCTTTATTAGTAATAAGTTTACGATAGATCATGTAAGTAATAAACCCAATTTTTTGTTTATTTTTTTATGTTTTTGAACTACTTGAAAAAGAGGACAAAGCAGTACTCCTGCAATATATCTCAATTGTAAATAAAAATTGGTATTGGTGTGCATTAGTGACGGCGATATTATCGATAAGTCCAAAAATCGATAGCAACGGCAAATAAATATTCGAATGATCTATAAATTGACTGCACAAGAAGATAGTATCGACAATGAGACCAGCGTTTTTTTTTGTTATAAGTATTTGTTTTGTTTTGACTTTGGGTTATAAGCCGGTGGTAGTTTTGCATGGAATATTGTCCGGCGCTGAATCAATGGTATCATTAGTACAACAAATAGAAAAGGTTTTTAAAGTTTAATATGTGCATAATGAAGAAATAATAGTCCACTATCTATTTCCAGCACCATCCTGGTACAAAGGTATGTACATATATATGTATGTATATACATACATACATATACATACGAATGTAGAACACCTTTGTGTTACGGTAAAACACAAAGTACGGTAACCTTAACTGCCCAAAAAGGGCATTTGTTTTCAAAACAAACAAAGCAAGCTGACGCATGGCTGAAAATCGTCGTAGACTCGGGGTCCAGCAAAAATAATATAATTTAATTCCAGGTGTATAATTTCGATAGATTCAGTGGTTGGTATAGTCTAGAAAATGCATGGAAGCAAGTAGAACAAGTACGCGACTACATAGATCAAATTGGAAAACTGCACACCGAAGGCATAATTGTTTTGGGCTACTCTCAAGGAGGCCTCTTGGCCAGAGCAGCGATTCAAAGTTTACCCGATCATAACGTCAAAACCTTTGTCTCATTGTCGTCTCCTCAAGCTGGGCAATACGGAAGTAAATGTATTTAATGATTGTGACGTTCTTAAAAGGCATCATTGTTTCTCTATTTTTAGCAAGCTTTCTGCACTTAATTTTTCCTGATCTTGCTGCCAAAACTGCTTTTGAATTGTTTTACTCCAGAGTGGGCCAACACACTTCTGTTGGTGGATATTGGAATGATCCGCATAAGCATGAACTATATTTGAAATACAGCGAGTTTCTGCCAATCATCAACAACGAACGGATAAGCCCGAATTCAACACTTTTTAAAAGGGGCTTAACACGATTGAACAGGTTGATATTAATCGGGGGTCCAAATGACGGAGTAATTACACCGTGGCAGTCCAGGTAAATCCGTAAATACATACGAGTATATGCTGTTTTAATTGTTCAATTGATCATACAAAGGAATTATTTAAATGTGAAAATACTTCAAGTAGTAACATTTGATGATCGTATTTAACTATCAAAATCATATTCGTTACATTGCATCAAGGTAAATTATCTTATATTTTTAACTTTTAGCCTATTTAGCTATTACGATGAATCGTTAAATGTGATTCCGTTCAATAAACGAGAAATTTACACCACAGACGCTATAGGCTTGAAAATACTTGAGGATGCAGGAAAGATAACATTTGTTATAAAGCCGTTCGTTCATCATCTATCGTGGCACACCAACAAGTTTGTTATTAAAGAAGTTATAATGCCCTATTTAGATTAAGTGCAAGCATGTTATAGAAAATGAATAAAGAGGCTGAACCATATGGCACGCGTTATTTTAATATTCTTTTTAAATCTCACTGAGGGAATCTGATAATGTATATACTCATATAAATTTCATTGTTGACTTCTTTTTCGACTGAACCAATGGTTATAATCTAGTCTCAATAAAAGCTGTGTTAGAGGTCCCAAATTTGATGCTGATTTTGTATCCAACATTTTCATTAGGCTCGCAATCGATTGATCAAATCTGGAAAGAAAGTAGCTGGTGTTAGCTTTTGAACAAAGCGCCATAATTGGCAATTACAAATTTCTTCTGTACCTTTCTTCTAGTTGTTCCACATCCTTCAAAGTGTTTTCTGTCGTATCCTCCGTATAGTTTATGGTGATGAACTCCCCACATATATAAAAAATTTCAACTATTATTCGATTAATTGAATTGTCCGAACAACATGTAGACTGATTTATGTCGACTTTCATCTCAACACCATCAAAAAGCAAGAAGCACTGCGAAAGGACATTAGCGAGAAATACGGTGTGTGCCCTTTGGATTTCTCCAAAATCTGCTTTACTTCTTATAGTGTCCATTAAAATGCTGAATTGGCCTAAAATATAAAAACTTATGAGCGCATAAGAGAAAGGTGTTGGTAAGGCTTTCCCTTACTTTCTACAACATCTACTTGAATATAATATTGTAGATTATCCAAGAAAAACATGAGATAGTTGCGCATTTTCAATACGTTTCCGTTTATTGGTTGCTTCCTTTTGGCGGCGGACGTGTGGTTTGCCCATACAAGGTGTAAATCGTATTGCAGCTTTCTTAAAACCAGCAAGAAGCGGAAAACCTTGTTATATTGCTTAACAACTTTTGGCGAAAATAGAAGATTTAATGGCCATTTGTAAATATACTTCAAGTAAAAATTTTGAAATATATCGAATTCGCAAAATCCGTCGAAATCGACATTGCTATTTTGCACGATTAGAGAAAAGTGCTCCAAGTCGTCTGTCATGCCCATAATATGTGCAGCCACCTGTAAGAAATAAAAACACTTTTTTTATATGAACAAACATGTTTAGATAGTTGCAAACTAACTTCAAACGATCTGGTGTAATTTCTATAATGCAGTTCAGAATTGCCCTTCGTGGCACCATTTAGTTGTCGAAGAAACTCAAGGTAGAACTCGCCACGTCCTAACAGGTAAAAGTCCTTTATCAACTCCATTTGATGCTCCAAATTAACCTTATTTTTGGCAATTTCTGAGAGCCGCATGCTAACATATTTTTTAATATCATAAACAACTTTTTCGAAGTGAACTACGCTGATTTTATCATCGTTAGCGAGCTCTTCAACCATTTTTTGAAAAATGTATTGTTTTCCACTCCAAAGTTCACTGATATTTTCTCTGGTTGATTCACATAGAGTCATTTGCCAGAGGTCAGTCTTGTTTCCGTTCGTAGAGGATCGATCCATTTTAAAGACAAGCACTGTTTGGCCAACAAATACAATTTTCTCCGCTAAGCTGGTTGAGATGAATCCCGGAAGCTGCTGCATATTGATTTCATATTGCCAAATATAATCATCGCAGCTAATACTTTGGTCCTGTTAAAATATAAACAAATACGTAAATATATGAATATTTTGAGTTTGGGGTCATGCGACAACGACTTGACTGTACTCGGCCAACTGCGTTTTTTGACAGCAACACGTTGGACGCTAAGGACGAAACAACTTATGGACGTTTAAGTTGATTTTTTGGGGAGTCATACCGGATATGAAGCTGCCGATTTCCCACCAGTGCTGATGCTATCGTTGAAGCAAGGTGTAAATTTGATAAAGAACTCAGAGTGTTCGTCGTCGATTATACCAAACATTAGCCAGTTAGCTAGATGGGACACAAACGACAATTTCACTGGAGTCAGGACTCTGCATAGTAACATTAATATAGGTGGATACACACAATTAATCACATACATCTTACTTGATTATAGCTCTTTCTAGACTAATATCTCCGTGATTCGATTGCTGATAGAGATTTTGGAGCAGACAACAGCCATGCAGTTTTTGAAGTTGCGTATCCCTTATGAGCTTTCGCAGGAAGAATACAACGGGCAATTGTGCTCTCAAAGCATCGTACACGTACATTAGCGAATTTGTGGAGCTCTTGTAGTAAACCTCTTCCAGTTGGGCTATCATATTATAATGGTCATCAAGCGCATCTCCGACACCACTTGCAAAATTTTTTAGATAAGATCCTTTTGAAAATTCTGCAAGCAATACCATAAGGTATGTATGTATGTATGTTTATGTAGTCCGTCAACTATTTTACTTACCATCAGTTTCAATGGAGGAGCAGGGGTTTTTAGAAATATCAAATTTCTGCACGAAGCTTGCAACTTCATTAAAATATTTTAATATGTTGAGAATCTCAACGAACGTTTCACGTTCACAAGGATGCACAAAGTGGTCGATAGCTGTGGAATCCTTAATGGCACATATTTATATCTAAAGCAAATACATGAACATATGTTAATATATACTTACGAGAATTCCTTTAATACTCAAACCCTTTCTGGTAAATACCAGACATGAAAGTATCAAATCATGGATCATTCTGCTGTTATAAATGAAATTTTGAATTTATTGATTTCAATATCTTTTTTCGTAGGTTCGCTACATTTATTTTCGCAACTCATGAAACAGGCGGCTAATTTGTTATTAAAGTTGAGTCTGTATCAAGACCGATGAAGACGATACTACGCAAAATACAATCGATAAATCGTGTTAGTTATCGTAGACGATATTTTTTGCTGTTTGAATTACCAAAATCCTAAATTATCATTTACATATGCACTTACATTGCAACATACATATGTATTTGTAGTATATTTATGTATATATATGATTTATAATTATTATAATATATATAATTTTTGTATTATAAATATATTATTTTTTTTATCAAAAGAAAACTCGAAACAATTTCTGAAGCAAAAAGACTGAGCTGTCATAGGGCAGCCGTACAAGCGGAACTACTAATACAGAACATTGATTTTCTGTTTCTCCAAGATGTTACACATTTAATGCCAGGTCGGACCACGATGCCATAAAACTAACGTGGAATAGTATTTAAAGACAGTGGAATACATTTAGAGGCATGTAAGCTTCGGGTTTGTCAGAACATTGATTTTCTGTTTCTCCAAGATGTTACACATTTAAAGCCAGGTCGGACCACGATGCCATAAAACTGACGTGGAATAGTATTTAAAGACAGTGGAATACATTTAGAGGCATGTAAGCTTCGGGTTTGTCCTGGTTGGCCTTCGCGCGCTTATAAAGGAAACAAGTTTTGTTATTTAATTAAATACGTTGTGAATGTCTCGGCCAACACGAATTTATTTATAGAATTTTTCGGATGAAACTCGTATGTAATTCTAAGCTTCTAGTTTCACAACTGTAGTCTTTTCAGATACATAAAGACCGTCCAAAAATTTACGGATATCCTTGTTTTTAACGGTGGTTGATTGCTGAATAAGTGCAGCAGAACCAGATACGGCCTCGATATCATTGCCTTCCACAATAAGTTCGTCCTTTTGGGCTGTTGAATTAACAACAGTGACACCAGGCGCCATCTCCACACGGCGTATGTATTTCTCACCCAAAAAGTTGCGAATCTCAATAACCGAGTTGTTTTGGGAGGTTACGCAGTTAATTGGAAAATGAGCATATACGGCACGCATTTTGTACTGGAACCCGAATGTGACACCTAAAACAAAAGCAAATTAGTTAGATAAAGAGGAACAAATGTACTCGCAGCCCACATACCCTTGATCATGTTCTCAATGTGGCTGCAAACGGTGCGCACAGCAGCAAGTTCCTTTTTAGTGCCAAACCATTTTTCCACCTTTAGCGTGCGTTTGTCCGACATGTACATGTCCAAAGCCAGATGCTTAAAGCTGCGCTTCAGAACTCCTCTTTTGCCGGTAATTGTTACCACACGAGCCTTTACGGAGGCTTTAATATCCTTTGGGATTTTAACGCACTGATTTGAGTTGATCGTTCGCATCTTGACGACACTGAAAATAAATAAACACAAAGCTTATTATTGAACGAACACTCGTTAACAGGTCATACTGCCACTTTTACGCAGGAATACATATAATTCAATCCCAAATCTACTATTTTTAGCAGTAAACAAACTATCTGCATATATGTAAATACATATCACTTCAGTAAAATCAGGGAATATTACACACTTGTTAGATACATCAATGAACACTGCACTAATAAGAAAATAAGCAGTTCGTTATGTGGAAATATGTTTTGCCACAAGATTGATACTTCTAGCAATTGCTTAAGCATGAACATTAACTCGATGCATTAAAATTATATTCAATTAATATTGTATACGACTTACACACCTCTACACCGACCGGAAAGAGGCTGGGAAAAGAAAGGAAATTTTTGACGTTTCCAAATAGTAGCGTTGCCATATCACCGAGCCGGCAAGGGATTTTTATAAAGCTTTAAATATATCGAAATACATAATTGCAAACAACATCCGATGCGAACTATTTTTCATTCACTATCAACTTAATGCAGAAACGGAACACAATATTTGCAGATACATATAAATATTTTGTCCCACCATTCCTTTTGGTCTTTAGTCCGAACGTATGTATTCGACAAAAGTATCGGATCCGTACCGAAATTTTACTGAAAATAAATGTATAATTTGTCAAAAGTAGTAAATTGAAAGTTCGTTTGTTCCGTATAAAAATAGAGAATAGTAGATCAGTGACAAAAGGAACTTATTCGATAAGTTCGTTCGTTCATTTTATTTCCTTGTGCATAGCTGTAAAATGTAGATTAGAAGTATTTTCCAACACTTAATGGCGGGACTTGCAGTGGCGTGGGTAACATTCGGCAAATTTACTATTTACAATAATTTGGTTCGTCCTCAAATCCCATCTAGTGACATATTCTTGAAAAGGCAGTAGCAATGAATGAAACACAAGTGCAAGTTGACCTGCTGCTGGCTGCTGGAAATATGCTTGAATGGCACGACAATTGTGACAGACACAAGCCGGGGCTTTCAGAGGTGAGCTCATGGTTTATAATTTAAGAACTGAAATTTAGGCAAAATATCTGTATGTACGTATACATATGATCATATAAATGTGTATTTTAGCTGACTGGAATCAGTCAACAATGCAGAGCAACAATGAGCGGTCTCAATGACTACGACTACCAGAGTTTGGCGAGCTTAATTTCGGACCCTGCTTATAAACTCAAACAATTACGGACTGTGAGCAAATCAGCAATTCCAAATGAAATCTTGGAACATTTTAAGCGTAAATATTTCAGCAAAATTTATTATTTTTCTCATAATTAAATCCAGAATTTGTGTAGATATCAAATGTCACTGTACAATGGGACTATTTCCTGAGATCGGGCGAGCATGGCTGACAATCGATTCGGAAATATATGTCTGGAGTTTTGGCAGTACTAAAGACATTGCCTATTATGATGGTCTGAGCCATTTAATTGTCAGTGTTGGCTTGGTTAAGCCCAAAGATGGTGTTTTTGTAAAGGACGTTAAGTACCTAATGTTGCTCACAACCCCAATTGAGGTAATCATATTAGGCGCCACTTTTGGAGAAGATAACAATAATAGTGGAGGATCAAGGCTGCCACAAAGTCAAAAATACAGTCAAATGCAGCTGATGAATAAGCCCATTTTTGTCCTGGGCACGGACAATGTCTCCATAAATGTTATCCAGGGCAGTGAGGATGGTCGTATCTTTTTGGGTGGTCGGGATGGTTGCTTATATGAAATTTATTACCAGGTGGAATCAAGTTGGCTTGGTAAACGATGCAAAAAGATAAATTTATCACAGGGTATTGCATCCTATATGGTACCAAGTTTTTTAAAACTGTTCACGGTGCGTATTAAGTTAGTCACGCAATTGTCATTTATCATTTATATCAAACTCTACTTATTTTGACAGGAGGTTGATCCCATCGTCCGAATTGCGATTGACAACAGTCGTAAATTACTCTATATTCTGACCGAGAAAAGTTCTATCGAAGCTTGGGACATGGGTACGAAGTACACAAACGCTCGACGACTTTGCAAAATTACTCAAAGCGATATTGCTGGCCAAGCTATCAATTTAATCAAGTAAGTAGTTAAGGCTTGCTTTTTTGTATGTTTTATATAATTACTTATCATTATTATTTTATTAATTCTAGGACGGTCGACCCTTCAATCTTCAAGTGTATCAAAGCCATTTGCCCTCTCACGTTAGATGATTCCGACAATTTGCATCTTGTGGCAGTAACACAAAGCGGAGTACGTTTGTACTTCTCTACCAAGTCATTGAATTTTCAAAATCAGCAAAACAGCCCGCTACAGCCCTTTGGCATTAATCAGCCTTTTCCGCCTCCAACGTTTCAAGGAGAACGTGAATCACCGAACGGTTTGTATTTATTGCATGTCCGTCTCCCGCCTGGCTATACTCCCAACTCGACTACGAATAAGCCAAAGCAAGTGCACACAGCACACTATACTGATGGAACTACATTTTTGGTCACGACGCAGCAACAAGAGCAGGACCTACTTTGGTCGGTCAGCTCTGCACCCTTCACCGGCTTTTCATACCTCGTCGAGTCCACTGCATTGGAAGCATTGGACGGCACAGTGTGGTCTTTGTCGGAGTACCCTGATGCGTTCAGGCCGCAAAGGAAGTCGTTGCTCAAAAATGATCGTGTTCCTCGAAAAATTGCTCTGCTCACTAATCAGGGAACGCACATTATAGAGCTGCTGAAGTCTGCTGATATTCTGCAGCAGGTCTTGCTGGCTTGCAACGGTCCACATCATGAAGCTGTGAAAATGTTCTTTCAAACACAGTCAGAGCGAGAGGCATGCGCCACTGCCTTGTTGCTGGCGACATCAGATGAATATTTGGGCGGTGACATTGCCATGTGGGCCGCCCAGGCTTTCTTGCTGTATGGCGGCGAACCGTGCCTTCAAAACAATTTGAATGCTGTCAATCGTAATCTGCAGAGCCCGTCTATGGGCGCCAGCTTTGGCAGAGACCGTCAACTAAGATTTATGTCCACACCAATGCCAGATATGGGCCAAATCAGTCCATCTGGCTGCCTATCATCTGCGGCGAAGTCCAGCCTACCACTTAGCCCTAGTAAGTAACACGTTTCAATTGACTATGACGTTTAATAATTATGACCGTTTCAGTTGATCATCCGCAAACCTCATTAGCCCCTGGAAATGACAACAGCACAATTGTATATTCGGCCAAACATGATGGTCTGTATTTATATGTGTCCCGCATGCTGCGATCCATTTGGCAAATGCACTGCGTAAATGAAGATCTCTGCTCTACACTTAACCCTAACGATTGCGCGCAACTTCTAGCGGAACTGCGGTCTCTGCGATGCTTTCTGGAAACCCACTCTGTTCATGATCTTTCGTGTAGGTCTATACTTGATATAAAGGAAATACTTAAATGCTAAAACCAATCACTTTTAGCTACTACCCGCCTGCCTTTCGACAGCCATTTAAGTAGGACTAACGGCTATATATCACTTGCAATGATGGCTAACAATCGGAATATAACAGAGCAGGCGCAAATCGAGGAGAAGCGATCCCTTTCAGCGCTTAATCATTTCATTAGTAAGTTTTAAAAACATGGATATTTAACATGTTGTTTAATTGTTGCTTTTGCAGGGCACGCTTGTGAGGTAATCGCACTGTGGAGCATTCTAAACGAGCATCAGTTTCAAGTTCTTTGCCTACAACTTACTGCCGAGCATCAAAAAATGCTGCGATGCTGCACATTTAGGGATTTGTTACTAACCCGCTCCGAGGTGTGTGCATTCCTAATCATCGCACTTATTAATCTGTATCTGAAAGACAAAGCGAGTCTGAACGAAGTTTCGACAAGCTTGCGCGAATTATGCCCCAATTTATATCGACATGAGGATGCCATCACATACAAGGCCACTGAAACCCTCCTGAGTGCTAAAAGCTGTACTTCTGCATTGGAAAAGGATCAAAAGCTTCGCACCACACTACAAATGTGCAAAGATGCGGCCCCCACCCTGCCATTGCATAGCATTTGTCAGCAATTCATCGCGGCAGGCTTTTACGAGGGGGTTGTGGATCTTTCTTCAACGTGCGCTGCCAAAAGCGATCCAGAGGACATCGGTATACATTATTATAACAACGATGAGCCCTCAGACGACCGCGAAGGCTATACTTGCTTCTCAACACGGTAGAAATTCTTTCTGAAACCTTTTCTAATACGACTAATCCTTTGCTCAATTTACAGAATGAATTATTACAAGGAGGTGCAATTGATGCTCGACCATATATACCAATCAGTCTGCAGTAGCAACATGGATCAAGATAGTAATAAGACATATCAATCTGATTGCTTTTCAGCATTGGAAGCCCACGATACTGAAAGTGGGCCAAATCAGAAAATAGCAAAAATCGTTGCGCAAGCCTTGCGAATCAAGGATCCACTGCTGCATGTGACCATATATGAGTGGCTTCTCTCGCACGACATGCTCAGTGAATTGTTGGATATAATTGAGCCTTCACTTGGCGAGTTCTTGCGCCGCAGCGTTAGTCGCAATCCGGAGAATGTTAATTTAATTGATCTGCTGTGGAAGTATTACGAGAAAAATGGACATCACTCGCGTGCAGCACAAATATTAGATAATCTTGCCAAGACACGCAGTGAAAATATATCGTTGGACGTGCGAATTGAATATTTGGTGCGCGCTGTTATGTGCATGCGAAACGAGAACGTTGGCTCCTCCATAACGAATGGAATATTATTAAAGGAGCTGGAAGACAACGTGAGTTTAATTACTAAGTTATTAATACGTATTGCTCCAATTATTTATTTAATCTAAATTTGTAGTTAGACATTGCACGCATTCAGAAAGCGGTATTGGTTGATATGATGGTGTTGGCACACACAAATCGAGAGGCTAGTGTGGCTGTGAAGGAACTTAACTATGCATTATATGATATATCGGAGCTCTATCAGAACTTTGCTGTGCCATTTGATCTTTGGGAGTGTCAACTTTCGATCCTTAATTGCTCACACCATAACGACGCGCTTCTGATTGAATCCGTGTGGGGTAATATCATAAAATCTGTTGTGGAAAGCCCAGGTTCGACACAGGAGCGCAGCACCAGGCTATTCAGTAAAATAGAGCTACTAGTTCGGGAGTTTGGCGAGTCAGGAGCTTGTTTCCCATTTGGTTTCCTAATACGGGAGCTGGAACTAAAGGCTTGCCAGCTACGCCTTCGTGAGGGTACAGTCCCTGAAAAATTAGTCGCAATGAACTTGGACGTTGAACTACTGCTGGAATACTACTCTAGGTAAGTGACTCAAATGCACTTTTACCATTTCAACTATTCAACATAACTTGTATAACGTAGAATGATTTCGATCAACGAAAGAATATGGGCCAACGAAGGCAACGAGTGGCATCTAATCCAGTCCGCCGTAAAGGTCGTTTCACTCCTTGCTGATAATCCGCACGCAATCTGGTATCGTTCAAAGTGGGTAACGGAAAACGAATCCCTAACTTATTTTGTTTACCAATATAAACTGTTATATTTTCAGACGTCGCATTGTTGGAAAAGCTCAAGATATTGTGGCTGTTTGTTTGAATATTTGCTACCAGAAGCCGGATACGGACAGATTACAGTACTCCCTCAAGGAACTTCAAAGCCGATTGCAACGTCTAGTTGGCTAGTGCCATCGATCAGACTAATAGCTTATTTTCATGTATATTTTATAAGATCAAAGAGTAAGCGAAAATGTCTTGAACAAACATTTTATTAAAGTCTATTTATTGTTATCTGATGATTGAGCTCACTTTGGTGGCGTAATTCCTTATGGGTCGAAGAATTAATGTTTTCTATACATTTTAGAAGTATTTTAATTAATTTATTCAGCTCAAAACAATACAATTAAGCTACAATATCTACGACGGAAAAGTGTACTAGGTGGAGGTATGTCGTCGGAGCTATGTCGCTATGCCAAAGCGCCATACTTATATCCTACCTGTTGTTTTTAATTGATAATTGATCCACTGTTATAAATGTATCTGTTGGTGGAATCCTGAGTTGTTAAAATCTTTTTCAATAATCCACTAACAGTGTTTTTATTACATTTTGAACACTTAAATTTGGGTATACTTGTAGATACAAATATATACATAATAGATTTACTAAGATGGACTGACTGACTAACTACTAGCTTACAAAGAATTGATTAGATATCGAACTAATGCATTTCTTATTTAAATACCTAATTTACATCGGCAGCTTTACAGAATTCGTCCAGTCTTTCCGAAATCGAAAAATATAAATAACCTATAAGAGCGAAAAGTTAAAAAATTACTAAAGAAATATTGGTATGCTATAAATTTGTAGAGACATATAGTACATACATAAATAATATACGTAAAATAAATGGATATTTTTCATTTTCTGCGCCGGCAAGACATGGTTTTTCAGTATAAATATCCAAAACTTTGGTATCTTCACTGGATGATTCCTTTAGGTGTGCACTGGCATCTCTGTATTGACGCTAATGTGGTCGCCACTAGCGTTCGAGACCTAGATGACGTAAACAAAATTAGTATATCAGATATTTAAACAATATATAGCGGATAAATTTGAAGTATATATTTTCAATACGCTTAGAACAGTTCTATAAAACCAAAATGGTAGCTCATCTAAAAATTTAGCGAACACTTCCAATTGAATGCGATTATGTTTTTTCTTTAATAATAAATATTCATATATAAATGCTTGTATAAGGAAATTAACATTTTTATAGATAAAATAATAGTATTTTCTATTAATGTAAACCAAAAACAAACAATTTAGAAGTACAACTCTTTTTTACATCTGCTATCTGCTAAAAGAAATGCATTTATCAGTAAATATGATGTCGGCCACACATTTTCAATATTAAACATATTTTCAAAATGTTTTTAAATGCAACTCAAACTTTAAAATAATAATTAAAAATAGCTGCTTAGAACATTTTGTTTACAATAAATATGGAATTTATTCTTACCTTTAATATATTTTAATAAAGACAATAAGTGATAGTAAATAATATAACTGAAAACATTAATCATTGTAAAAGATGCTTTCGAATTTAAAAAAAATAAACATTTCCTACATAAATACTAGTTGCATGCACAGCATAAGTAATTTATTTTTAAGAAGGAAAAGTAAATCCGTTTGAGATAGAAGAAACTTACTCCGTTTTATGATCTGTATTACAAACAAATAAATTCGTGTTTACTGGAAATGGGCACGAGATATAACAACAGGTTGGACAAGTTCTGATAATATTTGACAATTTCTAGCCAATCCACAAATGTATTGTTTACATAATTATTACAAAACGTATTTTTTTGAGATTACAGTACCTTAACATCTTGAAGTATATCACTACGGTACAATTACAAATGATATAATAATTTTTCTAGAATACCTAATTCCATTTTTAACATTTTATAAAACAGCAACATAATTATCTTTAAATTTGTTTCTTCATAACATTTTTACAGAATGGTCAGACAGACAGAGAAATTGGACGAATTTTATAATTATACCATAATATTGATCAAAAATGATCTACTACAAATATGTATATAATATAATAGTACACATCATATGACATAATTGCAAAATTGGACCAATTATCTGTCCGTAGTGTTTCTTGTAGTCGTAAAGGTATATATTTTTTGCATTCAATAATATTTTATCAGACCCTTTTGCTCATGTAACCTATAAAGCGTCTACCTTTTATTGCTTAGATAAGTCATATTGTCGTCTAATAATGCAAATTGGAAGAGCCAAATCGAAACGGTAGCCATATTTTTCGACCGATAAAGGAGACAACAACTACAAGACTAGAAAGTGAAAGTAACAGGAGTTAGCACCAACATAGTGGCTAACGGTAACACGATCTTAATTTGAGAACACTCATCAAGAATACTTTCGTCAACATTGTACTCTGTAAATATATTTTCCATCATCCACTAACACGATAGATGCAAACATTGTCTGCCGCACTAGCCCAGCAGCTTTCAAACAGAAGATATTGGTTTTGGATTTGATAACCCGATTGAAATTTAACAAAACGATGATTACTTTGTTGAAATAAATGATAAAAAACCTGGCTTAACCTTCCTATACTGAAAAGCCAGATAATCAATGGTTCGATTTTATATCTACTACTTATATAGCGTATGGAAGGGATATCCAAATCAACATATGATAGATTTATAACATTATCTTATTCAAATTCACAATTTACATGTTCGATATGTCGAATGCCACAGTCCTTCAATTTTTCTAATACCCCAAAAAGTAAGTCTTAGAGATCATATTTTGATTTTCCTAGAATCGTAGTTTTAAAATTACCCGGATAAATTGAATAGCTTTCGAAAAGGTCCTGATTTTGTTAAAACTATTAACAGTATTTAATACACTTTACCCAACACTATCTACCAGGTCTTGTATTTCTTTGAAATAGTTCTTATTTTCTTTAAAAAATTAATATATCTTATATATCAATTTAGTTGACAAGTTTTGCATTGAATGCAGAGTTAGCATAGCTATCTATTTGTTTATAACATTCTCCTACAAGCACCTTTTCAACAAACAAAAACCCATAAATTATAGCGCTAGTCAATGAACACTGGACACAAAAGGATAAATAATATTCTATTGAGTGACGAAGAAGTATCCAAAAGTGTTAAATTTTCCAACAGATGTCTATTTAATAATCAATCTAGGTGTATAAAGAGACTAACGCAATAATTTATAAGTTTTATACGCCGATACAAAATATGCTATAAATAAATAAATTGTTATGTGTAGGTGGAAGTTTTTGTTTACACAATTTCTAGACAACATTTATTTTAAATTTACAACTAAATTTAGTTTTAAATTACTAATTTGTATTATTGAACAAAGTAACATTTATTAATCACTGATTGGCTCTTTGTGTGGCGCCACGAATTCAACAATTTTATTAAATAAGTTCAATATGATTTCTATGAAACACCTGAATATTATTGTATCAAATATATACGAGTACAATATACAGTGTATATTATAAACTTAAAGTTAAAACGAGTAAAATTGTGCTAACAGTAAGTAACGCTTCAATTACTTATACGATGGTAGCCATAATTACTTTAAGATCCATCTCATAAACTTGAGAATGTAGTCCTGCAATTTTAAAATTACAAACAATATATTTTCATCGTGGTCTACTCAGAAAAATTCTAGTGCTTGCAATTTCAAGCAATTGAAAATTAAAAGAAACTAAAAGCTTTCGAAATCAGTTCTCGGCTCGGTGGGTAGAAAAAAAAAGAAAATCTGTTTCCCATATGGTTTCGAATAAGGGAAAACATACATAAGTACATACGACAAATGGCGCCAACAACAACTCGATGTGCGCTAGCTTATTTGTGGGAGGAATGCGCGTTTTTACTCGATCGGTTTTAAAATTGATTTGTATTTTCAAATCTTGCCATTAACTATATTTACGTTTTGTAACATATTAAAAAAAAAAACAACAAACATTTATAAGTTACTGTAACGGAAATAATATCTCTAAATGTATTACATTTATCCATTTTACTGTTGATCTTAAAAAACTAATTTAGCTTCGAATCTGACCATACATTTTATTTAAGCAACTCCTATTAAGTCAAACTAATACAACTATAAGGCACTGAACACTACTTTTTTACTGATCGATCCATTATATGTATATTTATACGAAAAACAAGGTTATTTCGATATTACGTTTGTGTATTCTAAAAACAAAAGGGGAATCGAACTATCACAGCGTGTTGGGAGTTAACGAATCTAGTTAGCTAACGTTCGAAAACAGAAGGGCTGCACTTATCAATTATATGCAGGCTTAATAGTTCAGTTCAGAAAAGAAGTTAATACAATCTACATGTGTTAATATATTGTGCTAAACTGTCTCCTCCTTTAACTGCATACTTTCTATTGACAGCACGGCGGAATTCATCGCAAAAAACATTTCATTTTTGATAGGTAAGGTAGGTTTCAACCTTATTGGTGCAATTTTAATTGCAGAAAGAACGGAATTCCATAAAAAATTCCATATACGTATCAAACAATCAAGCTTATGTTATTACTTGATATTGGCAGAAAATTTGTTGTTTTGAAAGCCAGAAGTTATCTTCATATTGCCTTCAAATTGCAACAAACTGCAACCATTTTGGTATTTATCAGTATATTACTTCAATTATAAGAACGGAAAAATCATAGCAACGCATTGTTTTGGAAACCTTACACGTTTTAAAAAATTTGTGGATATACTACGTGATTAAAATCATTTTCATTTCCTACATAGATTTTATGATCTGTAGGTTCCTTTTTTTACATTTATAAATGTTCTATTATCTTGTTCTGCTCAACATAATGTTTATACTAAAATGATTTACAATGAAATACAACATTGTATCTTCGATAAGAACGACGAGCCGGCTAAGTTCTCCATCATAAATTTGAAATGTCACTAACAACAGAACAAAACCAAAGTACATTATAATAATACTTGTATATATTGTATAAACATATAAAACCTATGTACCCAAGTATATGTATACTCGCAACTGGTATTAATATGATCACGCATGATAGAATTAACTTACGATAGTAGAGTGCACGACAGCGCCAATAGAACGATTGAACAGCTTGCCAACAGTCCTCAAAATTCAACAAAAGGCATAACCAATATGAACTTTTTTTAATCAAAACGGAGATATTTATATGTTTGTGTAAAAGTTTCCCCCCAACACCCAAAATACGAGCTAAAAATTCAAACTTTATTTGTTACAGTTATATCTAAAAACATTTCCTAGTTTGGGGCGCATCTCACATATAAATAAAATATTACAATAAAAGTTATCCGAGGGAATCCGGCACCTACATATGAATGCAAAAATATATGCGGCGTACAACGTATTGGAGAAATAATGGGTCTGGAAGCTCCACTGAACTTTAGCCCATACTCGTATACACAGATTTAAGAGAATTATTAATTTTTTTAAATTCAAAATCTGATTTTAAACTTGAAAAGTTTCATTTAACTAAAAATTTGAAAAAGAAAAAACCTTTGTGTTTTCATGCACCTTACCTACCTAAATATACTCTGGTACCATATTTCGTTTGCGGGAAGTTCATGTAACAAGCAGAAGGAGGCGTTGCGGACCCCACAGAGAATATGAATCTAGTCGATTCGATCTAGCCCTGTCTGCCTGTCCGTGTGAACATCCAGATCTCAAAGACTATAAGAGCTAGAGACACGAAATTTTCCCAACTAAGGTATGTACTTATAATTCCACTTTTGTTAATTTATATGATTATTCTACACATAGCTTAAGCTTTTCCACTTGTTTCCCCCTTTAGGTCTTGAGATAGATACATATGTATTTGATTGTAATAATCAGTAGTCCGAATAGATGAAATGATATTGAACACTTCTTACCTTTTTCGCAGGGGGCGCTGGAACTTGCAGATGGTATTTATTTTGACAATAGCTCCGCAAGAGAGCGATGCCTTCGATGCGGTTGTTGGCGTAACGCGACTCCCATGCATCAAGTAGGCGGTTATAGTAGCGCGGGCTGTCGTTGTATTTGAGGTATTTGTGGGTCCGATCTGTTGGAAAAATTCGCTCTAGCGGCGCGCATCGCGCCAATTCGTCTTCAGCGATTATCAGGCAACGCACATCGTCGGGTGTAAGAGTTTGCAAGATCGAATCAATGTACTGAAATTTATTTTATATTTTCAATTGCCATTATTAATTTTGAAGCTCTGCACTGACCTCTTCTCTGTGCTCCATTGATTTGCGTGTGAAAGTATTGTGTTTGGCCTTTTCATCGCGAGACAAATAATTAATATATAATCGTTTATCATAACACAGTGGTGTTTCTGGTGGGAACGAGTACTCGGCGGCTAGCTCCTTTTGCTTTTCTTGGGTTAGTTTAGGTGGTACCTTTTGAAAGAACCATATATTTAAATTTAAAAAAAATTGTTTTGACAGTTCTTATAGCTGCTTACATTGTATAGTGCGGTGTTAAGAACACCTTGAACCAAAGGAGCTTTCACGTGCGCATCCAGTGGCAATTCGGAATGCAGGCTTGGCGATATATTCACTTCCAACAACCAAGGTACAAGGTCTGAGTCCAAAATGACATCAAACCCAAAAAGCTCAAAGCAGCTGTATTTTGATTCCACATTAGCTCTGATCATGCTATTCATGCCGTTTTCCCCAGCTAGAATTGTGCGCAGCACAAGTCCTCGCAGGGCCTCCCATAGGGAGTCTGTGTGTACCCCGCGATTAGCCAAATAGGTCCACAGCGATTTAATAGTCCATTTGTGTCCGTGACAGGCGTTAACGTCCTCATTCTTTGAATAGTTCGAGCTGAACTTATTAATGCTGTAGTTAGTTAGATGCATGCAGCGATCGTTCAATGTGTCGGTTTTAGCGCTGTACTTCACTGTAAACAAACCAAAATTGAAAATATTTGTATTGGATTGGGAATAGAACTGTGCACAGAGCTGCTTAACACCCTAGCCAATGCTAAAGAGGTCCGACTCCGGACTCCGACTTACCGGAGGCAAAGCGGGCCAAGCCATTGTGGTACATATACACTCTTAGTGGATTTACCGAAGTTACGAGCACATAAAGACGCAAATCAAATTTGCTGCCGTTAATAAGAAGCGGCCGCTCTATATATCTTAAAAATAAAAAGGATTGTTTGAAAACGAAGTATATAGTTGTCTTTTTATATTAGTCACTCACTTTTGTACGATTAATGGCCTACGCTTTGGTATCTGGGCCCAGCGATTTATAACACGTATGCCAGTGCCGCGTGCGCTGGCTGGAGGCTTGATAATCCATTTAGTGTTCCGCTGTGCGTATTTTGGCCAATGCTTTCGCAATGTGCCCAAATCATTCGGAATGATATAGGTCCTTGGCATGAATCCGAACTCTTTGTTGCTGTGTTTGTTGATTTGCCTTTGCAAATTTTTCCAGCACGAATCCTTGCGTCCAATACGAAACGAACCGGGCAGATGATTGATTTTTTGATACGAGCGAATTGTTTTGAAACAGGGCGATTTTAGATGTTTACCCCACACCCCCATCCAATCGTTGGTTTCTGTAAATAAATGGAGTTATTATTATTTCCGAAATACTTAATATTGCTCTTAGACACACTTTTAAGCATTCGCATGCCACTATTCGCCAAGATAAGTCGCACGACTTTTGGCATTATGTTGGTCATCCGCCACTTCAGTACTCTGTGGAGTTCTGCCGGCACTTTGGGCCCTTTTTTGGTGTTCGATGAGAAGGATAAATAGGGCGGAACATAAGGAAAAAGGCTCGGCACTAGTAGGGAATCGGGGTTTTTCATATCATCCTCAGAGGAGGATGACAGAATGCTCGGCGAGGTTTGCGTTGAAAACCGATCCACGGAATGAGTCAACTTATATGCATGGGCTCGGTACCCATCTTCGTTGTCTGAGCTGACACTAACCGTATCGGATTCGTCAAAATTCGAAACTGGAATTTAAAGACACATAATAATTAACTCTTCAATGGAATCATAATATTTTAACTTACTATTGTCGAGATCATCGTCTTCATCTATATCATCATCACGATCGAAATCAATGGGGCTTTTGTTAAGTGCAACCCTAGCATCTGGCTCGACTAGAATAACGGTCGATAATACTCCTGCCTGAGCTTTAGATGATTGCTGTTTGGCATTTTGAGAGCGAAAGGAACTAGACTGTTGTTTTCGCGACGCTCGTGGACTTTGACTGTTGTATAATAAGACCCTATGTACTGTTGGCAATAGTTTTTTTGATGTAGACCCACCTCGGACCCTTTTCGGAGTCAAGGGTAATCGAGGTGCTGTCTGGGATAAATCTCTTCTGTTCTGGCATGTCGTTGATTCGTCGTTCTTGATGTTATTGTTATTGTTTGCTGCCGAAGCATCTCCAGCACCAAACTCATTGGCTTCAACGCGCCTCACATACTGACGATGGACCGGGATTCGTGGGTCTACCTGGCAGTCGACGTGTTCTTTGCTATCGTAAAAATCTTTCAAATCGAGCTCTCCGGCAACTTTGATCAGCCCGGACTTTTTAAAATCGTCGCCATACCATTCGCTTTCATCATATGGCATATTGTTGTTGGTGAGCTTCTCTTTCAAAACAACATGCTTGTAAGGTAATGTGTTTTGATTATCATTGGAGGGATCACGTCTGTTAGACAATGATAAATTTGTGACCTCTGCCCGAGAATTATGGGTCTTGCACTGCGATTCTTTAACCCGATTCATTGGTTTCAAATTGTGTCTTATAATGGAAGAAGTTTCTGTCCCGCGATTGTAGAAATATGAGAAGTAATGCTCGTAGTGTTGATCTGTAGAGGGCGACGGATGTTCAGAGCTGAAAGATAAACAATCAATTTATTCAAGAATCCAGCATTTTTTAAAATTAGCAATAATTTGTGTTGGTGTTTTAACTGAAACTGGCTGTCAAGAAATATGTTTGGGTCAAATAAAAATATGTTAAAAGGGCGGACCTCGTGTAATTCTTATAGAAATTTTATGTATGTAAAATATTTAGATGTGGGGTAAAATTTGAATAAAATTACAGTATCGTATCCCATGTGGGCTCCAGTGAATTTGAAATGGTTTGGTGATAGGCAGGACTCATTTCCCGGCGAAAACGTGTACGAGCTCGAGCTTGACGCTTAGTTCCTTCATTGTCCAATCGAATACGAGCCGACACGGGGGAAAATTTCATCTCCAAGTGCTCAAAGTTGCCAGCCCCATTCCCAACTACATAATGTGGAGCTTTATGTGCGGCTGTCGTTTGGAGTTGCTGGTTCGCATAGGCACTGCGTTCGGCAGATGGAGCATTCAGAAAGATTTTGTTTATACCAAATGTGCAATTGGCATCGCTTTGATAATCTACTCTGTTACATGAGACGACTTTCTCCGGAGTGTTCCTCGACATTAACACTTTGCCGCACCACCTTTGATCGTTCGCAATCCTACCATTATTGTAAAAATTTAATGCACTATCAACGCTGCAGTAGCGGGCCGAAGATCCTTGATGCCGGTTGCTGCTATTGTTGTTGCTGTTACTATTATTATAGTTTTGAGTGAAGTTGGAATTGGTATTATGGCGCATTTCGATCCTTTTTTTTCATATACAAAGTTCGTAATTTGCTTCATACAGATCGGATAGCACAAGCTATGCTCGCAAAACGAACTTAAACTGTTGTAAAGCTGTGAATAATTTGGGAACGAACTTATGTAAGTAGTAAACAAATGTATACATACATATAGTGTATTTTACTTCTTTTGTTGAACAATGAACACTGTTTTAAAGACCTATAAGGAAACGTTTATCATCTACAAATCTATGGGGGTTTTCACCCAGGAGGAAATTGTACGATGAGCTGATCGCGCAGAAATAAACGAAAACAACGAAGGAACACCACCACACTTCTACATACATCGAACAATAAAGGAAATACACAATATTGTGCCATCGCACAATAACGTTTAAATGCTATTATTACAAAATAATTGCTCTAAAAAAATTGATTTGGCACTTTCCGTCTGTAATTGGTCCTTTACAACTATTCCTTCATTCTTACTGCGTTTTTATTTTAACAAAAACAAGACTACAAATGTGAGGAAAATGCATGCATTTTTCAATATAATCATATGCATATACATACATACATATATATCAACAATAAATACAACACTAAACACAATACGGAAACGCTAATGGAAATCGACAGGGCTTGACCTGATTAAGACCAATCATTACATGCTTGAAAAAGTTGTGCCAGCGGATGTAGTGAAGTTTATAAACGACTCGGAAATACTAATGCACGCTTGCGAAGGAGCGCATGACCTCGTTTCAGGCTGCATTTCTTTTTTGTGAAAAAGTCTGTGAAAAGCGGTCATGGCCATGGAAAAGTAAAGCTGTGTTGTAAGCCCCATTTATCGCGCACTTTCCTACTGGGTACATAGAAAATGCATATATGTATGTAAATATATGTGTATAGTATGTATGTATGTGCATAAATATATATTTTACATACACATGCATTCTAAAACATTGCAGGTGTATAACATAGATATGGCTTTACTCCATACAAACTGTTACTTCGAAAAAAAAATTGGCGGCAAATAAAACACATGGTAGCGCTTATTTGCCACATGTATCTACATACATATGTACATATGTATGTATACACAAATTGATATTACCCTTAACATTTTAAAGGAGAATGATTTTGCATACAACAACTTACGTTTTAGAAGGATATAAACTCCGACCTGTCCCGCGGCTTAATATAATTGAGAGCTGCAAATTGTCCGATGATAAGCGACTTTGCCACAGGCCTATTCCAAAGTGAAGAATGTGGGGAGAAGCAATTGAAGCAGAAAAGCCAATCGCAAACTAAAAAACCAATAGAAATGTTTACTTTACTATCGGTGCATTGCTATTATTTTTTTGAAATATGTAACTGTATAAAATGTTTACTAATGACACAAACGATTTAAATGTAAAACTAAAATGCAGATTCACTTCCGAAAATTATTTGTTTCGATTATTTTTGCAATTCGGGTTTGTAATAAAATGCCGTTATTAAAAAATGTCACAGCTTATAACAAAAAAAATATATTTAAATTTTGATGGATATATCCAAGTTACAGGTTTCATTCAAATAATTCACAACACAGACCTGATACCTTTCTACACCCACGCTGCCGACACCATGACGTATTTTCCAAATAGACGCTCAGCACGTGCTGGCTGTTTTCGCAGATTCGTGTTTTCGTAGATTTGTATCGATTTATCGATAATTGAATTATTTCTCGTCGATTACGCCGATTATTATTTACCATCGCAAGCGGTAAATCATTTGAATCAGAAGTCAAAATAAAATCGAATAGAAACGAAAGAAAAGAAACAGGTCTGGAAAGTAAGAATTTAAGTTTCCCCGTTAGACTGCAATACTCATATGACATATGACAAGGCTCAAAAATAACTAATACCTTTTCTGACAGGTAGCTATACGTTCAAAAATTATAAAGTATGTTAAAGCAATCGATATGCATTTACGTCCATGCATCCTGTTTTACGGTATACTGTTCTATTTTTCATTCCATTCCAATAAGTACATTGAATCACTTCGGCAGACGAAGTTCGTCTGCCATTCTTTCTGCAATAGTCGTGGAGTGAAGTTGTTTTCCTTCGAAGTTCGTAACAATGTCTGATCAAACCCGAGGACGCCGGCGTCTGAGTGGGCATGGCGACGATCCGTGCTCATCTAGTGAGCAAGGACCGGTAAGTAATGTGTCAATAACACATTTATTATTAAGCTGATCTTAACGCAAGACTTCTAAAATAATAAATAATATCTAAATTCAATGTACATATACACATATGTATGTATTTATTTACAACATACATATATACGTACATACGTATGCATGTGAATCCAACAACGTTCGAATGAACATGATGCCGTTCTTAGAAATTCTGCAACGCAAACAAAAATATATTTTACTGCAAGGCGTCGGTAACAGAAAAGTTCCGTTACAGTGGCGGCGGAACACACATATGTACATAAATATATACATATTGTTAGGTAAACGCAATAAGCCTAAAGTCTAGAAAGTGTAAAGCTGCGTTGGTTTTGGCTTTGGTTAAAAATTACATTTTTCTTTCATCTTTTTTCTAGACTTATTTTTTGTTTGTTTTTAATACATACGCAGTATATACAGTGCACACATACATATACTCTAGGACTTATAGTGGTGAGATTACCAAAAGCAATAGTCCAGGGCTGGAGAATCATGAAAGCCGGTCGAAACTGATTTTTTTTTTTTTTTTTCAAAAACAACAGTGTTTGTAATATGCTTGCCGAGCTTTTCTTTGATGATCGGACTTAATTCTCATATTAGATTCTTCGTCAAAGAACTAATACTAATGTTAATATACAGATTTTGTTTGTTTAATTTTGTTTTTACACGATTATGATATAACACGGTTTGAAAATTATATATTTCTTTAGAGATAAGGAGCCAATCACCTATTTTTGCATATGATCAATGTCTTTTTTTACACGGTTGTTTCTGGAACCAATCTACCGTGTAAAAACATAATTAAGTGGACATTAAATGTGAACTGTATAGGGTTTTTTAAATTGTAATCATTTCTTACCGACGAAAACTAAATAGGGTTTGAAATCGAGGCCTTTTGTATGCAACTAGTTTTGTATGACACAGCTTCATGCCATGGCTCTCTATTCCTGTATAAAAAATATCAGATGTAAGAAAAAATCGCCCTTTACTAAAATGTTATGTATTATAAAGTGAACAAATATGTCAATAAATTAATTTTTATAACAGCGTCCGAAAGTATTTAAAGCTAGCGGATCAAGTACTGCTATTACTACCGTTGGTAGCGCACCAACCGCCAGTGGAAGGCCCAGCGGATCAAGTACTGCTATTACTACCGTTGGTAGCGCACCAACCGGCAGTGGAAGGCCCAGTCGTTACGACCTCAGATATGAAATAATAAACACGCGACCATCTGACGTCGTAACAAAGCAGGGAACCGATGGAATGCAGATTCGCCTGCAGACAAACTTCTTTCGATTAATAACAACACCTAAATGGCGGATTTATCACTATCATGTTGAGTTCGAGCCCGATATTGAGATGGTTCGGGTTCGCCGTGGCATTTTGTCGGATCATTCAAATGTGCTGGGATCGGCATTCATATTTGATGGCAAACAGTTATTTACGACTAAAAAGTTGGAAAAAGACCTTACTCGTCTACAGGGAACTTCAAAAACCGAAATAAACTATACTATTACTATTAAATACGTGGGAACTATTTCAACCGCGGAATCTCGCTTTCTTCAAGTATTAAACCTTATTTTACGTCGCTCTATGAAAGGTCTAAAGCTTGAATTGATTGGACGCAATCTTTTCGATCCGAATGCAAAGGTATTTTCAGGAACCACCAATGTAGTGCTGTAATTTAAATATGGTTATTTTAAAGATTATGCTACGGGAACACCACATGGAGCTATGGCCAGGCTATGAGACTTCTATACGGCAGCATGAAAGGGATATTCTTCTTTGCACCGAAATAACCCACAAGGTTATGCGAACTGAAACAGTTTATGATATTCTTATGCGTTGCATCAACAACCCGGCACGCCTCCAAGAGGATTTCCGCACTAACGTTCTCGGTTTGGTCGTACTTACCGACTACAACAACAGGACCTATCGCATCAACGATGTAGACTTTGGTCAAACGCCACGGTCCACATTCAGCTGCAAGGGAAAGGATGTCAGTTTCGTGGACTATTATCTTTCGGTATGTTGAGCAGTAAAACAATTCTTACGAAAAATAAAAATAATTACCCCCCTTTTTAGAAATACAATATTCGCATTCGTGATCAAAAGCAGCCCCTCTTGATTTCAAAAAATAAAGACAAAGCCCAAAACACGCAGAAAGATGAAATGGTAATTTTAATACCAGAGCTTTGTCGTGTTACGGGCCTTACCGACAACATGCGTAACGACTTTGGGTACGTAAATTAATACAAAAAAGTAAAAATCAAAATATAATTACATTATATATTTAGTCTCATGCGCGCTATGTCGAATCACACACGGATGAACCCACAGAGACGTATCGAGCGACTACATACCTTTAATCGTCGACTACAAAATACGCCAGAAAGTGTGAAAGTGTTGACTGATTGGGACATGAGACTGGAAGAACAACTAATTAAGCTGAACGGTCGTGTTATTTCACCTCAGAAAATCGTTTTCAAAGCAAACAAGTAGTTTTCGCAGATTTCCTTTTATACCTCGAAAATATAGAAACTTTTATGTTACAGGGTTTCGGCGGGAAATGGAGCGGACTGGACACGGGAGTTTCGTGCTGCGACCATGCTAACAACACCACGTAATGGGTTGAGCCGTTGGGCAGTAATTGCACCCGAACGGAATTCACGCGAGCTGAGAACCTTGCTTGAGAGTCTGATGCGTGTGGGCAGGGGTATGGGATTTAACATCAGTAACCCCACAGAGTAAGTAAAGTGGGTGGGAATCAAATCACACCCGCAAAAAAGCCTATCCCTTGTTTATCTATCATTTGTCAATCATTTGTTTATGGCATATATTTTATATCCCCATTGATTTATATAACATAGCTGCCCTAGGAAGAATCACTTTAAATATTTAGGAACTCTGGCGGAGAAAGATACGGATTTATACCTGCTTACCCAATAAAAAAAACGTTGACTACAATAAGAGTACAATAATATACTATATGTTATTACATTATATTCTTCAATATGTTTAATAGTACCTGTGTATCTTTTCTTTAAAGGTTAAAGATTAGAGATGATCGTACCGGCACGTATGTGCGAGCAATGGATGATTGCGCGCGTCTAGATCCGATGCTGGTTCTGTGCTTAGTGCCCAATAATAATGTAGAACGGTAAGTACTCTATAGATCGCATTTCGCCCCCTAGATTGTATTATAATTACATTAACCATTTTTCAGATATTCCTCGATCAAGAAGCGAGGCTGTATAGACAAAGCTATTCCTACACAAGTAGTGACCATTCGAGTGGCCAACAATCGGGGTCTAATGAGTATAGCTACTAAAATTGCCATACAGATAAACTGCAAGCTCGGTTACACACCTTGGATGATCGAACTGCCGCTTTCGGGACTTATGACCGTTGGCTTTGACATAGCAAAATGTTCGCGTGATCGCTCCAAAGCATATGGCGGTCTCGTCGCCTCTATGGATCTAAAGGAGAATTCCACCTTTTTTAGCACCGTTGCCGAATGCAGTGCCTACGATGTGCTAGCAAATAATTTATGGCTAATGCTTGCCAAGGCACTGCGTCGGTATCGCTATGAGCACAACAAACTTCCCACTCGAATTTTGTTTTATCGTGACGGCGTGAGTTCAGGGTCTTTGAAGCAACTCGTGGAATACGAAGTGAAAGATATTGCCGAGAAGCTAAAGCAGGAGTATCAAAAAGCTGGGGAAAACACACAACCGATGCTGGCATATATCGTGGTTACAAAATCTTCGAATACTCGGTTTTTTACCGATTCCTATCAAAATCCGCCGGCTGGAACTATTGTTGACGACGTTGTTACTCAGCCGGAACGCTTCGATTTTTATGTGGTATCGCAGACAGTACGCCAAGGCACAGTTTCGCCCACCAACTACAACGTAGTGTATAGCACAATTGGACTATCCCCAGATCAGATCCAGAAGCTAACATATAAGATGTGCCATCTTTACTATAACTGGTCGGGAACTACTCGCGTTCCGGCTGTCTGCCAATATGCAAAGAAATTGGCTACTCTTGTCGCCACTAATTTACATGCAATTCCTGAGAGTGCGTTGGAAAAACAATTGTATTATCTATAAGTTATATAAGAATCTACCCATCAATTTCACAGCCATTCTACCTGCTTATCTCAAAAAGTAGTGTACTTTTCCAGAATGTTTGTCTTTAAAATGACATATAAAGATGTCAGTTAGTCTTATATAAGTTTTGAAAGTGAACAAAATTGCTTCAGTTAAGGGAACTTCACTAAACAGTGAAATATTTAAGCTTATTTTAAGTTCTGGAGAACTTGCACATTTTCATTTACATAACAAAAATGTAATTTCTTACTTAAATAAACGTCGCTTTTCATTTTACTTTCGTTTCAAAATTCTGATTCCATCGGGAGTAAAAGGGTGTTTCAGATATCTAATTTTATGTTTATTTTTTTTTAATATTTGTTTTGGTATTTTATTGTTTCCATTGCATGATAGATATATTTCGATTAGCTAATGAAAACCAAGTATAAAATTATATTTCTTTGCTTATTTGTTGGCATTGCATTGCACTATGGGCCTTTAATTTTATGTTTCTTTTTTAAGATATATTCAACATAACTGTTATATCTTTTAACACTGTTCTTTATATAAAATGTATGTGGTATTTCCTGTTCTTTGGAGTATCTGCACCGCCTCATCGCTAGGATACTTTCCGTATACATACACATTTCGGTTTCTCAAACCTGAAGGTGTTGGTTCTTAAAAAGGAATTGGATTTGTGGAGAATTTACTAAGAGTCAAGTATTTGCGCTTTTCGGGATCTGTATCTGCATTTTTATAGCTCCGTCAGAGTGTCTGAAACTACAGTGAACGAGAGGACTGGATGGGCCGTGAAGTGGAAATTGAAATAAAATTGTTCTGATATGAATTTAATGTCTTCTTAATATCTGATATAATTTAAAGAATTGCAAGTTGTAATCATTCGTCTTATTTTATACTTATACGGTTTTTTTGGTGTTAATATTCAATTTCCTAAGGAGGCCTTTTAATGTCCTTTTTTTCTGCTTAGAAATATTCGAATAATTTTTACAACTTTTAAGATATAGGGCAAAAGTTGCCTGCTATCTGGCTATATAGTATAGTCCTTCGCTCTAAGACGTCAAGTTCGTCTGTTTATCCCAAATATTGTTACACTTTAGAAAACTGCATTTGACAAAAACAAAAAGAATTTTATTTTAGTTAAAGTATTCGGTGTCATACGTATGTCATATATAAAAATGATTCGAATATGTTAGAAATCTGATAACAAAATGCAATTCCACGAACACCCAGAGTATTGTTCGATCTGTTAAGCCTATGGAATTCCTTGATGTAGCCGTTCATTCTTAAACGGTTATTTTAAAACATAACTTAGTTGTTTCTTTCTTTGATTATACAAATACATATAATTGTTATATAATTATATATGATTAAGTGTATGTACATTTGATTATTTCATTTTTAGAATAATAGCGTTTATAATACGAATATCCCATTCCTATGGAATTATGCAAAATATTTTGGCGCATGTAAATAGGTATTATCGCATATTAAATATCAAATTTACAAATAAATACTTTCTATGAAATTTTAGAAAAAAGATTGGAGTAAATATAGGCTTACTGCAAAATAGCCCACGGGAGCCATTTTTTTTATTCAAGTTCCTCCTCTTTTTTTTATATTTATAGCCTTTTCCTGTTTGAAGGAGGCGAAAAGGGATCAAGTCGAGGCCTCATTAGGCTCCATCCAACCTTCACTGTCATCTTCGCTGTCCGAGTCTTCCGACTCGGAAAGCTCAATAGCCACACGTCTGGCAAGTATTGAGGCTACATCGAGCAGAGCTGTGTTGCGATCGATCTCTTTTTGTTCGGACTTCTCGACTTTCCGCAAAGTAATGCCTGAAAACAAAATACAGAAGCGTAAAAAACGGTTGAAGTGAAGCAGTTGCTGGTTACATACCATCGCGTATAGCTTTCATCAAATCGTTGCGAGGATCCTGGAAAGGCGGTAGCAACTTCTTTGGGGCCAAAATATGTTGAGTATTGGGGCCAACGACAATGCCACCATTTAGCTGATTCAACTGAAGCTCGTTGCTATTTGCGAGCACCTTTGAACGCATATGATGCGAGTTCTGTAGTTGCGAACCACTGTTATTTTCATCTAGAGGGGGTGGCGGAGGTGGTGGTGGTGGCGCTGCACTGGGTGGAGATATTTTTGGCGAGTGCTGCAGTAAAAAAGTAGAATTTCATGAAAATCAAATCAAAAGTTATGTTTCCACCTAACTTTTCTATCAAATGACAGTTTCTGATAAGTAACAGTTTGATATTTTAATTTGTTTCATTCGCGGTACAAATTTTCCATTCGTTTTGAACATGGTGATATGTTTAAAGAACTTTCCTTAGTACCTCTTATGGACGAGGTACAAATGTCTCTTTTAGGTTAGCAATATTTCTGTTTCTATAAGATCTAGGGCAATGTAAATGACATCGATAGCATGGTTATGCTTTATAAATGTGTTTATTTGAACCGTGTGTATATCGTAGATCTCTTACTGTCGGAATTACTGAAATGGTTCAATCCTACCTGGTCCGTTAGAAACAGTCGCAGACTTTATTCGTCGGACATATGTTAAATGTATATAATATATGTAAATCAAACAGGAAAGCCTATATTCTCGGCATAACAAAATTTTCTGGGACTCACCTGCTCAGACACCGGTGGTGGCGGCGGTAGGTCGCTAATCGAGTTTAGCTGATTCCCGGATACGATAATGTGGTTGAAACTGTTGATTGTGCTGTTAAGCTGAGCCATTACGAGTGCGTTTGCATCCTGAGTGCTGTTGCTGGGTGCCATCTGTGGAGAACCAGCTCGCGATGTGCTATTTGCGCGGCCCAGCAGCTTTGCTGTAATATGCCCGCTTGGAGCTCCGTTCATAGGTATTGCGTCCGGCACAGGGGGTGGGGGAGGCAAGGCATCCCGACTAGTTGACATACTGCGACCACGTGTGGGTGTGTTACCGTTAGACGCATTGGGAGTACCGCCACCACTACCGTTTGAGGGGGGAGCCGGCGGCGGCTGTGACGGCCTTGGCTTAGTACGTCCAGGTGTGCCAGGCACATAGATTGGCTCCGGCGACATCGGACCTTGTCCGGTATGGCCGTATAATGCCTGTGACTGGTGATAGAAAGTGTCCTCATATATTTGCTGGTGGTGCTGTAGCCCTCCTCCCTGGTGCGGTTGCTGGTGCATCTGTTGTCCACCAGCTACTCCATTTGTGCCATAGGCCGTGGCATATTGGCCTGCCGTTGCTTGTGGAGTGCCAGATCCGTAGCCATAGTTGGTGCCGTCCACCTGTTCCGGTTGGTAACTGCGCCGTAGCTCGATCGAGTTCGGTCTTGGAGGACGTGTGTCATAAACTCCCATGCCTACAAAATCGTTAAAATGAGTCTTAGACACACAAGTCGTACGTAGGGAATATACTACGTGTTTACAAATAAATTATACGCAATATAGGAAAACTAAAATCAATTAAAATACATTTACACAAAAAATAGCCAATGCATTGCAAATAAATTAAAATCTTCCGTAGTTTTATTCATGTTTTATAAATCATAGAAAATAAATGAACAGAAATAGAACCTCTTTCGTGTTTTGCGTGCTTTTCTAGAGGGGTATTAGAGTAAAGTGGGGGAACGATCGCTGTCCAGAACGGGCCACTTTTTGGATTTTCAAGTTGTATAAACGAATCTCGACGCCAAATTTGCTGTCACCCACAACAAGATGAGTTTTCAAGGGGTCCCAAAATTCGACCCAAAAATGGGGTAAAATCGCGATTAAAGTTTATTTAAATCTTTTGAGACATTTTTTGGGAAAAAGAACACAGTATAAAAAAGAAACTGTGTAATGGAGCCCATCTCTCCTCTTCTAAACTCTGGCACGAGGCCAAGCAATTCTTTTTAGCTTCATCTGTGGTTATCCTGAAGGATTGTAATAATTTTGAGAAGAGGTATGAAGACCCACAAACATACAGCTTTCTGGAAAGCAACGGACTAAGTAACAGCAAAAAGTTGCGTTTAAATTAAGAGCTTTAGAGCGCACTGGAAATCTTTTTAGTTGTAGGATAGATAGAAGTTGATCATAATCAGTAATTTGCTTTTGCTCTGACCTGTAATCGCGACGGCGGTTTGTTTTATAAGATTACTGTTATTCTCCAAATGTGAGAGCATATTATATGGTTTATCTGTAAATGAAATGATTATGCACAATGAACGTTTAGATTTACAAGCTGTGGGCGATTGTAAAGGTCTCTCAAGAGGGGTTGTTTATGATTACAAATAAAATCTACAATCAATCTAACTTCAAATAAAATGAAATTTTAAATTGGAATGAAATAATAGTATTTATGATGAATAAACCATTTGATTTCGGTGTTGACTTGTAATAACACTACTCTACAAAACTTATAATGGTCTAAGCTCAAAAGCAGAATAAAAATTAGGCAGTTTTAATTGGAGATCAGACGAACAATTTTTCCAATCACTATTCAAAATCGAGAGATACTACAAGTACACATACTTTAAGAAGTCTTTGCATGAAAAACATTTTCGTTAAATAGAAAATGTGGCAAAAATCTGTCGGTTTATTGGTGCATTTATTTAATGTTACCATGATGTTTGCAATACTTTCATTTCATTCAAGCATGAGTCTATACACGAATATACCCAAAGAAATTAAAATAAGAAGGATAAGCCAATTCGGTTAGTCGACTTTTTACAATCCTCCATAGAATATACATATTTTCACTGGAGCACTGACTACTCAATATCATACTTATCAATCAAATGACTATTTAAATATACTACTTACTGCAATATCCGGCTTCTTCGTTGGTCATTGAATTGGGCGTGCGATAGATGACGTTGTTGGGCATCAGCGTTTCGCCGTGTCCTATTGCGATCTGTCTTTGCTTCTCCCGCGTGTTGTGTGGAGTTCGCACACGTTTCTTGTGGCCCCGTCCTCCAACATTACTGCTTCCGCCATCTGGGCGTGGACGATGCATCTTTTTACCTTTGTCATGCATCACACGTTCCGTGTCCTTTAGCATCTCTTGCCGCCACAATTCGAAGAAGTAATTAGGATCTGTGTAGAACTTTAGGCCATCCTTTCCATCGTCCCGATATATGTTTAATTTGTCCAGCGGAGGTGGTTTGTCGCACTGCGTATACGTTTCCAGCATGGGGGCTGGCATTGTGGCCCGCGAAAATATTTGCTGGTCAAATACCTTGGCGGACTTGAACGCCTTCTTCCGCGTTATGTCAGTTAACGGCACTTCCTCTACAGTGCTGTCCAATTGGGTGACCTTAATAGCGAGCCGATCAATGCGCGCCTGAAGTGAGTTCGCCCGTTCTCCAATACTGCCCACATCTCGCGCCAATTCACCAAACACATCCTCGGCATGCTTCGATAGCGACGACAGTTGTCTTATGATATTTGTCAACGTGGTGTTCGTCACGGTCTCAAGCTCCACGGACTGCAACTCGTCCTGTTGGTATACTGAACGTGCAACATGCACAGGCTCTATAGATCGCTTGGGAAGTGGCATGGCCAATATCTAATTTTGATTATATCTCGCTTGTGAATTAGGTGTCCGCACTAATGCTGTAAGAAAGAAAATAGTAATTTACATATAAACTTACAAAATGTGCGAAAATGAATTAAATATCATCATCCACACAAACACACGTTGTATAAGTACATATATTAGAGAATTGAAATTTCTCACATCCACAAAGCATAACTACGTCTGTACTCATGTAAAATGCAAATTAACACATATACATACATATACAAATTTAAATATATTTAAAAGCATGGACGAACAGGTATGTTTGCCTTTAATGCCATCAGACAGCACCCTAGACAATATATGTACATATGTATGTATGTATGTACAACACGTACTACATACATATGTATGCATTGCAATATTCGCATGCGCTGGAGAAATAAATAGACCAAAATTGCTCACATTGCATACTCCCTGTTTTTACATGCTGCGAGCACACATATAAGTATGTATGTATGTATAAGTAGATATGTATGTATGCACATATCTACATAGATATATGTATGTACATTTGTATGTGCATGCACACGTACAACATTCATATAACAAGTACGGCCTGGACCACGACCACACCCACGAAATATCCAATAAATTTTGATAATAGTAAATGTTATCTTACCCCAACTAGAGTAAAAACATCTATATTAGCATTACATATACTACTGGTAAAGCAGTTCAGTCATCCGCTGTATCTCGCCTTCACAAATTTTGTCTTATTGTGATATTTTCATTAACTTTGTGTATTTATTCCGTTTCTGAAAACAATGCCTTCTTTTTTACCACTTTATGACATTTTAATAGACTTGCACATTTTCATTTCCACTAGTACTTTATTTACTTATTTTATTTCTCCTAGCAATATCTGAAAATCTTCATTAATATGAAAAGGTATTGGAGTTATCGCCCCACACAAAAAAAAACTTATCGAGTATTTTCTTACGTTGTGACGTCATCTATCAGACATTGTCGACGGAATCGGGAGTCGATAAGAATGTGTAATCGATTTCATATCCACCATTACCAACTTATTTTTCTTAACGACCCTGTTTTATTGCACATTGAAAGGTAAAGCGAACTAAAACGAAAAGTAATTTTAAGTCATTTATAAAATCTTCTTACGTTAATCAAAATATTTATCTTAAGGCTCTCAGTATGGCGGGACTAGCAACAAAAGGCTCTGGATTAGTAAACCGTAAGTTTTCTTGAAGTTATAGTTATGTAATTTTCAACTTTGCATGTACTTATGCACGTATGAATATACACACATTTTATTCTAGGACTTCTCGTTCAGGCGAGACCTCAACTTGATGTGTTTTTGAAATACGCCAAGGTGGAGCTAACCCCGCCAACTCCTGGTGACATTCCAGCTATTCGTCAGGGCCTTGGCAACTTAATCAAAAGTGCCAGGACCGGTGCTTACAAAAACCTTTCGGTACGCGAAGCTTGGTTGAACACGCTTGTTACCGCTGAGGTTATCTTCTGGTTCTACATTGGCGAATGCATCGGCAAGCGTCATATAGTTGGATATAATGTCTAGTTCAATTGAGTAGTGGCCATTAAAAGTTATGTTTTCGTGCACTCTATCCGAATGAAATAAACAGGAAAAAGTAACTAAGGTCTGGTTGTATTCATCTAAATGTAGGATGTACGGATGTTTGTGGCGTTGTTTAATTGTTAGCAATTGTTTCCTCCTACATATATGCACAAAAACCCGTAATAAAATGAATAGACGGTAAATAAGTTTGTTTATAGCAACATTTATAGGACAAGTAGTGGCTCATATGGTTAAAACCCATAGCCACCATTAATCTACGGACAGTTTTGGTAGAAATAATTCGAGTATAGGTCAAAAACCATAAAATCCTGTTGATCTAACCCAGCACTGCGCACTACAACACAATCTATAACAAAAATCGCCGCTAAAGTTATAAGTAAATCCTCCTGAAAATCGAGCTTGCACGGTGGACTGACGACCACTTAAAGTATTTTTTTTTTTGTAAGTTCGCTCGCTATTGGAAGAGAACTATTGGAATAGAACACTACGTGCTAATAGCTGATCTAATCATTCATTTTATTTAGGTAAAAGAAAAATGAGGTAGAAGCATACGATATTGAAGATATAATTTTATGATTACAGGATCTGAAATCAGCTTATGCATATAACAAGCGATTCTAGACTAGTGAGTGATTTTCTTCAGCTCGCCTACTCCACTCCTTACATTTTTCTAGCAATTTTCTCATAAAGCTATTGTAAATTGGTCAATTTGTAGCGGAATTATTTGATTCGATAAGTATTTATTTTTGATGGAGATCGTACTAAGCTTGAAATTAATTAATTAAGCGATAGTGACAAAAATATCGAAGGTAGCACGATAATAAAACTATCGATGAATTCGCCCGTACATTGGGCTCTTTCCATCAGAAAAGGGCGCGTATTTTATTGCAACTTGTTTATCATAGCGAATAACTTTTGAAATGGCTCTCTGGGTTGATAAATATAGGCCTCGTGAATTAACAAAACTTGACTACCACAAGGTAATTATAAAATTGTTGTATGCCTTTTTGTTTAATTAACGGTTTATGGTGAACAGGAGCAAGCGGAAGACCTTCGCAACCTTTGCAAACAAACAGACTTTCCTCACCTAATGTTCTATGGCCCATCCGGGTCCGGAAAGAAGACGCGTATAATGTGCTTGTTGCGTGAAATGTACGGAGCCGGCGTGGAGCGCTTGCGAAACGAGAATATGAGCTTCACAACAACATCAGGCCGCAAAATAGAAGTTATGACTGTTAGCAGCAACTACCACTTGGAGCTAAATCCCTCGGATGCGGGCATTTATGATCGCACGGTTGTCATAGATCTTATTAAACAAGTGGCACAGACGCAACAAATTGACATTACTGGTCAGCGAGAGTTTAAAGTTATTGTCATCTCTGAAGGGGATGAGTTGACAAAGGATGCCCAACACGCTTTGCGTCGAACTATGGAAAAGTACGTGGCAACTTGTCGAATAATATTATCAGTAAACTCCACGTCACGGATAATTCCGGCCATACGTTCACGTTGTCTGGGTGTACGCATTTCTGCGCCCACTGAAGCCGAAATAACGACAATTTTGCAAAACACTTGTAAGCGGGAAGGCTTGTCATTGCCAAATGAGTTAGCTAAACGTGTGGCTTTAAAATCAGAGCGAAATTTAAGGCGCGCATTGCTCATGCTTGAAGCATCTAAGGTACAGCAGTATCCTTTCACAGCACAACAGGAGATACCACAGCTGGACTGGCAATCATTCCTCCATGAAACAGCCAACCAAATTCTAAGTGAACAAACGCCAGCGAAGCTTGAGAAGATTCGAGAGAGACTTTACGAGCTGTTGGCCCAAGGCGTACCACCAAACCTTATCTTTCGAGGACTTGTGCAGCAACTGGTGTGCAATTGCGATATGTCGCTCAAGGCCAACACGCTCAAGTTTGCTGCGCTCTACGAACATCGAATGCAAAATGGAGCCAAACATATATTTCACCTGGAAGCCTTTGTGGCTCAGTTTATGAACATATACAAGCAGTTTGTCTCAGAACTCATCATGACTGATGATTTTTAACATAATAAAATTTATTTAGGCATACACAAATAAAAATAATGGAAAATAATTAGCATACTTGCAGATTTTCGCGGTTTTGCAATATAGCTAGTTTTATCTTGTCATCAGTGATGCGTTTCACGGTCTCTATGTATCTCTCCAGTTCTTCCTGCAGCTTGTCGCGGGCCTGCAAGAATATAAACAAATATATAGTTCAGTTTTGTAAAAAATTCTGTTGCCGCACCATTTCGTATTCGATATGATTTTTGCCGTTTAAACCGAGTCCCTGCATCAGTATGTTGATTGTGTTGACCGGGAATGCAAGCTGTTGGTTTGTGACGGCCAAAGAATGTTTAAAATCAAAATACTGGCTGCCTGCACCCAACATGGCACAAATCATTTCGCAAGCCAGCTCAGAAGCCTCCAGCAATCTGTTATGCTTGACAAAAAGTTTAAGAAGTTCGCGGCTATTTGCCAATTTGTAGGAGCCATAAAGCCACTGTGGTATAAAATGATTTAAGCTCAGCAGTCTGTTTACAACGCACTTCCTTATTAAGGTGGATTTGTTCAGTTCATTATCAACAACTAGCTTTTGAAGTAGGGTCCAAGCCATATCTGCGGCACAGTTTCTATGGGAAAGATCTAAAACAAATGAATATTCATTAAGCATCTCATCATAAGCAATTTTTAATTTATGTAAATTACCGGCTAAATCATTTTCTTGCAACCACAGCCAGGCATCCTTCGCCTTTTCGTCCGTCGCACCGACACAGGCGGCTGTTAAGCTTTCGAAAATTGGCACAACTGAGAAATCATTACCACGGGTGAGCCTTAATGCGGCCGTATAGAGACCGCAGCTTGCCAGTAGATAGGAAAGTTCCTCAGCGCCGGAAAGTTCATATGTGCTCTTATCCTTACGATGATGTGACAATTCTTTCAAAGCTTCCGCATGCAGAAGCTCCCTTCGTATGTCGGCCATTTCAAGAACGGTTATTTTCTTGCTTCTAGCTGCGATCTCGTCCCTGTACCTGCTAGTGGACGTCTGCTCATCCCCTATAGTAGGCCTAGCGATCCACCTGTAACGTTCATCAACTAAGTGCATCGAGTTAATACAGACCAATAGAGCTGAGCATCTTTTCTCCAAGGCGTTGGATGCATCGCTATCCAACTGTAAGCGCAACGCCTGCTCATACATAACTGTGGCAGCTATAAAATAAATAATTATAAGCAATAATTTGTAACAACTTTAAGGGCCGTTACTTACCCTTTCGCATGTTCCCCTTGTTTGCATGATAGGCGTATAAGAAATTGTATACCTCATTCTGATCTATGTTTCTGGAGCGGGCGCTTGATTCAACAATACTTTCAAACTCCTCTTGCAGCCCAGTATATGGGAATTGATTGAGCAAATCAAAGTTTCTACACTCAAACAATGTTATCACCAATTGACGCAAACAGTCCTTGCGTCGTGATGTGTCTGCATTGTCGATCAAGGCATGATAGGCCTCTTCATAATGTTCTAGACGCAAATGATTGTTAAAGACAATCGACTGGAACATTGGAAGGTGTGGATCTGTCTGGCTTAAATTGCTCATTGCCATTTGTGCCAATACGATAACATAGTCTAGAGCAGAATACTGTTCAAAGAGTTGTATAACTTTCAAGTAATAGTGGACTATTATCAGTTTTATGTCGTGCTGGGTCACTATATTATCGTGAGTGATGATTCCCTTCAATTTTTCATACAGCGGTGTATTTCTTAGAATATGCTCAAAGAGAAAAGAATCTTTAACCACACCCATTGCAGTTTCTTCGAACAGATATACCGCTTTCTGGTACTCGCCACAATCGAGAAACGAAACGGCAAGAATAAAACGATCTACAATACAAAATAAGTGTTCATTGCGGAAGGCCTTAATGAAGTAAAGCAACTTACGTGCAAAAGATTTCTTTTCGCTCCAACTGGACAGAATGCGTACGTAATCTTGTATAATGATGTGGTGGCAAGTGCCAAAAATCCATTCAAGAAATATGTTATTCGAAGCATCCGGCCAACTTCAAGGGAGAAAAGTCAGGAAAGATAGTTTGTCAATAATAGTTGTGGGTACTTACATCAATTGGTTAACAATGGACACGAGTTGTAGGAGCGTTTGACGCAGCACTGGCTGTTCAAAACTCTCTTTAAATTGCGGTAGCCACAGAAGCGCACTGCACAGTCCCTTAGATTGCAGGAATAGGTATAATAATGTGGTATTACCAGCTAGACGTCCGTTGCTTGTATAGGGACGCTGATACCCACTAAGGAGTTGCGCTCGACTCAGCCGTTGCATTGAGGCCTCACTTCAAATGTATACAAATATATTTATATTCCTGTGTAAATGCTAAACAAATGTGCTTACAAATTGCCTGAAGCGTTAAGACCAATCGGTGTCTGCGCTATCCACACGAGTGTGTAATAGGACTTAAGGAAGTTCACATTACTGAGAATGATAGCATCCTCCTTCCGTTGCTGACGATGCAACATATACTGTAGTATCAGAAGATTACGACAGACGGCAAATCTATTTTGCAATGAGTGAAAAAAATATTTATTTAACCCATTTTAACATATAGAAACTATGTTAGAACTCACCGAATCATAGCCATTTGTTTGACCGTCTCTGCTAGAATAGACAGTCCATACTCGCTTCCAAATAATGCACCAGATGACATATGAAATCGCCCCAAATTCAATTGAGCTTTAAGAAAAAAACATACATTATTGTTTGATAAGGTGAAATAGTTCCTATGTAAAACATACTTTGGTTCTCTTCCGCGAACTCTTCACAGTCGACGATACAAAGTATGTCGAGCAGCAGGTAAACTGCACTTTCTAAATTGGGAATTTGCTGTAGTTTTTGACGTATTTGCTGAACGCTGTTTGGGGGCAGAATCGTGCCTTCCTCGTCGCCGGTAATTATTTGATCCACCAATCCAGATACCACATCAATGGGAGATTCTTGTTGGTACAATTTCCTATCCAATTCCATTTTCATGTCCTCAGAAAGTAGCTTTTCAAGTTGAGTAATAACGCTCATCAGCTCAACAAAACCCTTTGCAGCGGACATATCATTGGGACAATATTCGGCCACAAAGGTCGCAACCTCATCCGAATGATCTTCGATCAGCATGAGGTGTTCCAGTATTTCGCATGGCCGCAACAAGGTAAATGATTGTTTTCTGACAACACAAACAGAATCCATACCATTCAATATAGTCAATCCGATTGGCTCGGAAAGTTTAAGGTGGTATTGCTCGCAACAAGAGTAGAAACGATCCCATAGTCGCGTTGCAATATCCAAATACTCCTCGTCGCTGACCACAAAGTCTTTGATCTCGTTTTGGATCTCATCATCGACAGCCTGGCAAATTTGTTCCTTTAATAATGCCATCGTTAGTTGCTTAGTGTCGAAACGCATTATGACACGGCGAAACATCTTTACAAAAGCAATACAAAATTAATTAAAAGTTTACTTCTAGTAAAGCAATACTTACATAGAGAGCTTTGGCAATCACATTGCGATCAAATCGACCAGGATGAAATATGTAAGAGCAATAGGCTTCTTTCGGGTCGACGCCCTGCTTTATTGTCAGGCAATATCGTTCTGGTGGTGGCTCCAGTGCCGCGGAAACCCATCTAATGGTCATGTCGGAGCTCAAAAAAATTGTGGAAACATAAAATTCCCCTTCAGCATTACTCCATAGTGCCCAGATGTAAGAACGGGTTGCATTAAAATCCGCCAAGTCCATTTGAGGTGCAGGTACAATGTATTGAACAACCAGGCTAAGGGTTTGTGCGTTCGATTCTGTTGTGTGAGACACAATGCTGACGCAAATAAATTCAGCTCCAATGTCGTGGGACAGGAAAATGCAGTAATTGTGTTCATCTATTTTACGCAGTAAGTTGATTTGGGCTGTATATAAATAATATATATATAATATATATAAATGTTTTTAATCTCAAATAAGCTTTTTAAACCTACGCCCTTGAGCTCGACCGGCGCATTGTGTTCCTACACATCTAATCATACAAACGTTCTGCAGTGTATCCACAGACCATAGGCGTAGGTCGTCATTGCGATAAAGGGCCAGCAAATACATTTTATCCTCTATTTGACTGAAAGCTAATTCTATGGCTGATTCTAAAATTTCTCCACGGCCGCTGAACAAAAATTCGATTAGGTTTCAAAGAGATAATTAATAATGATGGTGGCTTACATGAGTGCGCCCTTTAACGTTGAAAGAAATCGAGGCATCAGGTGTGTCTCTTTTACTTCAAAGGAAGTCGTTTGACCAGTTGTAGAATTCATAATGTAGAGCATTAGTTTGGATTGGTAAGCGACGGCGAAAAATGCTTCATTGTTGGTTGAAAGCATAGCTGAAGCAGCAGTGTGAGGCAAATTGTGTGGTACCGTTCCATCGATTATATAGTAAGTGCTGGTCTTATTCAAGCAATCGTTTGCATCATAAAATATGGAATGTGACTCCGAGTCGTCCATTGTGCTGGTGTTGGTGGTCGATGTAGACGAATGGACAAGATCTTCCTTTTTGAACGGGAACATAAATAGATGCAAGCTGTTCACAGTAACAACTAAAACTATGATCTTTTGATTTTGTTCGGAAACCGAAACGTTAAGTACAGCCGAGTCCGTGAAGCGCATACGAAGGTGGTTCCGAAGAAGCGAAATATCCAAACTGATTTCTGAAAGTTCCAGTACATCTTGATAAGTGCGCCTAGGTTGAGAAGGAATCGACCATACATAATATATACATTATAGACATGTATTATGAATATATGTAAAAAGATGTCTTACCAATAAATAAAGCGGTTTCTCTTTTGAATATTTTTGAAGTTTTTATAACAGAAACCACCAGCCTTTTCGGATGTTTTGATGTCCTGCAAGGTACTTTGCGTGCCTAAATAAATTTTTTGTTGTATAAAAATCTTTCTTTAATATTAACAAGGTTCCATGCTCATGCACATGGGCTCCTCGTAAAAACTATAGCGCCATACCTGTATTTATTTGCAGTTCGGTCCAGTCTTCCGGGATTATATTCCGCGGGACTACTTCACGATAACTTATATTGGCATTCATGATAACAATAATAATTATAGAAAAGTATTAATTCCAAACTACAGAACTAAGAACGCCGGCATCGGTCGCAGCTATGTATGTATGTGTATGAAGAATTAGGGCTGTACGAAAATTCCGATTTCTCGAGCATGTCGGAGTTATAATTATAAGTAGTCGATAGCATGCGATGTTTTTACAATGGTTGAATAAATGTTTCTCAAAATAATTTCCCTAAAATATAGTTTTTTGGTGGAGTAAATACAATTATAAATTAATATATAATTGTGTTGCACTAAATTTGTTCACAAAATATTTTAAAAATAATATTTACCGCACTAACCGAGCCGGTTCAGAATTCAAAATAGAAATATCGATTGTGTCGATAGATTGACAGCTGTAACCCATACCCCCATCTATTAACATGTGCCGCGTTAAAAACAACAAATAGACGTAGATTACATATAATTGATGCAAATGAAGACTGTGGATGAAAATAGAATAATGGTCGATCATGTGGGGGAAGAAGATGGCGCCAATTTGATGTGCCTGCCTGGGGAAAGACTGTGCAGAACAGAAGGCAGTATTTTACTAGGCAGCGGCACATATGAACAGAATGGATACATTTTTGCATCTAAATCTGGAATAGTTAATATCGACAATTCCGGCGACAACGTATGTATTCACATTTAAATACTTAGTTACATCTTGATACAAAATTCTCATTTTAAACTTTATTTTAGTACCAAGTTGTCAGCGTGTATAAGCCTGGTAGCCATATAATTATACCGACAACTGGAGACATTGTTACCGCCCGCGTTCTATTGACGACATCTCGGTTCGTAAAATGTGCTATATTTTGTGTTCGGGATGTTCAACTAGAAAGCAGTTATCGAGGGCTTCTACGGAGGGAGGACGTTCGTGAAACGGAAAAGGATCGTGTAGACATATATAAATGTTTCAAGCCAGGAGATGTGATTCTGGCGCGTGTTTTGAACCAACTAGAGCAGCAATCATTTCTGATAACCACTGCGGAAAACGAGCTTGGTGTTGTGACAGCATGTGCCAGTGATATGCGCAGAATTGGTATACCTATGGTGCCAGTAGGTTGGGGTGAAATGCAATGCCCACAGTCCTCCGTTAAGGAGCCGCGCAAGGTAGCTAAAGTTCTACCCGAAAGCACTATATCTAAATCCAAATCTTAGCGATACCTAGTTGCTTAAGCGGTCAACAGCAGATGAAATAATTAACAATTACTTGTAGTACTAGAAATAAAAAGCACATTTTACAATAAATTCACTCAATTTAAAAAATTTGTTTCGAATGCATAATTACAAAAAATAATTGAAGTTCTTTTGAGTTTGTGTTGATTGGCTTGCTACTTATTTATTAATTTGTATACAAATATACATATGTATGTAGGCATATAAGTACATACATATGCGTTTGCTAACAAGTATTTTATATAGACTCAAAAACGTTCATACAAAAAATGACTCAGTTCAAATTTGAAAATGTATATACATACATAGCTTTTTTGAGACAACAAATTAGCTTATTAATGGAAAACAAAAGAATTTTATAAAATTGGCTGTAATTAAAATTATTCGAAAATGACTATCCTTTTTCATTTAATGTGTTAATTTTAAATTAAACTTTTTCGGAAAATATCAGTAATTTTTGGTATTTAATATCTAATTCAAGTTTGAGAAAATACAACATTACCAGCCGTATAAAAGGTAATACTGCATTCATCGTAGTTAATGGTATCGAGTACAAAGTTACTGGCTGAGTAGAATCGTTTTGACGCCATATATACATATACCAAATACATAAATTGTGGTTTGATTGCAACAATTTATAGCAAAAAATTGCATGGAAAACGGAATGGAAAACGGCGTATTGCCCGACGGGGACCAAGTGGATGGAGTTAGTGAAAATCAGTTGGGTGGTAGCACAGATGGAGATGGTGAGGGTGACGCGGCCTCGACGCCACAGCCGCCACCAATACCGAATGACGGCTATGAAGCAGATGTGGAGCCAATTTCGATGGAAATATCAGCGCCATCACCCACTTCAGTCCTTGAGGATAGTTTGTATGAAAAGGATGTGGATAGCGATGTGGCAGATGATGACAACGACGATGAGGTAAGCTCGATTGTGTTACGCCAATGGGACGCCACAACTATAATGTTCATTTTATGGACAGACAAAAGAGAACTACGAGGGCTTTAATGGTACAGGTCGTACCATAACTTTGCAGACCTTAATGGCCGCAAATGTGCTGCAGCCAGGCAAATCGTGTATGACCATCGAATATCTGGGGCAGAAGTTTGTGGGTGATTTATTGCCGGACGGTAAAATAAAATCTCAAGAGACTGAAACCATATTCTTAACGCCCAGTGCGTGGGCCATGCACTGCAAACGTATTATTAAACCCGACAAAAAGAGCGGTTGCGGTTGGGCATCGGTGAAGTATAAAGGGAAAAAGCTGGACGCGTACAAAAATTCTTATCTACGAAAGTGTTCCTTGCAAAAGGAGTCCACGCCTGAAGATGGTGACGTTGGTATGTAAGCACATATTTTATATCTGACATATGATTTAAATTAATACGTTATAATCATTTTACAGATGCTGAACGCAAATCGGATATATCCGAAACAGTTTTGAAACGCACAGTATATCCGCACAATAGCGTGCCTAATCGCAATGTAATTCAGTAAGTTTCTCTTAATACCGGTAGTTAAATTTAATTACTAAGTAATTTTTAAATTTTAGCGATGCTAATATGCTCATCGAGGCTGTTTCCTTTACGTCCGTTGGAAAACTGCAGCCGTTTTTATTAACAATTACCTCATCGGCATTGCTTTTAGCTGATTTTCATAGTCATTTGACAGTGCGCGAGGTGTGCGGATATTTTGGTGGAACGTGGGACATGAATTCGCACAGTGAGTCTGGCTCGTCAAATTTAATTAATATGCCATTGTAATGCCAATCGGATGCGTTGCTTATTTTTTATTTTTTTTTTAGCTTTAGCGATTACTAAAACATATCCTTGTCGAAACACACGTTTTGACCGAAAGAGGGCTGCAGAAGTGGAGCGCGATATTCAAAAAGCTATGATTCAAGACCAACTGATACTTGTGGGTTGGTATCATTCCCATCCGAAGTTCCAGGCAGACCCAACTTTACGTGACTGCGACTCACAATTGGATTATCAGATACGAATGCGTGGATCTAGTGATCTCACCTATACGCCATGTGTCTCACTAATTTTATGTAAGCGTTAATACAAATTATTATCTAGACAAATTTCCACTTATATAATTTGTCTCCAGCACCTTATTATGACGAAAATCCCACTTTGGAGTCCGTAGTTAAGTGCATATGGATTGTACCACCTAATGAGAACAAGCATTCGATGGAATATGGTCGGCCTATGCTTATGCAGTATTCGGTACTACCAGATAAAGAGATTCCAGAGGACGTACGCACGGAAATCCAATCTTGTGTTGATTACTACTCCCAATATCGTGGAGAGATAGTTAAGTTTCCGAACATATATAACAACGATGTTACTTATATTGAGAAGTTAAAGAACACGCTATATCCGAAGTTTCCGTCTAAGCAGAGCGACAAAGCGTTGTGGAATTGGATTTGTGCCGTTCTGGACTGCGAGCAGGAGGACGACTTTGTGCCACCCAAAACAATCAAAATTATTGATAATGAAGAGCATGCGGTTAAAATGGAGGCTCCACTTCCTTCTGATTCTGGGAGTAACATTAAGTTGGAGGAACCTAAAGAAGAGCTACTTATAGATAGCACTAATTTGATGGATGAAGTCGCTCGCAAACTCGACGAAGAAACTGCACAAACCGAACAAAAGGCCAGCGAACTCAAAGTTATGTCACTTCAAGAGCAGCTATGCATGCCTTCCGGCCTCAATATGAATCCAGTTCGGATGTTGTCTCCACTCGCTACACCCAATCCAACAAGTCACACGCCGGCCTTGCCAAACATAGCAACTCCTGTTATATCGCAAGGCATAGTTGCGAATCAGCTGCTTCCCCCACACACGCCTGTGGTGACCAATGCTCAAGTAACAAGTCAAATAACTACCACAACATCTGCGTCGTCCGCCTCGCCACGAGACAGCCCCATAACTATACCATCGAATTCGGCCAGTCCGGCTAAGTGTGAAGGACCAATGCCTTCACCTGCAAAATCTGACACTTCATCGCACACTTCTCGCACACGTAACTCACCGGCCCCAAGTCCAGGCAAGTTCAGCGTCAGCGATATCGCTCGTAACAGTCCGAGTATAACACCCAATAAGTATGAGACCCCATCAGCACAGCTAGTACCGCCGTCAGCCGCATGTCTACCGACTGCAAACGACCTGATGGCGGCCAGTTTGGCCCATCTTGCCGGACAATTGCCGCCCAATTTTCTTCAGACCGACCTGGCATCTCTATTCCAACAACAGCGAAAAGATTACGGTAGTTCTTCACTTAATCAGCTGGCGGCGGCCGCCGCTAAGGTTGGTGGCCAGAAGCTTACGAGCAGCAACACTCCATCATCCACCGGACTGGGAGATTTCAGCGATCCCAATGTTGCTGCAGCAGTGGTTGCGTATTCCAACAGCTTCAATATGCCACTACCTTCAGTAGGCAATAACAGCAGCAAGTCGAAGTCTGAACGATCGTCCAAGTCTTCATCATCATCGTCGTCATCAAACTCAAGCTCCTCATCGAATTCCTATAAAACAAAGCTCATGAAGGAGCTGGACGAACTCAAAAACGACCCGCTTAAGATGAGCGAGCTGATTCGTTCCCCAGAATACGCAGCACTGTTGCTGCAACAAGCCGAAGCGCTGGGCGCCACTACGCTTGGTACTTTGGGTTTTGGATCGGATTTTAATTATATTACTGGTGCCGGACTCGGCATGTCAGCAGGAAATTCTGTTACCAATACCGGTGTATCGAACTCTTCGTCTAATAAGTCCCCCAAAACGTCTGCAACAGCAGCGGCTGCCGCAGCTGCCCTCAATGCGGACTACAATAATCTCATTCAAGCATCGAAGCTACTTGGTTACGATTCCTACATGCAACAGCAAAGCAAGCAGAACAACGACCTTAATGCGTTTCTTCAACAGCAAATGGCCGCTGTCGCCGCCGCCGCTATACAGCCGCCATCTGTCCCTACGAGTAATAGTTCTAAGAAGCAACAACAACAGCAACATCAGCAGCAGCAACAACAACAGAATGCCGCTCAAGCCGACTATACCGCCCTTTTGCAGACATATACGAAGCTATTCGATCCGAACAATCAATTCGCTGCCCTGGCGACGGGCAAGCACTTGACAGGCTCCCACAACGAGCTCTCAGCGCTGCTCACGGGTGGCAGCAGCAGCGGCAGTTGCAATTCAAAGCAAAAGCAGAAGGATATTCAATCGGATGTACTTAATCAGCTGCTGCAACTGGAAAAGCAAGACTCCGAAATAAAGGCGCTCCTTTATCGACAGAGCAAGACTAATGCCGAACTGGACGCATTGTTTACCTCGCCATCGGGCGGGGGCTCAGCATCGAATTCAAAATCAAGCAGCTCTGGATGCGGCCTTGTAGGTGCTCCTTCGCCTTTGTCCAACCCAGCTGCATATTATAACGCATTGGCGCAGGAAAAAATGCAAGACTATGCCGCATTCTTTCAGCAACAACATGGCAAGTACGGCATACCTGATCCCCTATCGAAGTCGACGTTAGCGGCCAACAACATGTTTATGTCGCCAACGGCACTGTTTAAAATCCAGCAGGAATCGTTATCGGCCATGATGATGAAACCCCCAAAATCCACCACCCCTTCATCGGCGCGCACAAGAGAGTCGTCGGCTTCCCCAGCATTGGAGCGCCTAACTCCCACCAAATCCGTTAGTAACAATGCCAACACCGCCGGGAAATACAATTTTAGTGCCGTCGATTTGGCCATATCGAGTGTGCCTTCAAACACACCGTCGCCTGCACCGTCTGACGGCAGCAACAGCTCGTTGCATCGACGACCATCGAATACACCGCCCGTAGACTTGAGTCGTTTGTATGGCGATTTGGCCCCACCAGCAGCACTCCTGAATAGTGCCCTGCCAAAGAAGCGAATGGAGTTTGCTTCGGTGGCCGACTTAGTTGCGCCGCCACCAGCCAAAATCCCTAAAACCAGTATGGCTGACGACGCTCTAAATTTATCACACGACTAGAATATATAATACATCATTATTATCTTCTGTATCTACTCACATTCTTATTCCATCTTGAAAAACATGCCAGTGTTGCTCATACGCTTGCTTTTGATCCGCACCCCTCCCATCTTTATAGATTTTACATTTTTTAATTTTTAATAAGTATTAATTGATTTACTTCTTAGTAGTGAACCGGAATAAATATTACTTTTAGCTCTTTCCGTTCGTTACGGCAATCATTAGGCGAGTTAAGTAAACATGTATGTAATTTAAGTTCTGCTACTTATTTAAAGTATTAAATACATATGTATCTCTGTATTACATAAATTAAAATTATATTTTATTTCTTTGTACTATCTCTATACACATAGACACATATTGAACTCTTTAAAAAGGCAGAGTTCAACTTCAAGTATATATGTTATGTGTACTATACATAAATATGTAAGTCTGTCCTTCGACGTTTGATTAAATTACTTGTAATATTCTAGAACGAATACCAGCATAAAACTATTAAATCTATATATTAATAACTACACATCTGCTTTCGACCGTTGGAATGGGGATGCTGGGTTAATAATTTCCAGATACTATGTTGACAACATTGGTGTAGAACGACGTATGGATTGCTTACACTTTATTCCTAACGTCAATAATCAATTCTAAGTACTTTGGGAAAAGTATTTTGCACAAGCGCACCACTGTGGGGCTTTTATTAGGATTTGTTTCTTTGATCGGTGTTTTTTGAGCTCCAGATTATTAGTAGTAGTTTCGTTACAATATCGATACATGTTGAGAGTTTCACCAAACCAGAACTAAGTATCTCCCTCAGTGAAAATAAAAATTAGCCCGATTTGGTTGAATTATTCCAACTACATAAATTTACTAGTCATGCTTTATCGAAAACACAAGATAACTAGTTTAACTTCTATGCAAAATTCCACAGAGGATGTTTATTTGCTTAGAGCATTTCGAGATAAACAAAGTTAGTTAACAGGTGCTTGCTTTCGCTTGGTTTTAGGAGGCCGGTCAGCTACTTGTCACAACCAGTTTTTAATATGCAGATTAGTTATACATATACAAAGGTATAATCAAGTACTTATGCATCCATGTTTTTAGTTTGCTTTGCGGACCGTATATAAATAGAATTGTTATTCGCTGAAGCGATTTCAGTCAACGTTTGCTTCAGTTAGTGATTCAAATATACAGAAATAAATAATGTCCAAAAATAAGGTACAATTCAAATATAAATATACATAGGAACTATTTAAGTTAGTAAACAAGCTTACTATGAAGTTTGTCGTGTTTCCACCAAGTGTACCCTATTTGTAAAATAGTGAAGAGATTGCTCAAGAATTAACAAAAAGGACAAACAAAATTCAAAAAACATTTGCATGATCTACTTCAAAACTGGAAATAAAGTACCCTTGGCACACTACACGCATTATAAACGAATGGAAAAATGCGAAACTGTGTACAGAACGTACAGTTTTGGCATCAGTATGTGAACAGTGCTCTGGAGGACTTTTAAATTGAACTACAATTATAAAACAATGGGTACATAAATATTTAAACGTGCATTTTAAAAAATGCGTTAAATGACAGCTTAGTGGAAGTCTACAAATAATTTTAGACTGAGCACGAGTGGTTTTTAAATACATTAAAGTTTTTGAAAAAATACTTAGCCTTTTAATTGACTCGTCTTTTGATGCGCTTCAGTAATCTTTGTTAGAATTGTGGTTACTGAGACATTGAGCTGGTTACGTTTGGAATTTGTAAATTTAATAAGCTACTTTTTAGTTTGATTACATAGGCTCTAAATCTTTAAGTACCGTTCGTATCACTGATCTCAAATATTTATCAATTTGTAGTATCTTACCGGTTTTGGCTCTCATTTTTCGTCTGAAGATCCCAGGTGCCCCAATGCCTTGCCTGCAGGGCAGAACTCGCCTCAGCAATGCGCCTACGGCCTTTATGCTGAGCAATTGTCTGGTACAGCATTCACAGCCCCTCGTACCGAAAATTTACGGACTTGGCTGTACAGAAAAGTGCCCAGTGCCGTGCACAAGCCGTTTGTACAATATAAGGATTGCCAGTATCTGAATCAAAACTGGGATGAGAGGCCACCAAACCCTAACCAAGTGAGCATTTTCTTACATATATAATAAATTCTTTAACACGAATTACCTTATTTAATTAGCTACGTTGGAAGCCATTCGATATACCGGTACAAAAGCCGGTGACATTTGTGGAGGGATTACATACCGTTTGCGGAGCTGGGGATACTCGAGGTAGACATGGCCTAGCGGTGCACGTATATATGTGTAACAAGTCAATGGAAAATACAGCGTTTTATAACAGTGATGGCGATTTCCTAATCGGTGAGAGAAACTCTCAGCCTAACAACTTTCCAGTTAATAAATATACTTACATTTGAATGAATTTTTGGTTTCAAGTACCACAACAAGGGGTTTTGAATATTACAACCGAGCTTGGTAAAATGAGTGTGGCGCCAAATGAAATATGTGTTATACCACTAGGTATTCGTTTTGCAGTTGATGTGGAGGGCCCAACCAGGTTAGTGAAATGATTGGAAGGACTCTGCAACTATAACTATCTGAGAACTATTTGTATTCCATTCTGCAGGGGCTACATTTTAGAGGTCTACGATAATCACTTCCGCATACCAGATTTAGGACCGATTGGGGCCAACGGGTTAGCTAATCCGAGGGACTTTAAAACACCTGTGGCCTGGTTCGATGATAGACAAATTGTTGGTAAGCGTATAGTATAATAATTGAAAGAAGTGTATATCAATACTTTTTGCAGATTTCCAGATTATTTCTAAATTTCAGGGCAGCTTGTTTGTGGCAAAACAAAATCATAGCGCATTTGATGTTGTGGCCTGGCATGGAAACTATGTACCCTATAAGTACGATCTTTCGAATTTTATGGTCATTAATTCGGTTAGCTTCGATCACTGCGATCCAAGTATTTTTACCGTCCTTACTTGTCCGAGCTCTCGGCCAGGCACAGCGATAGCGGATTTTGTAATCTTTCCACCCAGGTGGTCTGTACAAGAACACACCTTTCGACCTCCATATTATCACCGTGAGTAGCACATAGTAGCCCATATGTTGGCTTTGATCAACTTTTCTTAATGATACATATACTTGTAGGGAACTGCATGAGTGAATTCATGGGACTTATTTTGGGTCGGTACGAGGCTAAGGAGGAAGGCTTTGTCGCAGGTGGAGCTACACTGCATTCCATAATGACTCCTCACGGACCAGACGCAAAATGTTACGAGGCTGCCAGCAAAGATAATCTGCGACCTGAACGTATTGCAGAGGGCACGCAGGTTGGTTTCCCATATGATTTCAGGATTAGCATCAAAAAGCATTAACTTCTTGTAAAATTCACTAGGCGTTTATGTTCGAGTCTTCACTAAGCTTGGCTGTAACTAAGTGGGGAGAAGAAACGTGCAAAAAGATAGACAGTCAATATTACGAATGCTGGCAAGCACTCAACAACAACTTCCAATTAAAAATGTGAACCAATACATGGCTACTCTTCATCTTTCTAAGAATGTTAAAGTTACGGAAAAATCTGTTAATCTAATCAAAATGAAATGGGAAATGTATTTTAGAGAAGTGTAATAAAAAATTATTATTAAGAGGCTATGTGTTTTTTCTTCAATTATCCAGTCGATCGGAAAAGATAAAAATGAAGGGTGACTATAACCCAAAAAGTATTCATTATGAGATATGTCAACACCTTCGTGGTAAAAATTAAAGTATTCTTCCAGAGTCAGATATTCGTGTTATCAGGAAATGTTTAGCCTACTATTGAAATTGGCTAATTGCTATGTAAAAGAGCAAAAACAGAAATTTCCAAATTACATTTGTTAGGATTTCAAATTTTGATCGCTTCTTTAATCTTAATTGGCCTGACAACTGCTGGATAAAATCTGCAGAATCTATAATTTTACACATGTTATTATTTTTGATTGGATGTATATCGAAATAAAAACCCACATGAGCGCACCACTGTTCGCAGTCATATGTATTTATGTAGCATATACTACATGTATGCCCAAGTGTGTTTTTGAAATCGGAGTACTAGATCAACAAAACCTCGCGACTTTTGATTATCAGCTTCATATGCACATGCATCATATTCATGTAGGAATGTACGTGTATAACGTGTACGTGTTTTTTAAAAGTTAGAAATGATCCGTATAAAAAATTCCACTCTGCATTTCAGATTCCCTTCTGGTAACGCCCTTGAAAAGTAACGCCTGAAAGAAGCGTATTAAGCTCATAAATAAATAAACTGCACAATTTTTAAGCAATCGATCTAAAATAATCTACTTACCATTTTTTTTGTTGAGATTTTTCTCATTTCTTTATGACAGAAAGTGTAGATATTGTGATAGTAAAACGTGTTTGTGTCGGTAGATAAAAACGATATGATTTTGCATTTTTATCCACAATATTTTCGTTTAATTTAACAGAAATTGTACAATTTAATCCTCGATTTGCCAAACCTTAAGTACTTGGTATGAGAATCGTAGAGGAGGGCGATCGCAATTATTTTATTTTATTGAATTTATCAGAAATTCACAAATTTAAATCTCGATTTGCCATCACTTAGGTATGAGAATCGCACAGGAGAGCGGCCACAATATTTTTATAGCCTGTACCCAAAGGGTGAAAGGTTAATTTAATTAATATACTTTTTTTTAAAACTATTTAACAAAATTTTGTTTTTGTTTTTCCTTTTTGGTGGGAGGTACAGGGTATTTAAGAGTTGAGCTTGCTCGACTTTAGCATTCTTCTTATTTTTAATTTATCAGAAAAATCACAATTTTATTCTCGTTTGCCATCAATTAAGTACTTGGTATGAGAATCACAGAGAGCGGCCACAATATTGTAATTAAATTTAATTTATCATATATTTTACAATTTATTTTTATTTAATTAAATTTATCCGAAATTTTACAATTTTAATCTCGATTTGCCATCACTTAGGTACTGGGTATGAGAATCGCAGAGGAGGGCGGCCACAATATTTTTAATTAATTTAATTTATCAGAAATTTCACATTTTATTTCTATAATTTTTATCTCAGAAGGTACAAGAGCTAGAATGACCAAACTTGGTATTCAGGTTCCCCTGAGCCCTAGGCAGATCAAGTTTGTTTTTCTATTCTGATTCACCCCCCCCCCCCCCCCCCCCCCCCCCACAATTCGTGTTTTTGCCATAATTCCCGTAACTCCCGTATTTCTTGGAATTTTGTTCTCTAGATATAGTTTATTTTTTTTTATTCTTAAACACCCCCCCACTCTCCCGCAATTCGTGTTTTTTTCCATAACTCCCGTAATTCTTGGAATTTCGAACTAAAATTTGGTAACTACATCCCGTCTCGTGTCCCGAATTTTCCACAGGATCCGTATGATCATCTAGATCTCAGAGACTATAAGAGCTAGAGACACCAAATGTTGCACACAGATGCCTTATGTGTGTACGTAATACGAGTTTGTTTTATTTGTATGATTTCCCCCCTTCCCCACTTCCACCTATGGGCGTTTTTCCGTAACACCATTTGTAAAATCGCCTATATCTCAATTGACAGTTTTCACATACTGAACATACAAATAATAAAAGTAAAAACAATAAAAAGGCTGAAAACCAAAACACACAAAATACACCACCAACAACCCCACAACCAACCGATTCACCAGCACCAGAAGGGTGGACATCAAAATTGAAGTCCCAGATGCCTTAACTGAATACGCAGGAAATGTGTTTTTTGGAATTCCCCTCCACACCCCTCTCCACCACAAATCCTGGTTTTCTCGAGCTCCCGTAATTCCTGGAATTTCAAACTCAAATTTGGCAAGTAGTATTGAGGAAGTCATAGCCATAAATATAATTGCTGCCCAAATATTGGGACCGCTCTCCTTGTCATACCAAGCACCAAGTGATGGCAAATCGAGCTTAAAATTTTAAAGTTTATAATAAATTAAATAAAAATAAGTTGTGAAATTTCTGATAAATTAAAAAAATATCTTCGATTCTCATACCAAGTATGGCAAACGATATTTAACTTGTGATTTTTCTGATAAATTAAAAAAAAAAAAAACAAGTAAAGCTAAAGTCGGGTGTCCCGACTTTGAAATACTCTGTACATATGTTAAGAATAAAAAACAATTTGATGTCCACCCTGCTGGTGTTGGCGAATCGGTTGGTTGTGGGGTTCTTGGTGGTGTATTTTGTGTGTTTTGGTTTTCAGCCATTTTAATATTTTTACTTTTATTATTTGTGTGTTCAGTATGTGAAAACTGTCAATTGAGATACAGGCGATTTTACAAATGGTGTTACGGAAAAACCCCCATAGGGGGAAGGGGGGGAGGGGGGAAATCATAAAAATAAAACAAACTCGTATTGCGGACACACATAAGGCATCTGTGTGAAACATTTGATGTCTCTAGCTCTTATAATTTCGGAGATCTAGATGATCATACCGACGGACAGACCGACCGAAAAAGGGCTAGTTCGACTCGTCTTGTCATGCTGATCAAGAATAAATATACTTTGTGGGGTCTGTCACGCTTCCTTCTGCCTGTTACATTTTTCAGCTCGCGCAAACCTAATATACTCTTCTACTCATGTCCAGAGTATACAAATTGTGGAAATAAATTGTGAAATTTCTGATAAATTAAATTAAACAATTTAATTTTAAAAATTTTGTGGAAATATATTGTAAAATATCAGAAATTTTACAATTTATTTCCACAATTCTTATTTTTTTTTTTTAATTTATCAGAAAAGTTACAATTTAAATCCCTTCACTTACGTACTTGGTATGTGAATCGCAGAGGGCGGCCACAATATTTTAATTTAATTTAATTTAGCAGAAAATTCACAATTTATTTTTATATAATTTAATATATCAGAAATGTCACAGCTTAAATCTCAATTTGCCATCGCTTAGGTAATGGGTATGAGAATCATAGAGGAGGGCGGTCACAATATTTTTATTTAATTTATTTGATCAGAAATTGCACAATTTATTTCCACAATATTTTTTTTAATATATTTTTTTAATTTATCAGAAAAATCACAATTTAAATCTCACTTAAGTACTTGATACGAGAATCGCAGAGGATGGCGGCCACAACGATTTATTTTTATTTAATTTAATTTATCATAAAAATCACAATTTGTATAGGCTTTTCCACTATTTTTAATTTATATATCAGAATTAATTTAAAATGAAATTTGAACATACAACTACAATTTTGCATTTGTATTTTTTCCACATATCTCTGTTGAGTGCGAAATTATAAAGCGTTGAATATTAAAACTGGTTCAGTTCAAATAGGCTAGGAGCTACTGTACATACATACATATTTGTGTACGTATGTGTATGTATGTGCATGTTTGTAGGCTCTCTGGTTGATGACTTCCAGACTGATAACCAGTTGTATTTGGAAGCTCACATTGTGCAATTGCAGCTCGCGGCTTTTGTCATTTAATTCATACGTACATACAAAGATACATCAATTGTGAAAATGCCTTTGAAAATTCGCAACGTTCTAGTGTGTGATGCTGTCGATAATGCGTGTGTTGAACTCTTGAAAAAACACGGCATTAATGTGAGTGAATAAAAAATTAGTTGCTTTTAAAAGGAAATACATATTTGCATACATTATATACATATGTATGTGTGTGAATGTATGTACTTATATTTGTATTTGGTTGTAACTAATTGAATACACATTTAACTGCACTTTTGCACACATATGTACATATGTATATATCTACGTATTTACAATATATTACAACATCAAATGTAGAAATGTGCATAGCAACTGCCTAATCAAATATGTACATCAGTAGAAGAAATTTTTCTACACGTGTCTTTCAAGATTGGCTTTAAAGCTCTTCGAAGCCTTGTTTAATTTACATATGTATAGTATGTATGTATATGTATAGTATGTATGTAATTCAAGCTTTGAAGAGATATGCATGTATGTACATACATACATATATACACAGATTACCGGCTATCGCCACTTTGTGATCACAGCTACATACTTGTATATGCATATGTGTACATATGTTTATATACACACGAATTCGCTACATATGTATGTATTAAACTGCATATACATATGTACGTATTCTTATGTGTATTTATTATGTACGTCGTATTAATAATATAAATGTATACCATATGGGTTTTTATTTATATAGGAAGTTTTTTAAAATCCATAGATTAAATATTCTGAGTGCAGTGACACCTTAAGTTTCAAATTGGTGTATTTTTCCACCCATAAAATAACAAGTCAACGTTTTCCCGTTAAGCTATAATATACTTGTATGTATGTGTGTATATCACATTATAAAAGAAATCAACAATAGGAGGGAAGCATAATATTAAATATATGGCAAGATTTTACAAATTAAATTCATATTTATATAAACAACGTGTATTTATTTTCAGGTTGTTTACAAATTAAAAATACCACTTGATGAACTGACAAAGGAAGTAAAGGTAAGATTTTTAATACATTTGGAATAAATATAGACATTTGTTGCAAACAAAGAAACAACAACAAACGACCTAGCTATTATGAACGCTTTGCGGTCAGTTTCTCAAATAGTGATAACAAAAGTTGACTGCCATAATCGATTTAAAAGTCGAAACATTAGAAATTAAAAAATTTAGTTCTCGATTGGCCATCACTTAAGTACTGGATATGAGAATCGCAGAGGACGGCGATCACAATATTTATATTTAATTTATTGGAATTTCCAAAATTTAATTGTCGAATTGTCATCACTTAAGTATGTACTTGGTTTTTTATTTGACTATCGATATATGATGCGATTTTGACCGCAGCCGTTTAAAGGTCGTACTACTATGTTGAGCAATAGTCGAGATTTTGGAAGTCCTTTCTTGCTAGGTGTCAAATAATAAGACAAGAAAGGAATGCTTATTCTTATATACCCAGTGGTCACTCCCCCAAAAAAAAAAAAAACTCAAGCTGCCTAGGGCTGAAGGAAACCTGATTTCCAAGTTTGGTTATTCTAGCTCCTGTTGTACACCTTGCACAAGCCTATTATACATCTACCTTTCGGGTAAAGTTGATTTCTCGTTGATTGTTCTTAAAGTTAGACGTGCAGCTCTAAATTAATAAAGCTGAGTGAAAAGTATTAAATTAAAAACCTGATTAAATGAAGTTGCAACGAATAGGGAGTTTAAAGCATTTTAGAAGTTAAAACTAAATTTGGAAAAGCAAATACCTAAATAAAATTATCACGTTTTGTAGAACTTTGATGCTGTCATTGTACGTTCGGATACAAAAATAACTGCCGAAGTACTCGCTGCGGGTGCTGGAAGTCTCAAGGTAGTGGGTCGCGCAGGCGCAGGAGTGGACAACATCGACATAGCTGCAGCGACAAAACACAATGTCGTCGTTTTAAAGTAAATCCCACACTGGTAATGCCAGATGAGCCCTTAAATAAAATGAAATTTTTACCGCTTCTTTCAGCACTCCTGGCGGAAATTCCATATCAGCTTGTGAGTTAACGTGTATCCTTATTGGAACTCTGGCCCGTTTCGTTGCGCCGGCAACTCAGAGCATGAAAGAAGGGCGCTGGGACAGAAAGCTATACAGTGGCAGCGAGCTTTACGGAAAGACTTTGGCCATACTGGGCTTGGGTCGAATTGGACGCGAGGTGGCTATACGTATGACGGCATGGGGCATGCGGGTAGGTTAGCCCAAACTAATATTTTGCAAAGCCTCTTAATTATTCTACTATTCAGATTATCGGCTATGATCCTATCACTACGGCGGCCGAGGCCAAGGCCGCAGGCATTGAGATGCTCCCTTTGGAAGAAATATGGCCATTGGCTGATTATATAACTGTACATACCCCGCTAATACCAGCGACCAGAAGTAAATTCTATTCTCCCACATATGCATGTAATATTTGGTTGTAAACCATGTTATATCCGTTTAACAGATCTCATATCTACCGAGACGTTGGCGAAGTGTAAACAGGGCGTAAGAGTCATAAATGTTGCACGGGGTGGTATTATAGACGAAAAGGCTCTGCTTGAGGCCCTTCAGAGCGGAAAATGTGCAGGTGCTGCTATTGATGTCTACATTGAAGAGCCTCCGAAGTCTGAAGTTACCAAGGCGCTTGTCAACCATCCGAAGGTCGTGGCAACCCCCCATTTGGGTGCCAGCACATCCGAAGCTCAGGTCCGTGTTGCCGTTGAAGTGGCCGAACAATTTATCGCACTCAATGGCACATCGACCGAATATACAAGCTACAATGGCGTTATCAACAAAGAGATTCTCTCATATTATCAGTGAAATTATCAAATAAATTTCGTTTTTTATAGCCTGTACCCAAAGGGTGAAGGGCTATACTAGTTTTATAACTAATCATTTGTAATTGAAGAAATAAATAAAAAGAAAACATGTTTTTTCATCGATTTGATAGAAAATATTTTTTGCTGCTGGTTAGAGTTACATTTTTCTTTAACCTATTGAATATTCTATTCTAAATGATATGTAATATTTTAAAGTTTGTTGTATTCAAAGAGAAATTGGATGAATAAGGTTGGGTTTTTTATATATAAGAGTTCTGCTAAATTGCCATTATGAATTTTTACACCTTTCAACATTCAGATACAGGCCATAAAAGCGCTGTTATACAGTGACTCGTTTTTTTTTTTCACATGGCAAACTTTGTTTGCCGATGAATAAATAAATAAATAATTTTGGAGAATGCCCTCCTCTTTCACTTTCCAGATCACTACCATTCGTGTAGTTAAGTTTGGCAAAACGACACTTATTACAACAATTAAACATTAAACAATAAAGCATTCATGAAAATAAATAAAATAAATACTAATATTTACGAAGAGTGGGTGCCACTGGGGTCGGCCATCTGTTTTCGAAGGTCCTCTACTTGAACTTTACGCATCTTAAGTGCTTTCTTTGCCATATCGTACTTCTCAGTGAGGGCTGATAGTTCTGCTTTCTGCCGATCACACTGGGCCTTTAGAAAAGAACAAATCGAAACTAAATAATTTCGTAGCAGTTTAGGGGAAATCAGTTACCTTTAGGGCACATATCTGGCCCGCCGTCAACGATGAAGTATTGGAAGTATCAATATTTTCAAATTGCTTCAGCTGCTCCTGTTGATTTTTAATTATATTGTAACGAAAACGACATACTTCCAGCATATCTTCGTATTTCTCTGTTAGCTTTTTGTGCGCCGTTTCCAGATCAGACTCTGTCTGTGTTCCAGAAGTGACTAGTGAGGAATTGTCAACGACTCGATGGCACGATACGTCCGCAGCATTCGTAGATAAAGCGGCCGCTGCAGTCAGGGCATTAACTTTACTCATAAGTTCATGGTTTTTCTGCTTAAAGCGTTTCAATTCATTGCGCTGCTTCTCCTTTTCGTCTTGAAGGCGTTTTTTTAACTGGGCTGTTTCCTCTTTGAGAGGATGATTTTTCAGCTCGATACTTAATGCTGTTACTTTGCTTTGGCTTATGAATAAATCTCTCTGGCAGTCTTCCAATTTGCGTTTAAGTTCGGCCATTTCTTAACAAACAGAATTGGAAAGCAAGTATTTTTATCAGTGTCTTCAAAGTAATTTTTTAGATTTATGGAAACATACCTCCGGCATCATTTAGTGATCCATCGTCACAGGACTCGTTCCAGCATTGCCGTCGACGTTCATCGTGAGTGCTTAAACGGCGACTTCTTCGCATTTGAGAATCCGTATTGGGTCTTTTCTAAAAAGAAATTACTGTATATAGTTTTCTGTTTAAAATTATTCCCATTCTTACCTTCGTTAGACTGTCGTCTCGATCGAGACTTTTGCGCGCCGTTAATTGTGTGTTGGATGTATTCAATTCGGTAAAAAGCTTAACAGATTTGTCCGATTTGAACGCAACCAGCTCTGCGTCCAGACTTCTTATAGTATCTTCCATCGTGCATAATTTTTCCTCAAGGTTGCTCTTCTCTTCCAAGAGGCACAATATTGTGGCATTAAGTCTTGCACTTTCTGTACCATGTTGCTCAATTTTGCCTTCTGCAGCAGTTTTTAATGCAGTTATCTGTTTTAAGGCTGATTCCAGATTTTTAACTTCCCCTGTAAGTTTCTTGAAATCCTCTTCATGTATTGCATTTTTATGTTTTTGCTCCTTCAGTTCCGTTGCTAAAGAACAAATTTGTAGCTTGGATTCTGCTATGACCGTTTCTAATGCGCACTTTTCGTCTTTAAGCTTTTCATACTTTAATTTGTACTCCTCAGCTGTGGCCAGATTCTCTTTCATTTTAGATAAGGTTTGTTCATAAAGGTCCCTGCTCTCCTCCAACTTGATGTTATAATTACGCAAATTTTCCTGATATTCGTTTTTGCATAGTTCCAGATTTTCGACATGCTGTTTAAGTTTCTTTAAATCCTCCTCATCTTTTTCATTTTTATGCTTTTGCTCCTTAACATCCGTGGTTAAAGAACAAATTTGTAGCTTGGAATCTGCTATGACCGTTTCTAATGCACATTTTTCTTCTTGTAACATTTCATACTTTAATTGGTACTCGTTGTAAGATCCTATCTTCTCCTCAGCTACGGCTAGTTTCTCTTTCAATTTAGATAAGGTTTGTTCATAAAAGTCCCTGCTCTCCTCCAACTTGATTTTATAATTACGCAAATTCTCCTGATATTCGTTTTTGCCTAGTTCCAGATTTTCGACATGCTGTTTAAGTTTATTTAAATCCTCCTCATCTATTGCATTTTTATGTTTTTGCTCCGTCAGATCCGTGGTTAAAGAAGATATTTGTAGCTTGGAATCTTCTATTACCGTTTCTAATGCACATTTTTCTTCTTGTAGCTTTTCATATTTTAGTTGGTACTCGTTGTAAGATCCTAATTTCTCCTCAGCTGTGGCTAGTTTCTCTTTTATTTTAGATAAGGCTACTTCATAAAGATTCCTGCTCTCCTCCAACTTGATCTTGTAATTACGCATATTTTCCACATATTCATTTTTGCTTAATTCTAGAATTTCAACTTGCTGATTAAGTTTCTTTAAATCCCCGTCTTTTTTTTCATTTTTTTGTTTTTGCTCATTCAGATCCGTGGTTAAAGATAAAATTTGTAGCTTTGAATCTGATATGACACTTTCTAATGCACATTTTTCCTCTTTTAGCTTTTCGTACTTTAAATGGTACTCGTTGTAAGATCGTAATTTCTCCTCAGCTGTGGCCAGATTCTCTTTCATTTTAGATAAGGTTTGCTCATAATGGTCCCTGCTCTCCTCCCACTTCATGTTGTAGTTACGCAAATTTTCCCGATATTCAGTTTTGCTTAGTTCCAGTTTCTCCAAAAATTCCAGTTTATGAGTATTTAATTCGTCCTTGTGGGCTTTTTCCCTAGATTCTAGTTCACTTTTGGTTGAAGCAAGTGCAGCTTCCAGCTCGAGTAGTTTTTCGGATATCTCGCTTTGAGTACAATTCGGTGCTCTTTTGCAGTTGGAGCAATCGAGGCTCTCAGTCATGGTACATTCTTTGACCTTACATTGTAACTCTTCCCAAACGATGGAATCTTTTGTCTCCTTGTGGGCTTTCTCCCTAGATTCTAGTTCACTTTTGGATGATGCAAGCGCAGCTTCCAGCTCGAGTAATTTTTCGGACATCTCGCTTTGATTGCAATTCGGTGCTCCTTTGCAGCTGGAGCAATCGAGGCTCTCAGTCATGGTACATTCTTTGACCTTTTCTTGTAGCTCTTCGCAAACGATGGTCATCTCTGCGTTTTGCTTTTCTAACGTTTCGATCTTTTTTTGATAATTTTCTACCTTGTTAATAATAACTGATTTTTCAAGGAGCGCACACTCTAGCGTGGTCATCTGCTCTCTCATTTCGTTGATTGTATGTTCGGTGGTCTCCAGCAATACATTTTTCTCCAAAATTTCAGCCTCGAGCTGATCAACATAATTTCGCAAACTTTGAATTCCGACCTTCGAATTTTCGCTCAGCTCCACAATATGAAACTTTTGTTGTTGCAGCACGCCTTCTAGGCAGATCGATTCATCAAACGATGGATGAAGTATCTTCTCCGTGAAGTTTAGGTGAAGCTTATGTCCTGCACCATTAATTTCATTCACAGTGATAGCTCTAAAAGTCCGAGAGTAACCGATATCGCCTAGTTCAATCTCATGAAGGGATTCCAAGAACTTTGCAAATTGTGAGTATAAACTGCTGTTATTGAAATTAGAAACGAGTTCTGAACCTGGCATTGCTTCGCCATTACACCACTGACTACATATTATATTCATGGGCTGCTTTTTGAGAAAATCACTGAGTTTTTTGCATCTTGCACGCAACAAATCACCATCCTGGATGCTCTCCAGCAGCTGGTTAGAGAGATCATCGTATTCCCTTTGTAGTTCATCAAACTTTGACTGATGAAATGAAATCTTTTCATTCAGCTCGCATTCTTTGTGCCGAAGATCACTTGAAACTCTGTCGAGATTGCATTGAGTCTCCTCAACGCGGACCTTAAGCGAATTTATCTCATCCTGGCTACTTTTACTCTCACTCTGTTGTTCACTTTCAAGAAGCTTCTTTGATAGTTCATCAACAGTTTTTTCCAAATTATTAATCACACTGTCTTTGAAACTTTTACTTTCACTCTGTTGTTGACTTTCATGAAGTTTCTTCGATAGTTCATCAACCGTTTTTTTCCAACTATCAATCGCACCGTCTTTCTCTAAAAGCGCCTCCAAAAGTTCGGCTTCTCGCTGCTTTGACTTTTGTTTATTACTTTCATACTGAAACTCTATGCTCACCGCCTCACGATTCTCCGCTTCAAGTACTTTCATAGAATCTTTGAGTCTATTTATTTCTATTTCGTAGTTTTCGTTCATCGCATTAATCTTTTGGTTTAAAGCCGTAAGCTTATCAACCTCGGCTTGCAGAAGGTCACAGCTAGAAAATATATTGAGAGGGAAGTGTAAATCTCAAAGGAAACAAATCTCAAAACTAGTATGAATAGGTGCATAGTGTGTGAAACTGATGTAATCCTGTTTTAAATCCACAAAACATACATATATAGTATAGAAGGTAACATTTCTTCAACTATCTTCTGAAAATATCTATTTATAAACAAAATACCTACTATATTGGACTAAATACCTATGGTTAACATAGTAAATTGATTAGCGATCACAGTTCTGTGGCAAATTCGAAACCCATTGTTACAGCAACTGAAGAATATCACAGTGGGACAAGGAATTATGTAAGCACGATGTTTAGCACATTTACGTTACATTATATAACTTCCAGACAAGTATATTGTTAGCAATTTCCCCATAGTGTCAGTATTCTAGCTGTGAACTTGCCGACTGAAGGCACGTCAGTATTTATTATGCTGTATTGACATCTAGTTTTGAAACGCTTACTTACCGTGTTTCTAAGTCGACTTGATTCTTAGTGCACACATCGAGATCGATTTTTAGTTGTATGTATTCTAGGCGCTCGGCTTCGAGTTCATCTCGGCGTGCCGATACCAATGCCAATTTTTCCTTCAGGACCTTATTTTGATCAAATTTCACATCTAATTGCTTTTCCAAGCTGGTGTACATTTGCAATTCAAACAATTCTTTCTCGACCATTTCTAAGCTATTTGGGTGTACATAGTTAATAATTTGTGAGTGATAATGCTTATGTGAATGATGTTGATGGAGTATTGTATGAAAAGCAAATCGGAGCCTACCTCTTTCCTGCCATTTGTTCCACTTCCGGTGTCAAAGAGATGGACATTATATTGCGGCCCTGAGCTCTTGGTGTTTGAAAATCTGACGGTTCACAACCAAAATCGACACGATCAATTGGAGTGAATTCTTCTTTAACGTTTTCTAGGTTCAAACTTTTAAACACAGATATAGTCTCGGGGCAGATTTTGGAGCGGTTGTTTTTATGATGGGTAACTTTCGAAAACATACATGGTTTGGGCAGCTGCAAGCGTGAAGTGCTTTCAAAAGTCGTTACGGGCTGCGTCTTTTCTCCTTTATCACCATCTATAACTGAAGTGGCAGGGCACCAAGTTCGCCGCCGCTTCTGAATTTTTAAGTTGTTTAACGAATTGCTGCTTATAATTTTCAACATGTCTCGTTTGATTGCTTCCTGGAGTTGGTGAACCTTGACTTGGCTTTCGTTTTTACGCTTTTCTTCGGCTAAGTTGTCTTTAAGCGTTTTTATTTCTCGTTCTAGTCGTTTCATCATCGTGGGTCCTGAAACAATCTCGTTTACTTGTGGCTTTAAACGAATTTTCTTTGCCCGCAATGCAAAATTTATTGTTGATTGCGACTCCTCCAGTATTGAGGGCTTTATGGTGCATATAATTGAAGTAAGCGCATTGCCACCTAGAGATGCTTGCAAAATGCGTGTTAATTTCGAATCGCGGTAACTTATATATTTGTTATCCGTATTTTCAGCCAGATTTTTAATTACATTGCTCAAGAAGAGCAAACTTTTATTGATGTGACCGCCTTCCTTTAACCGAGCACCACGAGCACCCGTCTGATCGGCGCGCTCGGAGCCGGCCAAATCCACAAGATTAAGCACGCTTTGTATGACAGAATCGTCTTCAGCGGCATCCGACTTTTGTGATTCTATAATCTACATAAATTGCAATTGCATCATTTTCACGAGGTTGTTGTTACATTTGTGTACTTACTATTCGAAATATAGCATGCGATCGACTGGACCGTTCGTTCATATGTGTTTCGCCGACAGTGCGCTCTTTGTTGCCCATGCACAAGAAGTTGAGCAAATCTTCCTCCGTAGTTATGATGAACTCCTCACAATTTACGTTCACGATCCCTGTAGCGGAGTCGTGTATTTTAAGATCCTGGTTCTTTTTGTTAAGCAAGTCGTAGATTTTTTCATTATAAATTTCAATATAGCCGACCCGTATTAAGAACTTCCGATCGTGAATTTGTGATATTTGATTAAAAATCTCCTTCGCCGCCAACACCATAACGCCGGGATTGTGCTCATCGCCCATCATAGTATATGTTTTTCCTAAATATGTTTCAAGCGTTTATTATTATATTATAGGATCCAATCACTTATTGCATTGTAAATGTAAACAGCATGTACATATCTACCTGACGATGTTTGGCCGTACGCAAAAATAGTGCCGTTGAACCCCTGCAAGCATGCATGCACAATATGTTTTGCCATCAGCTCGAAAACGTCCTGATTGGTGGATTCCTGATCAAATACATGGTCTGGAAGACATTATTCTAGTTTGAAGAATCAATGGTATTTATTGTAAACATAACATACCAAACACATAGGGCTCTGCCTGGACGTCTGTCAAATATATTCGGCCGTCTCTTACTTGCCATAAACAGTGCTCTCGATCGAACGGGCGCACCTTAATGCAGACTTGAACAGAACTTTTTGAAGACATTGTATGCACAATCACAAAAAAAACACATAGAACAAAAATATCACAATGTAATGTATGCCAATTTATAATTTGATTATAATCTCTTTGCAATGGAAAAGTCGAAAAACTTTCGAACAAATGGCGCTCAAACTTATAATCGACGCGAGTCGACTGCTTCTTCTTATGGCATAGCGGCCATTGAATTTCTTTTAAATCGAGTATTTCAGTGGTTATCGATATGAGTTGACATCTAATAACACCCACTACTAAAATGGCAGGAGGCCAAAATTAACTTTCTGTAAGCCCGCTCTGTAATTTATAAATAGAAAAAACTTTTTAAGTTGTAATTAAATTGATAACAATTTTCGTTGGTTCGGTGTGGCAACGCCGTGTCAGACACAGTTCTTAAAAGGAAACATATAATTAGAATATGTATAGTAGAAAATAAAAAATAGTTTTTGACATATGTATGTAGGCCCAGGCTAATAATATCCAACAAATATGGCTGTTGCAAATATAAGAAAATAATGATATATCGATGTTTTGAAAATTACACAAAACTATTCGACAACATAACGATACTTTGCTGCAAGATATTTTTATCGATAACGGCAGCTAATTTTTGAAATACTATGAAATGTTGACATTGTAATTCACAAGAGTATTAATAAGTTTCTATGCTTTTCCAGCGCTCACAAGACCAATCAGCATACGTTTAAATGAAAGTGTTGCAGAACAGGAGGCTTTTGATCATACGAGATTAGAATATTACGTCGAAGTTTCTCTATTTTTTAAATTATCATAACTTGAAAATAGTCTCGAAACAGGTACGTACCCCTTCACTCTAGTCTAAACGGTTATAGAAAGAAAAATATCTCTGATAGTAAATGCTTGTGCCATCGCCATAGCTACATATATGGTTATATTGTAAACAGACACCACATATTGTGTTTAGCCTTTTCTAACCATCACCTCGATGGCTTGTTGATCATGTTTATTACGAGCTTGAAAAGAGTAAAACTAAATGTTAACCAGTAGTTGTAAGATAGTAAAGCTTTGATTCAGGGCAACTTTACTAGATTTACTAGAAACGAATGCAAAACAAAAATATTTTATAACGCTGCTTTATTGCAATTCTATAAATATGAATAACCTTCTAAGCACATGAATGTCTACTTAAATTGCTTACGTACGTCGTTAATATAACTAACTTGCTTAAATCTAGCAATTGTATTCAATTACTTTGCGCTTCGAATAAAATGCACTCTCTTTTTTTAAATGCAATCAAAGTATCAGAAAAGGAAAAAAAGATGGAAGTAAACTGAAGCGAAGCAAAACATATACTATACAATGTACATACATAGAAAATTGTATGTGTGTATATTATGACAAATCGATGTACATATCTATGTACGTATGTATATAAATTTTATTATCAAATTGTAAATAATTCTCTTAAGGTAAACCAATCAAACTAAATATTTATAATAAAGTTCCTAATTTAAGTGCATGTACATTTAAATTAATTGAGGTAGAAAAATTAATAACACATACATAGGTATATTTAATAAGGCAAGTGGGTCAACTCTTGGAGAGTTAATCTTCATTAATCGTCATTATTGTAGCTAAAGTTGAACTTATAGTGTACTCGAAACTAAAACTGCGATAAACATAAAATAATTGATTTGACTAATTTGGCTTTTAGGCCGACGCCTCTAGAAAGTCGCAATGAAACGCCAAATTATCATCAAAGTGGAGCTATTTTCTTCCAAATATTATTGGGCTTTCTAGTAGCGGCAGCATAAATGCCCGTTAAGATAAACAATATTTCAAACTTGGTATAAGGTCAAAAGTATACATATATAGTATATGTACTTTTGAAGCATGCGCAAGAAATATGAGTTGTAAGTACGAATCATCATGGATCGTGCTGCCTGGTTTTCTGTTTATAATTTATTCATATGTATAGTAGGTGCGCAGCGATCGATCAGCAAATGCTCATATATATGTGTATATTACATATATATATGTATGTATATGTATGTGTGTGTGCTGTACTTCGGTATTTACTAAAATATCCATACACTTTCCGTTGCTTGGCAAATTTATTTGATATTGATCCGTAACTTATTGCTAATAAGAAATGGTTGCACTATGTATGTATGTATAATAGTATGTATGTATGTAGAATCCTAAACTACGCAGAAGACTTCTGCTCGGCAAAATTGGCAAGTTCTTGTACAACAATAGGAGACAAGTCCAGTCAAGTCGAGTCGAGTCGATTCGAGTCGAGTCAAGTCTGGTCACAATATTTGGATGACTCGGTTTACGATGCTGGTGTGTTCAAATACAGATACAGATACAAATACAAATACAATGGACGTACAAACTGATTGAGGTAGTTCGGTTGCTCGGTGTCTTCCGGTCGTTTGTTTGGAAGGCTGTTACACTAAAGTGCGTATTCCTGAGAAATGTTAGGTAGCTTCGGCAAATCATACAGCTTTGTATGTACTATATATGTTGTTGGTGATTTGGGAACTGATATTGGAAGAATAGGTACAAACTATGCGTGTTTTGTAAAAATCTTCATAGTCATGTGCGCTATAAGCGGCATGGCACAGCTGAATTAATTTTAATCAATGCTGACATCTAGAGAAAGTTTGATATACTATTATAGTATACTATATGCTTGTATGTGTACCCTTTTACACATTCAATTGTGCAGTCACTCTTCAAAGGTGTTAAGTTGCTCTGAATTGGAAGAACCCTTTGGGCGGGTATCCACACAGTATCCGTAGTTTTCTATCACGTTCTGGTGCTTTAAGTACTATTTCCATATTGCGCATGAGAACTACGTTTATCCTTTCTATACATATTTTCACTTATCAGTATTGTTATTGTTAACATTATTAATCTAGGGGTTAAGGTTTCATTTCCTGAAGGTCGTGCACAATACTCGTACTTATGCTTTAAAATAATTCTACAATTCCAGCTATTATTGTATTCCCGTACTTTGTATGCGTAAACACACAACAACAGGTACATGATTATGTGCGTATACATCAATAGGTATAGGTATTTAGAATTTATCGGTGTAGAGGTTTAGATTTAGGTTTGTGTACTATATATGTATGTGTATGTTTCTCAAAGTGTATATGTGAGTATATTTAGGTATAGAGTGGGGTTGCTTTGTGTTAGTTTTTTGTTTTTGCAAAGCACGACATAAATTTCTTCTAGACCTGTCCACAAATTTCGTAAATATGCTTCTCTAAATGATTATATATCGTATGTCTGCTGGTTGTTTTTATAAAGTTTTCGACGATATATAAACTAATAAATAGTATACATTAGGATAAGGCTACTCGTTACAAATTTGTTAAATATAGGTATACAATACAGTTGATACCAATCGATATTAGCATCATTCTGTCAATATTTTCTCCCTTTCCAGTTCCTTCAGTTTGCAAATTACAGATGCGGCGTCTATGTATTGTGCACCCCTTCGTCCTCGGAATAATTTTCCTCGCCATCGGAGTTGGCTTCATTATTATTGCTGCCCGACTGATTCATTTCGAGGCCCAGATCCATGGGGTCCGCCGAGCTGCGTTTTGGGTCCGGTTCGGCTGCGGACGGACTGACAGTCAGCAAGGAGACGGGGCCGCTCCTCTCTGGCGAGAAGTTTGTGGACTGCTGGTCCCTGCGCAGTATTGGCTCGATAGTTAAGCCGGCACTGCTCGGACTGCTGGAAAAATTCGCCACCGGATTGTTTCCGGCCAAATTTGACAAGTCGAACTGAGAGTGCGCTCCGGGCAGCTTATCGAGTCCATGCCCCATGGCATTGAGTTGTGCCATTTTGGCGGCATGAAGCGCTGCCGCAGCCGCGTGTTCCTGCGACATGCCCATACCTGTAATGAACCCCGTTCATTAGAGCGGTAATTATTAGGTATTAGGTTCTGGTATACTCACCAAAGGTGTTCTCTGTGATAAATTGCAGGTAGGTGTCCAGCAAGGACTGACCCGCGGCCGTGCTTGTAGGTAATTGGACGCTGCCGCCCAACTCCTTCTGCTGTCCGATGGCAGCGGCTGCGGCGGCGGCAGCTTCGTTGCGAATACGCGAAATAGTTGTGTTGGCGTGGCCGAAATTACTGAGCAGACTCTCGTGATAGCGGCTCAGATCGCTGGCACTGGCGCCAACGCCAGCTCCTGCGCCATTGCTAGTGGTTAGATCCTCTGGATCGTCATCGGAGTCCTCAGCATCGTCCATTCCGCCACCACTGGTGTTGCTCAGATCGATTTTTTGCTGACCACCGCCACTGCTGCCGCTGCCACCGGTGGGCGAAGCTCTGGCGCGTAGCTCGGCGGGCGATATCTTCACGCCGGCCTTAGCCAACAGCCGGGAGGCGAGGTCTGGATCAAAGGCGCTGGGCATGGGTAGAACGGGCAGATCCTTTGTCGATATGCCGCGATGCTGGCGAGACATGTGCGAGTGCAGCGAGTTTCGGGATTTGGCCACGGTGCCGCACAGTACGCAACGGTAGCCGGGACAGACGGTGTGCTTGTCCTCTAAGTGGGTGCGCAGCGTGTGTGCCGAGCGGTAAATCTTGCCACATTTCGGACACGGCCTCGGGTCTGTGGCTCGCACACGCATCTCTATCGAACGTCTGGAAACTAGGGGGAGAAAAAGAAGAAAGGTTTACGCGAATTAGCATTGGTTTCTTTTCTGCGGTCTCTGACTCCCTCTCCCGCCACCCTTCTAAATGTTTTGAGTCTGCTAATGAAATAAAATTGTGCACTTTTTATGCCTAGGTCTTTATTAATCACCAAAATATATGTATTTGCCATCTCATATTACCTCATACTCTTACAGCGGTGCTACAAATTGGCTAACAGAAATAACGTTTTTTTCTTTTTCTTCTCGTACATAGCCACCACAATTGCGAAAACGAAGTTCACCATTTTCAGGCTCTTCCAGGAAGTTGCAATTATTTATACTGGAAATACCACATTTTATCAAAGCCGTGTTTCTACTATGCCAAATTATGGAGAATATGTAGATGGTTTTAAAGTCTTGGTACACACACATTAGAACAGGTTAATAAACTGTTTGTAAATACAGCATCAGACATTAAATACTTCAACATTCATTTCGAAGATTTCGAAATTGAAATGAATTTAGTAAAAAAGTTAAATATTTTCAAGTTTACATAACACACTGGCGTTAATATCGCTTATACTTGTACAACATTCTAACTTCTAGTTGGAAATATGAGAACTATAAACAGAGGCTGTTGAGCACCATTGCTTCTTTTTTTTTTTTAAAGATATTGTCATTTACATCGAAACAGGAATCCGGCATTTAAACTCAGCATCTATATTTGTCATCCAATTGGTTTGAAAATATATTTACGGTAAATATATGATGCGGAAATATTGTAATTTCCAATATTTCTAGTTCCAAAGCTGAGGGGTAAGACTGAAAATTGCCTGATAACAATTTTGAAGAACATATTGTAGATCAGAAGGACATTTAGTTTTAGAATAATGAGTGAGAATAATTAGTATTGAAATGATCTTCAGTTCTTTTCCTCTAATTAAATTAATTTGGCAACATTCCACTATAAGGCATTGTTGAAATTGTTGCTTAGTAGAAACAGGGCTTGAAGTATATTAACCAAGTAAAGTGTTGTTATTTCTGCTCCATATACTGTAAGTTTTGGGTGAACTTTATAAATTACAACTGTAAAATTGTCGGCATAGAAATACATAATGGTACAAATACATTATCGATTCGCTCGATATCTACTTAATGCGCTTTTTGATTAACATTATAGGAACCGTTTTACGTATGTATTTATATATATTCTATATATAATAGTGTTGTTTATCTGTTTACTTTCTGCATTGAAATACTGAAGTAAGTGAGGAAGTGAAGTCCAAATTAAATCGGCAATGGAATAATGTGAACATTTTTAGCTTCTTGGCTTCTTTGAAATATAGTAGTAGGTAGGACTCTATATTTCTCAGCTCCTCATTTCGCATTCACTAATACTAGGTACACTAGGTATACACGCACGCATATACTACATACATTCGCAGACAAACTCATCTGTATATTACTGTATGTTCTTTATAATCAACTTTAGTTTAGCTTAATATATATATCTGATGCAGGCACATTCTATTTTGTTTCATTATACGTCGTAAATATTTGAACGTATGCTTTTAGTTTTCCTTTCCGTTATTTCTTTTAGCTACGCAGAGCTCCATAAATATTTGTGTATAGTATATAATACCACTTATTCATTTCATGTCTTTCGGTCATACATACTTGTATCATACTATATGTACATGTATATATATATATATATATATATATATATATGTTGAAATTGTTTCTCATGCACTTTTTATATTTTTTGTATATGTAATATTGCATTTTATTTATTATTCTCTACACATTTGGTTTTCGCTTTACTTGTATGTCTTTGATGAGAAAGGAAAAGAAAGAGTATACATAACACTTGCAATAAAATATACAAACAATTTGGAATTTGGTTTTATACTTTTGGGATTTTGCATCAATAAGTTTGGTTGACATACTATTCAAAGATTGAGACACTGAGGTCTAAATTCTTTCAGTTTCCAGGAGATTGTTTTCCAACTGCTTTTAATTCAGAACTCAAGCTGTGGTAAGTCCGAAAGAATTTGATCAAACAGCATAATTTCAAAATAACCACAACTTCTAGAGTCGACTGAAATTTATTATATTTTAGAAATGATTAAATCATAAACTATGGGCTTTGCCGGGAAGTGTAATCTGCGATTATTACCTATTATATATATGTATATATATGTATATGTAATTATCATTACAGTGTATTCACATTTGTATTATTCCTTTATCTAAGCATACTCTTTAAAATTACAGAAATTCAAAACCAATTTATCAAATATAGGAACATTGTAATTAATGAGACATTATCCCTTCTCGCCAACCGGTTTCCCTTCCTATAAATCTAAGCATATTTCCTGTACGTCTTGGTTATTCGACTAAGCCGGAATGTACTCGTAACTGCTGGCGACTTCATAATAAGTACAATATAGTACATATATTGAAAACAATTCGACTAGCTCTATGCCGTTTGCCATTGTTTTACTATTCAAGAATGAAATGAAATTCTTTAAAGCTTCTTATTTATGTTTTTCAAATCTGTGGACATAGTAGAGCCAATATTATTTGTTGGCAATAAATGAATATTCACTGACAGTTAGTTGAGTATCGGGTTAAGGGTAAAATATTTTGTATAGAAATTACATATTAGCACCCATTGCTGGTTCAAGACTATTGGTCATTTAAGAGCTGATGGATTAGCTTATGACACCCTTCTACATAGAAACTTAACTTGAAGGCAAAATCGGACGTTCGGTATGTTTTCTAAGAGGCAAGCAATATGTTGATAGCAGCTCTATAGTATATTGTATCATATCATATATCTACATATATTACGAAAATCAGTGTTACATTTCACTTGTTGTTGCCAGCACACTCCTTCTTCGTTTTTGCACAATCTAGTCTAGGATCTAGTCAAGGATTTCGACAGGTGCCATAAGAAAATAAATGTCAAATTGACGAAATTTCTGTATCTGGGCGACACTGCATTTCTACAGTCTAGATTCTAGGGCGTGTGTCTAGTTGTGATTATTGTTCATTATGTTTTAAATCCTGAATAGCTATTAATTGGCTGGCTACTCATACCAATTACCAAAGCTGGACTGCCGCTCTTTGAAAATATGTAGAGCCAATAACTTACAGATGTATACAAGTTCTAGGAAATTCGCCGTTGGCTAGGGGGTCGTAGAGCAGAGACGCCATATCAACGCTATACTTGTACCTACGCTATTTTTCACCTATCTACGGTAGATGCGAGTGTTTGAGTTTGTGTGTTATTGTCCTCATTAACTGAGCTTAGCAACTTCGAAAGCTTTAAATGAATACGGTCTTTGTGACACTAGCTGGCCGGCTCACAGTTTCATTTAAAGTCGGGCCCGCCAGAGAAGGGTCCTCCTGAGGAGCGCATTGCTTTCATCTTTGCCCACTGTAGGGTGTGCTTGATACGCATATGGTTTCGCACCGAGTTCGGATGGGCAAAGCGGCGCCCGCACTCGATGACTGGACACACAGGACTATCGCGGGGATAATGCCGGTCCAGGTGCTGCCGGAAGACTCGCTGCTCCAGCGGCGTCTCACATAGTGGACAGGGAAGCATATAGTTGCTGGCACTGCTACCGCTGGCGTTCACGCTGCCGCCAACAGGGGCGGAGTTGCTGTTACCCGTCACGTTGGCGTTGGCGTTGGCGCTGGCGCTGGCTGCGACAGCAGCGGCAGCAGCGACGGCTGCGGCTGACGGATTTTGAAAGAGCTCGGGAAATTCTCGTGATCGACTGAGCGCTATGGTGCGCGCCATAAACAGGTTGGCGGTCAGTTGCTGTTGGTGCGACACGGAGACGGACTGATGCAGTTCGTCCAGGTACTGCTGTTGCTGTTGTTGTTGTTGCTGCTGCTGCTGTTGCTGTTGATGATGGATTTGGTGATCGTTTGAGGAATGCTTGTGCCCAGAATCGTTGCGCGATTGCTGTCGGGGCAGGGGCGTTATCTGCTGGCTGGGCTGTTGGGGATGTGGGGGCTGCTGCTGAAGGGGTTGTTGTTGTAAATTGTGTGCCTTCTGATGTTGCTCCTGCTTACGGAGCAATGTCTGGTAGAGAGTTGATTCGCAATCCGGCCGGGTCGTCTTCACCGTAAGCGAGATTGCTGACGAAGCCGATGAGAAACGATCCTCACCAAAGTTGTCTTCAACTTCACTATCATTCCAGGAGCGGGCCGAAGGGGTCGGCGAGGAGTTCGCGGAGCGGCCTTTGTTAAGCGTTGTGTTGTTGTTGTTGCTGCGCTGCTCAAAATGTTGTGGCAATTGGGGCCGATAAATCAATTTCGCCAGCGTGCATTCAGCCGAATCTCGGTCTCGATCCTGATGAGGATCCGCGCCGTGCGCCTTCTCCTGCATATCGTCGTCGTTGGCGTTGGTGATCTCCTCCTTGATGTTTGTCGCATTTATGAACGTACCTACATGGGCAGCCAATTGCGGAGGAAGTGTGCGGGGAGAGGAAGTCAATTTGAAATCAGAAATCAGAAGCAAGAAAAGGGCATTTGAAAATTTTCTTTGGTCCGCTTCAATTTTGACGCATGTCCTGGGTTGGTGACTTGGGTTGGTTGGTTGGTTGGTCTGTATGTCTGTCTATGATTCCAGCAGCAATAACAAAAACAACAGCAGAACTGAATAGTGTCTATCAATTCGAATCCAATTAGTGTCATATTGATTACAAAAATTTTGTTCACACCACGTTTTCACTTTCATTCTGGCGGCCAATTAATCGAAATTTTTTTCAATTTTCCTTTTTATTTTTGCGGTTTGTTCAGTTCTAACAGTTAATTATGTTTTGACTTGGCTTGGAAGTGCACAATTAGCGTTCGTCCAGTAACAGCCAATTAATGTTAAAGCTATATAGTATGTTTACAGATTTACAGCTCAATCAATGCAACAAATTTGAATATAAATGTATACGTAAGTATGTATGTATTTCTCGTATCTACTATCTCGGTTAGAAATGGCGAAACCAATATTGTTTTTGCAACTCGTATTCGCACCCTTTTGACACTCTCTAGGGTTATATTTAAAGTGTGGTATAAAGCTGGTAAAATTTCAATAAGAAGCACCTGGAATCTTAAATATTTTCAATTGTGAAAATATAGTACAAATAAAATTATTTACATACAAAATTGAAATCACTATTTAGTCAAACAATTTTCTAAATCCACAAGCACTATGGGTGGCTATCAAGTGCGCCATTTTAAACGAAAAGGCTTGTGTTGAATTCAAAAAAGAATTTTAAAAAGCTGTGAGCAGAAAAGATTTGTACGTAACTTTTGAATGAAAGCCATATCTATTTCTCAAAAGCTGGTCCCATTTCTCGTTTAATATGGAAGATAAAGCGTATCTTTGAGAGTAAAGGTGTGCGAACTAAAAACTCTTTGAATACTTTTGGTCAGAGTACAGAAACGATTAATATGCACTTTTTTATCCGAGATGTAGCTATGAACTAACAGTTTATACGAGTATATGTATATTATATAGTTTTTAGATGGAAATACAAGTATTGAAAAGCAAGGCACAGGCAATAAAATAAATAAAAATAAGTTTATTGACACACAAGTATAAGTATTTTATCTTTCGATTATTGAATTAAAGAGTGTATAGTCAAACATTTAGAATATGTTTATGCATTTACGTATGAATATTTATTAACAATAATAATAATTACATAATAATAATAATAATGATAAGGTATTCAGCTTTAGGGAGAAAACAAAGCAAGTGTCTGTGTGTTTTTTGGTTTCATGAAGTCCAGATGTCTCCCTAATGCTAATTTGATTACTATTGAGCCATTGGACCGGACCGGACCGCATCGGACCGGATTCGAAAATGAAATCAAATTAGACAGCTTGTTTCTACCTTTGTGCGTGACAGCTCCAGCTCCAGGGAGCATGCCGAGCAGAGCATACATAGCATACAAGTAGATGGCACGAGCAATAAAATATACATACAGTATACATACATATCTATATTTGTAGATAAAATTCTAAAAATTAAAAATGCAATATGTGTGCAATATACTTATAATTAAATGTGTCTGTGTGCGATGCATGCTCGTGAGCCGGCTGGGTTGGGCGGCTGGCTGTGCTCGGTCTATTTTAAATGCAGCCGACGGCATTTTGGTTCAGGTGGTAGCAGCGGGGCCAGATGGGTCCTTTGACCAGCGAAGCACATATTGAATAGCGTTTGAGAATACCGAAAGAAGAGCACCACTGCTCCACCACTGCTGATTGAAAACAAAGCTAAGGGGCATGTTCAGTAGGCGAGGGTACATGGCTTGGCCGATCAAATTAAGCGTAAGACTTTCTGCATCTTTGAACAGCTCCTCCCAAAAAGACAGCTACGAACAGATGTGCAGCTGGTTGGGTTAAAACCGATGAAAGGATTCCACTTCTATTCGCAGTACACCTCCCCCCACACACACACATAGTTAATGAAACATAAAGTGCAAGCCACAAATGTTGCACATGTTTGAGTTATTGGCGTTGTCCCCATGAATTGCCGCATCATTGCCGATGCGTCGAGAAAAGGCCACCTAGACTGCAGTTGGCAGCTTCAAACAAAGCCAAGTGGGTTAAGAAGCAGCAGAGTAATGGCTGAGTGGTATGGATTTATTGGAGCTGCACAAATACTGAATATCGATACGACTTCACCTCAGGATCTACCTACCTATCCTGTGGATAGAAAATTGGCGACATGCCTTGTGACTATAAAAAGGTTTCATGAGTACCAGAGTGATGGAAAACATACCACATTTTTTCAACTCATACATTTTTGAAGGGGCTTCGACTATTTGAATACAGTGGATGTTAAGAAGTGTGATAACTAACAAACTAATATCAATTGTAAATGTCGACACATAATATATTAATAGTGATAGCACCCATTGTGGACGCCCGAGATGTTATTTATCTAAGGATTATCTAAAAAGGGCTCTACTTTTGAGACAACTTGGTTCTGGTATTATATGTAATCGGTGGAAATGCGAAAAAAACATTGCGTCGTGTGCTCTGATGGGCTCGAACTGGGCAGACCATTTCATCAAATGGATGACGTTTCTCGTCCGAGACAAGTCAAGAAACCGCGGCTACCACTTGGTGAGCTGGAAAAGTATCCACACCCACATCAATTACTGGCGAAACTAGCCCATGCGAAGGAACGGTAATCATTCAATTCGCCCGATTCGACTTTCCCACCTTTGCTGCCATTGTTGTTGTTGTATCTGTTTCTTTGTTTTTTTCTTTAGCTCATCGACTTGCCCGTTTGCATGTCGGAGCACTGTTAGGGTCGTCCTGCCGCGTAGCCGAGGACAATAGAAATTAGCTTTATTAAAGATAAAGCAAGTCAGTCGTCGCAAGTAACTGAAATATTTTCTTTCGCGCCATGCGGCTATTATCGTCATCGTTTTGCATTTCGAAAATTGACTTTGTCCTCCGATGGGGCGCAAATAATGAATTTTTCGAAATAAATCACTCGCACGGGCAAGCCTGAGGTACCCCAAGTGTTCTCTGTGCTTTTGCCTTTTGCTTGTTGTTTTTGTTGTTGTTGTTGTTGTTGCTTTTATTGAGATGGGCGCATCGAAAAGGTTGCGTTCCGTTATGGGCGCCTGACTTTCTGGGAGCGGTGGCGGAAAATGCTCGGCGTCGTTGTAAGGTGTGTTTAAGGGCCTTTATGGCCGTTTTTCGATGTCTTAAGATCGTTATCGTCACTGTTATTATTACCAATGGCTATTTGCTATTTGCTTTGCATAAGACCGTATATTCGACGTATTCGTACATAAACATTTCTAGGTTTTTTGTAATTTTGGCGCTTTGTCCTAATTGGAATTTATGGCTTAATAAGTTGAAATGCTTTTGGTTGACTCCTCAATTTCTGAGCTACTCTGCCAAATTATTTGTCATTTTATTGCTTTCTTTTCCATCCTCACTTCTAGATGGAACTTAATTTTTTCTGGTCTTTGGGGTAGTGGGTTTTGATTTTTGATAATAAAACTAAAAACAAAACATGTTTTATTTACATCGTCCGCAGGACTTTATGGTAAATAAGTATCGTGTTTTTATTAATTTTTATGAGCCATTTTATTTCTGTGTCCGCTGGTATGTGTATCAGAAAATTTGCAATAAAACACATAATACTCGCGACTCATCCATCGCTCAAGTACGTACATACTCGTGTATCTGAGAGATAGAAACAGTTGGGGAGAGGTTTTATGACGACAGTTAAGCGACGCTGGACAAGTTGTGATTGAATTATTGATAAAGCTGTCCACTGCTGACCCCAACGATTTTTCCCATATTCACTGAAGTCCGACAGTGTGGGGAATGTGTAAAAATTTTCTGTTTTATGTCCCGAAGGGAGGGGGAAACCAATCTAATTTCGCGCTGCATTGATTTAATTACAAAAATTTGCGTATTTTGCAACTTCTAGCGATCACGATAGGTGGCAGGGAACGATTCCAATCCTATCTAATTAGCCTGTGGGCTTTAAAGGACTTAAGCTGGAGCCACTATTTTCAGAGTCTCTACTATCCTCGTGCCTCGCCTACTGACTATTGCTTAACACAAAAAAAAAACCAAGCCGTAGGACGTACGTATCAGCAGGCAGGGGACACCACATTGTAAGTGATGCCAAATGTATTTCAAAATCAGATGTGGGCGTGGCAGTGAATCAGGTCGTCGGTTCGAAATATAAAAACCTCTGCATAAGCAATAGCGCTAGAGTTGTTCAGTTTTTTTTCTGCCGTCCTTTGTTCGTCCGTTTTGGCGCAGTTTTGCTCGTTTGGTCCTTTTAAATTTATTTTGGGTGACGAATGTTGATGTCACTTGCGATAATGTTGTTTTAGCAACGAAATGAGAAAAGTTTAGCACATGTGATGCACGATGGGCAGTGCAGGATCTTTCAAAATACAACAACAACTAAAGTGTTGTTGTGGAACACACCCTTCGCATAGATGCCTGCTTATGCCAATGCAACCGTACACACACACACACACTTAAACAGAAAGGAGAGATGTGGTAGGGGCGTCTGCGAACGTCATGTGGGCGGACAGTTCGAAAGGACCACAGTAAAAAGCTAAAAAGGATAAAACGCTTGTGCTCATCGCACATAATAAATGTATCTTTTACTTGCAAAATACGAGTTTGCTGTGCGTTGGCGTAAGTAACTTCACCCCAAGTGAACCCAGCCACCTATCTGCCCAACCGCCCAACCACCCAACCACCCACACAAACAAACACACTCAAACACGCACACACACACACACACAAACACACACACACATACATACATACGCAAAGGGCAACAGCTTTGAGAGGACCAAGTGTTTGCGCTCGTTGTATATAAACTTAACAGCATTTGGCTATCTTTTTGCAATTGATGTATTACACATAAGTTTTGAGCCTCATCCACACAC